AGACATGGGACAAGTAACAAGGCTAGACACTCACAGCGACGAAGGTCGCCTTCAAGAAGTTGCCCATTGTCGCGGTCGAACCCTTCGACTGCGTGTAGCAATCCTCGACACCAGCAAGCTGGAGCATACGCTTAGACGCGGGGGCGGCGACAAGACCAGTTCCTCGGGGCGCGGGGATGAGACGGCACATGACAGAGCCAACCTTGCCGGAGACCTTCGAGGGCACGGTGTGGGGTTCACCGAGGTTGGCACCCCAGTAGCCACGACGAACAGGAATGACGGAGAGCTTCGCGAGGATGATGGCACCGCGGATGGCAGTTGCGACTTCCTTCGCGCACTTGACACCGAGACCAACGTGGCCGTCGAAGTCGCCAATGGCTACGAAGGCCTTGAAGCGCGTGCGCTGACCGGCACGGGTCTGCTTCTGTACGGGCATGATCTTCATAACTTCGTCCTTGAGCTTGGGGAGGAAGAAGTCGATGATCTGGTACTCCTTGACGGGGAGCGAGAAGAGGTAGATTTCCTCCATGGACTTGATCTTGCCGTCCTTCACGAGACGACCGAGCTTGGTAACGGGAACCCTGGTGGATGGGCGGATGTCGAAACGAGTATGAATGCCATTGCAAAACAAGCACTCACCACTCCTTCTCCTCGTCCTTACGACCACCGCGGCGGGGGCCCCGTCGGCCCCGTCCACGGTCACGCCCGCCACGCCCGAAACCACCGCGTCCACGCGCAGAATCAGCCATTGTGTGCTTGAGGAGAGAAACTGCAAGAGTAGAAGAGTAAGCTTCCAAATTTGCCGCTGGGTGCCGGGTACGAGGGGAGCAAACGAGTTGGACCGAGGGCAAACAGAATGGATGAGGAATGACTCCATCCAGATGCCCGAGGAGCCATCCAACTCGACCCTGGCCTCTGTTTCGTCCCAAGAATTTCCCAGACACAAATAATGAGGTCTAGAGTGTATCTGGGAGGCAGCGAGAGGAGTACGGAGAGGACTTACGTCTTGAGGATGCGACAAGTGTCGAGCTCGACGGGCGATGTGCTGATGATAACTTCGATGGGCGTCTCTATGTCTCGATTGAGATGCGCCCGGCCCTGAATTGGGCGTGAGCGCCTTATGATCAAACAAGCGCCCGTTTCCCCCTCCGTCGTCCCTCGTCAAATTACAACACTTGTCTCGCGAACGCCTCACAAGCCTCCCCGGGAGATCTTAATACTCCAACGGTGTGAACAATACCCACACTAGATCACCAACGTTGGTAGGCAACCTCCGAGTGACGTTGTATGGCAAATTCGTATTTGCACATGCCAACATGCTAAGGACTCTCCCTACCAGCGGGCTAGAGCTGGTCCCGTGCTGAATTAACTGCGGGCGCCGGGAGCCAACGATGGCCTGCTACACCTGCTCGATACGCCAGAGCTCCGATGTTCACCAGCAAGCTTCACGAATCATGAACGCTTAAACACACCCTCAAAACAATATTGATCATCCCGCTGCTCTCTGCTCCTACCCTCATATGCATGCACTTGTACCTGAGCATACCTCTGAGCCGGGTATGCATCCTCCCTCGGTTCGCCGTTTGCACTTTGCGCCGTGCGGTGATCAGTTGTCGTTGAGTTGTCGCGGGAAAGGACGAGAGATGGCGATCTGAGTAACTAGTCGGGCCGGTGCAGACGCCCGTGCCTACTCGTTGCTCCACCCAAGGGCCGTGTAGTCGCTCTTCCCTCCCACCATGACCTAGGCTGCCCCGCTCACTGCCAATGCAGTCCATCCATCGGCTTCCTATCCTACATCATGCATAGGCAACAGGACTCCGTCCATACCGCCTCCCAGGACTCGTCTCTCAACCCTGAGGCTGGGCAGCACACACGAGTAACAGTCCACGATCCTCATGCCCACCTCTGCACTCCCACAGACACGCAGCAGTTATGCCTCCCGTAAGTTTTAAATCGGAGTCTACGTCGTCGTCAGGCAAGGTACGTTCTCTACCGACTCCACCCCATCTATGCATTCGACCGTATTACCCAGCTCCCCCAACTTGCTTCTGGAGATAACACGACCCCTTCCTGTCAATCTACACTACAAACTCCAAGCTCTGTCCTCTCCTCTCCCAATGCCGTCGGTTCCGGCGCGCCAGAGTTGAAACACGTTACACTCGCCGCTGCCTTTTGCGACCGTCGTCAGTCGCCGTCCGCGACCCCTTCCCACTCACAATCATTAACGTCCGATGTCGATAACAAAACCGTTTCTACTTCATCGTCCGGCAGTTCCGAGAGTCTCCTTGTTCCCACTCGCGCCAGCATTCGCGCTTGGGCGAAAGCCACGCCTTCTGGGCCACCTCGGGACACCCCCTCCCCTTCCAAGTCCGGAGTTCTTCGAACCAAGTCGAGCTCCGATGACAATCTCGACCGTCAGAGCTTGACCGGGTCCTTTGGTCATGTCTCTGCTAGCAGCACAAGCGCGTCGCCTGGGTCAGGCTCTGAGACACAGACTCCCCGGACAACAGTTCCGGCAATGTGGCGGATATTGACAGCACAGGTTCAGGAAGCGACGAAAGCTTTCCTCGTCGCGCCGCGATCGAGATGGCGCGGCCTAGGTCCGCCCTCTATCGAAGTCCAAGCTCCCATGGCCCCGGCCCGGCCCCACCCCATGGACCAGACGACCACCCACCACGCCAGGCCCACGCCCGCACCAAGGTGCGAGGCCACACAGGTCCTCCCCGTCTTCCACGTCCGGGGGCTCGTCCCCCGCCTCGCCCTGGTCGTCTCGCATGCGCAGCAGCAGGACCGCCAGGAGCGTCTCGATCGGCGCGAGCACCGGTACCCCGTACATCACGGCTCTCGCCGCCGCCGCGACCGTGACCGCGAACGCGAACGCGAACGCGAACGTGAGCGGCGTCCGCGCACCTCGCCGCCAGCTCCGGTTGTGCTGTCGACCCCACCATCCCTTCCACCTCCACCTCCGCTCCGATGACGGCGACGACGACGGCGACGCGGTCTACGGCGGGCCTCACCAGGGTCCCCGAGCTTCGGCTCCCGGTGCCCCCGCGCCCCCTCCGGCCGCTGACCCTCATGTCGAGCGGCGTGGACGTGGTGGACGAGATGGGGCGGATGCTGTCGAACCAGCCGCGCCGGCCGCTCATTCTCGTGCGCGACAACGCACCGGGCCACACGGCGGAGCCCCGCCGCCGCGGGAACGACGTGCTCGACGACATCTACCACATGATTACCTCGGCGCCCCCGCGCAGTGGGGGTCTCCCGTCCCCCCACCGGCGGTGATCACTTGTCGAGACTCGCGAGAGGCTGGACCAACGGTTGCGCCCTACATATATGCACTCCTTACGACGACCCCTCGAGTGCGGACATTCAGCACTCGATGGTTCCACACAGGCCATGCGTCGGTCTCTGTCCGGTTCGCTTCTTAATACCATCGTGTGCCAGTGGCGCGCGTGGTTCTGCACTTCCCCTGTACTAGATATGCGCATATATGTATACTAGATACCATGCAATCAATCTGGTCTGTGTAGCGTATCCAAGAACGGACCTGTGGACGTCCTCTTGCTCTCTTGGAGCGGCCCACCTGCGTCTCCGCTCTGGTTGTCTGGGGTCCCCGTCCCGTTCCCAGTGTCCCCGCCCGTGCTTCACCTTTGCACTATGTTCTGATCCTTGAAGCTTGACCACCGGCGATACGTGACCGTAGCGAATGACTGTATGCGCGACGAGGGTGGTCGACGCCGGTATCGTGATAGAGTGAATTGTATGGACGGTGTCGCCAAAGTCCGGAAACACCGGGTCCCTGCCAGTTTCGTCCGGCTAGTCCTGGTCGATGACACAGCGGGCTCTGGGCATTCCGTTGGAGCGCCAATGTAGATGAGTTTCGTGTATGTTCCGAGGACAGGGTGTCGTGTGATTCGGAATGAAGCGATCACGGTGTTGAATATAGTAGGTCGCCAGGGTCGCCGTTGTCTTCGCCAGAGCGTTCTCTATCCTGTCGGGGCGATGCAGGTTGTGTGTTTGTCCCCTCGAAAACCTCAGATTGGGATCTCTTCGGCAACCGTGGCCAGTCAATAGTCACTGGTCCTGAGTGAGATTCGTCAGTACATGTTGATGGAACGCTCTCCAAGTTCGCACTCACTGCCGGAAGACAGACAGTCTATGCCGTTCGGCCGGGGGCCGTTCAGTTTCGGCATGCTCTTGCTGGTCCCTCGATGGAAGTCTGCAGCGACAGTGTCAGGGGGTAGCGGGTCGTGTTCTGGATGATACGTCATCTCTTCGCGCTGACTGCCCGCACCTGCAGTGCGCCCGGGATCTGCTAACAGAGAATAAGTATAGCTGCCGCAAGCAAGCACGTTCGGAACGACGAGCGGACGATGGGACCTACCTCGTCCGTTCGGCTCGAGATGATCCATCCAAAGGGTGAGGATCTCGGAGACGTCGTCGCGCGGGAGCTCCGGGGGGCTGCCCCCCTCTACGACTTGATACGCATCGGCAATGTCTTCATCCTGCAATCCGAATGTCGCCATCAGGGCTTCCTCGACTTCTATTCGATCGGAGGCATGTGCGCGTGGAGACAATGGAGAGCGGGGCGTAGTTTGGGGAGTGGAAGGGTCTTCTAGCAGCGAGTTCAACAGCTTGGACGCGCGAAAAACGGGAAGATACTGACCTGCCTCAGCGACAGCATGGACCCCAGCTTGACGGGCTTCCCGAGGCGAACCCGGACGCGGTGGCAGAGGGATGTTCGGCGGCGGCAGCGGCGCAGGGGACCGCTCGCGCTGCCTCACGCGCCTCTCCAAAGCCTCAGTAATCCCCCGCACCGAGTGCAGCGCAGTGACCAAAGCGACCTCGTCGTCCGCGTTCGGTCTCGCGCCCCCGCCGACGCCGCCGACCCGCGCCGACGCGGCGCCCACACCCCGCATGCAGCCCTCCTCGAACGTGCCCAGGGCGCCGCGGAACGCGCCGACGACGTGGTCGCTGACGAGGTCGCGGGTGCTCCGCGCCGCGTGCAGCTCGCGGACGAGCTCGGGGAGGCGCGAGAAGTCGAGCGCGCGGAGGACGGCGCGCTGGCGGGCGACGCGCGAGCGCCACGGGGGCGCGAGGAGGAAGGAGCCGAAGCGGGACAGGAGGGCGCGGACGCGGGCGCGGACGGGCGCGGCGTGGATGCTGCGCGCGAGGCGCGCGCGGTGCAGGAGCAGGTACCTGACCGTCTCGGCCAGCGCGGTGAAGTAGCATGCGATGGCGTCGGCGTCGTCGAGGTCGAGGAGGGCCTCGATGTCTTCTTCGTCGGAGGGGAATGTGGCCTCGACTGGGAGGGAGTCAGCGCCTCTGACACGAACGACAAAACGAGCTGTGGCTGACCGTCCTCGAGGACGTCGACTTCGAAGACGAGCTGCTTGTCCGATCCGATCTGGCTGGACTCCAAGTACGTGACGAGCCGCTGGAACGCCTCGCGCGCTGCGAGTCGTCGCCCCACCAGCTGCGCCAGCGCGCGGAGGTACAGCATGCTGAGCTTCGACTGCACTGACGCGCGGGGGAACGCGGGCATTGTCCGCAGCACGCGCCGCACCGTGCCCTTCCCCGGCTCGCTCGTCATCATCGAGAGCACGACAAGCACGAACGGGAGCACGGGCCGCCACGAACTCCACTCGCCGCTCGGGAGCTTCTCCGTGAGCTCACGCACGAGCGCACCGTAGCGCGCGCTCATCGTGTCCGAGAGCGCGGGACTCATGTCCATCAGACACGGTAGCAGCGTAGTGTTGAGCAGCGCCGGGTTCGCGGTGACGTAGTAGGATGTGAGGGCGAGGGCTTGCTCCAACTCGACCTGCTGCGAAGCCGCGGCGGGACGCTCTCGAGCTTGCCAGGTGCGGAAGCGTCCGGCGGGGCCGAGCCAGGCGAGAACTGATGTTGCTGCGTTCTGGGCGGAGGCGAGGAGGGTGTAGTGGAGCGAAGACCAGGAAGCGGTCTCTGCAAACATGGCGGCGTTACGGGTCCACTGCTCTACGGCTTGGGCGAGCTTCCATGCAAGATGGGCGACAGTCTGAGTGAAGATGAAGAGCGACAGCGCCTGTGGTGACTGGAAGCAACAGTCCGTGTAGATGATCGGAAGGAGGGTCGTCGCGACGGTGAAAGACAATAAGATGGAGACGAGGACAGTGGCCACGATGGCGACAGAACGGTGGAGATTCCAGAGGAGAATGAGCAGGCCCCCCAGAAATAGAGCCAACGCAGTTTGAAGGAGGATGGGAAGGACGGCGATGATGCTAGACACGTGCCATCTCAACATACTCTCGTGGCGATACTGGCGGAGAAGTGAAGCCTCTTGCGTCGTGCCAGAGAGACTCTGGCCGTACTGGTGAAGCCACTGTTTGACTAGGACAGCGATGGAGGATGCTGAGAGCGTACAGATGAGGGAGGAGAACCATAGACCGTTGACCCAAATGGCGTATAACGGGGCCTTGAATCCGGTATCGCCGTCTGTCGCACGGAATAGAGTGCGTACGGTGGAGTTCACAAACGACGTGGAGACGGTGTAGCTGTCAAGTTGGCTCGACATCTGAGCGAGGGCGAAGATGATCGTGTCTGTGTCTGCTGGTTGCAGGAGGGGATATGACTGCACGATGAATGCGGTAAGAGCGGTCGAGAATAGACCCGCCTGTGAGAATCAATCAACACACTAACAGTAACCGGGATGTGGGGAGACGCACAAACACCAGGAGCATATCTAGCTCGGCATTCCAACGTTTGATCTTCTCCTCATAATGCCGTTCCAGTGTAGTTGTGCAGAGCTGCCAAGCGTGTTCGCGCTGTTGGGATGTCGAGATCCACGACACCACCGGCGGTTTGGGTCCTGGCTGGACGAAATCCAATTGAGATAATCAGAACACGGTATGAGAAGCTGAACCCACAATGCTAGTGTTCTCTAAGGGGACCATCTCGTCTGTTGGGTGGTGGGTGGAGGGACGGAGCCCTCATGCTCGAAAGCAAGTCGCCGGTAAGTAAAGGCGGTGCAGTGGCCGTGAGGACCATCACAGAATCCGACAAGTACAGCACTGCTTGAGCGCTCTCTCTATTCCCGTTATGATCTTACGTGATTGCCTCACAACACATGGGAAGTTTGAACAATGAACGATTGAACGATTGAACTTTGCCTACCGCCCGAGTGACGTTGCGTGCCACTTGCGAGCTGGTGTTGAGGAAAACGAAAACTTGCGTGAACCATGTTGCGGATCCGTGACGACGGGAACGAGCCGGGGCTTGACCCAGCTGGTCAGAGACGCTTGAAGTCAGTCGCTCGCGTAGAGCCAATCACATCTGCAGCGTTGATAAGTAGTGCATTGCAGCGCACAAAGGACATGTCGACTACTGACCGGCTCCTCCAACAACCTCGAAGGCAAGTGGCAAGTTTCTTGCACGGCGCGCCCGTATATCCGTACGTACACGCGCCCAAGAACATGTCCTGTGCTGCCACTCACGGCGTCCTGCCATGGAAAGGCCAGAGAACCAGGGGCCCCAATTCACCACTGGTAGAGGGTCCTATTTTGTACGCAAGATGGCCGAAATTGGCTTGCTCAGGAGCTGCGCGTAACGCGCTGACAAGGAGATGAGGGGGAGGACGCAAGGCGCGAATCCCGACTAGCGCCCGCCGTGCGTCGTTGGCCGCGATAAGATTGGCGCTGTAAACTGAGACTAGCAAGAGTTCAACCTCCAAACTTGTTCCTCCGCACCCCCCACATTTCCCCACTTTGAACACTCTCCCTAGCGGCCATACCATCCCGATGACACGTCTCAACGCACACAAAACCTGCAGGGCCGTCAACGCACCGAGGGCTCGGAGTACTAGCAACATCTAAGACAGGTACCGGTGGGACTCATCCGGGGAGGTGTCATGGACCGTCGAGCACTGGATGTGTATTCCGGCTCAGTCATGGAGTTGGAAAGCCAGGATGTCGGGATTTGATTACGGCGAAGAGCATGCAGTCTGTCCGCGGCTCGCAGAGGTCGCTGGTGGGGACATGTAGGGTTCTCGTCGTTGCCAAGTACCCCTCCCCACACAAATATGAACTACCGTCTCTCATGGGTTCATCACTGTCGATTGTAGTCAAGGCCAGCGGTTGAAAGCCTTGCATTCCCAGAAGGGCAAACGACTCCTATACCGCCGTTTGACAAGGGGGCTCGTATGTTACCATATTTTGGCTATATCGCCATTTCAGAGATTGATCCTCGTTGCAGCGTTTTTTTTTTCAGAAACGACTTCCAATGTGCTTCGGCATTCAGGGTGTACGGGGCCATCCCATCTGAGTCAGGGGTGCCCGTGCGTGCTGTGACCACCGAGAAGCAGAACACCCAGTCCGGTAAGACAGTTTTTCGTTGCGATCAGACGTTCGAATGTTGGGCGGCGACCAATGACCATTTTAAGCTCAACCGTGTTTCCTTCTCGAGTTTCTGACCATCCTTCGCAGTCCAATCCGCACACTGGGATCACAATGGAATGATGAACCCATCCCATCCGCGGGCTCGGTGGATACCACCAACCAGTTCTACGTCTAGAACGATTACACCGCCTTGTGTACCAACATGGGTATCGATGCGAAAGTGAATGGAGCGAGGGCGCCCATCTACGTGTCGGAATTCCCGGTCGTGAGCGGAAAACAAGCCTGCTCCCTGTCCGGAAGGTGCTCATCTGGTTCAACACACGGGTTCCTTCATGTTAGAGGCAGCGTCTTCCGCGATCGAGGTGGGTCCGACTCCTCAGCGCAACTGGATGGAATCTGCTGACCACTCATGTGGGCACGTCGTCACAGCTCGACTTCACTGGCATCCCAAAGCACACCCTGACTTACGCTGCCTCTGCGACACGCACGATCGATCCGCCCTCGCCCACGGTGCTCAAGCTGATGACCTCAACGACCACAAGAAGCTGTGCGCGCCTCCTCCCCCTGGTACGCCCCAGGTGAATCGAACACTGCCAGGAGCCATAGAAGTCGATGCGCGCGTCCTTGCGACACCTCGCAAGCCGCACAAGACTTGGGCGAGTGGAAACCGCAGTGTCCTGCTGACTTCGCCACATGGGACATCCACGCGCACAACAACGCGCACAAGACGCGATCTCGGCCGCGCAAGACATGTTTCTCGGTGCGCTGCACTGAGGCCTGAGACTTACTCGTTCGGGGGCCCGAAGTACGCGGAGCGGCGACCTCCGTCGTCGACTGCACGCACGGTGCGTCCCTTCTGTTCCGCCCGAGCGCACTTCCTGATCCCCGCGCCCGCGTGCCTCGGCCTCGCGTTGATGCCCCACAGTGCCCCTGGTGAACGACCTCCTGTCGAGGACCCAAGTCGACCGGGGTCGCCGTGATTTGCTTCTCGACGGCGACTGCTTTCGCCACGCGCGCGGACGCCCCGCAGCTCGGCGGCGGCGTGACCGTCGCGGTGACGCTGCGCCCCGCGGTCGCTGGTCCAGCAGGCACGCTCGTGCGGGACCGAACGAACGTCGAGGTGCGCGGACGGCGCGGACGGCGCGGGGTACGTCGGCGCGGTCGTTGGAATGCACGTCGGGTAGCGCGTGCTTCTTCTGGCGTTTGTGTGCGCAGATCAAGAGGAGGCGTGACAGCCGGCGCGTCGGCTATGTTGGCGGCGGAAGCAGTGGCGGCCCTGCAGTTGTGCGTGCCGCGGGAGGAAATAAGTAGGCTTATTTTTCCAGCGACAACGGCGGCCGACCCGCACGTTGGTCGCGCCGCCCACTGTTCTACCAGCGTGGGACGCGCGCAGCCCTTCTTCTCTCTCGTCGTATACGCTGTGGTTGGTAGTGTTAAATGAGAGACTGATGGCAGCGAAGGAAGTCGATTAGAAAGCAATCCCCGATTCCCGCAGTACCCGGCGTGAAGTTGGTTGAACATCAGGATGTGTGTTTCTGCATGTAAGCTGCGCGGATGAAGTTGGTGGTCGTCCGACTCGGACCAAGACCGGCCAGAGGAATATTTGCCGAAGCGCGCAGCCGATAAGCGTCTATCAGGAAAGGCAAATGACGGCAGACGGTTCTCGCCTCCGCCTTGGCGCATCAATCCCGTTTCCTCCTAGCTCCCCCCGCATCTGGTGCTCGAGCCCAGTTCCCAATCACGCCGGTCGTATGCTGATGTTGCGTCAGCCTTACTGGAGCTTGAAAGAACATCCAGAAGTCTCTCCATGCGCCACGCTGGAGAGTTCCGAAGTATGTGCGCAAAGGGTGGCTCTCGGACTGTACGCGTCTGACAACCGTTCGCCTAGTAGGAATACAACGCATGCACATACATCAGTGAAAGTGTTTCACAAAGTTGCATAGCGTCTCCCATCCAGCGGGTCTCGGCGGCGATGTCGGTAACAGGTGAGGCGAAGCGATGAATATTGAATGCTTCCGCGCTCCACTCCAGCTGGACGTTGACAGCTATCATGAACGCAGCACCAGCGCAGAATGCGTTCATGCGGCGAGGGAAGGGGCGAGGGAGAGAGACCTTGACCCCCACGATCTCGATCTGGACCCTTGCTCGACGGTACGGGCACTAGGTGATTCGAATCGCAATCTCCCGCCATACGCGAACACTGCGGCCGGCGCTGCCTTAATGCGCCTCCAGGCGAGATGCCGTCGACGGCCTTCAGTGCACCGTTACCGTGGCGCCCGCCCAAGTTTCGCCGCCTTATGTATTCCCCGCATCCGTCCACTGGTCCTCCTCCCCCCTCCCTTTCCCTCCTCCTCCTTCCCCCGCCTCCGCCACGCTCGACCAGTGTTCCAGCAGCCCCTCGCTGAACACCCGTAGCACCCCAATCCGTCCCCTCTATGGCCACCATCTCGTCCACCGACCTCAAGACCAGTCTCGGCGCACTATGCATCGGCAGTCTGGTCGCAGTCTTGTACGTCTTTCCCTCCATACTGTTGCGGGCTGTGAAAATGATGAGTATACACGCTCTCTTTTTAGCCTGACTGGTGTCGTCAGCATGCAAGCTATGCTGTACTTCCGACACTTCTCTCGGGACGCATTTCCGCAAAGCTCAAGGTGTGTAACCGCGATCGGCGGCGTAGTTCGCTCTCATCACGTATGCGCTCAGGTTGGGTCCGTGTGGTATGTCCCCAGAGTCTATTTGTATTCCGCAGCGCCCTTGGCTCATATGCGTGGCGTGATCAGTGTCCTTGACCTTGTCCACACGGTCATGATCGCCGTGGCGGCATACACGTATTTCGTCGACAATTTCGGGAACGAAAATATCACAGATCGTGCGTTTTGGTGAGTCGAATTTCGTGCATATATGCAGCGTTTCCTCACTGCGTCAAACAGGGCGGTCGGTGTGAGTCGTCACTGCGTTTCTCGCTGTTTTGCAACCCCGTTCAACGCTACCGCAAGATCTCCATTGCGCTGACCGCGGTGCTGACTGCCCAAGTCCACTTGTGAGGCCCTCTACATCACTCCTGCGGTACAATTTCTGACATCTAGTCTCAGCTTTTTCGTATACCGATTGTTCAGACGTCTGTTGCTCCCCCTCGCATTCTCGAAGTGGCAAGTATTCACGTGTCTTTGATCGTCACAGTGAGCAAAGGCAACTATTTCATCACGGTGCCAATAGTGAGTGAGATCTTTCGAGCAACAAGATTAACATTGCTGACATGCTATATAGGCAGTGCTCGCTACCGCACGTGTCGGTACGCATGCACCATCACTGTCTGAAGAAGCCCGTCGCTGATCGCTATGTGCCTCGCCTACGCAATGAAGGAGCTGCTTTCGGTAAGTGCGACGATCCGGGACTTCGGATGCCGGCATGAGCTCATTCCCATCGGCACGCATATAGTAACAACAGTGAAGCTGTACGTCTGCGGACACAACCTACGAGACGTCAGCTGGACTAACACTGTTCTGCAGGATCGAAATCGAAAGTTTCTCACAATTCGCGGGGACCTTTCGAGTGAGCACAACCCTACTGCCCTCTCCCGGCGTTCTAGCTCGCACTGCTCACACTATTGATAGTGGGTGTTCACCCTGGGACTCGTTCTCTCCTGCGCCGTCGACTTCCTGATCACCGGCTCGCTCTGTTTCTACCTGCGCCGCAACCGCACCGGGTCCGGCAGGTACGTCCGACTCCCCCGTTCATCTCGCTTACCTCGCCTCATCCACACCGCTGACGCCTCCCGCGGTTCATACTAAAGATTTGATCACGTCCTCGACTCCGTCACGCTCTACACGGTCGAGAATGGCTTGCTTACCTCGTGCGTTCCACATGTCGTTGCAAGCGCCGGCTTAGCGACCTGATCTCGGTTTATTTCGTGTCTTGTAGACTCACGACGCTCGTCTCGCTCATCTTTGTACGTACGCTCTCTATCTAGGCGAGATGGGTTGGCTAACGCTACGTCAACCCTGTCCGCCCTACCGCCTTCTATGGCCCGTTCAAACTCTACGCTCGCGCGCACCTAGTGGCTGGCACGGCCGCATGTGCTCATCTATCTCGGTCTGCACTTCGCAATCAGCAAGCGTGCGTCCACCTCGTGCCTCTATCCTAAGATCCGGCCTGACGACGGTCCCATACCGCTTCTCCCCCGCAGTCTACGCCAACTCGTTCCTCGCCTCGTGAGTGCCTTCGCCCGCGCCGCCCCGTCGGGTGCGCTTCCCGTCTCTCGTACGCGCGTCACTGACGTCCGGCCGCGCAGGATGAACGCGCGCAAAACGCTGCTCGCGCAGTCGCAGTCAACCTCGGGCAGCAACCACGTGCTGCCGGTGATCTTCACGGGCCGCACGCAGCGCCTACAGGCAAGCAGCCCGTTCCAGGCGACGGTGAGCAGCTTTCTCCTGTTCCGTTGTCGCTGTCGCGCGCCTTTGTCTGGAAGATGCGACAGGGTTTGCGCGTTGCGTTGCCCCTCTGCGCCACGCCTCGCGGCTGGACCGGGCCTGAGAGCCTAAACGCGCCCACGCGACGCGGACGCTGATCCCGACATTCTCCTGTAGGTGCAGATCACTGTGGACAAAACAGTCGACTACGACGGTGCAGGCGACTACGATGTTGTAGGCGACCACGGCACGCGGAGCGCGATCGAGGAAACAAAACGACCGCGCGCGAACTCGGCGGAGTCCGTATGACGGTCCCCGGAAAAGATCAGATTGGCCGTGGGTGCCTGAGGATGACATGCTCGCGCGTGGGTGACCCCCCGCGCCCAGCTCTGCTTTGTAACGACTGGACTGGACTGGACTGCTCACTCGTCTGCCGCTCCCCCTTCCCCCCTTCCCTCCTCGCTCTTTAGCTTCCGCTCTTTGGTCCCCTCCGCGCTTCACGTTCGCTCTCGCTCGGCCCTCTGTATTAGTATTAATCGCCACCCTTTGTATATCCGCCCGCTTACGTTTAGACCCCGCGACTAGTCTTGTAGTTCTAGTCAGCCCACCCACACGAACGTCGAGCTGGTCTAGGGCCCAGTGGTTCTCGAATCTCGACGGTGCGAGACGGGCGAGACGAGGACGTCCCGGTCGCGGGGCGCCCATTGGCCTCTGCCTTCGCCGTCCCGCGCGCCGAACCCTAGTCCAGGTTGTGCGTTCCGCGGCGCGCGTCCCGACCAAAGTCACCTCGATCCCGATCGTGGTCCACCCTTCGGACCCTAGAACGGACGGGGACGCGTTCTCGACGGCCGTCCGCGCAGTCCTCGGAAACCGCCTCGGACTCGTTCCGAGCCGTGCGCCCGTTCATCATACTCAACGTTCAACGTAACGTTCAAACATTCACCATTCACCGCCGGCGGCTACCATCCGGAACGACCTCGGTCCAACAACGGCACCTCTCGACCTCCAGCTGCCACAACGGACAGATGCCTGCGCGCACCGAGACACAAAGACACTGCTCGTATCCCGGGCATCCCGACCGTCCCCGCGCGGTCGTCGTCCACCACGCGCGCATTCTCGCCCCCGAGCATGGTCCCTGCGCACCATACAGAAGACGACAGGCACCTACGTCCGCCCGGGCGGGATCTTGAGCGACGCGACCCGGCCGCGAGCCCGGATGGAGAAGTGCGGAGATCGCGAACCAGAGGGCGGGGCAAAGTCAATTTAGAGGCGGCGCCCGATCGCACGTGGGCGCGGGATGGCGCGTCGGGCGGGAGCGGACTGCCTTACATAAGCTGGCTTGCCTCCAGACGTGCCGCCGGGAGACGGCTGCCGGGGCGCCGCTCGCGCCCGAGCTCGGCGGGGTGCCGTGCGCACGTCGAGTGCTGTCGACTGGTCCCAGTAAATGCTTGAGTGCGCGGCCACGCGCACCGGCGGAGGATGGGCCGAGGGCCGTCGAGGTCGAGGCTGCAGGCGACTCGGACAAAGCACTTGCAATTGAGAGTCAAGTGCCCGCGGGGACGGGCGGTGCCGCGCCGCCGAGTCCGTCCCGAGTGCGCCTCGGTCGATGTGGCGAGGGGATCGGGATCGCCGCCGCGCGCGCGAGACAAAGGGAGGTTAATGCAGCTCGCCCTCTGCAGGCGCCGTCTGGTGCGCACCGACAGGGACCTGCATCCCCCCCCCCCCCCCCCCCCCGCGCGCGCACAGGGACACGGAGCGGGCTGGCGGACAGGCCCGAGCGTTCGCGTTCGCGTTGCGTGCGCAGTGGACGCCGGATCGGGCACGAGGACGGAGGGAGGCAGCCTCGCGCGGGCGAAGGGAGAGAGCGAGACGCGCGCGGCCGCGGTGCCTCCAGTCCGCGCGGGCTCGCCGAATGCACCGCAGGGGCGCCATGGGCAGGAGTACATAGGACCGCATGTGGGGGGATGGGCCCCCCGTCTCCCGTCCAGCTGCTTTCCTCTCCAGGCTTCCGGGACATTCGAGCCACACCCTTGCACTCTCCCGCCGGCTCATAGCCACACCTCTTCCCCGCCTCAGCCCACGCCCAGCCGCACTAGTTAGTACGCCATGTTCTACGACGAGCCGGCCGCCTTCGCCCCGCGCCGCTACCACCACCCCTACGCGCCCGCAGCCTACCCCGCTTCCGCATCCGGCAGCAGCAGCGGCTCGCGCACCCCGCCCTCGCCCTCGCCGCGCCCCCCGTCCCACCACCGCGCGCACACGTACCCGGCGGTGGTGTCCGCGCAGGACGGGATCCGCCGCGCGCGCACGCTCGGCCCAGTCTTCCTCAAGCCCGACCCCGACTTCGGCGAGCGGCGGCGCGCCCCGACGTCGCACGTCCGCCTCTCCGCGCGCTCGCCCCGCGCCCCGACCCCGCCCGTGTCGCCCGCGGACGCCGACTTCGCGATGCACCTCGACCCGTCCCTCCCCCTCGCCTCGCCTCCACCCCCACCCGCACCGGTCTACGGGCGCGCGCTCGACGCGCACATCGCGGAGATGGCGGCCGCGAACGAGGAGACGGTGCGCTGGGTGCGCGCGCAGCAGGCCGCGCGCGAGGCCGCGCGCCCGCCGTTCGCCGCCCCGCACCCGCACCCGCACCCGCACGCCCCCGGCCGGGTGCCCTACGTCCCTCCCCCTCCTCCCTCGTCTCGCCGGCACCAGCACCAGCACCAGCACCACCCGCACCACTTCGCGCTCCCGCGGCCGTCGGTGCACACGCACGCGGCGATGTTGCGCCTCTTCGCGGTGCACGCGCACGCCGCCGAGGCGCACGCGTCGTCGCTCCCGGGGTCCCCGACCGTCGAGCGCATGGACTCCGACCCCGACTCCTCCGACTCCCGACGAAGAAGACGACGACGAAAACGACGAAAGCCGCCGGCTCGACGAGGAGACGCGCCGGGCCCGCGCGCAGCGCGAGCGTCGGCGGCGGCTCGACGAGGAGGCCGCGCGCGAGCGCGAGGAGGCCGCGGTCGCGGCGCGCGAGGCGCAGGAGACGCGCGCGGCGGTGACGCGGTACGAGGCGCGCTGGGCCGTGCTCCAGGCGGGCGTGAGCGCGGGCGAGGCCGCGCGGGGCGGGCTCGGGTTCGCGGACGTGCCGTGGCCGGTGGTCGGGCGGCCGGCGGCCCCTGGCGAGATCGAGACGGCGGGGATCGAGGCGTTCGTGCTCGCGGGGGGCCTCCCGGGCGACCGGGCGCGGGACAGGGTGAAGGGCGCGATGATGCGCTGGCACCCGGATCGCTTCGGGCGGCTGTGGGGGCGGGTGCGGGAGGAGGAGCGGGCGGAGATCGAGGAGGGGGTCGGGCTGGTGGCGAGGTGCTTGAGCGAGCTGATGGAGAAATACGCCCAGTGAGGGCGGTCGGGCCGCGCCTTCTCCCTATGTTTTATGCTGTAAATATGGCCTCCATGGTAGAATGTACGATAGACGAAGGCACACACTCTCGAGTAATGCACATGCAGATCTGATACAAGAACTTCTTGAACTTTGAACGATGACATGACTTACAGAAACGTGCACGCTGAAAGGCCCTCTTGAATGGTGAGTTGGATGAGAGACGACCTTAGTCTGGGTCGCGGCGACCTAATTACCGGCGGGACAGACCAAGTTTACGCCGGTCCGAACCAAGTATTTGTCGTAAGCGCGTCAGTCTTGGAGCAGGCGTGGGCGCCCTCCTACCAGATCGACGCGAAAGCGAGTCGCATGGAGCGATACGGGGAGCCGTCGGGGTAGTATGCCTGTAGGCGCACTGCGTGCGCGCGTCGATGTTAGCACGCGAGCAAGCAGAATCGGGACGAAGGCGAACGCACGTACCCTTGGCGAGCGAACTCCCGAGCGTCGCGGAAGACCGGTGCGGCGGAGATATTCGCTTGGCCGGGAGCCTTCGTCTGCTCGAACTGTGTGCGCACAGAAGGTCAGTATGTGTCTGGCGAGCCGCACGGGTCCTTAGAGTACTCGTACGTGCCCGTCCGGAGGGCTTTTGCGCGTGGTGTCAGCGTCTCTGCTGGGTGCGAGAAAAGCGGGAAGAGTCGAACAACATCACTACCTGGGGTGTGTTGAACATTATTGGGGGGTAGTGGGTGTGGTGAAGACGCTTTATCAGAGTTCATACACGTGTTCATATTCAATTTCACTCGAAGAGGCGCCAGCGGAGAAACGAATGCAGTGTGATATAATACGTGATAACTTAACATGGGACGGTCATTACTCATGACTGGCAACACAATATAGTCCAGTTGGGGTCAGGCAGCCGATTACGCGGTACTGCGATACGCTGGTAACAGAGTGACGTCAAGATTTGCGCGGTGCATGGAGACGAGAGAAATACATACCACAGGGTGTTCGACGGGCCACTGGGATCGCTGTAAATGAATTGCGCGGGAAGTGGTAGGGGCTGCTCTCCTCGGAAGTGCGTTCCGGAAAACTATAAGGCAAGAGACGTACCAATATGAACAGCGCCCCCCCGTCATTCGCCTTGTTCATCCATCGTCGACGTCGGGGCGCTCTCCCAACAGGTTGCAGGGGGTTGTGATTGCGCGTGCGAGAATCGTAAATGTTCATGATGAAGCTGGGGGCTGATGTGGTAGAGTGAAATCAGGAGAGACGACGCGATCCGAGTGGAGGAGAACGTACGATATCCTAACCGCCTCGGGACTGGATAATGAACATATCGAACACCCTTAAACCCGTCCATTTCACGGAGGGAAGGCGGGAACCAGTAATCGGCACAGGCTGCGGACGCTTTGTCTAGCGACAAGTCTGGTTCCTTAAGGCCTGGTCTGACGAAGGCAACACGGCAGGCAAGAATGTAGCCCTCTAGATCCTCGTCTAGAAGGCGACTGTTCTTGCGAAACATCGGGATGAGTCCAGTAGGGTTGTGTGTATTGTAGGCGTAGAAGTGGTCCCAAGCGGCGTCGACGGGCGAGTCGTGGTTGTTGACGAGACCTTCCGACAAACCGTATCCCTTGATGCATAGATGACCGATTTGTTCTGGGGAGAGGAGGAACCAGAGCGACATTCGCAGAGAAATATGGAGGTTACTGCGGGGGTCAATCTTGAGTAAGATGGGCGCTCTGTTTTCGCCGTTTCGACTTCGGCAGCCCGCCCAAGCCTTTGGCGCCAAGGCGGAGTTTCAGTCGGAGCTATATCAATAGAATGCTCGTGACCGACACCGCCATTCATGGATGCCGCAAAATCTAAACACGGCACTGCGCATGCCCAGTTCCAACCACTTGTGCAGGCGGCTATACTAGCTGCACATTGTTCTCTGTGCCTATATATCATGTGGACGATCCGCGCTTATTGGTTTCCTCAGTTTCCCGGATCACTGCACCTCTTGGTCCTACCCCCGCCACCTCTCAGATCGTTCACCCCGACCGCGGCATCACTAACAGCACTAACAGAATAATGCCAGCTACGTTGCGTCTGAGGGGAAACGGCAAGGCCGTTATTGCACCGCGTACTACGTGCGTTACTCCTCTTCCTAACCCTTAAGTCCTCTCCGGCTCATGGATATGGGGTTCCTTCAGACCCCCCATTGGGCTGGACCCAGTACCCACTCCCGCAGCAGAGCCTACGCCTCCTCCGGATATGTCCACTCCTTTGCCTCTTTCCTCTGCGTTGTCAGTGCCTATCCTTTCACCTTCGAGCGTAGACCAAAGCCTGCTCGCCAATGCTCCAGGTCCAAGCAACCTCCTTGTGTCCATCCCCGACTCGGCATCGATCGCTCGGCGCAGAATCAATGGAAAATTCTCAGAGCTCAAAGAAGTTATTCTCTCTTGGCTTTCTCGTAAGCGCGCCGTAAGTTGCTCCACGTTGGGTAGCCCATGAATTCGTTGTGCTGACCACGGACTACGGTCGCACCGCTGCCAGCCATCACCTGACCACCCACAGCCATCCAAATCAATGTATGTTTTTAATTGATACATATTAAATCTATACTGAGATCTCCTTTTCGTTTGTGTCAGGACGACTCGCAATCAAGCCATGGTCACGAAGGGCATGCGGCAGCTCGGCTCGTTGAAGGACGAGATGGTGCGTTCACCATATTACACCTCCTGTGCGTATATACTGATACATACCTGGTAGATCCCGGGTCTGGTGAGTGCTGCCGTTCGCGAAGCCCGCCAAGAGGCTATCGATGCTTTGGTAGAGGCACGGCTCGAGGCGAGGGTCCAAGAATGTCTCGCAGCCATGGACGAGGCCCACATCGAGGCCATAGTACGGGCGCGCCTCGCAGAACGAGACGAGTATCAAGTCCAGGAACGAGTTAACAAACGCCTCGATGAGATTTTCGGAGGGCAGGTTCCAGAGCACGTTGTCAGAGACCATGCTCCGGAGCCCATCGAGTCTGTTGCACCCTCACCCACTCGTTCTGCAGAAACTCCCTCCGCTACGTCGACACTACATCCACAGGAATCTACCTCGGGCATGCGGGAATCATTATCGACTTCTGATGCGGAGGCCGGCCCTTCCGGTTCTGCGGGCTCGTCAGCCAAGACTCGCGCGGCCGATCCTACTCCAGCCAACCCTGAGAAGGTAGCGAATGCGCTCGATTCAGAACGCGCGACTCCGCTCCAGGACACGATACGGGTCCTGATCATCAATCTTCTACTAGACATGGTATGTTTACCCCTCACAGTGCCAGTCACTGAAAGCGTCTTCATTCTAACGAAACATATCTTTCCTCGCGCCCGCGTAGTCACAAGGGTAAGTTCCGTTTGAGCCAGGCGAAGGCTAATGCTGATAGCTAATTCCCTGGCGATCTACCACAGGAAGCCAATGGACGCCCAGAAGTTTGCAGACGCCAACCACGCTCTGAACGAGCTGCTGAATGTCAATGGAGCTCCATCATTTCAGATCCCAAGTATTTCTTGGCCTTCAAGAGGGAGCTCAACGTGTACGGCCTTGGATTTCGCATCGCGCCAGAGAAACGTGGGGGAGAGGGTGTTGAAGCGATGATCTGGCGTCGCGAAGTAGATGAGAACGATGTCCTTCAGCCCGTCGAGCTCTTCGATGAAGGCGATGTTGGTGACCTGACCAAGCACGATGGTTAGCATCCGCTTGACAGCGACTTCATCCTTCAGCACTTCGTGAACCTCAGCAAGCAGTACTGGAAGAGCGCAGCGCGGGCTTAAATGGCTATCCATGGTGCGTGCCTCTCGCGCGCTCAGCGCGTCTCCAGTTCGAGCTGATCGTGTTCACCAGGATTTTGTTCAACGCGCTCTGCGATCTCGCTCGCGTCGACCTCGTGGTCGAGTTCATTCACAACCACTACCACTCGTTTGCACAACTCAATATTCATACTGGTTCATCTCACTCATGACTTAAGAACTTTATTCACGACTCCCTCTCGTTTGTTTTACTCCCTGTCGCTCCTTGCTCAACATGTATCGCTCGCTTCTAGTATCATGTCCACGCTCATTACATCGACACCTGTATTATGGCGCTGTATCCATATATCATTCGTAATCGTCGACGAAACTTTCGTGACCTCGAGATCTAACTGCTACGCAGAAACAGCTTACACTCAGTGCTTCCCTGCAATGCCTCAGCGTTATATCAGTTGATTCGCGACACTTGCATCATGCTCGGAGCAATAGATATCGAAGAAGACACAGCATAGGGTACGTTAATACAGGCCGTACAGAAACAGTATACTCAGCGCTTCCCTGCGATACCAATCCGCTGCCCCCGGTTCTTTTTGCTCGCAGCCTGCGAGAGCGACATGTACGCGTACGGGTCCACCCCGCCCTTTTTGACATCCCCTCCCGCTTTCTGCACAGAGAAGCGTCGGTATGTGAGAAAGACGGCATGGGCCAAGATACTGGGGCGGACTAACCTTCGCCTTGAACTCGTGTCCGAACTTCGGCTCCTGTTTCTGTCGTGCAGAAGGCTTCTTGCCTGCCGTCTTGCCCGCCTGCGCGTCCGCGTCCGCCATTTCGACGTCCGCCTCCGCGTCGTCGGCCTCGCGCCGCCGCTTCTTCGTGTCCTTGTTAAACTTGACCTTGCCCGTCACGCCCCGCCGGAAGCCGTCGACGGACGTGAGGCCCTCGCGGTACGCATCGCCCTCGACCCGCATCTTCGCATCCTCCGCGTCCGCCGTCGCCGCGGCGCCTTCGTCGTCGGAGCCGTCGATGACCATCTTGCCGGTGTCGTCGTCGGTCTTGAACCGCGCGGCGTCTTGGCCGGGCTTTTTGCGCTTGTGGCTCGCGGCTGTGGGCGGTCAGCAAGGTGTACACGGCGCGCAGAAAGGACGGGACGCGCACTGGTGACATGGGTCGCCGCGCCGGAGAGCAGATCCATGGGCTCGTCGTCGTCCACGCGGAGTCGCGCGCCCGCCTTGTCGTCTCTCCGCTTGGGCTTCCCTGCGCCCGGCGCCGGCGCGCCTTCGTCGTCGCTTTCGTCGATCTCGCTCTCGCTGCCATACAGGACGTCCTCGAACGCGTCGCCGGCCGCGGGCTTGGCACGCGGCACCTATGCGCACGTAGTTAGTATTCCATGGCGCCACATGATAGGAGGGTGGATGGAAGCCGCACCTCGTCGTCATCGTCGGCGCCTTGGGCGCGCTTCTTCTTCGCTCTGTCTTTCCGCTTCTTGATGTTGAGAAGGACCTTCCGCGCCTCCTCTTCCTGGGCGAACGAGTACACGTCTTCCCACCCGAAGCGTCTGATCATGCGCTCGAAGATGTGGCGGACCTTCGCCTTGAAGTGGTTCTTGTGGTCGTGGGACCACCGGAGAAGGGCCGGTACGAGATCTTTGAGGTACGGGCGCAAAAGATTGGGGGATATCGTGTGGATTGCGAGCTTGACAAAGCCGAGGACGGACTTCACAATCTCGCGGTTGGCGGACGTGAGGAAGACCAGCAGGGTGCTGAATATCTCCGACGTCATGTTGGCGGAGATGGAATCTACACAACGTCGTTTACCATCGCAGTGGGATAAATCAAATGAGATCCACGTACCCTTGAACTCGAACACGAGACGGGACAGTGCGGTCACCGTGGCACTGATCATGTGCGGTGAAGCACCGGCCAATCCACCCGCAACCATTGTGAGGTACTCCTCGACGTTGGCAGTCGCTACGCAAACTCATATCAGATAGTGGCATGACAGGAGCGCGTCGAACATACCATCGTCCGCGCCGTCTTCGTCCATGTCTTCGAGCATCTGTCGTTTGACAGTTCCTCCGGCCTGCATCTTCTTGCCCATCGCCACAACGAGATCGAAAGCGGCGTTGCGCGCCTTTTCGGACGGCTCCTTGGTGCCTAGCACGGCCTCGGGGATGACGGTCGGAATGAGATGCAGCGACTCGGTGGGGATAACGCGGACAAGCGCGGTGAACAGGAGCATGCGGTCCTTCTTCGCTGCGGCAGCGAGACCGTCCACTAGTCCTTCGAGCTTCTGGAACACGGCGGCGGCGTCGGCGGCGACTTTCTCGCTCTCGACGAGGCGGGCGAGGATCTTGTAACCTCTCTTCTGCACACCGTTTCCTTGCTCTCTAGGACTTCGGAGGAGAGACACATGTCGAACAATGCCGTCGCGTCTTCAGACGAGAGGTAAGGGATGACAAGGAGCAGCAAGTCTTGGGTGACGACGACCATGCTGTCTGACGCAGGGCCCTTCCCAGACGCACTTGTCTGTGCTTTGGCAAGGTTCTGTTTGAACAGCGCAACAAGCTTTTGGTACGCTTGGGTGACTGCCTGATGAATATATTAGATAGGTTGCAGTAAGCATGCGGTACATAACTTACTTTGGCATCCGCAATCGAAATCCATGCGCCAACTACATCGCCAACCATGCGCTGGTTATCCCGCCCAACGCTGCCGAACACGTTGAAGAGGACAGCGAGCCAGCTGTCGCACTGGGCACGAAGGAACGCCACGTTCTCTTGCGCTTGCTCAGTCGAGATATGATCCGCTCGGACAGACTGAGGAAGCCTGGCGATCTTATCCGGGTCCTCGCTGGCGAGTGCGACGTTAGACTCGACCAGTATCTTGAGAGCGCGGAGAACCGCAGGGCGCAGCTCGGGTTGTCCATATAGCAGCTGAGACAGCAATTGAGCAAATTGCGCATTCAACGACTAGTAGAAACGTATCAGCCAGCTCATTTCTGTCAAATATTTGAGTCACTATACCTTCTCGAGATCTGCAGGAGCCCAGCAGTACCCCGGGAGACCAACCCATATTTGTTCGACGAGCACACTCCAAACCTTTGCCTCCGATTGACGTCCTTCAGCGTCCGCCGTGGTTTGGAGATCGAACATTCGTTCCGTTAAAGGCACAAAATAAGACAGGAAGTGGCCGAGGGGGGAGGGATGAGGCTGGGCAAGCAAAGGAAGCAAGAAAGCCCGAGGTTCGCGACCGGCTTGCCTGAAAAGATTATTAGATGAAAGTAGATTACGGACTCGGTGGGAAACTGACCTATCTGCTGCTTCCAGGTTCAGGGGAAGCAGTCGCAAAAGCACTTCAGGCCCAAGCACACGCATCGCTGCGCTGAGGAACGCGTCCGCCGCTTCCTTATGTTCAAAGGTTTTCTGAACTCGCAATTCGGACGCCTTCTCGATGAGTGGGACTAGGAGCTGCTCTGCTGCCGTAGCGTGGTCCTTAGACCCACCACGGTAGCGTAGGTTCTCCATAAGTGCAGTTGAGACCGCGAATATCCCTGGGATAGCGGAGGCGTAAGGAAGCGAATCGAGAGCTTTGGCCGTCTGCGCAACGATCTTGCCAATGGCAGACTTCGGTTCCGAAGAGTCCCTCTCTTTGACAGCGGCGGTAATGAGAGATGGAGTGAAGCAGCGACTGAGAGTGGAGAGGGCGTCGGCAGCTGCCTTGCGCGTCGACGTATCCGAAGAGTCTAGCAGGTTCCAGAGCGCTTTCCAGACCTTGTGTACCTCTGGAGAGCATTCTTCTGGGTTGGCATGGTAGTAAGCGAGCATGGTGCTTCCAAGCACTCCAGCCCATGCCGAGGTAAGGGCGGAGTCGCTTCGAAGGGGCGGGGAAGAGAGGATGACTTTGAGTAAGTCGGACATATGGGACTGCAAATCCACAGTCGGGTCCTCCGTCGAAAGCGCAAGAAGGTCGGAAAGGATGGAATATGCTGACTGGGACAAATAAGGGTTCCCGAGACGGGGAAGGAGGAGCATAGAGGACGTGATGGCCGAGAAGGACTACGAGCAGTCAAAACCAGCATTCCGAGATGACCAAATGCGACTCACCTCGGCGGGAAGAGTAGGGAGGACGGGGCGTAGGAATGCGAGCAAATAGATAGCCGCTTCTGATCCCTCGTTCTCAGCCTTCTTGCCCTTGAACTTGGGCAGCCCACCCGCACCGAGCTCCGCGAGTGCTGCCTGGACCCATTCTGCAACCCTGGACGCGTAAGGGTGTTTCGAAAGCGGAAGTGGAGGCGAGGAAAGAACATCCTTGACAATCTCAGCTGCTTTCTTCCGGACCTTGGGACGTGGGTCGAGACAGAGTTGCACGATGGTCATGAAAGCCTGGCGGAGACCCTGAGTCTCAAGGTGAGAGCGATCGAGAGCAAGGAAGATGGCGCCATAGAGAGTGAGTTGAGAGCGGAGGGGTGGCGCATGGGCAGATAATGAGGGAAACAGAGGGGATGTCAAGGAGACGATGGTGGTGAGGTGCGAGAGGATGACCGGTTGGGGAACGTATTGCGCGACGGCAGCGAGTAGATAGAGGACCGAAGGGAGGATATCGCCTTCACCAGAGCAGGACCAGACGCCCGGGAAGACTGGAGGGCCCCGTCGAGGGTGGTGATGAGAGCGGCGAAGTATGCGGTCGCGGACGGACTTGTATTCTGCTCGCGGAAAGTGGCCTCGATGGCTCGGAGGAGAGTTGCGGGGGCCTTTTGATGTGCAAGAGAGGAAGTGGTGTGAGGCCGGATTTTGGCGAGGACAGACTCGACGCTGTCGGCCATGGCTGCGAGGGTGTAGATTGTCTGTTGCTACCGTGCGAGACGAGGCAGAGGGCTCGAGATCCGTCGTCGATTGCTCGAGGCAAAAAACTTGTGCTACAATCGCACACGTGCCTGCCTCCGGGCCGATCTCCGGGCCGTCCGGTTGCGATGATGCACGACGCTCCGACTTGCTGCCACTACAGCCACTACCGTGCGCAGCGGGGTGACCCACCCGGTCATCCAGCCCGGCCATCACAGACTATCCCGGAACGCTTGCTTGTACTCTTTCTCTACCCCCAACCCTTCTATTTGTCCGCTACGAACGACACCTAAAGCCGCGAGGCCCCTCAATAAGCCCTCCGTCATGGTCTCGCCGACGGAGCCCCTTGTTGGTTCCCCGACGCCATGGTCCTATATGTTCATACGGTAAGGGGCCCGTCTGCTTGTGTTTCTCGCGGGCTCACAGGCATGCAGCTGGCTGTTCAAGTTTGTGCTGAAGATATTCTACGGTACCATTGTCGTGGAGAACACTGAGAATATTCCGCCGAGAGGAACACCATGGTGCGTCTGTCATTTGTGATGCTCATGCACGGTGCCGAACGTTATTGCACTCTAGCATCGTCTGCGCAAACCACAGCAACTCTCTCACTGACGCACTGTGAGTAATAGCCTGAAGTTGTCTTCACCTGCAGGAGGTCAACTTGCTACAGACTGCTTGTGACCTCGATACCATCCCGGGTCTGTTCTGGTCCCTTTCACGGGGTTGTAAAATTTGACATTAGTGATATAGAGACGCAATCTTCTGCGTTTGACGGCCAAGTCGACTCAGTTCGGCAAGAAGACGTTTACCAGCTGGCTCATCGAGTCAGCCGGGACAGTGCCCTTGAAGAGACGGAAGGATTTCCCCGACGGTCAGGCGGATAATTCGGAGGTTATGCAACATCTCATCGAGGCACGTCGCTTCCTATTTTTCCTTGGGCATACCGCGTTCAAGACGTATTGAAACCTGTGTGCACAGGCGTTGGAACTGGGTGACGCTGTGTGCCTCTTCCCTGAGGGTATGAGCAGGTATCATCCCACCATTGCTCCTCTGAAGACCGGAGGTCAGCACTGTCGCATGATACCCAAAAGCGCATGCTGAGATCCCAGTGTGCCAGTCGCCCGCCTGGTGTCCGACGTCCTCACACGCAACCGCCACAATCCCGAATTCGAGATCGACGTACTCACATGCTCTATCACTTACATGTCAGGTTCATCATTTCTCTCAACGGAACTAGAAGTTCATGAATTTCTTCAGGCACCGGCAGCATTTCAGGTCAGACGTGCTGGTGACATTCAATTCTCCTATGAAGTTCACAGTGAAGGTAAGCCGGTCCTAGTCTTGCGGAAGCAGGAACTAACGCACATGTACATCCAGGACAACCCAGAGCTTCTCGCACCCATCGACTTCCAGGATATAAGGGAGCTCACGGCCAAGATGCACCATCAAATCAGTTCCGGCACGTTGGATGCACCTTCTTGGAGACTTATTCGCAATGCCAAGCTTGCTGCAAGACTATACGCTCCTCTAGGCACGACCATGTCATTAGGCGACTATGTGCGGGTTGTCCGAACCTTCCTCGAGGCTTTCAAGGTTGCCGAAGCACCCAGGACGGACCCGGGAAGCGACGGAGACAATGTTTCCATCGAACAAGAAGCTAGGGAAGACGCGAAGATCGTGCAGCTTGGGCGAGATCTACAGGTTAGGGTTGTCCTTCTGGTTCAGAGCACACAGTAGCTAACGTTGCACTGCACAGGAGTACCAAGACCAGCTCGTCCGCTGGGGCATCAAAGACGACCGCATACGCCGCCCGTTATCCCGAGCCGTCATTCTCTACCGCCTCTGCATCCGCGCCGTCTGGGCCCTCGTCCTTGTCACCATTTCCCTCCCTGGCCTCCTCCTCTGGCTCCCCGTCTTCGCCACCACCTTCGTCGCCGTGCACCAGTTCAAGCGCACCGGCCCCGTCTGGGACACATGGGACGAAATCGCGCAGTACAAGCTCACCTACGGCCTCATCTCCGGCCTCGCTGTCTGGTTGCTCGTCGTCCTCGCGACTTTTCCCGTCGCCCTCTTCACCGTGCCGCTCGTCCCCGCCGCGATGTGGATGGGCCTGCGCTGGATGGAGGGCGCGGTGGCCGCGGGCCGCGCCCTCGCGGCGCTCGCGCGGCTCCTCTGGGTCGGCAAGCCCGCGCTGCGGGGCATGCGCGAGCGGCGCGAGGACCTGCACCGGCGTGTGATGGAGCTCGCGCTGGGCACGCTCGGGCTCCCGGCCGACCCGGAGACGCACTTTGCGGAGGCGGGCGGGTGGGAGAAGGGCCGGGTGCAGGGGCGGTGGGCGAGCAAGGCGAAGTACTTCTCGGTGCGGAGGCGGAGAAAGCGGGACTGGAACGAGACGCTGCGACTCTACGACCAAGTGGACTATCCGGAGGGTGAGGACTAAACGCCCCGAAAGACCCTATTGACACGCAGACTCTGGTGGAAGAAAGAACGATCTATTGGCAAGTGGGTGGAGATATCCAGTGCACATAGTTGAGGAACCGTTCTTGCATCGAGCGTTAGAAAGGAACTGAGTAAACGTATCAAAGAACAGAAATCGTTTTGGTGTCTCGTGACGATGATAGTGGCCGCGGATGAGGTGATTGGACGTACGGCTCCATACGCCCGATGAGTGTTTTGTCTTCCTCGTTCGACGCCCTCGAGGACAGAGTAGCCGAAAACTACATGCAGGTCTACATACTCGAAGGAATGGGATCGTGAAGCGTAGAGGGACTCCTGCATAAAGCCCGGGCCGACAGTGGCCGCCACTGCCTTGGCTGCTTCGTCGCCAGTGACTGCCCCTGACTCCACTCTCCCCGAGTAACCAATCGTCTCCTAGACTCGCTCTGATCAGACCCACATAGCAGCGCAAAGGACAGTCACGTACCTCACGATTTCGGAGACGTTTGAATGGCCGTGCGAGAGGCTCACAGCAGCGCGCTCACACCCATTCAGGTCGGCCCATTGGCTCACCGAGGACGACATGGATTCCTTCTTCTACCAGCGCGAAAGCGACCCCACTGTTAGTCTCGGAACCATACCTCATCTCCCCGCGCAAACCATGCAAGAGTTCAAATGGCGGGCCGCCAAGCACTTGGACGAGGAAGTGCAAGACCTGGTGACAATGTGGAAGGTATGACCCTCCCCCTACTCAGAGCATCCGGGTGAGCATGGTGATTGTCTAGCTGAATAAAGAGCATCCTGGTACCATAGAAGGGGCGGATAGGCTCAGTAACACGCTCGTGCAGACCACCCTTGAGCAAGTTGCCGAGCTGGAGGATTCAGATGATGCCCTGCGTCCCCTAACGTACTTAGGCCCCTACGGTGTCAGGATCCTGATCACACTTCCTGCTGTTGGTGAGCATTTTCGCTTGTTTTGGCGTATCTAGGGCTGACCTTTGTTCCTGCGCGTGCTACCTGCCGATTTGTAGCATGGTATAAAAAGGTCTACCGCCGAGTGTGGAAGGAGCGGGAGAATCCTTTCGAAGAACGGGATGGTGTTTTCTATGTCCGCGATAACATAGACCGCGTTTTTACAGCATTCAGCTCGAAGCTGATTGTTCGTGACGAGTACAACCGTCTGTGGGATTTTCTTGCCGAGCATCCAACGAATCTTGTTGTCATTGGCCAACCCGGTATCGGTCAGTGCCACAGAATATACTTGAACTAAGCTCATTGTTGTGGCACAGGGAAAAGCCTTTTTCTTCGGTGGGCCTTGTTGAAAGCCCTGTCGCTCCAGCAGCCGGTTGTCTTTGCTGCTTCTGCTGACAACTTTTACTATTTCAATCGTGGCGGTGCCAAGGCCCTTACGGCAGGATCGCTACAGGCAGTGCCAGCCGGGACATTAGGTCTTTTTGACCCACCCTCCAATATCAAGAACTATCTCTTCGACATTGCGAACCTCACCATCGTCCTCACCTGCTGTCCTAACTTGGACCACTACAAAACATATCAGAAGGAGCTGGACGCCCAGTTTTGGTCCATGGACTGTTGGTCAGAGGAAGAGATTATGTTACTTCCGTGAGTGACTACGTTGCCTTAGAGTCTTCCCTTGCCTCACCCGTTTCGTCTTCTAGACGGGGTCGCGATGGGTTATATGACCCGATAGAGATCTTTCGATTCTTAGGACCATCCGCACGTGCATGCATGAAGTCAATCAAGCGGAAGCAAGGCCTATCGCAGGACATTTCTAAGCTCCCTCCTCGCATCAGGATCAATCTCGCCCATACATCATCTATTGTGGAGGCGTTTAAGGAATTCTCAGCCTACGATTTGCCTTTCGACTCAGGCTTTGATCAATATCTCTTCGTACAACGCACCGAAGCAGCACGACCATCGCACACCCTCGAGGAGGCCACTAAATGCTCCATTCCTACGCCGTACCTTCGCCTCCGAGTTGCTCAATTCATCGCATCGGCCGGGGAAGCCGAACGCCTCGCCATGTTCAAGGCGATCTCCCCGCTGGGAGACCTTGCTGCCCCCGTTTTCGAGACGTTTACCTTGGCTTGGTGCACTCGCGAGCCACTCCTCTGTACGCTCAGCACAGAACAGCTTAACTTTACCCTTCCTCCCCTCGCCGCGACCATATTTGACGAGGCATCGCCGCTCCATGACGTGCGCAACCGACTCTTCCTTGCACCTGCAGGCTTCCCTACCATCGACGCCTTCGCGGTCATAGAGGACTCGGCCGACGTCGGCCCCACGTCATTTTTTTGCAAGCCACGCTTTGCAGAACGCACCCGATGCGAGGCGTGGTATCCGGACGGTCATATGGGCGCTCTTCAACGCACCGGAGCCGCCGACTGGCGTCCGCCTCTCCTTCGTCTTTGTGGTTCCCGACAGAGACGTTGGCGAGAAACTGGCGCATCGCTTCGGCGATCGCACGGAACACCGTTGCTCCTCCGGGAACACGGTCCCCATTGGCGTTGGTTATGCGGTCGTCGCGGAACACATCCGCGGAAGGTCGAAGTTGGTAAGCTGCATTTGACACGCGCGGGGTTCGGCGTTGCTGACGGGAATCTCGGAAATTCAGGTCACGGCGAACGAGATCGAGCTTAGGTTGGAGAGCGATTACCAGAAAACAGCTGTGACCGAGGATGAGGAGGAAGGGGGAACGCAGGCTGGATGGCGTTGTTCGAGTCATGTTCAAGGCTTCTTTGCGTTATTTCTTTAAGTGGCGAATGCGATTGGGTGTATATGGACCACACGGACTCTGTACGATGTGCCTGCGCGTCCGCCTCCCACTGCCGAAATCAACCTTGCCCGTCGCGCCACGCCGGAAGCCGTCGACGGACGTGAGGCCCTCGCGAGATGCGTCGCCCTCGACGCGCATCTTCGCATCCTCCGCGCTGTCGCGGCGCCCTCGTCGGAGTCGGAGTTGTCGATGACCATCTTCCTAGCGCGTCATCGTCGGTCTTGAACCCCGCGGTACGGTCTGGCCGGGCTTTTTGCGCTTCTTTTTGGCTGGCAGTTGTGGACGGTCAGCAAGGACTAGACAAGCAGTTTGCATACCGGTGTGCCGTGACTCCGGGCTCCCACGGCGAGTAGATCCATAGGCCCGCCTTGTCGTCTCTCCGCTTGGGCTTCCCAGCGGCCGCAGCCGAGGACTCGTCACTCTCATCGACCCCGCTCTTGTTGCCGTAAGGGACGTCCTAAACCGCACCCCCCGCCATATGCGCGGCACCTGGCACCTGGATGCATCAGTGCGCTGAAAGCTGCGAGGGGTGGTCGGAAGCCGCACCTTGTCATCATCGGCGGCGCCATAGACGCACTTCTGTTCCACTTCTTGATATTGAAAGGGGCCTTCTGCGCACTGCGACCGGCTATCCGGAGGGTGGGGGCTAGACGTTGACCCCATTGGCACTCAGACTTTGGTGGAAGAAAGAAGGATCTATTGAGGAGATGGCGGTGCTGCGGTGGGAACATACAATACATATATCTGAGGAGTTCTTATATCGAACTTCGGGCGAGAAAGAGGATAAGTAAACATATCAAAGGGCAGGAATCGTCTATGTCTCTCATGATGATGGTAGTGGCGTCGGTGTGGCGTTCAACCGCGAATGGGGCGATAGGCGCGGTTGCCCGCGGCCCAAGCGTGGCCCCTGGCGGCGGACATACCAGTGGTAACGACACCGGCGGTAACAAGGAGTCCCAGAACCCATGAGACAACGTTGAGGACGTAGGCAAGGCCTGTAACGCGACAGAACACACATGTAAGTCAACGTTCAGAAACGAGGGGTCCAAATTGCCTACCGGGGCGGGCGCGGTCAAACGTGGGATACATCTCCGTGCGGTAGAGGTGGGTGACCACAGCGAAGGAGATCATCTGCGACAGCACTGAATGAAGCGGGCTCGAATGTCGCATCTAGCTCGGTATGCGTAGAATGCGGAGTACTCACCGTGCAATGCCACCAACACGGACGCAGACTTCCAGATTCTTCTCCGGCGGGAGCGGGTTGTGACACCGAACAGGATGGCGAGACAAGAGACGATGGCAAAGCCGATGCCCAACTCGCCAAAGTACCCGGCCGTGCTCCAGATCATGCAGAAAGCCTTGTTCTCCTTGTCGCAGCCATCGGCATCACGCATGGGGAAGCGGCGGCAGGAGTAGTTGGTGTATGAGATTGTGCTGCCATTGGGACCGGGCCAGTCGATGACGCTGAGCTCGCAGAGCTGGTTGAGGCCGATACTGACGACGTCCTTGGTGTGGAAGATGTCAGGGTTCTTGACAACGAGCCTGGTGCGGGTTGTGAGCAAAAAGCGTGAAACGGAAGCCTAGTCGGACACAAACCAGTCGGGTCGCTGGACGGAGAGGATGTTCTGTGCGGCCCGGGGGAGATTAGGACTCGGGACGTAAAAGGGTCATGGGAGACGCGGCACGCGAGGATCTGCACTCACCAAAGTGAGAGTGGCGGCGACGGCGAAGAAGGCGAGGATGTACGAGGTCTTTCTCATCGCTGGCGTGTGGAGGAGGGGAGGGAGGGGAGGAGGGTGGTGGTGGTGGAAGGGAACAGGACCTCCTGCGAGCAGGCCGGGTTATCGAACCCCATTGAATAATGGAGGCGACCAGAGTCTCGACGCAGTCCTTGCGGTCGGCGAACTGCCGCGGCAGATCTCGTGCACACGCCCACTGGCCACGCGTGCGCTGCGCTCATGTATGACGTAGTGGGGGAGTCTCTTCTCATTATATAGTTATAAGTAAGAGGTTGGCAGTAAGGTCCTTGTCGATTAGTGGTTAGATCATCACGTTGTGGCGACACGAATCCGTGAAGACGGAGGCTCGAATCCTCCCTGGGACATGCTTTTGCATCTATCTTTGGGGTCCTGGAGGGTGCCTGCACACATATAATTCTGTTCACCGGGCAAGGTCATCGGCATGTATCGCCTGTTTCCGGAGTTTTCAGTAGATGCGTGAGAGACTCAAAACGTTAACTGCGGAGAGAGTCGCGTCGTAGACACCCATTGCGCGAGCCACACGAATGAAGACGAGCCTCTGTATACAGGAAGAGTCTGCATCCGATAAGTACACAACGATAGGTATCTGTCTGGCGTGCGCGATGGAGGCTGCCAGCCACCCGGTTATCTCTGTTGCCTGGCTGCGGCCAGCAGGAATATTGAGCATTAAGCTCCGCTCCTGCCAGACACCAGCCGGCTGCGTCTACGTCGCCTTGTACGTGTGGTCCTGCCGAAGACCTCGGAGGGTTGCACACAGCTCGGGCGGTGTGATTGAGATAGATTGGATGGGCCGCGGACACGCAGTCGACATCGAAGGCGGAGTAGGGCTCGCCTTGGTAACGTGTGAGTCGAAGGCCAGGCTTGAGACCTTGAGGCGCAACGAGAACAGACGTGGGCTGCCGCCAGGCTGGAACAGAGGCGACCGCGTCGGCGGGGGCGTGGCGCAGCAGTTGAGCTCGTTGTTACGTAAGACGCATTTGAGCCCGGAGAGGAAAGAAGCCGCCACCGATCCAAGCGCGGGTGCCCAGCGTTCGCCCTGCGCGAGCCGTCCCTCCCTCGTCCCACCGCGCCCGACTCCCGCCCTCTGCGCCCCTCGCGCCCCCGCCTCTCTGGCTGCGGCCTCGAAGGCTTGCAACCATGCCTGCCAGCCTACTTTCACGTGCACCGACCCCCTCCTCCTCCTCCATCTCCACCGTCTCTACCATGCAGACCTCCTCCCAGCACAAAGACTGGCCCAGAGTCGTCCGGAGCCCAATGGATGTCGAACTCGATCGGGTCGACTACTCTGACTACGACAGATCCTCTTTTGTGGACGACTCGAACGGCTCCCTGATCGCACCATGGGTTCCCCCGTCCGAACCGGTGAGTGTCCCACGTCTTGAGAGTAGGGCAACAGATCCGCGCGGGGAACTTCTCTTCACTTCGCGGGGACCCACTTCTTCGCCCGCCTTTGTTTTGGTCGAAGGGCGTGTGTTGGGGCAGGTCGCCGCTGAGGACAGCCGCTGTACCTTTGCAGGATACATGCGGTGCATAACGCAAGAACTTCCCCGAGGGGCATCTGCTGCCCTTGGACATCGGGCTTTGCATGCACTTGGTGCTTGATTCCAGGAGCCAGCTTGCCGTGTCGACGTTTTGTGTCCGAGACCTCTGTGGCCTCTTCATGCCGTCTCAGGTGCCCGAAATGCTCCTGAGTGATGGCTGTAGAGCCGGGTCGGAATCTCTCCACGTTAATATGCTTGTCTCTCTTCTGGACGTCATGAAGGTGATATTGACTTGTATGACACAGCCAACTCCCCCACCAAAGTCGTCGGATCGTTTCTCAGCCCACAATTCCGCGTCGACACTTCGCAATCCGTCCTTCTCGAGCAGTATGTCCGCACGACCGTCGGAACCAAATCTACCCTCTCGAGACAAGAAGAACTCGGTCATGTCGATGCTCAAGATGAGAAAATCGTTTCCTCGCCTTCGTCCCCAGTCTCCCCCGGAGGCGCCTCCTACGGTTCCGAGCCGCGATGTTACATTTCATCCCGTCCGATTCACGAAGAAGAAGGACAAACTTAAGAGGTATCTGAACATGGACCCTCCCCCTCTTCCTCCCAAAGACGATGATATCAGACTTGATACCAACGTTGACTACATGGAGGGCATCGTCGACCCAACGGCGCTCCCCGTGATGGAAAACACCTCTCCTGGGGCAGGGGCTGACGGGTCCCACCAGTCTGGTTCGGACGCGTCTTCGGCACGGAATGGTACTTCCTTCAGTGCATCATTGACCCTCGGCCACCCCTTCACCAACCTCGACCCATTCCATTCACCTTCCCAACCGCGACGCACGAACGGACACTCCCGACACGAACTCAAAGTCTCCCCGAAGGCCGTTCCGCGACATCAAAACGGCACCCGGGACACGGACGCAGGTTGGGGGAAATCCCCGGCCCCGCAGGCCGTGCCACGCGTGAATGCAGACGCTGTGCAGCACGAGCAATCCAATACATGGATAGCTCCGGAGAGTTGGGCGGTGGACGGCGAACCTCGTCCAGACAAACCGGACGGCTCGGCCGATTCGGACGGGGAGGACACTCAGATTTCGACAATCATCGCAGAGAATACCTATCATATCCGGATCTACCGCTCTGACAACACGAGTCACAACATCTCTGTCTCGAACGTCAACTTGACAGTCGACGATATCAAAGGCCATCTCAACGAGAAATTGCTGCTCGAAGCCGACCCCAAAGCGCACAGTTTGATCTTCAGGGAGCGTGGCAGGGGTATGGTCATAGTTATTTAGATCGCTCTGCCTGCTGACGTGCTTGTTTAGAACGTGTTTTGGCCTCGACGGAGAGGCCGGCGGATATAGTGCGCCGCCGACTGCTGCAAGCGGGTTATGAAGAGTCGGATGGGTTGAACACGATTGGGAGTGGAGATATCCGGTTCCTCCTCAAGTTCATCTACAGAAGTGCTGTCTTAGGCATCGGGGTACGTCCACGTGATCGCGCTACCTATAGCTGGTCTTTAACACGTCTAACACAGAAAGAGATGGAGTTCGATGACTACACTGTCGTCGACCTTACGGGGAAAGGTCTCAACGCGGTACCACCCAGCTTGTACCTCCAAGGCGCAGCTATTGTTTCGCTGAACCTATCCCGTAACCCTATGCTGGAGGTTCCCCTCGACTTCATCCAGTACACCACGTCCCTTCAAGAGCTCCGAATGTCTCACATGGCGCTGAAGCGAGTCCCTCCAAGCGTGCATCACTGCAAGAGCCTCCAGCGCCTTGACTTGGCGTGCAACCGCATCGGGGACCTTGGAGATGCAGGTCTTGCAGATCTTCCGGAGCTCTCACATCTCAGGCTAGAGAACAACCGCATAGATAAACTCCCCCCGTACTTCTACCGGTTACGCCAGCTGCGAGACCTGAATATCTCGAACAACAAGTTCGACCACCTCCCCCCCAGCATTTACGAGCTGCGCAATCTCCGTCATCTGGACGCATCGTTCAACACGATCTCGGAGATCTCAGCCAGGATCGGTCAACTAGCAGAACTCGACTCGCTGACGATCATTGGCAATCGAGTGTCAAGGTTACCGGTTGAGTTCGCTCTCCTCAAAAACCTGCGATTCCTCGACTGTCGACGTAACAACATCACGGATATATCGATAGTCTGCACACTCCCAAACATCGAACAGCTCTTCACGGATCATAACTCCACACATGCTTTGGACGTGTCATTTGGCCCCGCCCTCAAACAGCTCGACACTTCTCATAACGACATCACTCAACTCAACCTTATCCCTGGACCACTCGGATCACCTTACGCCCTCACTACTCTCGACCTTTCCCATGCGAAGCTCTCCTCGCTAGACGATCTCGCTCTCTCCCAGCTTTCCGTTCTGCAGGTTCTCGACATCGACCACAATTCCATCCGTTCCCTCCCGGATAGCCTCTGCAGCTTGACCCGGCTCAAGTATTTGTCGTGCTCCAACAACCACTTGTTCAAGCTACCGGCGCAGTTGGGGAATTTACAGTTCCTGGAAGTTCTCGAGGCGCACAACAATGACCTTTCCGAAATTCCCATGAGCCTATGGCACTGTTCGTCCCTCGAGGTCCTCAACGTCACGTCGAACGTGATCAGCACATGGAGTCTACCGCTTGGCTCCATCGATTTGGATGTCGCCAACGCTTCCCTGTTGGGCAGTTCCATCAGCCTGATTTCGGAGAGGAAGTCGTCGAACTGTTCCTTGACTGAGTCGTCCCTCCCCGCCCTGGTCTCGAAGCTGAAGAAGCTGTATGTCGGTGAGAACAGCTTGACGGCAGACAGCCTACCTCCCTTGGCGCTCCTCAGGGAACTCCGAATCCTCAACCTGTCCTTCAACAATATCCAGCAACTGCCAAGCAGCTTTTTCCGCAACCTCACCCGCCTTCGCGAGCTCTACGTGAGCGGGAACAACATCTCCGCCATCCCGACAGAGCACCTGCAGCACATGACGAAACTCGAGGTGCTCTTCCTGAACGGAAACCGGTTACAGACCCTACCTCGAGAAATCAGCAAGCTGACGAGCCTGTCGGTGATGGACGTCGGGAGCAACTCGTTGAAGTACAACATCAACAATTGGGAGTTTGACTGGAATTGGTGCGTCGTTCACTTCCTCAGCTGCGCACGTGAACTCACACGCTCGACTTTCCCATTTTTCAGGAATTTCAACACCAACCTGCGGTACCTGAACCTCTCTGGGAACAAGCGACTGGAGATCAAGCCGAACGGCACCAAGCAGAGTCAGCCAAAGAAGAAGAATCCCCGTCTGGATTTCGATCCTCCCGATCCTGCTGAGCTCTCCCAGCTGTCCGGATTTTCCAACCTCACCCAGCTGCGCATTCTCGGTCTAATGGATGTCACCATCAGCACCCAGGCGAACATCCCAGAGGAGTCCGACGACCGCAGGGTGCGGACCTCCATGGCGGACGTCAACGGCATGGCCTATGGTATCGCCGACACGCTCGGGTTGACGGAGCATCTCACCATGATCGATCTCGTGGCTCCACACTTCCGAGGTCAACATAACGAGGCCGTCTTCGCTATGTTCGGGCGCGCGTCCCACATCGCCAGCAACAACCGACTCACGAAGTTCCTTCACGATCACTTTCTCGACATCTTCCAGACGGAACTGTACAAGCTGGGAAGGCGCCTCCCGGGAGGGGTCTGCGACGCCCTGCGCAGGTCATTCCTCGATCTCAACAGGCAACTCTACGACCATCTGTACTCTACAAACGCACGGAAAATGTCGAGGAGTACGTCGGGGACCACGATACTACCGACCGTGAAGGAAAGAATCGGCGCTTCGGGGATCGTGCTGTACTTGGTGGACAAGACGTTGTACATCGCGAACGCGGGGAACGCACTCGCCGTCATTTCGAAGCAGGGCATCGCGTACCTCGTGTCTCATAAGCATGACCCCTTCGACCGCGACGAGACCGCGCGGATACGGCAGGCGGAGGGTTGGGTCTCCCCGAAAGGGCTCGTCAACGACGAGATCGACGTCTCGCGCTCGTTCGGCTTCTTCAACCTCCTCCCCGTGGTCAACGCAAAGCCGTTCACGATGAAATACGACCTCTCATCCGCAGACGAATTCGTCATCGTCGGCAACCGCGCCCTGTGGGACCACATCTCGTACCAGACAGCGGTCGACATCGCGCGCAAGGAGCGGGACCCTATGATCGCTGCGCAGAAGCTCCGGGACTTCGCCATCTGCTACGGTGCGGAGGGCACGACCATGATCATGATCATCAAGGTTTCCGACCTCTTCAACCGCTCGCTGCCCCGCGACCCCCAGTTCTCCCCGGAACCGATCATCCCAGCGGAAGTGTACGACGCCCTGCGGAAGAAGAAGCCGATCACCAGTCGAGAGGTGTCGCGCCTCGAAGACGAGGTCATGGCGCCGACCGGACACGTCGCACTCGTCTTCACGGACATCCGGAACTCGACGCACCTGTGGGAGGTCAACCCTGGGATGCAGTCCGCGATGGTGCTCCACAACAACCTTCTGCGGCGGCAGCTGCGGTTGTGCGGCGGGTACGAGGTCAAGACCGAAGGAGACGCGTTCATGTGCTCCTTCTCGACCACGACCGCCGCGGTGCGTTGGTGCATGAGCGTGCAGAAGCTGCTCCTCGAGCTCCCTTGGCCCCTGGAGCTCCTCGAGTGCGAGGACGGGAAGGAGGTCTACGACTCCAAAGGCCGCCTCATCTGCCGAGGGCTGTCTGTGCGCATGGGCATCCACTGTGGCCAGCCGGTGTGCGAACCCGACCCGGTCACGGAGCGCATGGACTACTTCGGGCCCATGGTCAACCGCGCGGCGCGCGTGAACGCGGTCGCGGCGGGCGGCCAGATCATGTGCAGCGCAGACGTCGTCAAGGAGATCAACGCGAGCGTACTCGGTTCGCAGTCCCCAACCGAGTACACGCACCTCCAGCCCGTGCGCGCGGTGGAGGAGATCCGGGAGATGGGCGTGCAGCTGTACCCGATCGGCGACATGAAGCTCAAGGGCCTCGAGGTGCCCGAGTACCTCAACGTGCTCTACCCCGTCGAGCTCGCCGGCCGGTACATGATCGACCAGTTCGACGCGGTCCCGACCGCGTCCGACTCCCGCGTTCAGTTCCGCGTCGAGCAGATGCGCGAGCTCGGCATCCTCTGCGTCCGACTCGAGACGCTCGCGAACTCGCAGATCTTCCGGCCCGCGACTGGCCGCAAGGGCAGCGTCGCGTCCACGATCGGCGGGGACGGCGCGGCGCAGCAGCCGACGGCGGACTCGTTGCTGGTCGTCTACCAGGACCCGAACCTGTACTTGCCCGTGATGGACGAGACGTCGACGGACGCGCAGCTCACCACCGTCCTGCACTCGCTCTCGCTCCGGATCGACAACGCGCTCTCGAAGCTCGCGCTCCTCCACATCGTCAAGTCCGAGACGGCCGTCGGCGGACCCGACCTCTCGCTCCGGGACCACATGCTCTCCATCCTCCGCCCGTCCGTGTACCCTCTGGACGAATGCGCGCCGCCACCGTCATCCTCTTCCGTCGACTCGCTCGGCTCCCCTTCCTCCTCTTCCTCAGACACTGTGGTGTAATTTATCCGGTCATTTTTTCGCCCCCCGCTTTCACGCACCTCTGTACTCTGTCCGTCCCCACCCCTAGATCGTTTGTGTATACCCTTGTAGGCTCCGCACGCATCACGCTGTTCACTGTACTGTACGTTGTTATCATTATTTGCTCCGACCGCGGAATACAATCCAACCAGCCACCCCCGCTGCGTGAACTCCATCTAACCAAGAGATTTTGCTCGAGAGAGATTAGTATGAGATGATAGACAGAACAAAAGGGCGTCGAGGCCCTAGATCTCAGACCCCCTTCCAAGATGCGCCATAAGCTAGTCTGTAGCTCCATATATATCCAACCCGTGCGTTCCGCAGAACCGCACTGAGCCACACCCTCCATCCAAGCCAACCCGCAACCGCAGGTCCCAAACCCTAGTGCCCGGCGGTCTCGGTCTCCCATCCCTCCGCGTCGCTGCCGACCGCCGCCGCCGCCGCCCAGTCGACCTCGGCGGGGCTCTCGAGCGCGCGGACCTGCGCGCCGCGCGCGCGCAGGAACGCGACCACCTCGCGCGCGTGCCGCCACCCGTGCGGCTCGTCCCCGTCCCCGTGCGGCTCGTCGACGACGCCGCCGCCGTGCGCGCGCGCGAGGTGCGGCGCGGCGCGCACGCGGGCGTCCGCGGGGGCGCGGGCGAGCTGCGCGAAGAGCGCGGCGAGCGCCTTGGCGGCCTCGACGCGCGCGTGGAGGACGTGCCGGACGAGGCGGCGCGAGGGCGGGCGGCGGCGCTTCGTCGGTGCGGGGCCCGGGCTCGGGCTCGTAGCGGTGGTGGTGGGGGCGGGGGAAGAGGGGGCAGTCAGCGACGGGGACGGTGTGGAGGCGGCGGCAGCGGAGGCGGAGAGCGACGTCGAGGAGGCGGAGGGCGTGAGCCGGGCCTTGGCCTTCGTCCGGTCCACCCACGGGTTCTCGGGCGGGATCCGGGGCGTGGTGTACTGCGCGAGCGCGGTGAGGGAGACGTCCCACCGGCGCGGGGCCCACACGCCGACGAGGACGCGCCAGGCGGCGACGAGGCGCTTCGCGCTGGGCGATCGCAAACCAGCGAGCGGGCGCCAGGCGGGGCAGGGTGGGCAGGCAGGCAAAACGTCAGATTGGGTCGGGAAGACGCGAAGGCGCGACGGAAACTCACCGGCCGTAGCTGTCTGTGGGCATCACGTCAGTGACGGCACGGGCCGCGGACGTCGGGCGTGGAGAGACTCACTGTTGATGAGGCGGTTGTGGTACATGGCGAAGACGTAAACGAAACTGCCTGCGATGAGCGCGCCGATTGGGGAGTACCAGAGGAACGCCCAGACGACGAAGAAGGCGACCGGGTACATGATTAGCAGCAGGAGCAGGCCGAAGACGACCTTCATTTGAGCCTGCGTTTCCTCTTCCTCTTCGGCCAGGCGCGCTCCATACCGGGCCATCATGTACGCCGGTGCGTGCAGGACAAGGGGAAGGATCGCAAAGGGAAGATGGACGACGAGGGCGATGGAGTCCCGCACGAGGATGCTCAGCGTCAGCAGCCGGCTGGGAAGAGGCACAGGCTGTCGAGGATCGAGGGTGGCAGGGAGCGGCAGTGAGGCCAGCGTGGCATTCGTCAGGTGCGTCGACTCCAGGAGGGAGTAGTAGGTGAGCAGATGGCGCTTGATAGCGTTGATGTTGGGAACCAGGTCAGGTGTCGAGAAGAGGTCAACGAGGCTGGGTGTGCGGCCTGTGATCGGTCACGGACGAAGAGAAGTAGCGGGACGGGACGTACGTTTGCGAGATGGGCACGAACTCGTCCAAGTTAATGGACCGGTCTCCGGGCCACAGAAGGTCCCGTGCCATCCGAGCGGAATACAATGTGTCCCTGGGTTTCGGTCAGGACCGGGCGGGGCAGACGCGTCGTCACCACTGACCAGTCGGGTGCGTTAATGGTCGCTTGCACGAGCTCCCTTTCGATGGCCGCAGTCAAACGCTTCACTGTCGCCCGTGGGGCACCCTCTTCGTCGGACATGAACTGGTCCATGAAGTCTTCGGCTTTGAGCGGCTGGCCAAATCTGACGGATGTACGTTAATACGCCGGGGGCCTCGAAAGAGGGTAGAGCGGACTGACTCCAAGATGACCTATGCCGCGACCGCGTGAACGAGGATCCTCACGAGCGGTCTGGGCAGCACGACTGACCTGGCTCCGGTACTTGGACTTGTTCGTGTACACGATCGCGGCGGGGACGATCACCACGCTCTGCGCGCCCGCGCTCGTACGCCCGGGCTGCTCCCTCGCCCACTTCATGAACTCGAGCGCGGCCCACGCCGCGCCGTCCTTGACCTGCATGATCTGCGGCTCGGTGTAGCTGGTGCCCTCCGGGAAGAGCGCGACGGCCTCGCCGTGGGCGAGGGCCTCGAACGTGCCGCGGAAGAGCTTGCGCTTGTCCGCCGCCTTGCGGTCGACCGCGATGTTCCCGGCCGAGGTGAGGATGGCCTTCACCGCCGGGTGGGCGAACAGGGACGCTAGAAGGCGGTCTCAGCGGGCGCACGTACGGGGAACGCCGGGGTGCCCGGCCGCGCACGCGCGCACCTTTGGCCCAATAGTGGAGGACGCGCTGATAAGGGAACGCGCTCGCTGCGTGTCGGTCAGCGGCCGCTGTGGTGGGTGCGCGAGACGGGTGACGTACAAAGCACGGCCGGGTCGAGCATCATGTTGTGGTGGGTCGCGGTTCTGGGAAGGCGGTGTGAGTGCTGGAGAACGCGGTGGGCAGGTACGCGCCCGGCGAGAGCAGGGTCGGGGGATGGGCTGACGGCGATCATAGCGGGCCTAGAGCTCGCGGAACGCGTCGCAGACGACGGCGCACAGGAGGGCAGGGAGCCCGGTGCGACGGGTGAGAGGGAGGGCGCGGGCTAGAAGCCGTAAACCACCAAGATTAGAAACTGAAATCGCGCCGCCGACAGCAGTGGACAGCGTATAGTAAACGCAGAGCTTAAGATATCGCCCCCTTCCCCGCCTCGTGGTGGGTGGCCTGCACACGCGAGCACACAACCGCGCGACACAGAACGCGCCGACTGCGTGTTCGCAGCACGCATGAGAGGCGCGCCACGAGGTGCGTGGGTTCGCTGGACAGGGAGTGGGAGTGGGCGGAGAGGGTGGAAGATGCCCTTCATTCGGCGCTGCGCTTGCGGGGGAGCGGGAGGAGCGTCTGCGGGCGAGGGGATGTATGCACTTGGAGACACTGGGAGACGAAGCACTCACACGATGATAGGGCCATCCTTGGGGACATGCTCGCCGCCGATGACATGGACCTCGGTGAAGAAAGAGATTACGGCCCAGCCAGCGAGGCGGCGGATGAACTTGTGGAGATAGTAGCCGTCCGCCATGGCGGGTGGAGGAGGAGGTGCACCGAGGAATCCGGAGCGAGGAGGGGGACGAGATGTTTGGGGGATCAGGGAAGAGGTCGGGCAAGACGGAGCTCCTGACGAGCTGGCAGACCGTCGGTGGCCGCTGTCTCTGTCGACCTCGGCCGTCTTCCAGGCGCGCGTTCCCTGCCGAGGCGTCTCTTCCACGTGCGCCGTACGTGTCTGCCCGCGCTCCCAACGCTGGCCTCGCCACTCGCCACTTCGCTCCTGCCATCTCCTCCTCTTGGCTCGTCTGCGCTGCACAATCACATACCAACGGAAGGAAGGACGGCCACCATGCACACTGTATACTCACGGATTAACAATGTCTCTGCCATGGTCTCTACCTGTGTTATGGTCCTCCTTGGTGCCATCTCCTTGTCCTCCTTCCTCTTCACCGCCGATCCAAAGGGGGCTATTGGGGTCTCGAGCATCAAAGTGTAAGCCTATCTTATCTGTGTGTGCTCCCGTCTTCATATCTCCGCCTGTAGTTTCCCCGGAAATGCACGCCGATATGCGAACAAGCACCAAGACTTCTCGTTCGTGAACTTCAACATCACCGCAGGTCAGCTGCTCGTTTTCACAGACCCACGATCATTCTGAACCCATTGTCAGACCTGTCGCCTCTGTTCAACTGGAACACGAAGCAATTGTTCCTCTACGTGAGCGCGGAGTACGAGGGCACAAAAGGGGTGAGCCCCATCGTTCGCACCTATCTCCCAACCTTCTTACCCCGTGAACAGACCAAAAACGAGGTTGTCATCTGGGACTCCATTGTTCGCAAGAAGGAGGATGCGATGCTGCAGAGTTTTGAGGGCAAGAACAAGTATGCGTTCCGCGAATTGAGCGCTTCCTTCAAGTACGTGTTCTATCTGCCATTGTGGTGTTATCATGCACGGCCACGTATGGCGTGCTACGATCCGCATGTTCCCAGACCAAGATTGGAGTCGGAGATCATGTTCGGGGCGCACGCGTGTGCCCCACTGCGGTTTTCATAGCACGACATTGTTCGCTGACCACCCTGTTTTTTAGGCACGCGGCACCAGCTCATTACACGCTCAAGTACAATGTGATGCCATACGTGGGCGTGCTGACGTACGGGGAGGCGGCGCGCACAGAAGAGCCTGTATCTTTCCCCGAGAGCCACGACCTGTCATAGTTCGGGGCTGGGGTCTTTGCACCCCGCTAATCCCAACGCGCCGCCTTTGTGCGCCCGCACATCGCACCGCGGCGTGCATTGTTGTCGCCTTAACTTATCCATATGGAACCTACGCCGTCTGAGTTTGGTGGTGTGCTCGGCGCGCGCTGTGGCCAGACGCTCATATTGGGCTGCGCTGAGAGCTCGGTCCATTCATCCGAGAGCGTCACAACGGATGCGGTTCGTCGCCCCGACTCCGTCTCGCGGTGGAGACAAAGACTGATTGATGCCAGGCTTTTCTAGATCACTCTGGTAGCTCTCGGTGGCCGTAGAGCGGGGAGAGAGACAGGCTCGCGTTCATTTACCGCTGCTCCGGGAATACAAGCAGATGGCCCGAGACAAAGCGCACCACGATTGAGGGCGGTGGGTCGGACGAGTGCATTGAACGTGCCAAGTACGTTCATCGCACTCAGGGTTAGTCCAGGGGCACGTTCCATTCCTTGGATCCCCGGCGGCCCAGTGCGCGGTCTGGCTCGAAGCCCGAACGCCAGGTAGCCGGCTGTGTCCGCACTGTGCCCGGCCGGCGACCCAAGTCTGACGCGGGCGTTCGCGAACACGTGCGTCCCACCCAGCGGACGTCGACACTGCGCTCAACTCCGTTCTTGTTCTCCCTTTAGCGCACGTGGTGGGGGGGAGGCTGCAGCGCACCCTCGCGCCCTCGAGCGTCGTCCACGCTGCTCGCTCCCGGACCCATGTGGGCCAGTGTGGCACGCCAGGCTCTTCGCTGCGACGATCCGCAGCGGCCGAGCCCGCCCCGACCGAGACAGCGTCGGGGTGGGTGGGCCGTTGGCACTGACTAGATCTTCGCGCCCCACGCCCGCGCGCATGCCCTTTCATTTCGGATCTTGGACCCTCGCTGGCCGCCGCCCATTGGCGATAGCCCACCACTCGCGCAGGCGCACGGTCGCTGACGACGTCGATGGCTGGATCGATAAGTTCATGACGCCCGCCCGCCCGGACGGGATCGCGGGGCGTGGACGGTGCACGGGGGACGGGGAAGCGTCCGGGCCAGCGCCCAGGGCGGCCGGGCGACGTCAGCGACGAAGCGCACCGCAATCAGTCGCCTTCCCGTTCCCTGCGCCCAACTCCAGCGCGCCTCCGCCCGAGTCCGAAGATGTCGCAGTGCGGGTGGGGGCCGACGTCGTGCCTCAATCCCTCGCTCGCTCGTCCGCCGATGGACTCGCCACAGGGTCCTGCGCCTCTCCCCCGGCCCAGGCTAGAGTTGGTGCAGACGGTTGGGATGCGCCCGTTTCAGCGAACGTGCTTCGTCCCCCGGCTTCTTCCAACGTCACCTCGCGACGTCCACGGCAGTGCGCGCTAGGCCAGCCCAAGAACGCCGAAGCGAGCTGCGCGCGCGCTCCCACTTTTCAGGCTTCAGCTTCAGTGCCCAAGCGCTCACTCCTTCGAGTCTGCACGCTGGAGTCCCCCGCGGAGTCGCACCCAGGCAACCCGCGGCGGGCCTGCGAAGCCCGAGGCGCGCGTTCGCGAAGCACGCACGAGGGGGCGGCACGTCGCGTGCACTAGTCGCGAGCAGTGCACGGCGGGAGGCGCGAGGGCGATCCAGGCCGACGCGAAGCACGGTCGAGCGGGGTGCAATCCAAGCCCGACCCACTCCGCGGCGGCGGCGCAGTCGGTGCTATATCGCGCTCCCAGCAGAAGTGTTCACCGGCGCTGGTCGCGCCCACGCCCACGACCCGCCGGCGGAGCTGCCTCATCCGGCGGCGAAGCCGGACGCGGGAGAAGAGCGCGTCCCAGATATTAGAGCACGACCGTGCCGGCGCGCCGGGCGGCGTCTGCGATGGCCATATGCACGCCCCCGTCTGGGGGTGCGCCGCCTGGCCACGCGCGTCGCACGAGGACGAGGGCCTGAAGGTGATCCAAGCTGAGCCCATCAGGCGTCGCGGATGTGGCCAGGGTGGACGGGCCTCCCGCCGGCACGGCTCGCTGGAGGGGCTCGTCGTCGTCGTCGTCGTCGTCGACCGGTCCGTGCGCGTACGCCAGGCGCGGATTCGAAGTAGATGCCGGGCGATCGCGCGCGGGGGGCATAGCCTGTCCGCGCGCTGGCATGGAACACCTCGCCGAGGTTTGGTGCGAAGTTTCCGGGGAGCCGGGTCGTCGCCGCCGCGGGCGCATTTGGTAGCCGAGTCGCCAGTCGACGTTCGATGGTCGACGCGGGCGCTCGCGCGCGCAAGCTGCGAGTCGCAACATCCACCCCCGCGGCCACTCGAACCGATGGGCAGCGATGGCCGCGATGGCACGGATCCACCTGCACGCTCGATTATCCCGCCATCGTCCAGCCGTCCGACTTCTTAAGTCCGCACGCGCCTCGCTAGAAGCCCGGGCGCTGCGACGAGAGAGGCGTCGGTGGGCGCGCGCACGACGTCGGGCGGCCGCTACCCCCCCTCGCCCCAATCCCAAAACCCCGTGAGGCACCCTCGCTCGCCCGGGGCCCACCCAACTGGCGACGGCGCCCTGCGATGGCGATTGCGCCTTCGTGCGCTGATCTTCTCCCGTCGCGGTCGGCGCTCGCGCCCCGTCGCGAGCCCACCCTGCCCTTCCCCCCGCCGCTAAGTATATGAATCACGATCATATGTATGTGGCTTCTCCGCGCCCCTGCGGCTTCACGAGTGCGCGCGCGTGCGCGTCCTGATTTCCGTGCGCGTTCACATACGCGGGCGGCCGCTGGAAGTCCGCGCGCGGGCGAGCGAGCGAGCGAGCGACGGTGCGCCTCCCCGACCCCCCCCCCCCCGGACGCGCGTGCATCGTCCGCGACGGGCCTCTCGGCCGGGGCGTCGACGTCGTCCCGCTTCTCTAGTCTCTCTCCGCCGCGTGCCCGTGCTCACCGAAAACCGAAGAGCGAAAGGGCTCGCCTGCCTGCCGACGATCCTGTTCAATCTCCTGCGTCGCCCGAAGTGAGATCAGATCATCGACGCCGACCGTGACGCGATCCGTCATCATGCACACAACCCCTCGGAGCCCGCGTGGCGACTCGCCAGTCGAGACGCTTTCGCGGCGGGCCCGTACGTCCATTCACTATTCTCGTTTCCTCACCCACCCCCCTCCCCCGACTGGGAGTTGTAGAGCGCAGTGAACAGACTCCGGTCGAGCAGGAGCGGGCGGAAGTTTCTGGTCGGGAGGCGGCGCGATTCCGATGTGGAACGCACGGGCCCGCGAAGGGGGGTGGAGCCGAAAGCTTGAAGCTTGAGGCCTGGAGGCCCGAAGCTCGACACAACATACCCAGCTGCGTCGACCTCCCGTCTTCTTTCCCTTTTTCCCGCCTCGCGGCGGGGCCTGCGCGGCGGCAGCCCGGAAAGGGAGGCTCGGGCGCAGGCACCGCAGGGCGAGCATCAGCACCAGCCCCAGTCGCGACGCGGACGGCGCGTTTGGCGTCGCCCCGGAAGGCGTATCACTATCAGGCGCGTTCCGGAAGCCCGCCGCCGAGTGAGAGGGGGGTGGGTTCGCAGAAGGGTCTGAGCTGATGCGAAGCGCGCGGGACCCTCGCGACGCGACGCGACGCCCGGGTACGTCCTCGACGTGCACAAGCCCGGGGAGATCGCCCATGGCTATGTTAGCTGCACCGCGCTCGGCGTTCCCAACTTATCCCAAGCGTGCGCACGATCACCGGGGGCTCGGTGCGCCTTTTCGTGCGTACGTACCGTGTCGGGCGCGCCTGACCGTTCGAGCAGTCCGACTCCCCTCCGCCGCGCCGAGCGCTCGTCCCGGGCAGCGAAGGAAATAACTTGGCCCCGTCCGTGTGTGATCGCGACCCGAATTCGAGGACGGCGAGGGCCAATGGAACGCGTCAATGGCGCACCGCACGTCGGGGAGCGTAGAGCGGCCGGCGCCGCGCCCCACGCGCGGGACACGCACGGGGGCTGCGTCGGCGCCCGCGACGACCAGAGAGAGTGGACGTGGACAACGGGCACGGACGCGGACATGGGCCATGCACGGCGCGCACGTGGAGGCGGGCTCGCTCGCGCGCGGTGGCGGGACGGCGTCGGGGCGATGACTCTCTCTCTCTCTCTCTCGCGCGCGCGGGTACGGGGCGTAGGTCGCGTGGTGGCGAAGCTGCGGGCGACCGGCCGGGGCGACTGGCGCGCGTCGGTCGGTCGGCGTCGGCGTCGGCGGGCGGCGGGCGGCGGTGACGGCGACGGTGACGGTGGTCTGGAGCCTGGCGCGTGTCCAGCATCTGGAATCTGGAGCCTGGCGGGTGGGCGTCCGGGGCTGCCGCGCGGCTGCATTTGAGTTGGGTGGGGGCCCTGCCGTGTTCGCGAGCCCGGCCTCGGATCGGGCCTAGCGTGGCAGCCCCACGGGTCGCGCGCGTGCGACCGGCGGGGAGGGCGGGGAGGATGGGCCGGGGACGCGCCCCCGACCGGGAAGGGCTCGCGCGGGGCGGGGGCGCGAGCTGGACGGCCGGGTATCTGGAGAGAGCGGGCGGGAGGGCGGGTGGGGGCAGTGCCGGCTGGCGATGGCTTGGTGCTTGCGAGAGGATCGGTGGGCAGATTGGCGTCGCAGTGGGAGGAGGCGAGCCCGGGCGTTCGAGCGCGACGCAGGGCCGGAACGGGGATCACCGGGCAGTCGTCCGGAGGAGGCCTGATTGAGGGCTGCGTGCGGTGGGCTATTGTGAGGGCCTCTGACGAGGATTGGACGGGAGGCGGTGGCCCGGATAGGCGATATGGCCTCGTCGGTCTGTCGAGCAGGGCGACTGCCTTGTGTGCAGACGCTGGCAACGAGAACGCTGTAGCAAAATCGACGTGCCATCAGCATCGGAACAGATTCGACGGCGAGTGAGCATAGGACGAGGGCGACGACCGTCGATCTCCGCGCACCCCGGCCCCGGCCGCTGGGAGCCCCAGCCCGGCTCGAGGACGTGGCCACCCGGACGAAGCCCAAAACCTGCCGCGGGGGCTCCGCGAACGCTCAGACCTGCCTGCCCGAAACGGCAAGAGCCCGAGGCGCCCGGCTAAGAGATCTCATGGGCGTTTCTTCACCCCCAGGCGCTGGCCGACTTCACAACCCTGACTGCCTTTCGCCCCACCGTCCTTTCACCTTCGTATAAGATGGGACCTACAAATCCCCTCCCGACTCCAATCCACCCCCGCCCCCGCTGCCCCCGTCCGCCTGCCCGATCCCCGTCTCCCGCCCCCGTTCCCGCCCCCGCCCTCCCCCGCCACCGCCCCCGCGTTCTTGCTCGCCTGCCAAATCCGTCCCATGTCCCCTCACCATGTCTCCCCCCTCTGCCAGCCGGCCACCGACGTCGAGTCCGACTCGGACTACCTCGGCACGCCCGTAGATCCGCCGTCCACCAGGCCACCCTACGTCGCCGACTTCGAGCCCTACTATCACGGATCGCCTTACGCCGCCGGCGCCCACTACACCCCACCACAATATCCCGCCCCGTACCCCAACTCCGGCCCAGAGACAGGATGCCTGCCCGGGTCCCCACATCACGGTCTCCTCTTGGACACATCGTACACTGTGAGTGACTTTCAACCGCCCCATCACGCCCAGAGGGAGTGATCTCTGCCCCCGCAGACCGCCGCCGCGTGCACCCAGGGCGTCGACCACCCTTCCACCGTGCAAGCATGGCGCGAATCCTTCTCCGGCAAAACATCGTCCCCGAACGCATACCCCGCTCGTGCGCTGCGCGCACCCTCCGGCGACTCCCTCCACGGCGCGACCCCTCCCATCGCGCACACACGCCGGAGGGAATCCGGGCCGCGCACCCACTGCACCCCGCTCGCAGCCCCGTACCCGACCTGGGACAGCGGCAGCGGGAACGACTCGGGCGACGATGCTCCGTATGTTTCCCCCACCCTCTTCACGCAGACTCCGAGTGCGGAGCTCGCCCGCAGCACCGTACGCCTTCCCCGCGCTTCCTATGGTTATCTTCCGCTGAACACTCGCATCTCCGTCAGGCGTCGCTCTACATGTCCCCCGGCGCCGCGCAATCGTACTCCAGCGTCGACTCCGCACCGCGCACCGGCCACCTGCACAGCAGCCCTCGATCACTCTATGAAGACGGGCCAGTCGAGTCCCCGACCCACGATCGCCCATACAATGAGCGCTTCGTCACTCATGGTCAGTGCGAACTTCATTGTATCGCCGCGCCGCGCCTTTGTTCATGTCGGTCTTTGTCCAGGCGCGAGTTATGAACATCCAGTCCTCTTCGACCCTACACGCAGCCGCACGCGGCCTCCCAGTACGCCCCGGCCGCACACCTCGGCCGGTTCTCGCACCCCCACCCGGCGGACGCGTACTCGTACGTCCCGTACGGCGACGCCCAGGGCCAAGACACGGGCTACGGCGCACCCGAACCGCTCCCGCCGTACATCTACGCCCCGCAGCCGCACGCGTACCACCCCGGGCACGCGTTCGACGACGGGTCACGGCGGGGCGGCCACCGCGTGCTCACGATCCCGGACATCCCCGCGCCGCCCCCCGTCCCGCGCCCGTCGTCGCTGGTGGAGGACAGCCCGAAGAAGCCGCTCACGCTCGCGTGCTTCTTCTGCCGCAAGCGCAAGATCGCGTGCCAGGCGCCCCCGGCGCGCTCGCCCGACCGGACGTGCAAGTGAGTGTCGCGTCGCTGTCGATTGTCGCCCCACGCGCGACGTTCTCGGCTCGGGAGACGACATGGAACTGACGACGTTTTTTTTTTCTTCTTTTTCGCAGCCAGTGCGCGAAGCGGAAGCTCAAGTGCCAGTACCCGGAGACGTCGCGGCGCGGGATCCGCCCGCGTATGTACGACCTCACCGACGAGTCCTTCCGGCGCGCGTCCGACCCCGGGCTCGCGCTGTGAGCTCGCGCGTGCTGACCGCCCGGACGCTGCGCATTCCGTCATAACTATATTGTCTCTCGGGGTCCGAGCCTCTTCCAAGCCGTCGGGCTCCCCTTCCCACACTGACATTCGCGTTGTTCGCCTCATTGCCCCCGGTAGATGCTTTCTCCCGTCGTGGCCCCGCTCCCCCACCACCGCCGCCGCCGATCGTCGTCCGCGTCCGTCGACCCACTCGTCGCTTACTGTTTTGTTTATTGTGTTGTGATTGCGTACTCTCCGTTGTCTCGCCCCGCCGCTCCGGACGCTGGTCTCTGTCTCGGTCCCCTCTTCATCGTTTTGCTCTGGCCTCCCCGACTCATCGCATGATGCTCTACCCCTCGCATACGTCTCCACCCTGTTATCCGTAGCAATAATCCACCATCGTCTCTCCTACCTACCGCCGCCCCGGCGCACTACGTAGATGTAATCCAATTCCTCAACGGCTCCAGCCCGCACATCCCTTACGTCCGTTCGGAAGCAGCGCGCCCCGCGGCCCGAGACCCCCGGAGTCCCCGCCGCCCCCCGACGCGGACTGGACGAAACTCCAGCGCGGACGCGACACGCGTCGCGCATCCACCCCCGTACGTACCCCTGCCCCGTCCGCTAGAGGTTGTGCGGAAATCACGGAAGTCGCCTACCCGATATCGAGCAGAACCGCTCCGCTGGTCCGACGAGGCCGCCAAATGGCGCACCCCGGCATATGATGAGACCGGGCTCTGAGCGCCCGAAGTTCAATCTCGCTTGCTTGGCAAGTAAGTATAAGCTGCGCGCACGACGGCGTCGCCGTTCGAGCCGTCGCCTTCGCCGTAAGTGAGTGCGCGCGCGAGCGTGTTTGTGGGCGCCGGACGCGCCTCACGCGGACGTCGATCGATGCAAGTGCGTCATGCGATCGTGCGAGTCCGCGTCCGGATGTCGTTCGAGCTCGCAGCGAGACGTCGACCTCCCCCGCGCCGGCCCGGTCGAAGTACCTCGTCCGACGTCGAGCAGCCCCAGCCTGATCACGCGCACGTACGCGGTGGGAGGTCCGTGGTCCGTGGTCCTGGCCCGTGGGGGCGGATCAGAGGGGGGGCAGGGGCGCTGGCGCGCGCACGGGCTTAATGGAAAAGGGCCGGGTCCCCGCGGCGGTACGTAAACGACGGGAGGGTCCGCGGACGCCAGAAGCGCGCCTCCGCCATATAATCCCTGACCGCTGGGTGTTTGGGAGCGGGCTCGTGCGACGTGCGCAGGTGCGCGAGGCTGGCCTCGCGACGTCGACCTGATTAATGCCGACGCCGCGCGCAAGCGGGCGACGCCCAGCGACGCCCAGAGTCCAGACGGGGTTGCAATTCGAGAATCGAGGTCTCCCTTTGAGAGCTGGCATGAGCGGCCCTGCCGGACGACCACCGCGCCGGCCGCGGGCGTCGGGCGGCGCTGGTGGTGTTCGCGCGTAGGTACGTAGTGCTCACCGCCTCTGGCTCGCCAACGGTCGGGTTTACGCTTTTGCTTCTTCTCGCGACTGTCGAGCTCAGACCTTCGAGCCTCGAGCTTCGAGTTTCGGAGTCCGGACCTAGTACTCAAGCGACACCCGCATGCACCCCCCCCCCCCTCTCTGCAGCTGATCTCGGAGGCCCGGGCTATCCGCGCTCGACGCGGCCAACGTCGACCGCGGGGCCCGAGAAGGCAGCGCGCGCAGACCGGGAGCCCGACGCGCACCACGCGCGAGGTTAAGTGGCAGACAGGCCGCCGGCGGCCGACCGGACCCAGTAGATCCCGAAGGGAGGTTGCGGTGCTGCATCGGGCGGCGCGGAAGCAACGTGCGCCGCGGACCAGCGCCACTGCCGTCTTGAAAGTTGAAGTGCGTTGAACTCCCAGCTGCTGAGCGCGCGTGCAGTTCTGCGCGCGGTTCTCCCGCCTCCTTTCCTCCTCCTCCTTCACCTTGAGAGTCGGTGTTGCGCGAACGAGGCAGAGTCGGGGGCAGGGGGGTTGTGTGCGTGCGCATGTGCGTGGTGATAAAACGACGTGATTCATGCAGAGGAGGCCTCGCGACGGACGTCGCGACATGCGACAGAAAGTGGGCTTCGAGCTTCGCCCAGGCTGCCAATGCTTTAAATCTACGCTTGTCTGACGCGCCGCGGCCCTGTCCGCGCAGCATGCGCCTCTAATTTGATCGCTGCTGCTCGTAGCTTGCCCGGCGTTGGGAGCAGAGGATCGTGCGTCGAAGCTTGTACGAGGGTCTCTGTACATGCTAGTGAGTGAGTGTGAGCGGGCGGGCCTGATGACGTCCGGTCGTGCTGACCCGGCCGCCCCGGCGCGCGCGGGGATGGGATCTGCTGGATCTGGGAGGCGGGCGCAGTGCACCCCGCGCACCGCCAGGGCTCCGCAACCAGGATCGGAGGCTGGCTGGTCGACGCCGCGAGCCAAACGTGCACGGGCACAGGCCAGCGGCGCTCCACGCGCGATCTGGTGGAGATGGAAAGATCCCGTCGTGCGAGGACGGACGGGTGCATCGACATCGATCGACATCACACGTACGGCGGCTGCCTCAGGCTGTGGGTCGGCGTCTGCACCCGTCCACTCGCCTCCAGCTGCAGCCCCTCGAAGTCTAACGAGGAAGCACACACCGGCCCAGGCCCCCCTCCGGCTTCCTCGAGCCGGGTCCAGTCTGGCGGCCCTTCTCGCCTGTGATCTTCCGCCGCGCCCTGGCCGGCGCACACAGCGTCTTCTTATCGCCCACGTCGTCAGTGCATCCTGCCTCCGAAGACGGCGCTGCCGCCCATCTCGCCCGCTCATGAACCCCTTCGACGAATGCGCAGGCCGACCCCCCGCTCCTTTCACCTTCCCGCTTGCGTCGCAGAGCCGCTCCGCAGCCACGAGAAATTTTGGAGGAGGGGTTTCGCGCACTCCGAATTGGCTGGCCCGGGGAGGGAAACCTCGAGCCCAAACCCGAGCGTGCGTAACGGCAGCGCCTCTCAGCGCTTCGGCGCTCGGCGGCAGCCGCGGGTCTGCCAGTGGGGCATCGATCCAGCAGACGCAGACGCAAACGCTGCCTGGCGTCGCGGGACGACGAGGCCCCGCTCGCACCTCGCCCGGGGAGGGGGCGCGCGGACGCACCCCATGGCCAGCACTGCCCACGGCGGACAGGACCTCGCGGAGAAAACCTGTGCGCGCGCAGCGGCCGGACGACGCTTCCTTGGCCCCGTCGCTACTTCCCGCAGGGAACCAGGACGACATGGACCCGGTGCGGGCGTCGCGGGAACGATGTGCACAGGGAGAGGGCGGGAGGGAAGGACGCGCCCGGGGACGTCCGCGAATCCGATCCCGGGAGGATTGCCTCTCGTGCTTGGACGAAGTGAATCTCAGTGGGACAGGCCTGGGGGCCGCAGGGGGACGAACGGGCCCGGGGCGGCAAACGGCCACGGGCAAGTGCGATCGAGGACGTCTGCCCGCGCGAATCTCCTCAGAGGCCGGGACTTGCCAGCCACGGTGCACGTTTCCCGGGACTTTCCAGGAATTCAGGCCTCAGGTCTGGCCAGAGCGCCACTCGTTCGCTCGGGAATCGGCTGGCCATGGGGAGGGGGGGTACCGTAAGGCTTAAGCCACGCACGGATGGTGACCTCGAAGTCCGCAAAAAAGGGAAAGGCGTGCGTACGTACGTACGCGCGGAAAGTTCAAAGCTTCTTGGACGGCGGGCGAGGCTTCTGGGTGCCGAAGCACTCGGGTACGTGCGCGGGGCTTTCTGCGTTTCGCGGAGGACGTGCGGTCGTGAGCGATTCGACGATAATCCGAGTGATGGGCCATCTGATCTCTAGAGTGCTTGGGACGGAGGGCGAGTGAAGCTGTACGTACGAATAGAGGCGAAATTAGGATCGGATTGGATTGCAACAGAGAGGCAGCGAGCGTGTCCGAGCAGGGCCGAAGTTCGTCCAAATTCGAAACGTAACGGAAAACGCAAGAGGGCAGAGAGACAGACCTACAGGAAGGTATATAAACTCTACAGACTACAGTATACAAGCGTACGGTAGCGACTACTGTGGCACGGCGCGAGGCGGCCGGATAGGGGGAGCAGCGGTGTAGGGGAAGGGAGAAGCGGGATCAGCGCGGGTGCGGACAGCGGATGCAGCGGGGATAGCGGGAACTGGTGGGATAGCGGGAACCGGTGGGACATCGGGAACGGGGCCAGCAGAGGCAGAGGCAGAGGCAGAGACGGAGGCGGAGGACGCGGTCGACGTGCGGAACGACGCGAGCGGGACGCACGCGAACCGCGACGACGCCGACAGTCGTCGGTTGAAGTCCATGAGGCCGACGACGAACGACCGCGAGTCCGGGTTATATAGTCATACGACGTCTGTCCCCCGAGTCCGCCCCACGAGGCGCACGCTGCCGGGCCCGGCGGAGCTGTCGCCGTCCGACCCGCCGTCGAGCTCGAGGCCCTCGGTCGAGCCGCGGTTGAACAGCGAGACGCTCTCCTCCTCGTCGTCCGCCCGGTCCCCGCCAGGGTACCCCCGCCCGCCCGGCGAGCGCCCAAACAGGTGCAGGTGTCGCGAGCGCGACCCGGGCGATATCGGCGGGAAGTTGACCGCGAAGCCGCTGTTGCCCAGCGAGGGTGGCGCGGTGAGCGGCACCGCGGAGTCGAACAAGTCGCGCAGGGGCAGAACGGGGACGCCGATGTCGGGCGGCAGTGTCTGCTCGCCGTTAGCGCCGACCACGGCTTTAGCGGACCAGCTGCTGCTACTGACCGACTCGCGTTCGTCCTTCGGGGTCGACGCGTGTGGGACCGTGCGCCGCTCGTGTGTTGCGGTGTTGTCGCCCATGCCGGGTGTGTGGTATTGGTGCACGAGCTCCTCGTCGCCGAACTTGATCGTTTGCTTCCGCTGCCGCTGCGTGAACGGCGAGCCGAGCGACTGGCTGCCGAGCGAGCCAACTTCGACGTGCTGGTCGCCGATTTCGCCCGGTGTGCCCGGCATCGGGTTGTCGAAGAGCTGGTGCCGCTTCAAGCCTGCTAACGGGTCTTGTCCGCGACTGGGGCCGGGCGAGCCCGGCTGTCCGCTGATTCTTGAGTGGACGGAACCGCGGCTGGACATGCTCATTCTCCGTGCGCTGCGTGCGCGGATGATGCTGCCCATCGTCCCGAAGCTCCCGCGCAGGGCGTCCATCCCTGGGTCTTCGACCGCGGACAGGTTTTTCTCGTCGACACCTTCGGTGTTGTTCTTCGCCGCCTGTAAGAGCAACGTCGTCCGCCGGTCGAGGGTTTTGATCTGTGTCGGATCGATCTTCGACAGCTGGAGGACGGTGATGCCCACGCAAATGACCAAGAACCCCATGACGAGGGTGATGATTTGGGTGACGGGTGCGCTGAGACCTTGGAACAACACGATGGTTGTAACGATCGAAAAAAACGTGACTGCAGAACTCAGGTGAACAACATCTTCTATGGCCTGGGTGATACTGATCAACTCACAGATCACGTAGTAGGTGGGCGTGACTAGGAAACTGTCAGTACAGCCGAATCGCAGTGCATCGGCGGTTCAAATATCACGAACCCATTGCTGTCGTCAAAGAAAATGGGGTCAGCCCCAAATACAAATATATGACGCAGCGGTAGGCACTCACCAGTGTTGAAGAGCGCCAGCGCCACATTAAGATAATACACCTCCGTGACTGTTTAAAAGTGAGCATAGTCTAATTATAACGTGAAATCAGATGGGGCTCACTTAGCGTTACAGCGACGAATACGAGGAGGAAATACATGAACCAGAACTTGAACTGTAACACAATAGATGATCAATGATGGTGCCATATCAAACGGCGGCACGGCATCCATACCTGGTTGTCCCCCATGGCGGTGGTGACGATCGCGGAACCAAGGCCAGTCGTGACGCTGACGCTGATACCCCCGATCATGCTGCAGACCATGATGTACCACAGCATGCTCTTCTTTCCATACCTGAACAAACGGACAAGAAGTAAGCATCTCGCTCATTCGATCGACCGTGCACGAGTGACGGCCGTACCTCGGGGCAAAGTAGAAGATGATGACCAGGGCGGATGCGATGAGGATGCCGCCATAGATCAAGAACCCCGGTGACAGGAACAGCTTCTGGAACTCCCTGATCTGGCCAATGCTCTCTTCCTGAGGCCCTGGTTTTGGCCGCATCTCGTGAGCTCATAGAGGACCGGAAGAGAGCTGCACCAATGCCGTACCGTTGAGCGCTATGATGACCGAGCCCAGCTGACAAAAGCGGGGTAAGAAATGCGGGCTATTGTGGCACGGATGTCGACGTACGACGCAGAGGGCACAGCCGAGCCAACCAAAAAAGCTGAGCTTCTCGTTGAGGAACAACGAGGAGAGGATAGCGCAGATGACGACGGAGAGGGCGCCCATCGGGGTCTGATAGGATATGGAGTGGGAGAGCAGTCAGGGCACTGCGGCAGGGGAGGGACGGGGACGTACGACAACGATGGCTTCGACGAAAGCGTACGCTGGACGGGGTTGAGAGACGTGCGCGGAGTGGGTTTCCATGGCGTACTCACCTGCGAAATTGCATAACTCGCCCAGGATCATCACTATATGTGGTGTCAGGCTATCCCCGCCGAGTCAAGTGATGTCGAACGCACTGGTCATTCCGATCCACCATAACGGCTTGAAGGGCGTGAGCGGAGGAGAGGGAGGACACACAGAGTACAATGGCGCACCGACTTGAGATAAGCAACTCCCTCTCCTGCAGCCATACCCCTCTGCGAGCGGAGAAGACCCTTCTTCTTGAAGACGAAACTTGAGCCGATGAGGACGCCACTGGCAATGGCGAGGATGATACCGACGATCTAGAGACGCATGTGATAAGACAGTGGAGTGGACGAAGGGCAGGAAGAGAGACCTTGAGATTGCCAGGGACAGTGAGGGTGCTGCCGCTTGACGCTTTCAAGGAGGCGGAGGCGGAGGTCGACGTCGTGGAGGACGTCTGGGAGAACGTAGAGGACATGGCCAAGAACAGAAAGCGTATATCACCGGGCCAGCAGGAAGAAAGCGGCCCCTGAGGGCGGCGAGAGGGACAGAGAACAAGAGGATGGCGATTTGCTAGTGCCTGTCTTGGTGGCCTCTTCAAGACCGCACGACCGCTGTTTCGCTCTCCACCCGGCCACCGCACCGCAACTCCCACTCTTCCGGCCCCTGGTAGCGGCGCAGCACTGCCCGCCCCGGCCGGTGTCCTGCGCCATGACCTCATCTCTGCCCAACCGGCCGGCGTACCTCCTATTTGGGGTCGATGCCGGCCGGGCTCGGCCGTCGCGAGCTTGCGGTCGTCGATCAGCGCTTCAGCTCGAGAGCACCCTCGACCTTCCTTTAGACTTGTTCGCCGTCTCTGTTCCCTGGTTGCGTCGTCCTTTTGCTTCTCGTCGTCGCCCCTCAAGGCCTCAAGCTTAAGCTTAAGCTCCTCACGGACGGTGCCCTGGCGATTGAAACCACCCGGTTGTCGCCATAAATTGCTAGAAATTCGTGGCTTATACAGGCTGTCTGCCGCCGATCGCAACAACAGCTTGGGCCTGGACAGGCCCCGCCCGCCTCCGCCCAATTATACGCTGCTGGAGCTCTCTCTCTCTCCCTCGTCTCCGCACAGGACACCTGCACGTACTGCGCACACACCTCCCGGTTCTCACGCTTCGCCTTTGCACTGTCTTACGACCGGCCCGAAGTTTGTCCCTCTTGGCATCCCGCCTTCAGACGGATCAAGGGAAACGGCAAGCCATGTCGATTGGTTTTCGTTTTCCGCGTCGAGCTTGGGTCCGTGCTGCGGTGAGCCACATCAGACATTGGGGTGGCAGTCCAGGTGCGCAGCGTCGAGCCCACTCTCCAGGCCGGACGGACCACCAACTGTCTTATAACCAGGCAGTCGTACGACACATGCGTTCCGTCCTCCATGTACCTGATAGCCACCTCTGTGCAACGGACGCCCCTGTCTTTCCCGAATGCCGTCTGCTCGCCAGGGAAGATGGTCGTCGGAGCGAAGGGGCTCGGAAGATAGGTCAGTTGTTGGTCCATGCGAAAAACACGTACGGGCACGAGTGGTCGCACGATTCGTCGCGCACCTTGGGAAAGAGCACCGCTTGTCGCCTGGGCCTGCTGGCATCGTGGCGGGTGCTCGCTCTCACTCCACGGGATTCGTAGTACGGAAACCAGTCGTGTTGGTGCGATTCGGGGCTGGTTCCCCTGGCTGAGTGGTGAGTGGGGAGCAAAGGGGCGGTGGTCTGCGGCTGACGATATCTGGTGGCAACCTGCAGATTCCGAGCAGCGAGCTGGAGTGCTTGTTCCCATGCCACGAGCTCTGCGGTCAGGATCTGTCCCATTTGTCGTCGGCGCTCGTTCGCCCAGTCGAAGGCGGTGGCAGCTTTCTCCCACGTCGCCTGTGCTTCTTTTTACGGTGAGCAGCGGTTCGGATGGGGCATGGCGTGTACGTGCGCAGCTCTGGCGGCCTCGAGCACGGATGGATCGTTTGGGCGCGGGACTAGGCGGCTAGTCGGCTAGAAGATGCAGATGCGCAGCAAGTCCCCTGTCCACGTGCAGCGGTATGACCCGCTGCGGACCAGCCCACCGCCCGCGCCCCTCACCACAGGCGGGCCACACGCGAAAACGGCAGAAGAGCAGCGCGCGGGGGACGCGGATGCACGCCCGGCGGCGGAGCGCCAGTCGACGACGCCTTGCACGCCCAGCGCCCGGACCAGTGCTGTCGGCTTCCCACACGGAGCTGACCGCGCTTTAGCCAGCCACCCCTTCCCCGCGGATCCCGCCAAGCCCGGATTCAGCCTCCACGCTCCCACCGACGTCCCCTCACGCCTGTCTCCGCACCTCGCGCAGCACCTCCTTTCTCCCACCCCGCCACCACCTCCCACCCTTTCCTCATATATAGCCCCGGGTATTCTCGTGCACTCAATTGCCCGTCTTCCTCATCGCCATCCCCCGCATCATCATGCATCCACGACTCGCCCTTCTCGCTGCCCTCGGTCTCGGTTCTTCGACCGTCTTCGCACAGCAGCGCGTACGTCGATCCGCTTCTTCTTTCTCCCTTCCGTCTCATCCTCCCATCCAGGGCAGAGCTGGTTCCGACGATGTCTCCAGCACCTCTCCTTCCTCCACCTCTTCCGCCAGCTCCGCTGCCTCCAGTGGTGTCACCGGAGGAAGCATTTGCCCGACCGGAGTTCTGGGCAACAGTGGTTTGATGTGTATCTCGGGCGTCATCAACGGCACCACCACTCGCTGTGCGTCCCCTCTCTGCACTCATCCACGACGCCCGTTTAATGTGCGTGTTTCTATCCAGACACCCTTCAGAGCCAATCAGAGAGCTTCGGTTGGATGGCCATGTGAGTTTCGCGCAGCTGCACCAGTAGATCGACCCTCTCATATTTGTCGTCCAGCGGATTTGGAAAAACCATGGCGAACTCACCCATGGTCATGATGTGGACCAACAGCGATGGATCCATCACTGTGTCTCAACGCCAAGCCTCGGGCGAAGTCCCGCCCTCCCCCGTGTCCAACCCGCCGCGTGTGGCGACCGTCGACCAAGCCAACTCAAATCTCGCCGGCTCACAGCCGTCATTGTCGTTCACTATTGAAGTACGCGAGCGCGCACTGTTTTCGCGCATCTCATCTCGTGTTTCACCCTACTGACTGACGCTTGGTCCCTTGCACGTCGCAGACCCAAGGAAGCACGACCGTGGACATCATTTGGGCGTTCAGTGACACCAACCCCGGCAGCTCGGACAACACGACAAGGCTTTCCACGGGCGACATCCACGTCGACTCCGGTCCCGCGCAACTCGACCTCAGTCAGCCCGTCTCGAGCAATGGGACGGTCGCCAGCAGCGGCTCGGGCACCGTTGACGTCCCGCTTGTTCCGTTCCAGAAGATGATCGTCGCCCATGCCGTACTCGCCACCATCGGCTTCCTCATCCTCCTCCCTGCCGGCGCTATTCTCGCACGGTATGCCCGTACGTTCACTGGCGTGTGGTTCGTTGGCCACTGGCTCTTCCAGCTTGTGTTCGGTACGTACCCCTTGTCTCTTACACGTAATTCACGCGCTCACGACACCGCGTGCAGCCGGCCCCGTCATCATCGCTGGTGTGGCGCTTGGCTTCGCAGCGACCGACGCTGGGTCTGGTGAAACCCTGCTCCCCAAGAACCACAAGGCCACAGGTGTCAGCCTCATCGGGCTCTACGTCTTCCAGTGCGCCCTCGGCATCGTCATCCACTACTGGAAGCCCGCGTCATTCACCGTTAGCAAGAAGCGCCCGATCCAGAACTACGCACACGCCGTGCTCGGTCTCACCATCATCGGCCTCGCCTTCTGGCAGGTATGTTCCGAGTGCTATTCATATACGGACGCTGAGAGACTGACGAAATTGTTTTTGACTCCAGGTGCACACCGGCTACGCGCTCGCATGGCCGGCCACCTCGGGCCGCCCGGCTCTCAGCAGCTCGGTCAACACGGCGTGGCTTGCATGGGTGGTCATCATCCCGGTGCTCTACTTCGCCGGGCTCGCCTTCCTCCCCAAGCAGTTCCGCCAGGAGCGCCCCGCGCAGAAGCAGGAGGTCTACGCCGACGAGCCGCGCTACACCGACTCGTAAAGGCGTTCGCACACGGACTGAGCTCGCCGCGCCCCCGCGTTCCCGGACTGGGATTCTCTTTGCTTCCATTCCGTTCAGCATAGACGCACGCGTCCATCTGCCTCCCTTCCCTTGTCTACGCCATTACATAGCCCCCACCGCATCTTCAGAGATGAATGGACACCTCGCTCGCCCACGACACGCCCGCGTCGGGGCCTTCTGCTCCCCACCTGTGCCGCCTCTTGTTTCGCCCCGCTTCGTATCCCACGTAGACCCGCTCCGGACATCACGCTACCCCTCCTACAGATACAAATACTACATGTACACAGTCTTCACCAATCGTAGCGCACAGATTGCTAGTACGTACACCCGCCGCGCGCGGACGACCCCAACGATCCAGTGCACACGCACACACGCACCGCAGCCCGCACTCCGAATACCATGGCCTGCGTGCTGATACCTGTCGACGTCCGTGGGGACCGCCAAGTGACTCTCCAGTCCGACGAGCCAAGGCACCAGCCGGACGTCGCTATTCTGGGCCGCGCGACATAGCTCCGAGTTGAGCGCGCGTGGCGCGCGGCGGTACGGCGCTGCACCGTGTCATGCCATATGTAACGTCGTCGGACGGGCGTTCCCAAGCACGCCGACCTCGAACTGCCCCCAGCGTGCGCCGCGTGCGCTATCGATGGATTCTCACTGGCAGGGCGGCGGCGTGAGCTTGCTGTACATATACATAGGACGTCGTGCGCGCGGCGCTCTGCAGGCCAGCGCCAGCCCCCGCGGCGCCAAAATCGCTGCGCAGTGGTGCGGAAGCGCCCACTAAATACTGCTCCTCCTGGGTTCTGAGATCATCTTGCGCCTCGAGCTCCCGGTGAGTTCTGCGATCTCGAAACCTCGATCTTCGCGCCGAGCCCCGCGGCCGGAGTCGCGCTCTCACGTTGTAGGCAAGTAAGTATAGCAGACTTCGGACGGGGCGGGGCAGGGCAGGGCAGGGCAGGCAGGCCCAAACGCGTCGCGCGCCGCGCCTACGTGCGGATATGGACGTGCGTTCCCGCGTGCGTGCGAGTCGACGGGGGGTTGCCTGGCGCGGCGCGGGGGATGCGCGATGGCCTCTGGACCACTGGTGGGCACGGATTTAGCCTCCTGGCACGCATCGCGTTGTGCAGGTATGGGCGAGGCTCCTAGCGGTGAGCCCGTACTCGTCGGTCGGGCAAAGGAGAGCTTGTGGCCATAGAAGAGAGGGAGGAGTTGAACCCGGGTAGAACATCGGCGGCGACTGGAGCCTGAGGTGGTGAGGATGACGGTACGACCTTTGGGCCGGCGTTGGGCCAGCTCGAGCTGGCGGTGTGAGCATCTTGGACGTCGGGCCGCTCGGTCCTGTTTCGAAGCGGTTCTCTTTTTCCGCCTGGAACCTCCGGTGTATCGCCTTGTACCAAGACATCCTTGGTGGGGGGAACGCAGTGGCAAAGATCATTTGTAGGCATGCGGGATCCTTCCTGGAGTGGGGGTCCACGAGTCGCGCGTGTGGAACTGAGTGGCAACCTCAACGGGTGGCCGCTGCGAGGAGCACGCCCACCGCTCCCATGCGTCTTCCGCGGTGCCGGGGCGCGAGGAGAAAGGCTGCATGGTTACTAACTTTACGCAAATGCACCAAGGATACGGAGGAAGAAGTTCGTGCCTTCCACGCCGACCTCGTACACATCGAATACCTTAGCGACGCAGCACGAAGATTTCTTCGGCACATCGAAACCATTTACCTTCACCGAGAAGAAAGATGGGGTGTTGATAGAAGAGGAGAAGCGCGGCGTGTTCCTCGGAGAACTGATTCCTGAAGCATTGCGCAAATTCGTGCATACCGTGTTCTCGAAGAGATACGCACCTTTGTCCTCTTGGATGGCCTCTCAAAATCCTCAGAAAAGTTTTAGGTTGTCGTCTTGTGTGTTTAGCATTGGGTTGGCGGACTTGAATGCCGTCTTGCCAGTGGGGGACCACCAGTGTCTCAGGTGAAGGGACAACTGCCAGGAGGCGCCCAGGCGCGTCCCGAGGTATCTATCGAGCTGCCCACGTGTCCAAGCGTGTCCATCATCCTACTGAAATACTGAGCGCTGGGCGTTGGCTCTCCTTCGTCTCAACCACCATGTCTTCTCGCAACGTCTCTCAAGGTGTACACCCGATATGGAACTACGTCTTTGCTGACAATTGAGGTGACCAGTGACCGCAGGTCGGCACCGCCTCTGAACGTGTGGTTGTGAGAGTATGTACCTGTACATGCAAAGTTCGTACTTGAATAATCGTTACTAAGGAGGTCACAAGTAGGGCATAAGTTATAGCAAAAATGCACGAGCGCATGGTGGTACTGGTGAACTGTCCGTGTACGGAATAAACAGTCTCAGAGCTTCTCACTCAGCTCAAGCAAGCACCTCGCCACTGTGACCACCCCCTTCGAGATCTCCGCCCTCTCCTCCTCCCGCACCCGCCCCCACAGCCGCCCAAAGCGATCCGGGTGCCACCGCACCCTGTCCGGCATGCCCCCCGCGCGCACGAACGCCTCGACCTTCTCCACGTCGATGTCCCCAGGCGCTTCCGGCTGCCCGAGCACCGGCCACGGCACGTCCGTGAACCGAAGCCCGCCCTGCTCCGCCTCCTTCTGGCCCACGCCCGCCTGGAGCACGAACCAGCGGTTCTTGTACCGGGTCACCGCCGCGCGCGCCGCGCGCTCGCGTTCGGCCTCCTCCTCGCGCCGCCGTTGGAGGTGTGAACGTGTTCGGTGCGTCTTCTCGTCCGTCCGGTGACCGTCGTCTTCGTCGTCTTCATCTTCGTCGTCGTCGTCCTCTGCGCGCTCCACCGGGGACCCCGGGCGCGGCACCTGTGCCTGGACAGGCGCGCTGGCGGTGAGCCCGAGGAGATGCAGCTGCACCGCCGCGTGCGCGTACATCGACCACTGTGGTGACGCGAAGTGGGGGACATATGGCTGGTGGTGGTGGTGACGATCACGAGGATGAAGAGGGGGAGGGGTGTGGGGCGGCCGTCCGTGCTCGTGCTCGTGCGCCTGCGCATGGGGACGAGCGTGTGCGTGCTGGTATGGGTGCATGCGGCGGTGCGGTGCGGCGGGGGGCGCGCGCGCGGCCTGCTGCGCGCGCACCCAGCGCACCGTGTCCTCGTTCGTCGCGACTGCCTCCGCGATGTGCCCGTCGAGCGCGCTCGCGTTCGCGGGTGGCTGCGAGGGCGCATCGCTCGAGACGGGCGAGGCGGCTCGCGTCGAGGAGCCGGTGGGCGCGGACGAGGCAAACGGGGTCGGGGCGCCTCGCGAGTGCGAGTGGGCGCGGCGCGGGGAGCCTGGAAACGACGCCGGGGCGCGCCACCGCTCGCGGCCGTACTCAGCACGGTCGAAGTCGGGTTCGCTCTTGAGCTTGATCTGGTCGTCCAGCGTGCGGGCGGGGCGCGTCCTGCGCTGCGTGCACACTGCCTCAGGGTGCGTGCGCGCGCGAAGGTGGGATGGGGGGCAGGGCGAGCTCCGCGGGGAGATGTGTGAGCTGCTGCTGCTGCCTGAGGCGGAGACGGAAGAGGAGGCTACGGGCGCGTCGAAGTCCTCCAGCTTGGGAGATAAGGGCGAGCGAGGGCGGTGGACGGGGCGCTCGCGGAAGGTGGGAGAGAACATTGCGTGCTGGTGCTAGGCGGGGAAGAGTGATGGCTAGTAGCTGAGCTGGGTGGGTGTGGCTGGGTGGAAGCAGGCGGGAAGTCCTCGAATGTGGGAGGGGAGTTGGAGAGCAGGGGACCGAGCGATGTCGCTCAAATACCCCGGGATTAGAGACGCAGAGAGTCCATCCGCACACCGATCCCGAGTGCTCCTTGTGGCGGCTGGCGGCGGCGTCGGAAAGCGGCTCTGGGTATGCTCGCCCGATCGCCTGCGTTGCACATCCGGCATACCCGCCCGCGCGAGCAGCTCGAGGGACCGCGACCGGACAAGCAGCTGGAGGCGTCGCGGCCGGGCGAGCAGCTCGAGGGACGGCAACCCCGCGCGTCCGTGGGCAGGCGAGGCCTGCCACCGATCCCGGTCCTGCAACATCCAACGAGGCGCACTCGGACGGTTTCGGTGGGCGGAACCGCCCGTGGCGGGCGGCTGGATGGGTTGCTCGGATAGTCCGCTGTGTGCGTGCGGCCTCGGTACGTATGATCGCGATCGTCCTCGTAGGCTCGGTCGACAAGTATTCCGCCGATGCGCCGCCGGACAGAGTACTTGGACCCACGGCGCTCCACCGACGGCAACGGGCGGGCTCGGGCGCGAGCAATGGGCGCGAGTCGTCTCCATGCCCTCAGCGTCGTGACGCTGCGTGCCAGTCTGAGCCGACCAGATTCCGACGAGGCTGAGAACGTGCGTCGTGCGCTGACTTGTACGTAGGCATGGCGCACCTTGAGAAACGTACATCAACCGCAAGGTTTGAGCGGTATATAAAGGCGACCTCGGACCCCGGCAAACACACTGACCCCCGGTCCGGGTGTTCTCCGAGGGTTTGCACTGACATGGTTGTTTTTGGGGAATAGGTGTTTGAAGGCTGCTCCAGTTTCACACGCGACGCGGATGATATTCACCGCTGATGGGGCGAGCGCCCGTGGGTGCGGAGCGCCCGACTTGAGCTCTGCTTGTGAGCGTGCTCCACAAGTGATCATTTTCTGTACTTTCCTCAAAAAAAGGTGGGGAAATGCCGCTTTTGCAGGCTGCGAGCAAAAAGAACGGGAGGCAGCGGATAGGTTAACGTTTCGCGGGGGAGCGACGTGTGTATTGTTTCTGTGCGACCTGTATTATCGTACCGTATGCTATGTCTTCTGCGATATATATTCTTCCAAGCATTATACAACGCTGAGAATCACCATCGGTCTCGATAGCCGGGAGTAATCTATCTCAAGCCTCTTCGTACTTTTGGGCGAGCTACAAGACCTCAACCGCCTACTCCTGAAACATACATGTGTATGGAAACGCGACGGCACAAGAAAGATGTGGCGGATACAGCGCCATCAGGCTGACGCCTCTCCATCTTCATCTGAGACGGTCACAGCTGTTTCTGGGTAGTCGAATAGCAGCCTAGACTCGACCTCTGCCGCCGTGACCTGAACAACCAGGGATTTCGTCAGCGGAGTCGCGCTTCGCGCAAGTCAGATGCAGCTCACCTGCTTCGAGTCTGTAAGAATGTGCGGTGCGACGACGGCATATCCGACGCCCATGTCGACCATTCTCCCGGAGGAGCAACGGTGTCCCGTGGTTGTGCCAAGCGATGCGCTAACGTCTTGCCAACATCGTCATTGGGGACCACGAAGACGAAGGAGAGGCGGACGCCCGTCGGCGGCTCTGACGCGTTGAAAAGCGTCCGCATTGCCTTTCCGATCCCGCCGCCTCGCATCTGGTGCGTTCTGCAAAGTGTGACTTGCAAAAAAATGACGTGGGGCCAACCGTCGGCCGAGTCCCGTATGACCGCGAAGGCGTCGATGGTGGGGAAGCCTGCAGGTGCAAGGAAGAGTCGGTTGCGTACGTCATGGAGTGGCGATGCCTCGTCAAGCATGGACGGGTTGAGGGGAGGAAGGGTAAAGTTAAGCTGATCTTCGTTGAGCGTACAGAGGAGTGGCTCGCGAGTGCACCAAGCCAAGGCCAACGTCTCGAAAACGGGTCCAGCAGTGGTTCCAAGCGGGGACATCGCCTTGTACATGGCGAGGCGTTCGGCTTCCTGGGCCGATGCGATGAATTGAGCAACTCGGAGGCGAAGGTATGGCGTAGGAATGGTGCATTTGGTGACCTGCTCGAGGGTGTGTTCTGGTCGTGCTGCTTCAGAGCGTTGTATGAAGAAATATTGGTCAAAGCCTGAGTCGAAAGGCAGATCATCGTGGGCTGAGAATTTCTTAAATGCCCTCACAATAGATGATGTATGGGCGGGATGGATTCTGATCGTATCCAGCACCTTCGCAACGTCCTGCGACAGGCCTTGCTTACGCTTGATTGACTTCATACATGCACGTGCGGATGGTCCTAAGAAGCGAAAGATCTCTATCGGGTCATAGAACCCATCGCGACCCCGTCTAGAAGAAAAAAACAGGTGAGGCGAGCGAAACAACGTAACGTAGTCACTCACGGAAGTAACAAAATCTCTTTCTCCTACCAACAGTCCATAGGCCAGATTTTAGCGCGCATCTGCTTCTGGTACTCCTTGTAGTGGACCAAGTTGGGAGAGCAGGTGAGGACGATGGCGAGGTTCGCAACGTCAGAGAGATGTTTCTTGATATCGGAGGGTGGTTCAAAAAGACCCAATGTCCCGTCTGGCACTGCCTGTAACGACCCTGCCGTTCGGACCGTGGCACCGTTGTTATTGAAATAATAGAAGCCGCCAGCAGAATTAGCGAAGACAACCGGTCGCCGATGGTTTAGGGCTTTCAACAAGGCCCATCGAAGGAAAAGGCTTTTTCCTGTGCCATAGACAATGAGCTTGGCTCAAATATATTCTGCAGTGGCGCTTACCGATACCCGATTGCCCAGTGACAACAAGATTCGTGGTGTGCCCGGCAAGATAATCCCACAGACGGTTGTACTCCTCGCGAACAATCACCTTGAAGCGGTGTCCTGCAAAAAGGCGGTTTATGTCATCGCGAACATAGGTAACACCATCCCGTTCTTCGAAGGGATCCTCCCGCTCCCTCCACACTCGGCGGTGGACCTTCTTATGCCATTCTGCAAATCGGCGTTGACGGCGGGTAGTACGTAGGGACAGAGGTCAGCAGGAGGTATACCAGAACACGTAAATATGCTCACCGACCGCAGGAAGCGTGATCAGGAGCTTGACAGCGTCGCGGTCCACGCCCGCTAAGGGACGCGGGACATCCGAATCCACCGGTTCGGCAACTTCGTCGATGGCGGTCTGCACGAGAGTGTTACCGAGCCTATCCGCCTCTTCTTTGGTACCAGGACGCTCTTCGTGCAGCTGGACAATCGCCGTGTTCACCTGAATGCTCTGAGTAGGTGGGGGAGCACATACCTTCCACATCTCGGCCAGGCATTGCCATCTCTCGCCGAATTCCTCAGCGACCCGGCTTTTGAACTCCTGCATGGTTTGCGACGGGAGATGAGGTATGGTTCCGAGACTGACAGTGGGGTCGTCTTCGCGCTGATAGAAGAAGTGATCCATGTCGTCCTCGGTGAGCTGATGTGAGCGCGTTGTTGGGCGCACCCTGGGCCTCTTGCAGGGCCTTGCAAACGTCTCCAACATGGCGAGGTACGTGACCTTCGTTCGCGCTGCTACGTGGGCCTGGGATCAGGGCGAGTCCAGGGAGAAATGAGTGACTTCGGGAGAGTGGGGTCAGGGGTCAAACGGGTACTCAAGTACTCACCGACGAAGCAACCAGGGTGGCGGCAGCCGGCCCGGGCTTATGTAGCGGTGCTTTCCAGCTACATGAGTTTGCTCCTCTTGGTCGCAATGGGCGCATCCTTAAGGGGCTTTTGGGGTCACCGGAGGGTACGTGGAAGGTTTGCCTAGGGGAGACTATAAGTACTGGTGACCGGAGGGTCTCGTCCCCCTGCTCCTGCACTCGGCTGCTCGAAGCATCGGGCACGAGATCTCTTAGCTAGAGACCGCGGGGCGCAGCTCATGTAGAATGGTAGTGTATCGAAAAGCCAACACGATGGGCCATCCACGAGATGAGAGCGCTGTCGTTCTTTGCGGGTCGGCGTGGTGCTGCTCGGCTACGCCCGAGCTTGCCAAGGCTAATAGGATCTGGATAGTAGGCGCATGCATTGACCCCGAACCAGGGCACTGAGGCCGGACAAGCCATCGAGGTACGCAGCTACTACTCGGGCTCATCATCGTATGCACAGGTCCTTGACTAACGCGTCGTGTATACGCACAGGATGCGTTCATTCTGGTTTCCGTCCTCGGCCACCCCTCCACTGATCGCCAGACTTTGGAGACGGCGCTGCAAGCGTACGAGCGCGTGCGACTGCTCATAGCGAACCACGTCTTGCGGGGTTCCAGAGAATCCGGAGACATACGAGACGACCTGGCTGCGCTCGGACTACAAATCGGCCGGCATTGGGATCGGCTGTGGAAGTCGACGGCGCAAGGCGAGCGGGACAGGGCAATCGGGATGCTCCAGTCAACGAAAGCGAAGTTGTAGAGCTCCGTGTGGGTAGTGTACAATGCAAGGAGGTGGTGCTCTACGACTGCTGCTTGAGCTTCTCCACGAGCTCCGGGACCGCGGTGTACAAGTCCGCGACCAGGCCGGCGTCCGCGACTTGGAAGATGGGGGCCTCCGGGTCCTTGGCGGGGATGAGCGCGAGAAGGGAGCGAAAAATTCCTAGACACGCACCTTGTTGATCGCGACGATGAGCTTCGAGTCCTTCATGCCCGCGAGATGCTGGATGGCGCCAGAGATGCCGATAGCCATGTACAGCTCCGGCGCGACGACTTTGCCCGTCTGCCCGACCTGAAGCGAGTTGTCGGCGTAGCCCGCGTCGACCGCCGCGCGCGACGCGCCGATTGCGGCCCCGAGCGCGTCCGCGAGCGGCTCGAGGGTCGCGTTGAAGGTCTTCGCGTCCTTGAGCGCGCGGCCACCCGAGACGATGCGGCTCGCCGACCCGAGCTCGGGGCGGTCCGACTTGGTGAGGTCTGTCTTGACGTGCTGCGTCGGACTGGAGGCCTCCACGGGGTCGACGGCTTGCGCTTCTGCGGACACGCCTTCGTCCGCAGACGAGGCCTTGAATGCGGTCGAGCGGACGGTGAAGAACTTGACGCGGAGGGACGAGGGGGCCTTCACGGTGGCGATGGCATTGCCGGCGTAGATGGGGCGGGTGAAGGTGGTGGAGTTGGACGCACTGTCGTGCACGAGCGAGGTGATGTCGGAGACGGCGGGGAGGTCGAGTTGGGCAGCGACGCGGGGGAGGATGGACTTGGCGGCGGAGGAGTGGGCGGAGACGACGTGGGTGTAGGGAGAGCTTTCGCCGAGGAGCTTCTCGAGGAGGGGCGAGACGGCCTCGGAGACGGAGTGTGCGTACTGCTCCGACGCGGAGTGCAGCACAGTCGAGACACCCTTCAGCCTGCATATACATGCGTCTGAGATTGTGACGCTGAGTGATAAAGAGGACACTCACTTCCTCGCCTTCTCGACTACCCCCTTGACCTGCTCCGGAGATCCAATGACAAGGCCGGTGACCTGTCCCCCAAGTTCTTGGGCAGCGGTGAGAGCGGAGAGGGAGCCGGCGTCAATGATGCCGTCCCGGTGCTCGAGGAAGACGAGTGCGTGGGGGCCAGGAGCAGTGGCATACCGCCTGGACAGTGGTGCGGCACGAAGAGCTGAGCGCAGGCGGAGCATGGTGGGGGTGTAGGGAGGAGGCGGCGGACGACGCCAGAGAGTTCCCCGCGTCGTGTTACTGCCCGCGTCCGATTCACGTGCATCGTGCCGTCGGACATTTCGGATTCGCGCTGGGGCCGTTCAACAACTTCCACCCCAGCGCAAACGACGACTCGCATGTCCCTCAGACCGGGCTACCAACAGATGTCTTGGCCAGTAATGCACATCCCAAGTGCTCTTACAAGTCCGGGATAGACGTGTTCAGATTCACCTCAACCGCCAGCACCTGTGCAACGAAGAGCCGCGGGGATGGTCCAGAATACTGGCAACATACACAAAGTCAGTGTCCAGCTGTAGTCATCTTTTCCTTGTATTTTCTAGGCCTCTTCCACCCCTTGATTTCCTGTTATCGTCAATCAGCATTCCCAAGGAGGGCGATGTGCTGCGGTAGTGCGGTCGCCCCCCAAACGTCAATTCGCAGGTTCAGCTCTCTCCAGACCACCTTCGACAGCGCAACTGAACGTACCACCCTGTCCTCCAACCTCCACTGTCACCATTCATCGCAGTAACAAGCAACGAAGGATCAAGTGTTGAGCGCTGAGCTACAAGGTTTGTGCATGGTGCTCCTCCACGTTTTCCTCTGCTGATTGTTGTCTCTGCCCTCCACCGCAGACCCTCCTACTCCCATGGCCTCCATGGACAACCGCTCAGTATGCCGATTTTTCAACACCCCCAGTGGTTGTCGTCGAGGCGATAGCTGCGGGTTTCGCCACACCACCGGACCTCCCTCCCCTAGTCGCGGTAATCCAGGTCGAGGAAGGGGTGGCTTCACGCCCCGTCCTTCCAGGGCCCCGCGAGGAATATGTGACTTTTACTTCGATCGGGGTTTCTGCACACGCGGCTCCGACTGCAATTTCTTGCACGAACGCCCTTCCGACGCAGTTGCCCGCGCCACTCCCAATGGATCATCAGCCCTCGAAGACGTTGCGGCTCTGCTGAAGCCCGCAGCACTCGCCAGAATACAAGGTGCAGGAACCGATGGCTTCTTCGGCACACCGATTGGACAGATGAAGCCGTCCGACGTGGAATATCATATCAGGAGGTTTTTGGACGACAGTTATCGCTTTCGCTTTGCCGCCGATGTTTACGGTTTCCTGGCGCTCGTCAGCAACGCGAGTTCTGGGAACGAGCATTGGGTAGGTCAGAACTTATTGTATGCTAGCCACTCACTAACTGTATTCCACCAGTCTCCTGAAGATGGTCAGGTAAGAACCTTCCCGAATCTCATTGACGAGATAAGTTTGCCTAATGATTCGCAAAGGTCTTCTTGGCTTTGATCGGCAGCGTGAGTATATCAGTCTTGCAGATTTGTCTCAATTGCATACTGAAACTGCGACGCAGGACAACGGGCTCTTACGCATCGGGGACATCCTATCCTGGAGCGACGTTTCTGTCTGTCCAACATCCAGGACCTGCTTGTCGTTTGGAAGGGGCTACATTCCTCTTCTCAAAGTGCGTGCATATTAGACCCTAAGACACCGCACGTGCTCATACTCTTATCAGTACCTTTCTTCTGACTGGGTTGTGAAGAGCATCACAAGTCGCATCGTCAAGCAAGTGTCTCGTTGCACCGTGGCATCGTCGAGTTCACGCTAATCCAATCATGCAGCGCGCTATACTCTGTCATCATGGAACATTTCGATCAACTCTCGGAGACGATCACCTCGTGCATGAAAGACGCGTTGGAGGTCCGCAAGTCTTTCAAGGAACCTCACCAGACACAGTTGATGGGAAGCGCAATACTGTCCTCAATCGTGCAAGTGCTCTTTGAGTATGTGAATTATATCATCTGTCCCCACGACGCTGACCCACCGTTTGCTCTCCGCACTCGAAGATACGTCACACGCTTCAAAAATGCTACAGCAACGCATCCTTCTCTCTACGACCTCGTCATCAACATCCAACAGTGGACGACTGCCTGGATCGAAGGGATCACCGCAGAACCGCCCACGTTCGACGATTCCATCGCCGGCGCACCTCCTCAAGCTCGTCACTTCGTTGTCGAGAGGCTGTGCGGTCTGGTGGATCGTCTCACCACGATTGTAGAGAGGAAGCATCGAGACAACACCCGCGTCAAGGAGCAAAAACGCAATCCATTGGCCTACTCTAGTGATGAAGGCATTCTCGCTGCTCTACACAACGCCTACGAAGGTCCCGGAACAGCACGCCCTGAAGGCCCACGTCATGACAACGACTTCATTGAGATTGGGTCTATCCAGATTGCTCCCACTCACGACGAACTCACGTCTCGTCTACACCCCTTTCTCCCCGCGAACATCTATGGCGCTCCTCATCCATTAGATCCTGAGAGCATGGAACAACTGTTAGACATTCAATTCCGACTGCTGCGGGAAGAGCTTACGTGAGTTTGCACGTTTTCCGAGCATCGCACATATATGCTGAGCCGAGTTCCAGTGCGTCTCTACGAGCTTCGGCTCAAGCGATCCTTTCGGACCTCGACCTTCAAGCACAAGGCAAGCGCGCTCAGCTCGACGAGCTGCAGAAGAAGGGAGGAGGCAAGTATCGCGGCCATGCGGTCGGCCAAGACACAATCATGTTCAACGTGTACACCAATGTCGACTTCCACACGATCGCCCCCAGCTACCGCGGGCTGGTGGTTGGGATTGGCATGGACACCCCTCCCGGTCGGGCTCGCAACGCCCAGGCCGCGACACGCGCCCGCTTTTGGGAAAGCATGAGTAGCAAGCGCCTCATGCAGGGTGGTCTGGTCGCACTCGTATGGCAGCAACCAGGCAGGCAAACCGAAGTACACCTCGGCACCGTGGCAAGCTCCCTTAAGGACCTCAAGGAATCGGCAAGCCACAGCGCCGACAGGGTCAACATCCGCGTCTCGTTCTTCTCTCCCGAGGTTGAACTACGCATCCTTCAGGACCTCCGCTTGCAGGCCGACAAGCAGTCCACCAAGTTGCTCATCGAGGCGACAGTCATGTTCGAGTCCGTCCGCCCATTCCTGGAGGCTCTGCGCGCCGAGCCCGAAACCATCCCGTTCAGCAAGTACCTTGTCCACCACCCACCCGAGTTCTATCAAAATGTGCAAGTCAGCCCGCCTGCATACACTTCAGTTCCAGAACATTGTTTCCAGCTCTCGTCATTGTTCGACCCAGCGACCGGCATCGACGATCTACGGTTGGTAGCCAGCAGCCCTGAGTCTATCGAGAATGCGCGCGAGACCCTGCGCAACAGCAGCGTTCTTGACCCGAGTCAAGCGGATGCAATGATCGACTCGTTGACGAGGGAAATAAGCCTCATTCAAGGGTAAGTCCCCATGATATCATATATCGGTGCATCACCTCATTCCTTGTTGCCTATTAGTCCTCCGGGAACCGGGAAGGTGCGTCATCATGTTCGTCTTTTGGGATGCATTACGGGACTAATGCCAATGCAGAGCTTTACAGGTGTCAAGCTTCTACGAGTGCTCATCGCCAACAAAGCCGGGCCCATCCTTCTGATTGCGTTCACCAACCACGCTCTAGACCACATGCTGAGCTCCGTACTCAACGAAGATATCACCAACAACATCGTCCGTCTCGGCTCGCGCTCCTCCGACGAGCGCATCTCCAAGTTCTCCCTCGAGGAGGTCGAGCGTGTTGCGGGACGCTCTCGTTTCTCCGGCAGCGTGGCTCGCTATCGTCACGAGCTCCGTAACGTCGAGGAAGAGATCAAGAAGTTCATGGACGAATTCTTCAAGCGCGAAGTGGACCCTCAAACCATCCTCAACCATATCCGCTTTCAGGCCCCTATCCTCCACGAGTCTATCGAAAGCCCCACAGGGTGGACCGAGGTCGTCTACAAGCTTTTCTCGGAGAGTGAGGCTGGCTGGCGAGTTACGGGGGCGGGCGGTAAAGATGGTGGAGAGGTGGACCGTTCGGTGTACGGCTTTTGGCTCCAGGGCGGGGACATCACCTTCCTCAACGACGCTCACTACACTCTTCGCCATCGTCAACCTGCACAGCAGTCGAAAGCCGGTGCCCAAGCACCCTCCAATCGCTTCGACGTCCTTCAGGACGAGTCCGTGCCTGACGCCGACGATGAGGTGGAGGCCGAAGACATCCCTCCCTCCCCCAACGACTCCAACGCGGCAGCCGCAGAGGCTGCACCAGAAGAGGAGTGGCTCTTCGAGATGTTCGACGACACCCCCGAAACCGCGCCGGATGTAGCAGAGCAGCCTTTCCAACCACCAAACGAAGCCGAGCCACCCCAGCCCCACCCAGTGAGATTCGTCCGGACGACTTCCACGACGTGCGCCAGTTCTTCGTCGCGTACGGCTGCCCCGACGTCCCTCCCGTCCCCACCACGACTCGACAGATCGAGGTTCTTCGTGATCAAGAGGACGCTTGGTCTTTGTCGGCTGACGAGCGTCTGCGCCTGCACGAGGCGTGGTCCAACGAAGTCCGTCTCAGCGCCCGGGAGATGCAGACGGCGGAGTTCCGGCGGCTCAGGGAGAAGCATGCTGCCGCCGCACAAGCGTACTCGGAGGGGCAAGCTGAGGTGAGCAGTTGTGTTTTCAGGAGCAGATAGTCGCTGAGCTGACGACTCGTGAACTCCTTCCAGGTCCGCAAGCAGCTCCTGCGGAATGTCGACATCATCGGCTGCACAACCACGGGTGCGTGCCGCGACTTCAATTCACAATGCCAAATTGATTTCTCACTCATCGTGGCATTGCACTATAGGCGCGGCGAGGCTAACAACTCTCCTCAAGGTACGTGATTTGGCTGCGATGAAAGCTGCATGTTTTGACTTTGCTGTAGGGAATCGGCCCGAAGATCGTCCTGGTGGAAGAGGCAGGCCAAGTGCTGGAAGCGCACGTTCTGGGCAGCCTGGTACCAAGCATTCAGCACCTGATCCTCATCGGCGATCCGCTCCAGTTGCGGCCGACTCTGAACAACTACTGTGAGTGTCCGTCGTCCGTGTGATTTCAATACGTGCTAATGCCTCTCTGATAGCGCTGTCTATGGACCATTCGCACGGCAAGCTGGTCTACAAGTTCGACATGTCTTTGATGGAGCGACTCTCTTCGTCGGGCCTGCATATGTCACAGATCAACGTGCAGCGACGCATGCGCCCTGAGATCTCGGATTTGGTTAGGTATATAGTCGCTCTGATATATTCTGGTCATTGGTGAATCTGACATCTTGGGGACATCCAGGATGACTCTTTACCCCCGATTGCAAGACCATGAGGTCGTCAAGAACTACCCCAACGTCCAAGGCATGACGAAGAACGTATTCTTCATGACGCATAATCACAAGGAGAACGGCGGGGAAGATGACTCCGTGAGCAAGTATAACCAGTACGAGGTACGTAAGCTCTGCTGCTCTGATAGTTGGCTCATACGAAGATCTAACACTTGAAACAGGTCGACATGATCAAAGACCTTGTCATGTATTTGCTCCGGTAAGCATCACTCCTCCATTTGCGTCTCATGCAGTGTTCTGATGGTGGTCCTTAGGCAAGGGCCCTATTCGGAGGAAGGAGACATCGTTGTACTGTGCGCTTACCTAGGGCAGCTATCTCGCCTGAGGGAAGCTTTGTCAAACGAAGTTGCCGTCGTGCTGGACGAGCGCGACAAGGCTGATCTCGACGACCGGGAGGCCGAGACTGAAGATGCAGGCACGTCGTTTGAACTCGTCAAGGTTTCGCGGAGGGTAGGCCAGCTGGCTTTCAAAGGCAGTATAAGCTGACATCAACGTCGCTGTGCTTGTCATAGGTCCTCTTACGCACGATCGACAATTTCCAGGGCGAGGAGGCCAAGGTGCGGCTTTCGCATTGATCGGAACTCGCCAGTATCTTACAATTGTCCAGATAATCATCCTATCCCTCGTGCGCAATGCAGGTGGCTCAGAGGAGGACAAAACCGCTCGCGGCCGAGTCAATATTGGATTCCTACGGGTAGGCCTGACTCCACTACTCCCTCGTCCAGGACACTGATTCCGAGACCACACGCACTAGTCCGCCAACAGAGCTAACGGTACGTCATGCATACGTCGGAGTTCGCAATTTCTCTCAAACCTTTCCCATCATAGTTGCGCTTTCCCGCGCTCGTGAGGGCATGTACATCCTCGGAAACGCATCAAATCTCTCTTCCAGAAGCGACATGTGGCATACCATCATCGACGAGCTGCGGCAGCGAGACTGCTTGGGAGAGGCCTTCCCCGTCGTGTGCCACCGCATCCGCAAACAGTGCACTTGGTTTCGAAGCCAGGGCAGCTCCCTCGGATTGCTCCTGATGGCGGGTGTCTCCAGAAATGCGACACGAAACTGAAGTGCGGACACTTGTGTCCCTACAAGGTATGTTGTTCCCGGATTTGCACGGTTAGTTAGCTGATCGATCTGCACAAGTGTCATTCCGACGACCCGCGGCATGTGACGATCTCCTGCGCGCAGCGCTGCACTCGGTTGTGTCCTCGGGGTCACCCGTGTCTCAAGCAGTGCGCGGACGATTGTGGAGAATGTCGCACGACGATCACCAACGTCGAGTTGCCCTGCGGACACGTCGCTGCGCAGGTGGCCTGGTAGGTTCTGTTGAATACCATCGACCGCCGTCCCTGACGAACATACACTGCAGTTTCCAACTCGACAACCTCGACACCGTGCATTGCCGCGAGCGGGTTACGAAGACATTGCCAACTTGCGAGCACGAAGTCGAGATGGGTTGCTCCGAAGACCCCCGTCAACACTACTGCCGTGCTCCTTGCTCCGGGATCATGGGCTGTTGTGGTCGTACCTGCAGCGCGTCGTGTTTCCAGTGCCAGTCTCTGAACCAGCCCGCTCCTGTCGAGAATGCGGCCGAGGACGCTCAAAATGCGCCAGTCACGGTCGAGGCCATCAAGCGTGTGGAGCATTCCGAGCATCCTTGCCAGCGGTCTCTGTTCTGCGGGCATCTCTGCGGAAAGCCTTGCTCGACGAATCACGAATGCACCACCGACTGCAAGGAGCGATGCCGCCAGGAATGCGCCCATGCGCGCTGCAAAGATTACTGCTCTTCTCCGTGCGCGCCCTGTCAAGAACTGTGCACTTGGTAAGCCCCTGAGGTCGCCTGTTGCCTTCGCATTCTAACAAGTTGTACCTTAGGCGTTGTGCTCACCACTCGTGCCCCCTTCCATGCGGATCTGTAGGTCACTATATCCCTTACGTTTACGTCTGCTGACGTGATTTTCCTCAAGATATGTGCTCGTCTTCCCTGCGATAAGCGTTGCGAGCAGACTCTGAACTGCGGGCATCGCTGTCCGTCTGGTCCGTGTTTAGCATATTCTTCCATAGTGCGCGACGATCTCACCAAACATGATAGTATGCGGAGAGGACTGCTCCCTCCAAATCTGCCCCCAGTGCGCTACGGAGGATCGGCGGGCGGATATCGTGGATCTAGTCATGCAAACAACTTTGGGAGATATTGATTTCGAAAGCGAAAACACGGATGAGCTCCTTATCACCCTTCCAGGCTGCGGTCACGTCTTCACGGTCGAAACTTTGGATGGCATTTGCGAACTCGACCAGTACTATCGCCGCGACAATCAAGGCAAATGGATCGGCCTCCAGGCTCCACCGGAGGGGTTCAAGCAACCTCCCGCATGCCCAACGTGTCGTACCGCCATTACGGCTCCTCGATACGGGCGCATCGTCAAGAGAGCGGACCTGGATATCCTGGAGAACAACGTCGCGTCTCATATGTCGAAGTCGCTCAAAGCTGTCCATGCGAAGCTTGCCGCCGTTTCCAAAGACGTACTCAAAACAGCGGTCGAGGCGCTGGCAGCTCAGGCTGACGCGAAGCCCTCCAAACTCTCTACGAAGGAGTTCAAGGCGCTCCAGCTTGAACAAACGGCGCTCCTTCGGAAGGTCCGCGCGACGCCCCTCTCTCTGCAGGAAATCGACCCGCTGAACGCAAAGCTCCATGGTCTTCCGGTTGAGGAAGCGAGGGCTTGGAAGAAGCTCGTATTCCCTCTCTTCACGGCCTACAAGGACGCCGCTTCCTCCACAAAATTGCGCCCCGCGCACACGCACGCATGGGAAGCCTCGTACACCTACCTCTATCAGAAGGAGATGGACGAGATCGCCGCAAACCCTACTACGGCCCCTCGTAACCCCAACGAGTACGCCATGCGCGTCGCACGCCTCAAGGTTGGCCAGCCTCCACCGCGCGCGGACAAGCGCTTCCTCGTCGAGACTTTTTGGGTGACGATCACCACTCGCCTCACGCTTGCCGAGCTCGCGACGGCATGGCTGGAGACCGTCTCCGCGCGTCCGCCCAAGGAGTACCCCCCCAACAATCGGCGGATGTGGGCCTCCTACGTCTCCTTCCTCCTCCGCGCGTGTGCCACAGACGTGAAGCAGGCGCTAGACATCACTCGCGCGTCCGAGAGCCATCGCCAGGAGGCCAGCACCGTGCTACTTATGCTCCGGATCGAGCTCGAGCAGTTCCGCTTCAACGTCCAGATGACCAAGCATGCCGCAAAGGCTATCACTATCGAGGCGCGCACGAAGCTCGCGGACAACGCGGGGAAGAAGCAGGCCGCGGCGCGCGAGGAGATCGCAGGGGTGCGCGCGCGCGCGGCCGCCGGATGGCGCGGCGGTGCCGCGGGTGCGACGTGGCTCCGCGCAGACTTCATGCTCCCAGCGGAGGCGATCGTCGACGACTGGAAGGCGCTCGAGCGGTCCTTGCGCCTCGACACCTTCTACCAGCCTGTCTCGCACCAGGAGCTCACCGAGGTCGTCAAGGGGCTGGGCAGGGAGTTCTGTGAGTGCCGACGTCGCTCTCGCTTGCATACGCAGCGTCTGACATGATCATCGCAGCGCACACCGGCCACTTCTACAAGTGCCCCAACGGCCACATATTTGTCATCGGCGACGTGAGTCGATCCACTCGCTGCTTTTCAGTTGAATCCGATCGCTGACGGGAGTGTAGTGCGGAGGAGCAACCGTGGTGTCTCACTGCAATGAATGTGGAGAACGTATTGGTGGGACCGGGCATACTCTCCTTGGGACGAACACCCAAGCTCACGAGCTTGAGAATATTGCTAGACAAGAGGGATACGCACAGAGCCCGTGGCAGTGGGCGCAGGGGGCATGAATGGGACATTCAATTCGGCAATTTGGCTCAAGGTTTGCACGGGCTGTAGCAGATATCAGTTTGTATATGCAGTAACGATGCAGTGTACAATTAGAGGCAGTAGTGCGCGATCATACGTTTAAGATCTATTCGTTTTCGTTGTCCCTTGAACCAGCGTAAACGTCATGGGCTCCCTCAGCATTTGGTGAGTTAGTGTTGGCGCATTCCGTGATCTATCGCCACAGGCCTGACATATAATGCTACAAGACCAAGCAAAAGACTGAAACAGAGAATTCGCCGAATTGATGAGTGTGTTCAAATGGAAACGTGACCGTACATTTGACTGATCATGGCATCTGCTGGCAACAAAACACGTTACATTCGTCTTAGCCCATTCGCATTCATTACTCAGTAGTCCTTTCGCTCTCCGTCTTCTGCTGGCTCTCCTGCAATGTCTGCAAAGAGGCGGTCATTGAGAACTATGGCCTGAGCGAACAAAAACGGCATCAATAAATGAGTCAACTCACCTCTGCCCCATTGCGGTGGATTGAATGACATGCTCACTTCTTCAACATCACCTCTCGGCCCGCCTCGAAGATGGCGATTGGACTATCCACAAAGAAGCAGTGGTGTGCGTGCCGTCCTGGTCTGTCTCTGTCTCCGCAAAAGCATGGTTGGTAGGCAACTCCAGCGCGCGGTGGAACAAGACCCGCCGATAGACGTGGGCATCACGGAGCGCCGACGATTCGTCAAGGATGGCGGCTCGAGACGGAGGAGGTAACCTCTGGCTGATACGTCGAGTGTGCAGAGGATGAGACCCTGAGTGCACAAGACGTCAGCCGCTGCTATTTGCACGAATCTTCTAATCACGGCATAGTGGTCGACGGAGTCCTGCCAGCGTCGCTGCGACAGCTTGCGAGAGTAACCAGGTGGGGACGAAGCACTTGGCGGTGAGTGAGAGGCTGACCGTCGGTCGGTCGTAGACTGCGAAGCCAAGGCGTGTGAAGTTGAGGCTGAGTTTCAACTCGTGCTTGGGGAAACTCGTGCCACATACTACGGTCTAATGATCTTGCCTCCCCACTCCGTTCAGGTTCAAGTATCCTCGGAGCCTTGCTCCCCTTCGAAGCACTATGACGGTAATTGAGGAGGCGAGTGAGTGCTGTGTTGTGCTCACCGGACACTGACATGAAGCAACAGCTCAAACCATGGTCTGCCCTGCGTCACCTCCCCAACGATGGGATCATCGGTCTATTCAAGGCGTCTTCGCTTACCCTAGGCAAACCCGCCTTCTGGGCCAATGTATACGTTCGCCGTATAGGACTCGACATTGTGGCGAAGTTTCCCACCATGCCTAGCGAGGCTCGCCACATACAAGCTGTTCGTGCCCATACGTCTATTCCCATCCCCACCTTGATCAGGGAATGTCACGACTCTGCCGATCCGAAGGACGTTTGCCTTGTCCTTGAATACGTTCCAGGACGCACTCTTGACCAATGCTGGTCCGAGCTCTCTATTTTCCGCAAGCTATGGATCATCTGGAAGCTTAGGCAGTATGTGAAACAGCTGCGTGAAATCCCTCATACCACACCCTGGCCGGGCCCTCTCGGCGATACCCCTCAAACCTGTGTATGCGAAGCACTGTTTAGTCCCACTGTGAGTCCGTAGTTCATCTCATCGTGGACTTTAATACTAATTGTGTTGATAACCCAAAGGACGCTGGGCCGTTCGCCTCGTACCCCGAGCTTGTCGATTGGTTTCATTATAAGTACGAAGTCGCTCAACGCATGAACAAGGTAGTTGCCGGATGCGGCCATCTCCAAGACCCCGGACCCTTTCCCTCACAGTCGCCACTTGTATTCACTCACCTCGACCTCAGTCCACGCAACGTCCTACTCGGAGACGACGGCCAGGTCTGGCTCATCGACTTCGGCCTCTCAGGCTTCTACCCGCAGTGGTTTGAATGGGCGATGATGTACGAATGGGTGTCACTTGGTTGGATTGGGAGGTTCGCGCGACGAGTCATCGCCGGTTCTTATTCGAAGGAGGCGAAGTTCATCGGCTACATTGGATGGGCTATAAACGTCGGATACAGGATGTAGCGCTATTCTGACTGCATCGACGGGAATCAAGATATTTCGACGCTGATACATACTAATAGTACATCGTTTGAACTTCGAGACTATCTGTTTCTCAGTGGTGTACCTAGTACAGTTTGAAGACTCAAATACGCACCTGGGCTACGCACACAATGTGGCGTCCCTATCTTGACGTACGTCGTTCGGTTCCTGTACGTGTCGGCCGCTTGAGCTAACATGCTTCAACATCTGTCGCAACAACACGCACCCAGTAGAACGACACTTGCTGGATGAGCATAGGTACAGACTCGTTCCCCAGCTCGCGATGCAGCTGGCATGCCAACGTTCCCGAGCTCCTGGTGCAGGGCTTCGAACCACGACTCGAACCACCCCGTCCCCTCGGGCGTGATCTGGTACCGGGTCGTACGCGCGTTCGTCGATAGGACCATATGTGCGCCGAAAGCAGACATCGAGCATCGCCCTCTGGTGAGACCGCGGGCGGCGGGGATGATCTCGAACACGGTCCTGTGAGCTCATCTGCACCGCGTGTATACGATCTTCTGGGAGCTCAGATTGAGTGGGGTCGCGAGCGGCATTGGGCCCGTGCGTCGTTCCGCAAACACGCTGCACCGGGCCTATTCAGCGAAAGGCCTCGGGGCTGGGCATGACACGACGCATACCGGATGGGGGCCAGGGACGCAGCCGCGCGCCGTTGAGGGTGGGAGTTGTTTTGAGGGGAGGACAAAGCCCATGGCACGGCGCAGTGGCGGGTGCTTCTTCAAGTTGTTGGCACCGAGGATGAGCGGGGCGGGGCGACCGGCGCGGCGCGGCGCGACTGGCCGTGTTGTCTCCACGGTTCGTCGGTGTTCCGTGCGGAGACACCCATGTATAATAAGTGCAGGGTTGAAACGTTCGCGCAACGCTCACCGGCCGCGGGGGACCGTCAGGAGTCGTCGTCCCGGTCTGTGGCACGGGGTGGAATGCGTCGGCGGAACGCAAAGGGGATTTCGTGGGGCGCGCACGCCTCCCGGATCCGGGTACACGGTGGTGCGCGCACGCATCTCCCGAAGGGCGTGCGGTAGCTGGATGAGCGTGGTAGTGAGTATGACACCTAGGGGCCGGGGTGGTCGCGCGAAGCGCTTGCGTGATTGCTGACAAATCTGAACTGTGTCCGGCGCTTCGAGCAATACCTTCGCTGATCTGCCCCAATTTGCGCACCCCCACTGCCCTATAACTGGAAGCCAGCTGTTATGCATCAGCAAAATGGGTGCATGCACGACAGGGCTCTGTAGTACACTGTAGTATGTCAGATAGCGCTATCATTATTTGTAGTTCAGACGAGCAATGATCCGATAGTATCCATGTTTGGTAGATTAACGGCGGCGACGATCAGCATTCATCTGCATCTGTCGGACAAGACACCGTCCGATCGGGCATGGTCAGACGCCAGTGAACGTCAGATCGAATCCCGGTGTGTGTATGATCATTAGCTGGCCTGTATATGATCTAACATTATCTGCGCAGCCGCTATACTACAGTGCATTCTTGACCCGACAAAGACCTATCGAGTGCGATCAGACACAGGTGCTGACGTCCATTATAGACCATATAACGGGTCACCGGATGCCTGGTGCGGTACAATCCACCGAAATCATGCACACACTCATAGCAGGTGTGCAGCACAAACCATTGTATTGCTACTTTATATCGAGTAAGGTACATACTACACATTGAAGAGAGCGACAGGAAAACGTCGGATGTTATGCTGACAATGCGTAGTCGCCATGTCAGCGGGATTGAGACCGACTCTCTGTGTGCTCATACAGCGGCCGGCGGCGGCGTGTCCCTGACATTCTGCCCGAGGACCGGCCGGCGGAGGTTAAGGTCAAGCGCATGAAGCTGGTACGCCGCATGGGTGTGCATCGGGACGCGGGTTCTGTTCTTAGGCACTAAGAGGAGTGTGGCGAAGAAGCTGAAGAAGCTGAACACTTGGCATCAGCGTCGGGGTTTGGGATTCGGCGCGGGAGAGGGAAGACGTACTTCCAGTCTCAGTCAAATCAGCCTCAGGCGCCGAGTAGCGCGGGGACAGTGAGCGCGACATTGAAGTTGATGGTTCAAGCGGGACGCAGTGAGCGCGGGGCGGGCGGAAGAGGAGTGGGATGGTACGTACACTGAGGACCAGCGAAGTCGCTTGCGACATGCCGACGTCGCGCTGCGCTGAGCTGTGTGTGGGCAACGTGCGCGCTCAGCGGGGGCCTCGAACCTGGGGTTATTCCAGTGGACGGCGCAGACGGAGGGGCCGAAGCTGGTTAAGGGACACGGCAACCGAGGGAGCGAGGGAGCGAGGGAGGTGGACGCGTAGGGCGTGGAGGGGTGTATCGGTTGAGCGCGGGGAGATGGACGCGTTGAGTGTGGGGGAGGCGCTCACCTGAGAAGTCGTATTCCACTCCTCATGAACCGGTTTAACACCACTGGCGGTGCCGCACTTGCTGTCTGTCGAAGATTGGCGAAGCAGGGGGAAACATAACGGGGGAAACGAGGTTCGTACTGCTGCAGTGCGGGCCCCAGTGATATAAATGTTCTTGTTAAGCGGAGTTCATGTCGACCAGGATACTGTTGCCAGATGAGCTGCGCTTGAACCGGGTGGCAACGAGGATGTACATCTAGATCACCTTACCCACTGATAGCGACACCGGCCCCCATGAGCCTCTGAGAGCCTCGTCAGCAATAATATCAACTGGCCGACAAATCCAATATCATTGCAGATATGGTGAGGGAGACGATTCCATGAGACATGGAGATCCGAGAATCTGATCAGGGCACGAGTACCGTGGGACAGGAGGTCCGAGGGTGTCGCGGAGAAGAAAGGGAGCGAAGTGGGCGAACACGGAGGGGATGAGAGGAAAGCAAGCAGAGAGAAGGATAAGCACGATGGGAACTTCGGGGATGGTGGGGCGCGAGGCTTGACGGAGAGCGCGTGACACCGGCGCGTTGTGTCGGGGTCCCTCGTGAGTCGGAGATATGGCGTGTTGTGTAGCGGCACCTTGCAGGGCGATTTTCGGGGAGGCGCGACGTAGGTGCGAAGGGCGAGGGTGCAATGAGAGCCGGCGCGCGGGCGTCTGCGATGGTGGCGGGGTCGGGAGTCGAGTCCTGCGGACGCGCGCGTGGATAGAATTGGGAGACTAGTAGTACCAGCGCCCGTACCGAGGATGTTTTGACTACACTCTAGCTCCTTCTTAGCGTGAAGAAACAAGGAATGAGTCTCATCTACCATAGTACAACTGGCTCCCCAGTGCTCTCTCAAAAAATGTCTTACCAGATTATCACCGGTCGAGCAGAGCCCTACACTACGTAAGTCGATCGTGTCCGATCATTGGACCTCCGGACCGACGATGTCTGGCGTCTGCCGAGCTGACATCATCCGCTTTCGCCGGGCGCCACAGCGCTCGATCGGGCACCCCTCGTTTTGCTGATGTGTAAGTGCAACATACTAAAGTCAGCCGTATTACTAATTACTCTTACTACTCTTCAAACTACGTCGCCGGTCAGTGTTTTCACAGTAGCAGTGCCCCCTACTATAGCCTGTGTTCCGCCTTCTTCTCTCTCATGGGAAGCGCGATGTCTATATTTCTCTTTATGGACCTTTTATCCCACCTGACTTATCTACGCGACTGCGTGCGTACGGAAGCAAGCCATTTTTGAGCTTATAGCGCAATCGCTTACTGCTTGACATCTACGAGTCATGTCTCCATCCAGGTTCTCCGTCGCCATCTGGTCCGTCTAGCTTGGTGCCGAAGTAACGTTCTGCACTCACATGCCGTACAGTGGTGGAGGGATAGGAGGCCTCACTCTTGCCGTGGCCTTATCCAAGTACCCCGAAATTGAAGTGAACGTCTATGAAGCGGCGGGCCAGTTCAAGGAGATCGGGGCCGGTGTGATGATCTGGGCGCGAACTTGGGAGATACTCACCCTCCTAGGCATGGCGGGCGACTTCTCTCGGATCGCGCACGCGCCTCCAGACGGCTCTCTGGGTGAGTCACGTCTGTGCCGTTGATCCCGAATCCATTGCTCACGTTGGATCGTACTAGGTATAGGCTTCGATTACCGAAAGTCGGACCAGCCCTCGGAGGGGTCCCGATTCTACTTGTTCGAGGTCCCCTGTGAGCATCATTTTTTCAAGGAGCCTGAAGCCCGTAAACTCGAGCTCCAGCTGACCCCGTCGCCGTCCCACGACGCTCCGCAGACGGTTGTATCCGCTTCCACCGCGCGCACTTCCTCGACGCGCTCGTCGGCCACCTCCCCGCCGGCGCCGCGCACTTCGGCAAACGGCTCATCTCCTACGCCCGCCGGCGGGACCGGCGCACGGCCCTCGCGTTCGCGGACGGCTCCTCCGCGACGTGCGACCTCCTCGTCGGCTGCGACGGGATCAAGTCCACCGTGCGGAAGCAGATGCTCGAGGACTCCGTCCGGGCTGGCGGAGATAGGACGTTGCTCGAGCTGGTCGACCCGGTGTGGAGCGGGACGGTCGCGTACCGCGGGCTCATCCCCGTGGAGAAGCTGAGGTCGGCGCACGGGACGGAACATCGGACGATCCAGAGCCCTATGATGGTGCGTATGCCAAACCCGCAGCGTGTTGCGACGCAACTGACGATCGCGTGCTCAGTACTGCGGCAAGGGGAAGGTATGCGACCCGTGGCCGTAGAGGTTCTTGTCTGATCAGTTCCTGCCTCGTAGCATGTTGTCAGCTACTCCATCTCTGCGGGCTCAATCGTCAACGTCGTCGCGCTCGCGTCCAAACCCGAGCTCTACGGGACTCCCTGGACTGGCGCGTGGGTGGAGGACTGCCCCGCGTCCGAGATGCAAGAATGCTACTCGCAGTGGGAGCCGGAAGTCGGGGAGCTCCTCAAGGTACGCCGAACGCCAATTCCACCGAGACCACGGTGCGTAGCTCACATAGAGTGACAGTGTATAGAGAAGCCGACGCGATGGGCTATTCACGAGATGAAGCCGCTGCCGTTCTACGCGAGAGACGGCGTGGTGCTGCTCGGCGACGCAGTGAGCTTGGGACTTCGCAATCGCTCGAGCTTGCGGAGGCTAACAGGACTTGGAAAGGCGCACGCAATGACCCCGAACCAGGGCGCCGGGGCCGGACAGGCCATCGAGGTGCGTAGCTACTCGGGCTCGTCATTGTATGCACGGGTCCTTGACTGACGCGCCGTGTATACGCGCAGGATGCGTTCATCCTGGCTTCCGTCCTCGGCCACCCCTCGACCGATCGCCAGACTTTGGAGGCCGCGCTGCAAGCGTACGAGCGCGTCCGGCTGCCCATCGCGAACCACGCCTTGCGGGGGTCCAGGGAATCCGGAGATATGTACGAGTTCAACGGGCCAGTACGAGACGACCTGGCTGTGCTGGGGCCGCGAATTGGCCGGCAGTGGGACTGGCTTTGGGAGTCGACGGCGCAAGGCGAGCGGGATAGGGCGATCGGAATGCTCCGGTCAACGAAAGCGAAGTTGTAGAGCTTCGTGTGGGTAGTATGCAATAATGCATGGAGGAGGTGCTCTACGATCGCCGCTTGAGCTTCTCCACGAGCCCTACAAATCCGCGGGCCGCCGGCGTCCAGGCGTCCGGGTCCTTGGCGGGGATGAGCACGAGGAGGAGCAAACGACCGACCGACGTGCACCATGCAGCTGGTCGCGACGATGAGCTTCGAGTCTATCATGCCCGCGAGATGCTGGATGGCGCCTGAGATGCCGGTGGCCATGTACAGCCCCGGCGCGACGACCTTGCCCGTCTACCTGACCTGGGGCGAGTTGTTGGAGCAGTCTGCAGCCGCGAGCGGGACGAGGGTCGCGCGACCTCAGCCCGCGTTGTGAGACGACGACCAGGTTCGACTTCAGCCTCTCAGGCTTGTACCCCCAGTGGTTTGAAAGGGCGATGATGTACGAATGAACAACGATGTGCGGAGGTTCGCGCGAGGAGTTGTCTCAGGGTATTACTGGAAGGAGACAAGGCTCATCAACTACATTGCTTGGGCTATGGACATCGGATACGCGATGCAAGTGAACGATGAGGAACGCTCTGCCTCCCGCAAACCTGTGTGCTCGGATCCATATCTCAGTGCACAACACTGGTTAGTACTACTCCCATCTGGACTTGAAGTCAGGGTCTGTCCTGGCAACAATGAGTCTCAACACGCATCGCCTTTTCATGCGTTGGGACACACCTAATAAAACGTCCCCACATGCATGGGCAGATGCATGCCGGCGTTCCCGAGCTCTTCGTGCAGAGCTTCGAACCACGACTCGAACCTCTGCCTAGACCCCGCAGGCACCCACCCCGCCCGCTCGAGCGCCCCCACGACGGTGAGGCACCAGTGCAGGCACCCGGACCCCTCTCGAAGCTGAAATCGGTCTACGCGCCGGACGCTCTCAAGTCCGAGATGGTGAAGAAGCTTGTGGGCGGAATCGAAGCAGGGCCGCAAGCTGAGTCATCGACCCATCCCTCCCGTCCAAGTCCTTCCTCAAGCTAGTCGCGGACGTTTCCCGTCGCCACGCAGTAGTCCTCCTTCAGCTCCGGAGCGGGTGCGTGCCGCTGTCCGTGTTGTGGTCAGCGCGCGGGCGGACTCCACGCGCGCATCGACAGCGCGTCAGCGCGTCCTCGGGACGGTTGACCGGGCCGGGCCGGGGAAGGGCGGCCATGGCTAGGACCCCCGAAAGCGCCTATAGAGGGACCGCCGACAAACGCCCATTTTTGCGACTTTCATGTCCGGACTATTTGAGGTCCCACGTCCGGACTTTCGGCGGTCCTCCAGCACCAGGGCGGTTGCCCGTCCGGACCGTTCGGCAGTCCTCCAGGAGCGCTTTACGGGCGCTAATTCGTGTTTTCGCCGCAAAAAGTCTTCAAACCCCGCGAAAAGCTCATCGCAGCTGCTCAGAGCAAGGTGGCATGGAATGAACAGAGAAATTTGTTGTACTTAGCGGGAATTCTCGACCTGTGCGCAAAAGTGGGCTGTTGAATTCTGATTGACGCCGGGATGATTACTAAATGATGCTTTAAAGCTTTATTGACTCCCTCCAATACGTGTTTCAACTGAGTAATAGCTTTGAACAAACCCTCCTCCCACTTCCCGCATCGGCGCCTACCTCAGGTCTTACTTGGCTGATGTCCGGGCTTCGGCAGACCCTTCCCGGCCCCTTCAAGGTCATGTCCGGACCTTCGGCAGCCATGCAGTCGGGACAAGCCCTCCGGATGTCCGGATGGCGACCGGTCCGAGGGCCAAAAATCATCAAATCGTGTCCGGATGGTCGGCGGTCCCTCTATAGGCGCTTTCGGGGGTCCTCCATGGCTATGGACTAATGAGCGCTCGCGTGGCTTGGGCCCGCGGGCGACCTAACACTGTGTGCCCTCAAAGAGGTGAAACTCACCTGTCACGTCACCCGGCAGTTCTGGGTGGTATCGACCTCCGGTCGTGGTGAGAATAACGAGGTTTGCGTCATTAGCGCCAGTCGAGTTCCACCGTCTGACTTGGTGAACCAAGAAGGGGTTTTTAACTAAGATTTTGCAACCATTCACCAACTGAGAAGAGGTGGAAATGCGCATTTTTCTGGTTGAGTATCGATTCATGCGATTGACGAGTAAACCGGTGAAAATGCACTGAAGAGAAAGAGGCATTTATAGTTCTGTTTTCACCACTATTGCTAGCAGTTATAGCCATCACACAAGGACGTTTTGCACCAATGAATGGAGTGAGATCGGAGCACACCGGATTCGTGATAATCAACCGCAATAACACGGTGATGTGAATACGGAATACAATGCTACATGAAATCGACGCTCGCGATCAAACTGCAGCCTGTGCGGACGATCGACCCACCCGATAGAACCAGGTCGTCAACACCGCGGTACCCATTACCTCCTGTGCCCCAATCTGTCGGTCCCTTCGCCGTTGTCCTCACTCGAGACGGCGTTAATGAGCTCGTCGACGTCCACGGCAAGCCTGTGCTGGACCTGCCGGCGCACGCGGGCTCGTTGCGCATCTGATCTGCACATAACCCGGGAGGAGCGTGGAGACGACGGTCAGTGGTCGCCCATAGTAGCTGGAAAATGACAAAAAAACGCACCGTACCTGTCGCGCCTTCATCTGCTCCTCGCGCTCTTCGATCCAGAGCGAGCCCTGCCCGTCTAGGACTTTACCGAGCGCGAGATGGCCGCCGGACGAGAGTGGACACACGCTGCTGGCTGCGCTCTCCAAATGCGATGGCTGTACGGGCGCACGCTCGTCGACGGAGACGATGTGGGCTCAGCAAATGAGCGGCGGCACGGGCGGGCAAATGCAACGGGGGTACTCACATATTCCCGAGATATTCTCCTTAAATTCGCGGTTAAGGTGCTTTTCGCCGCCTAGGAACGCAGAACGAGATAAGCGGTGCATAATGAATGGTATGGTGATTGTACTAACCTGCTACGCATTGAGCTCATACTTCGCACCACCTTGACTAAATTGGAGGTATGCCCAGTGGACGCGTATAGATGACCTGATGCACTTACCTGTGTCAATGGCAAGAAAGGCCGTGAATGGCGTGGAAGGACGCACTTTCAAACACGTTGACGACACTAGTGGTGGACATGGTTGCGATGGGGAACGGCGAGCTGCGCCGGCGTAAAGGAAGGCAGAGAGACATGGTCGAGGGCATGGCCGGTAAGGTGGGCGAAATGGGGGTTCGATAACATGGCTGCGGAGAATCACGACACCGCTAGAGGAGGAGGAGCTTGATGGAGGAGGAGGAGGAGGGAGAGGGGAGGAGGCAAGAGATGGAGCAGGGACGCGCGTCGCGCGTTGCGCAAGAGCGCTGCTAGCATGGGAATTGTCGCCTGCGTGCGCGCGCGCGCGGTAGTAGCTGGTAGTAGCAAGTCCTAAGACCGCTTTTACAAGTCCGTCCTCCACGCCCCGCAAGTCCGACGTTCGTCGCCGACATGTCCAAGACCCCCAGGGCCCATACTCCCTACGAAGCCTCGCCCCCGTGCCCCTCCGCGCCCACTATCTCCTTCACGGCCGCCAAGTACGTTGATCCTTCGAGCCTGGGCCGCACCTCACCTCGGCCGACTTCACGACCACGAAGGGCCAAGGCGGCCGTCAACGCGTTCATTGTCTCGGATCAGGCGAAGGTCCTGCAGGAGCCCCTTCAACCGCGCGCAGCGGACCCCGGGTGCGCGAACTGGCTTGCGGAGTGGTGGAATGAGGTGGCATACATGCCAGGCCGCCTAGTACCACGACCCGACAGTCATGTTCGTGAGCTGCAACTGCGTCCACATCTACGACAAGCCAGATGAGGTACGCCGCGCAGCTCGTTTAGTATTGACCTCCGAGAAACGCGATGTCCGAAACGACGTGAGTGCTTCCTCATGTATTTCCTGTGCGTATCCTCATATCCTACCGACGCTCAAGAAGCTCTCCTTGTCGCATCGTCCAATAATCGAGGAAATCGAGTCCGCAATGGTCATTGTTCGCTTAGACGACTACTCCCCCGCTACCCGTGAGTTCGGCGATGGCAGGAATCGCTTCTACGACAAGCATCGAGGTATGTCTACGTGATCTAGTATGTACATCCGCCTCGCCCTCAACCTTGCCTTCAGTCAGCGTCTTCGAGAATACAAGTCAGGCTTCCTCGGCGAACACTCCTCCATGGAAGGCACCCTGATGCTGTGTATGAACTCGGAGTTTGTGTGAGTCGCCTCCTTCGCTGCGAACAAGGTCGACCTTAGTGCGCACTGCCGCGAACGGCCCGGCGTGTGCTACGAGACCGCGCAGATGCGCAAGTACCAGCTCAATGCTCGACCCCACCTAGACGGTGTGTCCTCGTCCCTGCTAGGCTGCTCCGGGTGCCTGGCCTTTATCTCACGCTGATGGCGACGCGCAGGACAAGCACCATGCCACGCTCTTCCACAGTGAAGTCTCGCGCTAGCTACGAACGGGAGGCAGAGAGGACAGCGCTTGGTGCGGAGAAAGCGCAGCTGCAGGCTCAGCTGAAACTCATCCTGACGGTCCACCCGTTCTTTGTAGGGACCGTCACGGTTGTTGTCGTCACGATCACGAACAGGCGGACGTCTGTGCGCCAGGCATCGACATGGCCCTCCGCGACCACCGCCACCTCTCCCAGGGACCATACTATCCGGCATGATTGGAGGCACTCCGGTCAAGCCTCTAGCAATCCCCCATTGTCGAACCACCATCAAGACAAGCTTGATCAAGTCTCCCGCACCACCAGCCTCGATGACCACTACGCCGATGCCACAAGTGCAGACGAAGATCGTGCCTCAGCTGAATTTGCTGCCCACGAACGTAACTATGGAGCCGAAGGTGACGCGGGTCACGTCGCCGATCGTGCCGCTTGCGCGATTCTGCTGCTCGCGGCCGACGGGATTGCGCGTTTGCAGGCGTAGGACAAGGAGTAAGTACGAGGCGTTACAGGTCTACGGCGTTCATTGGAGGGAGGATGGCATGATGAAGTGTGTAGGCACGGTAGAAAGTTCGGGACGTTACCTAGCTTGATAGAGCACTGTGCGGCTCTGATCACCCGAAGTGTACCGCGGGAATTGGGTCCCATCTGAAGCTAGTGAATCGTGAATGTACCGGCGCAACGGGTGATAATCGATAATTCACAAATGGGTGCTTGGGTAAGGGAACTCGTGTGCTCAGGATGCGGTGAATAAACACAGGACAGGCGGTGAATCCGCGCATAGGAAATATCACCTGTCACATCACCCGTCACCCACTTATCCCCGGGTTCGAGGGTGATCGGCGCTTTTCACCCAGCATCTGCGTCCCTGTCACTGGTTGACAGGCCCACAGTGTAAGGCGACCGATCGCTCCCGTTTGGAGAGCTCCCGCTTCCAGATATACTGGCGGGGGCTTGTCCGGCTTCCTCACGCATCTTGCCGCTACCCGTGCGCGTGAGGAAGCTGGTACGTCTTCTTGTTGTGCTACCTATGTCGAATATGCGCTCACACTTGTACTACGGCAGACATAAGCGTCTGCCAGACACACTCCCGCGACTAGCCGCTATATCTTTAACAGTCCGCCCACCTCATCAGCCCGTGTCCCGTCCTCCCTGCGTGCCGGACAAACCTTGCCGACTGAATGTTCACAGCCGCGGCCTGTCCAGGACGCGGTGCGGAGACGCCGGCAAGATGGTGATCGACGACTCCGACTTTAACGGCGCCACTGCGGGTGCGGAGGACACAAACATACCGTGGGTCGAGGGTGGCGGGTACCGCGAGGGCCCCACGTCCGTCGACGGCTTCCGGCGCAGTGCGACGGGCAAGGTGAAGTTCAAACAAGGACACGATGAGGCAGCGGCACGAGGCCGATGACGCGAACGCGCCGGCGAGCTAAGCAAGGCGTGGCAGAGGCAGGAGCCCGAGTTCGGGCACGAGTTCAAAACGAAGGTATGGTAAGCCAAATGGTCGCGCCCGCTTGTCTCACGAGCCCCTTCTGTTCACAGAAAGCTGGGGAGGATGTCAAAACAGGGGCGTGGACCCTACGCGTATATGCCGCTCTTCCAAGGGGCACCAGATTGGTATCGCCGAGAAGCGCAGAATGCACTGTTTCGGTGCGGCCTGTATTATCATACTGTATGCCGTGTCTTCGGTATCTATTGCTCCAAGCGTGATACAATTGTCGCGAATCGGATAATACAACGCTGAGAATCACCATTGATCTGGACAGCCGGGCGTAATACATCTCAAGCCTCATCTTCGTACCTGAGGACGAGCCACAGCCTGACCCCATTCGCCGACTGCTGAAACATACCTACGATTACAACTACATATGAAAATGTGACGGCTCAAGAAAGACTTGAACGTGAATCGGGAACAACCGCATCAAGCCGACGCGCCTCCATCCTCATCGGACTCGGTCACAGCCGTTTCTGGGTAGTCGGATTGCAGCCTAGACTCGACCTCTCCCGCCGTAACCTGAATGACGGGAATTTTGGTCAGTGGCGTCGCGCTCCGCGTGAGTCACATGCAACTTACCCGCTCCGAGTCTGTAAGGATGTGCTGCGCAACGACGGCATATCCTACGCCTATATCAACCGATTTCTTGGAGGAGCAACGATGTCTTGTGGTTGTGCCGAAGCGATGCGCCAATGTCTTGCCAACATCTTCATTGGGGACCACGAAGACGAAGGAGAGGCGGACGTCCGTCGGCGGCTCTGGTACGCCGAAGAGCGCCCGTATGACCTTCCCGATGCCCCCGCCTCGCATCTGGTGCGTTCTGCAGATAGTGACATGCAGAAAGACAACATGAAGCACCCCGGAAGCGTCCACTGTGACCACGAAGGCGTCGATGGTAGGGAAGCCCGCAGGTGGAAGGAAGAGCCGGTTGTGAGTGTCATAGAGCCGCGATGATCCGTCAAAGACGGCATGGTCGAGGGAAGGAAGGGTGAAGTTCAGGAGTTCATCGTTGAGCGTACAGAGGAGTGGCTCGAGAGTGCACCAAGTCAAGGCCAACGTCTCGAAAACGGGTCCGGCAAGGCCTCCAAGCGGGGACATCGCCTCGAACATGGCCTGACGCTGATCTTGCTGAGCAGCTGCGATGGCTTGAGCAACTCGGGAACGGAGGTATGGCGTTGGAATGGAACATTTGGCGACCTCCTCGAGGTTGTCTGCTGGCCGATCTGTTTCGGTGCGTTCTACAAAGAAATATTGATGGAAGTATACGGCAAAAGGCACATCGGTGGCGGAGAACTTCCGGAACGCATCCACGATATTTTCCATGTGGGCGGGAAGTATTTGGATCTCGTGAGGCGACTTCGCTATGTCCTTCGCTAGGCCTTGCTTCCGCTTGATTGACTTCATGCATGCACGTGCGGATGGTCCTAGGAATCGAAAGATGTCTATCGGGTCATACAACCCATCGCGGCCCCGTCTAAAAGACAAAACAGGTGAGGCGAGCGATATTCCCTGGTAACATAGTCACTCACGGAAGAAACAGAACCTCTTTCTCCGACCAACACTCCATGGGCCAAAACTGGGCGTTCAGCTCCTTCTGATACAACCTATAGTGGTCCAAGTTCGGAGAGCAGGCGAGGACGGTGTGAAGTTTCTTGACGCCGGGTAGATGGCTCTTGATATTGGAGAGTGTATCAAAAAGAGCCAGTGTCTTAGGCGGCACTCTGTTTAGGGACTTCGGCGACACCTCCTTGGCTCTAGTGGCTGTGAAATGATAAAAGACATCAGTCGTAACGCCAAAGACCACCGGTTGTTGGAGGGACAGGGCTTTCAGCAAGGCCCATTCGAGGAAAACGGTTTTGCCTGTGCCATAAACAATGAGCTTGGACCAAATATATTCTGTAACACTTACCGATACCGGGTTGGCCGATGACAACAAGATTTGTCGTGTTCCCAGCAAGATAATCCCACAGTTTCACGTACTCCTCGCGAACAATCACCTTGAAGGCGGATTGTGGAAAAAGGCGGTGGATGTCATCGCGGACGTAGGAAACACCATCCTGTTCTTCGAAGGGATTCTCCTGCTCCGTCCACACTCGGCGGTAGACTTCCTCATACCATTCTGCAGCCCGGGAGCGCCGTTGAAGAGCACGCGAAAACAAACGTCAGCCGTAGGTACTATGCCTGAATAAGCGATACTGCTCACCGGCAGCAGGAAGCGTGATCAGGAGCTTGACAGCGTCGCGGTCCACGCCCGTTAAGGGACGCGGACCCGACTCCACCAGTTCGGCAACTTCGTCCAGGGCAGTCTGCTCCAGGGTGTTACGGAGCCCATCCGCCTCTTCTTTGGTACCAGGACGCTCTTCACGTAGCTAGACAATGATCATGTTCACTCGCATGTGCTGAGTATGTGGAGAGAGGACATACCATCCACATATCCAGGTCTTTCTCTTCCTCGCCCAAGTCCTCGGCGACCTGGCGTCTGAACTGGTTCCTAGTTTCCAAAGGGGAACGAGGTATGTATCCGAGACTAACAGTGGGGTTGCCTTCGCGCCGATAGAAGAAGTAATCCATGTCGTCGTCGTCGTCGAGCTGATGGGGCCGACCTGAATACAAGGGATGTGTGCACAGAAAGGCCGTGCGCACCTTGGCTCTCTTGGAGGGCCTGTCGCCAGTCTCTGAAGTCATAAGGTACCTGACTGCTTGGTTGTCGCCGCATTGCTCTGGGCTCGTGGGATCAATCGATCAAGAGAGAGAGGTCTTGGTTGGCTTGGGCGCGCTTGCGTAAGTGCTGACAAATCCGAACGGTACTAGATCTCGTGACTTGGGGCTGCATTGCCAGGTCCGTCCTTGGTCACCCCTCCACTGATCATGCACACTGTATGCGACCCATAGGGATTGAAAGAAAATAATAATAATAATAATAATAACCCCTCCACCGATCGCCAGACTTTGGAGACCGCGCTGCAAACGTACGAGCGCGTCCGGCTGCCCATCGCGAACCACGTCTTGCAGGGGTCCAGAGAATCCGGAGACATGTACGAGTTCAACGGGCCCCTCCGAGACGACCTGGCTACGCTCGGACCGCAAATCGGCTGGCAGTGGGACTGGCAGTGGGAGTCGACGGCGCAAGGCGAGCGGGACAGGGCGATCGGAATGCTCCGGTCAACGAAAGCGAAGTTGTAGAGCTCCGTGTGGGTAGTGTACAATAATGCAAGGAGGTGGTGCTCTACTATTTCCGCTTGAGCTCCGGGACCGCGGTGTACAAATCCGCGGCCGCCGGCGTCCGGGCGTCCAGGTCCTGGCGGGGATGAGTGCGAGAAGGAGGAGCGAACGACCGACCGACGTGCGCCATGCAGCTGATCGTGACGATGAGCTTCGAGTCCTTCACGCCCGCGAGATGCTGGATGGCGCCAGCGATGCCGATGGCCATGTACAGCTCCAGCGCGACGACCTGGAACGAGTTGTCGGCTGAGTAGTCTGCGGCCCGAGCGGCTCGAGGGTCGCGCGACCTCAGCCCGCATTGTGAGACGACGGTCAGGTTCGACTTCGGCCCCTCAGGCGCGACGAGTCGTCGCAGGGTCTTACTCGAAGGAGACGAAGTTCATCAACTGCATTGCCTGGGCTATGGACATCGGACACGCGGTGTAGGTGAACAGTGAGGGACGCTCTGCCTCCCACAAACCTTTGTGCCCGGATCCGTATCTCGGTGCACAACACTGGTTACTTCCACTGCCTTCAGGACTCGAAGTCAAGGTCTGTCCCAACAATGAGTCTAAACACACATCGCCTTTTCATGCGTTGTGACACACCTAGTAAAACGTCCCCATATGCATGGGCGGAGGCATGCCAGCGTCCCGAGCTCTCCGTGCAGAGCTTCGAACCACGACTCGAACCTCTGCTTAGACCCTCCAGCCACCCACCCCGCCCGCTCGAACGCCCCCACGACGGTGAGGCACCAATGCCGGCACCCGGTCCCCTCGGGCGTGAACTGGTACCGGGTCAGGCCCTCCTCCCACACGAAGTCGACGAGCCGCTGGACGGTGACGGCCACGCCGGCGTGGATCGGGACCGCGTCGTCGCGGTTGGACGCGGCGGCGCTGGCGAGGGTGCGCGCGCTGGAGACCTCGAGCACGCCGCGCGGGTAGGCGGAGGGCGTCATGTCGAGGACGACGGAGTGGGCGCCGTCTTCCAGGCGCGCGTAGATGCGCCAGTGGTAGATGAGGGAGCCCGGGTGAGATGGGCTCTCCGGATCCGCGCCTGGGGAGTCGGCCGCCGCTGCGTCGTCGAAGTTGACTGCGCGGGCGCCGACGAGCGCGATGCTGTGCACATGCATGGCAGTGTGGGCCTCTTGGAGGTTGGCGAGGTAAATGGTGCGGTCTGCTGACATATTCGGGTGCGGATGGGTTGGGCGACACGGTGGGAAAGAGAGGGTTGGCACTGGGAGAGGAGACGAACCGGCCAAACACTTGAGGATTTAGTCACGCTTGCGCCCACAAAGTTACTAACGAACGTAACAAGTGACGTATGTCGTCACACAGAATCCAACGTTCTTGTACCAATCCCACTCTGTATCGAGGAAGTCAGTTAGGAATCCAAGTTTCAGGCGGCGAATACTTAAGTATTATGGAGCCAATTTTCACGCCCTTCGTTCCTGGTTTCATTGCAGCAACCCAGCGTTGGAAGACACATGGACCTGTACCGGCATCGAGCTGGAGCAGCCGTAGGATATATATTGAAACAAAACCACACTCGTCAACTTTCGGAGCGGAATTCCCTCGGGCTGTAATTGTGGTAAAGGCAGGTGTCGAGCGACGCTGTCTGCTCTCTCGCGCTGGCCACAGTCGATTCTGCAGCTGGGAGCACCTCGGGAGGCTTGATGAATGGGCGGACACTCGAGAAGCGACCTCGGAGGCAATGTGGCCCTCGATCAAGGACGGTAGAAAGTTCATATTCCGGCTGGGGAACGATATAGGATTCTCCGGGAGCGCCGAGCCACATGAGTGTACTTTACACAGCAGTCACCATGTATAAGCGTGAATGCCATAAGGCCCTCGTATCAGCCAAGAAGCCGTAGTCTGTGTGAAGCCGTCAAGCACGTCATGTTCGCCCTGGAATATTGGACTGATCGAAACTCACCGACGAGACGGAGAAGAAGCCAGGCTACGTCTCTAGTGGCTGCACGTGCAGCTGCTGCTAATTATCCTCAAAGGTCACCCGATTGCCCGCCAGTCACTTGAGCGACAAGAATCAAGGGGGCGTGGGGCTGTGGGGGTTGGGGAGGCCATTGCGTTGTGCCACGCGGTCGGTGAGTATGCTCTTGAGAAGCGTGCGGCTCGTCGGCGGCAGTATTGCGGCGATAACACATGCTGTTGCTGCCACAGCCGTGAAGAGGGACGGGCGGGGCTGCAGCCTACGCACCACGCGTTCGTCGAAAGGACCCATGGGCCGAAAGCAGACAGCGAGCATCGTCCTCCGGTGGGACTGCAGGCGGCGGGGATGGTCTAGAACGCGGAGAGCAGGGGCCTTGTGAGCACATCTGCACCGCGTGCATGCGATCTTCTGGGAGAATGAGCAGGGTCGCGGGCGGCATTGGGCCCCGTGCGTAGCTCCGCGAACACGCTGCACTGGGCCTGTTCAGCGAAGGGCTTCGGGGCTGGGCAGCTAGCGCGACGCATACCGGATGGGGGCCTGGGACGCAGCTGCGCCGTTGGGGGTGGGAGTTATTTCGAGGGGAGGACGAGGCGGTCAGGTGAGCGCGGGTGGGAGCGGGGGCGGTCACGGGCGTGGTGTGTGCTCACTGGGCCCTGGCACCGAGGGGGGAGAGCGCAGGCCGGCGCGGGTGCGAGCGCGATGGGCGGGCAAAAGGTCGGGCGCGGGCGACGTCGCTCGAAGCTCAGCGGACGTCGCGCTCGAAGCCCAGGCGGGGAAGCGGGGCGTGCCGGAAGCGGGTCAGGTGGACCGCGGGGCCCGGCTGGGGCCGGGGTTGATGTTGAATTTCGATAAGATTATGGTTGGATTAGGGGGATAAGGGGGGGCGGTGGCTCGCGTCTTTTGGTGGGGGCGGCCCTCTTCTCATCGTCTCCCATGTCGATGATGTCTCTCTCGCCCACGACATCGACCTCGAACTACGACGACCAGCCCAACGGAAAGCGCCGCCGCACGACCTCGTTCAACACCACCTCCCCCCTCAACGGCTCCCGGTCCGACATGGCCTCTCCACCCTCCCCGGGCCACGCGCCCTCGTCGTCCGCCGCCTCGGCCCACATCCCGAAGCGCGGCGCGCGGGCCTGCACAAACTGCCGCAAGGGCAAGAACAGGTGCGAAGGCGAGGTCAGTCCTCTTTCTCCCTCCCCCGTGCCGCCCATGCGCGCCATGTACGCTAACCCTCCCGCCCGTCCCGCCTGCCCGCCCTCCCGCCCGGCCCGGCCGTCCACCCCCTCCAGTCCCCCTGCCGTCGCTGCCAGCTGAGCGGGGCCCAGTGTGTGTTTGAGAAGCCGGAGAAGAAGGCGGTCCAGTCGTTGTCCCCCGCCAGCGTCGAGTGAGTCCCATGCCTGGCCTCGTCCCGCCCCCGTCGCCCCGACCGCCCGTCGTGCTCAACCAAGTGCCCCTCGACTTCAACAGGCGCCTCTCTCGTCTCGAGGGCCAATACCTCGTGCGTCTTCCGTCCTCGCCCAATCCATCCCTGCCACGACGCTCATCCTATCCCCGCCCCGTCACAGGTCATGCAGAGCCAGATGATAGGGATGCAGTCCTCCCTCGACCGCATCCTCAACGCCATCCAGAGCCAAGGTCAGGGCCAAGGCCAGGGTGTCCCCATGGGCCAGAATTCGGGCATGGTGCCCCCTCCATTCCCCTCAACTTCCCGCGAGAGCCCGGGTATAGGTACGTCGCCTTATCACCTCCGGCGTGTTCGTCGACCGACCCCTTTGTCGCCCATAGACGGCCCTCGCTCGCGTGCCTTCCCCCCTCTGCCCGGCTTCGCGCCTCCGGTGCGTAGCGAGGATGTGTCGGGTCCGAAGTAGTGTTCTCATGGAGTTTCTATTGTCGAGTAGCCCCACAAATATGCGACGTACGGTATTGTGCCCAGTACGGCACCCTCGTCTGATGACGAATCTGAAGACACCCTCCCACGTTCCACTATGAACGCGCCCATTGAGGCGTTGCAAGGGTTAGCCAATGCCGCGGCTGAGGCCGCGGCTGCCCCGTCCGCATCGCCTCCCAGGCAAGTTGTTTCCCGGCCCGAGACTCGATCCATATAATGATCGGAGGCGGATTAGGGTGAAGAAGCGGAAGCGGGCTGAGCCCACGCCCCGCAACGCGTTCCCGCATGTCGTGGAGAAGGTGCCTCTTTCTCCACGTCCCCTGGACGCCCGCCCGTGCTCACCCCCGCCACGCTCCAGGGTCTTGTGTCCGACGCCGAAGCTCGCGAGCTTTACCACATGTGCGTCCTCCATCGCTTCCATCGCCCCCGTCTCCGCTGATCGCTTTTCTCACTCTATCCCCCGTCGAACAGCTTCTTTTCCGGATGCAACATCTTCATCCCCGTCTTCGATCCGACATACGACACCTACGACGGCCTCATGGAGCGCTCGCCGTGGACCTTCGACGCCCTCTTGGCCATCGCGGCAAAGATCCGGAGCGGGACCGGCCCGCTCATCCCCGCCTTCTACAGGTGTCTTGAAGAGGCCCAAGGCATCGCCCGCTCGTCTCTCTTCGGCCCGGTCGTGCGCAAGGAGGCCGTCCAAGGCATGCTCCTCCTCGCCGCCTGGAGCACCAACGGATGGCTCCCCTCGGGACACGCCATGCGCATGGCCCTCGACCTCGGCCTCCACCGCGCCCTGGAGAAGCTCGCCGACGATGGGGGCAAGAAGCGGTCTGAGGAGGAGGAGCGCAACCTGGGTGAGCTTCCTTTATACGTCCCCAGCATGCGATGTTCTTATCACGCTTCGCCCCCTCGCGTAGTGGTGTCGGCCCGCATGTGGCTCTGCCTCTATTGGTTCGACCACCAGATGAGTCTTGGCACGGGCCGCCCCATCGTCCTGCGTGACGAGCTGTCGATAAAGCAATGCCGCCTGCTCCTGTCGCATCCGTTCTCGTCGCCGACGGATGTCCGGCTTGTGTCACAAGTGGAGCTCATCATGCAGAAGAGTACGTACAGAACATCATCACTACTGTCTCAATGTCCTGATGTCTCGGGATCAACAGCGCAAATCTACGAGACGCTGTCGCCGCTCAACGGCCAGGTCAACCACAACACCCTTGCGTTCATCCGTCGCGCAAACATCGCATTGGATAAGTGGTGGACGGACTGCGATGAGTTGCATAGTCAGTAGACGTTTGCCATCCTTTCCTTCGAGCATGACGCTGACCTCCGGTCAGGACAATCCATGGACGAGGACGCCCTTCCGAGGAAGATCCTCGTCGGCGAGCTTCACTACGCGAAGCTTTGGCTCGTCTGCGTCGCGCTCCGCGGTGTATCCTGGGACAAGATGCCCTTCGAGCAACGCGAGCTCGCGTTCCAGGCCAAGGACGCCGCCTCGGCCTGCCTCGCCAACCTGCTCGACTCGCCCACGTACCGCGCCGCACTCCGCTACGCCGTGCACGACACGCTCGTCATGGCCGCCTTCTCCGGCCTCTTCCTGCTCAAGATGGCGAACCTCTTCCCCGCCGAGCTCGACCTCGGCGCGATCACCGTCCAGGTCGAGCAGCTCGCGCAGCTCCTCTCCGACGTCGCCGCCGAGCGCTACGCGCTCACGCTCCGCATCATGCTCGCCAACCTCCGCCGGAAGATCGCGAGCATGGCCGCCGCGCAGGCGCAGGCGCAGAGCCAGCACGCGCCCGACCCCACCGCCGGCCTCGCCGCGTTCCTCGACCCGAGCATCGTGCCCCCGCCGCCGTTCACGGTCGAGGAGCTCGGGCCGTGGGCGCAGAACCCGCGGATGTTCAACCCGAGCACGATCCCGCTCTGGCTCCAGGAGCAGAGCCTGAACGACCTCGGCCTGCCCGTGAACGGCTCGGACGGGATCTTCCTCCAGATGGGCCACGCCAACGGCTGGATAGGCGACTTCCCGCAGATGCCAGAGGCGTGGTGAATGCATGGTTGATCTGCACTATCCTCCCTTGGTTCTCCTTGCTGTATCCCTGTGGACCCGCTCTCGTCGCCGTTGATGTTGCACATAGACTCAAAATACCGCATAGGCTATGGTCCCGTGCCCGCCAGATGACGCTGACCCCTCTCCGTTTTTGCTTTCGACACTGTACACACCTTTACGCTCCGCGCTTCATCCCCCATCACTACCTTTGCCTTACCCCGTTCCAGTCCGTAAAAGTGGGTGTACGATCGTGGCGTAGTGTACTGTATCATACATCTTCCTCTGCCGAGTCCGATCGCTTGCCTGTCCCCGCTCCTGCGCTCGTCGCCTCCGTTCAGTGCATATACCTTTGCTCTGCTCTTTGTTTGTCCATAGCTTTCCGTACACACGCCGCCAAAAGAATGTGAATGTTTCTCAGAGCGCGAAGGCGCCCTGCTGCAATCGATTTCGGATGATGACATGACTTCCGGAGCGAGCGTACACGTGCAAGTGAGACGGGGGGCATTCTACAAGGTCCAGCTCGATGGACGATCACTCCTCGTCTTCATCGTCGCTCTCCTCTTCCTGCAAGAACTTGACGAGGGGCTGCGCGGCCTGGAGGAAGTGCTGCCTGCCCTGCGGCTTGGACCCCTTCTGGTGCCAATAGATAATAGCTTGGTCGGAGATACAGTCCTTGTTGTACAACACCTGCCGCGCCGCCGTCAGCGTCTCGTTCGCCGGTGGCTCGACGGAGAGCAGCGTTACCTTGAGAACCTGGGGGAACGCCTTGATGATCCGCGTGTCTTCGTAACAGTACACCTGCACCGTGTTGATGAGCGCGACCTCCGTCTTCGGGCCGTTGCAGAACGGCTCGATGATGTCCGAGAAGCCCTGAGGCCAGACCCAATCAGACCCTCCGCGCAAGACCTACCGCAGCCCAGCGCGCAGCACTCACCGCGATCTCCCGCAACGCAAGCGCCTCGTTCTGGTCCTGCCTCGCGCTCCACTCGACCGAGGCGATCAGGCCCTGCCAGATGCACGACACGAGCTCGGCCTCGGGCAGGGGCGCCTCGTCCTGGCGCGCGCGCAGGGCGGCGACGACGTCCGCGTGCGTGTCCCCGCGCGCGAGCATCTCCCGCAGCTGGGCGATGACGGCCTCCTTGAGGGACGCGTACTGGCGCTTCGTCCACCAGTCCGCGACCTGGGGCAGGCCGGCGGCGCGGAAGTGCGCGTCGAGGGTGCGGTCGTCGCGCTTGCTCGGCGGGAAGAAGAGGAGGAGGTCGCGGATGCCGCCGCGCTTGAGGGTGCCGGCGAGGTGCTCCATCGACTGCGCGCTGAGGTACGCGCGGAAGGCGAGCGAGACGACGTTCGCGGAGAGGTCTTGTGGGGGGCGGCGGGCGCGGGCGCGGGAGAGGGGGATGAGGGGGCGGGCGCGTATATGCGGAGCGGAGGGGGCGTACCGTTCTTGACGAGGTGGTCCTTCGTCAGGCTTGAGAGGGCGCTGGCGCTCGCGAGGCCTTGGGACATCAAGAGCCCAATGGCGTACGAAATCTTCTCCCGCTGGACGTCGGGCCACCGGTTCATGTACTGGAGCAGGTTCGGGAGCGATCGCTCCTCGAGCGGGCGCTGGAGGTACTTGTATCTGCATACGGCGAGCGGAGGGTCGGGGAGGGCGGAAGGGGTAGAGGGGCAGGGGAACTCACCTGCGGATTAGTTTGTTGAGGACCTCGACGTACTGCTTCACGTCCGCCACCTCCACAGGCTCCTTGGCGTTGAGGAGGGAGAAAGGGGAGATCGGGGTGCCGTCGTCGACGTACTGGCCGCCGGGCTGGAGGAGGCCACCGACGAGGAGGAGCTCGAAGAGGGCGTCGGCATACTTGAGGTACTCGAGAGTGGAGCCGGCCTGTACTAGTTTGTTGGTGACGGCGTCGAAGTCGTTGGGCGGGACGTTTTCGAGGTGTTTGAGGACTTGGTCTCTGAAGACTGTGGGCGGTGCGGTGAGCGGGCTGACGGGTACGAGGAGGGGTCTGGCTGACTGGTGGGCTCGTGCTTAGCGTGGGCCTTGACGGCACCTTTCCTTGCTTTGATGCGGACCCCCTGGAGCGAAGGCTTTGCAGCGGCTTGCTGAGACATCCACAGGTTGGATCGAAAGTGGAAGAAGGCGACCTGCCCCAGGCGCCCGTCCGCCTCCGCTCAAATCTCTGATCTTATCCCGATTTGGGTCCCATCCCGCTCCGTCCGAGCATTCCAAAACTCTACGATTTGAAGCTTCAGGGCCGTGGCATGCAGGGGCGGGCGGCTGCCGCCTAGTAAGGACGGTATATATACTTCTCCGGGAGGATGTCCTGCCTCTCATTCGATTCCTACTTCCCCTTTGCCATTTCAGTAGGCCGCCCTCATAGTAACCCCACTCTCAAAGCCGCCCTAAATCACCGCAGGACAGCGCAAGCGTTCATGAAGTCCACAATGTATCGAAACACCGAGAGACCTGCGAAACGGCCCAAAGTGTGTACATGTCTATGCTCTCAGGTGCATTGTATCCATATCACTTCCTCAGGTATTCAAGGAAGATGTACTTTTCTTCTTCGTTCGACGTGGCTTAAGTCCATTTCAACTCGCAACGTTGGCCTCGAGTCCGTCGGACGACGTGAGCGCGTTGGTGTCCCGCATGGCGGAAAGGAGCTCCGTGTTAGAGAACCAGGTTTTACTGCGGAAGGTATGTGGTCGCTCCATCCGTTCAGTGCATTCATGTGAACATACCTGGTCGTTAAGCTACACGAGCCACGTCCACCCACCGACGCCGGCGCGAAATCATTCCTCGCCGATCTCGCGACTCAGTCACTCGACGAGATCAGTGACCCGCTGGATGCGACCATTCCGCGCGTGGTGTCGGATCTGGGCTTCAAAACCGGCGTCCATGTTGTCGTCACGATGCCTGCCGTCGGTAAGCATACTCACTTCTTCCGATATATCCATCGCTAATGTTTATTTCTACGTGTGTGCTACTCGCCGCCACAGTGGAGACATGGTATTGCGAAATTCATAGACGATTCTGGATACGTCAAGAAAACCCCTTCGGGACGGAATCGGGGTTCGAGTGCCTCCGCAGCGACATACCTCAGTTCATCCGAGGCAGACACCGGATATTCGTACGCGAGGAGTACAATAAGATATGGGATCATATCCGTGATCACGTCTGTGTCGACTCAAGCAGCCTCGTCGTCGTAGGGCAGTCGGGCATCGGTACGTTCCTCCTACTTAGTACTCCTCGTCGGCTAGGCTCAACACGTGTCGCACAGGCAAGACTTGTTTCCTCCGTTGGGCACTGCTGAAGGCTTTACTTGCGAGGATGCCGGTCGTGTTCTCCCTCATCCCTGGCCACTTTGTTGTCTTTGACGTAGCCGGGGTCAGAGAAGTCACCGCACAGCAGTTGGCGGACCTTCCACCCAACGTTCTAGGCCTTTTCGACACCACCTCAGGTATTGAGCGTTGCCTCGTCTGCATTGAGACCAAGCCTGCGGTAATCTGCTGGTCTCCTCAGTTGGAACACTTCGAAAGGGTTCGGAACCATCTCGACGCCGAGTGTTGGGAGATGGAGCCATGGACCAAGGAAGAGTCCGCATTAATTCCGTTTGTGACCAACATTCGGCTTTCGGTTGTGTTTTGCTAACCGCTCCGCATTATAGCCGCGTCGGAAAACCCCATATGTCAGAAAAGGCATTGGCTGTCAGTCTGAACAGGCGTATGAAGAAGCCTTGACGGAACGGCGCAACGCCGTAGATCCCTTCGTAGACATAGCAAGCAAGTTCGACACTTCGTGCCGTCTTGTCCGTGCAGCCACATCGGGCAGGCATTCGAAGATACACTCCCGTCACACTCTTATCGACCCACGATTATTCATGTTATGCTAGGAGAAGAACCTACTAAATGATGGACGTGGAATCAGTAAAGTACGGAGTTGAGTTCTTGGATTATGTCCATGCACCATCATTGGTCCACGGGGTCGGATCTGTTTAAGCACCTTTACGGAATTAGTGAATGGCCTAGCGTAGTCGCCGAGATGCCGCTAAGTAGAGACGACTTTTCTTCTAGCACCTGTTCTAGCACCAGTCAATAATCGCAGTTGGGAGACATATGAGCGGCGACGCTTTGTCTATGTTTCTAAGCCTGGAAGCTAGCTTGAGCCCAGACAATCTTCCTGCCCTCTTCACATACATGGTGTCGCGAAACAATGGTGCCAAGCAAGTCCCGCTACGAGTGCGTCCATTACTCAAATAGCCACCCCAAACCTAATCTACACTTCGCTAAACTACCTTTCAAGCTCGCGGGACTCCCTCCACAGCTTGGGGGTAAGTGGATGCGATGAGCTGAACGGTTTCGACGGTGAGCACGAATAAACATCATCGTACGGTGTATACACTTACGCCAAATAGCTCGGGGGCGCGGATAGCGAGCACCCCCGGATCCTCGCCTAGGCCAACAAAGCTATTAGAGAATTCATGGTCAGTACCAACACCAGCGAGAACCATCGTCGACACTCACATCGTCGATACGCCAGCCTCGATCGCCGAGCTCAACGTGAGTGCTGTAGAGGCGTTCACAACAGCAAATTACATTTGAGTGTTAATCACACTCACTGCACTGCAGACCAATGAGGAACGCGAAGAGCATAACCGGAGCTGTGTACTGGCCGTTATTGTTGTATGACGGATGTGTAACTGCATTGATCGTTAGATGAGCGTGGTTGCTAGCGCTGGGCAGTAAGGGATGAAACAGCACTCACGGCGAAGGTATAGATACCCAAGTAGGGAGCAGAGCAATCCGGTGATGTATGCGCCCCATGTGAGGGCTGTTAAGTACGAAGTTGTGAGCATTTACTCATTAGTAGAGAGCAAGATAAACTTACTCATGCCCACCAACGAGTCGTTAATGATCGCGTCAATTCCTCGGTCCTTGAACAACCTCCAAGTGTCCTTGGCAGCCTCAATATAGGACTTTCCGTACAACGCTACACCAGTGTCAGCACAATGCCGAGGTAAGAAAGATGGTGATACTGACCAATCTCGATGTAGGCGTAGCTATATGCGCAGTTTAGTCGAAACCAGAACCCGAAAGTACAATTGGACGCACCGGTTGAAGTACTCCACCATGCCCTCAATGCAACCGATGAAACATTCCGCACAGAGAGCCAAACAAGCTTCAACGGCTGAGCGTCCAACAGATCAGACAGAATCACAACGGCTCAAGATGATATGTGGACTTACGATGACCCTCTGCATTTGCGTTGTTCCTGGCTATGTTGAGTAGCATGCGGATGAGTTCCAGAATCGTGACGATCAGCGACCCAAACGCGATCGACCCGAGGGACAGGGTCGAAGCACGGACGAATGACGTGAACGTAGGGTGCTTAGGCTAATGCACCAAGGTCCAACATCAGCCTCCTTCAAGCCACAACGTATGGTAAAGCTTACCATTTCACCTGCCTGCCGGGGACCGAAGTAGTACCAGCCTGGTAGAGATGACGTTAGACTAACGGATCCAGTTGTAACGAGATGGCCCTCACAGCCAAAGGGACCGCCAGCGAGAGTGGCAAGCGCGACATTGCTGATGACCTGAGAGGTCCACAAGAACGAGAACGTCGAGAAGATGATGAACCCTGTGACCTTCCCGGAAGAGCAGCTGTTGTCACTCGTACACGCTGAAGTAACGGTCAGGTGAGATCAAAGCAAGCATAGCAGCTGATGCTCACCCGAACTGCCAGGCGTGTACCTCACATAGCTATGGACGATCGTAAGAAACTTTCGAGCGCAGACAAGCTGTGAACGGACCTCGCGACCACGACGAAGGTGTACCATCTGTGGCACTCCATCAGCCTCTCACATGAAAACGCAACTACAGTGTGACGTACACGCTCAGGGCGGTCTGGAGGATGAGCGACGTGAACGCCACGAAGTAAACCGACTTGTGGTGCTTGGTGATGTCCATCACAACTTGGAGAAGTAGGGCCGCCATCGGAATCCGCGCACGGTACCCGAAATACGCTAAGACCGAGAATATGGCGATGATGGTGAAGATGATAGCTCCAGCTAACGACGAGTGGAAAGATCATTAAGTTCTATTGAGGCGAACCAAGAAAAGACCACTCACACCAATACTTCGTGATCCAGTAGTAAACAGCGATACCACTGTGTATGTGTTTAGAAGTGTGCTTCGAAAGTGACAGAAGACGGAACGGACATATTGAGAGCGATGGACGCGACGAGAGTAATGTGCATGATCGCCTTCGTGAACGTGCGTACTAAGATGAGGTAGACCGTCGCGAGGATTAGGCCAGCCGCTGCCACGATGAGCAGGAGGATCACTGTATGACTGAAGAGAGGTCAGCGAATTTGTTTGGAGAACGAGTGGTGTAAGACTCACTAGTCGAGAGTAACCGATGTCCCAGTGTTCCCGCCACCAACACCTCCGCCAAGTCCTCCGTTCGACACGAAGCTCGAGATCACAATGACCGAGATGACTACAAAGCCCACGAGCTAGACCGTAGATGAGTGTGTGGTTGCGACGTTACAAGCAGCTCACTTACTTGGGCTATGAACAGTATGAGGAAGATGGGGTCATTGATCCTCTTCTTGGGCTTGAAGCGGTCTCCTTCGTAAGGATTCTTGACATCCCCGTCATAGCCATTGGAAGTTTGAGGAGCGTACTGTTGCGCATAGGGGGCTGAAGGACCAGGCGTGTAGACAGGCGTATAGGGATTACCGCTCCACTGGCTGGACATGGTGGCGGCGGCAGAACGGGCTTCGGAGCTCAGAGAGGTCGGTACTGGATCGTGAAACAGCAAGTAGGCAAGAGACGTTAAGGAAGAGTTGGAAGCGGGCGAAGAACTTGAAGAGCCTGGGGTGGCGGGCGAGCCGCGGAGAGCTGGTGGGCGGCGCGACCGCCAAACCCGCGCAGGCTCTGCCATGACGCTTCCTCCCAGCCTTCATCTCAATCAAATGCGGCTCTCGACGGCCCGGTTGCCTATGTCATCGCCAAGCTATGCACAGTGTTCTGCGCGAAACCTCCGAGCGACTTCGGATTCGAGGAAATTCGGATCTTGATTCAGCTCCCCATTGAGTCGAGTGAGTAGACTTGTTCACCGGCACCTCCGAGGGGCGTGTAACCGTTCGTATGTGGAAGGTCTGCCTTGGGGAGACTCGTGTGACTGAATTCCGTTCCAGGCGGACTCTCTATCAGGCCTCTGTCCGGTGGCTTCTACTACGAAGGATATACGAAGCTTCATCTTTCTACCTCGTACTGCCGACGGAGCACGCACCTCACGATGCCACAACTGCAACCATCCGATAATAGCGCCACCATAGTCAATACCGAGGGCGATATGGATTACAATTGAGATTGATGGGGCGACGCTATCCCAAAGTATGATACAGGTACTCATAACGTTCGATATGCAGAGCAGCGAGAGACTGTGCGCGGACGGACGCTCCCCAGTGACAACAGAAAGCAATACTAGCGGAATGTAGAAGGTTTCACGACGCCGGACGCGATGGCCAGTCAGAGCTAGAGTTTATGGGGTCGGGTATCGTAGTGAAACCGTCCGCAGTGATCACCGGGGACGACAACTTCGGCGGGATTTTGTACATGAACCGCCGAGCGTACTTCCGAAGCCTGTGCAACAATTCAGTCAGGGGCTGATGCCAAAGATAACAAACAGCAAACACAACATACCCATAAACAAGTTTCGAGCCTCGGGAGAGCGACCGTCACTCCTTCGCCACGCCTGCTGGGGGCTCGCGGAAGCGCACGACAAGTACAGTGACATTGTCCGTCGAATAGTTGCTATATGCGTAGTTGAGCAGCTCCTCTGCCGCTTTCCGGGGATCCACTATCGAGCGCGCAAGGTCCACGGCCCCTTGGTCGTTCACCACGTCCCAAAGCTGCTTGCCAGTCAGCATGTACGCGCAGCATGAAAACGTGCATCACATACCCCGTCGCACGCCAAGATCAGGAACTCGTCCTGCTCGTTGAGCTCGGTCTCCGTGGTGTACGGTGAACCCACGACGAATTCCTTCATCGACGAGTCGCCCAGACTCCGTGTGACTGCCAACACCCCGTTCACCCGTCCGCTCATGACGAACCCACCAGCATCCGTGATCCGCTTGGCCTCCTGCTTGTCCGATCCCTTGTGGTCGTACGTGAGCCGTACTGCCTTGCCCGCGCGGCAGAGCACGCCCCGGGCGTCCCCTGCATTCGCGCAGTAGAGCACCCGTCGCACGCTCGACGGCGGAGTGACGGCATTATCCGTGCATGGCGACGGTGCGGGCGGTGAAGAGACTGTGTCACCAGACAAGGACGAACCGGAAGGTGAAGATGTGCCACCGATGCTCTTGATAGCATTCATGAGCTTACTCGTTGTGCCCTTCGATTTGGAGTCGTCGTCGCTCTTGCCATCTTCCTTCGAGCTCGTTGTGGCGCCGACCGAGACTTGCACTGGGGGAAGCTCAAACCCACTGGGCAGATAGCTCTGGCCTCCGTGTTCGTCCTCCAGCCTGAGGAACGCGGTCACCACGGTGCATCCGGAGTGCATTTTGCCGTCCGACTCCTCTGAGAGCTTGGATAGCTTCGAGTCCACGTCGTGGAACGTTTGGTTGAGCAGGTCTGGAATGGGAGACTCCGGGTCTCTTCGCAGTGCATTCACGAGACTCTACGGGGACGCTGTCTGGATATGCAGGGGTGTGGGCTGTACTGCGGGGACGTACCGGTGCAAAGAACTGTCCACACCATTCTGCTGCTGCTTTTCCCGCATGCCCGTCGAAGATTGCGAAGAAACCTTGTCCTCTCACACCGGCGAACGGCACAATGATCGAGTGGGCATCTTCCATAGTTCTCCGCGGACCCTTCGAGTCCGTTACCGCACACGTGAACGATAGCGCAGGTGGGATGGTCTCATCCCTACGAATCCTGGTGTTCGCATGAGAAAACGGTCCAACTTGCGAAAACCACAGCCAACTACTAACTCGGATGGAGATTGGGATGCTGAGAGACGAACCGAACATTAAACACATAGGACAGTCTCGGCTTTGGACTAGATAGACTCACAAGTACCGTCGGTGGAGGGCATAGCGCGGTTTCAAAATCGATTCGGAGGGCAGGAGAGGGAGGGGACAGAGGCGATAGTGGAGGAGCAGCGAGTGGAGGAATCTGGCTCTCTCATAAGGCGGGGCGCGCGTCGCAGCCACAGCTTCGCGTCATCTCACGTGCTCTTTTGTGGAACTGCTCCTAATCCAGTACTGCTTCGAATACAACAACTTCCGTCGGCTGGATATCATCCCACACATCGCCACAATCAACGAGCACGGAGCACGTACATCGCATCGATTCCTCACAGCTACGCACTCCTCGACACAAGGTCTCCTGGCTACGTGGTGTCGATGTCTTCATACTCCTCATCCACCCCAGATACGCACGAATGTCCGCCACCTCGACCGTCCCTTGCCGCGTGAAATGGGCGAGCAGCACGAGGTAGTTGTCTGCCGAGTCACGCGTTAGATCTATCCACACCTCAAAAAGGATCTCAGTGCGACCTCCTCACCCGTCCAGCGCGCCGCGGCCTCCTTCGCCAACACGACCGCGCGCTTCTTCTCCTCCACCTTCACCGGGTCGCAAGCTCCGTACGCCGCGAGCTCCGCCGCGAGCCGCGCCCCCTCCTTTTTCAGTCCCGCGAGCCGTTCGAGCTGCTCGGTCCGGCCCTCCTGCCTCGTCACCGTCAGCCGACCAGCTGAGCCCCAGCGAGGTCAGAGCTCACGCTCTCAGGCCGCGCCGCTCGTTCAGCCTCGACGGCGGCGCGGAGCTCCGCGACCTGCGCCGCGAGCGTCTTCCGCGTCTCCTTCACCGCTGCGAGCCGGTTTTGCATCTACGAGCAAACCCGGTGAGCGCGCGGTGGCCCTCGTTGGAAGGTACCTGCCGACGTACGATCGCGCCTCGCTGAGAGGGGAAGCTCCAGAAGACTGGGTGTATGCGCCTTGATCAGCGAGCCGCGGGGAGGACAGAAAGAGTGTGCGCACAGTTGGAAGAGCCGATCTTGTCCATCTGCACCAGCCCGTCGTCAACGAGAGACTGCAATACTTCCTTGACGGATTGCGACACTGGACGCGGTGGATGGTAGCGACCACTCGGGAAGCAGAGGACTCGAAGGGAGCGCACCGATGCCCTTCATCTTCGGCCCATCTTTTCCAACTCCTTCAACTAGGGAGATAGGGCTGAGAAGAGGACGCATATAACCAGAAAGGATTCTGCCCACCTGAAAGAAATCCTTCTGCCGCACGGCCCATAGCGGTAAGCTTCGGTGACTATATGCGCACAAGACAAAGGCTATTTACTGTCTCATGGAATATCTCCAGCAGCTTCACGCGCTTCTCTTCAGCAGAGAGTCCTCGAGGTGCCTGTACAATACTTGTTCAGAGCAGCATGAAAGAGACCGCGCAGCTAAACCTACCATGAGTAAATCGCAGAAAATTTCAGACCGTGGGGGTTGTGGAAGGAGATTCAAGAGAGACGGACAAAACGCACGAGCATCTGATCGCGCTTCCACTTGCCTGCCTGTTCGGCACCCAATCGAGCATAAAGTTTGAAAGCCAGAGTTTGCACGTATGCTCAACGAAGGTGCGGGGATTAATAGAAACGCAGGATACATGTACACAGGAAGGCGACACAGCGAAAACAATCAAGCGGACGAGTGCGTTCCAGACAGATGGAAAGAGTGCGGGCGGAGAATAAAAAAGATATGCGCGCGGAAATCCAGGACGAGACGGGAACGGTGCGAATGTCTGGTGGAAGGTGCAGGGGCATGGTACAAGAGCGCATGGGTAGCAGATGTGGGACGCATAGAAGAAGAGCGGGGGCGGCGGGGGAGGGGTGCAAAAGCAGTGAGTGGCGCAGGTGGGGAAATGTGCGGGAATGGGAATCATGAGACGGGGGATGGGAGTGGGAGTGGGATGAATGTGAGTTGAGTACACGTGCGGAGAGCGAGTGCGAGGGTTTGTAGAGAGCGGCGATGTCCGTGGATGCAAACGAGCGTACGATGGACAATAGAAGGTGACGTGATGTGCGGAGCGGATGAACACTCCGTTTTACAATGGCGGGATTAGAAGGTGTGCGAGCCAGAGATGCGCCGGTCGCAACCGCTAGAAACCGGCGGCGAAGACCGCTTCAGAATCTCGACGACCGACCATACGACTACCGGAGAACCTCAAGCCGCTGGCCGCTCGACGGGTACCGATACGCCACGAACTCGGGGTCCTGCTCGACGAGAGCTGCAATGTTCTTCGATGTCCCTATCGACATCCGCGCCGGGTTGCTGCTGTGTGCCGATCCCGGGCCGGTCCACTGGCTCTGCTCGTCGCGGTGCTCCGAAACCGACGTGCGGTACGGGTTGTAGTCAACCGAGCCGTTCGACACGTTCGTCGCGTACATTTGCGACTCTCGGGACATTTCCGAGGACTTCTTCCCGAAGAGCGACGAGAGCCCGAACCGGCTTCGGCGCTGTTTAGGCTTCATCGGCGTGGTGAGCGACCGTTTGCTGGCGTGGGTCGGGCCCCACTGGGCGAGTGACGGTGTAGAGGCACCAAACTCGGCGTACTTCTCCTCTGCGAGGAAGGGGGGAACGTTCGGCGCTCCCCTTCGGCCAGGCATGCTCTGGACAGCCGGGTGGGGAACCGAGGCAGTGCCGCCGAACGACTGTCTTCTCGCGTCCATGGTGCGGAAGGGAGCCTGGGGCGGAACCAGACCTCCGGAGAGCCTGGGGCCTGGAGGAGATCGTACATCGTCTGTGGGCGGATATCTGGCATTGGATGGGACGGGAACTCCACCGCGGATTCTCCTGGGATCGGGGGGAGAGACTTGTCACGACGCATGACCACAGACTGGGGGCGGGCGGAAGGTGAGTTACCTGGCGTGGCTGGGCCAAGGCTCGACAGCGTCCTCGAGGAGCTTTGAGTTGCCCGTCCGCGTTGGTCACCATCGGAGTTGTCGCCCGACGATCCAAGATCGAAAGCAGACATTCGGTTCTCAACAATCATTTCGTGCACCGATGCGAGGCCCTCCTTCTGACCCTCCACAAGCGGTTGCTCGGGAATAGGTAGCGTGATGAGGTGGGCGAGGGGAGAGCACTGGAAGGTGCAGTTGGAGGAGAAGGGGCCCATTGAGAGAACTGGTTAGGCGAGACGGACGAGAGCAACGACGGGGTAGAGACGTGCCGTCTGTTTCCGCCACCTTCGCGATCAACCAGGTAGGACAAGGGGGGTGGGGGCGCCAATGGCATGTCGTCTTCATGTCTGTCAGCAGAACGAGTCTGGCTGGGGGTCTTTGAAGACTTCGAGCCGCCTGTGACCAACTTCCAGATCTTCTTCAGCCCACTCTTCTTCTTCGTTGAAGGCGTAGTGGACCTGTCAGGCTCCGGGGACGCAACCATACGCGAGCCAGACTGCGAAGCCCGGAGGGTAGGAGTCTGACTGCTGAGGTCAAGAGCGGAAGGGTGCGCCGCAAAGTACTGCTGCTCCTGCTGCAGAGCCACACTACGGAAATATGACGATGAGTACCGCAAGCAACGGAGAAAGAAAGCGAAAGGGCCGCTTACTGCATATCCATCATGCTCCCCGTCGGCCCCACACTATCCCGGCTCATCCACGCAGAGCTCAAGTTCCTGAACCCGAAGAAGCGCGACCGCCGCGGCGACGTGCCCGAGGTCATGCTCATCATGTCCGAGAACGACGCCTGCGATTGCGCGCGGAGGAGTCGGTCGCCGTTTGCGGTGATGCTGCTCGGGCGGGGCGAAAACGACTGCGAGTAGCGCGCCGAGTCCCGCGCGTTCGAGAAGAAACCGCTGTCCATCGGCGGCAGCGGGCTCCCGAGCGGCATCGAGTACACGGACGCGACATCCGCCGCCGAGCGCGAGCTCCGCGATGTCTTGCGCGCCCGGCTGCGCTCCCGCCGCTCCTCCCGCCGTCTGTCCTTCTCCTCCCGGCGGATGTCGACATGCTCGACGATCATTCCGTTCTCCAGCAGCGTCACTTCACGCGAGTGGCCCTGTGCAGGCCCGGCGGACGACTGCGACGCGACCCGGGGCGCCTTGATCCGCAGGGCCCCGCCCTCGTCATTGGGCTGCAGGCTGCTACCGAGCTCGTAGGCGGACCGGCGGAGCTGCGAGAACGTGTCCCGCATCTTCTCGTCCAGCAGGCGGGACTCGCGCAGCGCCCGCGCACGGGCCAGCGCGTCGGCCTCGAGGAGCGAGCGTTGCGCCTTAACGTACATGTCGAGCGTCTGCTGCCGGGAGGACGGTTCCTTGGGGTTCTGCTCGGAGAGAGGTTGGTTAAGTTACCACGACAGCACGGACGGGAGCGAGAGAGTGCACGTACGATGCTCATCCAGAACTTCAGGTTCTCCTCCGAAAGCATCCCGCCGCTCGCGCGGGGCCTCGAGTGGTTGTCCGACGAGGTCTGGCCCGACATTTCCTCCTCCGCCTCGCGCCGGCACAGCTCCTCGTACATCACGTCGCTCTCCCGGTCCCAAACTCCAGGACTCGTGACGTCGACGTCCGCCATGTCCTGGTCGCGCATGGCGCACTCGACGCATACCTCTTCTCTCGGCATCTGCGGGGGCGAGAACGAGGGCTGCATGGGGGCCGCCGTCGAGGGGGTGATGTAGGTGGGGTGCTGGGCGTACGCCCTGGGGGTCTGCGAGATGGGCATCTGGATCGCACTCGGGTTGTAGCTGGGGCCGGCGGACAGCGGCACGATGGGGGGCAGGGGGGAGGAGTTCGAGGCGGCACCGATGCCAGCAGCAGGCAGGGAGGGATGTCGTGGGGACGATGCCGCACCTGGAGATACCAGCGGTGTGTGGGGCACTGCACCGGAGCCCAGCGACATGCCGGCATTGCGGGAGGAGAGAGGTCCGTTGGTTGCGGCGGATTCGAGCTGATCCTCAGATGGCCAACGGTCTGATGGCCGGGGGAATGGTTCGGGTGAGGTGGGGAGGGGGACCATGGCTGCGTGGGCGGCGGCGTGGGCGGCGTCGTCGAGCGGTCCGCTGGTGGGAGCGTCGTCGAGGGGATAGGAGTCGTTGTGTCGAAGACCGGAGGACATAGTCGCGTCTTCAACGGGGGAGCGAAACTGGGCTTCGAGGAGGGCGTCGGGAGGGGTACTTCGGGAGGGGTTCCAGTCGTCGACGGGCTCCTGGGTGATGTTCTCCCCAAGCCAGCCTTGTGGAGGTGTTGAACTTGGGGCGTAGGTCTGGTCGTAGCTGGCTCGGAGGGCAGAAGTCATGCCGGCGTCGACAGCTGCTCTGGACACGGCGGGAGGAGACTGAGGCTGGGAAGAAGCTGTGGGCAGAGGCGTGACCATAGCCGGGTAGCGATCGTCACGAAGGTCGAGTTCGGTCATGGGGAGCCGTTGGGAGAGGCTAGAGGAATGTGTGTGCATTTGGCCGTTGGACGAGCCGAGCCCCACAGCGACCTCGTTGAGTGGGGTAGCATCCGACGCTGGGAGGTAGACGGCAGTGGCCATGATCTCCAACTGGCCAAAGGCTGCTGAACGTCACTAGACCGTGACGGATTGAAGGCGGGACGATGAAGTTGGTGGGGAAGTGGGAGGGTGTGAACGAGACGGACAGAAGAGGCCGGTAAAGCTCGGGCGTCTATCGGTGTGCCACAAAGACGGCCTCGTTAGCTGTCCCCGTTCAGGCGCGCTCCGGGGTCGAGCGGAAGATGGATAGGACGCGGGGGCGACGAGCTGAGCCCTGGGGGCGAAAGTGGACGAGGAGCAGAAGGCAGAGGCCCCTCGTCTGAGTGTGAGCACTGAGGAACCCCGGCATCTCCCGCATCACGCCGCACCGCCGTCCATGCCTATCACGTCTCACTCAAGTGCATATTCAGGTCCAGTGCCTGTACTTAAGTCTCGCCGTTTCTTAGGATACTATGTAATCGAACAGGGCACTCATCAGACACATAAGCATTCAGCCGAAAAGCACGCATTGTCATTCTACAACCAGCAGAGTCCAACGCGCCGTGTCGCTTGTCTATCTATCGGCCAGTTACTTCCGGTACCTGATGTGATTGCACGGGGTCAGAGCCCGCTTCTATCACGAACGACATTGACGAGACGAATACGCACCAAAGGACGCCCTTCCGGCTCCGACCCATCTTCCGCTGCAGCTGCAGCATGCCGTACAACAGCGCCTCCGCGGTCGGTGGGCACCCAGGGACGTAAATGTCCACCGGAACGATACCTAAACCATGTACCGGTCAGCCCACCTGCGCACGATCCCCTGGGCAAGACACTCACGGTCACACCCGCGGACAACGGAGTACGAGTAATGGTAGTACCCGCCGCCGTTCGCGCACGAGCCCATGGAGACCACCCATCCTGCAACGCACGTCAGCGCTGTCGCGACGCACACGAGAGGCGGGCGCGACGTACGGGGCTCGGGCATCTGGTCGTACACCTTGCGGAGCGCGGGGGCCATCTTGTTCGTGAGCGTGCCGGCGACGATCATGATGTCCGACTGCCTGGGGCTCGCACGGAAGAGGATGCCGAGCCGGTCCTGGTCGTACCGCGCCGCGGCCATGTGCATCATCTCGACGGCGCAGCACGCCAGACCTGGCGGTCGTGCGGCGGAGCGAGTCCGAGTTCGAATCGAGCGAGGGGTTCAGGAGGCCAGGGCCGAGCGGAGAACGGGCGAGGCGAGGGGGAAGGGCGGCGTGAGACGACGGCGCGGAGATGCGGGAGGCATACGGGCGGACAGCGTGAACGCACCGAAAGTCATGGGCCACATCGAGCCCTGCCGGGCCCAGTTCGCCACCTTGTCCAGCGTCGAGAGCACATACTCCGCGCCGTTCTTGGGGGTCTTGAGGCTCAGTTGGTTCGAGCCACGGTTCGCGATTTGCGTGATGGGTGCGGCAGGGTCGGTAGAGAACGTGGGGCCAGGAGCAGGAGCGAGAGACGACGCGGGCGGTGATGAATGAAGGTGGCGTGCCGCTACATTTCAAAGGAAAAAGTTAACAGGAGGGTGGAGGGTGGAGGACGCCTCGGGACGCACCGTAGACACCAACCCGCGGCTGCAGGGATGCTCGCCGACCAGCGTTCGCCACTAGAGCGCAGACGTGAGCGCATAGAAACTGCTTAATGCAAAATATACGTACGCGCCGCGCTGAAGACGGGGAGCGACATAATGGTAGAAGGACGGAGTTGAGCTCACTGTCTGTGACGGTGAGCGGAGGCTGTTTGCCAAACGCACGTTCTGATTGGCCCACGGTCCAACTGTGGTCCGGGCGTCTCCGGCTCTTCCGACGCGTCTCGAACGCGGGAGTCAGGAGTTCGAGCCCGCGCTTGGTCATTTGGTATCCTCCCGCTTCAACGTCCAAGTCCGTCACATGTACCCCAAGTTCGGCATGCGCGCACATCTGCTGCCCCTTCAACTGCACAGTCCAAAAAGCCAAGATCAGCGACCTCCTTGTGGCAGTTCTGCTCAAGCGCGCGCACTTGGCAGTGCTTCAATGATTCTCGAAACCTGACGCCAGTCCCTTCTACGGAGGTAATCTTGGCATCGGTCTCGATTTCGCTCTCCTTGCGATATATACGGATTACCTCCTTCTCATAAACATTTCAATTTCACCCAAAGAGCTTACGCTCTGCCCTCAAGGAGGATGACCTAACAAAAACAAGAAGAGATCAGCGCTTTCAATCAATCTTGACGCGGACGTCCACACTTCATCACTCCACTTGAACATTTCCAGACCCGCCCGTCTGCGTATGCATGGTTCCGCGCCAAGGCCGATTCATGCAAGCAGCTCGAATAGGAAGGACGGACGATCCGCACATGTATTATACGGTGGCTCTCTGAATGAATGGTACAGGTACGCTAGTGGGGAGGCTCCGAGCTGCGTTTACTATGCATGGAAGCTCCTCCGGGAGTAACGGGAGGGCGTGCGCGCGCGCCTCGCCGTGGTATGTGTGGCCGATATCTGGATAACGAGTACGGGAGCTAGTGTGGGTGTGAGATGCATGCGTGGTGTGACAAGAATCAATGCGATGGTATCCGACATGTACGATGGTGCGGCGGTGAGTGGGTGAACGTGACTAAGCTAGCATGGGTTGGAAAATGCGGAGTGAATGACGACGAAGACAACAATAAGGATAGAAAAGTCCGCACACCGTCCGCGGGCCGCGACCAGAGCGGCCAGGACATGTGCGGAATCCCGTATGGAAGGGAGGATGCGTCTACAGTGTCCAAAAACGAGAGGAGAGGATCGAGTCTAGTCGCACTCGTCAAGAGCGCCGCGAACCCAAGGGTGGTTGCGGACTTCGTGGATGTCCGCGCGGAGCTCGGGGTCTTTTTCCAGGCAGCGCGTCATGAGCCGGATCGCGTCCTTGTTGAGGCGATGCGACTTGGGCTCCCGGATGACGATACGGCCTTCTCGCGCGTCCGACTCCTTTGGGAATGGAGAGTGGCCGGTGACAAGGTAGGAGAGAAGGACACCGAGGGTCCAGACCTCCGCAGGCGGGGCCTGGTAAGGCCGCTTCTGAAGGATCTCCGACGATGCATACGCAGTGGTCCCGAAGAAGAGTGTGTAGTAGGGGCGAGGGCGCGACGGGTCTGCGACCACAGCGCTGCCAAAGTCAATCAGCTTCACCTACGTAAAGCCGAGAAGCGTCAGCCCCGCACCCTCCATGTGAACGCGACGTAAAACACGTACCTTGAGATCAGCATCGATGACCAGGTTCTCGTCCTTGATATCGCAGTGCGTGATACCCTGGCTGTCGAGGTAGTAGACGGCCTCCACGACCTGTGCGAAGATGTAGCGCGCCTGATCTTCCGATAGCCGTTTGTGCTTGCTCTGCTCAATGCACTCAAACAGATCGTGTGATGCGCGGCGCGTGAATTTCGGCGGGCAGGCGGAGGGGAGGCGGAGGAGCGCATCGTCGAGGGGGTCCGAGAGGCCGTCGGCCGACGTGCTCAGGGGAAGGGACGATAGACGATCGGCGTCGGAGGGAGTCTGGAGGGGCGTGTGCGGTGCTGAACCTATGCTGGACCCCACGGAAGCGGACGGGGAAAGCGTCGGAGTCTCTGTTGGCGGAACAGAGAGGGCCCCAGCGACCGACGACCGCTTGTCCTTCTTCTGCTTCCTTGACACCCATGGGGTTCCGTGAAGCTCCTGGACCTGGGGTGGCCGCGGGCGCATTAGCGAACCGTTTCGGGCGACTGCAGATCGTCACTTACCAAATAGAAGAATACCTCGTCCTCGAAGAGATCAAGGCACTTGACGATGTTCTCGTGGTTCACGAGACTGAGGAGCATGACTTCCGTGGGGACGCGCCCGAAAGTTTCGTCTTCCCACCATGCGTGCTCTGGGACTTTGTCCTTGATGATGAACTTGACCGCGACCTCCTGACCGTCCGCGCGTTGTCGGGCGGTCATGACGAAGCCGTAGCCGCCGGCGCCCAGTTCGTCCTCGAGGCGATAGTGCTCTACGAAGAAGGGGTTGAGAACGTGGTCTTCGTGGAAGCGCTCCGAGTACGTGCGACCGAGGGAGAGCGACGGGTCCTCGTGGACAGGCGAGGCCACGAAGGCGTGCTCGGCCTCGTCGACTTCGGCAGCGCCGTGTGCGGACTGCGGAGGTGGTGGAGATTGATCGTCCGCATCGTCGTAGCCGATGTTGGAGAGAGAGAGGGACGGGAGGGACGAGAGCTGTGCGGCGCGCGGAGAAGCTTCGGGATGGAGGAAGGTGGGCGCGGAAAAGACGGGCGAACTAGGATGGGGTGTTTGTCGCGTGGGGGTAAAGGGTGACGCGGTGGGGTCGAGGGCACGCGAGGAAGAAGCGGGGAGGAGAAGGGGGCGTTTTCCCGGGCGGAGTCTGGGAGGTCGAGCGCATGCGAAGCCGCGAAGGGCCGAAGCGCGGGGCAGTGAGAGCGCTCAGCGGGAGGCGGGGAGGCACGGTCGGGGCGCGCGGACGCGCCACAGTCGCGTTTGGCGGGACCGCTAAGAGGCGGGGCGAGCGACTGGGGCTCGAGTCGAGGTAGCCGTCGCGGTCGAAGCGGTCGGTAGAGGTGCGAGGAAGACAGGCGAGGGCGTCGTCGTTGTGCTCGGTGAGGGGGGTGTGGAGGCTGTCACCATCGTCGGAGGAGAGGTCGCCGGAGTCGAGGGCGGGGGAGAAGAGGGCGTGCGCGGAGAGGGGGGCGAGGGCGGGGCGGGACGAGGCGCCGCGGGAGACCATGGCGGAGGTGGCACGGGCGGAGGGGCAGGGGCGCTGGGGGAGAGGGGGCAGCGGACGGAGGGGGGCGGTATTTGAGGGCGGGGAACCGAGCTGGGAAGGGAGCGAGCGAGGATGTGCTCGTGGAGAAGGCGGCGAGCCACAGCGCGCGATCGCCTGCATTAATAGGTGTCTGCGAGCAACGTGCCCGCACCTTGTCTGCCCACCGTCTCCATCTGTCCCGGCTCCAGCTCTTGTCCCGGCGCGGGCCACCGCTCAGCCGGGCCCGCGGGAGTTGACGGATGCATGGCTGTCGATCGCTCTGCGTTGCACGCCGACGAGCGACGATGTTCGCCCATATATCTGGCAACGCCGATAACGGGGCGTGGGCTCGCCTGGTCGTATGTTTGCTTCACAGCGGGTCGCCTGCCCAGCATCCTCCACCTGCCCGTCCGCATTCAGCACTCTGGCCACGCCCGCAGCCCTTCTCGCGATCGCCCCAGATCTCGTCTTACGTCACGAATAGGCAACATCCACACCCCGCCGCCCGCCCGCCAGTCCCTCCATTCGGCCTCGCCCTGCGCCTCCCCGCCGGGAAAGCCACCGCGTCCTCTCCCCGAGCACCCTCCGCCGGGCCTCCCTGGCCCGCCCGGCACGCCTCTACTTCGCCGTCCCAGCCTCCTCGCTCAACGCCCACATGTAGTACACCGCTGCTCGTCGTCCCCCGTCAGTTCTGCCCACGAGGCTACATCCAGCCGCCCACTCACCTAGGCTGCGGTACGGCCGCCAGCTCTCTGTCAGAGCCTCCATCTCGGTGGTGTCAGAAGCGCGCCTCTGCAGTGCATCGTCAGCGCCACGCGACCGAGACGCATTGCCCGCAGACAACACTCACTTGATCTTCGCTTTGCCGTTCAGCCGTGTCTTCATCTGCGCGACCGTCAGTCCGCTCGGCAACGCGGGCACGTTCACAAGAGTCCCGTCCAGGCTCGGGTCCCCAAACATGTTCAGCGTCTTGTTGATCGACGGTGTGAACGCGTCGGGCAGTGACAGCCCCGTTCCACCCGCCGCGTTTGACTCCGTGCCTGCCGTCTTCTCCGAAGGGCGCACAGGTGCCGGAACAATGCCAGAAGCACCGGCCGTACTCGTCTCTGCTTCTTGGCCATCACCAGACACCCGACCCGTGAGCGCGCCGTCAATCGTCGGGTCGGCGAGCTTATCCTCCCGGATAGATATCGGAACTGAAGGGGAGTGCAGGGAAATGAACCACCGCAGCGCGCCCCTCTGCACACCGAGATCTCCTGGATCGCTCCGTTAGCATGTGTTTCCCTCGCGCGGTTCACGTAAAACTGACCAACGGGAAGTATGTCTGGACGACGAAGAGAGAAGATCGCGAACATATTCACTAGAAGAGAAGCCATGAACACGACATCCGTACGTCGCGAACCTTGACACACCAGTCCACTGACGCATATGGGGGACGATGTTAGAGTCTGTCGCTGGCTATATGCGGACTAAACTCACAGTCCCGATCCCACGAACTTCGGTCAGCATGCGGTGGAGCTCTTCGTCGTCTGCGTCCAACAATTTTTGCGTCGTTAGGCGACCGTCAGCAAATCTTGCAGCCAGGTCCAGAACTAACGTCTCCGACGTGAGTCCGACGGGCGAGTCTCGAACCCTGACGTTGCCTACCATACTCCGCTTTACGAACGCTCAGGCCGGCCGTTTTGAGCGTCGCAGCATCTTTGGTGATGACTTGATGGCAGAAGGGAAAAAGTCCGATCTGCACGTAACGCGAGTCATGAGCGCAGTAGGGCAATGACAACAAAGTGATACTCACTCGCACTCCGACAGGTTCTCAGGTAATGAGGGTCGAACAGACGTACGAATCTGTGCGTGATGGCTCGCGCTGCCTTCCATGATATCTGTTGACCCCTGAGGATGAATGATGCCCGTGAGTGTCCTGACGCACGCAGAGCGACCATCGAGCGTGTCACGTACAAGATGGAGTGTGCGAGCGTGCTGGTGTCCATTCAGTTTCGCTCCTGATGAAACGATCAAGGCGCATACCGGAATGGATCCACCCTTTCAAGCTCCTCGTACGGCTTGCACGTGCACTTGCGGAAGACCTCCTCGAATCGCGGGTCGGCGTCGATGAGGTGCTTTCTGGCCTCGTCGAAAGAGAATGTGAGAATGGCGGGCACGAGCGCAGCCTCACCATCTTCAGTCGGCAAGGCGGTGACCGGGATGGCAGGGGGCCGTGGATGGACCACGGGCTGGGCTGCAGTGTTCGCGTCTCCTGCCTCCGTTGCGGCTTGGGCGATGCTTTCCACGAGGCTTCTTCGTGGTCCTCGTTGTTTCGGCGGAGCCGTCCTCTTGCGCGTGCGCGTGGACTTGGTTACCACGGTCACATTCTCATCTACTTCCATGGCCGCAGCTGCGATACGAGCTGAAGACCGAGTTACGCGCGTGGCCATGGCTGCTGTCTTGTGTTGCTCGGGGAACAAGGGGGCGTTGAAGGGCAGTGGCAAGGCTGAGGCGAAGCGGATGCGTCTGGTTGTGTATGCGAGTGAGGTCAGGGGGATATGCGCATGCGACGTGGTGGTCAACGACAGAGCTCGGGCGACACGCAGAGGCCGAGGGAGCCATCAAGAGCAGCGAGCGGACTCGGACCCGTGGGGCAAGCTGACGCATGCGCAGCGGAGAAAGCGAGGCGCGCGTGTGGGCGCGGCAGTGGGAGAGCGCGACGCGTCGCCTGTCACGTGCACGGGATGCCGGGCCTTGCTCGCGCCACCATCGCGCCTGGACTCCGCCTGGGGACCCTCGCCTGCATGCGCAGACTTCGAATGCGGTTTGCTGGGCCTCCACCAGGACGATTGTTCCCTCCGGAATTCGGCGGCGCTCGTCCGTGCTATATAGCGCACCTCCCAACGCTCGCCCCCGCACCGCACTCTCTCTCTCCATACCTCCACACCGCGCTGCGCTCCCGCGAACCGTCCACTTTCGACTCTCTACACCCCGCCACCCGCTCCCGCGAACCACCCCCGAGCCCCGCCCCAGCAGCCATGTCCGGAAGTACGTCCCGACCACTTTCTGCCCGTCTTGCTACACCCGATCCGGAGATCTAACTCCCTCCCGACCGCACAGAATACATCGTCGTCTTCAAGGACAACGTCGACCAGACACAGGTCGACAAGTTCGCGAAGGACGTCGCCTCAAACGGTGCGTCCCCCTCTCCGCGCCCCGGCGCCCTCCCCGCTCACCGTTATCTCCCCCTCCCATCCCGCAGGTGGCACCGTGAACCAGCGCTACGACACCGTTCTCAAGGTGCGCCCACAAACCGGCGCACGACCCCTGGCGCCTCGTCGCCCGCCACCGATGCTAAACCCTTCCTCCTCCCCGTGCGCGCGCCCCGCCGCACACACAGGGCTTCTCGGCCAGCATCCCCGACGCGTACCTGCAGCAGCTGCAGTCCTTCACGGGCTCGGTCATCGACTACATCGGTGCGTGCCCGTCCCCCGTCCCTCTCGCGCCGCCCTCGCCCGCGCGCCCTGGGTCGCCTCGCCTCGCCTCGAGGCTCGCGCATCAGCACCCCAGTTCGCGCTGGGGATCCAGATCGCAGGGGCGCACGCACCCACACGCGCACGCGCTGACCCTCGACCCTCCCTCCCCTCAGAGCCGGACAGCATGGTGACCACCCAATGATTCTGAACGCGTCTCGACGGGGCGCCGCGCCTGCCACGGGCGCTGTAAATACGATTCTCTCCGGATGCAGGGCTGAAAGCGTCGAAGCTCGCGGGGGTTTGGGGAAGGACTTGCTCACTGGGGACTCGGACCGTGTCATTTGTGTCATTAGCCGTCCACGCACTCAGTCACGACCGCACGTACACGTACATACGCACACTCACGACTCGCACATACCACCTGCCGTCTGCCTTTGGAAGTCTCTCGACCGCGCGCGGCTGTCCGGGCACCGACGTCCAGGACCCTGATGCCCCGATTGCCCCGATGCGTGTGCCGCACGAACCTTCGCGTGCGCCAAAATGGCAGAATTCACCGCGGCGCGTCCGCTTGTCCTCAGCCTCGCGTTCTTCTCGAGCTTCGAAGGGACTGCGCCGTGCGGCGCCGACGAGGGCCGAGGCAGCCAAACCTAATGCAAATCGCTATTGTCCTACGCGAGCAGTACTTCCGCGATGGAACCGGCAGAATCCCGGCTGCCAGACTGCCTCGGAGTCCCTCAGAGTCCCTCCGACCTCGCTCAAGACGCCGGTGGGCGAAGTGCACGCCATCTGATCGCGGTCTACCGCGAGGCGTTCGCGGCACAAGGTCGTACGAGTACAAGATGAGATTACAGTCTCTACGGACTCCGTGGGGGTATCGCCAAGCTAAGAACATGAACAGAGAGCGTCGTCGTCGTGAGAGGTCGTGAGGGACAAAGGCTACAGTCGTGACGGAGGACATAAGAAAAAAAAGAAAAAAAAACACGGCAAGCGAACGGTGGGATCCGGGGTATACGAAACCAGGGTCAGCGAGGAAAAAAGCCCGAGCCCGAGCGGGTGCGGCAGGCACCAAACGTCCTTATGCGGCCGCCACGTTCACCTCCCCCGCCTTCTCCGTGGGCGACGTCGCGGGAGCGGCGCAAGTAGCCGACGCTTCCGCCTTGCCTTGCGGTGCGACGGCCGGTGCCTGTGCTGCCCCCGCCTGCTCCAGAACTTGAGAGACCGGCGGAGTAGGGGGCGTCACCGTGAGGCCGGGCACGCCATCAGACGGCTCCCGATTCGTCTGCCCCTCCACCGACGCGACGCCCATGGGTCCCAGTCCCAGTCCGGGGCTCGGAAGCGGAGGGTCGAACAGGATGGGCCCTGGTCCGGACTGCTTGGGATCCAAGGGCGTCGCCGGCTGCTTGGGGTCCACAGGCTGTGAGCTCACGGCGGAGCGGCGGGGAAGTCCCAGGGCCGGGGCACGAGCGCGGCGGGCATCACCAGTCGCGGCGCACACAACGCCCTTGCCCTTGTCTTGCTGCTGAATCGAATTGAACTCCGCGTCGATGTACTGGGAGATGTACCGAACGAAGGGCATGATCTCACGGACGCCGTCGTTGGCGACAGAGAGTGCGGTGAGGAAGTTGATCGCCGTGTGCGCGATGGAAGGCACGTTCTGCAGCGCGTGCTTCAGGGTCAGTCGCGGGAGAACAAACAGGAGAACATCCGGTACGTACCCCGAGGTACTTCACGGACGGCTCTGGAATCACGATTTCGAGCCCCCACCAATCTATCCAGAACAGGTAAGAGAGGGACTTAACATGACTCGACGTACTCACATGTAATGACAGACATCCGGTCGGTCGGAGGGTATAGGCCTTCATGGGACGGAAGGATGGATTGGCCGGTCGCGTATCCGAGCGCCAGAAGTTGGGGGGTGAACTCTTGAACGCCTGCGAGAACAGCCTTCGCCGTAGGAACTGCACCAGCCAGAATGCCAGGAGACCCGACCGGATCGCCGAAGCCCAGTCCCGGAGTTGCGATGAGGCTCACGATGTTAAGGTCGCCCAAAACAGATCGAATCTTGTCAAGGGAGGTGATGGTGACGCTCGCGATGTCTGCCGCGAGGGTACGTTCCCTGGTATGACCTTCGTGGCGCTCGGAAGACGCGGCGACCTTGTCCAGCTTCGCGAAGTGCTTCGTGTGAGCCTCCTCGTCGGAGCACGACAAGCATACAGCGTGGATTGGACCCTGGAAGAGCACTGCGATCTGCACTCCCTCCACTGTCTTCGCCACAGGGACGTCCGAGCTGGGCAACTGGCGGAGCTGCTCGATGACCTTCTGGGCGGACTTGGGCTCTAGCAGCTGCTGCTTCACCTTGCGGACCTTCTGGGCGTTCGTGGCCGCTGCTCCAGTAACCGCTACCCTGGTGTTCTTCGGCGGAGCGAGAGACGGCGCCGCGAACGGCCCGACGATAAGATCGCGGACGACGAGCGCGGACTCCCGAGCGCGCTTATCTGAGCGAGAGAGAAGAATCTTGTGCTCGACGTACTCCTGGCGGGCGATCGCCTCCTTGGCGGCTTCCTCGCGGTGGGACGGAAGGGATGGCTTGGGATCATGGACGCCCTTGGGCTGCACCAGAGAACGCCAAGAGAAACGCTTCTGCGCATTTGGCTTTGGGGGTGCCTCTGATACCGACGCAGATGTTGAGTTCGACGTCGCGGTGGAAGAGGGGGTCAAGACCGGGGGAACAGGCTGCGCCGGGGCTTCATTGGACTCATCAAGGGGAACCTCACGATCCTTCGGGGCGGGAGCGTCCGAGTTCTCAGGAGATGCCGCTTCAGCGTCGGAGGCGGGGTGGGTGGCCTCGACGATAGATAACGCCTTCACTGGGATGCAGCGTCACTGTTGGACGCTTCAGCGGGAGCCTCGGGGGCGCAACTTCGACCTCCTTCGGCTTGGCGTCAGTGGCCGCCTGAACCTCCTGGGGAGCGGCCGGGATCTCCTTCTTGGTCTCCGCCGAGGTCAAACTGAACTTGGCGACGAGAGCCTCCTTTGAATTGCTTGCAGAGCTCAACCAGATTCCGAACACCATCGTGAATGGAGCGTGGGTGGGTGATCGGAGGGGGGAAGCAAAGGGACAGACAAGCTCAGAGCAGCTTATGAGTGCCGGCGGTCGCAGGAGGGGCCCTCGGCGAGTCAAGCCCAGACGGAGGTGAAGGGAGGAGGTGATGGTCGCTGAGAAGAACGATCCCGGCGAGCTCACTGGAACTTCTCCCTCCGGATGCGTCACGGTCACGTGGGCTGCCTCTTTGTGGCGTCGACGTCAGCGCTCCGAACGCCGATCGCGCCCAGTTTGGCATCCTCCCGCTTCCCACGTACGACGTTCCATGTGCCTTCGGCCTGCCGCACATCTGCTGCCTCTTCAACAGCACGGAGGGCTCAGAAAGCCCACATCAGCTACATCGTTGCGGCAGGTTGGCTCAAGCGGCACTCGGCAGTGCTTGATTAGTTCTCGAAGCCTGTTGAAAGTGCCAGTACGACCTCGCAGAGCATCCTGCTGAGGTGAGGAAGCCTGTTCTCGACTCATCAGGCAGGCGGATCAGATAGCTCACTTAGGACATGAAGTTTTATCTATGCAACGAGGGTATTTCGAGCCCCCGCGTGCCACTGCGGCGTCATGCATGGATTACGTTCGAAATCCAACGTTCAACGCGTTCCAAAGTACGTCCGTGGCGAGCACCTCACGTACCAAAGCCCTCAGTGATGATTGTCTGACACCTATCGTATCCTTTTCGTACTGGTTTCTAGGATACTGCAACGACCGATTGAGCCGGCATACATCAAACCTATGTTGACGCTGCACATCCAAGCACATCGCCCAACGAGGGTAATATTGTGCACAACCGTGCACAGTTTCCATTTCTTCTTGTGTAGCCACACAGTAAATTGGCGGGTTCTCGCAAAGCCATCAACCCGCCGGGTTCGACGCACAAGACGCATGTGGATCCATAGCGCGGGTAACCAAGTTTGACTTACATCCACCCGAGGATGACATTCTAAAGCGGTATATTGCAGAGTAGTTGACCCTGCTTGACGCTGGATGACACAGGCACTCGCACACTACGATGTTTGAAATAGCATTTGCATACTTATGTCATACACGTACGCTGTCTCCTCATTAAATACAGCGTTCTCACCTCACCTGTCTGTAGTGTCAACAGACGGCCTTGATACCCAGATGGCTAATCAGATGGTGCAGAGGATCTTGCGATGCTCCACCGCACATCATGGGGTACGACAAGGCCAGACATGCCATATTCCAATAACGAGCGCCAAACGCCCACTCTACACACGCACTAGGTCCACAACTCTACCAACCACCCGCATACCCGAACGCATAATGAATCACGGAAGCCATCCTCACAACGCGACTGGCCTGCAGACTCCACCGCATCCCAACTATCGAGCCTCCCAGCATCCGAGCCCGCCCTCGATCCGGTCCACCCACTGCGCCGCGATCGCCTCCTCCCACTCCCGTGCATCGCCGCCCCCCTCGACCCACGTCACCCGCGCGTCCCCCGCCGCCCCGCCCTCGCACGCCGCGCCCACCGCGCGAACCGCGGCCACGAGCGCGCGGTAGTCCGCGTACGGTTCTCGCACCGGCCCCGGGGGGGAGGCACCGAGTGCACGATGACGCGCCTCAGCGCGGGCATCGCGGCCTCCTCCGACCCTTCCCCTTCTCCTGCCCCCTCTCCGCGCTCGCCCGCCTCCCGCGCCCCCATCGCCGTCGCCGCACCCCGATGATCGCCCGCCCGCCCGTCGAGCCCGACGCCGGCGCCCGCGCCGGGAGGAGCGCGCGCGCGAGGAACGCGGCGAGGCGGCCGTCGCGGCCGTGCGTGTACGCCGCGTTCGAGACGCGGAGGTGCGTGAGCGCGGGCGTCGTGCGCGGCAGCCACGCGAGCGCGTCCGCGAGCGTCCAGTCGCGGTGCCGGCCGCAGACGAGGTGGAGGCGCTCGAGCGCGGGGAAGCGTTCGCTCAGCGCGACGGCGCTGCACCCGCACCCGCCGTCGCCGTCCTCGGGGGCGCGCCCGGGCGGACGCGTTCCAGCTGGTGCTTCGAACGCCGGGGGAGTGCGCGCGTGAGCGTTGGTGGCGGCGGCGGTGCGGCGGGGAGCGGGGAAGCGGCGGGATGGTGTAACGGCGTGGGTCCGAGAGGCATCCCTGGGGCGCGACCGATACCGATACCGTTGGATGGGGGGTCGTCGACCTCGGCCACGGCCCCGGGGATCGTCGAATTCTCCGCCTGCGTGCAAAGGTGCATCTCGCGGTGGTCGAGCATGGCCGCGATACCCATGAGGAGGGTCAGCTCGCGTAGGCGCGGCAGGGGCGGGGCGTGCGCGAGCGCCGGGAGCGCGTGCCCGTCCGACTGCAGCACGGCGAGGGTCTCGAGCGTCGGCGCCGCGAGCGCGAGCAGCGCGGAGACGAGCGCGGTGAACTCCCTGTCCCAGGCGGCCTTCTCGAGCTCGCGCTGCTGCCGGACGCGGTACCACAGGTAGGGATCGGCCAGGTCGAGCGCGGGGCCGACGTCATCCGCTGGCGTCGGAGTCGTCGGGGTCGGGGTGGAAAAGGAGAGCAGAAGGTGTTGGATCTTCGGTGTCTGCGAACTGGAGGAGGAGTACGCTTGGATGTAGGCGAAGAATTGGTGGATTTGGCCGAGTGTGCTGAACGCCAAAGAGCGGAAACGTACGGGGTAGGAGGCGTTGTGGAAGAAGTGTGAAACGCGCGCTATGGCGGCTCCAGTGCGTCCGCCGTCGCTGCACGCCTGAGCGATGATTTGGTGCCAGATCTCGAGGGGAATGTCGCGTGTGCGCATCTTGAAGGGGTCTGGGTAGAGCAATGGGGAAGAGATGTGTCTCAGAGGAAAAGGCGTCGAAGCCGAGTAGGAAACCTCGTCTTTAACTATGCCCTCGGGGAGACGAGGTGAAGCGCACGCGTGTTTGTGTAGACGAGCTGCCGTCTCTGGTCAATTAATCAAGTAAGGACTGGGATCACCACGCGGGACGCCGGGTCGCAAGGTCTGCGACACAGACGATGCCCGTCGAGTCCGAATCGCTGGTGTTCGAGGCACAGCCATACCGTAGGCGTGTGACACATTCACCTTCTGGACATCTGCAAGGGCTTCGGGACCCTCCCATGAAGGTAGCAATAGCTCCTTAACGCCGGGATGAAATGCGTCTTATACATGACGAATGGCTCGGAGTCCGGAGAGAGAGCACCCTGGGAACGAGGAGATCAGCCACGAACGCTGAAGCGCGCGGCCATCAAAATTAGTGGTATCTAGTTACAGCTTCAAATCGGTCTTCACAGGAGTACGAATGCAAATAAGGCCATGCTCGTCTGCCGGGGGCAGCCGACCCGCGCGTATGTTCACCTGCAACGACGGATGCAATAGACGTGGAGCGCCAAGAACCGCGTCTCTCTCCCTGCGGAACTGGATGAATGTCGCCGCATCCGTTCCCACCTTGACGTGCTTGTTCCTCTCACGCTGCTCAGCCACCGTGCTGAAGCACGTGTGGTTGCGGTCCACCGGGTAGTCGTGACCGACATACAGGCGGTAATCTTCGGGCATGGACAGCAGACGCTGCATCGACTGGTGTGGATATATGAGCATGAGCACAATGTTCGCGAACTGAAACAGCGAAAATGAGCGACTCACGGAGTACAACGTCTCGACATTGCCTCCCGGGAAGTCGGCTCGGGCAGAGCCAACATCGGGCTATGATGTAATCAGTAACGAGGACAGTGCAGCCTGGACGCGCGGAGATACTCACGTTAAAGATCGAGTCTCCGGTGAAAACAGCTTTGCCAATCACGTAGCCAACGTGATCGGGAGTGTGTCCGGGCAGATGCCACACTTGACACGACAAGGAGCCGAGGTTGAACACCTCGTCATCTTGGAAGTAGACATCGAATGCGTCCTTGAAGAGGGAGCTGTCGAGCGCATATCGCGGCCCAAACACCTCTTGCACTTGCGTGATCCGCTTGCCTATGCATATCGCGACGTTGCCGCCCAGCTGCTGTTTGATGTATTGGGCGGCGGTGAGGTGGTCGGCATGCGCGTGGGTTTCCCTACAAACGGAGCAATGGTTCAGCATGGATGCTACAGGATACAAACCGCCAAATCCGCGCCGGAAAAAATGCGAACGAATGAAGGGAAGAACTCACAGGATCCTAGTAACCTTCAACGAGTTGTGCTCAACGTACGATATCAACCCGTCCGCAGTCGCCGTCTTGATTGCCCCCGAAGCTGGGTCGTAGTCCAAGACCGAGTCGATGATGACCGCCTCGGAGGTCGCAGGGTCGGACACGATGTACTGCCACGTGCATGTCGCCTTTTCGAAGAACGAGGCGACGACGGGGGTGTGCGAGTCTTGGCTCGGATGGCGCTTCCACGGTTCCGCGGGAGGGATGTTGTTGGCGCGAGCCTGAGACACGAAGGGCGTGTCTAGGGACACATGGGGCGAAGAGGCGGAGGACGTGGACAGAGTCCTGGCGGTGGGAAGAGAAGACGAAGGTTGGACGCGGCCTGTAGCAGTCGGGGCCGCACTATGGACCGACCGCGGGTTGAGTGACGCAGCAGTCCGAGCGGAGATGCGGGCACGGGCGCCCCGGCTGAGGACAGATGGTTTGAACAGGGACATTGGACAGGATGTGTGGTGGGAGGAACAGGCGAGTAGCTGTTGTGGGGTCTCTCACCTGGGGAAGGGACTTTATACCTGGCTCCGACGTGGAGACGGCGGGCCAAAGGTTGAACTATGGGACCAGGGGCGCTTGAATTCGGAATGAAGCGTTCAATTCGGAATCGGTAGCGACTGGAGTGACCTAGTCCGGTTTTCGTGGGCCGCAGGAATTCGGATAGTCGGAGCCAGCCAAACCGGTTCCGACACGACACGCGAAAATGGGCGAGAACGTGCCAAGGGGATCCAAAGCAGGGAGGCAAAGGAGAAGGTGAGCTGCGGCAAGGCCCAGTGCCAGTAGGTGACTTTACTAGAGTACTGGCCATCGGAGCCGCCATGTGGGCCCCTCAGGGTATCGCCACCACGTGCACATTCCCATGCGCCCACTCGGGGGACCAGACAGCGAAATAATACCACTAATTTCCATAACGACGGGAAGACACAGGCACTGTATATGTTTTGACAAAGACGAGATCCTCTCGTAGACCACCCCGTCGGTACTCCACGTGATTACCCTCTGGCCTTCAGCGCAGCGGCGTGGGCAGCTTGGATTGGGTAGACATCTCCGTCGGGATAGACCTGAAAGCCACACATATATCAATACCCCCGCTAGGATGAGAAGGTCACGGACTCACAGCGTAGCCATCGTTTGGCGTGCTTGTGTACGTGAGATGCGAGCCCGCTTGCCTGCAAGAACAGACGGGTGGTGAGAAACGGCGACGCGCTGCCTGATTCGAAGAAACACGCACCAGATGAGGTCGCCGGCGAGGTTGGAGCTGATGATGGTGTTGTACCATGCCGTGTACGTAGACGCCTGGTTGCTCGTCACGCCGAACTCTTCGAGAATTACTGGCTTGTTGACCGCCGCCCCCGAGGTTTGGTGGTCCTTGATCCATTGAGAGCCCCACCCGGTCGGATCGCTCGTCTGACCCCAGCCCACCTGTGAACCACGTGAGAATCGGACAATGATGCTCGAGTCTTACCCGTACTCACCGGGTAAAGCTGTCACGGCGAAATGGAAGTCAGCGTCTCATTCGGAATAAGGACTACACCTGTCTCTCGGAACTTACATGCGCAGTTCCGAAGTCGATAGAGCTGATCTTGATGTTGGCATCGAAGTCGATGCCCTCGGATCCCCTGAAGGTACGGCATAGTAAGTGGCAAAGCACTCCACTGCGCCGGAGACTGCAAACACGCACTGGTAAGGGTAACTCGGGTTGCTGGGCTGGTTGAAGAAGCCCTCATCTCCTATTCCGACGAGGTGGTTCGAGTCGATGGATTTGATGAACGCTGACATGGTGGTCGCCCACTGCGTAATGGTGGCGGTCGTGCACGTGCCGGATGTAGTACTGAAATCCGAATGCTGACTGCTCAGCCGTGCGGCTTCATAATGCCCAGCCTGAGAGTGACGCACCCCGTGCTGCCTTTGCACCTTGGCTCATTGGCCAGCTCCCACGCGAGGATCGTGGGCTCGTCCTTGTAGCGTGTGACGAAAGTCTGGACGTACGACTTGAATGCCGTCTATGCCCATAGGTTCAGGTACGAGGTCATCAGCGACTTCGACGATACATTCAGCTCACCTGGATGGCCGAGTTCGTGTAGAAGAGGTCGTGGTTCGCGCTACCAGCAATCTGTGAAACATAGACATCCATCCCGCCGTAGTCACTCCAGTTGTTGGTCCTGCGCAATGCGTGGTCGTTGGCCCCACGTTCATGTATACGAGCCGTTGTACTCACAGTGCCACGATCAGGCGGATACCGTTCGCCTTCGCGGCGGCGATAACGGCATCTAAGGAAGGGTAGAGTCAGCTGGCCAGCCTCGAGACCAACAGTCTTCACCCACCAAAGTTCTCCAGTCCGGTGGAGCCAGTGTTCACTGTCGCTTTCCCGTTCGACCACAGCTGGTAGTAAATCCCATTCGCGCTCGTGACATCGTTGAAGCCCCTGGAGTAAGATTAGGTCGCAATCTCTTTGACCCATAACAAGCACGCGCACCATGTCCTGACCGTAGTCGCCCCAGCACCCGCCATGTCGGCGAATGCCTTGTTCATGTCGGTGGTACTATAGCCCATGAGGCCAACCCAGTAAGAGTTCGTCCTTCATATCTCGTCAGCATTGAGACCAAGTGCTGTAGAGTGGATCATCTCACCCGACGAGTGGATATGTCTTGCCATTCAGAGTGAACTTTTGTCCGGACACCTTGACGAAGCCAGTCGCGCTGGGAGGGGCAGCCGTTGTTGTCGGCGCGGTCGTAGTCGTAGTCCCGGCCGTAGTCGTAGTGGTCGCTACACTGGTGGTAGTCGTAGTCGCTGTGCCCGGAATACATTGCGAGTAGAAAGGGTTCATCACGGTGCACACAGTCCCAGACACACAAGCTGCACCCCTTGTCAGGTGATACACTGTAGTCGCAGGAGTAGGAGCGCAATACGCACTCGTGTCTCCAGTCCACGACTGTCCACCACACTACAGAGCGCATCAAGTCAGTCGACCGAGAAGCTAGGAATGCGAAGAAGCGACTCACCTGTCCCCACTCTGGCACGGCAGCGCCAACGAAGGGCGCGAGGGCGACAGCAAGGGCGACAGCAGCAACCCGGAACATGACCGGAGTGTAGGAGAGCGGTGACGGACCTTGACCAGCCCCTTCTCCGCTCCAGTATATATGCGCAAGAATGGCTCACGCGCCATGTCCATCATCGCTTCTCGGAGACATTCCGCTAGAGTTCTACTAGTACTACCCGCAGGGGACGCGCATTGCTCGGGGGAATTATCGCGCGAAGATTATCCCGACCGCCGCATCACGCTGTGCGTGGTGGTCTCGTGGTTCGCGTCTCGACGGCCCGTGAAATGGCTATGCTTGATTGCCCTAGAACGTGCCTTGAAGCTTCGAAGCCGGCTAGCTACGTAAATCTCACATGTGATCCTAAACCAGAAAATAAGTACGGAAACCGCGGACGGAGGCTAACCGATCAGACACACCTTGTACATGACAGAGGAATCATGGCACTGGCGTGTCTTCCATAAAGATCCTAAAGTAACTTCCCCATTATCTGGTGGTATAGATGTCTACATGTATATATAATGGCGACTCTTGAGATTCGCCGTCTGTAACGACCCGAACTTCTCAGTATCCGGCAGCGATGCCATTCTTCCTTGAGTCGCTCGCAGCTAGAATGCTCCCGTCAGTAATCGTTCGCCGTGGCAACAGGTAACCACGTACCAAATAAGGTACCGTTGACCTTGACGATACCCTGGATAACCGCGGCAACGCGCGATGAGTCCGCAACTACGTTATAGTCGGCATCAGAAGAATCCACATGCAAACACATGCGGCCGCTTACCGGATATGTTGTGCCCGAGCTGCCGAAGGCCATCCAAAAGAGTGACGGGGAGACTGTCGTCGGTGTCGACGATTAAGGGGAACAGCTGGTCATGCATGCGCCCGTATTCTATGGCCGCACTGACGTCCATTCCCCAGTCTAGGTTGAGGAGTGTCTGGAACACTGCAGGGAAAATGCGGGAGCCACCGGAGCCCCCCAGGGAGGCGTAGAACGCTCCGTCTTCGCTTTCAATTATGATCGGAGCTGTAGAGGACAGTGGTCGCTTGCCCGGCTCCGGATAGTTGACTGAATACGAAGTAGGTCAGCTTCATTCGCAAGTACAGGGAATAGCACGTACACGGTGACGGGTAAAGACCGAAAGCGTTCGGTATGCCGGGGGTGGAGAAGTCATCCATCTTCCAAGCTTATTAACACAACCTCCTCCAAAGTTTTATCACAAGCATACCTCGTCATTCAGGATCACGCCTGTCACAGGGTCCATGACTCCCGAGCCGAAAATGAGGTTCACCGTGCTCGTAATTGAGACAGACATGCCGTTGGCATCGACAACGGACGAATGGCTCTGTCAAAAATCTTTTGAGGAACGAGTCCACAGTAGCGAAAGAGTAATGTTGCTCACAGTACCGTGATCTTCAACAGCGTCATAGACGGGGTTATAATACTCCGGGGAGTGGGTACGGTCCTGTAGGCGGCAGGCATCACCATCCATCCGGTCTCAATGGTACGAATGAGCATACGTCCGTGACGTTCGGGAAAACTTGATCCGCGTATGCCTTCGTTGGGATGGAGTTGATGTGCTCGACGCTGTCGTGGAATGCCGGGTCACCAATCCAGTCCTAATGAAAGCTCAGCGGTAGTTTGACTTGCGCACCAGCACACATACCGGGCTGCGAAACCAACTAAACCAAAATATGAGTGCCCGGGGAGCTCCAGACAGGAGATAGATCGCAACTCACACTTCATGGCCTCAAGGAACCGATGTGCATTCAGCACAGTCCTCCCTTCCTCCACAAAGTCGCCGTAGTGCTCCAATAGGTTCAACATGTGAAGGAGAACAAGACCAGACGTGGGTGCATGTGGGACGTAGACTTTCTTGCCACGGTAAGTACCCTTTAGAGCCCGAGAAACCTTGACCGTGTAGCCCTCCATGTCTTCGTGCGTCATGATGCCTTCCGTGGACCGAACCTTTGTTAAGAAGGCGTCGGCAATAGGACCCTTATAAAAGGCGTCGGGTCCCTCTTCCGCGATGGTATAGAGCGTTCGTGAAAGGTTGGTCCGATGGATGCTTTCACCTGCACGCAGAAGGCGGCCGTTGGGCGCGAAGATGGAACTCCAATCGGAATCGTTGAGCATCATATCGGGGAACCACTGGGAGCATGCTCGTGAGCACGACGACAGCAGATGATATGCAGTACTCACAGTCATCCTACGCTCAAGTTCCGGTTGAACAATCCATCCCGCTGCCAATCGTGCTGCAGGCTCAACCAGTTGCTTCCATGGCAAGATGCCCCATCGCCGATGAGCTTCTTCAAGACCGCGAAGTTCGCCTGGTACGCCGACGCGAGACCGCCAAATCGCGATGCCAAAGGGTTGTCGACGTACATTGTCTCGTTGCTGAGCGCGGGCGCGGTTTCGCGGAAGTCGATGGCATAGACTTCCGACGATACATTTGGACTTGAGGGTGGGACGCGAACCGTCATGAACCCTCCTCCACCAATGCCAGACCTGACGCATGATATGGGTACAATCTCACATGATTAGCAAAGGAAGGACTCACGAGAACATGTTCACCACTCCGGTACATAAAGTCGTAGTGACCGCCGCATCCACCGCGTTTCCACCCGCCTTCATGATGTCCACGCCCATGCCGAGCAAATCTCGTTTTCGCTTGCAACTGCGCCATGGGTAGCCCGGATGAGGTATGCGGGATTGTTGGAGCCAGAGGGAACGCGCGTGCGAGTTGAGCCTTGGTTTGAACCTCGTGTGCAGCCCGAGCGGAGGGTGGCGTAATCGAAGGAGGAACGCTGGTGAAGAAGCAGATAATAGCCGAATGAAAGAGCGATTACGGCAGCATAGAGCAAGCGAGAAGACCGAGACTGTGGACGGAGAAGGTGGGGAGGGGGCGCCGGAGGCTCCGCGATGATGCCTGGCTTGAGAGGCATGAGGGGTTGGTGGACGGGAGCAGGGACCGGGACTCGAGGGAGATAAGTGTTCTTGCGTCGGCTTATTTCCGGTGCCGGACACAGGTGCCAAGGTTAGCATGTACAGTCAGCAGGATCACAGCAGAAGTTACTTCATTTCCCGAGCACGGACGCAGCTGCACGGTCCTGCGACACTGACCAGCATTGACCGAGTTCGAAGGTGGCGAACCTGGCCGTCCCAGCTGCCAGTCCCACTGCATACGTGCATTGCCCTCCAGTACTACTCCTCGAATACTGGGCCAGTCGGTGTTGAACGCGCTCTGGACACGTCTTGAGAAAGCAGCACGTCACGGTCGCGCTGCAATCAGCGGTGTAGTCAGAATTCCGAATTCTCCGTACCACTACGTTACACCTTACCAAGCCTCGGGCAGGGATACAGGCGCACGTGCTGTGTGACATACGCGACTGCGCGCGACGCGTCGAGAACGTAGTACCTTCTCTCAGGACTACCACGACTCCTGCCCCCACTTGCTGTTTCGGAGTCCTCGCCGTCTGTTGGATGCATGGAAAGCGCACGAGGACATCTTTACGGGCGACACCGCCAAAGGTAAGTGGATCCTCCCTCCAAATGAACTAAGCAATAATCATTCCGTTTCACAGATCATCAAAACGCACTGCCGAGACGTTTCCTGAAGATGATAGCGGTGCGTCCATCTATTAATGTGCAACTGAGTGCGAGAACTTGGAGCTGCTGCACTAGTTCTCTCCCATTTCTCCAAAAGACAGAAAACAGAAGGTCTGAACTCTCGATACGACGAAATGATTCGAACCGTCAATGTTCTCGCTCCTCCACACACTCGCCGGCATGAACGTTCACGAAAGCGCTCTCGTCGGGCTGCTTCATCGTCTTCTACGACCACGTCGGATCTTCTTCTGTCTCCTGCCCTCGAGTCAAACCGTAGTTCACTAGGCTCCGAATTTTCCATTCTGAAGATGGACTCACAAGCCGTACTGGGGAGGGGAAGGCAGACTCGTTCTCAGGAAATATGGTCCACACACGAAGATTCCCATAGCTCAGACGACTTTCGTTCAAACCTTCCGCCCTGGCTTGAGGGCACTCTCTTGACGCTGAAATCAAAACACCCCCTTCGCCTTGGCTTGCTTCCGCACCACGTCGTGCTCAGAGCCCGGATATATGCGCAAGTGCAACTCAAGTGCAAGAGCCACTCCCGTCTCTGTACGCCCCTTCAAAGGTTGTATCACCTCCTAATCACGCGCATAGGTCCTCGCCCAATAACCTCCGAGTTCTGCTCTCTCCTTCCGCGCAGAATATGGCAGGATCTGACCCGCATATACCCAACGAAAGTGGCGATCAAGTGCCATCGGCTCACCCTCTACTTCCTTTTTCGACCCCTGGACCTGCTTCATGTCTACCACAGTTTCCCTTTCCTCGTCCTGTTCGCCCGACTGTTTGCCCATTGCCGGAAATGCCACTATCGCCAACACACAGCCTACCCCAGCTCATCATCTCGGGAGTAGCTCCGAGAAATACTCTTGCACACTCGCCACTAACTTCTCCTCGTCTATGGCACTTTGATCGTGCACGCCCTTTCCACATTCCTCATCACTGCTCTCGCCATCGCCGCCCAGGGAATTTCTCCAACCATCTCATCGCACTCAAGATTCTGCTTCACCGTCGCCGTGCTTTCTGTCCGACATCCGGGCCTCTCGTTCCGACAACATGTTCGTTGGATCAAGACTCTCCACACCAGTAATCGACGTCGGTACGCTCGATTTCAAGTGGGAGCGCTTCGACCGAACAGATCTCGTCTTGGACCCCTCGTCCTCTCCCCACTCACCTCACATCGACTCGGAAGCCGCGTTCTGGGGCCAACCGCAGTCAGACCCTTCCCTTCTCACCATAGCTCCGATATTCTAAGTCCCATGTTCGACCCTGATGCTACATTGGAACAAGACGGCGGACCTCCGCATACTTTTGCAAAATCCGAGCTAGGCCCTGACGCATCTCGCACCTCCTCAATGCATTCCCGAGTCCCAAAGGACGACGACCAAGATCTTGCGTGGATTCTTGCTCCTCGTGGTGGAAATCCGATCTGGCCGTCTCCTCCGCTCGACATCACTGCTCCATCTACACCTATCGTGCCGCCGAACACTCAGGCGTCTCTCTCGAATCGCTCTCCACCTAGACCGAGCTTCGCGCCAGCTCCAGGGATCTATATTTCCCCTCTGCAGGTATCCGAAGACGTGGACACCACGGCGGAGCAGCTCTTCGGTCCTAACTCCGAAGGTGGCGGCGAGGTGAGATGTGGCCTGCCTTGTGCGTGGCCTACTTTGATCCGCCTTCAACCAGGTCATGCAGAACGGCGAGGCGTCCCGGAAATCCCCCGAGGGACGCCCTCAAGATGCAGCCAAGGAAGTAAAAGAGGAGAAATGAGAACCGACATTGGCGCGTATCGCACGCGTGAGCTCACTTGTGCACATGTTCCACGTCCATCGCTTATTGGGGTCAAACAGAGTTACTTGCTATCCGACACATCTTTGTATCGACTTCGTACCGCATTGTAGCTTCAGTTTTGATCATGAATGGTTACCGCCCGGCGACTTGATGTAGAGTCTACCCGTAGCACATCACTTTTGAGCCCTCAAGCGATAGGTACGTCCGAGCCAGTACCCGGAGCGCTGCCCAATAGGGTCCTGCATACCGAGAAGCAGATATGCGGCCTGGGCATCAAGGGTAAGGGTGTTGAGATCTTGAGAGGAGCCTCGTCTCCGTCTCCAGACGGTTCTCTCTCAACGCGTTCGTCGGCGGAGTATTTGAGGCGCCCACATGTTCACTGGTTCCGGTGCTTTCAAGTCCGCGCGCTGGTCCACCGGGCAGTCATTGAGTCCACCCTGAACGTAACGTTGAACCGTGTGCATTCCGCATCGTGCTCACCCGCAAATTAGTTTGCCGATCTAATGGCGTTACGCCTTCAACCGGGGAGACCTTACGACCGGAAGACTTGGCACTGGTCATGCATCGTGTTACGCTGCGGATCTTGCGGGTTCGGTAACTCGAAGTCGAGCTCTTCCGTCCGCTCGGAGATTTAAAGTTTAAGAACCAAGCGAGTTCGTGTATAGCCTTGGACGACAGCATATGGACAACAACGGGGCAAGAATAACAGTATAACTTAGACAAACATATCGCGGCGGTCCGGGCTCGCTCTCCATTAAATCACGGGCAGCTCGATCGACTCCTCCAAGACCGTTCGCAATTCTCCGCGCTCACCAGCCAACGTCCCCACCGTCGTAGGCCTCGACGTGGACGCCGCGCTCACCCTTGCGCTTCTGGAGCCGATACCGCTCGAGGTCGTAGCGCTCGTACGACGCGGCGGCAAGGCGCATCGCCCGGACGTGGTGTGGGCGCGAGTTGGCGGCGGCGGCATGCGCGCGCGACTGCCAGATGCAGGTCGCGAGGTTGAGCCCATTGGTGGGATGGGGGGTGCCGTACCAGTACAAGATCAGCTGCGGGGCGGAGGTCGTGTGCGTGACGCGAAGGTGAGGGTGGAGCGAGGGAAAAGAAGGTGGTAAGCGAGCGAACGGGGACGCGGTCTGAGAGCGGCCGCGGACTTACGCCTCCGTTCTGCACCGCTTCTTCGTGCGCCTTCTTGTCCGCGTCGTAGAGCGCTGGGTAAAGTGAAACGAGCGACGGTCAGAGACCCGCACACGTCGGCCCCCCGGCGACGGGGTTCGCAGGGCCAGAGCGGACGCGGGAAAGAGGGACTCACGTCCGCCGTCGCTGCCGTCGCGCCGCTTGCTCCGGAACGCGACGCAGTACCACTCGCGCTCCTCGTCCTCCGGGAGCTCGAACTCGTCCCAGTTGAACGCGTCCGCGTACGGGACCGTCGCGTACTCGTCCGTCACCGGCCGGAAGTGGTGCAGCGCGCGGTGGAGCGAGAGCGAGGCGTGGTCGATCGTCGGCAGGCGCGACGCGGTCGAGAGCGGGCTTGGGCGCGCCCCCGCCCTGCGGACTTCGGGGACGAGAGCGGGTAGCCGGGGTGGACGACGCCCTCGGGCAGGGAGGAGAGCAGCGGGGGCAGGTAGAGGATGGGTGACTGCGAGCGCGAGAAGGTGGGCAGGACGTGCGGGTCGCGGGGCGCAGTTGGGGACTTGTTGGCCGACTTTTGCTCTGCAGCGACGAGGGGGGCGGAGAGAGAGGAGAGGGTGATCGCGTCGGACGCGGCGAGGACCGAGGCCGGGACGGCGACTGTGTGCTGGGTCATTGGTATACCGATGAGGTTGCGAGCAGAGGTGAGGGTATGCAGGGAGAGCGGGCGGGGGAGTAGAGGTGAAGACGACGGAGGGCTCCATGGAGGCTTATATGCGCGGGGCAGCCAATTTTTCGTCTAAATCTGACAAGCGACGGATGGTGACATGACCGACTCACGCGGAAGAGTAGGATTGAGCTGTGCGAGGTTCGCGAGTTGTCGAAAGCGAAGGGGGCGGATGTCGCGAGGTGTTGTAACCGGGGGCTCGGGATTGCGCGATCTAGGCGACAGAGATCGACAGGCGCAAAGGATGACGCCGTTTCGGGGCTTGACCCTGCTGCTGCCGACACAGGCAGACCGTGGAGATGAGTGCGGCCGTAACGAGAAGCGCGACAAACATAGTGAGACCGGGTCCGGCGGCGAAGTTTGGCCTCCTGGCCCCATACGCGCCGTCAGAGCGGGCACCAGAATGGGCCACGCTGTACATCACGTCAAGGCGGGGCGCGTGGACGCGTTTTGTGCATGCAAGGTGGTCCGACATGGCTCGGCGATGCTGGGAGGGAATCAGAGAGTGCGTATTGGGAGGCCGGCGCTGTGGACGGGGACGAAGTGGGAGGGTGTGGTGGAGACTTGGCGGCGAGCGCGGGAACTCCAGCCATGTGACCGGCGGGCACTCCCGCGTCGACCGCCCGCGCGGTGGCAGCGACCAAGCTCTCTCTCCCGTCCGCTGCGTTCTGGTCATGGCTGCCCGCAAGGTCGCCGACCACACTCTTTACCACCTCAGTCCCAAGGGCTTCTGGAAGAAATTCAGTGCGCCACTTCCTGCTGCGTGTCTTCACCTCCAAATTCACCACTTTTGTAGGGGACGCGATTGTTGTCGACCCGGAAATCTCCAGCGGGCTGCCCATCCAAGGTGTCCACCGTTTCCCGCCTCCCGCCTCGAGACCGGAGAGGTACGCCACGCCCGCAACCAAAGGTGAGCCCATTCGACACGCCTGGCAGTGTGCTTGGCGGCCATCCAACCACGCCTTTCAGCGTCCGACCCCGCCCAGAACCCGTACTGGAAACGCGATGTACGCCGCGCGTACCCTCAGCTCTCCGTGGTGACGCAGTCGGAGCTCTCGACTCTCATGCTCGAGCACGCAAGGGCGCAGCAGGTGTACGTGCTTGATCCTCTTGTCCGCCGATTTCCGTTCATGTCCATTCATGTCTGTCCGCCAATCTCCCTTCCAGTATTGCTCCTCCGACCGAGGCAGAAGTCGCAGAAGGCGCTCCCGTTCCCACCGCCCAAACCTCGTTCGATCTCACGGAGGCCATTACGACCATTGCCGCCGCCCGCAAGGCGTATTCGACGTCACAGCTTCCTCCCTTGCCCCCGTCTGCTACGAAGTGGCAACCACAGCGTGCGGAGGACTCTCCCCATGATCCGACTGCCTACTTCCCTATGATCATGGTCAAGTAGAGTAGATTAGTAGACACTGCAATCCACCATGGTTTCAACTGCAGCATCTCTTGTCTCGGCGCAGTGCTGTCCTGCACCTGGGGGTATGAATTCAAGCATTCGTATCAAGCCATGCACCTGCACCCGCATTTCACCAACTCATGGCCGTCGATGTGTATGTCCAGGAGACCGTTTGACCGAGTCCTGGAGTTGTCCTCCTAGATGTCGTGGGCACTGGGAAGCGCCCCACGGAGCCGTGCGGCGTGCACCTCAGAGTCACAGCGCCATTCCCCGCCCTTGCTTGCGCACCACTTCGACCGTCTGGATCTTCTTTCTACTACCTCTCTGTCTGGCCTGCTATCGACTTCTCGTGCACGTATTGTTCTTGCTTTTTTCGGTGTCTTTCTCGCTATCCGACTCTTCATCGCAAATGTCAACCGAGGACAGTGTGCCTCCCGCCGCCCTCACAGGTGGCTCCTCAGCAGAAGCCCAGCCGCGGCGTTCGCAGACGATCCCCGCGTGCACTACGATCGGAATGCGGGGACGTGGCGGTTCGAGCAAGACGACGGGTCCGAGCTGGAGTACGACGGCGCGAAAGGCGCATGGGTCCCGGTGGTGAGTCCCTGCGCTCTCCACACCCTGACCGCACTAAAACCCCGACTGTCGTCCCCTGTGAAGCTGGACGAGGACCTCCTCAAGGCACAACAGGCCGCGTACTCGGTAGCGGGCGTCGATGAAGAGGTGCGTCCTCCCCCACCCTCCTCGCCACCCGCGCCACCCGACTCCTCTTTCTCTTTCTCTTTCTCTTTCTCTTTCTCTTTCTCCCGCTCCCCGCTCTCTCACCACAGGCCCCCGCGGCGCCGGTGCTCAAACGGACGACAAAGAAGCGCAGAGACCCGCCAGACAACTACACCTCCCCGAGCACCAAACGCGGCAAGGCCGACGGCGCGCCGCCGCCCCCTCGAAGAACACGGCGGTGTACGTGACCGGCCTCCCGCCGGACGCGGACGCGGACGAGGTCGCGGAGCGGTTCGGGCGGTTCGGGCTGATCGAGGAGGACGACGGCGGGGACGCGAAGGTGAAGCTGTACGCGCGCGAGGACGGGGGCTTCTCCGGGGACGCGCTCGTCGTGTACTTCAAGCCGGAGAGCGTCGCGCTCGCGATCACGATGCTCGACGACGCGGAGCTGCGTGTGGGCGAGCCCGCGACGCGCATGCGCGTGCAGCGCGCCGAGTTTGGGCACAAGCACGAAGGTGGGGGTGCGGGTGGGGGAGGCGGGGAGGGGCAGCAGGCGCAGGCGCAGGCGCGGCCGCGGAAGACGGTCACGGACAAGAAGCGGGCGACGCGGCGGATAGGGAAGATGCAGAGGTGCGTGGGGCGACCTGGGTCCGCGCGAGCCGGGGGCTCACGTCGCCGCAGGAAGCTGGGGGAGTGGGACGACGAGGACGGGTTCGGGCCGGCGATCACGGAGGAGGACAAGGCGATCGCGGCGAGCAAGCACGAGCGCGTCGTCGTGCTCAAGCGCATGTTCACGCTCGAGGAGCTCGAGGCGGACAAGTCGCTGCTGCTCGACCTGAAGGAGGACGTGCGCGAGGAGTGCTCGACGCTCGGGGAGGTCACGAACGTGGTGCTCTATGATGTGCGTCGCCGTGCTCTGTCGCCATCCACTCTTCGCGCTCACGCTTGACACCCTCCGACAGGAGGAAGCGGACGGCGTGATGACCGTCAAGTTCAAGGACCCACTCAGTGCCCAGGCATGCGTCATTGTGAGCGATCCGCCTACCCCCACTCGCGCGCGCCCCGTCCTATGCACTGACCGCAGCACCAGAAAATGAACGGCCGTTTCTTCGGCGGACGTCGGATAGAGGCCTCGCTCTTCGCAGGCCGCCAGCGGTTCCGGCGGAGCGGCTACGGCGACAACTTCGGAAACGGAGACGAGAACGAGAAGTCGAGATTGGACGACTTCGCATCATGGCTCATGGCAGAGGGCGAGTGAGAGCGGAAACCTGTCCGGGGTCGTGGGCTGCTAGTGTTTATCTACTGTATACTGTATTACAAGCCGCATGAGGTCGACCATGTGCAGAGTAAGGTGGAGCGAGACGAGGCGAGCGAGGCGAGAGAGCATTCGACAGCAAGTGTACAATCAATCCAGTATATCCAGTCCTTCCTATCCCTCGAACCCATCACCAACAAGAACACAGCGGCTTGACATCGACAGTCTCCAACCGCTGCAACTCAAGTATCAGCACCACGCAAACCAGACTCTACGAGCAACGCACCTCCACGATCATCGTCTTCGTCTTCGGGCTCTCCGCTGGGTCGTGGTGCATCCAGTCCATGTCTTGTTCCTCCGCCAGCGGCGCCTGCTGGCTCCCCCACCGCGTGTGCAGCGGCGCGTGCCGCTCCATGTGGCCCGTGCTCTTCGACATCGCCGCGAGATCCTCCTCCGCGAACGACATCGCCAGGTCTGCGTTGCCCTCGTCGTCCTCTCCAAGCGCGGCCTCGCCCTCGTGCACGACGGGCAGCCGCTCCGCGCCCGACGCCGGCGAAAGCATGCCGAGGCTCGACGCCGCGGCCTCCACAGACGACTGGCGCGAGAGCGGCGGGGGCGTCAGCGCGCCAACGCCGGCGAAAAACGCCGTCTGCGTCGCAGGCGCGGACGACGGCGTCCCCTGCGCCGCTTGCCTAGGGGCAGACGACGAGGACTCGCCGACATCGACCTCCTCCCCTTCGCCGTCGTCATCCGTGCCCTCCTCGACCGCGTCGTCCACGCCCAAGCGCTTGAGCCCGGCCTCGACCGCGTCGAGGCGCTCCATATGCTCGAGCACGGTCACGCCCGTCGTCGCCGGGTGCACGCGCTGGAACTTGGCGGAGAAGGAGACGGGGCGGGACATGCCCGCGCCGTCGGTCGCGAGCCGGCGCATCGGCGGCGGGAAGCCCGAGACCGAGTGCGAGTGCGAGCGCGTCCGGCGCGGCTGCGTGGGCAGCGGGGGCATCGACGCGATCGACGCGTGCGGGGAGAGCGCGGGCCCCTGGGGCGGCAGCTGCGCCGAGTAGGACGACCCGTTGTGGCCGTCCGGGTTCGGGAGCGGGATCATGTCCTCTGTGACGGGGATTTCGTCGTCCCAGACGAGGACCTTGGTGCGCCGGGTGAGTTCGAGGGGGCCTGTCAGAGAACGTCAGCGCCGGAATGTGGACGGCGTTCGTGCGATGGGGTACCTTCGTCCTGAATGTGGGATCAGTGGATGACATTCGCATGGGAGGGAAGGACTTACCGCATGTCTGAGCGATTGTACGATGTTCCACGCCTGTCCTTTGATGACAGCAAGCTGCCTCTGTATGATATGGCATCAATCGCCCATCACGTACAGGTTGCGAAAAATAACGAACCCTGAACATCTTGGGTGGAAGTCAGGATCCACCGCAAACATTTTCCGTAACTCGAATGTCGTTTCTGCCCACCACGCCTTAGACGTAAGCAAAGGCAGGAAATGGTCCCGCGTCTTCTGGCTGAATGGTCGTCCGATGATAGTGACTGGCAAGTACAGCCATCCATAGGTATACGACCGCCAACCTTTGGGGTGCTCGTGGGGGAAGGACAGTGAGTTGTCTATGGCGGCGATGTGTAGGTGCGGGTGCTTCGTGTAATCTCCACTGTTCGCCGTTGCGTGGGTTTGGGGGTACATCGGGGACGCTGACGGGCCGGTGACGGTGTTGCTGCTGCCCATGGTGTCCGCACGTCGAAGTTCTGTCATCATCGGCATGTCGGGTCGTGACATTCTTGAGGGCGCGACATCTACGAGCGATTTCGAGTGATCGACCTCGCAGTACTTGATCATGTAATTGTCCGCCCCGCGGTCAGTGTTCAGCATTAGATAATCTGGAGGAGAAAATGAGTCCTGAGTATTCACAGGAGCCGCGCATGACGTACCTAATATTACAAGCCTATGAGGTCGACCACGCACGTCAGCAACGTTGCGACCACCGTGGAGAAGATGACGTACTTCTCCAGCTCCTCGCGGAAGTTATCCTGCAGTGCAGGAGTCCAGTAAAATGGATCACCGGTACGACTTTCAGAGCTGTCGTAGAGGCGAGTGTCTAGGTCCTCGTCTTCGTCAAAGAACTCATCCTCGACGCCAGTCTTTCCGCACACCACTTTGAGTGCTGTCATGAACTTCTTCTGGAAGCCGCCTTTCCTATGACTGACATCACCAAAGGTGTCCGAGATGGCTCGACCAGGCCAAGGATGTTGCCGAAGGAAGTCCGACGCATCTAAGACGAAGGAGTTGCAGAACAGACATCACCTTCGAAAAAAGGTGCCACGTACCCGTGAAACCATGAAGGAAGAACTGCATACTGCCAATTTTATCCGGCAAACGTTTCCCTTTCTTCGCAGCGTTACGGTCTAACCAGTCGTAGAAGAACGCCTACGATCATGTCAACATTCTCCTCAGCCAATACAAAAACAATGTAACCTCACCTGGCTTGATAGGGAAACTAGCTGTGTCCTTGGAACGATGTTTAAGCTCATGCGCTCATCCAGTAATGATGCAGCCGCTTCGGATATGTAGCTGCGAAGTCATTAGACTCCGCCGAGGGTCGTGGTTGGACGTGCACACCTCAAATTGGGTATAAGACATGCACGACCAAAGGGTATGAGCCATCGGAACTGCCTGTGCAGCCATTTGGTAGTCTAGAATTGCGTTTGACTCATGAACCGAGGAAAGTAGCGTCGAATGGCTGCTTACCTTGGGGTTAAGACGACCGTAGGGTTCTTCGTCCTTGGGCTTGAACACACTGCATGCGGGGTAAGGAGAGAATGGAGTGGGAGAGAAGCATATGACGCACGCGACCGTTTGAATCCGACCATCCAGCTTGGCACGAGCGAAATACGACCCAGAAGACCCCTTCGTAATCATCTTGGGGTGGATACCCTCTGCAATAGCATCGCGAACAGCTTGCACGTAACTTGGCTATGAGACAGGGATGACACAGGAAGCTGAGCAGCAACTCACACCTCGAAATCCGCTGCAGTCATAGGAGGCTTGTGGTCCAATGTCTTGACCTACACGCAACGCCCGAGGTCGGAGACAATACATCATCGCGAATTCTAGAATACATACCAGACCACCGTAGGTGTTTGAGGCGACATACTGAGGCTCGAAGACGCTGTGCCATATATCCTTCTTCGAGTTATCCTCCACCTTCTTCTTCCGCTTCACCTTCTGCGCAATGGACTCCGTCCACCTGAGGGGTCGGAGCTTCACCCCTATACTCTCCCACTTATGAGGTGATTACACACCTTTTGAAGGCATTGTCCAGCTTGCTGAGGTCAATGTGGACTGGCCGCTGTGACCGCCGGAGGCCGCGTGAGGGCTGAGCGAGCCCTTCGGAAACATCGACCTCGTCGTCGTCGACACTCTGCGTGAGGGGCTGGTATTCGGACCGATTGGGCGGCATTTCGAGCGTCCGGAAAGGAGAGGGCAGTCCGAGGCACAGCGGGGAGCGGGAGAGGCGAGGACGGCAGCGGCTCCGCTTGGAGTGCCACGACCGGGATCATGGCTTCCAAATGAGGCAGCCGGATATCTAATTTGGGCGGGTGAAGCGCCCCCCACCGTTCCATACGTTTATAACGCAGCTGGTTCCTCTCCACACCACGTTATGTACGAGCCCCCCCTCGGCATGGCAGAGTACTTCAACATTCAACATTCAACATTCAGGTTGGAGCCAGCGGAAGTTTGAAAAGCGCCGCCTCACTCATCCGCCGGCCCGCGCCGCCACTTTACCCGGACGGCGTGTTCAATCGTGTCGACTTCAGTACCAATTGACAGCCACCTACCACTTGTCTCATCCGCTCAGGCCCTCTGCGATACTTTCGCCATTATCCCCGTCTCTCCGGTTCTGTCTTGATTGTGCAGGCGACTATGGCCCCCTTCAAACTGAACTTGTGGAATGCACCAGAACGCACCATTACCATGAATGTTGTCATCTACGGTATGGTTCGTCTTATCTTGGTTTCCAAACCCACTCTTAAGGGTATCTCAGGGCTTCCTCAAACTGGGAAGAGTTGCCTTCAGTCGTTGTTGGTAGGAGTGGCACAACTTTTCGAAGTTTTCGTCGCTCACACTCCCTTTTTCCCCAGACTCTGTCTTCACCATATGTCCGCGAAGACAAAACACGCGTTCAATTCAATGCTCATGTACGCACAAGCCCCTGCCCTGCGGACGTCACAGTCGTGGTCGATGATGGGCGCGGCATGGATGATACTGTAAGATCTATTTTCCATGATGTTCACGCTACATCCCCAACGGTCTGTATGGTGTTCACCAAAATTGACCAACTCCCTCGCGACCACTCGCTGGCTCATTTGAGTCTTGTCGGAATGAAGGCCAAAACGGAATTCTCTTTCGGAGTCGACTGCTTTCCATTGAGCCTGACTACCAAGGAGGTGTTGACGAGTTTTGGAATATATCGGTGGGTCAGCCATTGTCGCAATACACTTCGTCTTATTCTTTATCAGCCGGATGCAGCCGTCCCGCAGCGCGCCCGCCTTCTCCTTCCATCCGAGCACTGGTCGTGTCGGTTTCAGAGCTTGCCATAGATCTGCTAGCGTCTATTTTTGCCTTTCCAACGAAAAAGGTGAACAAAAACGTGCGTAATAAGCCATCTCTCATCACCACTGCGCTGACAAGATGCTTTTTCTCAGATTGACGCAGAACCCAACGACCTCCCTCCGATGGACGCCACAACCATTATGAACACCGAGCTGAATGCCACGTGGGCGGACAACCTCAAGCGTCGACTCGGTCTCCAACTTTCAGTTTCCCTCACTGTCTGGCGTGCTTCGCCGTTGCTGATCATGAAGACTTCCGACTGCTCAGAAATTGCAGCTATGAAGTTCGCTCGACAAAACACGAACATCCCCATTCCACGGATCCATGAATCCGATTCCCGCGACTGGCTCTTCATGGACTTCATCGACGGCGAGACGTTGTGGGAATGTTGGGACCGCCTCAGCTTCTTCCGTCGATTTCGTGTGGCTTGCACGCTACGACTCTTCATCAAACAGCTACGCGCCCTCGCCCCACCTGCTGCCCTCATCGTTGGCTCGTTAGACTCTGGTCATGCGAAAGGCATTGTCTTTGGCGAGACGGAATACGCCCCGTTCCGATCCATGGACCATTTCCGTCGCTTCTGCAATGTGGCCGCTTTCCTAGGCTGGGAAGTAAATGCCAAAGCACACCCCAGGAACGAACGCCATACGCTTGGAAGTTGGACCACCGCCTCGCCCCACGATGGACTGGACGCCTGTGTTTTCGCATGCTGATCTCAATCGGTCCAACATCATCTTGGATCGACAGGGAACATTGTGGATCATCGACTGGGCGATGGCCGGTTTCTATCCACGCTGCATAGAACCCATTGTGATGCAAGACATGGAAGATCCTGTCATGTTTCCACAGCTTGCAAATTCTTCGTGGCCGTCATTTATCCCTTTCATCGCTGGCCGCGTCACCGACGAAGAAAAAGCCTACTGGCGGTACGTTACCACAGGGATTGACCACCGTCGCCCAGGAGTCACTGTATAAGCTTCAGTACGTGGATTTGCCGCCACAAGTGCAGCTTTATTACTCACTGTGTACGCTTTGCCCCGTACTATGTCAGGAAGCGAACCTCAGCCACGTCCTCCGAGTTGGATGTGGATGGTGTGCAGTTGTGTTGGTCGCCCTGCGCGCAGTAATCGACGTGTCTACGGACCGCTGGAAAGCTCGACACTCGCGCGGGGTCCTGCCAGCAATCGCACGCGGCCACCGATGCTCGCGCGACAACGTTATATATTATGTGGGAGTGGGTGTCGGTTTTGGAGGTCACGCGTAACGCATGAGTCGCCGCGGTGCGAACCTAATCGCTCCACTATACTGCATCCTCGTCTTCCCAGGAGGCCCAACGTTGTCCTCCACGCATGTCAAACTGTGTAGATGCCAGATACTTTCTTGGTGCAACGTCAAGGTGGGAGAATCGAGGAGCGTTTGGTTTCCACAGCTCGGCGATGCTGTCTGATGGGCCCACCAGGAGTGGGTGCAGCTTTTCTAACGGAGAAAAGTGCCCTGTGACTTGTTGTGCACAGAGCTGGCTTCCGTCGAACCGTCGCACGCCGCTCAGGCCTCAGCTGGTGTGCTCCGTGCGTCGCGAGCAACACGGCAATCGAATGGACGATTGGACATTGAGCACCGAACGGCGACCGGACTCGCCCGCTGACGACAGCCACCAGACCGCAGCCGTGGGAGCCCTTCCGTGCCCTGCGGACGGCCGGAGCACCGTCGAGATGGGTGCTCTGCGTGTCATCCCGGGCGTGTTCCACCCGGACACGGCGTCGTCGCTCAAGCTCCCGCATGCACCGGATGGTGCGGTTTGGGCGGCCTAAATTTGCAGGTCCACTCCGCGCAGAGGATTTGCTGTTTGCGCACCCACGGTCGAGGGCGATGACAGTCGAGAACAGTCCCGGCGAGGAGTGTCGTAACGCCAGCCACCATAAAAGATGCAGGGCACGCTTGGGAACGTAACGCTTCTGCCATGAGTTCTCAGTCCGTCTTCCACGGTAGAACGCACTAACCACAGGGGATTCTGGCAGTAAGTACTGATATGAGGAGCGGCGGGGACCCGGGCCGGGTCGTTTAGAGCGCCGGGCATGACTGAGGACGTCGCAGGGCTGTAGCAAGGTAGCGAATGGAGAGAAGGATTCGGAATTGGTGTCGGGCACTGTCGCGCGCAGTGTCTCATGCCGCGCTGGCGATCTGGCTGCCGGGCGATATACGGTCTCGCCGATTGGAGGGGGGCGGGTCGCGGTGCACTGCAATTCCGAATTGCCTGGAGGCGCTCCGGCGGTGGCTCCAACAGTCAGAGATCCGTGCGGGACGATGGTCTCCCGCGCCAGTGACCCCAGCTCTGCCTCTCCCTATAAGTGTCCGCGTCTGTGACGTCTTCGCGTTTCGCCCTCTCTCGCTGTCTTTGGTTCTTTCATCTTCCTCGGGCGTGCCCCATTGCTTTCCTCCATGGCGCTCATCAAGCCGGTATACGAGTGGAAGAGTTGGAGGGAACGCATTCGGTGAGTCCTCGGCCCCTGTCTGGACGCATTTAGACCTCGGGTGTCTCGAGCCGGCCCGCGACGCCTTCGGGTTCCGCACCACTCGCCCCTGTGCTAGCTATTTGCGGCCCTCGTTCGCCTGGTGCTCTCCCCGCTATTCTCGACGTCGGGAGCGAGCTTTGGGCACTGGCAGGGCGTAGGCGCGGCGGGCGACGGTGGGCAGAGCTGGATGGGCTGGGCAGTGGATACCCCGTTGCCAGGCGCCCACCCGCACATCGGTTTCCTTATCCGGTCGGAGCTCCATCCAGAATGGCGCAATTCCAGGCTCGATGTCCTCATCCTTCGCCATTGTGGACGCCCCATGTTTAACCACCCTGCGTCCTCGCATCTGTGCAGTCGCGAGTGCAAATTATATTCAGCGCTCCTCGTACCACACGCACGGTCTAACACCCATCTTTGCCCTTGCTCCCCGCTCCATTTTCCCTCACATACACCTGTGCGCTGACCACGTTTTGCAGTCATTTCACCTGGGCTTGGCATGCTGTGATTATGGGCACGGGAGCTGTCTCGGCCCTCATCCACAACTTTCCTTACCACAACGACAGCCTGGCGCTTAAGGTCGCCTCACTTATCGTCTTCCTCCTCAACCTTATCCTTTTCGTCTTCGTCTGCACATGCACAGTCCTCCGCTACATCATGTTCCCGGAGGTGCGTCGTTCAGATGCCCGCTTTCATCACACACTCACTCACTCGGGCGTGGTGCGTCAGGTATGGGGCATGATGATCAAGCACCCCCACCAAAGTCTCTTCATCGGTTGCTTCCCAATGGGTGCAGCAACCCTAATCAACTCTGCCCTCGTAAGTTCCGCCTGATTCATGGTGGTAAGGAAGGCGTCTGACGCTCTTCGCAGAACCTGAACCAGGACTGGGGTTTCGGAGGAAGATATCTCCTCTGGACCCTCTGGGGATTCTGGTGGCTAGACTCCCTCGTCTCCGCAATGTGCGCGTTTGGCATGCTGTATGTCATGTAAGTCAAACCATCCCGTCCAGCCCCGTGGAGCCGTGCTAAACAAGCTACAGGATAACGCGGCAGGAGCAGTCAATTCCGAAAATGGCTGCGACATGGCTCCTTCCCGTCGTCCCTCTCATCGTCGCGTCATCCTCTGGCGGTCTCCTATCGCATGCGTTCATGGCTGTCAACACCACAACCGCACTCGTTACTTCCGCAATTTCCTTCTCCATGGTCGTCGCCGGACTCATGTTCGCGCTGATGATGATCACTATCTACCTCGCTCGTCTAATCACCGCCGGCCTCCCCGATCCCGGCCTAATCCTCTCCGCCTTCATCGTGCTCGGTCCGCTCGGGCAGGGCGGCTTCTCGCTCCTCGTCAACGGCCAGGACCTCTCAGAGCTCCTGCCGCTGCACATGGGCGAGGAGTTCCCGACCATCGCGCTCGCTGGGCAGATGATCTTTGCGGGCTGCTTCCTCGGCGCGTACGCCCTCTTCTCGATGGGCGTCGCCTGGATCATCCTCGCCTTCATCTCAATCGCCCACGTCCGCTCGAGCTCGAAGCTGCCGTTCTCGATGGCGTACTGGGGCATCATTTTCCCGAACGGGGTCTTCGCCCTCCTGTGCGTGCAGCTCGCCAAGACCCTCAACAGCCCCGTCTTCCGGGCGATCGGCGCGGGATGGACAGGTGCGTCTCGTCTCCCGCTCCGCTCGCAATCGTACGCACGGACCCGCCACTGACGAGCGCACGCGACCCAGCTATCGTCTTCCTCTTCTGGATCTGCGTGTTCCTCCGCAGCATCCCCGCGTTCATCGACGGCTCGATGTTCATGGCCCCGTACGTCCCCGCGCTGCCCCAGCCGGTGACGAAGAAGGCGGGGGACTACGAGGAGGGCAAGCTCGAAGGCTTCGGTAGCCACTCCAATTCCGCCACCACCTTCGTCGCAATCTGACATGCCTCCCTCCTTTGCCCCCCACCCCCTCCCCTTTGCGCTCCCCTTACAGGTCCACCGACCCCCAGCGTGTACACCCCGAGCACTCCGACCTCCGCGCACCCGCCGTTCCCGTTCCCGTCCCCGCCCATCCCCCCGGCGACGCCTGTCCCTCCTCTCGACCTCAGCAGCATCCTGCGCAGCGCGGCCGTGCGGTAAACTCCGCGCGCGGCCGTGGCTGTGCCCGACTCTCCCTCATACGAGCGCTGCCGCCCTCAGGCGCAGCTCGGCTCAGCTCAGCCGTCCCTCTTTGGCCTCGGCCTCCATCTCTTTCGTGCGTACGTACCGCGTCCTGTATCTTTACTATTTTGGACAGTGTGCCGGACACAGGACCATCCCCCGCGCGCGCCGCGGCCCCACCTGCGCGGCGGCCGCGGCGCCGCATTATATATTATCGCCGTGTGCTACAGGCTCTGTAATGTATCGCCCGTCGCGGCTCTCTCGCAACCCGCGCACGCTCGTTGGCTCGGGCCCGCGGGGTGCCGTGGCGGGCGTGTGTCTAAGGGGTGATGCAGGCGACGAGGCCGTGCGCGAGTCGTGGTACAGTGTTATACAACCTCCGCCCCGTGATTGGTCGGCGGCGGCGAGGCGCCCAGGCCTGGCCTGCGCCCGGTGCCACTCCAGTGCTTGGGGATCAGACTCAGACGGGCGTGCTCGCGCCGGACGCCTGCGAGGCCTGCTTCTCCTTCTCGGCGAGCGCGGCGGCGCGCTGGAGGTCGTACTCGTCCACGCACGGGCTCTCGAAGATCGCGCCGTGGGGGACGAGGGTGGCCGTCCGCGTGAAGACGGCGACCCAGAGGACGAGCGTCGCGACGGAGTAGATCGCGCCCCAGATGCGGAAGAACTGCGAGTCGAGCGTCCGGGAGAGCTGCACCGTCAGGTTCGCGTACACACCCTGGGGGGGCCGCGATCGCCCAGGTAGGGTCGCACGGATGGCAGGGGCGCGGTCGGAAGCGCGGTGATGTTCCGGGATCACGAAGCGCGAAGGGTGAGCGCATGCGTGCGGGCGCAGCGCGAAGATAACGGGTTACGGAAGGGAGGACGTCAGCGTGCGGACCCACAGGAGCGCGTGAACGCGAGCGGGAGGGCTCGGAGGGGGCGACTCACGTTCGGGAAAATAATGCCCCAGAAAGCCTGCTTGAACGGGAAGCGGGTGTTCCGGAGGACCTCGTACAGGGCGAGGAGCGCGTAGATGAGCCACATCGTCGCGAGCGCCCAGAGGACCATCCCGACGCAGAGCGCGACGACGTCCACGATCTCGCCAATGGCCACGAGGCGGAGCACGGGCGAGTCGCCGTACGCGAGCGGGAGCGCGGTGCGGAAGCCCTGGCCGAGGAGGAGGATCGAGAAGCCGCCTTGGCCCATCGGGCCGAGGGGGATGAAGACGGAGAGGACGCCGGGGCCGGCGGGGACGCCGTAGAGGATGAGGCGGAGGAGGTACGTGGTGAGGATCATGAACGCGAGGCCGAGGCCGATGAAGACGAGCGAGGCGGAGACGGTGAGCGTGAGCAGCGCGTAGGAGGGGTTTATCTCCGCCATGGCTGGTGCGATGACGCCGCCGGAGGAGGACGCGACGATAAGGGTGACCACGGGCAGGAGCCAGATGGATGTCATCTTATCGAGCGCATGTTTCTGGCGTGCCTTCCTGTAGGCGAGGCGGCGGGCATCAGCAAACGGGTGGGCAGGGTTGGCGAGAATGAGACTAACATGACATGGACGACGACAAAGGCGCAGAAGAGGGAGATGATCACGTCGAGCCACCAGAATGCCCAGAGGGCGTAGAGGAAGGGCTTTCCGCCGAACCCGTAGTCTTCGTAGATGAGGCCGACGGCGACGTTGATGAGGGTGGCAGCACCCATCGGGTAAGTGCCCAGAAATAGACTTTGAGCGGGATGATTGATCATGAGAGACCAGACGTCGGGGAAGATGATGTATCGTGCAATCGAGAACGCATTGAAGATGATGAAGAGAGCCAAGTTGAGGAAGAAGAAGATGTAGGTGAAGATTTGGAGGGCTTGGGACCCCTGTCCATAGGGGAAGCTATGGAATAGGATGGAAATTGCACCCGTCCCTAGCACGACGAGGTAAGTACAGAAGTGAAAGTGCAGACACGACGAGGACGTACCCATGATCGCGGCGAACCATGCTGGGGTGAAGTGGCTATGGCATAATAGGTCAGACAAGCAAGAGGCAAGGGGCGGAAAGCGTACCGGGCACACTGCTTGAGTGACTTGTGCGGAACGCTCATGGTCGACGGGAAGGCGAGTGGGGGCGTCGAGGAACGGAGGGGAGGCTCGAGGGCATGATAGGGAGGCCCCGATCACTATATGTGCATGTCCACAATTCGGAATTGTCTGCCATCGGGCGGCTCGGCACCAGGCGTCCTCACGGAGACAGTCATGAGATGCACTGCCACCGCGGACCTGGCTTCGGGTTTGGGCGGAACGCCGCGTTCCATCTACGCCCGCACGCCCGCCTCTCCGTCCGCCGCGCTGCAACAGCCCGCAGAGGCCCCCACCGCGGGTGTGCCGTCCGTCGTGCGCGCGGTCTCCGTGACAAGCAAGCAGAGGGGTAGACGCTAGGCGCCCGACACCGGCCCTTCAAGTGATCTGCCGCAGGGTGTGCACTGATGTGCAGCGCTCGGGACAAGACACCGGCCGGGGAACGCTGGGCGTCTCGTCGCTTCCCCGCCAATCACCGCAAATTTTTGGTTCCTCCCTGTCCCGGCCCGTGTGCCCGCCAGGTTTGCCAGCCGCCCCTAACACTCTCCAGTCACCATGTAACAATCTCTCCAACAGTCCATACCCGTCCATGCTGAGCGAGCTCGCGCTTGCGGAGGAATACAGCTCGGTGGTAAATTGCGGCGGAGATACTGTGGGTGATATCGTCGGAGCCCACAGGGGCCGAAGCGGCGTCCAACCAGCGTAGCCTGAATTCATACTCGGACACATGGCGTTGGGCAGGACGCTTGCGTGGGCATCGATGGTCTCATCCCCATAGAAAGGTGGGTCCTTCTATAAACAGATGTGCACCAAGATATTCTCCCATACCGTAGAACTTGGCTCAGAACTTACGATGGACACTGGCACGGAGACCGGTCTATTTTGAGCGAACATAGCAGCCATCCCAGTCCCGTTGTCCCAGTCCCCTGCAACTTCAAGCACATATAGCCTCATCTGGCCTCGTCCATCATCGCATGCCTATCCGAAATCAGCGGCGATAGGATCAAGACCGGAGTGCACCCAGCCGTAGCATCGTCCTGGAATCCACAAGTATTTGTGACGTCGTTGCAAGTACCTCCCCCGAATGCCTGTAGACTGGTACGAAGGAAAGGACTCCAGAGTAGGCGTCATGTCGAACCCCGGCGCGTCGCGGTTTGTCCCCACCATCCGATCTCACCATCACAGAGTCCTCAAAGGCCAGTACTATGTCGAGCGCTTCTCTACTATATAGGATGACTCGCAGTCCAACGCACATAGCGCGGCAGAGATATGTAACGCCTGCGCTTACTCGCGCACAGCCAGTCCCGGAGATCAAGCTGAAGTCCCAGCCGGAGGCCAATGAAGAGCCAGGCTGAGAGGAATTCGGAAATTAACTTGTGCAAACCTACGTCGAATGCCAAGCCGGGAAGGGCATATGCACCGTCTGGGTCGGAGCGCACAGACCCGAAGGCCGTTGGCTCGGCGCAAACCGGGTCTGGGCTCCGAGACCTGTCGCGGGAGAAACATAAGACGACGCGACGTCACGATGGCTTTTGTTTGGCCTTGATTGCCAAGAGCTTCTGTTTCAAACACGACCAAACTCGTCCTATGCCGCCGAAAAGATGACGTGGCAAGCTCCCTCAGCTTTTGCTTTCCTTCCCTTCGTCTCTCGTCGCTATGGCATCCGCAGCCACCGACTGGGACCTCATTTCCTCGTATGCCGGTCTCCTGTCGCTGGCGTGCGCGTCCATCTACGCGGGATCTCATGGCTCGCTCTCGGTGAGTGACTTTCACGTCGCTCATCGATGTTTAGCTCAACTTTGTATCATAGAAATGTGGTCTTCGTAAGCCAGGCGCGGCGCCCACAGAAGAGGACGAAGAGGAAGAGACCGAGCGTATTTCGTCCGAGGACGCTTATCTCTTCCCCGTTGTACGTCATCGTCCGTTATCATATTCACGCTCCAAATGGACTTACCCTGAGATACCTTAGATTGGCTCAGTCGTTCTCTTCGGGCTTTACCTGATTGTAAAGTTCTACGGGAAAGAATGGATTACATGGCTGCTGCAGTGGTACTTCACCTTCGCTGGCGTGGGGAGCGTGGGCAAGGTATGCCTCATTCATGCCCCGGGTAGAGCCATGCTGACTGTGAGCAGTCTTTGATAGCGCTCAGTCGATGGATCGTCGGCGAAGCTCGATGGAAGACATTTGATATTAACCGACTGACCATTAAGAAGGGCTCCAAAGGTTCGCGTCCTTCTCTCTGGATTGAGGTTACGTGACTCACGCCTTCTGCAGAGCTTTTTTCGGTTTCGCTGCGGACCCCATCCCTGTGCCTGATCCCCGCAGGGTCCATTCCCTCGATACTCTACACATTCGGCGACAGTGCCACACGTCGTTCTGCACTGCTCACCGACGTTTTGGGGCTCTCATTTTCCCACAACGCTCTTTCCCTGCTCAAACTAGATTCCTTCAAGACCGGATGCATTCTGCTTTCGGGGCTCTTCCTTTACGACGTCTGGTGGGTTTTCGGGACCGAAGTGGTGAGTGTTTGTCTTGTCCAGAGTACGCACGCTTATGCTCAACGTGCCGCTGCTACCAGATGGTGAAGGTCGCCACCACTCTCGACGTCCCCATCAAGCTGCTATGGCCCAAGTCGTACGTGTTCTCGACCGAACGCGGATTCACTATGCTCGGCCTCGGCGACATCGTGATTCCCGGGATGTTCGTCGCCACCGCGCTTCGCTACGACTACCATCGTGCCTTGAGCAAGGGTCCTGGCACGCCAGTCACGAAGACGTACTTCGCCGCCGCGCTTGCGGCGTACGCGCTGGGCCTCATCACGACGATGTCGGTGATGCATATCTTCCAGAAGGCGCAGCCTGCCCTCTTGTACCTCAGGTACGTTCTCCTCCGCCAATTCGCTTTCTATGCTGATCTTTGGACAGCCCTGCTTGCATCCTTTCGTTCCTTATCACCTCCCTTGTTCGCGGCGAGTTCCAGGACGCTTGGAGTTGGTCGGATGAGGACAAATCCGACAAGACTGCGAAACCCACAGAGAAGGGGAATGCGACAAATGGCGCTGCAGGTCAGAGCCAGAAGGCTCTCCCTCCCACACCGTCGAAGGTGCCCGAGGAGAAGTCGAAGTCGAAATCGAGGTCGAAGCCGAAAAAGGCGCACAGTTGATTGCTATCCTAGGTCTTGTATAACCACATGCACACTGAATACTAATCCAACGCACGTACTGACCCTCGAAACTGTACGCCTCTCGTTCCGACTAGAATCTACCCAGGGGGTTCTGCTTCCCGTCAGTGCGTCGGTGGTCGTCAATCCTACTTGTGTGTGATACCCACTGCACTTGTGAAACTAGACGCCGCTCTCTGTGACTGCAATTGTTCTGTACGTCCTGCACATCCGGTGTCAGTCGCTGTTATGTACTCATGCGATCCGTTTCCTGTGCAAGTGTCACGGTCTCGCGATCGGCATTCTGGCCATGAGGCTAAACGTGTCCGCACCACGAGCGTTCTTACCAGACCACATTTCGAGGTCTCAGGTAGCTTCTTTTACCTGATATCCTCGACAACCGTGCGGGGTAGCTAAGTCACCCGTTAGCATACGTTGGAGCGAAAAGGGACATTACTTACTAGTCAGGTGGATGGCTTACGTGGGACCACGGGGCTAATATGGCACCCCCGGCAATGCCTATTTGTCGTTTGACTGTCCTTTCACCTGTTTCCCCTCCCTTTCGATATGCGTGTTGACTGCGCATCGTGTCGAATGACGAGCACGCTTTCCTCCCAGGTTCAGCCGCATACCGCGCTGAGGATCCCTGTTGAAAATAGGTAGATGGATTCTTGCGCCCTCTCAACTATCATCGATCGGTCCAACCCATCCCGTCGGATGATGTGGAAGTACGCTTTCTTCTCTCACTCATCCACTCATACTCCTCGTCTCAATATTTCCCATTTCCAGGGCGCCTGAGATCCATGGCCCTCCTCGCGACCGGCTAGCTGCGCGTGGCGTGTCCACACCGATCTTCAGTTTGGCTCAAGCTCAGCCGCCTGCCGTCTTCCGAAGTTCAAGTCGCGGACATGAGACTGTGGTTCGGACTACTCACCACTACTTCGTAACGTGTTGTGAGAGTGAGGGGGTGACCTATCGTAAGTTTCTTCGTCGCGCTCTAGCACACAACCTGAGAATTCAACTTCAGGCACAGATAACCAGATGTCACCATAAACTGCTCACGGAGCGATGTGATTCATCCTTGTTCTTACTTCCGGGTCATGGCGACTTCTTCAAGGAAGCTGGCACAGTATCTCCTATCGGTCCCTGCAAGGTCAACCAGACCCTCGATTGCTGTCAGCGCCGCTCTATTCCCTCGCTGCGGCAGACAATGACGACCCACCACCTTTTAGATTGCGAGGTTATTCCTCCTACAGTCTGTGGGCCATACTAGTTGCCATTTCGATCCCGAATGTCACTCAAGACTTTCTTGATCGATGGGCTGACGTGTCGTGAAGATTTGCGCCGCATTCCACATCGTTTCACGGGTTCTACGCCGCTCTCATCTTCCGGGGTTTGTATGTCCTTGTGGCCCTCCCATAAACGGTATCTTCCGGTCCCGATGTTTTCGGAAACCCCCCCGCGAATTTAGGCGTTGCGAAGAAGACCGGTCTCAAGACCTGATAGGATCCTCCCCAAAGACCTCGCCAAGCATTTGGAATAGATATCGTCCCTGAGAGCCGCCCACAGAGGATGCTCGAAGTCGTCGCGGGACCACCCTGACACGCTATCACGACTCCGCGCGACCACGAAAGATAAACGGCGACGCCGCGAAGCTTATCTCGCTCGGCCGTCCGGTCACTTGACGTTCTTTGACGCCTCGGGCTTGTGCGTGAAGCTATATTTTACCCATGTAAAAGCAGCTGTTTTTGAGAACGTAATTCAACAGGAACAGGAGAGGTGTGTTCCTCCGACTTTGGTTCCGTACGCTACCAAACTGACGACCCAGATCGCCTGCAGTCGTCCAGTGCCCTAACGACTGCCAATCTCCGTCACACCCTTACGTCGACCTGTGTCAACGGTGACGCTCTTGGCTGTTTGCCTTGAGCCTTATCTCGCGCTGGAGGCTGGCCCTCCTCTCGCGCTCCCCGTGGGCTGTCTTCAATCTCCGGTGCGTGGGCAACGTTTTTCCGGCTTCGAGCTGGAGGCACCGGGGGCACTGCGACGACACCTCTGCGCGGCCCCGATATGCTCTATCGGGGGCCATGCGTCGGGCACGCGCAGATTACAGCGTTCTTGATCCCCTCGAGTCCGCCCACACGATGGCGGCTGGGTGCCCCGGTGTCTTATCTCCGTCGGCGGCTTCCTTCCTTCGCTGCCCACCGAGCATGGCGTGATCCGATCATTTGGGGGGCGCGTCATTGTGTGCATGCTCTGCTCGATGCTTCCGCGAGTCTCGAGCTCCTCGATTAAATTCGTCTGTTATCGCGCCTTGGCGGTTCGGCTCCGAAGGGTGACCAAATGTATATATAGAGCCACCGTCGCCCTTTGCATTGTACCCTGTCCACTGTCCATCTACCAGGGCGAACTCCGGTCGCCCTTGTTCTCTCGTCCTCCCAACAGACACTCAAGCGAGCCCCTTCCTTCTCACCGCCCGTCCCTTGGCGTGACTGATCTCATTTCCCCGCCGATCTGTCGGCGGGCGCACCACGACCGCGTAACTGTCAACAGGACGCCAAAATTCTCCATCTTCTCCGAGTCTCTTCCTAAGTCCTTCCTACTCACCTGCCAGATCTACATCCTCACAAACACAGGCCCAGTGAACCTAGAGAGGACCGGCCCGGCCCGCCCGGCGCCACCGATCGCGCGCACTTGCGCATGTGAATCCGCGGGGGCCCGCCTCGGACCTCCCCACGCCCGCCGCCGACGGCGACGACCGACGCGGCCGACCCCAGGACCCAGGTACCGCAGTCGCGGAAGACGGATGTACGGACGGCGGGAGTGGCCAGAGAGAGCCTGAGAGAGCGCGTGCGCGCGGCCGTCGTTCGGGGGCAAGTCTCTCTCCCGCCGCGTTCGACCTTTCAGATTTCAGCTTCGGGGGGCCCTGCTCAGCGGGCGCGGTGGCGAGACGAGCGGGCGCGCGAGGCAAGACGAGACGAAACGGGGGCCAAACGGCTGCGGACGCTTTCAGTCCCCCCGACGCCCGCCGCCCGCCCGCCCGCCCGCCCACGCCGCGACGGGCCTGGGAGAACGTTTCGTGCCCCGGCACACGACCTCCAAACCGTGCGTGTGCGGCCGCATGGGGCGCCCTTTCCGCGACGCACACGGCGCAGGCTGCAGCTCGCGGCGGTCGGAGGTCTCGACGGAGCTCGGCGTTCCGACTCCGAGCGTCGTCGCCGCCGCCGCCCGCGCGATCGTGCTGGGGCGCCGGGCGGCCAGTGAGTAAATGCGTGATGGGATGGGGCCGGCGACGCGGGTCCGTCGTGCCCGACTGCGTTAGCGTCGGCTGCGAGGGAGGACGAGCCTAGTGACTTTGCTCCAAGGCTCCAAAGCTCCAAGGCGCCATTATATTGGCAGGAGGTATGCGGAATGGCATGTTGCACTGGAGCTGGAGAAACCGCACCACGAGAGGTCGTCCGCGCGTGCGCACGAAAAGTGGGGTGGAGACGTTGGGGAGCGAGCCGGGGCGGGCAGAGACGGAGTGCGCTCGCGGTTTGTCAGGCTGCGGAGGGAGAGGAGGGCGGCGGGTGTTGCGTCGGGACTCGGAACCAGGTGTGCTTGAGGGTTTTTTCCCCCTGTCGCAGGAGAATATTCTGCCGGCGAAGTGGAGCGCAGTGCACGCGACCCGCGAGGAGTGCGATTTATGCGCTGAATTGATGGGCGACGTCGGGGGGACGGCAGGGGACGGCGCGGGTGCCTGCCAGGGCCGATGTTGCAGCCTGCTTTCTTTCAAGATGCCGGATTCCGCGGCGGCCTACATCTGCCATCGATGGGCGCAGCGGCGTCCGGACGTTCTAAGACCACTGCGGAATGCAGCGTTGCGTGGGGGACTCCATTGTCGAGTGCCTCGAAATGGTGTATTTGGACCTCGCTCGTACAAACAAGTGGATGCACACGTCTGTCCACAGCAACACCACAAACGATCGCAAGATCCATCTGCTCAGTAACCCGCGCCCGCTCAGTGGGCCGCGGAGGACGTGCAACGCGACGCTATCTAACTTCCTCGCGGGGCCGACGAGGGCGATCGCTGTGCGCTTCCGAGGGGAATGAGGCTAGCCGTGGGCAGATCCGCCAAGCCATTAAAATCGAGCGGCGTCCGCCCGTTTTGGGGCCGAGTTTGAGTGGGCGAACGTATGGCAAAATGGCGAGCGGTGCCAGACGGGCAACTCTCCCATTGAGCTGCCACGCCCGCTGTCGGTAGCGTGCGAGTGGAAGCCGCCGCCGCCGGCACCATCGGCCGCAGCGGGCTGGAGAAGTCCATAGGCTGAGAAGAGCTGCCTCGGGCGAAGAGGGGGTGGAGGGCGTTACCTAAGAACCGCCTGGCGACTGCGTGCGTCTGTGGGTTTGGTTGCTGCAGTAGAAAGAGAGAGGAGGAGGGGAAAAAGGTCCGAGACGACGCCCGGACGTAAGCTGGCGCGAGCAGCCGAGGCCGGCTTGCGCAGGGCGGCAAGGACCGACGGAGGTCAGGAACGCTCGGTGAAATGTAGCCATGTCGGGGACGGCGTGCTGGAACGCTCCTGCCCGAACGGCGCTAGCGCGAGCGTGCTCCGTGCCACCAGGCCTGTGAACCGTCCTCCCTCCTCCGGCGCGAGGCTCCCTCGAGAGCGCGCGCGCGCATGTGCTGCACTGGCAGACGGTCTGCAGCCGAGCAACAATGGCTTGCAACGGTCGCCAGCGCGGATGGAGCGGCCCGTCGAACGACATACGTCCAGGCGGGCACAGGCGGGCGCCATGACCAAGAAGTCGACATGTCCGGACCCGGGGCAGAAGCAACCTGCGCGCCGCACGCGAGCGGTCTCATGACCGTCGCCCGCCGTAAGACACCGCAGGACGGTTGGTGGTGCGCGCGCTGGGCGGGGCGGGGGGAAGATGCGCCCTCCGGCGTGCGGCGTGCGGTGTTTGGGGCGCGGCGTGGGACGAGGTTTGTAGAGAAGGACGGCTTCTGGAACGACGAGCCATGTGTGGTGAATGTGAATAGCAGGAGGCACGCGTGCGGGAAGGAAGCCCAAGGCGTTCCGCCCCCGTGAATGAGCTGCAGCGAGGCCGATGACGACATGGCGTCCGCGCTCGGTGCCCCGCTCGCGCAGTCCACCGTCTTCTGCTGCAACCACATCGGGGGCCCCCGCCGTCGAGAGTCGTGCCCATCGCAAGGTCCGGCCGGGAACCACCTGGCGAGAGCGGAGTGTGAGAACGGCCGGGAGCGGGAGGTGTGGACCACTGGTGGACGTGCCAAGACGGCGTCCGGGCTGCCACTCAGAACTGGCTGTCGCGCGCGGACCGCAACCGCGGCTCTGCGAGGACAGTCGGAAGGCGATGAGTGCCGAGGAGACGAGAGCAGCATGGAACACTGGGGCCCTAGAGGGGTGATGGAGGTGCCGGATGAGGCAGGCGGGGGTCCCGGGTGGCCGCTGCTAGCGCGAGGTGATGGAGGCCAGAGGAGGAGGTTGACTCGAGGAGCGTGCCGATGACGAAGGTGGCCGACAATAGCGACAATGGGCAGCAGACAGATTCGGATCAGGGCATCGCGCACCCCGAGGAACAGGGCCTAGCGCGTGCGCGAGCCGGCCGGGGTGTGGCTTAGAAAAATGTGGCCGTGGCAGAGAATCGATGGTGCAATGGAGAAAATTGCTGATGTGCGCGCTGGTCGAAACATGGGCTGGCGTCCGGGCGGGAGCGCGACGTGGGCGAGAAGGGCGTCGCTGGGGAGCGTGCGGCGGTCGGCGCGGGGGCCGGGCTGGCTGCGCTGAGGACGGGTTCGCCGGCGGGGGCGTGGGTGCGGACGCTGGCAGGAACCAACCTGGGCCAAACAGAACGAGCGGCAGCGGCAGCGGTCGTCCGAACGCGCTCTGATCCCTGGAATAATCATTTTCCACTTGTCTACCCAAACTAGATCGGCAATAATAATGCGCGCCCGCGGGCGGTCCGCCTGCCCCTTGCCATCGCTCCTCGTCGCCGCCGCTCCCTCTCCTCCTCTCCCTCCTCCTCTCCCTTCTCCAGTGCGCACCGACGCTGGCTAGCCTGCCTTCCCGCGCTCCTTTCCCCACACCGCACACCCCACGCCCCGCCTGAGCGCGCGCCCCTCCCGCGCGCCCTCGCCCACGCCCAGGTACCCGCGTCCTCCGCCCTCCCCATTGTCGTGCGTCCCATTCCGTCTCTGCCCCGACACTCCCTTTACTCACTTTCATCTGTCGCGCATACATCCAGGGGGAGTCTTATGGAACGCCCGCCCGCCCCTGCTCGAGCCACTACCGACTCCCGCACCCACCCCTGGTCCTCGTCTGGTCGTCCAACCATAAACACCTCGGCTCTTCCACCCGCCGGCCCATCATCTTCATCGCTCACCTTCAGCCCCCCGCCCTCCTCCGCCCCTCACTCCTCCCACTCCTCTCCTTGGGCTCCCCATCCCTCTCTCGGCCCATCGCACCTTCCGCAGCAAGCCTCATACATGTTGCAGCATCCCGTCTCCCACATGTCCTCCCACCCAGGAGATGTTCAGTCCCAGCTCGGCCCTTCCTCTTCTCTCGCAGGCTCGGACTGGGGAAGCGTGTTTTCCGCACCCCTCGACCCTTCCACCTTCCAAGCCCTCGCGGCTTCCGGCGTTATAGCGCCTCCCCAACCAGGTGTGCCCTCCAGCCTACCCGCCCGATCTAATCATGCCCCGCACGAATTCGCCGTCAATCCTCGCTCTCAGCCCTTGAACATCAAAGATGTCTCTCGTTCCGCGATGAACCAAGGCATGTCCCTCGCGTGGTCCAACGTCTCGTCCCCCTACTCCTCTCCTCCCGCGACCTCCCAGCGAGCGTCCCCAGTCCACCTCCGCTCCGGTTCTGGCGGCGCCGTTCCATATCCACGGCGCAAGTCTCCGTCGGTCGGTCTTCAGCAGCCGTATGGCCCAGTCAACATGCGTCACCCCTCATCCTCTATGCCCCTTCCCATGTCTCCCTTCGACCCACCCCCTGGCGCCGGGGAATACACCCATGAACGCCAGTCGTCCCTCGCCCAGCAGCAACGGTTTGCGGGTTCGCATGCAGCGGGTCCTAGCGCCCGCAGTAACCTCTCTATGTCCTCTGGAATCGACACCCATGTCCCCCACAACTTCCCTGCTCCCCGGTCGCCCTATGAATTCGGCTCCCATCATACTCACCATTCCGAAAGGTTTGCTCCTGGACTCCCTCCCTCCTTATGGATGTCTTCTACTCCCATGCCCGCACCGTCCTCGAATTACCCCGAAGCCTCTTTTCTCTCCAACTCGATCGGTCCTGAGCGGCATCCATCATTCTCCGAATCACTAGCCTCCTCAAGTCCCACGGCGCTCTCGCTCATGGAGTCCCGCAAGTCAAGTGCGCCGACTTCTGTGTCGAGCCCGAAGGAACGTGCTCTCTCCGAGCTCTTCTCGGACTCTCTATTTCCCCCGAGACCGCCAACGGTGGAGAACCCGGCACCGCAGCAGTTCCCATCACCGAAGGTGTCGGGGTCTCCAGATCTCAACTCCATTGATCTTCTGTACGGCGATCCCGATCCAGAGGCGATGGCGAAAGAGGATCCGCTCGCCACCCAGGTCTGGAAGATGTACGCGCGGCAGAAAGCGACGCTGCCGCACGCGCAGCGGATGGAGAACCTGACGTGGAGGATGATGGCGTTGGCGTTGAAGAAGAAGAAGGAAGACGAGGCGCGGGAGCGACAGAGGGAGCAGGGCGTGGATTCGCCCCTGGACGCGCCCAGGAGCGGAGAGTCGGCCCTTTCTCCGCCCAGTGGCGGGAAGCCCGCTGATAGTCCGGCCCTCGCAGCCGGTGGGGCTGGGACGGCGGAGCGGGGGCGGACGATTGATAAAGGGAAGGCTCGAGTGCAGGTCGTCGGTTTCGACGGCGCAAACCAGGACGGCTCCGACGATAATGAGTACGTGCTCTGTTGTTATGGCGCCATCGGTCGTGGTACTAATATGCGCCCCGTGCAGAGAGGAGCCCATGGACTGGCGTGCCATCAGCAGGTCCCGTTCTCGAGCGCCTATGGACTGGACACCAGAGAGTCGCTCTCGTTCACGACCATCGGTCGGTGGTATGTCCGACCCCCACAACCAGTTCAAGTTCCCGTCTTCGTCGCCCAAGCGCGAACCCCCCTCGGCGGGCATACCCATCCCCAGTCCCGCAGGCCACCGTAGCCCCCATTCCTCCTCACATCCCTCCCAACTGGGCCTCCCCTCTCTCTTCGAGACTGCCGGGGAGCATCGCGCGAGCTTCAACAACCTTGATACATTCTCGCTGCTCCACAGCCCTCTTGCGCACCCGTCTTCGCTTCCTGCGGCCGGGATCCTCAGTCGTGCGTCCGCATCGACTCTTCCATCACCAGAGACGAAGACGTTCCCGAAGCACGTTCGGAAGACGAGTTTCGACCACACTGTGGCGAGGGAGGGTATCTTCTCGGGCCTGAGTGGACGGCACCAGGTGAACGGTAAGCCCAGATCACCTGAAGGTCTCCTCGGAACGAAGCGACGCGCCGACGCTCCCCATGCGGAGAGCATGTTGCGCGCTGACCCTCCCACGGGCATCGACATCCCCACTCCTCAATCACATCCCCTTGACACGAAAGAGGACCACTACCGCGGAACCCCTTTCCCCACGTCCCCCTTCAGCTTTTCCACACCTTACGAGTCGTTGTTCGACTTCCCGGGCTCGCACGGCACTGCTGGGCATGTCTCGTCTTCCCTCCCTTCGCAGAAGGACTACCCTCCATCTAGCCTCCACTTCCCCGACTCCATCCGCGGCCCTCTCGATGACACCCACTCGCCCCCTGGTGGGAGTGTGGAAGGTCTGTCGCCTGCCGCCGCCGCATCGGCAGCTTCAATCGCGGAGTCGTACGCGCAGTTCAACATGAACAACATGAACTATGAGGACTACCAGCTCATGAACATGATGTACAATAACGGCGGATCCGACTACGGGCACGGCATGGGCCCGAACTCTTTCACCGTTGACCCGACCCAGATCCTGCCCAACGTCCCCCTCGACCCTGGTGAAGCCTTCCATCCCAGCCCGTCGAGCGACGGGTGGGGCAACGGCGTCGGGTCGAGCTCGAACGCCTCCCCGGAGCCGTACAACGTCTCGAACGCGTCCACCCCGCCGTCGATCGAGGGCGCCCCGGGCGGCTCGCGGCCCACCCAGACCCGCAAGATCGCGTCGACGAAGCGCGTCACGCAGGACGCGGCCAACCGCGCCGCGGGCGGGAGCGGGGCGCAGAGGAAAGGGTCAGTGCTCTCCAATCCTGTCATCCGTCCGTACGGTGCGCTGACGCACACGTGTGCACCCGCAGGAGCACGCCGGAGATGGCGAGCGGATCGAACGGCGGGGCGCGGCCTGGGGGCGAGGACGGCGACTCCGTTCCGACGGTGTGCACGAACTGCCAGACGACGATTACCCCCTTGTGGCGTCGGGATCCGGACGGGCAGCCGCTTTGTATGTCGCTTTGTATTCCTCGCGTCGTGCCACACTGATGTTGCGGTCTCGCGTAGGCAATGCGTGCGGCTTGTTCTTCGTGAGTGCTCCGCTTGAGCTCCGTAAGGGTGCAACGCTGACGAGCTTTTGCAGAAACTGCATGGGGTTGTTCGGCCGCTGTCGCTGAAGACGGACGTCATCAAGAAGCGGTATGTCCTTGTGTGCATGGGCTCTTTCGGACGACGTCACTCATGGTCTTTGCAGTAATCGCGCTTCCGGACCGTCGCACAACAACTCGAGGAAGAACAACTCGAACCTCCCGAAGATCGCTTCGCAGGGGAACCGACCGAGAGCGAACACGACGAGCTCGATGCCGTCCAACACGCGCCTCTCACCCTCGACGCGCGGTGGGCCGTCCGCGGCCAACTCCTCGATGAAGCGGCAGAGACGGACTTCCACGAGTGCGGGGCAGTCGTCTTCGAAAGACGGTGGCGGGGTGTAGGGTTTGTACTGTACAGCGGCTTTCGTGTGTTGTTTGTTGTGCTCTTTCCGTCACTCTCAGATCTGTCCCTTCGCGCCCATTAATATGCTTGTAATCTGTTTAGATCTCGTGTAGTGGTTTGGTACGACTAGTGTTTTCACGACCCCACATGCCCATATGTCCTTTCCTGTCGCCGAGGGCGCGCCTGTACGATGCGTAGACGTTATAGATTATTGTCGAGCAGCGGGAACGCATCTGCAAAGTGCAAAGCAGGGAGATTGTGGACGGACGAGCCGAGGGCTGAGGCGCGTTGGAGTGATGGCGGAAATGGACGGGGCGGGGCCAATCAAGTCGAATCAGCCTGCGCCACACCTTGCGCCCGACGGCGACTCCGAGAGCTCGACGCTTGGCAGCTGCTCGCCTCTCTGCTGACCCTCTCTCACCCTGGCTTCCCTCTTCAAACAGTCCTCGCCGCGGTCTCCCGTGCCTCCCTCGTCCTTCCCGTCGGGTCTCCAGCCGGTCGCCTCGCGGGACGCCAATGGCTCTGGCCGCCGCCTCTCCCGCACCGAACTAGACTTCGAGACCGCCCTCCGCACCGGCGGCACCGTCATCCTCAACGAGGCCTTCGACGTCGACGGGCTCGGCGCCGACCCCAGCAACTCCTCCATCACGCTCTCCGCCCCGCCCTCCCCCCTCGCCCAGCGCGGCGCACGCGGGGGGCCCCGCCAGCCCGCCACGCCGACCGTCGTGCCCCCGACCCCCTCCCCGGCGCGACGATCCGCTCGCCGCCGCCGTCCGCCCGGTCCATCGCCTCCTCGTCCTCGGTCGGGGACGTGTTCTACGACGCGCAGGAGGACGAACAGTCGCAGTCGCAGTCGCAGCCGCAACCGCCGCTGCAGCCGCCGTCGCAGTCGCCGGACTACCAGACGCGCCGGCGGTCGATGTACCGCTCGCCGGGGACGGCGAGCAGCCCCGACCTCGCGACGCTCCTCCGGAAGGCGAAGGAGCGGGGCGGCGGGGCCCCCGTCGGTGGGCCCAAGGACAGCAAGCGGGGCGGGGCGTCGGTCGTCGTCGCGCGAGCGTGCGTGTTTCTTCCTTCGCTTGTCCCTCTGTCGCAGCCCCTTGCCGGGGGGCGTCTCTCCCTCTCGCGCTTCGTCGTGCCCGTGCTCATGCGTGCGTACGTACAGCGCTGTCGCCGGCGTCGTCCGTGCACGCCACGCCTGGGCAGAAGGGCAAGATGCGCTCCTCGCAGAACCTGTCCGCCCCGCGCGACCCCGGCGGCGCCCAGAGCCCAGAGTGGGTCCTGGCGAGCCCGCGCCCGTTCGGGACGGTGAAGAGAAGGTGAGCGCGGTGCCCGCCGCTGGGCGTCGAGGGCGGCGCTGACCGCGTCCGTGACGCTGCAGAGCTCGAAGAACTCCGTGAGGGCGAAGACGTCCGCCTTCCTGGGCAAGATGCTGGGCACGAGCTCTGCCAGGGAGCGATCCGTGAGTCGCTTGCCGAGCGCGTCTGGAGTGCTAATCGAGGTGCGACCCCCGGTTATTGCAGCGCACGCTTACCTCGTCCCCGTCCACGACGTCGATCGCCTCGTACTCCAACTCGCCCCTGTTCGACGCCTTTCCCCTCCTGTGCCCCCGTTGCCCAAGGACGCCGCTCGGATGCATGTACAGGGCTCTCTGGATCCGGGGGACGTGTTTTCCGAGTCCTCCAGGGGCTCGAACGAGAAGCCGCTCCCTGCCATCCTCCAGACGCCCCTCCACTGACTCGGGCGACTTCTCGGACGACCAGTCCGTTGTGCTCGTTGCGGCACCGTCCGGCTCAAGGTCACGGACTCCCTCACCTACACGCACTGTCAAGGAGCGGCCAGGCAGACACGTGAAGACACCCTCGAGAGGCAGCAAGCGGCGGAGCATGAGCGTCAGCGACGTCGAGATTAAGAAGATCATGGGCGCGGGCGCGGGCGCATCCCCGAGTCCCCTGCGGATGTCTGCGGATGGCAAGATGCACGAAGGCTCGCCCGGCTGGGGCTCCCGCCTCGAGGGAATTATGTCCCAGTTCCGAGGGAGCTGCAGCAGTTCGACTCGTCCCGTTCCACGTCCCTCGACCTCCTCGACCCCACCACCCCCTCAAAACGCCCGCTCACTCTCCGCTCGCAAAGCGATTCCATCACCCCCTTGTCACCGCTCCCGACGACTGCCGGAGGAACGGTACGGCCGCACCCGAAGTCGGCCGCGTCGCTCCCGGTAGACCTGGGCACCCCCGCCGTCACGTTGCAAACGACGACCGGCGGCGAGGAGAACCTCGTCAACGCCGGTCCTTCCTCTCCCTCGTCCTCAGAACCGCCCATCGTTCCTCCCCGTTCTCCTCCCTCAATACCCCCATCCGCGCCCGTTCCGGGTCGAGCGCCGCACCGCGGCTGGGCAACCTCCGGTACGGCCCTCGCTCCCCTCCACCCGTGCGGGGCTCGGCCATCGCCGCGACCACGCGCGAGGGCAACCGGCTGCGGGTCCAGCACCGTTCCACTGCGTCTGCATCGGAACCGTCGCTGGTGCCCGAGCGCGACGAGCCGCGCACGCGTGAGCAGCTCCGCACCGTGCGCTCGAGCCTTATCGACCCCAAGGTAGCCGGGCTCTCCGCGTCGTCGCAGTTGGACCTCTCGACGGCGGACCTGGTCCCGAACCGATACCCACTTCGGCACTCGTCGTCGCCCGCGCGGACGGACGAGGGCGGAGACCTCGAAACGCGGGCGAAGGATCTCGCGACGCGGTGTTGGGTGGAGGACGAGGAGTTCCTGCCGAAGGACAAGATCGCGGAGTGGTTGGGCGGACAGTGAGTGTTCCGTTTGGTTTGGGATCTTGCGCGGCGACGGAGGATGAACGTCATCGCAGGAGCATCATCAACAAGACTGCACTCCGTCACTATATGGACAACTTCGACTTCTCTGGGCTGCGTCTCGATCAGGCGTTCAGGTACGGTCTCTTCTTTGACTTGCCGCCTTTGTAGATGGCCCACACCATGATCTGCGACAGGCATCTGTGCGCGAAGCTGTACCTCAAGGCGGAGACTCAGCAGGTCGATCGTATTCTCGAAGTCTTCGCGAAGCGGTACTGGGACTGCAACCCCACGACGCTGTTTGGCAACTCCAGTGCGTGTGGCATCGATACATGTGTCCTGACAATTACTGATCTATCGATCCAGGCGTCGTCCATGCGGTCTCATACTCGATATTGCTGCTCAACACTGATCTCCACGTCGCCGAAATGTCAAATCGGATGTCGAGGAACCAGTTCGTCCGGAACACGATGACCACGGTCCAGATACAATTGCAGCCAAGCGGGATGGCCTCCAGCACAGACCTCACCCACGACGACTGGAGCAGCATCCGCGGCGGCTCGGAACATGGAGACGTCCCTGGTGCCACCGTGCGGGCCCGCGCAAAGAGGAGCGACAGCATCACGAGCTGGAGCAGCGTTACTCGAGACGCCATGATCCCGTCCTCGGGGACGCTGGTGAACTCTTCGGGGCAGCTGACCCTTGCCTCCGACCCCATCGGCTCGTCCTCTGCCAACCAGAGCTCGGTCTCGGTCGGTGGCTCAAGCAACCCCGATGGGAAGCAGAGCCAAGATGCCGGCTCGCTCCCGCCTCCTTCAGCCTATCCCGCAAACGGCGTTGCGGCGGCCGGGTTCGTATATGACAGGAACTGGGAAGCAGATATGGAGAACATGCTCAAGGTGCGACACTAGCTTGAGCCTGTCGTGCTTCCCATCTCCGCATCTGGATGCTGACCGCGACCGCACCAGGACATGTACAACGCCGTGAAGGCGCAGCAGATCCTGCTCCCCATCGCGAACGCGCTCATGGCCCGGTCGTCGACGTCGTCGCTCAGCCCCCACGGGACTATGCTCCGGAACCGCAGCGTGCGCGTGCAGCCGGACCGGTTGATGACGCTTAAGCGCGGCAGCATCCGTGGGCTGCAGTCCCTCATGGGCACACAGAACCACAGCCCGTACAGCAGCGGCAGCAGCATCGATGGACGCGCCAGTCCCGCTCCATCCTTTGCTACCTCGAACGATGTACGTGGGCGCCGAGGGTTCATCCCTATCTATGTTCGCATATGCTGATCGTGTTGCTCTTTCAGGGCTTGGGAGCATCCACTTTGTCCTTCATGACCCCTGCCATGGGCTTCGCGTCGAACCTGTCGCACACGATCATCCGCGAGCAACGCGAGGACGACGAGCACAGTCTGCGCAGCGATGACACCTCGACGACGGACATCAGCATCAGCGACGAGGAGCTTGCTTTGCTCGGTCCTCCGTGGGCGAAGGAGGGCATGCTATGCCGCAAGCAGTACTGGGACTCGGCCGGGAAGCGGGCCAAGTCGAAAACGTGGATGGACGCCTTCGTCGTCATCCAGAAAGGAGAGCTCAGCATGTTCACCTTCGGCGACAACGGCCTAGGAGGCGCGGGTGTAGTTGGTGGTGGTAACTGGCTGGTAAGCAGTCTTGGACACATGCGGACTGGACGCACCTAACACGAGGCAACAGGAAAACGCTACGCCCGTGGGCGTGATCGTTCTGGCACATTCTCTCGCGCACGCGCTACCGCCTCCTGGCTACAACCGACAACGCCCCCACTGCATGGTCCTCACGCTGTCGAACGGAGGCGTATACTTCTTCCAGGCCGGCACGGAGGAGCTCGTGAACGAGTGGGTGTCCACCTGCAACTACTGGGCGGCGCGACAGAGCAAAGAGCCACTCGTCGGCGGCGTGTCCAACATGGAGTATGGCTGGAACCGCGTGGTAGAGCCGGTCGCCCGCGTCCGGTCCGTGTCTGAGGACGACTACTCGTCCTTCCGGGACACGGACAACCAGAGCGTCCGTAGCGGGCGCAGCCGGTTCAAGGACATGGCGGCCACGGTCCGCGCGGAGAAGTCGCCGTGGGCGGACCGGACGTTCATCAACGACTGGAAGCCGCCCTTGCCGCCGTCCGTGCCGAGCCAGCACGACGAAGAGACGCAGCTGGAGGCGTTGCAAAAGCATGTGGCGCACATGAAGGAGGACCTGCAGCAGCACAACGAGCTGCGGCAGCCGATGATGAACTTGGTGCGTCTCGTCTTCCGCGTTCCATCCGTGTTCTGAGGGGCGTTCTTTCATGACGCCTTCTGCCCTTCGGTCTGATGCGAGCCGGTGCTGATAGACCCTTTTCTTCTGCGCCTGCAGTACCAGCCACGGTCCGCGAACGCGCAGAAGGCGACAACGAACTGGGAGAAGAAGTCGCAGTACCTGCTCACGGAGATCGTCAAGTATGACTCGTACATCGACTCGCTCCAGGCGGCGATGGCGCTCCGGCTGAAGAAGCGGGGCGAGAAGGCACTGGAGAAGGCGCTGCGCCCCGACGACGCGTCGATCCCGAAGGCGAAGTGGAAGGGCCAGCCCGAAGAGGACACGATCGAGGAAGGCGAGGAGCCGCCGCCGAGCGCGGGCTTCAAATTATCCCCGGTGTCGATGTCGCATCGGCGGGAGGTCGCGTCTGGGGGGGACGGCGACGGGACGGACGAGTCGTGAGCGGTTGCTGTGCGCGGACGGATATGAGCCATCTACGACTGTGGTGCGGCTCCCACCTGGCCTGTACATCTGTTGGGCGTGCAAGAATACGTGGCGACTACGATCTTGTGGATTATTAATCTCTTGTGTTTTGTACCGCACATATCTTAGCCGGATACCCGTGGGGCTGCATGTAATACCTCTTTTATTCATCTATGGACAAGGATACTTGCGTCGCTCGAAGCTATTATGCACATCTTTCCTTTTGATTGACGGGTGCACACACGGCTGCTCAACTGGACCATGGTATGATTTAAGGTGAACGTTTGTGTGCGGTTTCCTCTACCAGGAGAAAGGTCATAACACCACTAGCTACCTTGATTGGAGGATACGAAAGGGTTTCAACCCGTACAAGTGATTCCTGCGTGTGTACATAGTGCCGTGCAATGCAGTTCTAGTTGGGGGACAGCACCCCTGAGACCTCCAAATGAAGTGGACGGGTGCGATGGTTGGTATGTGCGACGACCGCGCTGCAATAAATATGCAATTTTAATTTCTCAGATGAAATTGATGAATTGTGAGAGCCTCGGCAGCGTGCACTGCACATGCGGGATTGTCCACGATCGGGGCGTTGAGTAGACTGAGATCGGGCGTCGAGAATCTCGGCTGTCCCTCGCGCGATCTTGGTGCGATCTGAGGCTTGGTGCGATCAACGTCCAGATTCCAGTGCGGACCCACCACCGACTCAGGTGTGCACAACGCCGGACAACGGGTTGCGGACCTGCGGTCAGTGATGGCTGGCAACAGCTCCTCTGTCGTCGACGGCAGACATGTCGAGAGCAGCCAGGACTCAGGCCTTGGCAGGCCGCGTCCCCACAGCCCACGGTGATTCGGGCCCGCACTGGTGGTTGCACGTGCAGGCCAGCGGTGGCCGGGGTCCTTTGTGGGTTTGTACTTCTCGCGCTGCGTTTCTGGCTCGTTGCTTCCTCGAGCTCGAGCCTCCACCACCCCTTCACCCGCACCGCCTAATAAGCCCCTCAAGGCTCTCTTTCCAGCCTTCACACTCCCTCCGCACCTCAGCTCTCGCTAGACGAAGCCCCACGACCACGCCTGCCGGCCCCACGCTCCCTCAAACTCGGAACATTCGTTTAACATGATGCAGACTTCCTTCGTTCTTTCTGCCATCGCCACCGCCCTCTTGGCCACCACCGCCGTTCGTGCGGAGACCCACACTATCCGCTTCGAGAACAAGTACGTTTATTCTCACTCTCTATGTGGATTGTGAACACTGATGAGATTGGCAGGTGTGGAAAGGGCACGGTACGTTGTGGCGCGCGTGAGCCATCGGGATAGACCTCTGAACACGCCGACCTTTAGCCCCAGCTCATTCAGGGCGGCACTGTCCTTTCCACCGGCCAGGACTACGTCCACAATGGTCCATTCTCCGCCGGCATCGCGTGAGTGTTCGCCCTCGCCCTCGCTCCCCGCGTCCCAGACTGATCCCAAAATTTCCCGGTAGCTATTTGCAGACGGGTATGCCAGCTCACACCTGCGGCGTTTGTATACACGCGGCGCTAACTTTCTGTCCCCCCGTTGCGCAGGCGAATGTCTCTTCAACGGCGAGCACTGCTCCACCCTGGAGATGACTCTCGTGAACCCGACCGCCCCCGGCGCGGGTTCTTCCACGGACATCAGTCTCATCGCTCCACATGCGTTCAACGTTGAGACTTCGTTCTCGTACTTCGGCGGTTGCGACGGCCAGGGTACTACCTGCTCCAGCCCGACGTGTTCCACCGCTTTCTTCAAGCCGGACGACAACCAGGTCCAGGTCCAGTGCGAGTCTAACGACGTGCGCATTGTCCGCTGCTCCTTCTTGCCAGTTCCGCGCGCTGACAGTGTTGTGCGCACCAGGTCAACCTGCTCATCACATTCTGCGGTGACGCCACGAAGTCGGGTGCCCTCGCCAACTCCAGCAGTGGCTCTGCTACCCCGATTTCTTCCATTGTCGCGACCACTGCGAAGGCGTCCACCTCCACCGCCGCGGCCACGAGCGTGAAGGTCACCTCTAGCACCGCTCCCACCTCGACCGTCGCCGTGAGCTCCACCCTCACGGCTTCCTCCTCGGCATCTACCGCCTCTGCCTCCGGCCGCTGCGCTGCGGGCTCTTCTCGCCGTCGCCGCCGTGACGTCGAGGCCCCCGCTGCGATCGCTGCCCGCGCGTCGCCCATCATGCGCCGCCACCACGCGCGCAACGCCGAGGCAGTCCGTGGTGTCACTATCTAGAAGACCCCCTCCACACCAGATGCCCGTCCCCGGGCTCTAGCTCGAGCCCGGCCGTCCTCTCCTCCCCGGCTGCTGTGATACTCCCAATGCCGCACACACGCACGCACCACATCGCGATGTCCCGGCTGGATACGCCCCCACCGCTCGTTAATTCTCCGTCTCGCCGCTATCGGGTATCTATTGCTCCAGTCTCTCCTGTTCTGTCCCTGCTATCGTGTTCTGCGTGCTCCCCCACCCTTCGTCAGGCGCCTGGCCGCGCCACCGCCGCCATGCCGTACATATGTTGTACTACCCACGCTGTAACGTCCTGTGACGACCGCGATGCCCCGGAGAGGACGAGTCGTTCCGCATACATGCATACGTACGAAGATCACTGTACTGTACTTGACTCTCGTCCCTGGCTCGCGGCCTGCCGCGCTTGGTCGCGGCAGAACATGTCTAGGTGGCTTTTGTAGCTTATGTTCTGTGTCCATGGAATAGAGTGTTTGTTATTTGTCGGAATATCTCGGGGAAGACTTGAACGTTTGAACGCTGCTCATTGTCCGACGCCAGGTGAATGTTCACGGATGACGAGTGTAAGGAATATATTGATTCGAATACTCTATGCGAGAGCGAACTGATTTGTGGGCCCTTGTGGATCGATTCTGAGATCCCCGATTTCGAAGGACGGGGCCTGCCAAGCGTCTTGAGTACATGTAAATCCGGAGATATCAGCAACAGAGCGAGAACGCCGGGAGATATGACGGTGAACACGTGGAGAGTCAATGGAGAGTGCAATAGTACGCTTCCCAAGCTCTAACAAAAATATACGAAGACGACACGTACGCTGCTTCATACAAATTCCTAATGCCAGGCTTGATGTCCGACTACGTACTTCTTGTGTCTGTAGTGTAGTTCGAAGACACTCTTACTGCTTTTCGAAACACATGACAACTGTATTTGTTGAGCCAGAACTGCTTTCCATCTAACGCCTGACTACACTTTTGGACACACCCACCGTAGCTTCACAACGGAGTGTCCCTCGAAACACCTAATACCTCCGTTCTATCCACAAGCACTGTACGGGCGCTAGTGGCTTGGGGCAGTCGAACCGACGGCGCGCAGAGGGTGAAACCGATCGAGCCCCTATGCGTTGCGCACAGGACGATCGGACGGAAGTATCTTTGCAAGCAGCGGAGACGAAGGGCGGGGAACTCCTCCAACGCACGCGACGACGACGGGGAAGATGGGAGAGGGAGACAAGTCGAGCGAGTCGCGAGAGCAGGCCCGGCATGCCAAGCGCCGGCGCTCACAAATAGGTGACAACAGAAAGTCGAACATGCGCCGTCCGCAAGGCAGGAGACGATCATCTGCTCCATATTCCTCCCGCTGTGTGACCTCACTCCTCTGCTGCTTTTCTCTGCTTCTCGTCTGGATACCCTATCGTCCTCTGTATCATTATCCCCCTTGGCCGCCCGCTTCACCACCCCCAGTTCTCTATCAAACTTCAACGCACCTAACCTCCCAACTCCTCCACACACAGCATGGCCTCTCTCGGTGCTAACGGCGGCTTGCACAACCTTATGATGCGTTCCAGCACGCCCGGTAAGCCTCGTGCCCGTCTCCCTCACCGTTCGTACACTAATCTGCCCGCTGATGCGCAGCGTCCGACGAGAAGGGTACGGCTCATATCCCGTCCCCACGGCCGCCAAGACTAATAACCGTATATCCCCAGTCCTCCTCTTCCTTCATGGCATGGAGGTCGACCCTCCCCAGGATGACGAGCGGGAGAGCAACAATGGGTCCGAGGCGCCCCTCCGCTCACATCGCTCCCGGAGCAAGGCCGCGAGCAGCGTGCGGCAGCTGAGCCAGCTCCCCGAGGAAAACACCGAGGACATTAGGTCCGACGTCCAGGAGCATGCCTCTGAGCTTGGCCGCACGATTCCCATTCACACGACCGGCATAGTGAGTCCCCGTCCTGTCGCTCCATGCGTGCCGCCATCTGAGCCATGTTGTCCCGTCCCCGTCCTCGTGCGCTCGCACCCGCGATAGCCTGAGCAGGAACCTGGCCCAGACGACCTCCCGGCCCCAAGTTCGAGTCGTTCGGGTCGTCGTTCGGCAACTTCGGCCCCCTTCCGCGGGAGAGCTTCAACGGGCGCAATGGCATAGTACGTCCCCAGTCGTCGCGCGCCGAGCTTCCTCGATCGCTGAAATGACGCTCGCGGTCCGGCAGGCCAGCCCTTCAAAAGCTGCTGCCGTCCCTCTTCCGGAGACGACGGTGGGCGTCCCGGGCTCCCCCACGGGGAGCCATCCAAATCCCTTCCAGGTACGCGAAGTCTAAGGAAGGTCTGCTCGGGGCCGGCACTGACGTCACGCAGAACTACGGAATGGCCCCGGCCGCCACGACGGGCATCGCGGGCGCGAGCCACGTCGGGGCGCGGAGTCGCCAGGCGGCGTCGACGAAGGCCTCACACAAGGCCCTCTCGGCGGCAGAGAACGGCGTACGTCCTATTGCCGGCTCTTCCTGCTGCGCGCGGACCATGATCTGACGATTTCACGCGCAATATAGGTCGCATCTCCCAAGCCAACTTCGCGCGCGCTCTCTCCCACTCGCTCTGGGATGGCGTCCGGCAACGGTGCGCCGCCTGAGCGGCCTTATTCTCCTCGGACCGCCGCGTCTCAGCAACAATCAGTAAAGTCCCGCCACACGCAGAAGACAGGGAAGACGGGTACCCAGTACCCGCCGTTGCCCGACTCGGTCGTCGACGACGGGCAGCGGACGGCGAAGGCTGGTCCATCGCGCCTTCCGAGTCGGCATCGCAGATCGGCAGTCGTCGCCTGCGGAAGGAGCGACAGCTCTTGGAGGAACAGGCGCGGGAGCGGGAGGAGGCCTTGAGGGAGGCGGAGAACGAGCGGGTGAGGAGAGAGGCGGCGGAGCGCGAGAGCGAACGTCTGAGGCGGGAAGCGGCGGAGCGGGAGCAGCGGGAGAAGGAACGTGTGCCGTCGCACAAACCGTCGAAGTCCGTGAAGAGCACGACGGACGTGAATGGCAAGTCAGGTTCCGGTGGGGCCAAGTCCAACGGCAGTGAGTACTCGTCCTGCCTCTCTCGTGGATGCGCGGTGATTGAGTCGCACTGCAGCACGATCGCAAGCCCCGATGTCCCCACGCAGCCAGGCCGCTTCAGTTCCTCGGGAGCGCAGTGTCGCCCCCAGCGAGATGCGTTCACAAGCACCGCCCATGACCCCCACTCGCTCCAGGCTCCCTGACCCTGACTCGACCCCGACTCCCTCCCGTGTCGCGACCCCGGTCGTGCAGGTCGATAGCTACGGCTTGAGCGCTGAAGAACAGCGTCTAGTGCAGAGCGTGCTCGGTGCGGACCCCATGACTCGGACCTCCATGGCACTGTCGACAATGGCCCCGTCCATGCTCGAACCTGAAATGCAACACTCTCATTTCCACGACATGGAGCTTTGCCAGCTTCTCCATGCTCTTGATGACCCTATGGGGGAGTCTGTAAAGAAGGCAGTACGCAAAGCCGTCCGGGCGCGCGTCAAGAAGTTGGGCATGAAGTACGACAATGAGGTGAGTAGGGCTAGTTCATCCTTTCAATCGCACGCTCAATGGTGCCGGTATCTCAGTCTATCAAGGCTTACCGCAAGTCGTATCACGATCATGATCCGTCATATCATCTCACTGCAGCGATCACTGGCGCAAGCACGAGGGTGCGCTCTGAGATCGGTGCCAACCACCAAGAGCCCCCTGAGTGGGCGAAAGAGCTCCTACAAGGCTTCATCAACATGCAGAACCGGATCGACGACCTTGCCCCGAAGATCGAAAAGAGCCTGCGCTCCTCTCGTGGCAACTCCTTCGTCAATGAACGCCAACAGTACGCCAACGGGCACAACCATTACCCCAGCTCCGATACCAATGGCCACTACCACGACATCCACAACCACCCCACCGGCGACGAGTCCATGTACCAGACGGGCGCGACCGAGATCCGCGACTCGACACATATCCATACCCTCGCCGGTTCTATGCATCATCACGACGGTTCCCTCCACGGCGCCATCCCGGAGGAAGAGGAGCCATTCGAAGACGAGGAGGATGAACACCACTTTGCCCCTACTGATGCCGATACCCGGGGTCTGGAGAGCGAATACCTCCCCCATGACATGCACGATCGCGAGAACTCCCCCGGCCAGCAGTACCTCGAGCAAGAGCTGTACAAGCTCCGTCTCAAGCCCAGCCAGACAGTCGCAACGCACGAGACGTGGGAGCTCACTCGTGACGGTGGGGGGAGTACGACGAGGAAGACGATGGCGATGCTCAAGCTGCCATCACCGAATCCGGGCTCCCCGAGATACCTGCTGATGCGACGGGAACTACCCCCGTGGACCCTCGCCCCTCTCCCGCCCTCCCCCGCAAGACATGGTGTCGATGGATCACAGCGCGGCGATGTGGCAGCAGAACGAGTACGGGGGCGGCGGAGAGCGGCAAGGCCCCCGCCATGGCAGCGGATTCACCAGCGGCTGCTCGGCTGGGCGATCGTCTGGCCGATGGGCGAGCTCGACAATGCGGTCAACAGCTGCTCGCGCGGGATGCAGGTGGACGAGATCGCGCTGAGCATCTGGTCGACGCAAACCTACAAGCGTTATGTTCGCGCGAAGATGACGGACTCGCCTCCCGGTCGCGTCGACCGCCTATTCGTGCCCCCAAACATGGCGGACGCGATTAGCACCGCGGTGTACAACGGCCGGCACGGGGATGCGTGTGGGATGCTCCGTGAACTTTGGGCGCCGTTCGGGCTCGAAGGCATTCCGCGGTTGCTGATCGTGCTCGCCAAGCACCGGAACGACGACAGCCACTGGGTGGTACATCGGTGAGAGGCTTTCATTGGCTTATCCTCTATCTTTGCTCATGTGGTCGATTCTAGGTTCTCGCTTCCCGATGGCACGTTGACCACATATGACACATACCCCGAACGTTGTCTACCGGACGGTCGCGTAAGTTGTTATTTGTTGACCTTTTAACATCATATCTCATGTCTTCCCATAGCCCCTCGGATGGTGGTTCGCCATCCGTATCGCTTGGCCTGACGCCATCTACCCCAGCCCCGACCACCTCATGCAGAAGATGGTGCGCCTACACCGGCCCATGCAGCTTCCGATCGAGAACTCGGTCGCCGCGGCGGGCATTTGGCGCAACTTGCTCATGGGCTCGCGCGCGGAGCGCTCTCTCGACCTCGAGCGTCTGCGCGACCTGATCAACACCGAGGTCAAGAACCTCCGCCAGCGCAAGATCATGGGCAAGCTCTCCATCGGGGGCTCGCGACCAAATTGGGAGGACATGGCTTGAGCGATGGAGGGGAAGCGATGTACGACCTGCTGGAGGTAGCCAGTGGATGCTGTCTTGTTTTGCTACGTTATTCACGCCGACGCCCTAAGTACGACTACTCACATACCGCCACGACATGACGAGGTTACGACTAGCCTTTGTTACTTTCGAACCGAGCCTCTTGTTGTCTTTTGTCCCGTCCACACCTTATCTCCCCTCTCGACTCTCGATGTCCTGCCTTTATGTCGGTCCCATACGAACATGAGGGGGTGCGAGGGTGTGTACACCATCTGTAATAACCTGTCGCTCGCCCCCCTCGCTCTTTGCTTATCTCCGCTCGAATGGCCACCACTGCTTTCTTTACACGCCGCGATCTGCCTTCCGAACCTTCAACTTCGTGTAAGCTTGCGTAGTGCCCAGTCTTTCTGTTATGTCAATGAATAGTAAGTAGTAGGACCCTCAATTAGAATCTCTTCAGTCGATCCGGATGCTCGACGGCTTTCGTGTGGACCTTGATCAACTGGAGACAAGTTTACTTGCTTGTTCATACACCAACAGCGAAAGGTCACCAACAGCAACCAGATGCATATCAACACGATGTCACATTCCACTTTACGACGACAAACAAATCTGCTAGCTGCCAGAACACATATACAACAGACACGACCGCGCGATTGTAAGATGGCAAGGGGAGATGCTATCGCACAGCCGAAGCCACGGTACCAAAGAGCGCAGAATAGATACACATAGAAGAGGGCACCCGTTTAACTCAGACGCAAGGGATTAACCCGCTCGCGCCGTCAGCGTGCTGCTGATTGAAGGCGTTTAAGAGGGGGGGCTGTGGCGTGGCAGGCGCGTGAGCATGAGCCAGATACGAACGAGGCAGCAGGACTTACACGGGGGCGACCGAGGTGGCCGGACCGGGGTCGGTCGGGAGCGTCGGGAACGCGACGGTGGCGCACGCCTGCTCGACGTCGGTGTTGGTCAGGCCGGCGGGGAAGTGCGCGTCGGACTTGGCGGCCGGGGGCGTCTGCACGACCTCGGAGCAGTCGATCAGGTCGCTCTCGGAGTGGCCGATGACGGTCATCTTGCGGAAGCGGCCTTGAACGCGGACTGGAGCTTGGCCTGGTTGTTGACGAACGACTGCCACTCGCACGCGGTGCGCGAGTCGCGGGCGAGCTCGGAGTCGGACTGGAGACGGAGCTCGCCGGCGAGCGGGGACATGGCCTCGCCCTGGTTGGAGCCGTTGCCGGGGAAGAGGGTGCCCGCGAGCTGGGTCTCGATGAAGAACTGGGTGTCGAAGAGCTCGGGGGTGGAGTCGAAGGGGGTTCCGGGGATGGTGGGGTCAACGTGGTCGGCGGCCGCGATGGTGTGCGAGGCGAGGATGGCGACGACCTCAGCGGGCGAGAAGTCGCCACCGTCGAGCATGCGAGCAAGGATGGAGTCGACAGAGTCGAAGGGCTCGGGGACGGTCAAGTCCGGAGCGGGCATGGTCGCGTCGGGGCGGCCGATGAAGACGTCGAGCTGAGGAGCGCCAGGGCAGTTCGACACACCAATGGCACCGGCGAACTGGATGCTGAAGGAGCTGTTAGCCCACCGGCAAGAATGTCCAGATGGGTAGCCACGTACAAGTCGGCGGTGGTCATGTTGCTCATCTGGACGAAGGGGCGCTGGGTGTCGATGATCTCGTCGACACCGTTGTTCGCGTGGAAGTTGGTCTCGATGTCCTCGAAGATGGCGATGGAACCATCAGCTCCACCACCGCTGTAGACGAAATGGGTGACATGAGCAATCACCGCGGTATGAAGAGATGATCACAACGAACCCGAACGTGCCGGCGGCGACCGCGGCACGCGAGAAACCAATGGCGTCGTGGAAGGTCAGACGAAGGGACTCGTGGACCTCCTCACCGCACTCGCGGCCGTCGAAGAGCTGCTCCTGGAGGATGTCGCGGACGGCAAACAGGTTGCAGCACGCCGCGTTGGTCGCGGTGTTCACGCCGTCGGGGCAAGCGACCCGGCGGGTGAGGGCACCTGCATGAACAGGGAGCAAGAACGATCGTCAGACACTGTGCTGCCGAGCAGTGTGTGTGGCGACGTAGAACTAACCGTTGGCAACCTGGAGAGCGGCGAGGACGGTGACGAAGGATGCGAGAGTGCCGAAGGCCATTGTTCGAAGTCGCAGATGAGTCGAACGGAGGAGACTAGATGTCCTGAAGATTGTTGGGCCTCACCCCCGCCTCTTTATACCTCTCGAGCCTCCAGCAAAGCTGCTGGTGTCGACTTGCACAAGTCGTGCAGCTCGCTGCCGCGAAAGGGGGGCGGCCAACGGAGGCACGTTTATTCTTGCGACGTGAACAGACTGCCCGAAAGACTGGACGACGGGGCCCCGCTGAGCGGGCGTGTCGGTATCTTTGGCGCATGTTCTGGATTGTCATGGCCTACAAATGAACATGAGTGGGGTGCGACGGCGGGCCATAGTACCAGCGACACTCACATCGGGTTCGCGCCGCCCCTGGGTGCAAGAAGCCGCCCTGTGTGTCGGAAGCGACTAGAAATGCCGTGTTTCGAGCTTGATTGGCTGGAAAGGTCGATGGTAACGCGACGGGGTCGGCTGCCTCTGTGGAGTTGCACCATACGCATCCCTGCATCAGGCTAGAGCGTGGACGAGCGTCGGACAAAGTTAGGGGGTATACCGTACTCCTGGAGCGAACAGCGCAGCCAGAAGTTGCGGAAAAAATGCCGTCCTGGGAGACCGTGCGACGGCAGACACTGCCCTGCGGTTCCGCGATATGCTCGTCCAAGCGCGGGTATGGAAGACAAGGAAAAGCGTGCGCGAACATTTGATGTTGAGGTCGACGCGGGCAAACACCGCGGCTAACGAACCTCGGGGCGATAGTGTGCTCTTGGCCCGGGATCTACGTGCATGGGTGCACTTTGTCAACTCCGCGCGGGGGATGAACGAGGGACGACAGCTACGGACGGCAACTCCCCCTGCACCTCGTGTTTTGCGGGGAGCGATCGCCCTTTCAAGACCATGTGGCTCGAGGGCCCGGGTACCCCGTCCTTGTGCGCGGCCCATTTTGGAAGCGCGGCACGTCTACGGGGGCCTGTGGCTGCCACGGACCTGGCCGTCGGTGAGAGCGAGCATTCATGTCTGCGGTCGAAGAAAACACACGCCTCCCATGCGGAATGCCCGGCAATCGATTGGACGGCGGCCCCGAGGGAATCCGTCGCCCACGGTGCAAGCACGGAAGACCGTCTTTGATTCGCAACATCAGCGTTTGAGGGACGGCGGACCTGTGCACGCCCTGGTCAGAATTGAGACCGACGAGGGTGGGAGGAAAGCGGACCACGTACCCGGTCACTGCTGACACAAGCTACGTCTGCCGTCCTCTAACTCCACGCATGCCGTGGCCGAGCTAACGCGACTCCGAAAGTAGCTTCAAGTCTCGAACCCGTTGCACCGCCGGGTAAACTCGGGACCGACATGGAGGTGTTCCTGAACCGGAACCGAGGACTCGACTTCGGGTTCGCTCCCATGTTCCTGAGAACTGCCTGAAAGCCTATTCTCAGGTTCCCGGGATTGCTCCCAGGCTTGGCCTCCCGACGTTCCTAGGTTCTTCTCCGCGCGTGCTTGCGAGGACACGCTGGCGGAGATGCAGGTGGATCCGATGTATGCACACCAAATCGTCGAAGAAGCCGGACGATACGCGTTGGCGACATCATGCCAGTTATATTGGAACCCCGCTACATAGCGAAACCCTATAAACCAGAGCAAATCACTTAAGGATCCCGAGCATCGAGTTGTTAAGGCGGACACAAGAATAAAGGGTGGAGAGGATCCGCGCCGTGGCAGTGGCAGTTCTCGGGGAGCACCACCGCACGCGTCCCTGAAGCATGTTTAGGAGGGCGGGCTAGGAATAGCACGTCAGTGTCTGAGTAACGTGAGAGCAACGATTGGCTGAGGCTTACACGGGGGCGACAGAAGTAGCCGGGCCAGGGTCCGTGGGGAGCGTGGGGAAGAACGCGGTGGCACACTGTCGAAAAGCACCGCGAAGATCAGCAGATATTCCCCACATGGTGGAGCGGAGCGCTAAGGTTCCGGCTGCTTGAACGATGACGAGGAGGTCGAAAACTCACCGCCTGCTCGACGTCGGCGTGGGTCAGGCCAGCGGGGAAGTGCGGGTTGGCCTTGAGAGCCGGGGGCGTCTGAACGACCTCGGAGCAGTCGATCAGGTCGCGCTCGTTGTGGCCGATGACCGTCATCTTGCGGAAGGCAGCCTTGAACGCGGACTGCATCATAGCCTGGTTGTTAGCGAACGACTGCCACGCGCAGTTCGTGCGGGAGTCACGAGCGAGGGTGTGGTCGGATTGGAGACGGATCTCGCCGGCGAGGGGGGACATAACCTCGCCCTGGTTGTCGCCGTCACTGCCGGGGAAGAGCGTGCCGCGGAGCTGGGTCTCGATGAAGAACTGGGTGTCGAAGAGCGAGGGGGTGGAGTCGAAGGGCGTGCCCGGGATGGTGGGGTCGACGTGGTCGGCGGCCGCGACGGTGTGCGAGGCGAGGAGAGCGACAACTTCGGCGGGGGAGAAGTCACCACCGTCGAGCATGCGAGCAAGGATGGAGTCGACGGTGTCGAACGGCTCGGGGACGGTCAGGTCCGGAGCGGGCTGGGTGGCATCCTTGCGGCCGATGAAGACGTCGAGCTGAGGGGCACCGGGGCAGTTCGACACACCGATGGCACCGGCGAACTGGATGCTGTAGAGCAGTTAGAAAGCGATCTGGGGTGCGGCACGGCCTGAACTTACAAGTCGGCGGTGGTCATGTTGCTCATCTGGACGAAGGGGCGCTGAGTGTCGATGATCTCGTCGACACCACCGTTCGCGTGGAAGTTGGTCTCGATGTCCTCGAAGATGGCGATGGAACCATCAGCTCCACCACCACTGTAGACCGTATGGTTGACATGAGTAATAACCGCGGTATGAAAAGATGACCACAACGAACCCGAACTTGCCGGCCTTGACCGCGGAACGCGAGAAGCCAATGGCGTCGTGGAAGGTCAGACGAAGAGACTCGTGGACCTCCTCACCGCACTCCCGGCCGTCGAAGAGCTGGTCCTGGAGGATGTCGCGGACGGCGAACAGGTTGCAGCATGCCGCGTTGGTCGCGGTGTTCACGCCGTCGGGGCAGGCAACGCGGCGTGTCAGCGCGGCTGTGCGAACGGAGTCAGCGAGTGGAGTGGGAGAGTGGAATGGGGACCCACCGTTGGCCACCTGGAGAGCGGCGGCGACAGTGACGAAGGGGAGCATAGACTTGAAGGCCATTTTCAGAGAGGAGCCGCGTCGGAGAGAACTGGAGTTCTGAGGACCTTGCGCTCTCCCGCCTGCCTTTTGTAAGTTTCTGGACGGCCGCGCTTCATAATATCCAGTACATACTGTGTTCGGGGTTGGGTGCATGCCAAGACTTTCTTCCACAGGGCCCAGCAAATCGACGCGTGTTGCACACAGGATGATTTCCGTACTGCATTGAAAGATGGGACCGAACCATTGGTGTGCCGTCCTACCTGGCAACCAAGCCAATCACGGTGCAACAACGCTATGGCCCGGACCGCTGGAATAAATTGCGTCCCTGGACGTGGGCGACAAGAGACCGGTATGTTTGTGTGCCCTGGGTGCTAACGGCCGTCCTGGGTGAGTAAAGCCCCACGGACATCAAACGAATGCAATTACACCCTAACTGCAAGATGCGTGCCCGTGCTCTACAGCACCCATAGAGGGACTTTGCAGGCTGAACCGACTGACTGGTCTCTGAATCCTCATCCAAAGGCGGGAAGAGACTTCCCCGAGGCGGAACCGCAACTCCCAGGGATGTATGTTGATACGATCTGAGCGGATCCTATCGATATAGCATGCATAGAGGGGGGGGGTTAAGGCCACGACTGGCAAAGGACATCGTCATCATCCTTCTGGCACATGGAAAGTCAGTTGATTGGAGCTGGGGAGAGTCCACCGTGCATGATATGTGGTACCTGAAGCTCAAAGACGTACCATTGAAGTTGAGCTAGCTACTCTTGTTAAGAGATTGAAGAACCCTTGGTGATTTAGCGCGAGACGAAGCTTCGGGGCCTGTCGAAGAGATAGCTCTGGTCCGACTGCTCCTGATCTCCTCGAGTTCTTGTGCTGGCGGTGCTACCGATGTAAGGCCGGCTCCATTTCTCATAATTCGCCCACCAACTACTTCAGCAGCACGCTGTTGGAACCGAGGACGTCGCAACGCAAAAGCACAGAGATCTGAGCGTACGTTTGCATCAAGCAGAATATGTATAGGCGAACCATGGAAGAGACCGTTCTCAAGCTCTGTCAACGCCTCGGTGCGTGGGTAGCAACATCCCGCGTCTTCGGTAAACATTGAGTCCCTTCCCAGAGCGACATGAACGTGGGGATAGAATAAGTTACTTGAGGAGCGTTCGAACTTCGGACGGGGGTATGCGTGAAAGGGAGTTGACGGTGCGCATGCGAGTCAAACGAAGGCAAGTTTGGGAAAACAAGGCCGAGCGTGAGCGGGCCGGCTGCCTGCGCGCGTCACGTCACGTTCACATGACCTTCGTCACACTCGAGCAAGGTGCAACTTGAACTTGCAAAGGCTTAACGAGCTATCACCACGAATGTCTCTCTATGCGTGTACCGACACCATGTATGGGCTAGGGCACGGCTCTGCATAGCCATTTCTCGATGTGGGTTCAGCGTTGTCGAGGTGCCGCTCGCGTGAAGGGGGTCTCAGGACTTGTCAGACGTGGGTTTTGTAACACAAGCTATTGCCGTTGCGGAGTTCCGCTCACTCCCTCAAGCTGCCCAAAATGTTGCCTAGTTACTCTCTAGAATAGATTTCGCGAAGGAGAACCACGATGGGCTTGACCGATAGCGTATTGGCTTATCGTTTCCTCAAGTAGTAGTATACGAGACCTGAGTACTGAGTGGGGCTGTGGCTCTGCTGATTCGCCTACTTACCGCGCTGCGTCATAGCCGCGCTCAGCGCCAGACGTCAGAGCTGCATGCATAGGGCCGTGCCGGTGCAATGCCGGCGAGACCAAAGGTGTGCAGCGTTTTATCCGACCAATCGCCGCGGCCGTCTTATCAATGCCCGTCTTCTGGGATCATCTCAGACCAGATAGCTTGCTACCACATGCAAGCAAGTCATGTTTAGCACGCAAGGACGTTAATGGCCACCATCACGCCCCATCCGTGCCTTACACCATGGGCTCTTATCGCCATTACGCTGCGTATCTATGTAGGCCATAAAGCTCCTGCTGGTGGTCTGAAACCCGCCTTACGCCAATACCCTACCACCTTCACACCATGGGTACCACTCCGTCCAAGCCCTCCTCAACTACCGGGTCACCAGTCTCGGAGAAGACTCTGTCTGCTGCACGCGAGCTCTCGCAGCAGCTTAGCCACCTTCGTCTCGGCTCCTCCCCTCTGTCGACCACCGGTTCACTCACTCTCGACAACGTCGACGCGTGGGAAGGGGCGGTTGAGCAATCTCCCAAGCTTCAGCTCACGCGGACAATCCTCAATCACACCGACTTTCGCGAGTCGCTCCGGCAGCGTTCTGCGGTCATCGCAGACCCTCATGTCTTCAACACGGAGATTGAGTTCAAGACCGGACCCATCACCAGCCAGAAGAGCTCCGGACGGTGCTGGCTGTTCGCGACAACGAATGTGCTACGGCACAGCGTCATGAAGAAGCTCGACCTGGATGACTTCCAGCTCTCGCAGGTGTGTATGTGGTTTATTGCCCGTTCTTGGAAGAACAGGATTGACAGATGACGTTTCGATCACATCAGTCGTACCTTTTCTTCTGGGACAAACTCAACAAGTCCAACTACTACCTCGAACTCGCCATCGAGAACGCACACCTTCCTCTGGACGACGGGTCACCCAATACCTCGCTCGGAGCTTATTAGTGATGGCGGCAGTGGGACATGGCGGTCAACCTGGTTGAGGTATGTATACCTATCCTCTGATCTGGAGACACAACGCCGATATGATCCCCTCTCCCCGCGGCCACCAAGACATACGGCGTTATCCCCCAGCTTTTGTACCCGAATCAACCCACTCGTCGCTCTCTTCCCCTCTGAACTCGCTCTTGAAGACAAGCTGCGCGAGCATGCACTCATTCTCCGCGACCTCTCTCTTCTCTCCGCGCCAATTCTTCTCTATCGAAGAGGCTATCAACTTGACGCTCCGTTCGAAGAAGGAACGCTTCTGAAGAGGTTTACATTATCATGAGCGCGACCCTCGGGACACCGCCAAGCCTGACGCGCCCTTCACCTGGGACTACTACACGAAGGACGGCAAGCCCATGTCCTGGACCGGTACTCCGAAGGAGTTCTACGCCGCTTCGCGTACGGCAAGTACTCGGTGAGGACTTTCCCCATGATCTGCATTCAGCGGTGCTGACAGCTTGGACAGCCCGCGGACTCGTTCTCGCTCATCAACGACCCGCGCAATGAATACAGCAAGCTCTACACCGTCGACAAGCTGGGAAACCTGTGGGCGCGCGCCCTGTGCTCTGTACGTCCATGCCCGTCTTTTTTCTCCGAGCGCGAACCCTAACCTCGACGCGACCCAGACGTGAACACCGAGATCGAGAACCTCAAGCAGGCCGTCATCCGCCAGATCAAGGCGGGCCACCCCGTCTTCTTCGGCTGCGACGTCGGCAAGTGCGAGGAGCGCAACATGGGCCTGCTCGACACCGACGTCTTCGCGTACGAGGCCGCGTTCGACATCTCCTTCGGGCTCTCGAAGGCGGACCGCCTCCGGATGCAGGAGTCCCAGATGACGCACGCGATGGTGATCACCGCCGTGCACCTCGACGGCGCCGGGCGGCCGGTCCGCTACAAGGTCGAGAACTCGTGGGGGCCCGAGCCCGGGAACGGCGGCTGGTTCGTCATGACCGACAAGTGGTTCGAGCAGTTCGTCTACCAGGTCGTCGTCCCCAAGGCGCTCGCGCCGAAGGACCTCGTGGCCGTCTTCGAGGGGCGGAACGCACGGTCCTCGCTCCGTGGGACCCGATGGTGAGTCGCGTTTCCCGTTGCTCAGACGACTTCCCCGGGCGTGTGGGAGGGCGGGGGCAGGGCTCAACGCTGACCCGCCTTGTTTTCCTTCCTCAGGGCTCGCTGGCGTGAACGGACTGCGATTCGCGTGGGAGGATAGGACGTCGCTGTCCATAAGTGTATAGTAGTTGGAAGATCTGCATATGACAGGAGGCTACGATACCCCGCCCGTCCCGGGGCCCGCGCGTGCCCCCATTCCCTCGCGAGTCGTCGCGACACCCACGCCCACACCGTTCGCACCGACGGAGCGCCCTGCTCGCCCGACGGCGTGCCCAGGGCCCCGCACTCGGCGTCGGGCGCCGCGGCGCCCCAGTGCTCCCGCTCTGCAAGCTCCGTCCCGACTCGTCTTCTCCCTTCGCGTGCAGATCGTCCGGGAAGTCGTCCCCGCCGATGAATGCCGTGTCGACGAACTCGCCGAGCGAGGCGATGAACGGTGGGAGCGGCCGCCCCGGCTCCGACTCGCGCCCCGTGGGCGTGGTAAAGTGGATCGTCGTCGTCGCGCCGTCGGCGGCCTGAGAGCCCGTCCGGCCGTTCTGGTTCGCGCGTTCCACGCTGTGCAGGCTGAGCAGCAGGCGGCACGCGAGAACGGAGGTCGCCCTAGCGTCGGTGCGGAAAGAGGTGACACGGGCGCGCGGGAGCGTGAGCGTGGGGCCGGGGTCGGGGCACTCGGAGGGGAGAGTACTCACGGGTCGATGAAGACGGAGACGAGGCTCGAGTTGCGAAGGAATTGGTTAGCCTACCGGAGATGGAATTAGCGCGTGCGGGGGGCCCACGGCGGGCCAGCGTACCCCTGTCTCGGTCAGGATGGTGTGGAGGAGGTTCAGGATGGCGAGAGGGCTGGGCACCGGGTGATCAGCAGCGGTCACCCAGACGTTGAGAACTTTCTCACATGAAGTACACAACGCCGCTGTGCAGCATGGTCTTCGATAGCGTAGACTCGCCTAAGGTGCCCTCCATGTTCTTTGCGAGAAAGGATGTCTTCGTCCATGTGATGATGATAACAAGGAGATCTGCGACGAAGAGCATCCCGCGCGATATCCCGGTAACTGAGGTTGCCGAGTAGCTTCGGTGTCAGCGGCTTCCCCAGTCCTCGGTACGGGGACTCTGCTTACATCTACAAGCAAATATGGACAATGAGCGGTTGTGCGATGGATTGGAAGGCCGAGACCGAGAGACGATATGCCGGGTACAAGAGAATAATAGACGTACATCACACCAAGTCTGTGGCCCGCATTGTCCACTATACCGCATCCCCCGAACTCTGGCCCCAGGTAAACAGGTTCGAGCCAGCCATAGTGGATCTGAAAGACGGAGTTGGGTGGGAGTGTACACTACAAATGGGACAAACTCACCGCATTGGCATATATAGGACCCAGAGCAAAGAACAAGACCAGGGCTGCGAGCACTTTGTTCTGGGCAGTGAGCGCATACACCCGCAGGGTAGACAATACTGAATAAGATGCGAATGAGCGTCGTCGTCTCGTCCTAAACAATGTGAACCCACAGGCGGGGAAGACGTAAATCAGGAGCTGGAGGACTTGTATGGTATACATATAGACGTCGCAGCTGCGAAAGCCATGATGAGCTTTTGCGGGTTTTAGAATATAAGAAGTTGATGCACCCCTAGCATTGCAAGGTGAGCACGATGCTGATACTGGCAAAGTTGAACGGATGAAACGCACCACTCCTTGTATGTTATCCGTGGGATAACCCATCACCCAGAAGATGATGAGTAGATATCGGATTAAGAAGTAAAGAATCGAGGCGGCAGACACTCGACGTGTCCAGAAGTACTCGATCTCTTCGTGCAGGCATAGGAGCCAATCATAGCCTAGGAATGCTGCACAGATTGCAAGGTGAGGTTCGAATACCGCTTGACATTTATGAGAAGAAACGCACTGAGAGCAGCGAAACTGCAACAGAGAGAGACGAATCTGTCATATCCAAGCATGAGCGTCTGCACTCTCGGCTGGATCAGAGTCAGTTAGAACATACAGAGAGTCGTATTCTGCGATGATCTCAGCATCCGGGCTCGAGGACATGGTGGGGGGTCGTAACGGGGTCCCCAGAGCCGGGTAGCGAGGCCCACGATGATATAGCGGTTGAATTGTCAACGCGCCGCGACCCGGCAATCGACCGCGACGGTGCGCTGCGCATATAGTGCGCCTGGTCTGTCACCGGCGCCGGGGAGAAGTGCAGTCCTGCTCCGGATCCGACCCCAGCGGACATTTGTGGGTGGGCTGAACGTCGCTGCCGGACACCGCGTATAGGGTACGCGCACCGCTCAAGCCTCAGGAGGCAGGATGGAACCTGGAGCTGCGAAAGACTCTGAGAACGCCTCCCAAACTACATGTGCACTCTTGTCGCGGCCGCGCTCGAGGGAAGTAGATAACGACGGGGACAAAAAAAACTTGCAGGACCAGATATTCACCCGACACCGACCACCACAACCGTGTAACTCATCCAACTACTTGGTCCGATGGTGCTGGCGTCCATGCTTCGAAACTTCAACCCCCAGCTACGGCAAAACAGCAAATGATATGTGGCACATGTAGCAAATACCTCTAAACCCAGCAGCACATAGAAAGACAGGCACTGAGACTGGACAGCTGGGAGCCGGTAGCCGGTAAGGATGACACCGGGGCGCACGTCGACCGTCACCGGACATTGAGAGAGCACCCGAGGCGAGGCAAGGGGGTTCGAGAGATAGGCGTAGTGTGCTCAACGTGGTCTGAAGACAAGCGGTAAACGTCGCCAGCGCCTTGCCAGCCCCGCAGCCTCGTCCGACGTCCACGACGAGCGGCTCGGCGCTTCGGTCGCAAGTGCCTAACCCGCGACCACCACAAGCACTGGCAGCTGCTGCAACATACGGACGCATCACAAGCTCGCCTGGCTCCAACAGCAGTTATCTCGCCATTCCCAGATCAACTTCCCACTTGTTCAGTACTGTAGTATCAGAAATCTCAGCTACATGGGCCCCCATGTACATGTACAAGAAGGCTGGCAGGTATTTTTCGCTACATATGCCCGAATTGGCTACCGCTAACATATCGTATCTTCAGTCCCTGCCCTCAGGGTGCAGGCCATGCCGCCGCAGGCACCGGCACCAATGTTCGAGGGCGTCGCATACCTTTTGTTGCCCCGGAATCAAGACATACGGACCCCACTCACACCAGCCCTCCAAATACACTCCCACGAATGCGTACACGCCGTGGTCTCGGTGGGTGAGATTATGGTGTCCTCAATGGCTCCTCGCATACTCACGGTTCCAAAATTGTCTGCAGATGCACTCCATTGGCTTTGAGCGCGTTTGTGTGGCAAATACCACTACACCGGGGTGCGTCGCCCATCCGCTCTCTTGGTCTCTGCGTGTCCACGCTTGTTCATTGACGAAGGAACACCATCCCATGCAAAAATAGCGCAATCGTGATTGGGTGGGAACACTTAAACGGCCGCCATTACCTGGTACACTCGAAAGTCTCGATGGCATCCAACAATTTCGACGGCCTCGAGACGAGGTATAAAGGAGGCTGTGTCGAGGGACAGGAATCTTCAGGACAACCAGTCTTCGACTCATCTGCGACTTCGAACAATGGCCTTCGGCACTCTCGCGTCCTTCGTCACCGTCCTCGCCGCTCTTCAGGTCGCCAACGGTCAGTTCTACCTCGCCACACACCCTGCTCGACAGCACAGTGTCTGACGATATTTGCTGCTCCTCGTTCATGCAGGTGCCCTCACCCGTCGGGTCGCTTGCCCTGACGGTGTGAACACCGCGACCAACGCGGCGTGCTGCAACCTGTTTGCCGTTCGCGACGTCCTCCAGGACCAGCTCTTCGACGGCCGCGAGTGCGGCGAGGAGGTCCACGAGTCTCTTCGTCTGACCTTCCACGACGCCATCGGTATCTCTCGCTCGGCGAACGCTGCTGGCAAGTTCGGCGGCGGCGGCGCCGACGGTTCGATCGCCCTCTTTGAGGACATCGAGACCAACTTCCACGCGAACGGTGGTGTCGACGAGATCATCGACACTCAGCGCCCCTTCGTCCAGATGAGCAACATGACCACCGCCGACTTGTAAGTTCAGGCCGTGCCGCACCTCAGATCACTTTCTAACTGCTCTACAGCATACAGTTTGCCGGTGCCATCGGTGTGTCGAACTGCCCCGGTGCCCCTCAGCTCGACGTTTTCATCGGCCGCCCCGACGCGACCATGCCCGCTCCGGACCTGACTGTCCCTGAGCCGTTCGACACCGTCGACTCCATCCTCGCCCGCTTCGCGGATGCCGGAGGCTTCTCGCCCGCTGAGGTCGTCGCTCTCCTCGCCTCGCACACCATCGCGGCCGCCGACCACGTCGACCCCTCCATCCCCGGAACCCCCTTCGACTCCACCCCCGGCCTCTTCGACACCCAGTTCTTCATCGAGACCCAGCTCCGCGGCACGCTCTTCCCCGGCACGGGCGGCAACCAGGGTGAGGTCGAGTCCCCGCTCGCGGGCGAGATCCGTCTCCAGTCCGACTCCGAGCTCGCCCGCGACTCGCGCACCGCGTGCGAGTGGCAGTCGTTCGTCAACAACCAGGCGAAGATGCAGTCCGCGTTCAAGGCCGCGTTCCGCAAGATGACCGTCCTCGGCCACTCTGAGAGCGACCTGATCGACTGCTCCGAGGTCGTGCAGACGCCCCCGTCCCCCAAGTCCAACGCGCACCTGCCCGCCGGGGCCACCCACAACGACGTCGAGCAGGCGGTGAGTGCCCAGTCCCTGCGCCCTTCCCCACTTTCCCTTTTCCCCGCTCTATCCGCGCCGTATGGAGTCGGCGTCGGAAACGCGGGCTTCGACCCATTCAGCATTGGGAACAGACGTTGATAGACCCTTTTCTTCCCCATACAGTGCGCTACCGCCGCCTTCCCCACCCTCCCGACTGACCCCGGTCCGGTCACCTCCGTCGCCCCCGTGTGAGTGCCCGTCCTCTTCGTCCCGCTTCTGAGCGGAGGCTGATGATGACCTTACGACAGCCCCCCCTCTTAAGCGTCTCGCACTCCTCCGGCGCCGGTTAGAAGTCGACGTGAGCCGATAGCGTTTTGTAGCGAATCTGTCGAGCCGTCTCCTTGTGTTATCTAATGGCGGTCTCCTTCACCGGGCGTGGGGATGCAGCAGCACTCTACTGTACATGCTTGGTCTTGGGGCTGCCCATCGGTTTTCTTTGTAGAGCTTCTGTGTAAGTAGCATTCTATCCATCGTGTTTCTCCACCTCCCGGCCGTGCTCTGAGTGCCGACTGAGCAAATAATCAATGATCACTTGCCTTGGACAGCCACGTGCTTTTGCCTGGTTGCCAACAGTACTACTCCTTTGGACTCAAGTCTTGCTGCAGTCTTGAGGATCGGTCAAGGACCGGTTTTCACATGCGAATGCGATTAGTCGTTACAGTACATCTCATCTACTTATGCGTTCATCGTCCATGAGAGTGGAGGGATCGTTGGAAGAATTGGATAACTGCGAGAAAAGAGGAAGGGGTTTCATGACATGAGCCACGCTACTGTAGTGGATACACTGAATATACTGGTTGTACACATTGGTCGTTTCCTCCGTTCCCACAGGGGAAGTGGGACAACGACGGGACGGGCAGAGCACATGACGAGACTTGCGAAGCGAGGTAGAGTAGGGAGAGAAGACGGTCGCAGACCACTCACAGGGGGAGGACTACGTCCGATTCCTCCGCCGCCGCCGCCGCTCCTTCTTCGACGGCTTGGGGACGACCACTTGTCGCTGGCATATCGGACATCGCCCAGACACATCCGTGAGCCACGGATCCACGCACGTTTTCTGGCGAAGCAGAAGGACGAAATGAGCACAAGGCACCGGCAACGAAGACAGGCGGCACTCACGTGGAAGACATGCCCGCACGACAATAACCGCAGCGGCTGCGGGCCCTCGCCCGCGTCCATCAACGTCAGCGCGTCGTGTTCCTCCTCCGAGACCGCCTCCACCCGGATCTCTGTCACACCCATGGACGACGTCGATGGGCCGTGCACGGTGAGCGCCGTCTCCTCAATCGCGTCCTCACCTTCTCTCCCGCCTGCGTCGGACGCAGGAACCGGCGGGGGCTTGACTCCGCGCACGCGCTTGGGCTCCGCGTAGTCCAAGAGGCAGATCGCGCACGCCGCGCGGTGGTCCTCGAGGCGCACGAACGGGTACTCGCTCCTCTCCCACATCTCGTCCCACGGCACGTCCTCGTCCTCGTCCTCGTCCGCCGCGTCTGCTCCGCCGTTACCGTCCTTCGTGCTGCCCTTCTCGAAGGTTGAGGCACTGGACGCGCCGGGTATCGCGCCCTTGCCGGCCTTTTTCTTGCGGAAGAACGCGAACCGCCGCTTCGGAGGGGCGTCCGGGGAAGAGCCTGAGCCTTTCGGAGGGTAGGAGTGCGCAGCCGCGGGGACGGTGATGGGGATGTTGGTGTTAGTCTCTCCACCGGGAGGAGGCGGGATGTAGAGCACGAGTGGGATCCTCTCGACGACAGCTTTGGACAGCTTGTCGACATCGGGCCGGATGGCGTTGGGGTTCTGTAAAGGATGCCTTCCGAGGCAGAGCAGGAGGATGTTGTAAACGAGCTGCGCATAGGACATGATGGGAGTCAGCGTTCAAGAGCAGCGTGGACGAAACGAGGTGTGTGCACGTACGAAGAGCACCGGGCCGAGGATAAAGACGAGGAGGCCGAGGAGAAAGATCTCGAGAATCATCAGGTAGAGAGTAGCAAGGATGCCGAATGTGAGCCACCACAGATGCGGGGCGTTGAGACGACACGTGTCGATGGAGGTGTACTCCAGCACATGTGCAGTCACAAACCAAGCCACAGCAAAGAACGAGGCGAACAAAGATACCCTAAGGCAACAGGGCTTAGACAGGATTTTGCGGACACGAGATCAGGTACGTACCGTGCAAACAGCTTTGACTGAATGGCATTCGGTGTGCTTTCAACTGTAATCCTACCACCTGCAGCTTCATACGTCCTTCGATGATGTGAATTTGAAGTTGATTCGCGATTTGTAGGTTCATCACCACCCAAACGTGACTCAGGGTCATTCGTATCAGTTCGCGGGCTTCCACTCGGATCCGTGCTGCACCGATAGACTGAGATGGAGATCAACGAGCGACGCAGAGTGGGAACTCACGAGGCACCATTGTTCCTTCGCTGCCTCTGCCATCCCCAGAGAGTCAACCATGCACTCAAGACGACCTTAACCAGCCAAACCGCATTCCAAGCCCCTAGGGGTTTGTTGCATGCTCTCCACTCCGTCACTCCAGGCTTGGTGGGACTTTCGTGAACGGCGGAATATGCCAAGAGCGCTATCACCGTTATGAACTATGATCTACGGTCAATTGGGGATGACGCAGTGCCGAAACTCCCGAACACACCTGAGCGGCCCACCACAAAAGGCTACAGATGAGAGACACAAGGGCACGGCGTTGTTCTCGGTCCGGGCCAGCATAGCCCAAAAACACCATGACCTTCCCAAGAAACCCCGGAGGTGGCGCGTTTGAAGTACGGCCGGACGATGCGGGAGTGGGTGCCGGAGGTCGTGGGTTTTCTGCCAAAGGTACTTCCCAATCTGCTCCTCTCAATGTGGGCGACCGCGTCGGGGAACGGATGGCGTTGTGCTCTGGTGTCTCAGCCGGAGTCGAGGATGAGTGCCTGGACGCACCCGACCGCGTCGTGCGGTGGGGCGAGATAAAAACATCTGGAGGGGGAGAGGGAAGAACGAACGCGTCGCGGGGGGTGTGGACAGACGACGGGGCTTCGTGCGGCGACTCGAGGGAGAGGGTGCGGGAATTTGAGGGCTCACCGGCCTCTGAGAGCCCGCCATCGGAACGCGTTCTCCTGTGGTCGCGCGTCCTGCTCTCGGAATGCATGATAGTCCCTCCTGTCTCGAGCAAGAGAGCCGCGGGCTAAGAGGCTTGTGAGCGAACGCGAGCGGAAGCTCACGACGGGGACGTGTTGTATGGATGTATGCTGTCACGAAAGTTCGATCAGATAACGGGCTGTGCATACACAGTTGGAGAAGCTGGACGCACTGTAGGTTAGAGGCCGACCGCTAGCAGAGGCGAGAGTCCCAGGCTGGGGCAGGAGAGGGCGTGGTGGATCATGCGACCCCGAAAGGAGGACTGCCGGCGGGCACGGAAGCTCCCCCTCGCTGCCGCCCTTACATAGCCCCGCATTCCTCTTCGGGCCGCCCATCCGCTCCCGCGCCCAGCCCCAGCTGGGTCCGCACTCGAAGTCCCCCGACTTATTGTCGGCTGCTTAGATCTCTCAAAGCAGCCAGATGGTGCGAAGGTCGTCGCCAGCTCAACGCTCAAGATATCCGGAGGTGGCCTGGGGTGCCACCCGAGATTCTCTGCATGAGCGCGGGCTTGCGCAAGCACCCACCACAGCGCCGGCCGAAGCGCCAGCCTCATCCAGGACTCACCGCTCTAGCTGCGGTATGCAGTGCGCTCTGACTCAATGGTCTTGGGGCCGACGTACCGGGAACACAATCAGTGCGCAACGACCTCAAATACACCGACAATCCTTTGGACCGATATGCTATAACATAATATAACGACGGGACCAAGCGCCTCATGGGGGATCCAAGTACAACAGAAGACAGAAGACAAGCGGTCGCCAAGAAGTGCCGACGACATCTGGCGGTTACAATAATCGAGTGATGACGCCTAGACCCTGGAAGAGGCACCGCGTCAGTAATCTGAAGTAGGACGAGCCATGACAACGCACTTTGGTCTTCCCCTCTCTGAACAAGAGCTTCATGCCTTCCTTGATGAACTCAGGCTGAGAGATGAACTCGAAGGTAACTGTGGCACGATCCCCTGTTCGGAGAATGCCCTGGGGATGGTCCATGGACAATATTCGAACCGTCTGGCGCACAGCCTTCCAAATCGAGCTGGTATGAGTCCTCAAATTCCCCACTCAAAGTGAGTCCACTCACGCCACAGTGAAGCATGGCCTGGTAATTCCTTTGCAGAGTGGTATTATGACTAAAAGGGTCTCAATTGACCGCATTTTTCCGCTGAAAGAAGGAAGACTTACTACAAGATCAGTACCTGACCCTCGAACTGGCGAACAGCCTTAGGCGGCGCGTCGGTCTTGTGCACAAGCACCATGCCTTTCCTGACGTCCGTGCGTCTGATACGCTTCAAGGCGAACGACACACACTGTCCAGCCTCAGCACTGGCCACTCGGGCGCTGCACCACGAGGTCAGCGTATGTGTGTGCAAAAGTAGCAGGTTTTACCGCATCGATCATCGGCAGACGTACCGCTTGCGTTCGATGGACTTGATAACAGTGCCGTGGAAGTTCCCATTAGAATCGGGTCCAAATAACACTGCGTCTCCTGCCTTCACGGTCCCGGAGTTGAGGATACCGTCTATAACGGTTCCCACATATGGAACCGAGTACACCTCGGTGATGGAATACTGCGCAACCTATCAGCGATAGCGAGAAGCTCCAAAAATCCTCATGGTCACCTCCAAGGGCTGATCAGTAAGGAACTTCTCGTTGTCGCTTTCGCTTGCGGGGAGCAAGTTGAGGAAGGCCCTCAGCTAATTAGTATGGTGGACATCGGTGCCAATTTCGAGAGGAAGCTTATGTGGTATGTGGGCTTACAAAGTCTAGGCCCTCTCCAGTAACGTTGGACAGTTGGAAGACCGGAGCCAATCTACACGTTTGGGGGTTAGCACCGGTTCCCACTGTGTCCGAGAGCAAAACGCACTTCTCCTTGCCGAAAGACTGAGACACTGTCACTGCGCACTCCATCGAGTTGACGAACACAGGGGTTTTCCTTCGGAGACCGAGCATTGAGTAGCTGCGAACAATGTCCGTGGTTGAGACTTACCTGCATCCGGGGCTACGCAAAATCTTGGACACCTGTTCTACGGTCTTGGCGAGAATATTCTTAGGTGTCATGTCGATCTGTCGACTGTTCAATCAGTACACTCGTTATGCACAATGAGCAGGTCCCAACCTTGGTGATGCAGACCACGACAGGAACGCTGAGCGCTAATGCGATCGCCAGGTGCTCTTTGGACATGCCGATGAGACCAGCGTTGCCGCCCACGATAAGAATCACACATGACGGCGACCCAGAGGTCAGACCATACAAAGTGGTCTTAAGGTATCGCTCATGTCCAGCCAAATCTAGAGAGCTTGTCAGACGACATTATATGCCACTCGGAACTACTAACCACTGAAAGATATGATCTTAGAAGCTTGGATGGAAATTTCCTCCCATCCCATCTTCTCGCGGCGGATGGTGTCTGGGTCCTGCGAGTGAGCCGTCTGTGGCAATATTGGCTGACCGTTAGGACCGAAGCCGAGTATCTGAGCATTTCCGCCATTAGCAATTGAGATTGGCGAGACTGCATAGTCACCTACCTCCATGCCCACGCTAGAGGTCCTTCCGGTCTCAATCTCGTGCTTGTGGCGGAACAAGGTCACTCGCGCACGACCTCTACCATCATCTAATTGACCTACACAATCGAGCCCGAGAATGAGCCAATGCAAGAGCAAACGGATGCCCGACATACCTCTTGTGAGCACGCCTAACGTAGTGGACTTGCCGCTGTCCACATTCCCGACGACGGCGCACCGTACCTCGGGAGTGGAAGCGACATCGGGCGGTGGTAATCGTAATAGTAATGCGGCTCTGGGATGGTCTATTCGATTGTCGAATAACAACGACGTCTTTAACAGGATTTCATCCGTCTATGCAGCGCGAAGAGAAGAAACGAAGACGAACCTTTCCTCCCACCTCGTCCACCAGAGTCGTGGTTTCCTGAATGATCACATCAAGCTCCTCCGCGGTCCGAGAGGACCCGACCCACACGTCTTCGTCCTCAATGCCCTGGCCGGCGTAGACCCTCGCGGTCGGAGGGTGCGAGCCTATTCGAAAGACGTACTCGCCAAAGTTACGTGTCAAGAGCGAGGCGATCAGATTCCTGGCCTTCTCAATGTTGTCCGGTGCTCTCGACAATAACAGCGTCTACGGACGAACACGCAGACGGTCAGCGCACGCCCGTCCAGCGCGGTCCGCACAGTGTGTTGGGTTCAAGGACTGAACAATGGGTCACGAACGGACATGGACGCCTCACCTGAAGCTGCTCATCGACATCCGACATCAATGCGGCATCTCCGCCGCGAGTGTCCGCCGCTGTGGCGGCTGGGCCCTTCGCCGGAGCGGGGGTGACCGCGTCGATGCTCTCCTTGCGTGCGTGGATATGCGCGAGCGGGGCCTTCGCGCCGGGGCCTTTCTTGTTCGCGACGTCCTTCTCAAGCTTCGCCCGCTCGGCGGTGGCATGGGCGCGCTGTTTGGCGACCTCGCGGTGCGAGATCTCGTCAATCTCCGTCTGGAAAGTGCGAAGGCTGGTCATGGGGTGCTGTGGTTTGTTGAAGGGTATGGCGCGCGAAAGGGGTGGTTATAAGCCCGCGCTGAGCGAGTCAAGTCTAGTCAGAGGTCGGGTAGCCCTCGATCGCCACGGTGGGAGGATGTCACTGCTTAAACTGGCATGACTCGCGTCACGCCGGACGATTTACGGGCGGAACATGTGCCACGAACGTCGCCGCATTGCGCTGACAACCAGTACCCTTTGCTGTGCGACCATACTCGGATTTTGTTTTCCGCCGTTGGCAACAGGAGAACATGGCGAGGCTGAGCACGCGGCGAAGCAGACGTCACAGCGGGATGTCACGTGGCGGAAGCGGGTGGCGAACGCCACGAGGTTGCGATGTCCGCTGCGTCTTTGCGTCCGCCTCAACTTCCAACACGGTTCTTGTCCCCCACCACCTCCCCCACCTCTCCGACAGGTCTCTCTTTGCGCTTTGCGGCTCTTTTACGGTGGTTTAAGCGCTTCTAGCACCCATCATCCGCCGTAATCAGCGCGCGCGCACCTCCACCTCCTGGGGATGTCCTTCGCGCCAGGACCATCCCGCCCAACCCTGCGGCGCCTCGACGGCACAGCGCCAGGCGTGCTCGACAGGTCGCAACCCCAGCGCATCCTTGCTTCGTCCGGTGCGACGCTCTCCTTTGCCTCCTTCGACCCTTTCGTCGCGTCTGGCCCTTCCTCCCTCTCACGCAAGCGCGCGCTGGACCCCGACCCCGCTCGCCCGAGGCGCATCGTCATCGAAACCCCCCTGCGCGGGCAAAGCAAATGGCGGTTCGTGCCGCGCGCACGTTACGCGCAGGGCGTCGTAGACGAGGGCTCGTGGCCGCGCAAAGTGAACATATGCGGGTGCGTCGTGGTTCGGCCACTTCATCCCACCACTGTCCTCACCTCTTCATGTGTATGGCACAGCGAGCACTACCACTGCTCGGAAGATCAGTGGGACATCTACAAGCTTGACCTGATGTACGAGTGCTTCGTCCCCGCGCCGCCGGACATTCCCACCATCCGGCGGAAGGATCCCAGCTTTGACCACCTTTCGATCAACGGGGAGAATGGCTTCGCCAGGAAGCGGCGCGCTATGTCGCCAGTCCAAGAAGACCCACAGTCGACTTTCGCTCCCAACAAGAAGTTCCGCACGGTACGAGACGAAAGGCTAGGCGTGGATGTCGAAGAGGAGATCACTTCGTCCGATGAAGAGGATGAGGTGGAGGAGATCATGGTTGATGATGACGATGACGAAGATACAGAAGACGAGGAAGATACTTTCGGAAGCCCTCGAAAGCGCACAGACCGGGCTGCGCAGCGACACCGGGCCCGAGTGGACAGTGCTAAGGAGAGGAGACGAAAGCAGCATGCCTCGAGTACTTCGAACCGGCGAGCAGGGAGTGCTGCACCACAGGCCCCTCCTCGAGCCAAGACTCCCGAGATTGTCGACTTGACAATGGACGACAACACATCACAAGAACCCTCCCAAGAACCTACTCCCGAACGTGTACCGCGCCCGGATATCACTGCGACGGGGAACACCAAACGCAAAGGTGCGCCTGACCCTCCGGTGTTTTCGCATCCCGCCCATCTTCAATTTTTAGTCTTCAACACTGTGGACCTCACGGAGGATTCATCGACGCCAGATCGTTTCAAGCCGACGAAGCGTGCCCGAACAGTCTCCCCAGGGACTATTCGTACGGAGCTCAATCGCAAGCTCTCCAGTCGCCGTTCTGTCAAACCTCGCTCAGCCCGGGAGCCTTCTAAGGCCAGCCAGCAGCTCTGGGCAGATATTTTCGCTCAGGCCCCGCCTCCGATTTTTCCAACCCCTCCGCCTTCCCAGAATAACGGTGAGTCTAGCTCCCATTGGGTGGGCTTCAAGTACTGACTTCCTGCGTTGTAGATGCTCGTCGCGATGAGAACACGCAGTCAGACTCTCCGCCTCAGACTCTGGAAGATTGGGAAGAAGCGCAGCGTGTGGCCACCATCGAAGAGTCGAGACGAAAGCTAGCCGAGCTCGAGAAGGACCGCCCACTCTGGGACCAAGAGGCCCGGAAACGCGAAGCGCAAGCCCGTGCCGAGCAAGAGGCCCTACGCGTGCGCAAGGAGGCGGAGCGCCGGCTCGCCGCGGAGGCCCTCGCCCGCGAAGAGTTCGAACGCCGCCGCGCCGCCCGCGCCGCTGCCGAGGCCGAGCAGCGCGCACAAGCCGAGCGCGCGCGGATCGAACGCGAGCGGCAGGCGCGGCGGCAGCGCGAGCGCGAGCGGTGGGCGTACGGGCCGTGGACGGCGGCGCGCGCCCTCGAACGATACAAGGTCTCGCGGAGGCGTTCGACGCGGCCAAGTTCAGCGCGGAGAACCCGGCCGAGTTCGAGGCGATCCCGTGGCCGGTGTTGCTCTCGCCGGTGATGCTCCGGGTGGAGGACATCGACTGGGCCGCGGTCGAGGCGTTCTTCGAGGCCGCGCGCCGGCACATGCGCCCGCAGGATTCAAGGCCGTCGTGGAGAAGAGCCACAAGCGCTTCCACCCCGACAGGTGGCGGGCGAGGGGCGTGCTGAAGAGCGTCGCTGACGAGACCGAACGTGGAATTCTGGAAGTCGCTGCAACCACCGTTTCGCAAGCGTTGACGCCTATCTGGAAGGACACGAGGAGTTAGGATGATCGTATTCTGATGGATGCAGGTATACCACTACCACATATCACTATCGTGTTGTACACGGTTCAACAGCAATTGTACGCTTCTGGAGACATATCGTGATGTAGATTGCAGGATGTGATCAACACGCGAAGCATATGATGTGGAGATATCAACGGGGGTTTACTACGGTAAGCTCTGGCAGATTGTGGGGTGGATGTTCACGCTCAAGAGCCTTGAATAGATCCCGTCCTCACCACGGAAATATTCTCCTCCTGCGCGGTGCTGGACTGGGAGGTGTGGTACTGGCCAATGATACCCAACTGTGCCTCGCACGTTTTACGAGATAGGACCCACAAGAATAGCTCCAGATCCGCACCTCAAAGGGATCTCAAGCTTATTCTTACACTAGCAAATCGGCACGTCAAGCACAGGAATCGAGACTCTTCCCTGTAGATCAGCTGCTCTGCAACCTCCTTCGATCAAGCACGCGTCAATCGGCGCAACGCCATACCTGCTGATCACTGGACCTTAGGTTCGCGGGTTAATGTTGCGTGATCCTCCGACGCCCCCGAAGGCCGAAGGTCACAAATGGGACAACCTCGCGTGCTCGACATCGTCGGCTCGAGATTCTCCCACCGTTATTCCGGAGGCATATATCTGCTCGCAGCGTCCCCAATCTGGTTGGGCTCCGTTTGACAACATGTTCTACAGACACTCATCGTGTTCTCGCTTTTGCTCCTCGCAATCAGGGTCTTGGCTCAAACCCCTGTGTGGGGGCAGTGCGGTGGAATTGGATGGTGAGTTTGGTGTTGGCTGGTCGTATGTTCTAAACTCACTGCGGCGTAGGGCGGGAGCACGACGTGTGCTGCAGGCTCCGTCTGTACTGCGCTGAACGACTGTACGTTCGCGGAACCATCTGCATGTCTCCTCGCTGCTCCCCACTCCGTTATTGACGGGTTCTGCGCCGAAAGATTACTCGCAGTGTGTGCCCGGAGCGGCGACCGGGTCGACCAGCACTGCAGCACCAACGTCCACAACGACGTCAGCGGGAACGGCGCCGCAGACACCAACGAGCACCTCAACCGGCGCCACGCCCACTGGGTCCCAGATCCGCGCCGTCGAGGGTCCAGTGTATCACTTCTACCTCCAGAACCAGGGTACGTCTCACCCGTCTCCCCGTTCCGGTCGTCTCAGGCCCCGAAGGGGGAGGCAAGGGTGCGCTGCGGGTGACTGCGGGCTGAGGCTGACTCCTCCTATCTTTGCACGCGCAACCTGCGGATGCCAGACGGAAAGCCCGTGCTGGGGTCCGAGGCCTCGTCGGGCTACTTCACTATCGGGACGACGATCGCGCTCGCGCCGAACGGGAGCACGCTCTACCTGAACGTCGATACGAGCAGCACGGCGTCGTACAAGGGGCTGACGCTCGACGCCGCGGCGAGCACGAAGGACTGGGCGCTCGAAGGGGACACGATCATCACGACGGAGCCGCGGGAGCTCAACTTCCTCGCGTGCGCGACGGACGACGCGAGCGTGTACGACGTCTACCTGCAGACGGGCAACGACACGCCCTCGGGCGCATCGTGCTCAATGTGCACTCTGCATCTACCGTGCCTGTGCTGAGCTGCCGTACGACTCGGGTGCGCGCCGGGTCGGCAGGACGGGCCAGAGACCGGGGTCGGTAAGGGCATCTTGGTCACTCGAGTAGGACTCGGGTGGGGACGGGTCAGAGGGCGACCGGAGGGGAGAGAGACATGAGGCCTTGAAGATCGCAGTCATGTACTTGTACCGAGAGTCAATCCACGCTGTGGCCCTGCACGCAGCCTGTGCGCGGACCCAGCACCTCCTGCGGCGGACCGATCCGACGGCGGGCCACGCTAGGCCACGCTCGGCGCCGGGGGAGCGCCAACGGCCAACCTCGGCGACGCGACGCGTCATGTCACGTGCGAGCACCTCGCGATGCCGTCAGCCGGCGCTGTGCTCGTTCACGGCTCGCTATCGGACCCAGGCGTGCGCCGGGCTCAGAAGACGATGAGCTCCCCCGCCGAGTACCAGCCTCTTGCCTCCGACGCACAGCCCACCCCGCCCCCGCCCAAGGCACGGAACCGCCTCATCGCAGTCCGCAGGCTCGTACTCTTCTCCCTCACCATCCTGCTCGTCTCCTACGCGACCTATAAATCCGGCCAGTGGTACGAGGAGAAGAGCATATCCCACACACCACAAGACGGTTCCCCAGCCCATCCCGGAGAAGAGGTGATCGTCGAGCCCGAGAAGCCATCCGTTCCGACAAACGATACAGACATGTCCGGAAAGTACAGTGTTGGCTAGTGCGTGCATGCGTTTCTCTCCCGTCCGCCTTCTTGCTCATCGCGCCTCTCGCTCAGCTTTGTGAACTGGTGAGTGATCACGATCGCACTCTCTGCGGGCTGTATGCGACCGTTCTGCCAGGGGGATCTACGGGAGGAAGTTCCCACCGTCACTCATCCCGGTCGACAATCTCACGTGCGTCCGAAGATCCTCCCCTCCCATGTGCAGGCCCTTACGCTCTTCATAGACACATTCTCTACGCCTTCGCGAACGTCAAGTCTGACTCTGGCGAGGTCGTTCTCTCCGATGCATGGGCAGACACGGACATCCACTACCCCGGAGACTCGTGGAATGACAATGGGAAGAACTTGTACGGCAACTTCAAGGCGATCTACAACCTCAAGAAGCAGAACCGCCACCTCAAGGTCCTCCTGTCGATCGGCGGATGGACCTACTCCCCGAACTTCCACCCGGTCGTTGTCAATCCCGCGCTGCGCTCCAAGTTCGTCGCCTCCTCCGTCAGGCTGCTCGAAGATCTCGGGCTCGACGGGCTCGACGTCGACTACGAGTACCCCCAAAACGACGCCCAGGCCCGGGGCTACGTGGACCTCCTGCGCGAGATGCGCGCGGCCCTCGACGCGCACGCGGCCCGCAAAGGCGCCAACTACCGCTTCCTGCTCACGGTACGTACGCCCGTCATCGCCGTTCCTGCTTCTTGCTGTGCTGCGGATCCGCGTGCTCATCCGCAAAATGAAAGATTGCGGCCCCTTGCGGGGCGGACAACTACAACAAGCTCCACGTACGCGAGATGGACGCGTCACTCGACTTCTGGAACATGATGGCGTACGACTTCGGTAAGTCACCGCCGGCGTGCGCCGCACGGGTCGTTCATTCCGGCTATATGCTTACTTATCGTCATGTCCGCGCGCCCTACACAGCCGGCTCATGGGACACCGTCGCTGGCCACCAAGCCAATCTCTTCGGGGGTGCCCTCAGTGCGGCGCAGGCCATCAACTGGTACATCGGGAAGGGCGTCCCGCGGCACAAGATCGTCACCGGCGTCCCGTTGTATGGACGCAGTTTCATGAACACCGAAGGCCCCGGGGCCCCATTCAATGGTCTCGGTCCCGGGAGCTGGGAGAAGGGTGTGTACGACTACCGTGCCTTGCCTCTCCCCGGCTCGTTCGCCTTCCAGGACGAGAAGATGATCGCCAGCTGGACGTACGACTACAACACGAAGGAGATGATCTCCTTCGACAGCGAGCAGATCGCTCGCTGGAAGGGGGACTGGATCCGGCGGGAGGGTCTTCGCGGGAGCATGTTCTGGGAGCTAAGCGGAGACAAGGGGTCCCCGCGTGACGGGATGGAAGGCGGTCCCGGTAAAGAGCCACAGCCGGGACGCAGTCTGGTGGCAGTTGTGAAGGAGGCGATGGGCGAGCTCGATCAGAGCCCAAATTGGCTGCAGTATGAAGGCAGCCAGTATGATAATATGCGGGCTGGCATGCCGTAAATGGAGCAGCCACACGGTTGTATTATAGGTGCCGTCTTACCTTCCGTCGTTCTGTTATGCCGTTACTGATGTGGGCCCTGCAGTATTCTACGTATCGCCTAATTTATCGGACGCTTCTATCCTTGCTTCTCTGCGATCGAAGCGATGGGCTGCGAACAACGTACGGCCCACGCTCTATCTCAAGAACACGGACATGGTGGCAAGCAAGCATCGCATCGGCTCACCGCTGTGTGGACGATCGTGTTTCTATATATCAAAAGCTTGGTGTTGATGTTGCAGGTCTGCGTGGTGGCCATGTTGCGCCCCTCGGCCAGCCTATGTTCTTGAACAGTTCCTATCCTGGGACAGGCGTCAAGGTGTGGCCAACATCACCTCGCCTCGGCCACATTATTTCCTGCCCTGGCCCTGAAGGCTCGGCGGCATTCGCCCTGCAAATCCTTCGGCACTCTCCAAATGAAGCTCATTCGGATAAGCGTGAGCCCTGACCGGGCCTGACCGACGCCCGTCGCTGGGTTCTCCCGACGTATTCTACACTCTCGGGTGGGTCGATCGTGACGTCGACGACATTCTCAGACGTAGACTGAAAGTCCTGGCCACAGAATGGGCTCACCAAACGAGCCACGACCGCAGCGCTGCTATCTGGGCACGACGCCTGTGCTCTCCGGAACCGCCGCTTGCTTCATAGCGCTATCGCCGCTCGCCCTATTCGCCGCACAAGCCCCAAAGGAGCCCAAGATCCGCTGCCTTCTCCTGCGCCGTGCAAGCCGAAGCCCTGACTGTCCAACGAAGGCTCGCCGACCCTGCCGCGTCCGTCCCCTGCACGTCCCTCGTCGATCCAGCCAGGGCCCCCGAGGCCCGTCCCGCGCACCGAGCGCAAGCGCAAGCTCAAGCATTCAAGCTTTCACTACCATACCCGCACATCCGGGCCACCCGCCCATCCCCGATCCAGAATAGAGCAAGTACCCGTCCGCACACGCGACTCGATCGCGGCACACATCTCCGTCGCACACCCGTTCATCCCCGGCCGCACGGAGCTCCCTCCGTCCGCCCGGCGTCCCCGCTCCTCCGAGAGCCCGAGGCGCTCCGCCATCCCGCGCTCGAGCCGAGTCGCTCGTGAGGTAAACGAGCTGGCTGGTATGCTCGAGGCAGCCTGAGCTCGCGCTCTCGCGGCCGACCCTGATCGCCGACTGCACCCGCGCCTGCAGCGCCGATGGCGCGCACGAGAGGCGCGCGGATGGGACGGGAAGCGCGTCGCGCGCCGCGGCGCAGCGGCGATCGAGCGGGGTGTGCGTCGAGCTCCGGCAGGGTGCGCAGGCTTGCGGGCGATGGGATGGAATGAGATGGCCGCGCGTGGGCGGCGTGGTCTGCGTGCGGCGGGCAGTGCATGCTCTGTTCTGCCCGGCGATCGTCCGAAGGACTGACGACTATGCTGCCACCGACCTCACAAGCGGGAGGCGCAGGGAGCTCGTCCCGTCCTCGGCGTCGGAGAGAGGGACGGTCCGCGGACGAACGGAGAACACGAGGACGAGGAGGGGATGAAGACTGAGCGGAGGGGTGTCCTTGGAAACCGACAGCAGGGTGGGCGTGGCGTTGCCAGCTTCAGACCTTCATCTTCATGCGGGCGACCCCAGCTGCCGCGAGCCTCAGCCGCGGCGGCGCGACATGAAGTAGCCGAGATGAGTTCTTGCCATACGAAGTAGTTTGCATTTACGCGTTTTGTCCTGTTTCATCGAACGTGCACTATCTAGTTCGTCTTGTGTTTTCCTCGGCGCACGGGCCCATGTTGCTTTTGAGTTAGGCTCCGCCGCTGCCGCCTGCGTGCGGTCTGTCTGCAGCGTGTCATCAGCGCGAGCTGATGCGCCCGCGCCCTCCTCCACGCGCCGCCCTGGTCTCCCTTCACCCCACGGTGAACTCAGTCTCCAGTCGGGCTCGGAGCGCCAGACATCGCCATCGCGCGCGCCCCGCACGCGTGTTGCGCAGATAGTGCGCAGGCGCGCGATCTAGGCGCCCTCGCGCGCCCTCCGAGGCACGGCCAACGACGCAAAGAACGCACGACCGCATCGTCGGCGTCGAGAGCGAGCGGCCGCCGCCGCGCCACCGCGCTCCAAGGCCTCACCGCTCGGACGCCGCCACGCGTGCCTCGATCGCCCCTCGCATCTAGCCTGCCTCGCGCGCGCGCGAGCTCGGACGCGCAGGCGCAGCGGTCCGCAGAAGCGGCCGGGCGCTCGTGCGCCGAAAACTCACCCTGCGCGCCCACGGTGCCCCGGAAGGCCCGCCGCGTCCTCCGAGTGCTGGGTGTGTGGTGCGTTTGGACCCCGCTCGGGTTCGGACGGACACCATGCAAGCGGGGTCGGAACGTTGACGCGTCACCGCTGCAAGCTGCACAGCTGCAGGGACCGCCTGCGGGCGCGCTCGCTCGCCGGTTGTAGGTCCCACACATTGATACAGGGCGCGCCCCGCACGATCCGCGCGGTGGCCTCGCGGTGGCGGCGGGCTGAGCCTGATTAGATGGTGCGAATGGCGAATACGAATTCGTGTGGGATTGCGATCGGGAGGCGACGGAGCGCGGCAGCAGGAGGGAGGGAAGGGTGGCGGAAAACGGGTGGACGGGGCGCGTGGGGGCGGGGTGGACGAGAAGGATACAGCGCTGGGAGCTGGGAGATACAGGTATAGATAGATCGCCGACGGCGAACGGCCTACATAGAGCATTATTACATACACAGAAACAGATGGTGGGTGCGGAGCGCGGGCGGGGAAGGATGCAGAAGACATTAGGGTTCGAACATGGGCGTGGTGTGGCGTGAGGTTAAGAGGTGTGTGTGGGCATGAGGATGGCCACAACATAACGATAGTACGGTTCACTGTGCGAGTCAAGAAGCCCATTCTTCGCGGGGCGGTCCACGGGGGTATCAGCTCCCGATGCCGCTGACGCAGAGGGGAGCGCGAGGTGTGGTGTGCGGTGCGTGGGTATGGCAAGAATTCGGAGCTAGGGGAATTGGGGAATTGCAAGGTCGGGTTCCCGGTGACACCGAGCTGGAGGTCTCAGAGTGACATCGCACGGCCTGTGCCGACATCCCGAATATCGCGGATCGTGGAGCGCCCTCTGTCGGGCTCTGCCTGCCCGTATGTGTCGGGCTCGGGGTCAAAGGCCTTGTCCGCGCGGACGTAACTGATCGCGCGCGGGCTCTTGTGGGTGAAGCCGGCAAAAGCGAGCGCCTTGCGCACCTCGAGTATCTCTTCACCGTGCTTCTTGTCACGGAGGATAGGGTCCCGGGTCGCGTCGGGCGCGGCGCCGTTCGCAGGAGCGAGGGGCTGCAACGAATGCGACATCATCGGAGTCAGTAGTGAGGGGTGCACGACGCAAACGCAGCACGCGTACCTCGGGAGGGATGTCGTCGTCAAAGTGCCGAGTGTCTTCCGGGTTGTGCAAGTCGGGACGGTAGGGCGCGGGATATCTGTGAATGTTTTCCCAGTCGATCCCGCGGAACCACGGGTGCGCCTGCGTGGAGCGGACGTCAGACGTGACGCGACTGCGGGACCGAGACACAGGCCGCACCTTGATCAAGTGCGCGCCGTCCACGCTGCCCGTGGTGCCTTGTGGTGTGATGAAACCGCTGCGCCTGGATTGAATGATCATCGAGTTTGGCCGGCTGACTGAGGACGACGCCTGGGATCCGAGGCGGTCTTCCGGCTCGCACAAGAGCTGTTCCATCAGGTTCACGCCTTCATGCGAGACCCTTGGGCGCGAGGGGAATCGGAGAGACTGTTTCCAGTTCAAGATCTTCTGCCTGGTAACGTGCCTCTGTGATGTGTGAAAAAAGCAGGACGCGTGGTTTCAAGTTGTGGACATAACAGAAGGTGCGAAGTTAAGCGTTAGTGCAAAGTAATTGCAGATTAGATAAGCCTGGCTAACCGAGTTGCTGACGAAAGGCGGGAAACTAAACACTCGGTGAGCCCATCGCGGCAGGCCAACAGACGCGGAATACGCACCCGTAGAGACACTCAAACATGATGACACCAAGACTCCACCAGTCACAGGAGAACGTGTAACCGTGCCCACGAATGACTTCCGGTGACACTGCGGAGAAAGCGCACGGATGAGCGCACGTAAATATTTTCTTGCCGTTCGCAGTGACTCACTGTACGAGTTGGTGCCGCAACTTTGCGAAGGCCGTGTCAGCGTCGGAAAGCTCAGACGTTGTCAAAGCCACTTACACAGAGTACGCCAGCTACATGAGCCACCATGTGAAGAAGAAGGTGAGCCCGGATACTGGCTCCGATGAGCGGAAGATAGCGCACCTTGCGGCGGTGCTTCTCTCTCCAAGTGAAGACACCACCCTGCCCATCTCCGCCACCCATGAGTCGCTCGACCTCCTTGCGATCCAAACGCTTTGTCCGCGTGCCGTCCCCGAGACCGCTGCTCTCTTCGAGGTCGATGCCGTGCTTGTGAAGCAAGTGGAGACGCTGCTGTTCATAATCTGTCCCATGTGCCGCGGTGAGTCACGGCGGTGTCGCGGCATGCGAAAGAAGAATGTGAACACGAACAGGACGTATCGTGCGCCCAGTGCAGGTCGGTGCTAGACGCAACGTGGCGCGATAGTATCTGTAGAGTCAGCGTCTGCGCGTATCGCCCTGCCGAGACAAAACTCACGCAAGACCGAAGTCGCTCAGACGGATATGCCCTTCCGGGTCAAAGAGGAAGTTCTGCGAGCGAAAAGCAAGCCGAAATTAGCCTCCACCGGATGACGGGACGACGACGGAGTGACATCGAGCGCTGGAAGGTGGCCACATGATTGATTCCATACGTACGTCGGGTTTAATATCCCGGTGAATAAACCCATGTTTGTGGCAGGATTCGATTGCGAGGACCATCTGTGGCGACAATCACCACGCGACCGCGGAGAATACAGTGCGAACGGGCGGAAAAGATGACCGTGAGTAATGGCCACCTGAGGAAGAGCAGGCGATAGGTCCGAACCTCAGCCACATAGAACCGAGTGAAATCTTCTTCGAAGACGTCCCGCTCTATCAGCAAGTTGAGAAGGTCTCCGCCGCCCATGTAATCCAGTACCTGTCGGATATTAACGGGAAATGAATCGATAAGCGACGGCAATGATCTGAAGCACACGGTGTCCCACCAGGTAGAGATGATCACGATCTTGGAAGCTGTAGAAGAGCCGGACTATCCACTCCGCGCCTCCGGGCGAGTTAACGAGGGAAGCGGATCGCAAGAGGTCGCGTTCGGCGCGGACGTGTCCTTCCTGGCCTTTGCGAAGCATGTCGGTCTTACGCAACTGTTCAACGGGAGCAGTGAGAATGCGTCTGAGGCAGCAGAAGACAGAAACGGCGGCCTGTGAAAAGAGCTTCCCCGTACCTGCTTCATGGCGAAGAGCTGGCCGGTACCCCGCTCTCGGACGAGGGAGACAACGCCGAAGGCGCCTGTGGCGTTCAGAAGGTAACCCTCATTAGCCGGCCATCACACTCATGAGAATCCGACCGCACCATGGCCAATGGTCTTGAGCTTGACAAAGGCATTGACATCGACCTTCCGGCGGCGGTCGCGCAGATAGTCGGTCTCGTTCTGGCGCCATCGTTGACGGATATTGTCCTTCTGCGCTTCGTTCAGCGGCATGGACGCCATCTCCTTCTCCATCGCCAAACGCCTCTGTTCACGGGACGGCGTCTGACGGAGGAGTGGGAAGTACAGATTCTCGAAGAATATCTTTGCAGAGACGGCTTTCTCGAGCGTGGCCAGGGACGGGGTTATGGGTTTCCGGGGACGGGGAGTGGGAATCTCGGGAATTTCCTCGTCGCTGTCCATAGCGGCTGCATCCTCTTTTTCGTGCTCCTGATGCACGGGGAGACCAGCCGTCCACCGGATAGTGGAGTTTCCGGGTTGGCCGAGGGCCGGAGGCACTCCGGAGGGTGCCGTGGGCGACTGTGGAGGGAAGGTGGGCGACTGTGACTGGAACGTAGGCGAAAGCGGAGACAAGGAAACATTCTCCCGTGCAGCCGTTGTCAGAATAGACGATGTCGTGGGGGTGCTCATGCCGTTGACCACGCGGAGAGGGGACAGGACGGGGGCGTTCGACCCAGCCTGGCTAGGCGTAGGTTTGAGAGCGCTGACCACCTCGTTTATGGCTCTAGCCTGCATGTTCGTTCGGATCATATTCTTGATAGGGTCTGCCCAGCGGGGATCTGCGCACAAAATGTGAGGAGACGATTTATCGGGGTCCGAGATGATAGACGGACCGCCTAGTTTGCCTTGGCCCTCCGGCCCCCAGCGCGTGAGAAGGGCGGTCGCCTGGTCGGCGTCGGACGCATGGACAAGATGGCTGTTGAAACACTCGGTGGCCGTCCCCGCGAAGTGTCCGGAGGGAACTCACATGAAACCGGTCGGCCTCGACACCATGTCCTTGCTGATCCTCCTCGCTTTCAAATTCCTCGGAGCGGATGGGACGGTGGGGACATGGGAGGAGACATTGCGCGCTGCACCTCGTGTTAGGGATCTGCTCGTACCGCGGACCAGAGATGAGCTCGTCGGCAGGACCCTGGCGAGGCCAGAAGAACCGGGACGGGGACGGGCTCGAGGGGATCAGGGCGAGCATGTCGTAGAAGCCCTTGTGAAGAAGGGTCCACCGCGCAGGATGCCTGATTGGGCCGCGTTGAACTGGGACGGCGTCGGCGGCAGGGGCGGGGACAGCGGAGGGCGGGGGAAGGCGGAGGGTGGGTACGGGGAGCCAAAGGCGTAGAGATCGGGATGGGCGCCGGGGAGGCCGTTGGGCGGGTAGAGGTGCTCCCAGTCCGCGCGGGAGGCGGGCCCAGGCGGGGTGGGGAGCGGGCGGCGCGACGAGGCCATGGGGGTCGAGCTCGTCGTCGAGAACGGCGCGGACGACGGGGACGGAGGAGATCCAATCCATCCCGCCACTCAGGGCGCCGGACCGCGACCGCCCCGAAGGGGGAATCACGCGTGACAGGCGTGACGTGCACAGACGAAACGCGGCGTGACGGGCCGACCGAATGCGCGTTGTGTTTGTTCTTGCGCGCTCGCCGCCGTCGACAGATATCGTCCCGGACTCCGCGCCCGTGTCGCCGCCTAGCGGGTGCGTCCTCGCCTTGTCCTCTTCAGAACTCACCCACCGCGCAGGTCTTCCTCCGCGAACGCCTCGCATGCCCTCGCTGCGTGCGCGACCCGTCCCCCGACCACAGCGAGCCTACCCACCGCTCCCTCGTCCTCCACCTGCAGTCCGCGTGCAGGAAGCCACGCGCACTAACGGACGTATGCCCATCGTGAAAAGCTTATCTTCCGCCTCCTCGTCCCGCTCTCCAGATCGATCTCAGATTGCCCGCCGTCTTTTGTCACCGCCGAGGCCACGCATCCTGGCCCGCCGTCGCCGCTCGCCGCTAGGCCTGCCGCCCCAGCCGCCGACGGGCTTCATCTGCGCCGTACCCCTTGATGCGAGCGATGCGTCATGTCTGCGTTCTGCGAGCCTCACGTCCCCGGGCTCGGTCGGATATCCCGGCCGGTATGAACCCTCGCGGCCTCCTACTCGCTGGAGCGGCCTACGCCGGCAGAACCCGCCCTCTCCCCGGCCGCACCTGCCGCGCTCGGTCCTGGGAATCTAGCGTATGCGTAGCCCCCAGACGTGATGCGCACGCTGGCTGCCAGGTGCCGACACGAGGCCTGAGGACTGATCACCGCGCCATCCGTGGACCTTCCCCTTTCCCCGACTCACGAACCAGTGCACCCCACCGTCCCCCAGACGGCGGTTTCCTTCCCGTTCTGCTTCGTGACGCACTCCACCTCGCGTTTTTCCACTCGCCGTCCAACTCGCCGTCTCCCCTCTTTGCATTTCCCACCTGATTTCGCTCCTTCCAGCACACCGCTCCCGCTCTCTAGCCCATTGCCCAACGCCTCGAGGTCCCCACCGGGACGTCATACCCTGCCCTCAGTACTGGTGGCCGTGCTGCATGCATCGCCTGCCGACGTGTTTGTGTCTGCATCCCCCTGGCCGGCAGCCTGTTTGGTGCCTCCTTGCTCTTCTTGTCAGCCCGAAGTCGTTCTACCATGCGTTGTCGTCGCGAGGCTGCTAGTCCAAGAAGGTACATATTCAGCGCTGGGGCTTCTCGACAATCACACCCACACCTCTCTCCGCCACCATAAAATCCATGGCGCACCACCACTCACCAGACGACCACTTCTCTCAAGGTTGTTTCCCTCGACAGAGCAGACGCGGCACCCCAACAGGGACCAACTCCACCTCCAACTCCAACTCCAACTCCAACTCCAACTCCAGATTCGCACTCTTCCGACACCAGTCTGGTGGGCGAACTCTGCTCCCGAATCTATTTGGTCGATCCTCACATTCCCCAGGTCTGTTCTCCTTCATAGTGCCTAACAATGTATGAATGGACTCATTCTTCATCTTCTTCAAATCCAGCACCTGACCCCTCGTCTTCTCAATTTCTCCAGCAAGATCCCACGCAGTCTTTCCACGATCCCAGCTTGCTAGCGTACGGCCAACAAGGGTGGCAAGCTAATCAAGGTAAGGAAGTCTTCTTCTTGACGTGCTGGCACACGCTCAACGGCGTCTTGCGTGCGCTCTTCCCCGCGTCTAGGACAAGGCCACCTGGCTGTGCCTTTTTCTGGGCCCGATCCCCGATTCAGGCGCACGCCTTAGGTTCATATCCGCTTCGCGCATCGCCGAATTCGATCGGAACCCCGCACGACTCCCGTATATTACCTCCACCCAACGCACTCCAATCACAGATGCAGTCCCATCTCTCTATGTCCCCCAGCCAGCTCCGCACGACCCCCGGTGCCTACCAATATCCTCAGTATCCGCAGCAGCAGCACCAGCAGCAGCTCTACTATCCCTCTGGACCTGATCCCCGCCACCTCCCCCCTCCGCTACCACCCATGGATGCGTACGAGCAGCACCATCCGCATGGACAGCGCCGCAACTCCCTGGTCGACCGTATGCCAAACCGCATCGGCCCCCACGGCCCATCTCCCTACCAGCGCAGTATGCCCGCCATGACGCCCGAGCCCCCCGCCGAACCCATCAAGAAGAAGCGCAAGCGTGCCGACCCCGAGCAGCTCAAGGTCCTGAACGAGACATACAACCGGACTGCCTTCCCCTCCACCGAGGAGAGGATGGAGCTCGCGCAAAAGCTCGGCATGTCCGCGAGAAGCGTGCAAATATGGTGCGTGTCACTTGCTTCCCCCGTCCCCTCCCCCGTCCCCCACCCCCGTCTTTGTCCTGCATGACGTTCAATGGAGAACTCACGCGCACTTTCTGCACGTCATGTCTTGACCCACGCAGGTTCCAGAATAAGCGTCAAGCAGTGCGTCAGAGCACGCGGCAGGCCGCGAGCAGCGCGCCCCCGACGACCAGCGCGCCCCAGGCGTCGCCGTCGCACGGCTCGGCGAGCCCGGTCGCGACCATCCCGCAGGCCGGGTACTCGTCGCACACGCCGTCCACGGTGACATCCCCGAGCATCAGCCAAGCCGGGTACGGTGCATCGCGCCCGACGAGCGGCATGGGAGGCTCCTCCGCTGCAGCAGGCCGCAGCATGGCCTCCCAGCCGTCGTCCTCCCACCGGCGGAGCCACGACGGAGACGCTTACCGCCAGGACTACCGCTTTTCTCCCCGCCCCGGGCAGTACTGATGTCGCCGCGCCTGGTCGCGCCGCGCGGCAGCCACGCTCCCGCGCGCCGCACGCGCCGCCCGTCGTACCTCATCCGCGCCCCACTGCAGGCAGCCCGGCCCACCTCGCGCTTCAGCCGCACCCCACTGCAGGCAGCCCGGCCCACCTCGCGCCTCAGCCGCCTGGCGTCCGTGACGTCGCCCGCCATCCCTTCGCGCCCGCCCGGTCTCGGAGTCCCTGGAGCGTATTTACGGTCGCCCGCTGGAACCGCCTGGTTGTCTTATTCGCCGTTATTTGCGTCACCGGTGCAAGGTTCCTCTGTCCTTATTAACGTAAAGTATTCACTCTCCAGACTCTAGCTTGGACTGCGTGCGCTCTCATTACGTCCATCTACTCCTTATCGCATCCCATCTCCGACGTCCCTTCCCGTTTCGTCTCACTCATTCGCATCCACATCATCCCTTCGCACAGCTCTCTTCGCACGGCATCTACTCACAGTGCGGCCCTTTGCATCTCGTTACCCACATCACCCCCGTTTTCGCTTCCTCTTCCTCGGCCACATCTTTCTATGTTCATATGTTGCCTTCACCCTTCATGCGTTCTTCCTTCATGCGCTATTTGCTTTTTCTTTTTGCACCATCATCTACTTTCGCATTGCTTTCATAACCACGCATACCTCCGGACTCGACCGCATTGCCATTATGTACATCTTCGCGCTATCATTACCCTTCATACCTACATTAGTCTACCGCGCCCTTGTCTATGCTGTCGCTGACTCGCGCCTCGTATAATGATTACCCTATGTTCATATGCTAATTTCCACCCTTTGCGATCTCGTTCAACTTTTTTTGTCGGAGGCTCAGGGCACGTACATCTCAGATACCACGTTAATCTCGTTGCGCCCTCCTACTTTCTTTTGTCCTCCTACACTACGTCGACAATAGTACCGCACAGCGACCCTGCTCGCGCAGCATCCACGATCTCCCGAGGCGATGCGTGAGCCCGGCGGATCGCAATCCGACGCGCCCTCCACCCAAGCCTCGGCCGGAAGGCGGAAGAGGTCTCCGTCCCGTTCGAGTCCGTTGCGTGCACGCTACAAATCACCATACATCCCGTCGTCCACCCGACCTGCGGGCACCCCGTTCCATTGCCAATGCTCCCAACCTTCCGTTTGGACCTTCCACTCCTGGTTCGTTGCGACCCAGCGACGGGGACGGGGCGCGCACCGAGCGTGAAGACGTCTTCGACACGTCCTCTGTGCCGCGGATGCATTCGCGCGGCGTGCCGCCGGGAGCAGCGGTGCAGGTCGAGGACGCTAGCCTAAAGCGTACCCCGAACGTTCCTTGGATCTGTGGCCACCGGCCAGTCCTTCGCCCGCTCCCCGCGCGCGTCCCGTCCGAGGACCTCGGAGAACGCCTTTCGAGTACGTACGGATGGCGCAAATCTTGCTCCTCTGCTCTCAGGGCACGTACGCTAGGCGAATGAGCCCCCCCGCCGTCCCCTCGGACTCGATTCGGACTTGCACGCCCGGGCTCGAGGAGAGCGCGCGATCGGCGCCCGCTCTGCCGCCCCTCGCCGCTGTTCTAGCTCATCGCCCGCGTCCAAACTCGACGCGTCCAAGCGCGCGTCGCGCAGACCAGAAGTACCTCCTGTACGTGCGCACAGCACAGAGCACCCGCCGCGCCGCTGCATCGAAACACCGGTGTGTGCGTGCGTGCGTACGCGCCGCGCGAGAAGCCCGCTCCTTCTATGCTACATGGCAGAAGCTCCTCGCTGCCCCGCCTGGCACGAGTGCTCGCGCGTTCGTCGCGGCCCGCGCTCATTTCCCGCCGCGAACCGCGTGGCCGGGGGCGCCTCTGGCCTATACGCCGCGCGCGCGCTCCCCCCCCCTCTCCCCCCGCCGCGATCGTCGACATTGAATGTGCCAGGCCATGGGCACACGTACCCGCGGTGCGCCACCCGCTCCCTCGAGCCCTTCCTCGGCCGCGCTCTCGACCACGCGTGCGTGCCCCGCGCGCACACAACGCGCGGCCTTGTAGTTGCGGCGCCCGCGCGTCCGGTCGTCGCGCAAGGTCCAGCGGTCTGGGCTCGACGGCGACGAGGTCTGGCTCGTTCGTTCGTGCGTCGTCCGGCCGCCGCCTTCGCACTGCGTGGCGCGACATCCCGCCCGAATTCGACCCACACGCGCGCGCGCGAGCGAGCGAGCTTCGGCGACGTCCGGGCGTCTACGACTCTACGTATGTTGCCGGCCAACGTCAGACGCGGCGTCTGCCGCCCGAGCCCAGGACGCCCGCTCCCAAGAGCCCGACAACGCGACTTCGACGTCCACGCTCACTTAACTGCATCCGGCAGGCGCGTTCCTCTCTGTCGCCTGCGCGCCCGGCTTTTCAGCGTGGGACGCCCAGGCCGAGCGCGCGCGTAGGTCTACTGAGCGCTGGCTGCTGAGCCTCCACCGCGTGAACCCCGGCGAACGGCGAGCGCGCGGTAGCGCGTCCCAGGATCGCGTCCACCGCGCGGTGCGCGCGGACGGGGACGATCGATGGGGCCCCACGGGTACCGCTTCTATCTCTATCGCAGTGGCCTGCACCGTGCACGGTGCAGTGCGCGACGTCGGCTTCAGCTTCAGCTTCGACTTCGACTACTTCGACGGGGCGCGCCCCCCGCCCCGTCGGGGCGTGGCGAGGGCGCGTGCAGAGCGCGCGACTGCCGGCGAGGCACGGTGGCACAGCTGCAGTGCTGGCGGCCAGCTGCTTAGCCGCACGCCCGCACGCGTGGCTCGCGGCGGGCGCGGCAACCATCTGCCTGAGACGTCGAAGTGTGCGAGTCGGCGCGGTGGGCGCGGCGGAGGGGCCTTAGAAGCCCGGCGTGGGGATACGGGGGGCTAAGCCGGTGCGTCAGTGCGTCGTCAGACGGCGCACGACGGGTGGCGAGCGGGCGGGCGAGGAAGCTCGGTCGAGTGCAACGTAGTGATGGCCGGGTGGGCCTTCGATGCAGGGTCGCAAGACAAGGCGGAGAAGCAGACGGTGACAGGGGGTGGTCCGAGAGACGTCGTTGTATTCCCGTACAATCGTAAGACAACGCGTGCACGCACGCGCCGACGCATAACAGGTGGAGAGCAGGTGCGTGAACAGGTGAGGGAGCAGTAACAATAAGCCAGCGCGCCCTACGCAGTGAGCGCGATGAAGACAGCGCGGAGACGGGAGTCGACCCGTCTGTCGCGTCGGAGACAATGAGATCCGTCGTCCAGTGCTTCTCGAAAGCATATCGAGATCTCTTAAGGGTTGAGAGGAAGCCAAGAGCCTGTTTACAGCAGCCAAGGGTGTCAGTGCAGGCACCTCTCGAATGGCTGACGGCAGAAACTCACACATGGAGAAAAGCAAGGAAATCAGTGGCTCTTGGCGAGGCGGGCGACATGGCGCTTGACCATGCCACGGCGACGGCGCGAGTTGCACCGGTTGGTGGAGGAGGAAGCGGGCGACGACGAAGTCGCGGTGGAGGTGGATTGGTCGTTAGCTGCCGAGGAGGCAGCAGTCGTGGTAACCTTCGTGGAGGAAGCGGCCTTCGTGGAGGAGGCAGCCTTCGTGGAAGAGGCAGCAGACGAAGAGGTATCGTCACTGGAACCACTGTCAGACGATCCGGAGAACGCAACGGCAGGGCCAGGGGTAGTGAAACTCTTGAAGTTGTTATCCCAGATGTCGGGCCACTGAGTGTTCTCGTAGAGACCGGGGATCGCGACCAAGGACGAGCCCGATGGGTACTGAGTACCGCTGCCAGTCACCTCGACCTGACTAGAATCACGGGTTATCGTCAGTGGAGAAACAGCGCGAGCCAGGAGAGACTACTCACGAGCAACTGGGGTAGTACTGGGGCTCGCCGACGGAGTGGAGAGCGACAATCTCGTTACGCATCAACTACGAGGAAGTTAGCATATACCTCAAAAATCGTTTTATTTGGCGATAAACTCACGTATTGTCCGGGCTTGAGTTCGCTAGGGATAGTTGAAGTCCAAGAGTTGCCGTCGGCAATGAGCTTGGAAGAAGCCCACTGGCCGTTCGAGTAACCAGCAGCGTCGACCTTGAACCACTTGGCGCTGGAGGCATCGAACGACTTGCAGTCGCCGTTGCAGGAAGTCATGTACGTGGAGACCGGGCCAAGATGATCGGCAGGCCACTGCAAATTGAACTTAGTGGTGCGCGCGCAAATGGGTGGCCTGGACGAACGCACGTTGGTCCACTTGAAAGTGACCTTGCTTCCGGCAGCGGCGGTGGCGATTGCACCGGCACCCTTCTCGCCGCCCTGGTTGCAGGCGATGTCGGCGAGGGTCACATCCATGACTACCCACGCGTCTCAAATTTCTGCCATCAATTGCGGAAAATCATTACGTACCGGGGCCATCATCAGGAAGCTTCCTGACGATGCGGCTGGGAACGGGAGACTCGTAGCTGGGAGACGAGCGCTTAGGTTGAAGTTGAAAGCAGCGCCACAAACGGAGTTCACTTACGGGTCGGTGAACGGCAACCAGCCGGAGTAGGTCTTTCCGCCAACGACGACGCTCTGGACGTAGCCGTGGGCAGAGACGGCGGTGGGCGCAACAAGGGCGGCCGCGAGAACAGCGAGCGAGAAAGAGCGGAACATGTTGAACTCTTGATGCGGGTTGAAGAAGGAAAGTGGGTGTCGTGAAGACAGAAAGGTGGGCGATGCGCCGGAGCGGGAGGGACAGGGAGGGGAAGGGAAGGGAGAGGAGGGGGGCAAGGTTGACGTGGTCGTCGTCCTGGTCAGACCTTGGACGGACGAGGGCAGTATACATACTGTTCGGACTTCCAATTACCATCTCCCATCATCTCTGTTGTTGTGGCGGCGCTTCTCCGCCTCGGATGCTTCCCTCCCCGGCACTGTTCCGGCCCGGCCTTCTCAGTCCACACTCGCAGATGCTCTTGAGTGTATGCAGGTGTCCTTGCTCCCTATGCAAGCGGTATTGTGCGGGGTCTGCATGCTGAGATGGGCCTGCAGCACTCGTGCAAGCACAGGTCGTTTGAGATGGTGTCGCCCACCAACTCAACTGCCAAGCGAGCATCATCGCCGCCGGCGTCCAATTCACCACTGCCACGCGGCGCCGACGATCAATTTGATGCGCTACTTACGCCCCGCCCCGCTTCTTTCCAGCTGTTATCAGAACGATAGGCCGGTTTGAAAAAGTTTACACACAGAGTAAATCGAGCGGAGTCGCAATTTTTGACAGTTGCGAGGCTTACCGGTGAGTAGCGAGTCGGAGCGACCTCTTCGCGCGAGAAGCGATGTCCGCGTAAAGTCGGTAATGGCGGAGTTCGGTTTGAGTTCGAAACTCTTGTGTGTGATTTTTCGATCAACAGGCCTATCGTTCTGATAACGGCTGTCAGTCGCGATCGCCCCTGTCGCCCGGAGTTGAGCTCGTGAATACTAGCCTCCCCTATAAAAGTTTTTGTTCCCTTGGCCATCCATACAGCGACCCCTGTGAAGAACGAGTTGGCCGCGGCTCGGCATCACACAAAGCGAGTAGATCGAGTGCGGCCCCACTAAGCGGAGACGATGACACAGGAGAATCAGGGTTAAAATCCTTCCATAGTTCAGTATGAATACAGGGGTACACACAGCGAGGCTACTAGGCAGGTACAGATAGATTATAGACGGACCGGAATCCGGCTTTAACGAGAGGCTCATAGTGATGATAAACGTCCGCGCACGAAATACGCAAAACAAAGCGAGGCGACGAAGCAGGAGATGAGACAAGTAATCTGAAACACGGGAGCCGGAAAGGAGTGGAGGGAGTATATAATACAACGATCAATCGATCTCCGGAAACAATCTCCACCAAGAGCGCCTCACAGCGACTCCTGAAGGCTTGAACAACTCATGCCGCGACAACGAGCTGCTCGACGGACGCCGAGGGCGGCGGCCGCATAGGGGAGCGCGCCGGGAGGGCTGGGGGCGGCGAAAATGCGAACGCGGGCTTGTTCGCGCTGGTAGGGGGCGAGATGGGGGTCGAGCGTGTGAGGTCTACCGAACCCCACGCACCGCGGGACCGTCGAACGGCGAGCGGGGCGATGGTGACCGGCTCCGGTACTGCGGCCCTCGCACGCGTCGCTTCCACCACTGAGTAGATGGTCGAGAGCGATGAGATGGAGTTGGAACGCTTGGAGTGGGGGGATTTGGGTGAGGCGGCTGCTAGCGCTGATGGGCTCTTGGGCGTGATCCAGCGGATCTTCGATGGACTGGAAGTTGTGCAGAGGTCGAGGAATGATGTTTCCTCAGACATGGGGATAGCTATGGGTGAGATTTCCGAGTGCGTTCCAGGGAGGGTGGGCTCTGACTCCGGGGATGAACCTGGGGTAGGGTACGTTTCGTTGAAGTCCAAGGATGACGCTTCTGAGATGACGGCTGGAGCAGGGGGCATAGGCATTGGAGAGATCCATACAGGGGAGCTTGCGGGGGCTCTCGGGTCGAGCGTGAAAGGTTGCGAACGGAACAGATGGTCATGATAGTCCATGGGGGCGGACGCTGAGGAATAGACGCTTGCCGTTTCCGCGGGAGTTTGCGCGTCTCAAGCCCGGGGGTCCTGGAACGAGGAACTGACCGTTCTTCCCAGACGCATGCGGCTGACTCCGTCTCTTCGAATACCGGGGCGTCCCATCGAACTCCTTCAGGTCACTAGGACGCAGGACTAACTTGCGCAGAGGGGGAGAGGTGTACGAGTTACTTGAGTCGCGGGAGGAATCACGAGAAAGACGGTTGGAAGGATCGGAATGGGTCTCGGGCTGTCGTTGGAGGCTTGAAGGAGAGAATAGTATGACTTGCCCGTTGGGGTCGGGGATGCAGGGATAGCGCCGGTTGAGACGGCGAACGCAACGCTCTTCTCGTACTTCTCGCAATCTACGGGTTCCGAGATCTTCCGCTTGTGCAGCTTCTGCGCTCTCCGGCGGTTGCAGAACCTCAACCAGACGATCACGAGGACGAGATTGAATATGACGACTACGCCAACGATGCCCCCAATGAGAGGCGGGTCGAGGGATGTGCTGCGTTTCGCGTACGTCTAGAAGCCGAGGGATGTTTGTCAATGCAAGACAGCAAGACGAGGAGAGATGACATACGTGCATGCTACCCGAGGTCTTCATACCGGAGGGCGCGGGGATGGTTACAAGAACCAGGGGACGGAACCCGAGCACAAGAGAGGACCGAGGACACAGGCGAGGGAACCCGTCCATGGTCGCGTGCGACGGTCATATATGTTGGGCACCAAGGGCACAGGTGGCTCACCGCAGCGATCCTAGGGCCCACGTTGGCGCGAAGCCAGAAGCCTATAATTTGACCTGGTTTGCACATGGTGGAGATTGCGTGGAAGACAGCGGTTGTTGACCGGACGCACTCCCACCGAGTGGACATCTGGGGCGATGTGGGCGGTTACGGTCTGACATCATGCAACACAGGCCCGCCAACGACGCAGCCATGTGCGCGAAGACTGATAACGATGGCGTGTCCTCAAGAGGTACATTGCCCCATCAGGGAGTCCGAAAATACCTTCAAGATAATCATAAAGGAGACATAGAGGTTTATCGGCGAGGGCGAGGGTCATACTAGGGAGCAAGGGGGTGGGCAATTGATCATCGCACCTTCAGCAGCGCCTCGATGCCGGTCGACACCGTAATGACGCTAAAACCCGACGTTGGCTCTTCATGCATATGTGAACTGCCAATTTGTCGCCAAATGTCGCCCAGCGGTTCGCAGATGTAGTTTCAGTCAGAAAGGGTGTGACAAGGGAGGTGTTGATCGAGGACAGGTTTCCGTCGCCGATTCGCGCGGCTTGTCGTTTCAAGCGCCAACCCACGTGACCTGGCTGCAATCAACGGGCCGCCAGAGCCGTGAGCCAAATCGGGGGCTGCACAGGCCGATCTGAGCTCCGAGATTTTCTGCACTCGGCTTGTCTTCCTCTTCCACCGCGGGCCTGCGCTCGACTTAGGCCTTCCGCACTAGACGGCTCCCTGGACTCCTCTTGGCTACTCCAGACGACCGCGGACATTCAACGCATCCCACGCCGTGATTGAACCCACACCATACCCGTCCTACACCACCAGTAATCAACGCACCGCCCGCATAGAATTTCTCCAGAGCTCCCCCGTCGTCCGCCGTAACCGCATACCTGTATCGATTGTATTGCAAGAATGTCCCCTGTCGCCATGTCTGTAGCCTCGGACTCCCACTTTGCCCCCCTCATAGATGCGCTCCGCACTGCGCCCACTGGCCCAGGTGAGTTTTCGTCAATTTACGTCCCCGTATGACCGAGCGGGCGCCGACCGGTTGGGCGATCGTAGATGCAAAGGCTGCTGCCGACCGCCTTGCCCGCGAGATCATCAAGACCGGATATGAATCCCTCAGGTGAGTAGCTGGACCACTCAGCGTCTTGGTGGACATTAGAGGGGACGGCGCGGCTCCGCTGGCGTCATGTTGTCGATGACGGAGCCGGCGGAAAGGTCCTCCGAGGCGATTCCGCGGAGGTTGCGTCGATATGGCTATCCGAACGCATGGCGGGATCTGTATTGGGGGTTAGAGGGCGGATTGCTGCAAGCGAGCTTGACAGTATGACGAGGCTTTCGTTCGTCCTCTTATGCGCCGAATGGATGTGAAGCCACCCGTGTCGTCTTTCATCCGAGCGTCGTGGGTGATGCCTCTCCCCCGGGCTGCACTATGAGCCCAGATTTCTTCCGCTCATCTCGAGAGGAAATGATTGGTACCTCCAGCAGAACATTTTCTGTCACAGGCCCCTGCTTTATCACGCCGACGGTCTTCATCGCAATCTTGAGGCATGTTCTCTACCGTCTGCTTGCGGAAGTCGCTCCGTGCTAGCATAGCTAATCTCTTGTTGCGAACGTCTCCCCCGTATCGGACGTATACTCATACAATATTATTAGCGATGCCAATATCCTCAAGACCCTTCACGGCTTCGCTACGAACAAAAAGTCTGGATATGAACGCGAGTCTGCTGCACTCGCCTTCCAAACACTAGCCACCGCACTCGGAGCCTCGGCCGCGCCAATCCTACTACCCTATTTACCTATCCTATACGAACTCTACATGGACAAGGGTGATGTCGTTCGGACGGCTGCCACCGCGGCTACTAAAGCGATCATTAAGTTGTTCCCTCCCGAAGCCACGCCTATCCTTTTCAGGGCACTGGAGGACATCCTCGAGACAGGGAAATGGCGCTCAAAAGTTGGCGTCCTGGATGCCATGAAGTCCTACGTCAACCACGCCAAGGATGCCGTTGCCAAAGAGCTCGGTACCACCATTCCTAAAGTTGAAAGGGCCATGCACGACACGAAGTCCGAGGTGAGTAGTTTCTTATCCAGATTTCTAGGATCAGGAACTGAACCTGAGAAAGGTCTCGTCGGCTGCCATCAAATGTGCTACCACTCTTTGCACGTCCCTCGCCAATCCGGATCTCAGCCCTCACATTCCAACCCTCGTCAAGTGCATGTCCAACCCCGACACCGTTCCGCAGTGCATCAAGTCCCTGTCAAGCACTACATTCGTCGCAGAAGTCACGGCCCCTGCCCTTGCTGTCCTCGTTCCTCTCATGCTCCGAGCCCTCAACGATCGCTCTATGGAAGTGCAACGCCGGAGTGTTGTCGTAATCGATAATCTAGTCAAATTGGTCCGCGACCCTAATGTAGCCGCCACTTACCTCAGCCCGCTGGTTGATGGCGTCGAGAAAATCGCCAAAGGTGCTGCGTTCCCTGAGGTGCGTCGCGGATTTGCCAAGCATCACATATACTTATCAAGGTCCTCTGCAGGTTCGCGCCTTTGCCGAGACGGCGCTTACAACTCTCCTGAAGTCCGGGGCTTCCAAAGACGGACCCCCGCCTGCCCATCGCGACATTCCGGCGGAGACGGCGCAAGTATTGGCGACTCTTCTCACCCTCCTCCCTGAGGATCTTGCCATCATCTCCGCGGATGCTCCCAATGGGCCCCATACCCCTCGTCACCCCCTCCTGAAGCAGGTCCTCGAGTTCTCCGCGGGCCTCGTCGCGGACCTCGTCTACGCGCGCAAGTTCTCCGACGCTGCCGTCTGGCAGCGTAGCCTTGGCGCCCTCGTCCAGCCGTGGTTCTCGAACGGCTCCACGGACGCAATCAAGTTCACCGAGCAGGTTCGTGCGCACTTTCAAGCCGCGGACGAGGCGAAGCACGGTGGGGTGGCCATCAGATCCTCCGAAGAGGGCGAACTCCTGTGCGACACCCTCTTTTCCCTTGCGTATGGCGCCCTTCTTCTCTTGTCGCACACCCATCTGCGCCTATTCCGTGGGCGCAGGTATGGTATCTTGGGTACCAATGGGTCCGGCAAGTCGACCCTGATGCGCCAACTCCGGGACGGCAAGGTCGAGAACTTCCCACCTCAGGACCAGCTTCGTTGCGTGATGGTAGAGCACTCACTGCAAGGAGAAGATACATCGATTTCCGTCCTCGACTTCGTGGCTTCGGGTATGTCTGCCGCATATAAGTAACGATATTTATTCTCACATGGACCTGCCTCACGACAGATAAGGCGCTGTCACATATTCCCCGCTCCAAGATTCGGGATCAGCTGCTCGAGGTCGGCTTCGACGATGCCCGCCAAGCAGAAGTTGTCGGCGGACTTTCGGGTGGATGGAAGATGAAGCTTGAACTCGGACGGGCTATGCTTTACAATGCTGATCTGCTGTTGTTGGACGAGGTGAGATTGGATCTGTCCGAGTGTGTCCCGCGCTAACAGAAACATTGTTTCTCCCAGCCTACCAACCACGTATGTGGCCCGTTCTATAATCTCCTAATCCGTTTCATGACGAGGCGTTCTAGTTGGACCGTGCATCCGTCCAATGGCTCGAGCAATACCTGATGGCGCAGAAGCACGTCACTTGCTTGATTATTAGTCACGACTCCGGGTATGTCATACGGCGTTCTCGGTGGAATACAGAGCCTCACGAACTTCGCAGCTTCCTCGACACGGTTACAACGGACATCATCCACTACGAAACCAAGAAGGTGCGCAGTTGTACTCTAACTGGCCGACGGCCCTCGCCTCACGACTATATGCACAGCTTGCCTACTATCCTGGCAACCTCTCAGCCTTTGTAGCGAAACATCCGGAAGCAAAGTCATATTATACTCTCGCAGCAACATCCGTCAAGTTCGCTTTCCCGCCCCCGGGTTCTCTGATGGGCGTACGCAGCAATACCCGCGCCATCCTGAAGATGACAAACTGCACGTTCACATACCCAGGGCGTCCTAAACCTAGTTTGCACAACGTCAGCTGCGCGCTGTCCCTGTCAAGGTCAGAAATCATTGTTTGTGTGCGGAACGTGCTGAGACAGACCGTACGATACAGTCGGGTTGGCATCATTGGGCCCAATGGCGCTGGGAAGTCCACGCTCATCAAGCTTCTCACGGTTCGTCCCGCCGCAAACCAGTGCGTTGCCAAACGACCGACGGGCAATTTGTGTTACAGGGCGAGACGGTGCCACAAGAAGGCTCAGTATACAAACATCCCGCTCTGCGTATTGGATACGTGTCTCAGCACGCAACACATCATATCGGTACCTATGACCCGCTCCCATTACGATGTTGAAAACTTTCTCATGACCGTCTTCCAGAGCGCCATCTCGAGAAGACGCCGATTCAGTACATTCAATGGCGTTTCCAAGACGGCCACGACCGTACGTATCTCAACCGGGCGATGCTTTGGCGATATGCTCATTGAACAATCTGCAGGTGAGATCCTGGAGAAGGCTACTCGTGTTCTGACGGACGAAGAGAAGGCACTCCTTGAGACCGACTTTGTTGGGAAAAACGGACAGCGGCGCAAGCTGGAGGTACGTGCTACCCCGGCTGATCGGCCTTGGCGAAAATACACCTGACCCTCAACTCTCACCGGCTCCTCGCAGTTGATCATGGGTCGCCAGAAGCTTAAGAAGTCCTTCCAATACGAGATTAAGTGGCGAGGTGAGCAATGAAGATCACGATCGCAGTCATGCCTTGGGGTTTAGCTGACGCCGAACTTTGATAGGCTTCGACCACAAGTTCAACAGCTGGATACCGCGCGAAGAGCTCCTCCAGAAGGGTTTTACCAAGCTTGTCCAACAGTTCGATGATCTTGAGTCTTCGCGCGAAGGTGCTGGTCAGCGAGACACGGCTGCCCACGTCGTTCGCAAGCATTTGGAGGACATTGGACTGGATGGAGACATCGCGCAGTACAACGAGATCTCGGGTCTTTCTGGAGGTATGTTTCTACACTATGCCTTAACTCTTCCGGACTGATCTTGATGCACTGTGTCTTAGGCCAAAAGATTAAGCTCGTAATCGCGGCTTGTCTCTGGAACAACCCGCAGGTACGGAAATCAGCTTCCATATCACCATGCTCTCCCATTGTTGACGCACGCACCTTCTCGCGGGGACGTCTAGATTTGTGTGTTGGACGAGCCAAGCAACTTCTTGGACCGCGAAGCCCTTGGCGGTCTGGCCGTTGCAATCAAGGAGTGGGCTGGCGCAGTCGTGAGTCACTTCCATAGCTCCACAAAGTACACAATTGTGCATGTCCTCAACGCACCCTCGTACAGGTTATCATTTCTCACAACGAGGAGTTTGTCACCTCGCTTTGTGAGTTCCCTGTTCATTGAAATAGCATCCGCTGACCCCGGCTGTGACTACCTTTTGTGCACAGGCCCCGAAATCTGGAACGTCGATGCGGGGCGGATGACGCAGAAGGGCAAGGCGGCGACAATCGAAGAACCCCTCGCCTTCAAGTCTCCGAGAGGCAGCGGCCAGAACACCCCCGCTCGCTCCGCCGTGGGGACTCCCATCGCGTCTGCGCACGGGACGCCCGCGGGCAGCGGTGCCGAGGACAACGCTGCGGCCGGGACCGCGACGCCGCAGAAGAAGAAGAAGAAGAAGGTGACCCGCAACCAGCAGAAGGCGCAGGAGGAACGGCGGCGCATCCGCAAGCTCAACTGGCTCACCTTCGGCGGTCCGAAGCCGGAGGACACCGACTCGGACGCCTGAGCGCGTCCCGCGCTACGTATCGTCGGCCCGCAGAGGGTGCTGCTGGCACAGGCACCCTCCAGTGCATCCGTTGCTCGTCTGCGCCTGATCCGATGTCGCGGAGACGGGCTCAAACGGGCTTGGAAAGGCGGACCCTCGTTTGATTCCGATCTGCCCTCTCCTTCCTTGATTGCACCCTATGCTCTCCCCATCTACCCTCCTCGCACTCTGTAGCTCCCCCCTGCAGCCCTCGGATCGCCATCCCTTCGTTGTTGTGTATTCTCCCTCGGTATCTATCCGCTAGCGCGTTTGTAGCAGCATCGCCTTTAATATAGACATCCTTCCATCTACGCACCACGGCCCTGCTGGGCCCCAGGGTCCTGCGGCCGGATCTCTACTTCTGCATGGTTTTAGATGAAACGATTTTCCATGCGCCGTTCTCACACTGCTCGCTGCTGGCTGTGAAGCTGAAGAGACAGGCCGTTAGCGCCAGAGCGACAGGCCAACCAACGCTTCCCGCTCGTGCAACGTTTTATCCAGGCCTCAGGCCCACCGCCGGTAGTCGCCCCCACCGTTGGGGCTAGCCGCAAATCGGAGGTCCCAGGTCGAAAGATAGCGCACGGCTTACGGCGTGAGCGACAAGCAGCGTACATACTCTAACTTCGAAAGAATTCCAAAAGCTTCTTGTGGTTTTGACTGCCTGCAGTCAATGCGATTCATTGGGACTCCGATTTCGGGCGCGGTGGGGTGTAAAGTGCTCGGATTCATTGTTCTCGTGCAGTGCGGTGCGCGGGGGGTACTGCGTGTAGCGGTAAGGGTTTCGGGGCGAGGGCGGGGAGCGGAAGGCAAGTAGAGGTACAGCTCGGTGTTCTACAGTACATACACGTACAGTCTACGAGGAGGCAGAGTGCGATGGAGGTGGTACATATGGCGGCGGCGGGAGGAGATAAATAGGTGGTAGTGGTACAGCAGGCGTGAGCTCGATGCGACCCGGACTCGGACGGGATAAATATGCTGTCTAGGGATAGTGGTGTTGAATGAACGGAGGCGATACGTGGGCGGATGCGGATGCGGATGCGGATGAGCGAGCGTGGGCGCGGATGCGGTGTGCGGTGGTGATAAATGAGTGGACGTGCGGGCGGGGCGAGAATGGGCGGACGGGTCGTATGCGTGCGTGCGTATGCGAGATGCGGGTGATAAATAGTGGTGGACCGGGCTGATGCCGACCGATGCAAAGGTCGGGAGAGGACGAGGAGGTGGTGGATAAATAGTGGGAAGGGGAACCAAAGCCAGAAAACGGCAGAAGGGGCGAAGACCGGTCACAGGTGGCCCGCCGAGGGCTGCGCGCCGAAGGAAAATGGTTGCTCGCGCGACGGGCACATGAACGAGGAGGTGCCCGAAGCTGGAGCGACCTGGCGCAAAGAGCCGGACGGGGAGCCGGACGCGACAATAAAAACAATGCGAAAACGGAGACGACGAGATGATGAGGAATGCGGAGAAAGCGGAGGCGGTTCGACAATGCGTAGTGTACAGTGCGGTGCGAGTGTGAGGATAGCGAATAAATAAGCAATATGAAATAGCGTGCGAGAGGATAATAGCGCGGGGTAGGATAGCCTTGATCTTCGGCGGCGGGGCCCGTTGTAGGGGGCGGGGAGTAGATGGGCGTATGGTAAGATGTCGCAAGTGTGGATACGGACAGGTGGGTGGGCGCCAAGATCGGAGAGGAAGGGTCGCGCAGGGAACGGCGTGGGGCGCGGGTGGCAGATTTCGGGACGTCTGGCTTCAGAGAGACGAGCGGAGGGGGCGCTCGGGTGGGGGCTGGGGGCGTTTACTTGCGGGACCTGGGCGACGAGGACTCGGACGAGGTGTACTCCTCATCTTCGACGTCCTCGCCGAGGTCTTCCCCCGGGTTGGCACCGCGGGTGTGCACGCGCGCGTGGCGACGCATGTTGCTCTGCACGCTGAAGCTCCTGCCACAGCCTTCGTACGGGCATGTGAACGCTGCCGGCATCCGAAAGAAATCCGACGGACAGAGGGACGAGCGACGGTCAGCGCGCAGTCCGCAGGGTGCAAAGAACGGAGACCGACTCACGTTTCTCGCCCGTGTGAGTGTTGATGTGGATCTGGTGGCGCACGCGAGCGAAAAAGACGGGGTCAGCTTCCCGGTTGGCAAACGCGCGGGCGCGGACTGGCCCCGCCCGCGCGCGACGTGGTCGCGACGCACCTTGAGACTGCTCGGCCGGGTGAAGCCCTTGCCGCAGTACTGACACTCGTAGCGAGAAGACGCGCCCCGGTCGCCCCCCGCGGGCTCGGTCGGATACGGCTGGTGCTGGGGACCCATCCCAGGATGGTGCATGCCCGGCGCGCCGGCGTATGGGAAGCTGCCCGTCGGGACTGGCGTGCGCGGGTGCTGCGCGTACTGGGGGTAGCCGGCCGGATAGGACGCCATCGGGAGACCGCTGGGCGTCACCACGGGAGACGCGCCTTGCGGATACGCTGCCTGGGGATAGGCAGCGGGGTCGGAGGCATTGCGCGGGTGGCGGGAGGAGGACGCCTGCTGGGACATATCTGAGTAGCCGGGGTAGGAGCGCGGGGTGCCGAGGTGCCGCGGTGCGGGGGACGATGCGCCGCGCGTGGCATAGCGGGGGTCCTCGCCTTCGAGCTGGGGGTGGCCGAAGTGAGGCGACGAGGGCGCGCGAGTCTGCTGTGGCGGGACACCGCGCGCGAGCTCCTCTGTGGGCGCGAAGATTAGCAGTGAGATTGGAAGGCGGGGTTCGGACTGACCTCGGAAGATCTGGCGGATAGGAGGAAGCGTCGGTCTCTGCTCGCCTCGTCTAGAGGGGTCGCTTGAGGAAGAAGACGGACGAGACGGCATGACACGAACGCGGCGGAGGTTGGGAGGGGTGGGCGAGAAAGCTCTCGAGATGAGGAAAGGGAAGAGTGTGCGAACGTCGGGGACTATATACTGCTCTGCTCGGGCGACGAACAGTTGGCGGAGTAGCCGGCCACAACCAAGCGAGCGGAAAAGGTGTCCTCGATCGGTATATTGGATCTAGGACGGCACAGATGTTAGATTGATTCGCAGACAAAGCTGCGCGGACGTCTCCAAGCCTCTTGCGCGCACTGGACAACGAGCATGATGACAGTCGCCACAAGCTGCCAAAGGCGAGGCCACCGGGAACGCCATGCCCAAACGCCAGCTGGCGGTGCGCGTAGACGGCCATTCTGTGCGCAGTGGCGACGAGGACATGGCCGGGGACTTCGAAGACGTACCGTGGCCTGGCAGCGCAACCAGAGGCCAGCGTGCATCGGGCGCCTGTTGTGATCAAGGATCAGAGCAGCCAGCACGACGGTCATCCCCGTCGCAGACTGTCGCAGATGGCCACTTGTCTCCATGCTCCCGTCGCTCTGTCCCCCGACGCTCGCCGTGACTCCCGCCATCGAGTCTCGACTGCTGCACGCGCCCACATGATCGCCGCGGCTGTCGCGCCTTGGGCGCCCGCAGGTCCATCGTGTGCCGATCTTCATAAAGAATTCTGTTCATCCGCCTGCTCGACCATCTCTCGCGTAGGGAGGGCAACACCCCAGCCATCCTACGCACACCCTTGTCAAGTGTTTCGGCGTCGGACACGTCATAACCGCCTGTGTGCCCCAAGCTGTGGGCAGCGAGCATAGATCTGTGGCATGTCTTGTATTGCCGGCGGATGAACCATCCACCATTCCCATTCCATGACCCGACGGTGGACACCAGCACTGCCCAGATTCTTTCTCGCACCATTCTCGTCCCACCGCGCCACGCGCTGCTGCCTGCTGCTGCTCGTTCTCTGTGGTCGGGCCCGGCATGGCCGACGAACAAGGCAGGAGGCACCATGATGATCTGCGCACATACAGTCCCACACAGGACCAACCGCGTGGCTGCTATGACGATCCGGCACCAAACAATACACGGAAGCATCGGATCCTGCACCGCGATCATCTCCAGATTCCAGCCCGAGGCCGGAGCGCCGAGCCGTCCCCATCTCTCCCTCCCCGCCCACCTCGGTGTCCACAGACCAGCTCGTCCTCGCCCCGGCATTCATAATGGCGTTCTAGACCGGTGCGTGCGCCGGTACGTAACCCGCGCAAAGGGTTCGCGGACGCCCCTTGTGGTCCGGTCCGCGCTACGCCGTCGGTTGCACCTCGAGCGCAGTCTTGGTCTTGAGCGAGAGCGCGTGCAGGCCGGCCGCGAACTCGTCTGCGAGCGCGCCGTAGATCATCCTGTGCCTCTGCATCGTGTTCTGGAGGAACCGTCAAGAGGAGGCGGGGCGGGCGGACAGGCCGCAACGGCAGCAAGTCGTCATTCGTCAGTCGCGCCTTCCCCTTCGTGCGAGCGAGCGGGCGACGCACCTTCCCCTGGAAAGCGTCTGATACGACGTGCACCGAGAAATCTGCACACACGGCGACAAACGCGGCGACGGCGTCAGCGAGACGTCGCTTCCCGAGTCCCAAGAAGATGGATGGTGGGGTCACTGGGGTGATGTGCGACGGGCGCTCCCGGCGTATGGGTCCCGGTGCGAACGTGGTCCCTCTCATCGACGTGGCGCTGGGGACGGCGCGCAGGCCAAATGAATGGGTAGTCAAGGAGAGCGGTACGCACGGGTCTCGCCGTTGCCACCGCTGGCGGCGCGCATGGGGGCGTGATGCCTATGTTGCCAGGAATCGTTGGTGATGTCGAGCTGGGAGGGCTTGAGGAGCTCGGTGAGCTGCGGTGACGTGCGCGGGCGCGTGGCGAGCAGGGCAAGGGGAGATGGGCGATGGCAATGGCGTTTGGGGAGCACGGATTTGGCGTGCGGTCGTCGATCCCGGGGCGCGCGCATAGGCGAAGAGATGGGCGTGAGTGTGAGAACGGTGATTAGGACGGGCGCGCGAGGGGGAGGAGGACGGAGATTGGCTGGCAGCCGGGGAGGACACACCTTCGCGCGTATGGCGTCCTCGACAGGCCCAGCGGGGGCCGCAGAGGTGCCCCTGGGATCAGGACTGGTCGACATCGTCGCGATGATGGGTGGTGCCCTAGTGAGGGCGCGGTTTCGAACGAGGGCGATGGCCAATCCCCGGGAGGTGAACATCGAAAGAAAGCTGTGTACGCAGGAACTGGAGCTTGCTCCTCCTCCTTCCTCGGCTGTGGCCTTCGGGAATTCGGAGCTTCGTGCTGCAAGTGCTTCCTATACAGCCAGGTAGTGAGCGCGCCGTGAGTACGAGGAGCAGGGAGCAGGAGCTGTGTCGTGGACGAGGCGGAGGCAGAGCAAGCGGCGACAGACCCGGTTTGACGCGGTCCGTCTACCCCGCGTCCTTCGGATCCGACAAGTTCGCACGGGGCACACCCACATCCGGGACCGCAGCCCTCATCTCTCTCTACACCACGACCGCCTCCCAGATCTCTGTATCTTCCCCAACAACGATGCGAAACCTTCCGAAATACCACGTTTCATCGCATGCTTCTACGCGGTTTGTCTCACTGTGTATGCGCGTGTGGTCCTACAGTTGGCTAGCCTAGATCACCAACCTGTCTCTCTCTCTGCAAGCGACACAGATTCCGGCAGTTGCTGGCTTGGCTCGGCTCTGTTGAGACGATCTAGGAAATGGTGCGCGCTTGCGGGCTCTGACGGCGATCCGTCACTCTCCACAAATTATCCTGCCGCGCACAAGGCACGGCGTCTCTTTAGGAACGCCGTTCAAGTCCGTGAGTTTGAATTACTGCGTTGATTTGCGAATACGCAACGCAGATAGCTCTCGAGATCATCGCCACATGGACACATTCTGGCCGCCGTGGCCGATGGAAGTCGATCTCGCTTTCAGTGCTTGACGCCGCTGTGGGACCGAAGTCTCACATGCACTGTGGCCCGGACGGCCTCGTCATCCAAGAATCAGTTGTCCTGACGATGTAGAAGACTTGGTTTTGGTTTGGTTTCCACTCCTTTCAACTCACGCAATGAAACCACTGGATTGGTTTCAGGCTTTGACTTACGACACTCGTACATCAGCTTGGCCATTTGTACGTTTCTTCGTGTGAGTCAGGGATCCCATCTTGTGGACGCTCATCTTTGTGATCCGAAAAAAACTCGAACCGTGCAATGTGAGGTCAAACACAACGTTGATTCACTCGCTCGGGCTGTTGGGTATGGAATGGTCTTGTTATTGTGAAGAAGGGTTTGGTATCGGAGTTGAACACGTGCCTCGCCTCTGCATTTGTGATACATGCCAGCTTCTTCTCCATCTAAGTTTCCTGTCACCACCAGCCTTCAAAGAGGGGGTCAGCACAGACTTTCCATGAGGGTCGTATCTCCGTGCAAGCAATGATGAGACGCCTCCGCGCGCGTCTATCTACGAGATTAGATAGCGCATCAACTGAGAGGTTTGGTGATACGAGCACGCAATCCCCCAGAAGTGGGCTCTTATACTTGATGCGTCTAAGACATGCATGATCTAATGCCAGTCGCGCGCGCATGTACGTGCCTCGCGATCCCTGGTGCGCACAGTCACCAGAAATCCAAAGCTGAGCAAATGCGTGTAAGACGCGAGAGTGTTACGTGTTCAGATCGCTGGCACGCTCCAGACACGAACGAAAATGCGCAGGAGCGCGCGTTGACTAGCTACGGTCTGCGGTGTCCATCTAGGCAGGATCACCTAGGGCGCACGCGCGAGCCTCATGGTCGTCGACCGCGTTGGGACCGCGCGCGTTGCTTACCAATGGCGGACGTCGCTGTGCGAGGTCGTGTGCGCTGTTACGTTCATTCTGTAGTTTCCCGCAGGATTCAATACACGAACCATCTTGAACCCTTTCATGTGATTCTGAGTCATTGTCGAGTCACGATTCCAATTGTTTTGTACCCACGAGGCGGACATCTCATTGTTTTACTAAGCCGATTAGGTAAGCCCTTCGAGCAGCATATATAAACGGCGCTATCGCAAATCTATTCCACCTTACGCCTTAACTCTGGACCACCACCACCTCTCTTCCGTCCCCTTTGCGTGCTGTCGCCGCGAAGCCGATCGTTTTGCCATGCTCGCGCCAGAAGACATTTACGTGACGCGCCTATATAAGGTTGTCATGCTCGACAAGACCATGTGGATTATACCCACCCCCAACCAGGCGACCGACGCGTCCCCACGCAACGCCCCTCGGGACGGGGTGGCTCTTCGAGGCGACAATGGCCAAGTCAACTTCTATGAGCCTGCGCCAGATAAACTGGAGTTGCACTGGAGGAGGAAGTTAGGGAAGAAGCTGTATGAGGAAATGATCAGTAAGGAGCTCGAGATGCACGGAATTCGTACGTAATCTGGTTGTTTCTCAGTGGGCACATCCGCTCATGCCGCACTGTTACGGCTTTTTGGTGGTTTTCAGCCCACGAGAAACCAGACCAAATCTCCCTGGTGCCGTTCCCTTCTGGCTACTCATTGTGGAGACAGAAGAAGGGTGATCAACATGTACCCCGTGTTGATGGATATCTTTTCGGTAAGTTGATACCCTTGAATGTGCATTGCCTCCTTTGCCAACACAACTACCCCACTCGTCAGGTTCGGATCTAGTGCACCATTTTAGATCCCCTGCAGAGTTTTACTACCACCTGAAGTGGCTCATGCAAGGGCAGCCTCGCAAAGTTAATGGGCAGCCCAAGTGTCTGTGCAAGTACTGTGATGGGACCAGAACACAGACTGAAATCTCCCAAGAACTCGGCATGTACAAGCCTGGTGATGATAAAGACAGAAGTAGGAGGGGACACAGGGGTGGTGGAGGTGAAGGCAGTGGACGAAGGCGAGCTCCTAAAACCTCAACGACCATGCAGTTCAAAGACTATCGCACCAACATTACATCTGTTTAAGCTGGTAGGGTGTAGTCCCTACACTTCTGCCCACTGCACACCTTTCATTGCTCTCCTCTGTGCCACTCTGTGTATTAGTATTACCACATACCTATGCCTAAACTCAGCTCTATCAAGTTCATCATTGTAATATCCTATTGGCATGTAGTTGGTCTTCTACTGGAGACAACACAGCACATCTGGGCCACCCTCCTACATTCTTGCACCGAAATCTTTGGAACACACATGTCCCCGATGTGATGTGTCACCAAAATCCGTGGTGGTGGGCAAAGGTGGTGGGCATCACAGCTCGGGGAGGGCTCACTCTGGCACAGGTTGAATTTTATGAACTCGGTGAATTGATTGGTTAATCTGCACTACACACATTATCCTAAACGAGGCGACTCCGTGTCAAGAAGGGGGTAGGACGACCCGAAATAAGCTTGGGCAGATCGAGCGTATGGTCTGAGGCAAAGACGGCGATAGTGCACACGCGAGAAAGGGATTGAAGCTGCTGCTATCTGTGTCGCGGATGCGGAGGAAACGTACCGGTCCTCCTTTTTTTTTCGTCGTCCTCGTTTAACGCCCTCGAGGCAGAGCCCTATGGTACCGTTCTCCTTTATGAAGGGCTTCGGGTGGAGGCTCGCAAACGTAGGGTGAGCTTCTTCGCAATATGTGACCTTCTCGACATGCAGCACTCGTGTATCGGCATGTCCACCTCGCCCAAGATGCTATCCGGGCCGTCCGAAAGGTCACCCTGGCCCGTTTCCTGGCTGAGATGCAGAGGATTTTCTCGTCGCAAATCGCAATCGGGTCCTTACATTGCGGTTTGTATCTGCTCCGGCATACCGATCCCTTTGCAGTGCTTCCAGCACCACGACGTGATGGAAGCACTGCAGAAAGCGACGGAGGAAAGGGAGGCGCGGAATAAAGACTAAGAGTCAGGCTTACCTTGTACCAAACACGCCAATGCCTGCCCAAGAGAAAGGCCGGACCACAACCTTCATCGCCGGAGGCGCATACTGGAATAGTGCTTGGACTCTCAGAATGAGCGGAGTTCGTGTTGCGTTAATGTTGGATACAGGTCGAGCGAAACATGTGCGTAGCGAGCTTTACGGAAGTGCACATGCACATGCGAGCGTGAGGGGGTGGTAGGCTGGGGTTGAGCGCGGTCGTGGCTGGGTTTATTAAGATTCCCATTCTCGCCAGGAAATGGTGTGCCGTATCATAGGATGAGCATATCCACAAGAGAGGGGGAGAGGATCCAGATCCAACGCGGCCTAGTGACTGAAGGTGATGGTGGTGGTGGTGATGGTGGTGGTGGTGGTGGTGGTGGTGGTTGAAGACGAGTGGCGCGGGCATTTGCTCCTTACCGTTTACCACTTCCTCCACCCCCTGCTTTGGGCTTTCGACACGCTCTCACTTGCGTCAAGACGCGAAATTTTGAACATGCGCAAGTATGGCACATTGGACGCGTCCTGTGACGCGTCTGTCGAACTCGATCTCCCGGTACACTTGAGGGGGCTTGCGGACACATGTTTTGAAGAAGGGCATTATGACCCTGCGATATCTCTGCTCGACGAGATGCGTTTTCACATGTACAAGCCATTCCCGTGAGTAGTTCTTCCACTCTGCGCGCGTGTATCGCAAGATGGGCATGAAAGGGCGCTTGGTCGCTCGAATGTCGGACTATATGCGCATTCCGCCTGGTCGATTTTTGCATTGCGCCGGACGCAAAAGGCATACACTCGAATGCTTGTCTTTTGGTGGCTTTAGATATTTTTGGCGATCGCCTTCAGAGACAGCTTGAACTGACTGCCTCTTTCTGAACAGGCCCCATGTTCGACAACTGGTTTATATAGCCCTGTACTCGCCGCCATCGAGGACGCACCGTTGCCGGACGAAATCGCGAGATTGGAGCCCGGCAGTCCCAGCAAACTTATGAGCAGGCGACATCAGGCAACCTAGTCCCACACCCAAAGCATCGGCCGCCGCGCTGAGTGTGCTCACGGTCTCGCCTGCATCGCTACGCCTGCGTCGATCGCCAGAGCTCTTCCAGCTACCCCGAGGATCCGAATCAACGCTTGAAAATAATCATACCACTGACGAGGAAGATTCGCACATCGCGCAGCAAGCACGCCGCATACGAAACGCACGATGTTTTTGGGACATCTTGAAAGAGGGATATATTGAACGTGGATGCAGTGATGTCGTACTTGTGGACACTTCACGCAAGACCAGGCCTCGTCGGAAAGGTCGTGGGTGGGAAGAAGACGACTCGGATGTGGACAACCAGCTCCCGCCGGCCCTCGTGAGCGATCGTGGATGGTCTATTCTGGATTGGATGCTCTCAGTATACGAACACGATGAGGCAGCAATGGAGAGCACTGGAGAAAGTAAGCAGTCCAACGTTGATCGTGCGTACAATATTTGCTCATCGTGGTTGCCTCCCTTAGTACGCTATTCACCTCTATTACTAAGCCAGATACCGCCATCTCGCACGAACAATCCCGCACGATCCGAGACCGACATTCCGCTCGACGTCGCGTTTTACGCACTCCAGAACCATCCATTACGGTATCTGCTCGGGTTCGGTTGTTGACCCTGGTGAGTCTAGATCCGACTCCTCCTGTCCCCGCGGCCCACCCCCGAGCCGACACCCTCATTATCGTACCATTACTAACTCTCCTTGTGCGCCCACAGCTCATCAACCTAGCGGCGACGACCCTGCTCGACTTTCCTTCTTTCCTGAACGCCGCCTGGCACCGCGTTTCATCCCTCGCCCCCGCCGCGCTCGCCCATCTCCTAGGGGTCTCCCCAGCACCCGCGCGGGTGCACAGTTCAAGGTCGCCCTCTGTCGCCGCGCCCTCGAAGGTGCCGCCGGGAACGGGAAGCCCAAGGCGCACGCGCGCCCCAGGGCCCGGCGGGGTCGCCCGCGCGCGGACTCCGCGGGCGAGGCGGAACCCGCCGGGGAAGGCGAAAACGAGGACTCGCCGTCCGTCGCGCGCAAGCCGACTTCCATTCCGTCGGCGGAGGTGCTGGCCCTGCTCGTGCGCCCAGGCGGCACGGGCTCGGACGCGCCCTCGGTCGTCGCCGCGGTGCTCGCGGCGCTGTGTCTCAAGGCGGAGCTCGTCGCGGCGTACGGGCGGCTGCAGGCGCGACGGGCGCGAACGACCCTGAGCGGGACCCAGCGTGGGTGGAGGTGGTGCGGGGCGGCACGCTGCGAGAGGCGATGGAAGCGGCGGTCGCGGTGCATGCGCAGCAGCTCGCTGCCTTTGATGATGACGTGGACGAGCGGGCTGTGGAGCTGGTCGAGGCGCGGAAGGACATGGCGACGCTCGCGGTAGAGGTGTTGGAGGCAAGCATATGATTGTTCGTGTGGGCTGCGGGCCTGCGTGGTGCGTCCCATCGTTCTACAGAGCATGCGCCAAGCCAGGACGATCTCAACGCAATCTCGGCGGGGTCCGTTATGTTCGGGATGCGCGAAACGCCCCTGGTCCGGGCAAAAACACTGGCGCGGGATGGCACCCGCCGCCCACAAGTGTTTTACACTTTTTCCATTCAAGAACGGAGCGCGGGAGCCATCAGCATAAAGCGGCCTCGGAGCTGATTCCTACGTCCCGAGCCCGGTCGCGACATTGCGACGGACGTCGGGAACCCAATCCGACGCCCATCTTATTGCGCACTTTGCACTTCTAGCCCGCAATCTCTCCTGCTTCCGTCTCGCTCGCGCCTCCCTCGTACGTACAACGCGTCCGCGTCCCCCGGGTTATTCATACAGGTGCAAGTTTCACGGCATGGGCGCCACAAGGATGCCAGCGACTCCAGGATACGAGTGACATCGAAGTGATAGATTGCTTACGAACGTCACCGTGGTCGTATCGTGTAGTATGTACATAAACAGCGCAGCTTTTCTCAGACCGCTGCGAGACTGTTACCCACAAACCTTCAAAAGAAAACTTTCGACACTGCGTCTTGTTATTCTGATAGACGCACAAAGTTACCAGCTCGCGAGTTCACCGGGTAATCCAAAACATTTGCACCGAGAGCGCGTTCGACGTTGGACAGAAGTGTAAACTTTGCGAGCTCCTCCTGACTTGCACTTTGACTCCCCATCTCATCTGTGCGCGGAGCTTGGTGGCTGTCCGATGCTCACAGCACCTTTTTGTTATTGGGGGGTTTTTTTTCCATGGTTTACAATAGAGCCATCCGACTTCCAACCAACATAGCCGGGCGAGGAAGCCAGCCCGGACACGCAAGTGCAAGGATCAATGCCTTCGTTGCCCACAGTCTCTTCGGGCGGCCTGACACCGCCATGGTCACATAGGCTACACAGATGCGATCCCGCCGAAACGCTGTGTTGAGACGACAGGTTCGAGAGGACCGGGACTGTAAGATCGGACGAGCATCGGCGTTGCCGCACCGCTACGTATGCACAGCAGCTTCTTCGGGTTCAACGCATACCGGTCCGCTTTGCTCGTGGGTGAAGTTGGCCGATCATCAGCTGCATAACGACATAAGGTTGTAACCAAATTGTCCGCCAATGCCTGACGATTCGACCGTTCCTATCGTTCAAATGCTATCCACATACATACTAGTATATGCAGGAACCAGACCTGGGTTCGCGGCCAAAGTGGATTCAGCTTGTCAGAAGTAGTTGACAGCGCCGACATTTAGCGCGACACCTGTGCGAGAAGTCTCACACGTGACCTCCGTTGTGGTGAAGCACCGGGCGCGAACGTTACCGACGTACGCACTAGAACGAATGTTGCTCCTGCGTGACGAGCACTCTTCCGCCGACGCCGACTTCCGCGTCGGGATCTGCGGGCGGTACGGCCTGATACACGTCAAGCGGGATGTAGCCGATGAAGTGCTCGCTCCCGAACCCGCCCACAAAGTACACCGACTGAAACGCAACCTGGTCAGCGCCAGCCGCGAGCGTGCATCGCAAAGCGAGACCGCAGGGCTTTGCACGAACGACGAATGACATACGTGGGGGTCGAACCGGGCCCAGTAGGCCTGGAGGGGTAATGGAACGCGGTCAGCGACGGTCCCTGGCGACGGGCGGGCGCACCGACTATATGCGGCTCCCTGGGGCCGGGAAGCCACCAGCGGGCGTCCGGGTGCGCGGCGAGGTAGCACGCCTGCAGGGCCGCGCGCTCCGGCGTGCGTTCGAGCTCGGTGAAGAGCGTGACGTTGCCGAGGAGGGAGACGCGGGGGCGGCTCGCGGCGGGGCTCGAGCTCGAGACGGAGAGCGAGACGACGTGCGTGGGCGAGTGGAGGACGTTCTGGCTGTGGCGCGAGATCGGGAGGAAGAGGAGGGTGAGCGAGCCGTTTGCGTGGCAGCTGAGGCGAGGGCGCGGGGAGCAGGGTCCAACGGGGCCGAGGCCGGCAGTCATGAAAGAGAGCGAAGAGCCGGGGAGGGTCAGGACCAGGCTGGACGGTGACCTTCCCGGCAGCGCGAAACACACCTCGCGTAGTATTCTTGCATGGAGAACGGCTCGCCTGGAAGCTCGCGGGCTTAACACTTCACAACGCCGGGCACATAATGAGGCTAGTGTCGCACCTGGCAGTGACGCGTGGTCGGCCGGATACACTGTGGCCATGTTCCCGATAGCCACGGCCTTGACGAGCTGCCTGGCGATGGATGCTGGGGATCGAAGTCAGCGCCGTGGTGGCTGCGGCAGCGCCGACGACTGACCAGCCTCCTCGACGGTCTCCATGGCATGAACGGCATGTCGTGCGCAAAGCAGGGCGAAACCCAGGGCGAGCAGGCCGCGGGGCCACATTATGAGCGGAGAGACAGTGGTGGGAAGCGCAAGCGTTGGGATCCTCGGAAGGCGGAGGGCTCGGCCGCAGAGAGCCCGCCTATCAGATAAGATCGGTTCGCCGGAGCGCCGGGCCGCGGCACAGCGTACCCAGGCAGTTGTGGGGCTTGTGAGGCGTCCGAGCCCGTGGTCCCCGCCCCACCCTCGCGGCAACGAGGTCGTCGACGCCACCATCCAATTGCCCCGAACGCTCAGAGGCTACGACTACGCTGCTCACTCCGACTCCGCGTCCTCCGCTTCTTCCCCCGAGCTCTCCCCGACCGCCACATCCACCAAGTCACCCTCGTCGGCCCCAGTCTGATCCTTGCCCGCTGCCTGCTGCGAGCGGAACATGTTCGCGAGGAACTCGGGCGTGCTCGCGTCTTCCACCCGCTTGTCCTCCCGCGAGGAAATGTACCGCGGGAAGCGCAGGCTCAGCCCCCGCGTCTCCGACACGAGCCCGAGCGCCGCGACGGACACCGGGCTGACGGTGACGCTGCGCGCGTTCCCCGGATTGAGCGAGTGCTGTGAAGGCGAGCTCAGGGACTGACGTACTCGGCACCCCGTATCTCCCACACCTCCTGCGGTCGAAAATACACTTCTGGCTTGAGTCCTGCGCGAGTTCCATCCGTCTCCGTCTGCGGAGCGAAGGGAACAGCCACGTACCTCCTGTGTCGCATTGCGGCTGCCAGACTGGTTGCGTCGAGCAGGTCTCCGAGTTTTCGGGGTACCGGTCGCCCAGACTCTGTGTGGGTGCACGTGGGCGCCGGCGGGGGAAATGGCGGCAGGCAACACAGGGGCGAACCGGCGCCGACGGACGCGCGCGCGCAGGCAAAGCGAAAATTCAGCCGGGCAGCACGAAGATCCGGGCCGCAGCGCACCTTGTAGAACGCGTCCGAGAAGCCTGCGAGGGGAGCGCAGGGGGAGCCAAAGGCCCATTAATCACCCGTGCGGCGGCGCTAGTCCATTACGAGCCTCACCGGACATGCACTTGCAGACCGCGACGAGCTTCTCCTCGGCCGGGTCCCACACCGCGAGCAGGACGGGGCTCCACCACTGGGCCTTCCTGCCGTTGCCATGCCACGCACCGACCGGCACGAGATCGAGGCTGTCCCCGAGGCCCGCGACGTAGTCCTTTTTCAGCTTGAGCCACGCGGACGTCCGTTTATCTGAATGACGCGCCAATTCGCGCGCGAGGAGAACAGCCTTCAGCGTCGCCGGAAGCGTGAAGCGCGGCCCAAGGCCGCGGAGACGGGGAACGAGAAGTGCGATGAGGGGGTGCCGCCGGCGCAGCGTTCCTGGGTAGGTCGCACGGCACACCCACGGCGGTGGGACGAATGATGAGGGTACGAAGACATACCTGGCTCGTAGGTTGCGGGTAGCGGCTTGCGTCGCGGCTTGTCTCTCTTCAGTGTGGGCTCTTCCAACACCTCACCGCTGTCCAAAAGCTGCGTGCGAGTGGTGGCGGCCGGAGATCAGCGAAACGTCCGGCGGCAGTTGGAAAAGAAAATTCGACACAAACTTTCACCATGAGTCCCTCACTAGAACTGTTCACTGCCTGCTGCCAGAATTCTTCCACGGCATCCCGTCCGGAATCGCTCTCTACGCTCTTGACGTGATCAAACCGTGCTGCACCTTTAAGCGGGGGCGTGTACGGCGGAAAGCGGGAATGGAGCAGTGCGCGCCGCTCCCGGAACGGCTTTTCCAAGCAGATCTGGCGATCGCCAACCATTCGTCAGCATTCGGGCGTAGTCAGGGTCTACCGGCGAGCCGCTCACCTGACCGTCAAGGAACATCAGGTCAAAGGCAAAAACGCAGACAGAACTTTCACATCGTCCAATTTCACGTCCTTCCTAGCACGGTTAGACAGCTCCTGGAATGTCTTGAGCGCACCGGTGGACGGGTCGATCGCGACGACCTCAGAGTCTATAATAAAAGACTCAATGCCCGGTGAACTTTCGAATAAATATTCTACCAATGAAACGACATCGGGGTACTGGGCAGGGTCGATAGCCAATTCAGCAAAAACCAAATCTTTGCGACCAGAAGCCAGGCTGTCGCGGCTGAAGACTGGTTCCGACGGCGCCGCCTAGCCCGACACATACCTTGTCTGTCATGTCTTCTAGATGCGCGAAAATATCTTGACAAAAATCGTTTTCGATCCCCTCGGTCTCGACGCGTGATCTGCGCACGTTGGCCGTCGTACTTGAACTCCGCTGCGAACGGTAAAAGGCCTAATCGGTCGTAGATCTCGTCCAGCGATCTCGTGGGCGACCCTAGGGTGGGGAGCAGAGGGACGCCTACACGGGAAGATCTCGTCAGTGCCGAAACACCGACGATGAAACCGCATAGCCGACGTGGTTCGCCGCTGCGCCCACAACTCACCGACGGTCAGCGGGAGCTGTTCTCTGAGCCCGTCCAGGCCGGCGTCGAGCAACGCCTTCACGATGTGATCGTAGTTAGGATGCTGGACGTACACCCGCTTTAACAGACCCTCTGCGGCCGCGAACGCTTCGTTCAGCGCGTCTCTGGCGGCGTCGGCAGCCTTCTTTCCCTTCTTCCCTTCAGCCCGCAGGGGCTGGATCGCAGCCAGGGTCTCCGCGCTCACCCGGAAGGGCGACCCGGCCCCACCCCGTCTCCGCCTTCGTTCCTGACTGACTCCGGGGTGCCCGCCCGCGGCGGGTGAGCACGAGCGCGCGGGCGAGCGCGTTCGTGAGCGACGTCCTCACCGCGCCGACGCGGAGGTTCTGCCCGAGCGTGCGGACGAGGAAGCGGGCCTCCTCCCCGCGCGCGGCGACGAGCAGCTTCTCGACGGCGGCCTGCTTCGTCCTGCCCGCGCCGGGCCCGCGGCGTGCGCGATCCGCAGCAGCGCCGCGTACACGCCCGTGACGAGCAGGGGCGGGTGCGGGAGGAGCGTGCGGACGTTCGACTTGGCCGCGAACGCGACGTCGCCTGTGCGTGCGGCCGAATCCGGCGGGAGCGAGCGGCAAGGGAGAGAGGGGGGGGGGTCAGCAGACTGCCGGGCGGGGAAGCGCGCGCGGCCGGCGAATTTGCAGACAAGGTGCGCGCGGCCGAGCGGGCCCCAAGAGGTGGGGGTCGCGGGGACTCACCTGGGTCGCCGGTGGTGTTGTAAAGCCGCTTCAGGGCGGCGTTGCTCAGGCCCGAAACGTGCTGGATTGCCTTTGTGATGATGGACGGTCCAAGACCGAGTTCGACGGGGGAATAAGGCGGGGAAAGGAATTGGATAACAAGTACAGAGCGGGCAGGAGCGAGGGGGGTGCTGCCTGCATATCGTACGCAGTGCATTGGTCAGAGTGTCGAGCTTGGCGATGCGCGAACGAGTGCCGACGAGGGTCGTGAGGGTGTGGGCCAAAAACGAGTACGGTACGGGTGCGTTTGGGGGCCAGGCGGCCGCTGCTTCCTCCGGGTCGTAGGACGGAGGATCGACATTAAGGGGCCCGTATGTCGGAGCTGCCAACGGATGGGCGTTTCCGATAGTTGCTGGAGGGACCTGGGCACGTGTGCGTCGTCCGACGGACCAGGTGGGTTTGGCGTAGGAACAGGAACCGATGGGAGTTTGCTAGTGGATGCGGTTGGTTGGGACAAATTCCCAGAGGAGTTAGACACGGGCCCCGGATGCCGACGAACTGCGTCCCCCAAGGAGGAGCTGTGTCGTCGTTGGAGTCAAGCGCGTCGACATCTATCACCTCGATTTGTGTGTGGGGTTGAAGGGCAGCACTAGCAACGGCAGTTGACAGATGGATGTCGCGTCCGGCAGACTCGAGCTTCCGGAGCATCTCAAGGTTGAGGCCATAGGCTGCATTAAGACTCGATGCAAGCCGTTCATCGGAGAGAGGTGGTTCGGCCTGTTTTGCCTTTGCCTTTACCCTGGCCTTGGCGGCAGGGGTCGAGGCGGGTTGCATGGGCGCGGGGCGGGCGTCGTTGGCTGGATCGGGCGTGCGCGCACTTGCGCCAAAGAAATGGTCAAGCCGGGACTGGCCGGCTGCGGCGGAGGGCGGCTTTTTCATTTTCATTTTCTTGCGCGAGGGTGAGGCCGCAGCAGGGGGCGGGGAGCGTTTGGGCATCGCGAGCGACGCGAGGGCGGAGTCGGCTGGAAAGAACAGGCAGCGGAAGCGGGAGAGCGTTCTCGCTGACTGACCGAGCGCCGGCCCCGCCGACCCTGGCCCTCGGCCCGTTCCCCGCCGCCCGCCGCCGCCCGCCGCCCGGACGCTGGCTGCCACAAGGCTGCTGGCTCTCCTCCTCCTCCTCTCCTCCTCCTCCCGCCTCCCCGCCTCGCTCTGCAGGCGCGCGCTCGATCGCGACGTCCAGGCCGCGGGCAGTGCCGTCCCCGCATGCTCCGGGCCCGCCCCTAAATTAAAATAGGAGGGCACCGTACATGATGCGATGACCAGACACGTCCTGTGCACGGTGATCGAATATGGCCCATGCCCTGAACCATTCTCGCCTTGAAACCGCTCAGACTAATCTCTGGGCTACGATCGCGTCGCCGGTATGTCATCTGGCCCCAGGCGGCCTCCCGCACCTCGCCCATCCCCGTTTTGTCGAGAAACATACCTCGCTTCAATCAAGCGCGCTCCGTGAGTGCCCTCCATCATTTTGGCCAGCATTGGCTCCAGCTCCTCCCAGGCGACGGGTGATCGCGACGCCAGCTTCAAACGGCCCGCGTCCACGTCTTCCCCGCCCGGTCTGCATCCCGCGCCAATACGGGTCGCTGGATCGCTCCAGGACGTCGGTCGCCCTCCCGTGATCTGGCGAGCCGCGATCCCAGCGCGACCCTGCTGCAGGCCGAGCCAGCCCCGCGCTCTCGAACAAGGTTGCCGCGCTCGTGTTGGCCCGTGCTGAAACGAATGCACCGCCGGTCGGACGACATCAAACGTGATAGGCCTGTCGCCCGGTGAGGCTGCTCGCGTCGGTGCGTTTGCCAGGCCCGCGTTTTGCCCGCGCCGCGATGGCCGGATTCGGGCGCGAGCAGGCATGGTGGCGCGAGCGGCACAACGATCCTGGCCTCGTGCCGCAATGAAGGTCGTCGGCGCGGTGACGTCGCCGCCCGTGCAGATGCGCGGGCGCAGGGCGCGCAGGCTGTTCGCGGGCGAGAAGGAAGAGCCGGAGAGGAGGTGAGTAGACACGCTCGGGAGCGGGGGGCGGTGCCTGGCGGGCGGGATCGCGCTGCTCGCGACCGCCCCGTATTGGCTTAATTGAGCGACGGCAGGCGGGCAGGATTCGTGGGCGGGATATCGGGCTGGAGGCAATTATCCGGATTCGGGGGACGGGACTAGCCGCTTAAGGTGCGCCCTCGTTGGCAAGACATCATTCGGACATTTGACAGACAGATATGATTATTGCAGCTTGCTCCTTTTGCCTGCTCGATTTCGTCCGTTTTCCGTCAACGCTCGACCTCGTCTTGGTGGCAGTGAGCCGTGCCTGGTCTCTCGACAGTAGCGCTCTCCGCGACTACATATGTATGGCGATCATCCTCCTATCCGTGCATTAGCCTCGCTCGCCTCTCCATGTCCGACCGCCGTGCCCAGCAGTACCCTCAAGGCCCGAACGTCGCCCTCGCCTCGCACACCCAGTGGCCCGGCAGCGCATACCCCTCCTCCTACGCCTCCCAGGAGTACTCCTCTGCCTACCCCGCCCACCCCTCCCTCCGCCACGCCAGCCACTCCGCCACCGTGCCCTCCTCCTACGACGCCATGTCGTCTCAGGCGCAGGCTATTGCCTCCCAGTACCAGTACCCCGCCACCGACGGCATCCACTACTCCCACCTCCCCACCTCCGACCGCCGCTCCTCCCTCACCGTCGCCCCATACGGCTCCTACCCCCTTGACGCCCCCTCGGCCCACGCCCACTCCCCTACCCGTGCGCCCCCGCACAACCACTCCCCGCACCACTCTTACTCCTCCCACTCCCCGCACGCGAACGGCCTCTCCCACTCCCCACCGCACTCGCACGCCTACCCGCCCTCGGCCGCCATGGGCAGCCCTTACGGTGCGCCACTGTCGTCATCCCCGCAGGCCTCCTCCGCGATGTCCAGCATGGCAACCCCGCCCTACGCGTCCTCGTCCCCGGGCGGGAGCGCGTACGCCCAGGCCAACTCGCAGTACCCGGCGTCGCCCCCGCGGCCGTTCGCGTGCGACATGTGCGCGCTCTCCTTCAACCGCCAGCACGACCTCAAGCGCCACCGCGACACGCACACGGGCGAGAAGCCGTTCTTCTGCAACGGCGGGTGCGGGAAGACGTTCACGAGGAAGGACGCGCTGAAGCGGCATCAGGTACGCAGTCGTGCTTCTCTCGCGCCCCGCCCCCGTCCCGTCTTTCTGTCCTTCCCGCGAGCTTCCCGACGCTGACCGTCGTCCGGTCCCCTTGTCAGCTGGTCAAGCGCTGCGGCATCGATGAGAGTAGTTCGTAAGCGAGAGCTTAATGGGACGGTCGGGAACCGGGAATCCATCCACATCTGTGAGTTTCGGTTGTCATCTGTGTTGCTTGGCGGGCGCTGACGGACTGGTGGGATGTGCAGATTCTACTTCCACTAATTGCCGGCACGAGCCTTAGCCTACATCCCAGCGTTTTTGACGTATCTGTCTCCGGTGTATTGGTACACATTGTAAAAGTATCGCTGACATGGACAGTACTGCACGGCCGAGTAGACGTTATTAGCTGCTCTGTAGTTTGTGTAGACTCGCAGTAACTGTATCTTACCACTACCCCACAAAGACCATATCCCCGCGCACGACGCCGGTCTGTTTTCACTTGGAATCTGCGGGCTTTGCCGCCGGCTCGATCTCCCGCTGGAGGATCCACGCGTCGTGGGGCGTGATCTTCTTGTAGTAGTTTGTGTACAAGCCGACCTCCTTGAAGCCGTGGCGTTCGTAGAACCGCTTCGCGTCATCGTTCGACACCTGCACATGGAGGTAGATCGACGTGATCTTGCGCGGCGTGTACGCCGCGGCCGAGTCCACGAGCTGCTGCAGGCTACGGGCGCCGATCCCTCGCGACCGGTATGGCTGGGGGACGACGATCGGCATGCGAGGGCGGGAGGTTACGAGAAGGGATGGAGACGGCAAACTCACCGCGAGGACTGCGAGGGTCATGAGGTAGAGCTTCGTCTCTTCTCCCTGAGTCTCCATGCGGCAGCACATGGTCCCAATCGGAATGTCATTGTAGTACACTGGAAAAGAGAGAAAGTTGAAGGGTCGGACACGGCCAGGGAAGATCGTCGGACGCACCGAGTTGGCAAAAGTCCTCTACCTCGGGCAGGACGATGTCATTGTAGAACTTTTCGCTGTACTTGATCGGGAAGAGCACGGAGTTGAGCTTTCGGACAGTGCCTGGGACGGGAGGTGAGGGGCTATGCTGCGATGGACGCGATGGGGGACGAACCGAGGTTGTTGTGGGTGACGGACGCGAAGGAGACCCGCGTCGGGGACGGACGCGACATGGAGGAGGGCACGGCGCGCGGTGAGGGAGCGCGGGCCGGCGTCAGAGTGTGGACGCCACGTGTGGCGCCCGCGCGGGGGTCTCCGCGAACTTGCCGCTTGGACCACCGCCGCGTTCGAGCCAGGGAGCGGTTCTCTTCGAATGGAACGTCGACGGGTGCCAGAACCACCCCTGTGGCCCCTTTCCGCTGCTATGATCTCTATCGCGATCCCACAGCCTGGCTCGCTCTCAGCTCTGCACTCTCAGTCCTTGTCTTATCTCGCTGGTAATCGAGACGCCATTGGACGGTATCGAGCACGGATGATCCCGATTTTCTAGGTGGTCTGCAAGGCGTCCAGATGAACGAAGACAAGCCCTCTGGATGACATAGATATCAGCACGAGACGATCTCACCCGCCCAGCTGCGCACTGATCTCATGTTACACTTACATTCACCATCCCTCCGCGCCGTCTCCCCTGTCTCGTGCCTCTCTAGCACCGGAAGACAAATCGCCCGCTTTGGTTTAGGACCCAAGACGCTCCCAGGTGTCGCCCACGCCCGTCTTGTTCTTCTTGTTGCCATCGGAACATCCGGTCCCCCGCTTGATCCTAGCTCACTCCGCACCATGGCACATGCCGTTACTACTGTCTGCAAGCAGCGCACGACCTGTTCATTCCGCGACCTCATCAACGGCCCCTGGACGACTCTGCGCTTCTCGCTTCATCACAACTGCAAGTCTTGCCTCTTGTGATCTGAAGACCCGTACGTGAGACCGTCTGTATCTTCTCTCCGAATGCCTCTGACTGCTGGACGCTGATCTCGGCCCGCGCATCTTGGCCCGCTCTAAAACAGGTCTCATGAGGCTATAGCGATTGCCGCTCCCTCCCAATACACACGATTGCGTCGCGGTGCTCGTCGACCCCTCTCGACATGAGCGACGCCCACGTCCATCAAGGCCGAAACCACATCGGCCTCCCGGGTTGGACCGAGCCCATTCGCACGTACGTGTACTTGCGTGCGCACCCGACTTAGCTTCGATCCTTAGCTCCAACCCCTTTTGATACTTCGCAAACTTTGTGGCACTCCGCTGTCTGCTCGTTCATGTTCGTCCACGCGCGCTCATGTGGCTCACGCTCTGCGCCCCGCAACTCTCTTCTCGGCCGGAGCCACTGCTACTTCCACCGAATGTCTACAGGGCCGCAGCGTGGACATCCCGCTACTCTGCTGTCACTGTGCCCCGGGAGAGATTGCTCATCAGCCCTAGAGTCCATTCGGAGTCGCCGAACCGCTGACCTGCAGCTGACCTTCTCCTTCTAGCCCTCGCCAGTCCGCTCCCTTTGAGACAAGGGCGGTCTTCCCAGGCCCTCAGCCCGGACGGCACCTTCCGACCCGCGGCTGACGTCGACGTTCCGGCTGCTGCAAGACCCTGGCCTCCGTCCGCCTCGGCACGAGCCCCTCGCCCCCGTCGGACCCTTGACTGCGCCCACTGAGCACTGAGCTCTGCCGTCCCGTCATCCGCAGCCCATTTGTAATGGGCCAGAGCCCACAGAAGCCGGTTGCGGTCTCAAACCACCGCCGGGGTGTCCCGCCGGACCGCCAGCACTCGCCCCGGCCGCTCGTCCCTATGGGCACGGAACGGCGCGCTGCCGACGAAGCCCACTCCGACTTCCGTCCGGGGCGACCGCGCCCCGCGCCCCGCGCACGCGCCCACGGCAGCGGCATCGACGCATCCAGCACCGCGCATCTCTGCTTCGTCTTCCTGATGGGCCCGCCGACGCTCTGGGAGCCCGTCTTTCCCTGGAAGCCTATCGATATCGACTCGAATCTGTCGCGTCGCACGCATCTCGGCAACCGCGCGCCCCTGGCGCAGAGGCAGGGGGCTCCAGTATGCCTTCCAGGGGGGTCCGCTTATCGGCGCGCACACGGCCCTGGGGCAGAAGCCTCCTTGCTCCGGGTTCGCGTCGCCGGCTCGCTGGGTGAACCACCCAGGTCTCCTACGGGATTCCCGGCCCTCTGCTGGTTTCGTTCCCTCGCGGCGGACAGCTCTCGTCCTGGCGTCCCAGCATCCGTCCGCGATCGTGCCGCCGACTTGGTGACCCCTCTAAATACAGGTAATAAACCCAGTGGGCTGTTTTGCCACAGCGTCTCGGATGATACGGCCCCAAGACCAGGACGCCATTCGTACCCGAACGCTCAGTATCTCGGCCTACGCAGCCCCTTCGCCGTGGACATCGACTTTACGGATACTATGGGAATGCGCTGGCTGAGGCAGCCGCTTCAAGTTCCACGCTAGATATCTAGTGCGGTGCAACCTTGAGCATGCCGTACGTACGTATTACATCGTTCACGTCGGCCTGGGTGACAAGACGAACGTCCTTCATCACCGCCAGGCAGACAGACTCTTGCTTGCACGCTTCCAGAGCAGAGCTCCCTTGTACAGGTGAGCGTCCGTTCACGTCCACTCGGAACGGCACTTGTCCCTGATCGTCACACCAGTCTTGTCACCATTCCCATCCCGTTGATACAGGACCCGAAGGGCAGTCCTGCCCACAGCGGCGTGCGATCAAGCCGCACGCCAAAGTAATGCTGATAAAGAGCATATTCGGCCCCGACCCTTCAAGCCGAACGTCGCTTTGAACGCGGGAGTCCTGACTATGCATTGTGGGCGTCGGCACCATCGAGGCGTTTGTAATACGTCACCCGCGACGCCATCTCGCCCTCGCTACCCTGCCATATCTCGCTTTAGAAGGCACCCCGCGTCATGTCCAGTCCGGGATGTCACGCTACCGTCGCTGGCAGGGGCTGCGGAGCGCGTCAGGTGACCAAGCGAAGTCAATGCTGGTGCTCGCCAACCATCACTTTCCCGCTGTGCCCGGGCACCGCGGACCAAGGTTGTCCCGCCACTTCCGCGAGATTCGCGACACGCTCGCTCCCTGCCGCCACGCGAAGAACGCGGCACGTCACGACGCGACGCACGCGTGCCGACACCCACACATCCACCCCGCTGGGTCTAGTCTCCCCTCAGGAGACGCGACAGCCAACGGACGGCCCCTCTCCGAACTACGGCGTCTGCTCGTCGCGGCGGACTGCCGGCTACCCGCCCACTTCTCTCCCACTCCCCCTCCATCCCCCCACGGTTCTGGCTCGAGCCGTGCCGGGTCCACTCCCCCTTCTGTCGCTGGTTCCGGCTCCGACTGTTACGAACCCCCACCTACCTTATCCCATCCTATGCCTATTCCTATGTTCCGTTCTATGCTCTAAGCGCGGCCGCCTGCTGGGCCTGCACCCGCCACATACTAGCCTAGGCCGTGGCCCCGTTACAGTTTACCGAATGCGGGATAACCGCCGTCGTTGAGAAAGCTCGTACTTAGCGTTACGAAGATACTTAATGTTCTGGCATGAATTCATCATCATCATCATCAGCGGACCAAGGTTGTCGTGCGGAAGACCAGAACCGTGAGTCTTGTGGTTTCTAGTGCAAAAACTCTCTCCTGACGCTGACCGGACATCGCGCCATTGGCAGATTGGCAAAGAACCACTTCGGTCGCCCACGGCCCACCGGGCACCTTCTCACACCATCTGCGGAATTCGCACTTCGTCTCCCGCTATGCTCGCTCCTCCGCTCTGGCGCTGCGCTCGCTGTCTCCATCGCGAAAGACCCTGCACCTTGCACAGTCCGACGACTCATCCTCGCCCAGAATAGCAATGCGCCGGTGCACACTGGCACAAGACCCCGGACCCTGCGCCCGCAGGCCGGGACATCCTCATCTTCGCACCCATCCACCCTCGCACTGACGCAATCGCGCAGTGCCGCCCGCAGAGGGGCCTATCTCGTAAGGGCGACCGGCGTCGGGCGGTCTGGCGGTGCACGGCTGCCCCCCTCCAGCTAGGCTGCTCTCGAGCGTCCAGCACTCGGCGCGTATCCCCTCTCAGCGAGCCCACTCTTGGGTCAGCACCCACACCCCTAGCGCCGCCGCGGGAGTCATCCTTTGTGGCGGCCGCGTCCACCCATTGGTGCGGGTTGCAACACGTCCTGTTCCCGTTCCTCCGCCGGCGCCAAGCCGCTCAGCGCGGTCCCAAGCAAACGCGACGTGACCTCTTTGCGGGCCAAGGGGAGGAACGCTGTCGCCGCCCGTCGTGCCGACTGTCACCACGCCTGGGGTGCAGTGCACGCACGGCGCTCGAAAATCCACAGAGCACGTCTTCCAGGCGACCTGCCCGTGTTCGGCACCCTCGAGCACGGCCGCGGACAAGTCGAACCCCGCGCTTCTTCCGAGGCGTCCGGGCGGGTCTCGTCGCCCGCCTGCTGCGACGCCGCTCTGTCTCGACCGCGACCGCGACCTCGACCTCGACCTCGCCCCGCTGACGACGCGTCCGCTCCGCGCGGTGTGTCCAAGGTGCCGACGTGCGCGCGCCGCACCGTGGTCGTCTGCGGGGACGCGAAGAGGGGTCGGGCGGTGTCGCGACTGGCGACGAAGGCGCGGCGGCCCCGACGGTGCAAGCCTCTAACCCCAAACCCCAAACCCCGCCGCCTTCCAGAAGGCCCGCAGGCGCGGGGTGGGCATCGAAGAACGGGCCCGCGCGGATCCTCCCACAGCCGCTGCCCTCGTGCGCGCGTGCCCCGCTCGTCGCCGAGAGGTGCGTGGCCCCCGTCCTTCGTGGGTCGGCCCCGAGGCGCCGCACGGACGAGTCGCGAAGGCTCCCGCGGGGAGGCGAGGAATGGAACGCGCTCGGATGCGGACTGTTTAGCATCCGCCGTCCCGCACCGGGCGAGACCTCGCTGCCTTCGGCCGCTGTTCCTCGCCTTCCTCGCCTTCGGCCTCCGCCCGGGGATAACCGGTGCCGGTTTTGGCCCCAAACCGGGCGAATTCTGCGCGCACTGGGACCCGTCCGCACCGCACCCGCTGCGACGCCCTAGCACGCTCGTGGCCGCTGCTCCCTTGATCCCGTCGGCGCTGGGACGCGTCCCGGATCAAAACCGCTGGGGACCTCGGTCTTGCTCCACCTCCTTAACGTATTGCCGCGCTCCCCCGCGGTCTCTCGGGCCTCAGCGCCGTCAGCTCTCTGCGCTAGCGTGCAGCGTGCTCCCTCCGCGCGGTTCGCGGCCGTCAAAGTCCGAGCGCGTCGGGGGCGGGCCTCGACGCCGAGGGTTGGGAACCCCCGGTGGCTCACCGGTACCGTGCGCGTGCCTGCGAGGTCTCAGAGTCTTCTTCTACTTCGATTTTTCCACTGCGCTCGTGGCCGATGGATCAGCACTAGAACGCCGTGCCGAGGCCTGCACCGACGCCAAGGGGGCGCGAGAACCCACGACTGGCGGGGCGAGCGGGCCTCGGGGCACTGGGCCGTCCGCTTGGGCGTGCGGAGGTTTGGAAGCTGGATGCACGAGCTCACAGAGGTGCTGATTTTGCATGCGCGTGTTGCTGGTTTAGGCTCACCTTTCCCTGTGCTCCCGTGCACGCCGTGGACGTTATCGCACGCTGCAATACTACATTGTTCAACCGACGCCTGTCCGCACAAGCATCCTTCGTGGTGCTCAATGCACGATAAGAGTAGCTGACGGTCTCGGAGGCTCAGGTGATGTACCACAGTGTTGGCGAGTCTCCCGCTGATATCTACAAGCAACAAGGCCCAGACATGTCAAGCTCACCCTAATTTATGTCTCTTCAGTAGATTCTTCTGACGCAGCCTCTTCAGACCTGCACACGAGCGGTGGATGCTGTCCAACGAACAACCCAGAATAGCTTCCGCGGTCGACCGCGGTAGCCCAGCACAAGCAAGCAGCGGTCCGGACGCACCTCGGTCAATAAAGAACGCTCGCGGGACAAGGGCGACCAGGAACGGCTGGGGGCGCGAGCCGAGCCGTTAGCTAGAACGTGTATCTGAATCGCCGCGTGTCCCGCGCGCATCAATCGCGCACGGAACCCTCGTCCCGCGCGTCCAGCGCCACCGACCGACCGACCCTGATCCCATCGGAATCGCGAGCGGGCATCTTCGCGGCCCGCGGGTCTCGTGGGGGCCCCAAGCGGCCGCCGGCACGCCCCGCGCCTGGGCGCCGGGCGGTGCGCGGGGGTTTGGATCGGTGCGCGCAGAATCCAGATGCGGGTGCGGGTGCGGGGGATGGTGGGACCCGCCAGCTGGTCTCGCTCGATCCCTATGGCGCGGGCTGACCAGGGGGTCAGCGCGGGCCCCCCCCGATGACACCGTTTGCGCGGGCCCATGACGCACGCGAATCTCCCGCTTGCGGCCGGGAGGCGAGGCTGGCTAGTGACTAGTAGCTTTTCGTGCATGGCAGTCTGATTTGGGGCGGGGACCAACCAGGAGTGGGGGGCCCGTGAGGGATCAGACGTCCGTCGTCCTCAGCCTGCGATATTCGGTGTTGCCAGGCGCGTTGATGACGGCGGGTGCGGAAGACCTCACAGGGGGCTGGTAGAGGCTGGTAGTCGGTTCTCCTAGGTGCGCGAGATGGATTGGTAAGTGCGCACGAAGCACTAGCCACCTCAGCGCGCCTGCGCATCTGGCTGGGGCGCCGCCTGGGCACGTTCACGGCATGTCTTCCGTCGCGATAATCAGGGCTGTAGCCATTGGCAACGCAGGTAGAATGACCCAACAGAACTCCCGGACCATGCACGAAAGTTCCAAGTGCGTTTGCTCACAAAACCGCTTAGCCCACTGGATCCATCCCGGACGCAGTGTAAGGGTATAGACGTTTGACGGGCGACGGGCTGGAAATCATACTAGCTCCTTGGAGCTACCCCATAGGTAAATTGTTAGCGAAGCATCCGGGCGAGTCAGTTGGTACTTGGGCAATGGGCTATTAGCCATGCTCTAAGAAGTTAACTTCTACCCCGGATCCCGTCTTGAGGATGTGGGACTGGGCTTGCCGTCTAGGGTTCGCTCAACGCTGTTCGAACGAAGGCATGGTCCATCACCTCGTACTGGCTTTCCCAAAGAAAACTATTTCCATGCATGTTGCATGCGAGCAAATTCGTCGTATCTCGCTTGAGACAAGCTAATATGCGCAGCAGATCGCTGGCACGCACAAGCGGCCTGCGGACGCTGCGTCGACAATCGAGACGCGTGGAACACCCGCGCGAGAGGGAGGCTCACCGATACGTTCATCCGAGTGATGTGGTGTACGCGATCGCAGTCCGGGTGTATGCTGTTGCGACGATATGCAACTTGACGGCGGACGCTGTCGAAGTGGCCTCCACATCTATTGCTGTCGCGGGAGCATTGGCGAAGCGAGCGAACCGTTTGATACGTGCGCGTAGATGATCGCGACTTTACAAGCACTGGACCAAGTGAGGTCCGGCCGCTAGCGGTTGAAATTTACGGCGCACGTCGTAGGCTGGAGGAGAGCGCGAAAATTAGATGCGCCGATCTGCTCACGAAGTATAAGGCAACCGTACATTTGAGTGGGGTGAGAATGGCGAGAGACCTCCGAGCACGACATCTTCCGAGTCCGTGCATCATCGGCGAGAGTTCGGCTGAAATTAAGACGCGGAGTGACGGGTTGTACTGTGCACCACGAAGCGGTCGACGATGTCGTGGCGTGACTCGTGGAAGTATTATTCGGATTTTACAGTGAATCGTGAAACTAGAGATAGAAGCAGTCATTAGCACCCTATTAGATGACGGGCGAAGGACGGCGAGCGGTGTACGTGTTGGCGGAGATGATAGAAGAGCGGCGTCCTGGTGCTTGTATGTTGTAATAGTACGAAGAAGCATTGGTGCCAGTGAGACTTCTCGGGGTGTCACATTGCCCGCCGTCGAAAATAGTTCCCCGGATTTGCTCGTGCACGTGTGGACTCTGAAAGGGCCCGTTGGGTTGGGACGGCGTGACTGTCATGCATCCAAGGACGAAATCAAAGCCCCCGCATTCAAGACGATGGCTCACTGCGAAGGGAGAATGTGATGCATAGCGTGAACGTACTTACTGGAGAATGTACTTACTGTGGACATATTTATGGCGAGTAGAGTAATGACTCGTAGGTGACGTGCGCTCGGAGCCTCGACGATATTGCATGGTTCGTGCACACAGCCTCGTGAGGAGTATGGGGTGAACAAAATACTATATTGTATCAAATAACATCAGCGTTACACAGCATATGAGGACAGGCACAGCGACGGGCGAGTTACAACATTCAAGAGCAGTGGGACAGCGGTAGATAGAAATACAAGGCACAATACCGAGAGTCCGTCCAGGCTCTTCTGTACCATGTAATGCGATGTGATAACTCAGGATACACAACAATGTGATCAGATGTTCTGGAACATCCAAGAACAGGGTCAGCATATTTCACGACAATTTCCGTTGGTCTGAGCTTACCGATACATTCGACGGGGGTCCGTAACTAAGGTGAAGATTCACCAGCGTGCCTTGGGCGTCTCTTCAATCGAAGGTTTGTGCTTCGGGTTCCTACGCTTGTGCCTGTGGGCCTTGCGCGGGGTAGTGGGGGGCGTGGCAGAAGTGGGAGAATGTGCGGCGGGAAACGAAGAGCCGATGGGAGAGTCGCGGTCGTCGTGCGGGGCGAGAGCGTCGAGGTAGACATCGGCATAGTTCCGGAAGACGCACCGCTCCGAATCCTTCTCGTCGTACTCGGCCATCGTCGCCCATACGCAATGCCAGCCCCTCTCCTCTTCGAACTTGAGGGCAAACGCAGCATGGCGCTGCGTCCACCGGTCCTCACGGGCGTCCGTGCCGAGCCCCCCGCCTTTGCCCTGATCGTCCCCGCGCTCGGTTGACTGGAAAGCTTTGTCGGAGAGCGTGACCGCGGCGGCATGCGAGACGACGAGGCGGACGTCCGTCGATCCAGACGCGGCGCGAGGGTTCAGCACCGGCGAGTCGGACTCGAGGACCTTGGGCACTCCGCCGTAGTGCGGGTCGTAGCCAACGACGCGAACTTGGAACGCAGAGCCGTCGGAGAAGTGGAGAGTGGTACACGGGTGGGCGCGCGAGCGGCGAACGCGGACGAGCGTACGGCCGATGAGTGTCGCGGGATCGACCCCGAAGCCCTCGCTATGCGGGCAAACGTCGCGCACGAGCGGGCGAGGGCGGCTCAGTGTCGACGGGGCGGAGGTCGACGAGAAGGACGTCTTGATGGGCGGTGGGGTAGACGGTCGTTTGCGCGCGGCGAGGGGGGATGTGGAGGACGTCGGAGAGGTGGAGGGAGAGGTGGACGGGGTGGTCGCGGGGCTGGAGCGGCGGTCGTCAGATGAGCTGTCGATCGCTGGGTCGTAGCTACTCAGACTGGAGCTTGTGTAGGACGACATGGCTGGGGGAGAGTGTGCGCGATCATTCGACCACCAGCTGGGGAGGGGGTGTACGGCAGACCGGCGGAGGCAGAGGAAGGAATCAATGCGGCGGGTGGTGGGAGACTCGAGAGAAGCGGCATAACGCCATCATTAAGACTGTGGCCGCACACACGGCCAAAGCCACCCAAACATCGCGCACGAGCCGGCCCCGCCTGCACTGCCAGTTCCATTGTTCTTCTCCGCTCGATACTAGGACCACAATGGGGCCGCACATCCGACCTGGACAATGAGGAGGAAGACGAAGGAGTCTGAAGGAGTGCGCGAGTGGACACTCAGTTCTGCCGGTCACTGGCCACGCCCCTCTGTCGAGTTCACGCCAACTAGTGGCACGTGTGACCTTGTGCCACTCAAAGCCCACTAGCGCTCACTAGTCACTCAACGGTTGACCTGACCATCTCGAACGGAGTTAGTGGCATGCATCGTGCCAGTTCTTACTTTCTCTACTGGCTGGTTATTCTGGTAGAAAACGTCTGGGGAAGGCCTTCGACAATTCGTTTTATGGATACTTGCACGCGACTACCTGAAAGGCCGGAGCTGCACGCACCCATGACCGGTTGACCTGCGCCTTTCAAATGGGCTTCCACACGCTCGTGTAAGAGGATTCTCAAGAGAAGGAAGATGATTGTCGGTCTCAGCAAGACTCGAGATCTGGAGCGTGCGGCGGCACAGACGCGCAAACACGGGCCGCCATGCCGCCAACGCGATGGGATGTTCTGCTGCATACACTGCGGGCAGGTGCCCTATTTCCCACGGGGCGATAGCCATGTCGCGGCGGTGGTATAGGTTTCCTTTGTCTTGAATGGACACATGGCTGTTGCGCGACGCGACAGTTAGACTTTTGTCTGCCTTGCGCATCGCTGCCCCCCCGCCGGATAGCTTTCCTTGCACATGACTATACCCTGGCTATACCCCGACTATCGCCCCACGTGATAGGTAGACTAGCACATGGCTGTCGCGTCGCGCGCGAGGTTGCCTGCTGCTTCGCTATCCCTCGACTACCTATTGCCTCGCGCACAAAGTCGCCTGCCGCTTCGTTATATACCCAATAACTCGCCACCGGGAGCTCCTATGCAGTGTCCCCAACACCCTGTGACGCCCTCCTCCTTGCCCTCCCCGCCTGCCAGGACCACCGCAGCCTCCACAGTATCCCGCGGTCCATCAGGTATAGTCGATCCAGCAGCTGTCTACAGATATCAAGCACATCCTCCAGGCACGCGTACCACTACACCACCCGCCGCAGCGCACGCAGCACGTGCTCACGATGCACACGCGCGAAGAATGGCTCAGTGATGGGATGAAGCGTGAGCACTGAGGGGGATGGGGGAGGACTTGCCGAGGTCATGGTGCCAGGTGGTGGAGCTGTCATTGGCGACGAGGCTAGCGCGCGCGGACTGACCCGCAACCATAAGCGCCGTCACTGGGCCTGAGAATAGCTACGCGCGGGGATAATCGAAGCATAGCGCTACCTTGCATGCGGGGCAATATTCGAGGTATAACGAAGCGGCAGGCGACTTTGTGCGCGAGGCAATAGGTAGTCGAGGGATAGCGAAGCAGCAGGCAACCTCGCGCGCGACGCGACAGCCATGTGCTAGTCTACCTATCACGTGGGGCGATAGTCGGGGTATAGCCAGGGTATAGTCATGTGCAAGGAAAGCTATCCGGCGGGGGGGCAGCGATGCGCAAGGCAGACAAAAGTCTAACTGTCGCGTCGCGCAACAGCCATGTGTCCATTCAAGACAAAGGAAACCTATACCACCGCCGCGACATGGCTATCGCCCCGTGGGAAATAGGGCACCTGCCCGCAGTGATACTGCTGCTTGCCTGCCTCTCTCCCTCCAGTTTCTCTCACAGCTCTCACAGTGTAATGGAACCTGCTCGCGACCTCCCACGTCGACATACCAAGTTTACCCCACCCCATACGCGTCCGCCGCCGACGTCCACGCGCGTTGATTGAGCGTTCTCCCACACGCGTGGCTCCTCAACTTCTTTGCCAATCGTCTCCCTGGTGGACCTTATGGTCCTTGCATTGCTCCTGGATGTCCACGCACTCCCATCCCTTCCGAGCCCCATTTGACCCCGACATCACATGGACACAGCGATGGTATTCGTTTCCACAGCGAGGTCCTATCTCCCGTTGCCCACCCACCATTTATCCCTCAGGTCTCTATCCCCACATGCGTCCCCAGCTGTTGCATAAATCGCCGCGCCTTCCGCTCCAAACCCCCGCGCTCTTTCTGCCCTCCCTGCCATCCGTCTTCTCTCCAGTCCCGAGATGTTGTCCGCCATCGCCGTCGGCCTTCTGGCCTTCGCGGCTTCCGAGACTGTTGCTACTCCCCAGCCGCAACCCATCGCCCTCCAGTCCCGTCCGACACCGAAAGGCCACGCGACTGGCATCCGTCGCCGTGCGCTCTCAGCAATCGGAGTCCCGCTGGAGGACTTCTTCCTGGGTACGGATTTGCAGTGGTTTGGTAATATCTCCGGTGCGTCCCCCTACTTCATCCGCCGGACTCAACACGTTGTCCTCATGTATGCCGTCGTGATGACAGTTGGCACGCCGCCGCAAGACGTCAGCGTCGTGTTCGACACTGGCTCTTCCTCCCTTGAGTTCGCGACGGATGAGTGCACGTCCTGCACTCAGACCGGCAAGTTCGTCCGTGCGAAGAGCTCCACGTTCAAAGCTGGCACCCGGTCTACCACGCTCAGCTTCGCAACCGGCGTGGGGTGGATCCAGTCGTGAACAACGATTATGTTCTCACCGTCAAGCAGGCGACAGACTCCGTCACGGTCGGCAATATCACTGCGAAGAACTTGAGCTTCTTCACTATCACGAAACAGACTCCCAAATTCAACCTCGACCCTTTCCTCGGCATTCAAGGAATGGGGTCTAGTGCTGAGGGAATCTTTGCCTTCCTCGTGAACCAAGGGCTCCCTTGTAAGCGAGCACAAACGGTCTCTCGAATCACTTCTCATTGGTCCACCTCCAGCCCTGTTCAGCATGTTCTTGACTCCAAACGCCGTTGGGAATGCCGAACTGCTGATCGGTGGTATCGATAACACCAAGTTTAAAGGTGCATTGATAATGACCACTGTTTCTGTGGTGCATCGACTTATTTTCTTTCAGGCAATCTCGTATATACGGAAAACACTGGAAGTGGGGACTGGGAGGCAACAGCTTCACGAATCTCTGTCAACGGCAAGACGAGCTCTGTCCTCAACAAGCGCTTGAACATCGTCTTCGACTCCGGCACCTCCAACATCCTCTTCAGCACCTCCATCGCCAACGCTATGTACGCTTTGATCTCGCCCAACATCAAGCCCTTCGCCGCCGAGCCTGGCGCATACGGTATCCCCTGCTCCCAGATTGGCGGCCTGCCTGCTGTCATCGACCTCACCTTCACCGACCTCAACGGCACCCCCTTCAACCTCACGATCCCGAGCTCGGAGCTCAACGTCGGGCCGTTCGATAGCGACCCTTCGACATGTCAAACGCTCATCAATGCCTTTGACGGCCTCGACCTCGTGGGCGGTTCGGTTTTGAAGCACTACTATTCCGTTTGGGATATTGGCAACCAGCGCCTCGGCTTTGCGCCCAACGGTGAGCTCCCTGCGCGTTTCTGTTGAATGGATCGATTCTGACGATACACATGCGTGCAGGTTTCTAGGACTATCCCGTGTACGCAGTTTCACGGGTAGCATATAAGCCTCAGTAGACGCACGTCACTGTATCGATAGCCTTCGAATAAAGGGGTCTCTGGATCTTCTACTGTGCGGTTCCGACCAATACTGGCAGCACACCCTCCCTTCTCCTCTGCACTTGGGTGGTATTTATGAATACTGATAACTTGTTCGAACCTACCCGAAGCTTGAGCAGCCAAGCAGTTGATGCGCGTCTGAAGCCATCGCCACCTCCCTATCGCCCTCCGGTCCCGTAAAACTTCGAAAGGACATATCATTGGTGCTTGCAAGCTCGCTCTGTTCGTGATCGGGGCTCGCTGGATGACTTCTTGGGCACTGATCTGTAATGAGTTGAGAACATCTCTGGTGCGTCGCCATCTCTCTGACCTCCACGTGTCAACAAAATGTCCTCATGTGCCCTAGTAGACGCGTAGTTGGAATGCTGCCCCAGAAAGTTAGCGTCGTCTTTAACACAGGCTCTTTCACCCTCAAGTTCACGACGTACAAGTTTATCCGTGCCAAGAGTTCTACCTTCGTGGAGGGAAACATGACTGGAGCGGGTGTTGATCCCGTCATAAACAGCGACTACGTCCCCACCTTCAGACCGGTGACTAATAGCATCACCGTAGGGAACATCACCACTCATAATACGAGCCTCTTCACCATCATCGACCAAACGCCGAAGTTCAACCCTCCATTCTTGTGCATACGGGTTTAACTATCGATCCGGGTATGTATGCAGCCTTGTTCAGCATGCTCTTAACTCCATAGGTGGTTGGACATGGGGAGCTTCTGGTCGGTGGTATCAACGACACCCTGTGTGGAAGTAGGTTTTGATTACTACTATTCTTTCGTCACCCGGTTCAATATTCGCGATCTCGTCTACATTAACTTCGTCGACAACCCCAGTTTTTGGCAGACAGATATGTCGAGGATATCCATCAACGATCAGTCCGTCAGCATCCTCTATGCCCCGCTCACCATCGTCGACTCGGGCACGTCCGGCATCGTCTTCACGGCGGACGTCGTCGGGTTCATAAACGCCTTCATTTCGCCTTTGATCCAACCTTTTGCCGCGGGGTCTGGTACATGCGGTCTCCCGTGCAGCGAAATCGACAGCCCTGACGTCGACCGACATCAACAGCAACCCGTTCAAAACTTCAACCTCAAGCTCGGGGCTCAACATCGGCCCATTCGAGAGCGACCCGTCGACTGCCAGCCTCGGCCCCGCAGGCAGTCAACGTTAACACCATTCCGACTCGGCGAACGCATAGCCAGCTTGCTCCTCGAGCCCGAGCGAAGCCTTCCTCGCCCACCTCGACGGGCCTGGCGCGCGCGAGGTCGTCGTCAAGATCGTTGAGCAGTACGGCGTGGACGTGCACGCCCTCGTAGAGGCTGGGCCCGCCCCGCCCGGATACGCCGTACCGCGGGCACCAGCTGGTAGAAATGCTGGAGCGCGTCGGAGGCAGAGGGGTGCGCGCGCCTGCGATGCAGTGCGCAGGAAGCTGCAACTGCATACGACCTTCGCCCGGAAAACGTCTTCGTCTTCGACGGATGAGAGCGGATTGGGGCGGAGGACGGGACGGGGAGAGGGGACGGCGGGAGAGATGCGGTACCCTTATGACATCTCGATGATGGCATATGCGCATATTCCGGGAGCGGAGGGATATGCGCTCATCGCACCGGAGCACGGCGAGCAGTGGGTGGCGGCGCTCGCGCCGAAGAGAGGCGAGTGAGGAAGCCGTCAGTTGTGGCTTTCACGATGCTTCCGACAAGTGTAGTCCACGAATTCCTTCCACAGGTGTTTATTCCATCAAGAGAGTGAACATGAAGATCATCGACATGATGAAACTACTATCATGTTGAAGGGGGAACGAACTGACAGGAAATTCGGCGCATACGGTTGGTTTCCCAGTCGGCGAGCGTCCCTGACGCCCGCCGACGGTACTTATCCCGAGGACCACGAAAAGGTCTGCGCCAGGACGGGCCGCCGCAGCTGCGCCCGCCCTCCCTCGGGACCCCCCTTGCCAACAGCCCTAGAGAATGTCAGCTCCCAACCGCGAAAGTCAAAAACCGAATTATAGCCTACGCGCTTGAGGATCCTCGTCCGGTTGGGGCCCTACTCTTCGGCATTACCCTGCATAAACAAACCGAAAGCCGAAAGCCGAAAACCAGACCACAACCCACGACCAAAAGTCCCATCTTCCGGACCCACCTGCCCGCATATCTTCGCCGCCTTCTGGGGTCAGACTTGCACGCCGGGTACCTGAGCCCCAAGCTCGCGCTTGCCGTCCCGGCTCGACACTGGAGCAAACGGGAACCTTCGTGCGCATAGGGACGGCTTGAGAGAAATGAACCAGACCCCCCTTGACGGGCACACCCGCGTTCTCGCGCCGTCTTCGGGGGATAGACCTGCACGCCGTGTACCTGAGCCCCAAGCTCGCTCTTGATATCTCAGCCCGACACTGGAGAGTGAGAGCCTTCCGCGCATGGGGACGGCTTGAGAAATCAACCAGACCCCGCTTGAAGTAGGTAGTGGAAAGCCCCGAAGGACGCCCAGCTGTGGAAAGAAACTGGAAGGAAGTTAGTGCGGAGGACGAGGAGTGTCACGGAGCGGGGGGACCTACACGTCAGTATGGGGACGAATGCAAGTCTTCTTGATAGCGATGGTCGAAGTCAGTGTCGGTGTCGATGGCGGTGTTGAGGTCGAGGTTGAGGTCGATATTGAAGGTGAAGTTGAGGTCGAGTCGACGTCGCCGAATGTTGATGGTCGGGGATGGGATGAACAAGCGATCCAGAGGACCTTTTATGGACAGAGGACGAGGGGGCGGGCTGTAGTGGCTTGTTTGTTCTGGCAGTCAGCCTCTTCACCAGTCCATTCTGTAGACTGTGGCAGGCGGGCGTACCCAGGGTTGCGAACCATCCCAGCCCCATTGCTTATCGGAAGTGTCAAATGACCTTACCAAAAAGTAATTGCAAAGTATGGGGAGAGCTTGAGTTGGCATCCCATGCGAACGAAGTTCCTTCGGCAGTAGACATACGAGCGCAAGTTTGTCGATGGCAAGCGAGGCTGCATCACAGACGACGAGATGGCGAACCGTAGCGACTTTTGTGTCTCCTCAGATGTTCACCCTTCAGCGTGCCTGCATAGCGAGGGATTACGAAAGGTCCCAGCCCCGTTACTCGTCGGAAGTGTCAAAGGACCTTGCCTGGAATTGAGCCAGGTGTCCTCAGATGTCGAGGATTGCCGACATCTGCAACTCCTTGGGTGTAGAAGAGAGCACGTATACAGTAGGCATACGAGCATGAAGCCGCGAGACGCGAGAGGGTTGGGGGGTGCAGAGGAGTGCCCACGATTTCACAGGGAAGATGGCAAGTTCGCTTTTGCGGTTCATGAATCATGGGAATCATGGGAAGCTCTCTGGGACGAATCTCAAGAGTAACGAGAGCCTCCAGATACGAAGAAGTAGGCTCCGAGTTCGCGTGGCAAGCAAAGGCATGGTGAGATCCAGCACGATCAGAAAGCGGTCATGTAGAGCATCGGACTCGAACCTGCTGAGGGCGTCCGTCCAGTTACTTGATCCATCCCAGGGTCATGGCACAACTCGTCGCTCATTCAACATTTCACGGCCCGTCTCTGTATGCACTCCGGGCATTCTTGGTACCACTTGAATGGTCGATGTTGGGCCGCTTTCACCTTCTCGTGATTACCATGTTTTTGTTCAGACTCGCTTCGAGGAAGAGGGTGAAGTGCTGGGTCGAAGGAGGTGAGCGCGCTCATCATGCCACGCGAAAGGGATGTTGATGACTAACCCGCTCGTGTCGAGAGCGCTCGACGCATGCCATTATTTGCGTGGCCGTGCATCTTGTCTCATACCAGATTTCAATGTGAGCTTCCCGCGAGTTCTCTTCCTCGAGATCACTGAGCATACTTAGTCAGGGGTAGGGAGATGCTGGGAATGTGCTTTATGCAAAGCGAACGCCTGCTAGAGCCCGGTCTCATGGACAGAAGGCCTGGTCTCGTCCCCAGCCGCTCTGTACCGCACCCCGCCACCGCCTACACGAGGCGGTGGCGGGGTGCGGTACAGAGCGGCTGGGGACGAGACCAAGTTGAAGAAGGCCCCGCATCAATGCGCGCTCATCTCCTGTATACTTGGCGTCGGCGCGCATGTGGTCCTATGTGGTCCTGGATGTGCAGGCCCTCGCGAGTCGCGTCCTTCCTGAGTGACGCGCACCTCGGAGTAAGTATATGTCGGGATGTGAGCGCGCAAGGAGCGTTCTCCCTCTTTCCCCTTCCCCTTCCGCTTTTTCCCAGTCAACTTGACTTTCGTCGCTTGCTGTCTTATTTGACTCATGGCACGCTCTTTACTCTCTGTCTTTCTGTCTATCCTGGTTGCGGCCGTTTTCATTCCCGAAGTCTTCACCGTGTACGGAGTAGCCCAGCAGGGTATTCAAGCACCGAGGATCTTTGGACCAAGAGTGGAGGATTTAGCGCGGTTTGCAGGAGGCGTCTCATTCAGAATGAGAAGGTCTAGCAATCTTTTGGAGGGCAGTGACAGGTGAGTGTATTCATTTCACTTCAGACTGAAAGAGCAGGCTTTTATATTCAGATACACCCTTGGGCTATTCCAGAGCGACTCCGAGTCAGCACCAAAAACCTTGATCGTCGAATCCCTGCCCGCTAATGCTTCAACAACTACCGTGCATCTCTTCCTGCGTGCCGACCTCTCCAACGACTTCCACAAGTACCTGCCATGGATCGTCGCCGGGTCCGTGGTCGGTGGGCTCGTACTGGCCTTCCTTTTCGCTGCCCTCTTCATCTATTTCCGCGGTCGACGCTATCGCTCCTTGAGCGATCCGGCGCCTGAAGGGGCTTCAAACGAGTCAAAAGATTATCAGGTTCCCAAACAGTTCCTCATACTCGACGCTCAATTCACCTGGAAGAAAGACCATCATTCAAGCGGGTCGCTGGGGAGTCCATACGTACGCCAGTACAACGATGCGGGTGCACGCCGGCTCCAGGCGAGCGAAGACTCGGCTCCAAGCGGTTCGAAACGAACCAGCCTATTTCGTGGGCGAAGGAGTTCGGAGAGCGACGACATGGAGGAGAGGGCTTTTCTTGTCGAGCGAGCTGCTTCCCCCGCGGCGGTCAAGATGACACCCTCGCAAACTACGCCGGCTCCACGTTTTCATCGATCAAACTCGTCAACAGGCTCGATACGCGTTCTTGCTACTCCTGCAGCAGCCGCTGCCATAGCCTCTCGACCCTCGACCCGTCGATCTACACTTCCTTCACGCTCGCCTTCACTTTCTGCCTCGACCTCCACGAAGTACGTCCCCATCCTCCCGCCGCCGCCAGCCTCTCCGACCGCCGCTCCCGTTCCCATCTTCACCCGCCAAATCACATCCCCCGGGCTCGACGTGAACAAGCCTCTTCCGAACCCCTACGAGCAGTACCGCCCCGAGAGCATGTGGATGCTCGAGACCCCCGCGGACGACCTTGTGCGCTCGCTCCCGAACCCGTACGCGCCTTCCGGGTCCACGGACGGGCACGAGCGCGAGGCAGCGCGTGCGGACTCCCCGGAACCGTACGACCGCCTCCCGCCAGTGCCGCCGCTGCGGCTTGGCCAGGGCAAGCGTGGCAGCGCGTCCGACTTTCAACTTCAGGGGTCGCCCACGCCGACGGGCCCGAAGCGGCCACACCCGCTCCGCATGGCCTCGAACACAAGCAGGTCGTCCGGCGACGAGTGTGCGGCACAGGAGGGCGCAGCAAGTACGGCGATGTATGTGCTCCCTGCGATGGACTTTTCGGCAGCGTCGCTCGCGCTCGGAGAGGAGTCGCGGGCGTCGTCGAGGGCGTCGCAGCGCACGGTGACAGGGAGGACCGCGCGGTAGCATGGACGACGGGTGGTTGTGATTCTGCAGTTGTTATGGTTCTACTTATTGTTGCGCTTGAATCGCGCGCGGCGTCCTGTCGTTCTGCTGTGTGTGCTGTCGCATTTACGCGTACATCGGTGTGCATGTAGGCTGTCCCATGTTGTGGGTGCGCCGCCACACGTACTACCAGATCTGAACACAACACTTCCAGTCACACCCCCAACGCCGGACTAATCCGCGGACTGTGTCGGATGGTGAGTTCCTTAGCTTGAGAGTCGGGACTACCCCTGCCCAATGCAAGGGAAGTGTTGCCCGAGTGGCAGGTTTGCCTAGGGGAGGCTACGTGAGTCTTTGCGCAGCACCGCCGCTTGACGAATCACATTAGCACGACGAAAGGCACGGCGTCAAGAGGGCGGCCCGCTCGAGAGGATACAACGGAAGTTGTACAAGGCCGACATACAGGTTGGCTCAAGCTATACATCTCCTTGTCGAATTCCCGACACCGCAAGCGATCCAGTGCACTCCAGTGCAGGTCGATCCGGGCTGCGCAGCATCTGCGACGAAGATCGTCTGGCTCGTCGGCATCACAACGGTCTCGCGTCGCGTGAATACTTGGCACCACGCAAGACCACAAATCTCCGGTGCGGCAGCCAGCGCGTGGACGGGCGGCAATTGGAGGAGACCCCAGCCCCCGCCGCGCAGTGGAGTGGAGCGCGAGAGCAGGCTTGTCGACGGCCCGTGACGAGCAGCTGGACGGACCAGTGCGGTGGCGGCTTGGAGCGAATGAGAGAGCCGACGCCCCTGAGGCCTGAGGCAGAAACAGTGCGCGACATGCTTGCCGCCACAGCCTCGCGCCCAGATCCCAATTATCTTATGTATCCCACCTGCGCACCCCGGCATGCTGTCCCCGCGTGCTTTCTATCCTTCCTCTTCTCATCCCCCTACACTTCTTCCTTTCGTTCACCGTCCTCCCGTTCCTTTCTCCGTGGCTAGCACCCCATCCAGATGAAACTCTCCGGCGCGCCCGCATTCCTCTTCTACCTCTCGTGCCTCGACCTCCTCCCTGCCGTGCGCGCCGCCCGCTTTCATGCCGAAGGGCGTATAGGTGGCTTTGGGCGGCGGCACGTGTCCGGCTGGACCGTCGCGCGAGTATTACGGGTACCCCGGACGTGGAGAATGAGGGGAACACGCAGTACAAGACGAACATCACCCTGAACGACAAGGTCTTTGAGGTCCTCATCGACACCGGAAGGTGCGTCGTCGCTCCACTGCGTACCGTGGTCGCGTCAAGCTCAACGCGACCCGCACTCCTGCAATCCACGCACACAGCTCGGACCTATATGTTGTGGGTGATGTACCTGGGGCAAAGGACACTGGCAAGACGGGCTCGGTCACGTATGCGATCGGGTCCACCAAGGGTGCGGACCCTCCACGCTCGCTTATGCGAATATACTCACTTTCGCCATGATTAGGCCCCATAAAGACGGCCACGCTAGGCTTTGAAGGCTTCACGATCAAGGACCAGGCCTTTAGTACGCCCTACGTCACTTGTGGTGCAACCCCTCTCTGACTCTCCGCGCTTTTTAGTCGAGCAGGCCCCAGACAGCCAGCACACGGAGGGTGACGGTATTATCGGTCTCGGGCCCGGGTCCTCGTCGAACGTGCAAGACGAGATCGACAACTCGTCGGGCGACGCCCCGCTCGACCGCATCTTCCGTCAAAACACCACCACGCCGAATTACATCACCGTGCTCCTCGGACGCAACAACGATCCAACCGACACCTTTGCCGGGGACTTCACGATCGGGGAGACCGTCGACCCGTATGGCAACATCACGAGCCAGCCAAAGCTCCCCGTAACGGACTCGAGCAGCGGACAGCACTGGACTACGCTCATGGACAAGAACGGGATCATTGGGCCGGATGGGCAGCGGATCAACACGACGAAGCGTGCTACGGGCAACCGGTTGAACGTCATGTTTGACACTGGTTTCACGTTCCCCCAGGTGTCCAAGTGAGTAACCAGTTCTGCGCATCACCATCTTCTCAGGAAGCTACATGCTTGCCTGCAGGACCCCATGTGGACCACCACTGCCACTTTCCCCGTTTTGTGCACCGACCACCGTTCGAGCGAGCTTGCTGACGATGTTCACAGTAACATTGCGAACAACATATATGGACGTGTGCCCGGTGCTAAGTTGGCCAATGTTACCGGGATCGGTTCACCGATTTGGACTCTGCCTTGTGACACTGAGCTCAACATCAGCTTTGTGTTCAGCAACGTTGTCATCCCTGTCCACCCACTCGACACCGTGACAGATGCGTTCCATGGCGATGACGATGCGAATGGGAACCCGACTTGTGTTGGTGCTTTCCAGCCTATCATCCTCAAGAACCAGGGCTTCGACATCATCCTCGGCATGTCTTTCCGTGAGTAATATGAGGCACTAATATTGTGGGTGTTTTCTGATGCAAGCCCCTACTCTGACAGTCCGCAATGCCTATCTCCTTATTGACTTTGGTGACTTCGTCGATGGCTCCCTCTCTAAGGTTGGAGACCCTTTCATCCAGCTCTTATCGATCACAGAACCTGTTGAGGCCCACAACGACTTCGTTCAATGCGTCTCGGTGGTATCGACCGCGGCAGCAAACTCCAGCTGCTCCCCGCCATCCCTGATCACGACAGTGACAACAGCGGCAACGACGAGGACTGGGTTCAAAGTACAAGATCTACATCATCGTCGGAAGCGTCGTCGCCGGTTTCATCATCTTGACCCTCATCGTGGCCGTCTCGTACCGCGCATCGAGCAAGCGGCGCTACCGCCGCCTCAACGAGCCCGTCCCCGAGGGTCTTCCTTCATACGGCAGGCCTCCAGCACAGCGCTACTAGGCTATGGACACTCGGACTCTGCTTTCATCTACCTTGGCGAATTTTTATCACCCTGTTTTTGTTCCCAAACAGTGCTTGTATATTTTACTTACTACGGCATCTACAACTACGCATACACTCACATAAATTATCCCATTGCACCTGGGGCGCACAATGCATATCATGGACTGTAGCTCGCACATCGTTATCGTTGCACATGTGCACCCCTCTCGCCATCATACCCACGACGCACGGCGGACGTAGAGCGTGGGCTGCGCGTCGCGTCCGATGCTAACCGGAGGATGACGACGTGGGCGCGGCGGAGGGAGAAAAGAAGGGCGGGCGAACATTGATGGGCGACTCACCTCGGCGTCGGCGTTCTCCCTGCGGGTGGATGCCGCTGGATCCGGGCGGACGTCGGCGCCCCACGCTGCAGATCGATGGGACTCGCCCCGGGGACGGGCTGAACAGGGGTTCTCGGGCGCGATGTCGATGTGCCTTCGCCACGATGGGCGACGGCCGGGGCCGGCGTGACGGCGATATGGGCGTGACTGGCGGCGACGAGGGGGGCACGATGTGGGTTGCGGAGTGTGGAACAAGGGGGCTCACCTCGCCGGGACCGGCGCGGGGACGGACAAGGTTCGCGCTACGTCGTGGGCGTGCAGGACCGCGACGGATAGGGACGGCTCGGGGCGTGTGCTGGAGACCGCAGGGCGGGCACGAGGCGCAGCGGCAACGCGGGCAGGGGTGGTCCGTGGAGATGGGGGGAAGGGGGCCGACGGACGTGGATGACGTGTGCGACGCACGCGCCCGAGCCCGATGGGTTCTGGAGGGTGCAGCCTGCCAATGGCAGCGGGGAGCGTCTCCGGGGCGGCGGCGGAGAGGTCACGCGTGACGATGGGGAGAAGGGCCGGGGGGTGACCGCGCGGTGACGTGGAGGGCAGCAGCGGGGACAGCGGGGACGCTGAGCCGGGCCCGCGCACGTTGCCGGCCGCGTCGTCGGCGGGGGCAGAGACGGCGCCGGGACGGATGGCTTGGTGATGGAGCACGAGGACTCCCACGCCGGACAGCACGGACAGTCGGGGGCTCGTCCCGCGCGCGTCTGGGCCCGCCCCTGCGCAGGGCGCGGCCGTCGTGCCCGCGAGCGAGGTGTGCGGCGGGCAGCCTGCGAGCGAGCGAGAGTTGCGGGGAAGGGGGAGGAGGGGGAGGAGGGAGCGGGAGAGGAAGGGAGGAGGGTGGACGGAGATAAGCTGATGAGCGCGACTGGTCGGGTTCGCCATGGGCAGTGGCGAGCACGCCGCGCTGTGTGCACTCTGGCCCGGCGCACGCGTGCGAACCGAGTCCGAGACGGGCTGGTCGCTCTGGCGCTCGCCCCCTCCCCTTCTCAACGCCCCCAGCACCTCCCTCCCTCTCCCTCCTCCTCGTCGTCCGCCCCTTCCCGTGCCCCGTCCCCCTCCCGAGCGCTTAAACACCGCTGACATCCCGCCGCGCACCGAGCCCATGCATAGCGTCCACGACGACGACGACGACCCCATGGCCTCCGCCCTCTCCCCGGGCCCGCTCAGCGGCTCCGACGACTCAGACAACACGATGAACGTCGACTCCGAGGTCGATGTTGCCCGGCAAGATCTGGACGCCGACGGCGAGTCCGACGACGATGATGTGCAGCCTCCTCCTCCCGCGAGCGGGTCCTCCTCCTACCATAACAAGCGCGTGGTGAGTTGTGTTCGCCTTTGCAGTCGCGTCGAGACGCGTTGATGTCTGAGGCATGGGTATGATGTAGGTCAAGGATGAAGACGAGTCGGTACGCGCGCTTGATTTTCCAGTGTCAGTATATGCGCTTATATTATCCATACAGGGCTACGATGATGAAGCCGAGGATCCCGCAGACGACGAGGAGGATGCTTCCTATGCAGATGAGGAGTATGGCGCACCGAAGAAGAAGGCCGTAAAGAAGAAGAAGGCTCCCTCGAAGCCCAAAGGTGAGCTCCTCACCATCTCGAGTCACAGCGGTGCCATATATGAACGCGCCCGCGTGCAGTCGCTCCTCGACCAGCCGTGGTGGATTCCGACTCCGACTCAGATTATGGCTCACGATCAAAGAAGAAGAAGAAGACTAGGAACCCGGGGGACGAGTTACGCGTCTCAAGTCGAGGGGTCAAAATCCCCAACTACGTGGACGATGTGCAAGACTTCGAGCAATTTGAGGACGACGCGGATGCAACATCCTACAAGGAGGTCGCGACACCGCTGAAGGAGGAGGATGAGATAGAGAATGTGCTCGGACACTGTCGAGATGAAGGACAAGTGGATGACTCGCAAGACGACTGGTACACGAACATCGTGCGTTTACCCGTCTATTGTTCGATACCTTCGTCTAAACAGCTCGCATCTAAAGCGCTTCCACATCAAATGGAAGAACTTTTCCCATCTCCACAACACGGACGAAGTGTACGAGTTTTTGAAGAGATTCAAGGGGTTGAAGCGCGTCGACAACTATATCAAGGCGTACAAGGTGGAGCAGGACATCCTTGCCAATAGGAAGCTGTCGCCAGAAGAACGAGAAACAATCTTCCTTCGGCGCGAGCGCGACAAGGAGGAGCTCGAGCTACACAAGACTGTTGAGCGAGTCATCGCCCAGCGAGAGGGCGACGGCGGGATTGTCGAGTACTTCTGCAAATGGAACGGTCTCAACTATGAGCACTGTACATGGGAGGCGCAGGAGGAGATTCGGCCAATTGCCAAAGAGCAGATCGACGCGTTCCTCAACCGAGAAGCGGAGGGTAGATTCCCCTTCAAGAGCACTCCTCATCAGAGGAATGCGCGTCCGCCGTTTCAGAAGATCACAGAGGATCCGCCATACATCGCAAAGACTGGAGGCCAGCTCAAGGACTTCCAGTTGACCGGTCTCAACTGGCTCGCATATCTATGGAGCAAGGGCGAGAATGGCATTCTAGCAGACGAGATGGGGCTCGGAAAGGTACGTAGCTGGTTCATCGTACTAGGCGTAGTGGAACTGAACGGCACGAATAGACGGTCCAATCAGTGTCGTTCCTTTCGTATCTCTTCCACGAGAAACGACAGTTTGGCCCATTCCTTGTGATTGTGCCGCTTTCGACAATCACCGCGTGGCAATCGCAATTCCAGACATGGGCCCCGGATATGCATGTCATCACCTACATCGGCAGCGCAACCGCACGGGCCGTAGCCCGTCAGTATGAATTCGGGCCGTCCTCGAAGAAACTCCAGATGAACGTGCTTTTAACAACATACGAGATTACGCTGCGAGATGTGAAGGAACTTGGCGAGATCAAGTGGCAGATGCTGATGGTCGACGAGGTATGTTCTATTGCAAGACTTCTAGCGAGTCGAAGTTAAAGTAAGGAATTCTTGACAGGCCCATCGCCTGAAGAACTCGGAAAGTCAGCTTTACGAGGCGTTGCGAGGCTTTGCTGCTGCGTCGAAGGTACTCATCACTGGAACTCCGCTTCAGAACAACGTCAAAGGTACGCTAAGGAAGCCTCGTGGCATGATCAGCAAACTCAGCGAACGTTCACAGAGCTTCTTTCATTGATGCACTTCCTCATGCCGGAGAAGTGTGCGTGCCTTCCTTCTCAGTATTTATTCACATTAGCTCATCGTCTCTTCGCTACAGTCCAACTGACCAACGAGTTTGACCTTGCCGACGCGGATCATGAGGTCAAGATCAAGGAACTGCACAAGCAGTTGGAAAGCCTCATGTTGCGGCGTTTGAAGCGCGATGTATTGACATCGTTGCCCACGAAGAGCGAGCGCATTCTTCGTGTGGAAATGTCCGCCATGCAAACTCACTTCTACAAGAACATCCTCACGAAGGTATAGTATGTCGTTCTAATTCCGGAACAATTCTCTCAATATGCTTGCAGAACTTCCAAGCGTTGATCAAGAGCGCAAGCGGAAACAACAACATCAGCTTGCTGAACATCGGTGAGTCTATGCCTTGTTCTCGATCACCCTTCCGCAACTGATCGTTGGTGCAGCGATGGAGTTGAAGAAGGCTGCCAATCACCCTTATCTCTTCGATGGTGCCGAGCCTCAATCGAACAACGACGAAGAGATCCTCAAGGGTCTTGTGATGAGCAGTGGGAAGATGGTCCTCCTCGACAAGCTACTCGCGCGACTACGGGCAGACGGCCACCGCGTCCTTATTTTCAGTCAAATGGTTCGAATACTCGACATCATGAGCGACTACATGACCTTGCGTGGGTACCAGCATCAGCGACTTGATGGGACTATCACCTCCGAGCAGCGCAAAAAGTCTATCGCTCACTTCAACGCTCCCAACTCTCCTGATTTCGCCTTCCTCCTCTCCACCCGTGCCGGTGGTCTCGGTATCAACCTCGAAACGGCGGACACCGTCATCATCTTCGACGTGAGTGGAGACGCGACCATCTTCATACAGCCTGACCCCATTGCTCACTTTCCGTGCCCGCAGAGCGACTGGAATCCTCAAAACGACCTACAGGCGATGGCCCGTGCACACCGTATCGGGCAGAAGTCCCACGTCAGCGTGTACCGCTTCGTCAGCAAGGACACGATGGAAGAGGATGTTCTCGAGCGCGCGAAGAAGAAAATGGTCCTCGAGTACGCTAGTGAGTCACCCTATGCGCTCCTTCAGGTAGAGGAGACTGACGCCGATGCGCCTAGTCATCAATCAGATGGACACATCACAAGCGCATCTCAGTTCGAAGGGTGGCTCCAAAGACCCTACGAAGACCGAGACTCTCAGCAAGGATGAGCTTACCGCAGTCCTGAAGTACGGCGCACAGAAGATGTAAGTTATCACGGGATCTGCCGTCCACGCTCTTCCCTAACCCATTTTCGCAATCTAGCTTCGATAAAGACGACTCGCAACAAAGCAAGAAGCTCGACGAGATGGACCTCGACGACATCCTCAACCGCGCCGAGCAGCACGAAACCGTCGCCGCCTCGAACGAGGGCGCGTCGCTTGGCGGTGAGGGCTTCTTGGAGCAGTTCGCCAACATATCCGATGTCAAGAACGATATGAACTGGGAGGACATCATCCCGCTCGAGGAGCGCCAGCGCTTCGATCGTGAGGAGGACGAGCGCAAGGCAGAGGAGATTGCGGCGTCAGAGACCAAGGACCGCAAACGGTCACACGCTCAAGTGTCATATGAGGGCATGGACGTCGAGCAGTCGTCGTCAGCACCAGCGAAGAAGCCGAGGCATCCTCCGCCGCAACGCAAGACCCCGAGCCAGAAGGCCATGGAGCTCAAGGAGCGGGACGTCCGCGTACTTGTTCGCAGTCTGCAGAAGTGGGGCGATATCAGGCAGCGATACGACATCATCGTGCGTTTTCTCTGCTCGCTTTGGGGGCTCGTCGCTGACAGCTTCATTGCCTCGGTCTCAGGTTACCGAGGCGAAGCTCACCGAGAAGAACCGCGGCATGATCCAGGAGGTGTCGGACGACATCATCGAGCTCTGCGCACGGGCGGTCGAGGAGAACAACGTTGAGAAGCGTGCACGCATGGAGGCTGGCGAAACCCTTACGAACGCGCAGAAGAGCAAGGCCGTGCTCGTCACGTTCCGGGGTGTCAACAACATCAACGCCGAGACCGTCCTTTCACGACATCGCGACCTGCAAATCCTCTTCAAGTATCTTGAGGCTCTCAGCGATGAGGATCAGTACTCTTGGACAATCCCGATCGAGAATATCAGGCCAACACTCAACTGGTCGGGCCGGTGGGGACCACAAGAGGACGCGATGCTGCTCGTCGGCGCATACAAGTACGGCTTCGGGAATTGGGAAGCGATGGCCAAAGACCCCCGTCTCGGGCTCGAGGGCAAGTTCTTCCTCGAGGATGCCAAGAAAGGCGAAGATGCGGCGAGCAAGCCCATTCCCAACGCCATCCACCTGGTGCGCCGTGGGGATTACCTCCTCGGTATCCTTCGCGAACACGATGAGAAGATTCGCGCGATCGAGTCGAATCTCACGCGTCGCGGACTCGCCAAGGCCAGCCTCTCCCCGCCACCACTCTCCTCCATCGCAGCAGCATCAAGCTCGTACGCGTCTGCCATCCGACGGCGCGCCGAGAGCGAGGCGGTCGCGTCCGTGGACGAGGGAGCGAGCAAGAAGCGCAAACGGAGACCAACACCGACGTTCACCGACTCCTCGTCGTCCGACGAGTGCCCATCGATGGACGAAGCGGCAACGAAGGAGGAGCTGCGGCCGGTCAAGAAGCATCTGAAGTGCTTGAAGCTCTCGGGAGGGGAGATGCCGCGCGAGGAGAAGGTCGCCGTCCTGAAGGACTCCCTCGCGGCGATCGGGAGGCGCATAGAGTCCGTGCTGCAGCAGAAGGCGGCAGCAGGAGAAGATGCAGTCAGATGGAAGCGACATCTGTGGACGTGAGTACCTCTGCTACCTTGGCTGATAGATCGGGAGCTGATCGGTTTTGTCGGTAGATTCGTCACGCTGTTCTGGCCCAAGAAGGTCAAGGCAGCTAAGCTGGAGGAGATCCACGCGAAGATGGTCACCAAGGACGGAGTACGAGCCCCCTCAGCAGAAGGCACGTCCGCTGTCTCTAAGAAGCCCCGTCTAAGTAGTGCCGCCGCGAACGGTCGAGCAGGCGCGCCGTCCAACGCGTCCACAAGTTCGACCTTCACCAACGGAAAGCACCGATAACATGTCGCCTTCAGCCTCTCTTCTATCTTCCTGCCTTGTCCGAACGCTGATCCCATCGCTGTATCGTTGTAACTCTCCATTCTCGCTGCTGTACTGGGCCACGATTGTCGTCGACCACGGATGTTTCTCCCCACTGCGTCTGTCTCCTACAGTTTTGTTTATATCTCAATGCCTTACTCCTATGTGTCAATACATTACTGCCCGTGCTGTACATCGCTCACCGTCTATACACTGATATACCGCGCTGCTCGCTCACACGCTCTTCCCCACTATCAATTGTTTTTGTACCACATTGCAGAGCGCACTTGTCAAAATTAGTCACCACCTTACTTCAACCCCGCCCATGAGCATCTCCGCCTACCCGTGTAACGTCGTGTGCAAGTATAATACAACAAGTACATCGCGCATTCCAGTCCTCCCATATGTACAGTCGGCACGTTGGAACGTCTACAGCGCGGAGAGAGGTGAGCGAGAAAGAGAGATGAGTATTGGAGAAGCGTCGTAAGCGGGAGAGGGGGTTTCCGGTTGGATAGGAAGTCGTTCCACATGTACAATAACTCGAAGCGATCCGCGGCCACAAAGGTCCACTTTGCCGTCGCGCGTCACGAGTCGAGCTCGGTCATTGTAGCGCATTTTGAGCGACTATATGCGCCTACCGTCGATCGTAACGTCCACCACGCTCCGTCGGGAATGCGATCCATGCCTACTTTGTGATACACAGCATTGAGCAAAGAATACAGCGAGTCGAACACACGGACATACAGACGAGATACTCACTCTCGGCCCTGGACGAAGATGGCCGGCTTGAGAGTGGTCGTGCCGCCGCTGCGCTTGCGCGAACGGCCGCTAACGCTGACGCTGACGAGCGGTTGCCCCGACGAGCTGGCGGCGGGGCCGGTGATGGTGGAAGAGCTGCTTTTGCGCTGTCGTGAGTGCGAATGGCGTCTGGACGAGGACACCTGCTGGGAGGGCGCCGCTGCAACCCGTGCAGCTGAACACACAACCAGGACCCATCAGTTTGCTGATCTTGCCAATTCTCCATCGGCCAAGCAAAAATGGACGCACCTTCGACAACCTTTGCGTCCGCCTCGCGGTGGAAGCTCTCCATGAGGGCCGTGTACCGCTTCACCTGCCACGCGAGCTGACTCGCGCGCGCCGTGTTCCCCTGGCTCATCGCCCACTTGCGCTCCTCCTTGAACCGCCGCCGCTCCGAGTCCGCCAGGCTCGCGCGCGCGCGGAGCACCGCGACCTCGCGCTCGGCCGGCGTCAGCTTCCCCTCTGGGTCGATCGACGACGGGACCGAGTCGAGCGAGATCGACGGCGCGGTGCTGCAGTACGTCAGCGTCGGCGTGATCGCGCGCACCTCGGACGACCGTCCGTGCCGCTCGTCGTCGAGCAGGCCCGCCGCGGACACGTGCGACGCCGTCTGCGGGAACGGGTGCGACGACGGGCCCCCGCCCCCACCGTGCGGGTGGGGGGTGCCGCCGTGCGCCCGCCGTCGCTCGTAGTCGTCGCGCTCGCGCTGTTCGCGGTCCCGTTCGCGTTCGCGGTGCCGGTCCTTGCGTGTGCGGTCGCGGCCAAAGGAGACGAGTCGGATGCGCTTGGGCGGGTCCGGGGGCGGCTCGCGGGCGATGACGATGGGGACCGGGGCGCGGGGGACGAGGCCCACCTCGCTCCCGAGAGCGAGCCCCGACTGGCCGTCGACGAACTGCCCAAGGAGGTCGGTGAAGAGAACACCAAGGGCAGCGCCGAGTACGGTGCACGCTGTCTGCGCGACGTCGCCGAGGCGAACGAAGTCGATGAGGAGCTTCGCAGCGACGCCGACGACGGCAACGACAACGACTTGAGGGATTTGGGTAAAGGTGTTGTGGATGAGGACGCCCTGGAAAAGGCCGTTGAGGAGGTAGTCGGGGGTGGAGGGGGTATGAGTGGGGCTTGGGGCGACTGCGTTGATGAACACGCGAGCGCCGAGAGCAAGAAGGAGAGGAAGACCAGTCGTGAGTTGCATAAAGTCAGGACGGTCGTATAGACATGAGAGGGGGGGCGCAGCAGGCGGAGACCCGCAGGACGAGCACGAGGGCAAGCACGGACGGAGGAGGAAGGAGGAGGACCGCAGGCGCCCAAAGTCCAACCAAGAAAGCGACTACGCGCGACACGTGGGAATCCCCGCGGCTGCGCCCATCAGGTAGCACAAACAAACCGGTCGATTACACAAACAGCGCGTATGGTACAGAATACAGAGCCAGCATCGTCCCTCAACGTCAACGCTCACACCTCCGAGTCCACATAGTTCGCCATCGGGTCCTCCGTCATCCGCCGATTCATCCGGTAGGCCTCTGCGAGAAGGATCAGTGACGACGTCGGCTCGCGCGCAAATGAACTTACCGAGCTCTTCTTCCGAGACCTCATAGCTCGTCGATCCCCCAAAGCCGCGCTGCTTCTTGCCGCCTCGGTCGTCGTCGTCGCCTACGCGAGCTTTCCGCTTCCGCTCCTCGTTCACGGCTTGCGCGAGCTTCTCCTTGTCCAGCGCCACCTCGCCCTCGCCCAGCCGCCGCTTCGAGAACAGCTCATCCGCCTTCTTCTTCCGCTCCTCCGCGCTGTCTGTCGGCACTGGCGGTGGTGGCATAGACGACTCGGGAGGCTTTGATGAGGATGCCAGGAGATTCTGGGCACTAGAAGCTTCCGCAGCTTCAATACCGGCGAGGCCGGTACAGTATGACATGTGGACAGCAGAATGGCAGCATGCGTAGCCCCACGTCCCGGATGCGAGGTCGTACCACGAACCCCACACCGCGGTGTGATTGTTGACGAAGACTGCATAGACGTTAGTCAAGGCATGAGAGAACAAAATGAGTGACACGTACCATCCTCTGGGTACTTTGACCTCATCTTCGCCCTCTCCTTCCCCTTGATGACCTGACCCGTGCGCGAGTACTCCAGATACTCCTCCGTCTGACCCTGCAGCACCTCCTTCGGGGCCTTCTCCAGGTACTCTTCTCCACCATACTTCGCAAGGATGCTGACTTTCGTTGTATCCTTGAGCTCCTCTTTCTTCTTGATGTACTGTGAATGGAGCAGCTGTCCTTGCGTTGGGTTGGCGTTCACATGAACGTCGTTCCCTCGCGCGGCAGCGTTCCACGCGAACAGTTGCAGCTTTTGTACTTCGAAAGCCTCGCCAGAGTACCGAAGGAAGTTCTCGCCAGCGAACACAGCCTATGCACGAGTCAGTCCGAACCGCCGTCTCGGCAGGAAAAAAAGGACGCACGTCTTCGGCAGAGATCCCCTTCAGCGGGTTATCACGCATGGAACGCGTCTTCGGGTCGTAGTGCGCGCTCGACGGGTCCAGGTTGAGCAGGTACTTCGCCGTGTCCTCGCGGATACGCAGGTTGCGCACCGTGATCCGCGTCTTCGTGTCCAGCTTCTGGCCCACCGCGTCCGCACTCTCCGCGTACTTGTCCGTGTCCTCGTCCTCGTCCTCGCTGCTCCCAAAGTCGTCGTCCCGGCCCTCCGCTTTCTCCTTGCCCGCCTTCGCCACCCGCCGCACCGCCGCGAGGTCCGTCGTCGTCCGCTTGTCGATCTCGTCCTCCCGGAGCTTCTGCCGCGCCGCCTCGACCGCCTCGTACTCGTCGTACACCTGCTTGTGCTGCGCGGGGTCGTACCCGTTCCACCGGTCCCGCTTCGCGTCGTACCCGCTCGCCACGTCCTGGACCACCTCGTCCGCGGCGATGTCCCTGCCTGTGAACTTCGCGCCCCGCCGTCGTGGCCGCTCGAGGCAGTCCTGCCGCTTGTGCGTCATCGCCCCACAGTTCTCGCATGCGCCCTTGCGGTACTTCTTCGCCGCCGGGCCTGCCTTGGCCCCACGGTCGTACCAATTGTCGAGCTTGTCGGCGGAGCGGTCGTACTCGGGAATACGTTGGTGGCTGAGGGAGGGGGCGCCGGTGTCGAGATACCATGGAGCTTGCGCGATGTATTCTGCAACAGTGTCAGAGACTTTTGCAACGACAAGCACGTTATGCTTGCTCACGGGGAATGTGGGGATTGATCGCTTTTCCCTCCTCGTCTACGGCTGCAGGCGCAGTACCCGCCTTACGAGCTGCATCGAGGTCTTTCTGTCGCCTGAACTCTTCCCTGGAAAGCTTTCCGGTGGCTGCATTTGAACATGAGAGTCGTGGCCTCAGATTTCATCATTATGAACGCACCAGATGCAGACGCCATGAGGAAGGAGAAGGAGGAGGTAGTGGAAGGGAGCTAAGGCAAACAGCCACCCCACCTGCAGCCACACGCGGACATGTAAGCGCTGAAAATGCTGACTAGCACAAAAAGAACCGTTGACAGTGACGAGATTCGAACTCGCGCGGGAAACCCATCACGGATCAGGATGCTACCTAAACGTGACGCCGTAACCACTTGGCTACACTGCCATATCAAACCACCCACTTTGAGTAGCTGAGTCCTGCCTTCTAATTTTCTATTCACGCCTCATAGTCAATTGTATAGTCTAGGAGTACAAGTAGGTTGTTCTGTGCAGGTCAAAAGCTAGCGGATTGCATTACATCAGGACTCGGCGCAGAGGGAGGAGTGAATCGAAGGGGAGGAGCAGAGAAGATGAGGAAGACAGTAGGCAAAATACGACGGATACCAACACAAGCAACTTGAAACAGATAACACGGGCGGAGGCTACACAGGCAAAAACAACACTTTACATCGTCCAAAGCGATGGCGGAGAGTATACACAAACAGTTACGCCTGGGAGCTGATAGATAGGCTCGCCATCGACGCATCCAAAGACTGGGTTTCTCTATGACTCGAGCTGGGCCGCGAGGCACTGCGTAAACGGCAGCGCTGATAAGTATTGTGGCATATATGCAGGCGAGCCAACTGACCTGTCACTCGATTTCCTCTCTTTTGGCCAGTTCCAAACTTTGCGCATCCAATACGCCATGTCGACTTTGCGCTGCATGACGGCGATGATCCACGGGTGCTCAAGAAGGTCTCTGGGGTAAGGACGGACAGCGCCATCACGCATGAGTCTGTTGAAGGTAAGGTTAGCTCATTCGATTGAGACTGGGGATCGAGCACCACGTACGCCCTCTTCATGAAGTCCTTCATGTCGTCGCTGTAAATGATGTTCTCGTCCTCCTCATCCTCCAACTCCGGGGGCTGTCGTGGGAATGAGGAGCGATGGAAGAACCGCGGCAGAAGGGGGTACATCGAGAAGCTCAGCCCCGATCAGACAGAGTAAGGCACAGACCACACACCTCGTTTTGGACGATGTACATCATCAGCTCGATCGCGGCGAGATCGGTGGGGAATGGGAAACGGTTGGTCACGAGCTCGAGGAGACTGATGCCGGTGGACCAGACGTCTGACCGGATGGAGTAGTCATGCCCAGACAAACGCTCCGGCTACGAATTGTTCATCGACATGAGCAGGGGTACCAGCTGCCATTCAGGATACACTCACGGCCATGTAGAGACTCGTCCCAGTGAACGTTCCCGCCATGGAGTTGATAAGCTCGCCCGAGACACCGAAGTCGCAAAGTTTCACCACACCCTCACGGGTGAGCAAGATGTTCGGTGGCTTGATGTCGCGGTGGATCGTCTTGCGCGAATGCAGATAGTTCAGGCCCTGGAGGATCTGCGAACGTGGCCGTGCGCATCGTTAGCGTCATCGCCATTTCCGTGCGGGGTGCCATTCGCGTGAATCGAGCATAAAGGGAGAGGGTGGGGAAAGGAGCAGTGAGCATGGCGAGATACGCACCCCTTCCGCAAGTCGCCCGGCGACAGTCTCGCTGACCCGGCCGCCGATCTCGCGCATGCGCTTCCCGACGGCCTCGAGAGACCCGCCCTCGCAGTAGTCGATGAGCACCTTGACCTCGCTGCTGCTCGGGCTGATGTACGCGCCAAAGAAATGGATGATGTTGACGTGCGAGGTGCTGGACGTGATCGTGATCTCGCGCAGCAGCTGTTTCAGCGGGGCCTCGAGCGTCGTAATCGTCTTGCGGGCCATCACCGCCCCTGTCCGCTTGTCGCGTACTTTGTACACTGCACCGCCCGCACCTTCGCCAAGGCGAGAAACCTCGTCGAGCACCTCGTCGGACCATTGATCGAACTCCTCGACCGTCTGGCGAAGGTCTTGCATCGACACCGAGGGGGGTGGTCGCGGTCGTGGCGAGATAGTCTGGTCCGGACGGATGGTAGGCTCGCTAATGTTGTCCGTGTCGGAGCGCAGAGGTGGAGAAGACACTTGGTTGGTCGGGCCACCAATGGACTCGAAGGTGTTAGCCCCCATGCTTCCCAACGACAGGGCAAGCTTGGGTTTCCGAGGCGACGAGCCAGAAGCACCAGCTCCAGGGATCATAAGTGTAGGGGTCTTCGGTCGCGCCGTAGGCAGGCCAAGGGTAGGCGGGGAGAGTAGGGAACCATTGGACTGGTCTCTGGAGACTTTGCGGATGTTGAGGGGGGCGACCTCAGGGTAGGGATGGGGAGAGGGAGCGCGACCGATGGACCGAGGCCCGCTTGGTCGTGCGGGGTGAGGGGGCTGTAGAGACTGCATGGTGTCGTCGGAGAGGACGATGGTTGCGGTCGCAGTCTGAGCCTGCGGCGACGGGGCGTCGACCTGCGAGCGCCTGTCTTCCGGACGCCCACGTGGTTGGCTATGTCGGGGCTCGTATCGCCGCGCGCGGCCACCATCTCGACATCGCCCTCGCCTCGCCCGCCAACCATGTCACATTTGCCCGCTGCTCGCCGCGCGTGTGCATGAGGTCCGCTCGCTATGATTGCCATCGTCCCCATGCTCTCCGTACATCGATGTGTGGAATGCATATCACATGAGGCTTCTATAGTACACTCCTTGTGCCGAATCCAATTCCAGACGATCGCCCAAACTTGCTCCATGCGTGCGCACACCCGAGACAAGTCGGAGCCAAGAAAGGCCGGCGGAACATCTGCAGCGGCGCCATACTCCGGACTGCACTATGCCCGTTCTATCGTTAGTGTAATGGCATGAATGTGGCAACAAAACGACTCACCAACTCGCGTTCACGACCTCACGACCATCCCACCGTCGATTCTTTCCGCGCCATGGATGCTCGGAATAGCGCCACGGCCCCTCCTCCCCCGACCGCCCCTTTTGTGACCACGCCCTCTTCCGTTCTCACTGCGCCGACCGCCGTCAGTGTTTGCGTTGCTGCCCTGACGACGAAAGTCTTCTCTCGTCATAGCACCTTCTCCACGCGTGACCGGCCCGGAGGCCTTGCCAGGAACACCCGGCAGTTTGACACTAGGTTTGGCATTCTCAACCACATTGACAGTTGACCTGCACTGTAGTCCGAGCGGGTCGCCGAACGAGTCAAGAACCACGGGTCCGCCACTAGCCCGAGCGGCCGGGGACAGGAACAAGTGTAGGCCGGCGGCAGAGCTCTGTGAAGCGGCAGGAGGCGTACGGCGATGATCCATGAAGTCCTCTTCCGGTACAGTGGACAGACGCCGCTGCACGAGTCGACTCAAGGGAACGGAGCGCACGTTGTTCTGAGAAAGCATCAAGTTCTGAGATTGGCGGGGCGGGGTAGAACTGGCTTCGAAGCGTCGTGTGTGCTGATTAGATGGCGCATGGGGAGTGTTCGGCGGTACCTTGGGCAACGTCGGCGATCGTGCAGGCTCGCGAACAGGTATCGAGAGCTGGGAAAGGAGCCGCCGGAACTCTTCTGTGTAAGTCTCAGGAACTGTGCGGGAAACTTGCTCTGCAGCCAGACGTGGCGCAAGTGATTGCCCGATGGTAGGTTCGGAAGCCGCCGCCGAGCCAAAAGCAACATTCCGTGTTGCCATGACAGGGTTGCTGCTGAGTATGCCAGGAGACGGTCTAAGAAAGTGTTGAGAGTGATCCCGGACGGACAGCGTTGCTTGAGGATGATATGTGGCCGGATGTTGCGATGAGCCAGTGGCTACAAGGAGGTCTGGAGACAATCCTGAACCGTGATGCGCGCCCTGGTATGGAGAAAACGTGGATGACCAAACAGGAGACGTAGAGTCCGGAGGAGTGGGTAGGAAGCCGTGCTGAAATTGCTGTTGACGGTAGCGTTGAGCTAGGTCCAAGGCTGATGCGCGAGAGCTGTTGCCTGAGGGCGGCCAGTGAGAAGCCAGTTCTTCCAGAACTATGGGAGAGCGAGACGACTTCAAGGACTCCAGAAGAGAAGATGACGATGTTGACGGGACCAGGTTGGACAGAGGAGAGACTTGAGGAGGCGAGGGTCTAGTTGAAAACGAGGGGAGAAACGAGGACGTCTTGAGAGTGTCTTGAGCGAACATAATTGCTTGCATTTCCGGGGTGAGATCGTGGATGAGCTCTGGAGTTGGCAGCTCGGCAGAGACGGGAGGTTGCCAGTCAAGTACCCGCGGCAAACCGTTCGACACTTGAGCGTCACGCGTCAGCCGTCCCAGGTCGATAGGTTCCGAGTGTTTCAGCATATAATCAGGTGGCTGGGGAGGGTGTTGGGAAGGAGCGACACGAGCGACGGTTGTGCTTGAATGCGCTCCTGGCGGAAGATGCTTTTGACTGAGAGAAGGGGCCGCCGCGGAGCCGTGGGGCTGTCGAGACTTTTGATGACGGAACGGGTCACCGTGAGGATGTGTATGCGTCTTGAGAGAAGCGGGAGGGACGTTTGTTGACTTGAACGATGGTCGACTGCCGGTGGTGTTGTCGTTCTCAAGGCCCCAAATCACCCGCGATAGGCTCTCTTGCTCTTCGATGATTGTCCCTTCAGCTCCCCTATAGTTCCGTGAGATACGCATCACGGTCAAGGGAAAGGACATACGAGGGACAGCGGGCATAAGGCAGAGACAGCGGGCCATGGAGGGCGGGGATTGGGCGCGGTGGCGACTTGGCCCATGTCACCCACTCTGAAAACGATGTTAAGACATGGGTATTCATAAGCACGAACCAGTCAACCCACCCCCGTCGTCAGATTCCGGCGGCGTAACGTTACTGAGATCATGCCTCAGGAAATCCCTCGACAACGGATTGCTGTTGTTTGCGATGATGACCACCGAATCAGGTGAAGACGGGAGGGATGATGTATATGGAACATCAGCTACTTGCGAGCGGACAAGAGAACAGGAATGTTCCTCGGCTTCATGCAGGAGGGATTCCGTCGCGTAGTCGACGTCCAAACCGTCGGAGGTGTCTCTGACAGTCTCAGTAGGCATGGAGACAACCCGGGTGGTCGTCCTCTCGAGCACATTCTTCATGCGGAATCGCGGAGTGGCATCCGGAAGCGAAACGATACGGGAAGAAGGTTGCCTGTGTTGAAGCGCGCTTGGTCGATTCGTAGGAAGCTGAACTTTCAATGCACGGGACGTAGTCGTCATTGATTGATCCGCACCAGAGCTGATCGAGTCGAACGATATGTCGGTGTGAGAATGGTTGTGAATGGACTCGACGGGGGTAGATGGTCTTGATCGATTGGACGGGGACGGGGATGCGGGCGGAGTGTCGACGCGGTCCGATTGAGGGTACGAGAGAGGATCCATGGCGGCTTGAGAGAAGGCTGGAGGGGTGCTGGGAAGATCGGTTTGAACACCGCGGTGGGTGTAGTTCGAGCGGGTCGTCGACATGGGTGCGGGCAAGTGCGGGGAGGGCAGCGACGCGTCAGACGGCGGGGCAGTCGAACATGGACGTCCGGGGCAAGCAGCTGTCCCGCGGAGCCTCAATTTGAATGCCGGACGTGTCCCGTCACATCGTGACGGGCTCTACTGTCCCAATCGCTTCCCAGAGCCACCGCGCCGAACAGACTCCACACCGAACCAGCTCCGCGAAAGCTGCACCACAGCGCTGATAGAATAACACGTAGGCTCACATCGGAGCAATCCAGGCTCTGCTCTCCCTGTGCATACCCCCGTCTCACTTCTTCTGGAAGAAGGTCGACAGCTTCGCCATGCCCTTGATATTCACCTTCTTCAACTTCTCCACTCCCGCCGATGTCTTTGGGGCTTTGCGCTTCTTGTCCTCGTCCATGACCTTGTTCACGCTTCCTCTGCTTTCACGTGCTTCGACGGTGTTCATGTTCGCGGATGCAAGAGCCATCGTTTCTGCTTTGATGCCCTTCACATACTCGTCCAACCCGGAGAAGCTATGGTGTTGTCAGACAGAATAAATAGCGTCCATGAAACCCATACGTACTCGTAAGAGGCCACCAACTGGTCGTACACCTCCCTTGGTAGATAATGTGAAAGCAACTCGCACGCTGCCTTTTTGCGAGCAGCTGGGAGTGCTCCATGGTGAGTTGTACTCAGCAAAGCTAACGCGCATCACTCACCTTCCAGCAATTCGTCTTTTCCGTCTTCGAGCAGGCCGTCTCTAGCAAATTGTCTCGTTAAAGTACTCGACAGTTCCGATACACTCTGTTGAGACAACCGAGAGACTTTGGAACGCAGATATTCCAAAGTCCGCTCCGCGGAGTAGCGATACACGAGTATGTCATGACCAATGTCTGTGACATGCGTGATTAAACCGATGTTTAGGACACAATTCTGTTCAGAACAACGCACCCTTGTGGTCGCATATGCGACCCATCGCAGCATGAACGCAAGATAGTGATGCCAGTATGCTCATGTCGTCGGTCAGTGTAATTCTTCTCCCCTCTTCTTCGTCCCCTTTAGCGGAGGATTTCATCTTAGACAAAGCATCTTCGAACACTTCATCGAAGGGTCGGAAGAGTCCAGGACCATCAACCTACGAAGGGTCTGTTCATAATGGAAGGCACAGATGCGGGAGGAGACTCACAGATTGTGTGGCATGGATCAGAGGAATGAGGAGGAAAATAGGATCAATTGGCGTCATGATCAGTAGCTTGCCGTCTACACCAATCACTTCCGTCAGGTATGCAATCGGAATCGGTTGCATAGACACTCACCTTCTTGCACTTCATTCTGCATGAACCACGATCTCCTATTAGGCGGAGAGACGGATTGCACTTCCAAAATAGTGCTCTTGGCATTATTCGGTGATGTATAAGGGAGGAATAGTGAGAGTGTGCCTGCAACGTCCAGTCAATGAGACACGGGCTTGTACGCCATAGCTGAGGTGTGCTACCGGTGCGAGGATGAAGGAGCTTCAACAGACGGAGTTCTGTGACGCAGCCAGATTCTTCGCTCTCTAACCTTCTCGACACTAGCTGAAGAATGTCTGCAGAAGAAATAGACCTGGGAATGTGCGTGGCAGGAGATTACAGTGGGAATAAAACGAACCTGAAGGTAGCACTCCGACGTGACATGCCATACTTGCGGCTTATATCCTCCTGTGTAGTGAACGAGCGGGTATATGGTCGAAATACAAGAGTGACTGAGGGAGAGCAAATGTGCAAGGGAATGGCAAGCGTCGCGCCAGGACGCGCTTGTGGCGCGACGCGACTGGGTTGTATGCATCTGTTTGTACCGATTTCTAGTCTCGTGACCAGTCAAGGACTAGGGCGCTTTCCGTGATCTCCCGGAGCCCGCCGGCCCATTACTATGAGTCTGCGGTTTTGGAATGACAGACTACATCTGAGCTGTAAACCTCGCCATTTCATTGCCATCGAATGCCTCCTCCACTCCCGCAGATTGTTGTCGCTCATGGAGGTGCAGGTTTCTTCTCAAAGTCCTCTGATCAAGATGTCAAACGTTCCCTGCGGGCGTGAGTGGTCTCTCGACACATGCCGACACGTCTGCTCATGTGAACTAGGTCCTGTACCTGTGCTATGTCTCAGCTTCTGACGGGTAACACGGCGCTAAAGGCTGTGAACGATGCGATCGTCGTTCTTGAGGACGAGGAATGCCTGAATGCTGGTGTGTACGCTGCTGTCGAAAAGTATCGGCGCGCTCACGAGCAAACCCAGGTTTTGGTTCTAATTTGACTGTAAATGGTCAGGTAGAATGTGATGCTTCTCTCATGGACGGTCGTACCTCCAACTTCGGGGCTGTCGGCGCGGTGTCAGGTAGTACTCGTTCTCCCAAAGTTACATATCGGTCACTGACGGTAACAGTTTGCAGGCGTCAAGAACCCCATCAGGATAGCGCACGAGGTGCTACGACACGGTGCACAAAGCGACCCTTTGGGTCGAATCTCTCCGATGTATGCTTTCCGATAGGCTTCGGGCCACCTCGATCCGCCATTGCTTATCTCTGGGATTGTGGCTAGCATGCTCGTCTCTTCGGGAGCAAGGGACTTTGCGGAGTCATTCAATTTGCTTTGTCCACCTGAAACCTTGGTCTCCCCTCGTGCTGAACAGTCGTGGAAAAAGTGGAAGGAGGAACTCGAGAAGGCGAGGGCACAGGCGCCCCCAGCTATCGGTGCAGTGGCTGCAAATTCGCTTATAACGCAAGTAGATGGACTGCACGACAGAATGGACACAGTAGGCGCCATAGCTTGCGACCAGAGCGGAGGGTTGGCTGCTGGGGTTTCCAGGTTCGGCCCCGCTGAATGTACTGTTGAGCTAGGTGTGCTGACAGTCACGCAGTGGTGGTATCCTGCTGAAACTGCCGGGGCGCGTAGGAGAGGTTGTAGTCAATCTTGCGTCAAAGGCTGTTCGACTGACATGGCCTGTATCAGGCAGCGATGTATGGAGCTGGGTGCTGGGCATCCGAACAAGTTGCTTGCAGTGTCTCCGGTACGTACACTCGCTTACGATGGGAAGTCGTTCTGAAAGAACGCATTTGTAGGGGCTGGAGAGTACATTATGCGAGCTACTCTCGCAAGAACCCTCTGCGAAGCTATCGAGGAAGGGAGTCAAAATGAGGAGTTCGACCCCCATGATGCCCTGACCAAGGTGTTCAATGATTTCGTTGGTCCGTGTTAAGAAGTCTTATATGGGGATGCATTCTGACGCCACTCCAGCCATGTGTTCGAAAAGAGATGAGAGACACTCCCATGCAGGTGCCATTATCCTCGTCAAGGAAGAAGACGAGGTCGGCGGATATAAAAGTGGGTCTCACAAAACCATCCACCCTGCATTCAGGAAGGGGTATCGTCCGGTGCTAGACTGACTGCTCCCTTCGCTGCGCACCACAGTCCGTCTCTGGTGTGCGTTTACAACTGACAGCATGGCAATCTCGTATGCCTCGTCCCTGAGCTCCAGCTCCAAACCACACGTACGTCTTTCACGCAGATCCCCTTAGCCCCAATATTCTTGTCATCTGCTGCGGCCGCCCTACTTACATCAAACCCTTGTTACATGTCGCAGGCTGTCGTCTTACGTCGCCCTCCCCGTCCTCCGGGAAATGCAGTGACGACCACCCCTGTGTACATATCAGCCCTTCCACTGTGATGCCTCAAAAGGAGTCTTCGGTGGCAGCGACGACCGGGTCTTCCATCCGTGGACAGATGATCCGGTGGGAAGAGAATGGGACGTAATATTTCACGGCGCGCCCACCACCCATCTATCCATTCGGACGTGGGATGTGCGTTGGACCCTGTCAGTATACAATACGTACTGTTCGGAATTATGTGCAAATACCTAAGCAGTCCGACCGCCGGGGTGCAGGATTATGGTTCGCAGACTAGAGAGCGCCGCTTCCGCGCGGCATCGATAGGCACTCGTCCCTGCCAATGTGCCGGCACGGATCCGGCCGACGAGGGTCAAGCCTGAGGGTCTAACGGGAGAAGCTGGTCACAGAGTTGCATGATAACGACACCCATTCACTGCAGGGGTTCGTACGTACGAGCCCCACCAGAAGGTATCCCAGCGAATGTTCGTGGACCACACGTTCGTGCTGCCCCACAATCGCCGCCAGAACGACGGTCAGGACACAACGCATTACGCTATCGCGCACTGAGATGTGACCGCAGCAGCAGCGCGGGGCGAATTGCATATATATATGGCTACGAGGGTCAATACATCGGGATTTCCATGCGCAAAGCAAAACTGACAACCACGTTATGCCTACCCCGTGACGGTCAGTGAGTCTCCATTCTACTTCCCCGCCGTGTGGTTTCGGAGCCATCCCCCTTTAGGCGTGCGCTCAAGACCGGAAGAATAGGTTCGGATCCGAGTGTACCACCAAATCGAACAGTGGTGCTGCCCGTAGTTGTAAACATGTTGCAGAGACTGGAAACCCCAGCTTGCTAGCGGCCTCAGCGTGTGAGCGCGGGATCTAGTACGGCGCGACGGCCTCCCCACCACTTCTCATGGTCAAACAGGCCGAGAAGGTGTATTGGTGCCGTTGCGCTGCGAGAAAGGACGCGCTGGACTGGCCATAGGGGTGGATGGAGCCGACGGCGCAGTGAGCGGGCGGGAGGCATTGAGCCGCTGGAGCGTCTTGATAGGAAATTTCGTTCTGTGGGAGATGGGAACGGGTAAATGTCGGATGTGAAAGGGTGGAAGGAGCGGTGGCGGTCTTGCGTGACCAGAAAACCGCGGTCCGGACCAGGAAGATAAGGCTCACCTGCATGTTGAACATACTGGCACCGGCTGGCAGAATACTGGCCGAGCGTTCAGGGCGATCACGTTTGCGGCAGGACGACAGACTCACTTGATAGACACACCGAACAAACAAACCCGACTTCAACAATCCTCTTATGACAGAAGCATGCAGCTCTGAAATCCACCCTGTCTTGCGTGGGCACCGAGATCAATTGACGTATAGCAGGGGGAGGGAGGAAAGACATCTTGGACGTGAAGACGTCAGACCGCGGTTTTTGCATGCGGGATTGAACACTCACAATCATGTACTGCAGTAGTCCGTCCGTTCTCTCGACGTGGACGTAAGCCCCGCCGGTTAAATGCGCGGCTTGCTGCAGGAATATGTTGTCTGCACCAAAAATCTTGCAAACGTCGATGGTCACTTTCTTCACAACGCACGTTGTTAGCACAGGCGGCGACGGGATGTTGATTTTAGTACTGACCAGCTTTTGCGCAGAGAATATAGAGTTCATAATAGGAATATAAGTTGACGATTGGTCAGGGGAGATGGACAATACGAGAATCCTGGGATCCACAACTGTTGCGGCAGACTCTCCTCCTGGTACACCAGCGGAAGTGACCGTAATTGTTTTGTTTATGTCTTCGTATGGGGGACGCATGAGAGAGGTATAGCCTATGTGTTGCGAAAGGGATGCTCACAGCAGAGGGCTTTGGTCAAGCATCCAACCAGTCCGATGGGAGCTGCACGATAGACGGGTTGGAGAAAGCATGCTTTGGAAAAGTACGTTACGCACCCTCTTCCTCTGCTCCTTCGTAACTCTGCAAATGCTCCGCTATTGACGCCATAACCGTTTGATCAAGTGTCTTGAAGGGACGGTATGTGTTCGCATCCGTTGCTTCGGCATTGACGGTCATGGCTTCCCCTGTGGAAGAATATAGCATCACACTAAGGCAATACAATCGTCCGATCTGGTAAGGCTCTCTCTCATATTGGCCGACGCAGGCAGACGGGAAAGACGTCGAGCGTACCTTTGTCCGGGAAAAGCACCGAAGACAGCCAAAGTGTTCTCGTCTTTGCATGCTATGTGTGCGTTCAGAAAAGCAATCAGTTGAGACGAGAACGCTTGCAAAGTGATTCCTGGAGGGTTCGTGGATTGGGAACAGATAGCCCATTGGGTCGGGGAAAGGTCGACGATGACACTCAGATGAGAAGGTTTGTCCATGTTGGGGAAGTATGCACGTTTTCAGAGGGTACAATGGATCCCCCGTATGTTGCAGACCATGCGACACGTCCCAAGGGCCCGATGGGACAAAGAGCGGGTAGAACGAGTGAACGTTGGGAGCAACAGGGACAGGCGAGTCTTGCGCCACAAACGCGTCAGCACAGACGCTTTCCTCTCAGAGAGTATGACAGTATGACAATGCAACATGCGAAGCCAGACCGCGAAATACCCGGTGTAAAGATCTTTGTATGCAATTTTCATGTCGTGTTCGACCAGCCTAGCTCGTGTACAGGTACAGGTACGACCAGAACCTCCGATCCGTCCTTCGGTTCGCCCATCCAACGCCAGCAGGGTCCACAGATCAAGAACGGGCTTTCGCCGAACCTCATGTCACCTACCACAGAGAAAAGGGCCGGCACTTTGGTACACACTCGGCAAATCTCGGACAGAGCAGGTGTGATTTGCGTTGTCAGAGGATAGCCAGATCGAGGATCTGAAGGGTGCCGCAAGCTGTGGGTCTGCTTAAGCTATGGCAGAAAACTATAGGCGAGAGCCTTACCGGATACTACTGACGATGAACCAGTGTTCACACTTGCCGGCATGTACTATCCAGTATGGCTCATGCAATCTCATGGTCAGCGAGGCGAACTTCACGTCGTGCATGGATGCGCCGAGAGAAACATGCGGCCGACTGTTTTCAGGTAGCGTCTGCACCAATTGCATGGCCTTGCTGCATGACATTGAGTACGAGTGGAGATGCCAGATTTCAAGTCAGGACAATTACTCAGCGTAGTCGTGCTCGTCCTGACCGTCGCCGTACAGAACGTTTTCAATGCACACCATAGCCCCCGATGTGCTTGCGTCCGTGGCCATATCGTCGCTTTGCCTAGACTTATATCCTATGATGTCCCCAGAATCATCGTGAACCTCGAGGGGCCGTTCGTTTGAGGAGCACGGAATAGCCTCGTAGAAGTCTCCGATCGTTTGAGATGACAAGACGACGTGCTGCGACGCGCGAGACAAGAATTTCTGCCCCCATGACAGACGATTGTATACCGTGACAAAAAGGAGAGCGTCATCGCGCTGTCCTTCGGACGTCGGCCCCGAGCCGATAGTCTTCTGCAAGGAAGATGTTCGGAACCCGGCATTCATACGGACAGTAAGAACGTACGACATTGACGAGTGTGTTGTGGTCGGACTGTTTAGAAGGTCGTATGAATGATGCCGCGTGGATAGTCAGCCTACAAGCCACGTTAAACGATCAGTCACCGGAAATTTGGGGCATGAGACTCACGGCCAACATTTGAGTGCGATTGCTTCGTGCTTCAGTCGCAACGCCCTAACCTCTGGCAATTCGTCCTCAGGATCAGCGAAAGTTGCACGCTTGCGCTTCCTCCGAGTTGGCTCGGCAGTCTCATAAATGGCCTGGACGAATGCATCATGTGTGCGGGTGACATGGTTCATGAGACGGGGATTTGACATCGTGTCGTTTAGCAGGGCTCGGAGATCGTCTACACTGCACCATCGAACACAAACGAACGTCAAGTTCGTGGCGTGAGGACGGGGTCGAGTTGCCTACCAGCATTCTGACTGGACTGCTTCTTGTTGAGCAGCGTCCAGTGTGCTCCACTCCTCTCTCGCGCTGAGTTGTAATCCGCGCGCCTGAGAAGGCGCACCTGAGGTGCCTATTTCTTCTGGCGTATTTCCGGGATGTCCAGCGCTCAGGAAGGCGGCGATGTCGATGGGTCCTGAGGATGGGCCTAGGTACGCTTCATGTGTTTGTCCTGGAGTGAGGTTCATGTGGCCGGCGATCCGGACGCAATAGAAGTCGGAGAAAACACAAGACGAGTAAGAAAAAGGAGCGTGAACAAGTCCCGCAGAACAGAGAGAGCAATGACCCAGCAACCCAAGCAAAGCTTCGCGGAATGGGATTTCCGCGTCGGACAAGCGGCGGGCTCGGGAGGGGAGGAAACGCGGGGAAGAGCCCGGGAGACGCGTGCAGGATTCGGACAGACGATGCCCGAGTAGCCGACGGGCTCGGTGGCGAGCGTCGACCAGACTCGTTTTATGGGCTGTCCGTCGCCCAAGACGTCGCGCCCACCATGCTCTCCTCCGCCCGCCGCTCGCTGCCCCATACGCTCCGTTCACGGGCTCCTGTGACTCGCGTGCAGACGGCCGCTATCGCCTCAATCAGTCGCTCGACCGGTCCGCTCCTCCAGCCGTCACTCCGCCCTCGCTCCGCATTCGCGTTCAAGCCCGCCCCCTTCGCCCGCAACATGTCTGTCGACGCCGCAGAGTCCGCCGTTCGTCCCGAGCCCGACAAGGTACTCCAGGACATCGCGGACTACGTCCACGACTTCAAAATCGACTCTCCTCTCGCGCTTGAGACCGCGCGGCTCTGCTTGATTGACACCATTGGATGTGGCTTGGAGGGGTTGAGGTTCCCCGCATGCGCTAACCTGCTTGGACCTGTGGTAGAGGGCACTGTCGTTCCCAATGGTGAGTGTATGCACTCCTGTTCCCCGTACTCCGTGCCAATTAGCACCACGCAGGCACCAAGGTCCCTGGCACAAACTACCAGCTTGACCCCATTCGCGGTGCATTCAACATTGGCACTCAGATCCGGTGGCTCGATTACAACGACTGCTTCCTCGCCGCAGAATGGGGGCACCCTTCCGATAACCTGGGTGCCATCCTGGCTGTCGCAGACCACCTTTCTCGCAAGGGCCAAACGTTTACCGTCGGGGACGTCCTTGAGGCCATGATCAAGGCGCACGAAATTCAGGGAGGCCTTGCGCTTCTCAACTCGTTTAACCGCGTTGGTCTCGACCATGTCGTCCTTGTGAAGGTGGCCAGTACCGCCGTGGTTTCGAAGATGCTGTAAGTGTTGCGTTTCTCTCCCTGGGTGCTGCCATGGTTGACGAGGACTTCACTTCACAGCGGTCTCGACCGTGCACAGACCATCGACGCCATCTCACAGGCGTTCGCGGACGGCCAGTCTCTTCGCACCTACCGTCATGCGCCCAACACCGGGTCGCGCAAGTCCTGGGCCGCAGGTGACGCCTGTGCCCGTGCAGTGAACATTGCTCTCTTAGTCCAGCGTGGAGAGAAGGGCATGCCTTCTGTCCTCACCGCCAAGACTTGGGGCTTCTACGATGTATTGTTCAAGGTATGGCATATGCGAGTGGGCGCGGACAGGGTCTGACCTGGGCACGCGGTTCTATAGAGCAAGCCATTCGAGTTCCAGATGCCGTTCGGGACGTACATCATGGAGAATGTACTCTTCAAGATCTCGTACCCGGCCGAGTTCCACGCCCAGACTGCCGTCGAGGCTGCTCACATCCTGCACAACAAGCTGAAGGAGATGGGCAAGAGCTCTGATGACATCAAAAGCATCCGCATCCGCACTCAGGAGGCTGCCATGCGTATCATCAACAAGAAGGGTCCTCTCGACAACTTCGCGGACCGCGAGTAAGTCCCCTGCTACGTCTTTACCATTGAACATGGCGCTCATGGACGCAGTCACGACATCAACTACATGGTTGCCTACCCTCTCATCTTTGGCGAGCTCACGTCCCAGTCGTACACCGACGAGTCTGCCAAGGACCCTCGCATCGACGTGCTTCGTGCGAAGATCACTTGTGTCGAGGACAAGCAGTTCAGCACTGAGTACCACGAGCCCTCGAAGCGTTCCATCGGCAACGCCATCACCGTCGAGCTCAACGACGGCACCGTGCTGGAGGAGGTTGAGATCGAGTACCCGGTTGGCCACAAGCGTCGTCGCCAAGAGGGCACCCCTCTCCTTCTTCAGAAATTCGACCGCCACATCAAGCCTCACTTCGACAGTGCTCGCCAGGCGACGTAAGCATCTTGCACAGGCACGGCAATGTACGCGAAGTTAACTGACGTCATTTGCAGGATCCAAAAGTATGTAGACGACGCCGAGGCGCTCTACAAACTTCCCGTGGACAAGTTCACCGACCTCTTCGTCAAGGCCTAGAGGGCAGGACGGCTCGGCTCGGAGTACACACTTGTATTTGCACTGGGAAGCGACAAGGAGGATTTGTGTCTGGAGCTGTCGTCTGACAGCCTGAGCAGACATCGGTAGTCTTCCTACTTTCCGTACTGGGATCCTCTGCAGGGCTGATCGTAGTTTGATTGCGACGGCTATCACGCCGAATTCTGACGGAGAAGGTCGAGAAGCGTGCAGAGAAGCACGGGCGTTGTCTGCACAACGTGCCCGTCCACGCGGGGCGGGCGTGGCCGCGCCCGATGCCTCTGGGCCGGTGCTGCCCGTCACGGAAGAGTGACGTGGGTTCCCAGAAGCCCAGGACGGGAGGTTATCGCAGTGAGCGCGTCCGCCCACCGACTTGTCCACTTTGTGTGCTCGCGGAGTGGGCCCCGGGCTCCTCTCTGACTCGCGGTCGGCTCACGTCTATTGTGCGCGGCCTCGTGTGCGCGGCCTTGGGCCCCTCCACGTGTCTGCCGCGGTCACGCGGACTGGGCAGGAATATCGTCGTGTATTATCGCCCCATTTGTTGCTCGCTGCGTTGTCGTGAGCTACGGTCGTCGTCCAAAGCTTCCTATTCCGGTCGCTCTCTGGAGCGCCATCAGGGACAGGCACTGCGGTCGTCGCTCCACGCGACCACCGCTCCCCACGGGATCACGCCGTGCGCCGTCGAGCTGGAGTCTGGCATTGACGAGGAACACGACGGACTTGCTATGTTCGGAGGAATACCACATCACCACCCCACGTTGGAGCAGGGGCGACGCGGCAGCAATGTACGTACTCGTTATGCCGCCCTGCACCCGCCGCCATGGAGCACCCGGAGAGGCTCCAGCCCCAGAAGCACCGCGCCCAGCAGCAATGCGCGCCCCGCCGTGGCCCGTCGCGGGGCCGCGGAACGACTATGAGGCACACCAGCCCTAAGGCCTAACCAGCCAGCCCCGCCGCCCGCCCCGGCCCTCGCCCCGGCCAGACCCGCTGCGCGACGTCACACCGTTGGGGACGAGGCGGGGCGGGGCAGCCGGACGGGACCCCGCCGGCGTCACCCACTACGCAGTTTTTTTTGCGGTGATGGGGCAGACCGTCCGGCATCTCCACACCAGTGCTCGTCGCGCCGAACGGCGCATCATCGCGCAATGCACCGCTGGCGAAAGCAGTGTCGAGCTCGCGGTGCCCGAGCCGTGGGCGCGCGGGGGGCGATCCCCGCCGCGGGCTCGCGCGACGCGAGCCCTCCGCCTCTCCCTGGCTCCGTTCCGCCTTCTGTTCGGGAACGTTCGACGCGAGCCCGGGGCGTGCACAGCGTGGTCCGTCGGCGGCGGCACGGTCCGATCGCGCACGGGGGAGGTCGAGGTCGAGGGATGCGCGAGGCGCATCAGCGATGCCGCGCGCGGCTGGCGGCGGGCCAAGGAGAGGTATCTTCCGTGGTTCTCGCGCGCCGATCAACATGTGGTGGGGGGGCGGGGCGTCATGTCTGCCGTGCGGTGGCCAGCAGCCAGCGTTACGACGTCTCGGAGCCCGGAGGCTGAGCGCGGCGGCGGTCGGAGCAGCGTGTGCGGCAGCCCTCACCAGGTTCTCGTGGATGCTGGTGCGCCAAAAACAGTTGGTATCACTGGAGGCCGCGGTATTGTGGACGGCCAGAGGGGTCACGGTGGGGTCGGAGGTCATCAGGCTTTCTGTTGGAGCGGCCGGGCGGTGCACGCGCGATCACACCGGACCTGACTCTTCACGTCGGAGAATGGAGAGCTTGAGACCAATAGCTTGTTTTTGTGATCCTGAATTCAGCAAACCACGCCAATTCCAAGCAGACAGACTCCCCGATATGCCGGAACAAACCACATCGATCATGCTGGCCTAGTGAATGCCTCGTGCTGGGCTTGTGATACACACTCGCAAAGTGGATAGTAGGACATTCAGATATGTATCGAGTCATTTTTGGGCGTACTAAGGACGTGGAGACCTCCAGGAGCGCAAACGTTCCATCGTCCTGCGTGAAGACCTGTCTCCACAAGACTTGGTGGTCGACCCTGTGTCGATGCCCATGCGTTCGTCCGAAGGACCGCCGGTCAGCATTGATGCGTCACGCAGCCTGGGAGCATCGCGCCAGGGCGCGCCCGACAGTCAACCTTCAAGGCAACTATATTGCTAGAACGCGAACAAGCTTGATGTCAGCCTGTACAATGGCATTTTTAGGGTCAGGAAACGACCAACAGATGACAGACGGGCCCGCCGAGTTTGAGGTGGGATTGAATTCGACGCATGCTCCCTGCGGGGTAACGTTAGGGAACCGGGCGTCCGCTACTTCTAGCCCAGGTCTAAAGTTGACGGGCGGGGATGGATGCCTGTCCAATGACGTGTCGCTAGTCGAGCAGCTCCGGAGAGCTCGCTGGCTGACCACAGTGCTTCTACGATGCCTCTATCGTGATGGTGTCACGGTCTTACGGTGTTAGCTCGGGATTGCAAGGGTTGCGCTGTTGGCACGACGCTGCGGAGAACCCAACCAGGGTCGCGAAAGGGTCTTTTTGATGATCACGTGATATGTCATCACCAACGCCGTGAGATGTGAGTTCTTGCGACCATGACCGTGAAGACCACAAAGGTCGTGTGCTCTCGTGGCTCCAGTCATGCAAGGAGGTGTATAGTTGTGGGAGAGGGCACCAGGCGAAGCCGATTTCCGACCTCCTTCAAATGCTTCGCAGGATTCACACGTGGGAATCTTTGCGCAGCGAGGAACGAGGGGGGAAAGGAAAGAAAGAACGTTCGATATACTGGTGTCTGCCAGACATATGTCTCAAATAATTGCGACATCCCTCCAAACGGCGAATAGACATAAGAGTGTGCCTGAACTTAGTACAACCGGGCCGTGCATGGAGCCACGTGTCGCAGCCGAGCTCGTGGCGGGTGTCTTGTTCTCTGACTCCGCCTGTGCTCCTTGTTTTTGACCTTCAGCTATCAGCTCGGCGAAACAGGACCAAGTCGCCATTCCTTCAGGCCCCCCGATGGCGAGTCTCAGCTCGAAACCTCGCCAAGCTTCCTCCGCTCGTTCGGAGCGTGCCGCTTTGGACGGGCAATCCTGATGATGCGCCGCTACCCTCGCTAACGCAAAACTCCCGCGAAGGTTCCCGTGGTGGCGGCTCCCGTCTCGGGGCGATCCCACCCACGATACCCGGTCCTACGCGTCGCTACGACGCGCGCGCTTTTGGTCACTGGTCAGCGACGGCGCCGCTGCTCGCCGCTGGCGGCCAATCAATCTGCCGCTCTCAGCTCGAGCCTCAGCGGGGAACCGGACACCTGTTTGGATCCCTTCAGGATTCGAGCCCCGTTCTTCCATCTCAATGTTTCAACGCGAGCAAGGCACCGAGGCCTCCGCGAACACGGAGCTTTCAAGCTTTGGCTCTCTGATCCGCTCAGGATGATACCCGCGCGAAGCGATCCTCACGGACTTGTGTCTTCCAAGCGGACCGGCACCTGGGGTCTTGAAGCTTGAAGCTTGACTCTTGGTGGCGTTCGTGAGCCTCGACTCACCTCCAATTCGCGTTCTGGGCCACAAGCGAGACAGCCGTCTCTCCGGAGTTCGAGCCCAGAACGAACCACGGCTTCCATTTCGCGCAAATGCATCACTACTAGCTTATTAGCTTCAAAGGTGCAGCCCCGTGACCCCTCGTCCTCCACACTAGAGCCCGTCCGCCCCCTCCCGGGCGCGCGGGCGGCCCCAGAAACAAGACCAGCCCCAGCACCGCGCGGTGCGGGCGCCGCGTCCCCCCTCGCCGCAGCGTACGTAAACCGTTCGCACTTTCCTTTCCTCCGACTAGCTCCAGGGTGACCTGCGCCCCAGCAGCCAGCGCCAGCTTCTGGATCCTCGTCGGGCGCGCGCCCGCGCGCCATCAATGAGGAGCGCTAGCTGCGCCCGCGGCATCCGCCGTGCGGCGGGAGTGGGGCGGGCGGCGGGCCCGCCGCCTCTGGCGCTCGCCGACCCTGCGACGCCCTCCCGCTGGCCCCCCCGTCCGCCATCTTCCGCCCGTAATTGCGACGCCCGCGTCGCGCGGACGGCGGGGTGGTGCTGGGGCGGGCGTCGTGCGCTCCTGGCAGGGCCAGATGACAACCCCCCGCCCGGGGCCCTCTTCCGCGATGCGCAGGGTCCTGGCTCCCGCGTGCAGGGCTGGGCGGCCGTGGCCGCGCAGGCAGCGCCTCGGGGGGTCGGCGGGGGCTTCGACCCGGGCTTTTCCACTCGTCTGAGACCGGGTCTGATCCCCATGGGACTTTGACTTGGAACGCCGGGCGCCAGCGCGGCGTCGGTGCGCTCGTCCTGTGCTTCTCGGACCCTGCGCTGGGATCCCAGCGCGAGCCCTGCGCCCCGGGCGGGCGCGACGACGACGGCCTGCGACCGGTGCAGCGACGCATCGCTATTTTGCGATGGGCGTGCCGTGGCGCGGGGTGCCCATCGGGCATCGGGAGCGCGCCCAGTGGCGGACGTGGGTACGCACAAACGCTGGCGTTCTCGACCGCTCCATCTGCCTGTCTGTTGTCGTCCGTGAGGCCCCAGCGTACGTACGCTGTGATGCCTCGGCGCGCGGCGGGCACTTGCGTGCGGTGACGCAGGGCGAGCGGGGAGCCCTCGGGTCCCTCCGTCGGCTCTCGAGACGGACCGCGGGCGGGCACGTTCTCGCCCGCGGTCGACTAAGGAGGAGGAGGAGGAGGTGGTGTGGTTCGGTGACGACGTGCGCGCTCGCCAAACCACGAACCACAGCACCTGCCGTTTCGGAGAGGGCCGGGCGCACGTTCCGCCGGATCGTTCGCCGGCTCGCACGGCGCGCGCGGGCAATAATCGACGAGAAGGGCGCGCGCCGGGCACGAGTGGGAGGGGCGATGGGGTAAGATACGACCAGCAGAAGGCGCGGATAGAACGTCGAGGCCTCTTCCCTGCCACGCTGGGCCCGATCCCATATCCAGACGCGTTGGTGAGACAATTGGGAGTCCCCATGGGCAGCGCGAGGCCTGGATTCGACTTAGGGGAAGCTCAGCCAGGAATATTACGGTCCACCGGTACGTAGCTTTTACTTGCGATCGAGGGCGTCGTGGTGCTCGGGCGGGGGAGCCGTTCATCTTCATCTTCATCTCGTCCTCATCTCGCGCACAGTGCAGTCAGCGGGAAGCGTTCGGCAGGACCCGAGCGGCCATGACCCGCGAAGCTGCTCCCCGTTCGGATATGAGCTTGCCGCGAGGGGAGGGCCCATCGGGGCAGACGAAACAGCCGGTGCGCTACGCTGGGTTGCGATGCTGCGCGCATTAATGCAGCCTCCGCGGGGCGGGCGGGGCGTGGTCCACGCCTGCTCGCGCGCGACAGGACCATCAGGCGCGTCGACATTCGATAAGGCGAAGAGATGCGATAAGTACTACAAGTGCGTGAGCAGGCCCCCTGGGGATGATCTGCGCGGAAAGGCTGGCAGGCACGCCGCGTGCGCTGTGGGCGTGCTCAGCCCGCGCCACCGGCTGTCGCAAAGCGTAAAGAGGAAGCCCGCGAGGTCCAGGAGGAGGACGCGGGGCCGCGCTCGCGTCCGCCACGGGCTGGTTTGCCTCGCGTCGCTACTTGGCGTCCCCGCCACTGCCGACGTACATGTACTCACCACAGGCGGTCATACGCACAGAAGGCACGCGGGACTGAGGCGCGTGTGCCCGGAGAAGCTGCAGCTCGTGGCTCGTCTCGCTGGACGTTCTGATCTCTGCGCGCCCCGGCCGGGCTAGTGCTGCCCCTGTGCACCTGCAGTGCAGCACCCTGCAGCACCCCCATCACCGCCGTCGTCCGAGGCTGGGGCCCCGAGCGCACTGCTCGCGCGGCGGGTGGCCGCTCGGGCCTCGGGCGCACGGCACCGATGCGATCATGCACAGACTGAGGGATCGCGCGGGCGTGCGCCCACGCTCTGTCGCACGCCTGGGGGACCCTGGCTGTCCTCCTTACGTGCATCGGGCGCGCGCCGGGCTCTTTGGGACGGACGGGCCCCTCGCGCGCCCGCGCGCACGCCGGCGAGGCCACCTGGGGCGGGCGTGTTGGGACGGTGTCGTAAATGCCGGCGACGTGTTGCTGTAAGCTGTTCTCCCGGGACGACCGCGTCTGTCGGGCCCCTGTCTGCGTCGTCGTCTTCTCCGTCTGAGGATTGACGGTGCCGGGTACGCGGAGCACGTCGCGCCTTCGTCGCGCGCCGACGGACGCAGGCAGGACGGGTGGGACGGGCGCTGCGGGTGCGGACGGGAGGGCGACCGCCGAGCCGGGTTAGATGGCCGGTGTTTGACGTCTTTGAGCCGCGGGGCAGGAGTGGGAGGGCTCTGGGCGGCTGCCGTCCCCCGCCTCGCGGCAATCGAAGGCAGGAAGGACGTGCGTCCCGGGCGAACGACATTGACCGCGCGCGCTCGCGACTTTGAATGGTGAACCGGGTGGGGCGCCATCTCCCGGGCTTCGTCCGCGTCTGGGTGCACGTGTGTGTGGGGCGCGGTCGATGGGCTTTGTGGCGCACGGGTGGGGCGAGGCGAATGTCTAAACGCAAGCGGCGCTGGCGACGGGCGAGGTGGGGGATGCCGGGGTGGGAGAAGAAGGAGAAGAAAGTGAATGTGAGACGGGAGGAAGGGGGCGGAGAAGACTAGTGGTGATGACCCTGCACGGGATGAGGTGTTGGAGAGCGGTGAAGGGCGCAGGCGGGCAGGCAGGCTACAAAGGACGAGTGGACCTACACTGGACTGATAAGTCGACATAATGAAATCAGACGTGCGCACGACCATGTGGCGTGGCAGCGACCAGCGCGGCTGATGCGGTTTCGTCCCGTGGGAGGACGCGGCGGTGGAGATAATCCGCTTTCCCTTGCGACGACCCGCCGGGATCCATGGCAGATTCCGAACGCCTTCTCCCCTACGTTATGCATTTACCTATCAAAGGGAATCCAGGCGCCCCCCCTCCGGGCCCTCGCCCCCCTCAGCCGCCCGCGGGCGTGAGCCTTTTCCCTTTCCCTCCTTCGTCCGTCGGCGCAGCTCGCCCGTGCACATCAGACCCTGACTGCGTTTGCCCATTGCCCGCCCCCAATGCCCTCTCCCTGTACTGTCCACCCTTCGTCGTCCTTGCGCCTGCGAGCGCGAACAACGGCACACAAACGGACCAACGCGCGGGCCAAGGCGGAACCGGCGACCGCGCGGCGGGAACCGGAAGCGCAAAGGACGCCCATGAAAAGGAGGGGAAAAAAGAGAGAAACCAGGAAAATAATGGTAGCCGAGGGATTCTTCCGGACATGCGACTGGGACGGCAGATCCAGATCGATCCTTCCAGCCCGATTCGCCAGGATCCGCAATAACAATCAAGAGAGCAGCCTTTTCTCGACACGCTCCTCCTCCTCCTCTCTCGTTCTTAAACCATGGACGCTCCCCGTCCATACCCCATCCCTCCTCCTCCTCCGTCATACCCCGCCATGGCCGACAGCCTCCACTAGTGAGTCCCCCGCTCCCACCCCTCCCCGCCTCTCGCTCATCCCCCCGCCAGCGCGACTACCCCCACCCACCACTATGTCCCCAACGCCTATTACGCGTCCCAGATGCACTCCGGTGCTGCCCACATGCACGTCGTCGCCCCCAGTGCCGTCCGCCAAGACACCGCTGCCCAGCGCAAGCGGCCCAAGTACACCCGCAGCAAGACAGGTTGCTTGACATGCCGGGGCAAGAAGATCAAGGTTCGTCCCCCTCGTCGATCCATCCGTGACTCCCCCTAACCCTGCCACAGTGTGACGAGACGAAGCCCACCTGTGTCCGCTGCAGTCACGGCCAACGCGAGGTATGTCCCTCTTCTCCCCCTCGCGTCCCTACACTCCGTGTCTGACCTCAGACCCGTCCCCAGTGCACCTGGCCAGAAGGAGTCCCTGCCCGCAAAAAGCCTTCTTCGAGGCGAAGTCCCCCTTCCCCAGTGGACAGCGCTGGCACTCGCCCCTCGACTGCGGGCTCTTCGGGTCTCTCGGACGCCGCGTCGCCCCCGACGCGTGGACCTTCTCCTACACGACGTGCTGCCGAGCCCATAGAGATGGGCCTTCCTCCCATGGTTTCCCGCCGCCAGAGGTACGTCCATTGCCCGTTAGTGTCTCACGCATCTCGCTCACCCACCCCCGCGTCTTCAGCGACCCTAATGTAACGCTTCCTGTAATTATGAACGACAACCGCCGTCCGACGTACGTCTACCCCGCCGCCCCTTCCCAGGATCATACAGTACTTACAACACGCCCCAGGGTGACGCCCATCTCGACTTCCCAAGGATACCCTATGCATTCTAATAATACCCATCATCTCCCTGCTATTCCTGAAATGTCTGCACATTATACCAACCAAGCCCAGTACATCCCCAACTATTCCCCTGCTTCGCATCACTACCCGCATTCGCACTCGCACTCTGCTTTGCCTCGCATCACATCGCACCACGACGTTCACCACTCCTCTCGCAACGCTGGAAGCGCGTCTCCAGACTCCCAATGGCCCTCTCCCCAGCTCATGACACCCGTTGATCCTATCGAGCCATACGTGAGTCACCACTACGTTCATCAGCCCCGAACCCCCCTGAACGACGCGTCCGTTTCCTCGTTCCAGTTCCCGTCGCCTCAGGAGAGAAACCTGGTGGGGTCTTCTTCGCACGCTACGCACCACGTTAGATATCAATGAACGATTGTCTTGTTTTGCTTTCTAAAGATTCGTCATTATTGCGACAACGCGCTGAGCATAATCATGGCCTACCCGTCTGAGAACCCGGTGCTGGCCGCTAACTTCCATTTCCTATTCGACGGCGTGCGCGGCGCGGACTCGGCCGTCGAATCCCTCCGCTCCGCCCTCCTGGTGTCGCCGCGGTCCACCAGTCCTTCCTGCTCTCCCGGAGCGGCGTGTCCAAGGGTGCGGCAGAGGAGGCCCTGCGCGTCGCGGAGTCCTTCCGCGCAAAGTCGAAGACCCTCCTCACGTCTGCATGCGCGACGACCGAGGGGAGCAACAACGACGCGGCGCTGGCCTCCGCGGTCGCCATCGCCCTCATCGACGTGAGTGTGCCATCCGCCTTGCCCTATGTGACGAACGCCAACGACGAGCCTTAGATCTTCTCCGCCGGACGCCATTGGCGCGAGGACATGGACTTCGCGAAGAACCTGGTCAAGTCGCGGGGAGGGCCTGGCCTGCTGCTCGCACGCAGCAAGGGGTTCAAGGACAACTCCGTTACCGGCACGTGTCGCGCGAGGCTGCTCCTGGAGATCCTCGCGGTGTATGAGCTTGGCGGTAACGTGCATTGAGGCCGACTCGTTGACTCGTTGTGCTGATATGTTTTGGTGTAGCGTGCTTCGGGCGGGGGTCGGCGCCGACCCTCCTCAATATCGACTGCTGGTGGTGCGTACCCCTGTTAGTACCGCCACAGAGTTTATTTAGACGCCTGAGGCACGTAGGTTGACGAAAACCAACACGCACGACACGGTGTCCTACATTGACAGAGTGTTCGGGATGTCGAGAGAGTTCATCTTGGTGCTCGCCCAGGTACGCCCGCCACTGCATCCGGCCCCGTCGGACGCTGCGAAAACAATTTTGCTCACTTCCGCTCTGCACCCGTGCTAGGTGGCGACCCTCGTCGCGCGCGTGCTCCACCCTCAAACATCGAGAGTGACGGAGATTATCGACGACCTCGATGCCCCTGTGGACGGACATGCCGCGTGCGTGCGCGAAGCCGAAGCGCTTTACAAAACCCTCAGCAGCTGGGCGACGACCCCGGACCAGATTCAGTCTCGCGTCGACGCGGGCAACTGTGCCTACAGCCATGCCTCGCAGGTGCGTCGCTGCCCCTCTTTGCTCCGTGACATCGACCGCCCACCGTGCGCTCTCGTGCTTCGCGAAATGGAGCAGCGGTGGTGTAGCGCGGCCCGGCGACTGATGACCGCGCGTTTGGGTGCTGCAGATCTGCCTCCTCCGCGACGTGCTCGGCGCGCAGCCGTCGGACGCGGTCGTGCAGACCCACGCCGACACCATCCTGGCGCTCTGCGCGGACTGCGGAAATAAGAAGATGGGCGTCGAGTGAGTCTTCCCATCCTGTTCGCCTGTCCGCCCCCCCGCCCCGTTTCGACTCGGGTCCGCCGCGCTCCGTGTGATGGGAGCGCGGCGTCCGGCCGTCTTCTGCATTCTGTCCCAGTCTTCTAGCCCTAACCTGTCGCCGCCTAACCGCCGCACATCCTCCGTCCCACTTCACAGCCTGACTTGGCCTGTCATCATCGCGGGGTCGCAAACGTTCGGCGCGGACCGCGCTCGGGTGCTCTCTGTGTTCGAGCTGTTCAGGTGCGCGTGCGTGCGCTCCGTCGTCATTAACGTGTTCCTAACCCTCGGTGCCCCGCCACCTCGTCCCGCCCGGGCCGCCTGCACAGGTCACAATGTGAGTCCCGATCTCGGATTTGCGTGCACGAACCGCGGTGCCCTCGAGCGGCGGCTCGCACGCCGCGCTCGGGAGGGCCGCGCCGGTCCCGCGTGGGGTGCAACCAGGGCGTGCTCGTGCGTCGCGCGCGTGTCTGACCCCTTTCGCAGGCTGCTACGAGATCGAGACGTCCGAGTTCATCGTACGCCAGGTGCGGCCTTTGCGTGTCCGCGCGCGCGTACGTACCGCTGACGTGTGCCGTCGTCCACAGGTCTGGCAACGGCTCGACGCGGGCCACCCGCAGGCGGACTTCCGCTCGGTCATGCGCGCGCACGAGCTCGACGTGCTCATCATGTAGTGCGCTCCCCTCGCGCGGGCCCGCTTCCGCTTCTATACCCCCCCTCGCCCTTCATTGATCTCTCGCCCGTGGCTCCCCGGATTGTTTGTGTCGCACTTCCCTCGCTTCTGTCGCGTGCACGGCTCCCCTCTCCCCACCGCCGATTGGCTCCCCCGCTATCTGTGTCTAACCACGCCGGGCGTGCGCCCCCCACAAGCCCGCCCTCGAACCCGTATCGCGCCGCCGCGTGCCCACCTCTATCGCGTCTCCCCGTTCTCTGTCACATCTCCGCTCCCCCTGTCCTGTCCGATGTAGTAAGACCCAATGTACTCCGAACCAAAGCCTAGTCTAGAATAGCAGACGCGCCCCGATGTCGTCCGTCCCTTTAGCCTTGCCCCCGTGCCCGCCTCGCGCCGCGACGTCGCTCCTCTCTCTCCCTCTCGACGGGGCGCGCCTCCCGCATGCGGCGCGGCGGCCTTTTGCCCTGCGGCGCGCAGGAGCGCGCGGGACGTGCTCCGCCCACGCGGCGGCAGCGAGGTGTTCTCCTCCTCTCCTTTGACGCTCCCCTTTTTTACACCGTCGCCGCGACGTGCGACCCAGACGTCCACTCGCGCGCCCGCGCGCAGTCCAGTCTGGCGTGCAAGCGCCGTACCGCGCCGGGCGGAACTTCAAAGCTTCAAGCCTCCACGTTCACCGCGACCCCCGCGCTCGCCCGACGCCAGCACTCCGCGCGCGCCGGGCGCATACACATCGTGCGTGCGTGATTTCCAGCAGCGCGCGCGGGAGAACGGTCGCGCCGCGCGCGGCTCGGAGGCAAATCGACTCGAGGGAAGCGAGTCGAAGCCGCCGGGACGCACGGGAACGGCGCTCGGGAGTCGGGACGCGATCGGCCGCGACCTCGGGACGATGGCCACGCGACTCTGGATCCTTCGAGCCCTCCCTCGGGCGAACGACGACGGGGTTGCGCTGCGGGCACTCAGCGCTCAGCACTCCTCACGCGCGCATGATGGGGTTTCTCCGGTGACGCACGGGCCACGGTTGACGTCGACGCCCGCGGTGTCTCAGACGGCAGACCGGTCTCGAGAAGGCCGGTCGGATTTTTTTTTTTCAAGGTTTGCGTGTGCGCTCTCTGGTTTTTCTCAAGGCGCACGCCGCGCGCAAGGGCCGTCGAGTTCCCACGGCGCCGCGACCCTTGCAAAGCCTGCGGAGCGCGCACCGCGTGGGCAAGTCGACGGTCGACAGAGATCTGCGGTGCGCAGGCCAATTCGCGCGCGCTGCTTACTTACTCACTTGTCGCCGCACCGCGCTTTTTCTCGGCGTCCCGGGAGCGCGCCTGAGCGCCAAGGTTGCGGCGGCGCACTGGCTGTTAGGCTCAAGCTCAAGGTTGCGCGGAACGTGGGGGGGAGAAAAACGAAACGTTGGTTTGTCCGGAGGCAAGCACGACGTCGTCCGGCGCCAACGCCGTAACTGAGCGTCTATATCCATCGCCCCTCACCTCCCTCCATGGTTGCCTGCGACGGCCGAGTCAAAGGAGCGCAACGCGCATCTCGCCACGAGGCCACGCAAGGGGGAGCGAAAGGGCTTTGCACTTGTCTCCCTCGGTCTCCGGACGGACGGCGGGTCTTCTGATCGCCCGCCTGGCCACAGGCGCTCTCAGGGCGCGCGGCGGGATCTGAAGGGTCGCGCGCATATGTTCGCACGACGCAGACCGTATGTGCTGCTCGGTCGTGACTCGTGGCGCGCCGTGCGTGCGGTACGCAGAGCACGGGGGCTGCATAACCTTGCATAACACAACGAAAAATTGGGCCCCGACGAGGCACGTCGATGCCGCGACTAACGCGACCGTCGGCACGGCGTGCGTGTGCGGTCCAGCGTCCGAGCAAACAAGACCTCTGACGAGACAAGACGGCGAGGGGCAGCCATACGCATAAGGACGGAGAGGCTGCCGCCCAGCGGCGAGCGGCCAGAGCGCCGTTGCACGCCAGGCTCTAGCTACTCGCGGTTTGGACCCGCGCAGGGCCGCGCGCGCGGCGGCCGGGTGTGTGGGTGTGTGCGCCGGACGTTCTCGGGAAGTTCTCTTCCTCCTGTGCGGGAGCGAGGCCGCGCGCGCGATCTGCAAGCCGGCTGGCAGTTGCAAAGTTTGAAGCTTCGGGCGCGCCGCCACTCGTACTCAGCGCTCGCACGTCCGCCGACGGTCGCGACACAGACGGCGTCCGGTGCCCAAAAACAAAATAGCCCACGGGGCGCGCCCTCTGCCTTGCGTCTTTTCGGCCTTCCGATTCTTCTGCTCGTCCGGCCCGAGGACGAGGGCGAGGGCGAGGGCGAGCCAGGGCGCGCGCGGGAAGGGTTTATTGCAAGGTTCGCGCGCGGCCGCCACCGTGTGCAGCCTAGCGCGTTCGCCGGTGGGCGTGCCTGTGGCTGCGTGCCTCATGACCGCGGTCGTCGTGGGGGCTCGCGGGCGGGGCTGGCCGCGGTGGTGGGACTGGGAGAGGATAGAAAGCTAGAAGACGTAGCAGAGCAAGCGCGACGTCGGACGTCGGGCGCGTGGCCGTGACGACGGCGTCCGCCGAGCGATGGCGACCCACGTACGAGAGAGCACATAAGGTGGGCGTTCGGGCGATGGTGTTCTGAACCCAGCGCGTGGGACGCGGATAAGACAGGGCTTGTGAAGAGGAGCGGGCGAAGGGGCGATAACGGCGCAGTCTGTCCCAAATATTGATACCTTCAATCGCGCCTCGCAGGACAGAAACGGTGGACGCGCGAGAGTGTCATCAACCCCGCCCTCGCGCGGCCACGACGTCATCGGCCAAGAGGCATCTAGCCGAGCGATTTGGAGGGGCACCGCTCGCGGGTCGGGGACGCGGGATCGCAAGGCCCAGAAGTCGGCGTCCGGACGATGGCGTCGGGTAACTCCCAGCGGGTACGCCCGCCAGGGCTGCTCCCACCCGGCGCGTCCTCGGACGCACTGGCCGGTCGAACTCCCTCTACACGATACGCGGTCTTTCTAGATGCCGCCACCCACAATTCAATGATATTCAGTCGCGATTCCCCGCCGAAGCAGAGCCCTACACGCGCCACTGGGCATTCGCGGTTGTCTCCGAGGCGCAAGGGTCCCTCCTCCTCCGCCGCCGCGCGCGATACGCATTCGCAGTGCCGGCAGCGCGGGCCCCATTGCGTACAAAGTACCGCGCCCATTCAGATCGCCAGGCGTACAGAAGCGAGCCGTGGGTGCGCGACACGCGCCGCGATGTGTGCGTGACTTTTCACGTAACGCGATGCGGACTGGCTGTGGACAGATCGGTACCATGTATGCGCTGTGCCCGCAACCGGGCAAATGCCAGAGGTTTGAACCGCCGTGCGACCGCCGCAGGTTCCCGAGCGTCGTTGGAAGAAGGGCAGGGAAATTTGGGTTTCGTGCGGGACGGTGTGCAGCACACGATGAACGTGCAGTCCGTAAGCCCTGGGAGGGACGTAAAGCGTACGAGATCAGCCTGCGCTCGTCCCAACGACAGCACGGTTTTATCACCTCGCGGTGTGCACGCGCAGAACGCAGAATCTGAGGGCTTCAGTCTCGCGGTCCGACCGAACTCTCCAGCGCGGTGATCGTGCGCGGCGCCATCAATTTCGAGCCCTGCGATCGCCTGTATGATGAGGTCCAGGCTATCGAATCACCAGCGCATGCAAGCAACGCGCCCCACGTCCGTCAGTCACTCTCCACAGATCGCAGAGCATGACCGCACCACAGCATGCAAGGTGGTTTCCACGCCCCGGGAACGTAACCTCCAGAGAGCGGCGCGCAGCCTCACGGCAGCCCCCTGTGAATTCGAACTTGAGCGTTTGAGCGTTGGAAGACACCGTGCACAACGCACCTACCGTTCCAGCTGCAGGCCCCACCGCCTCACCGGAGACCCTTTGGACGCCGAGCACTGCCGCGGCTGCGCGGCCTGCGCGTGCGGGGTGCGCGTGCAAATTCCGTCGCGGGACCAGGCGCCCGATTTCCCTGTGCGAGTTTAGCCGAGTAGAAGAGAGCTGGGTGAGACCAAGGGATGCTAAAACGCACTATGTAGCAGCGCGACGAGCGCGACGTCGCGGGCTCGCCGGCCTTCGCTGCCTGTTCTCGTCGCCACGCAGAGCTGCGCGCAGCCGCCTGCGGCCTGCGACGATGCCGTACGCTTTCCGTGTCGGTGGTGTGTCGCGTCGGATGCGGCGGGGCGCCCCCAGACGGCGATCGCAGGGTGCTTGGGGCTGAGCAGAACGACGACGACGACGATGAGCCGCTGCTCGCCCGATGCGAACGGACGGCGGGAGAACGACGCCCCGCGGCCGGTCACGGGAGCACCCGAGAGCGCGCGCGGCACAACCGTCTCCGCGCGGGGCGGCCTACGGCCGACCGGGTGAACGAGGAGGAGGGGGTGAATCGGGCGACGATGAGCGTGCCGGCGGTCGTCGGTGGCGGCGCCCGGTCATGCGGCGGTAGCGGTGCGTCCGAATGCGGCAGGAGGGGGCGGGGGGCGCGCAGCAGCGTCGATGTTGGACAGACGACGCGTGCGTCTGGAAGGCGGCTGCTTCGTCCAACCGCGATCGAATGCGAGGGCTCGCATCCTGCGCCCGTCCGGCCCGATCATCTCCATGATAATGTGCTCAATCGGCGGGGAGCCTTGGCCAGCGCTCGACGTCGTGCGTGGTGGCGGGGACATGTGAGCGCGCGCGGCGATGGAGCTCGCTGTGTCGTTGAGCGAGGGCGTCATGCTATCTCCTCCAAACGTCTGTTCGTGCGCGACGACGATCGGGTGCGGGGCCTCGGACGCCAATCTGAGGTGGGATCGTGCTGTGTGATCGAGCTTCAAACATCTGCAACTCTGGGGTCAGAATAGATGCGTGGTTGTGGCAGATCGGGATAGGTGATCAGAAGTATATGAGTGGATATGGGACGCCATGTCTGCTGAAATATCAGGTTGAATATTCCTCACAGGTCCCAAAGAACCGGAGGGAGTCACGAGGAAAGAGTTTAGGCCGATATCGTGACGCCACTAGACTCTTTGGACGGATTGCGAGAAGTGTTGCACTCACCTATCACGAGAGTCGCAATCTGAACGGCAGCCATTCAAGGCCATTTGAATATTGAGAGAAGCTTTTGTATCCACATTCTTGCACTCTTGACTGTATGTAGTTCGAGAGAGCCCATAAGACTGTGTATACGAATGCCGACAATATCAATGAATCTACCGATGTCGCCTTGGCGGCGATGAGTGATACCTATATTCAACATGGTGTCGGATTGAACCGAGCCACGGGAAAGTGCGTGGGTCTGCGCGGGTATGCCCAACCAAAACATCAGCATCCAAGCCAAGGCGCGCGAGTTCATCATCCAATCCATGTCATAAGACTGCCGCTATCTTCATGTGAGGGTCTGCAAATAAAGCCTCGTCATGACCGAGCGCTCCCGCGAGGCACTTCTGCGTACAGAGCTCGTCCATCATCCTCGAGGAAAAACTGCATCTTTTACATCCGCACCATGTACCCAGGCCCGTGCGAGCCCAAGTCGAACACAAAGGTGGGCGCTACGTGGGTCATAGGCCAAGTAGATCCGGCTTCACGGAGATGGAGACCCTTGCTCAGCTACCGCACCCATCACTGCCCCCGCGATGCGCAGCGGCAGGGACGACGTGCGTGTGCCAGCCGACCCCGGCGGCAGCGAGCGTGAGTTTGCAGACCGAAAACAAATACGTGCTTACTAGAGCAAACCGACCGGACTAACTCGTCAGCAGGTGGGCTATGCGCGGCACATGGGATGGTAGAATGGAGTTGTAAGGCGCCAGAGCGGGCCATAGGATGTTCGCGCGGCACCGCGGCCACGGAGACTGCGCAATACCATGAGCCCGAGCTTCCAACACAGTTTGAAAGCGAAGACTTACTGTGGCGAGAACCTCGGGTGCTGAATGGTGTAACATTCCTGTCCCCTTGAGGACGTGGGGAGTTCAGTCCAGCTTGTGAGTACCGCCTCCGGACGGTCCGCAGCACCACGCAGTCCAGAGAAACCCAGCCTCGACCTAAACGCGGCTTCGATTGCTCAAGGGTACAGAAAGCATAGCGTTCACGGGCTCCGTTGGCCGAGCTTCTGGCTGATTTGAAGTTGGCGCGGATGTACAGTGACTGTCGCAGCGCGCAGCTAGCTAATGATATGAGTCGGGCTCCCCCAGAGAACATATCTGTATCGCACCTTGACACGCATAGCCACTCGCAGTCCTTCTGATGTTCTGTTAGGGCGATTGGACTGTTAGGGCGATTGGATCCCTTGGCCTTGTGGATCGGATGTCCGGGACGTGAGATATTCTCATTGCGCAGCGAGCATTCCAGGGACTTTGGACCAAACCCCCATTGGTCGAACATACGCCATGTGCCTGGAAATAGCATTTCACCATTGATTCGGAGCGCTATAGGGTGATTCGCCATGCGAGCGCAGGCGAGTCATATAAGCAAAGACGATGAGTAAGAAAAGACGCTGACACGACTGCACCCTCCTCGTCGCTCGATTGCGCGGCTTGAACCCTTAGAATGTGGCTCGCTTAGTTGATAACTGACATGCACGGAAAGAGCTCGCGATGCGAAACGGAAATCCTAGGACTGCACTGTCCGTATGGGACACTCACTTGGACATCCGGTGACAGTCTTATGAGACATAGCACCCTTTGATCAACCGGCCGGCAGGGGCAGATGGCGAGAATGCAGCCCGCGTCGGCTCCGCTGGATAATGACTTGGCTGCACAGTTTTTTGCGGAGGCCGTATCGGAGCCGCTGACGCGCGGCGATGTGATGTGTTGGACAGGGACCGATTTACTATATTCACCGTGAGCCTCGTGACTCTCAATAAGGACGAGTGACCTGACAACGAATGTGAGTGGCTCATCGTGAACGACGCGAGACATGAGTAGACTCAAAAGGGTCAGCGCCCTTCGCCATGCGGCTCCTTCGCCACCGGGAAGAAGCATACCTGTCCGGCTTTGTGCTCTGACTGTTCTTGGAGACGGGAGGACACCTTGATTGGCCGTTACTGCAACCATGGAAGTAAGAAGGAGTTGAAGACGCACGTGCAGTCGCACTTCATGTGGAGCGGCAACATGGAGAGACCCACTCGCCGCTCCAGAAGCGGTGTTCCTGGGACGACGTGGGTGGGCTGACTGCGATCTGAAGTGTCCCGAGTTCCACTCCTTAGCCACACGCACACGGTTCGTGCGCAGCGCGCCGGTGCTCTGAACCCCGCAAAAAGGATCTCGTCAGTCCGGGGTCATGACAGGCGACGTGGTGTCATCCCGCGCTCACCTCGTCCCGGACTTGCAGCCTGGGTCCGTGCCTCGGCTCTTCTCCTCCGGCAGCGTGCCAAGTGCGTAGGACCCGGACACCGTCGGCGCATCCGGAAGAGTGCAGCTTCTGGCCTCAGGCCATCTGTCATACGCCGCGACATATGCCCACACAACCCACATATGTATGCACCGAACGGCCGAAGAAGGAGCACTGGATAGCGCGCGCAGATGCTCGGGCTAGAATTGAGGCGGATCACTTGTCAGCAAAATCATGGCGGTGGGATGAGCATGGGTCGACTCACTGAGCGGTGCGGGCCAAGGCCCGGAGACTCGAGAGGACGCGTCAGTGCGCAGACAAATTTTCGGGCCAGAGCACGGTCCCGGCTCGGAGCCAGGAGCAGTCGACATCGAACATATGGATAATGGGAGTAGGAGGCGTCTCGGGCGGCGAGAAACACCGAGGCCTGGAGGCCAGCACGGAATGAGTCGATATCCGTTTGAGTCTGACGGCGGGAGAGAGCTGGCGCCGCGCACGGCGTGCGCGGCGCCGGGTGCACCGGGGTCGAGACCGGTGCCGGACGCCGGTAGGCGTCAGGCTGGCGCGTCGAGGTTCGAAACGCTGATGCTGCAGGTTTGAATTTGGTCCTAGGCCCCGAGGAACGTCGTGCACGTCAGGTTGCGTGTGGAGAAAAATCTTCAGGAAAACGCTTATGGCAAGCAGTGGGTAACGTAGTAGAGGGAAACTGTGGAAGGAACGTGCGGGGGATCAGCAGCCAAATATGTCAAGCTTGCGTCAAGGCGTCGGTCGTCCAGGAACGTTGCTGTCTGCGCATGCACGCACTGTAGCAGTTGAGTGGCGTAGATGGACAAGGACATCCGACACATCACTTACTCGATGTGGCGACGGTGTGCTGACTCGCGCGCTCGGCCGCAGTACTCGCAACTTCGGAGTAGGCACGGGCACAAATAACAGATCGTCATCATGCGGCTGGTGATGCAGATGACTGTCGACAACGCCAGATATCCGGAACAGGAGTAGTCCACCTTGCGGACCCAATCGGGGGCATGACTCCTCATGCCTCAGCGTCCTGCCGAATTCGAATTCGTTCCATATACACTAGATGTGCGGCGCCGAGCTTCGATGGGACGCATGTCCACAGCCCTTCCGCGTCTGCAGTCTTCTCCATCACTCGTCGCAGAGCTTAGAATGCTGTATGCGGCAGATGTGATACAGCGCTGTCTGGGCGAGCAGAGTATTGGCATGGCAGCGACATGCAAGTGGAGCGCCGGGACACAACAATGACCGGGGACAAGATGGATAGTTGAATTCATAACAGGGTGTCCGTAGACGGAACAACGGGTGTACTCAGCTATAGTGATGCCTTGGCTGGGATGGATACACGGAGAAGGCAAGAAGATTAGCCTCGAAGGTAGACGAGGGCACGGTGTAGTTGGAAAGAGAGCCTGATGGAGACGGCGAAGCTCACGATGATCGCACGAATATCAGCATGCATGTACAAGGAACAGCACAGAATAGCCTGCATTCGTGCTTCTTGCAACGAATCTTGCGTGTGAACTGAACAAGGCGATGACGCGCGACCCGGTGAGAACCGCACAAGCCCCGCAGTAAGGAGTGCGCATGAGAATGCGCAGTGGCGGGACCCTCCGGATGAGCGAGAGACCCGCTCGGGATGTTACACAATGAATGCAGAATGCGATGCTGGAAGGAGAACGACTGTGGATACGCAGTATCGGGATAGCACGGAGCAGTGCTGGTGGGCGGTAGAAGGATCGTGCGACGGGTTCACATGCGTGCGAGAAGAATGACTGGGGGAGACGATGGGAGAGCAGATGACATGGCACGGCCGGAGAAGGCAGGGGACGTGTGCGGGCGATGAAGGGATGCTGGGATTCCATTGTCGGCTGTCTACCCACATCCGGCTCAGTTCCAGCAGCGCGGTGGCACAATGCCCTTCCGAGCGGAAACGCGACGCGGGACGGAGAGGGGTGCTGCGGACGGAGAGGGCAGTTGAGTACTGAGTCACGGGGCGCGGAACTTCGGGTTCGGCGGACAGTGTGCGCGGGGTCGTCGAGGAGGCGGACATACGAGCACCGCCCGGCGGGGGCGAGGGTGCGGAGAGCGAGGGCGCTGCGAGATCCGAGAGGGAGGAGAGGACGAGAGCCGGTGACTCCAGCCGTGTTTGGCCGTGTTTGCGTGTGGCGGAGGGGGCGCCTCGATATAGCGACTGACTCTCGTCTGCAGCTGACTCTCGCTACGCCCATATAACTCCCGCTTGCCCCTCTATCGTCCCCCGACGTCCCAGCTCAATCCGCAAATCTCACTTTTCCGCCTGCCCAACTCGCGACACAAATCTCCCAGCTCGTGCTCATCCAGCCGACGAGCTTCCCTCCGGATCGTCCTTAGTCGCTGACTGGGACATCCGCCACTCTCCCCACTTTTCACAATGCTTCGTATGCGCCTCACCGCTCAAGTATACCCCCTCCCGCTGTATTCCACCGCCGTCCCCTCGTCCGATTCCAACTCTCTCGTCTCAACTTCTCCTTCTGATTCCAGTATCATTATCATCCAGTCCACCTTCGACCTCGCCCATGCTCTCTTCTGAATCATATTAATCTGGTAATACTCCATCGCCACCACTCTGTTCCACAAGATCCCAGTCTCCGCACACTTATCGACAATGAATATCCATGCAGTCACCCACTCGCTGCCCCACCGCGGCCCTGGCGCGACCTCGCGCGCTAGGGCCCGTTGGCAGCCCTATGCTTCCAACATCTCGCATCCCACACACTCGCATTCCACACTTTCCAAGTCACCTGTCCCCACTCCTGTTTACTTGCACACTCCCGCTTCTTCATCTGCCGCCTCCTCTCCGTCCACCGCCCCCCTCCACCCCATCTGCGACATCAAGACATCACTGCCATCGTCGTCCATCCGGGATGTTCAAAAGTCAAAATATGCCGCAAAACTCGTCGGTGAGCACTGTTTGATTTGGCGTTTGTGCCGCGGGCCGGTCCGCGAGCACCTCTGTGTCGTTTCCCGACGCGCCGTGTCGTTCTGGCGCGCGCGCGAGTGCCTCGGCGCGTCGGTCACCTTCGGATGTCATCCATACCTGTTTCTGTCGCGGGCGATAGAACAGATATTCATTGCGACCGTTTCTCCAGATCAAGCCGTAAAAACGCTTTCCGACGTTTGGCAAACCGACGACATTCCGGCCGTTTACCTCGTTGGTAACGGTGATGGGCTCTGTGCGCAGCCCGACCTCAAGGTCGCGTCCTCATCCGCCGCAATCGTTTCGCATAGTCTCGCGCCATTCTTCTCGTCGCGGAACACACAGCTTCCCTCGCCGATATCGCCGTCAACGCGCCGCACGCCCTCTCCAACCGCGAGTGGGTGCGAGTCACACTCGCAGCCGCCCGAAGGTTCCGTCGGCGGGAATCTGCTTCCGATCAAGGGCTTTGTGCACGAGGTCCTCCGTCGCTCCCGAACGTCCACTGGCGTCCTCCAAACCGCGCTTTGCTACCTGGAGGCCGTTCGCGCCAAGATCCCCGAAATCCTCCGCGCCGAGAAGACTGGGACATTTGTCCACCGGGACGAAGACGTCGAGCCTAGGATTGTGCAAGGTGTCATCGATGAGCCCCACATCGTCGGCTCTATCTCCCACGATCCCAGCAACACCATCCAAACCGTTCGCGACGGTGACACCGTGCTCGTTGGCGCCATAGACATCGACGCCCGTGCGTCGTGTCGGCCCTCCCTCTGCGATACTTCTCTGCCCCCGCTTCCCCACCTCCCCTCCCCCTTGTGTTGTCCCCGCCGCGCCTTTTTGGCTTGCCTCATACTCGCTTCCAAGTTCATGCAAGACCGATCGTACTCCAACCGTGCGTGGGCGAAGCTTGCAAGTCTTCCCCCGAGGGAAATCGGGCGCTGCGAACGCGCGCTTGGAGAAGCTCTCGAGTGGCGTCTCTGGGTCGGCAAGCTACCTGCGTCGACGTCGACTGCTCACCCCCTGGCGCGGAGCCAGAGCGCTGCTGATGTGCTGTACACCCCCGCCCCGTCTCCTTCTTGTACCCGGGTCCCGACTGCGCCGTGGACTAGGGATGAGACTGCGGCCGCTGCCGCACGTCTTCCTTTCTCCATTCCCCCTCCGCCCCCTCCGCCCAGCTCTCGGTCGCGCGGCCTGCAGCGCAGCGCGACCGTGCCGCAGTTGGGCGCCGAGCGCAGCGCGGTCGTGGTCGACCCCTTCTTCCCGAAGACGGACAAGTTGGGCGCGTGGTACGATACAAGACCGACACCTGGGACGGGTTTCGACTCCGGGTATTCGATGGACGTGGAGCCCCAGACCGAGGTTTCACCTACGACGCTTTCGACACCGACTCTCACTTACTCGCCTATGTCTTCGGCTTCGTCGTCGTCCGACGGCTCAGAGGAGAGGACCATCCAGATGTCCATGCTCGTCGACATCCCGACGCCCTCTTGCAGTGGCTACAACCCCCCTTGGATTGCGCACGCCATCCCCTATACCCCTGCAGACCCCGCGAATCCTGGCGCCTCGCTCACAGCCCGCCACGCTTACGCTTACGCCGATGCGGACTGTGCGTCAGGTTTCGAAGGATTCGCCGGTCTGACTCTCCCGCAAATCCACCTCTCGGCGATGAAGAAGCCATTCTCGACCCTGCCCTCCTTCTCGGAAGCCTTTCCTGAACAATGTCTCGGCTCCTACGGTTACGGTACGCAGTAAGGTCGTCTCCTGTTTCCCTAGTCCCCTGTGGGGAAAGGGGAAAGAGGAGCTTTGTGTGCTATTTAACAGGTTGCGCCGTCTTCGGACATTAGTTTCTCTCGTCCTTTCGACTACGTCACATTCTTTGTTTCCATAATCTTGTTCCGTTCTTGTTGCATGGTTTAGTGTGGATGCTCTGTTTGGATGGCCATTGTCGTCGGTATGCGAGACTACATGTGAGATCTTTTCCTGCGCTACTGCCACTCTGCCTCATCTCGTCTCGTTTCGTCTCTCCCTCTCTCATCTGTTACGCGTCGTTTCCTCTGTACTCACACCCTTGTACATAGATATATGCCCCTCTTCCTCTATGTCCTTATGCCATACTCACCGCCTCATAGGTGCTACTGCCTCTCGAGGCGGCTTGGTGTACGGAGCGGCACCGCGCTTCTGTGCGGTGGGCCTGCCGTGTGGGGTGATGGAGCTGAGGGATGGAAGGCCGTGCCGGTGGTGGCCTCGGTGGACCGGGATCGCGGAGGCGGACGCTCCAACGGGAGGAACCTCGACGATCGTCGCGCGTGACTCTAGCAGTCGCGCGCACATCGCTCTGTGGATTCTCCTCGCGGACAGACGGCCGTCGACCTCGTTCCTCCCCTGGCGGACCCCGGCCGATCGCTCGTCGCTGTCGTGCACGCGCCCGCGAGCGCGAACGCCCCTTTCCGCGGTCTCGCGGTCGGCGATCACGAACGCGGGTGGGGGCAAGACACGGCGGCGGCGACCTCCCGGATCAACACCCCAGCGTGTATCCGACGACTGCCTGGACGCAATGCTGTCCGTTGAGGCATGAGGGTACTGCCGTGGTTGCGCACGCGCCCGCTCCGCGCGGTATCGGGTTTGCCAAGTTTTCGCGCACCGAGTATCACAAGTGGCACTCGAAGTCGAAGCCGACGTCAGTAGGGCCGTTGTCCCCGCAGACGGACGACGCTTCTGGGCTGCATAAGACACGACCTCGTCCGTTCCACGCTCTTTCGAGCCCCCGACCAGGCCGCGCGCGATGGCGACGAGTGGAATGCAGCGTTTCTCGTAACGTTCGATAAGCACCGTCTCCCTTCTCTCCTATCTGGTCCCCGTTGCGCCGTAAGAGCTGACTGCGATCGTGTCATGGCCTTTCTTTGCCCTTCCCTTTCCTGTTCGTCGCCCCATCCTATCCCCATCGCGCACCCTTAGATCTTTGTATCGAGCGCCGCGCGCCGCGGCGGCGCTGGGGATGGGGATTGAGGTACGCCGCTGTGCGTTCGCCTCCGCGCGCTGACTGCTCCGTTTGTTCGTAACAGCGCGCGGCTTTACTACATCGACGACCATGAAATCAAAGCCCCGCGTCGGAACTGTACTAGCCATCGACGCTCGTATATCACCCCACCAACGCGCGCCCATGCGCACCCAACCGAACCGCATTGCGGCCATTCATAATTCGCGGTGTCCACCTCCATCGCGCACGTCAACCCGAGGCCCGAGGCCCCCGCAGGCTACGCGCCGACCGCAGAGGCCTCTGCTCTGAGGGATACGATACACTTGTCTGCTCGCGCACGTTCCCCCGTCGCTCCCCGTCTATCCGCGCACGGCCCCGCTCTAGCTGCCAGATCGGGGATGGCTTGCTCAGGTCCAGGTTCGCGCTATCGCGTGCACGCTCATGCTCCATACGGACGACGAATCGCCCACGGCGCACCAACTCTGACCGACATCTGAATGGACCGGCATCTCTCTGGGACGAGGTCGACGTCAGGACGGCACCAGGCCGCCCCGCGAGGAGCTCTATCAGAGCCGCAGTGCTATCAGACAGAAGAGCGCGACCCTGAGGTGGGACGGAACGCTAAGTCTTCCCGCTTTCCCTCGGATGCTTCGGCTCTGACAGAACGCTGGGACGGCGGGGGTCAGCTGGGGGCGCACGTTGCCCGTCCGCTGCGCGCGCCGCCCTCGGTGCGTCGCATGCTGTCTCCCGTCCGTCGCGCTGACACAGGAGCGCGATAGGGACCGCCGTGGGCGGGACGGGGATTTCACGGCGGAGCGCGCCTGGCCGGGTCGAGCCCAGGGGCGCTCTCACGTTCGTTCAAACTTCACTCTCTCTGCAACGCTCGTCGCGCCACCTGTCATGGGGACCGGGTCACGGGAATGCGCTGCACAGGACCCGAGGCTCTTGGCACGTGTTCCCGCGTTCTCCGCAGAGACCGAGATGCAGGCCGGGTGGGACCGGAGTATGGATGTGCAAAACGCAAAACGTGAAGGTGAGCGAGGACGGCCCACATATCCGCGCTCGCCGTCGAAAGCTTCGAGGACGGTGCGTCAGATCGCCGCGTGGGTCTCCTGGCTTCAAACCGGTCGTCTGGAGCGGTGCAAGCCCTGTGCGCAGAAGCGACGATGAACGGAACCCTAGGGAGCGCGCGACGGCCGCAAGATGCGGACGGGTTCGCGCGGAATAGGCGGAGGCCGCGCTCTTGCGACGCTTCCCGAACGGAGATACTCCAGGGCCAGGGATCCTGCTCTGCATCATCGTCGGCCAAGCATCGTTCGACATCCCACTTCGCTCGACTTCTGCCGAAGAACTCGCTGCTGCGCGCATCTGTCGAACACACAAGCTCGCTGGGAGCGGGCGTCTTCCGATCTCTCGGAACTCGACTTTCCAGCGCCGGACGGGAAAGGAAGGCGGGCACAGGCGGGCACTCACTGCACTCCGGTCCTCGTCCTTCCGACGCCCACTCGTCCATCCCGCGTCTCCCACGTCAAACCACATGCGCCAAGCCGGATCGATCCCCGTCGCCCGGAGCTCGAGTCATCGGACGCCCTTCCAGCCAGCGCGCGGTTACGACCACGGAAACTCCTTCTGCAACGCTCTCCGGCGGTATGCCTCCCGGCGGATCGTACGGGCGATGACAGTTCGAACCTCTCCCGGCGGGTTCGCGGTCGACAGCGGACGTGGGGTGTCGTCGGGTCTCGAGGGGCCGTGGTGCAGGCGTACTCGGGACGCGAGGGGCACGGGGTGCGCCGTAATGTACAGATTCTCGGACGGTGCGGGTTCCTTGGGACTCGGAGCTCGATCTTCATCTTCGCAATGCACGCGTGTATTCCTGTGCTGCAGAGTCGTGTGTCCGAGACGGGCCCGTGGTTGCCATGTGGTGTCCGTCGCGTGGTGTCGGTAGTAGAGTTCACCGAGCTGTACGCCGTGTCTCGAGACACTGATCAAATCCACTCTTAATCTCATACTTGTCCGGATACTCGTTCATTCCGGCATGTTTCCATCCGTTGGAATCGCACACCCGAAGGAAGTTTGATCGTTGAAAGTTGAACGTTGAACTCCAGGCCCGAAAGCCTATCCCAGCGGTGTCCGCGAACTCTGTCGGGACTCCAATTCCCTCAGAGCCCGGCCCGAACTGAGGCCGACCTAGTACTAGTGTGAGTGTGTGGTCGGAGCGCGGACCGCCAGCATTTGTCGAGAGCCCGACGTAGTTCGGACATTCCTCACGGCACCCCCACCAGAAGCCGTTTAACCTCTGACCGCGGGCTTCACGGCTCCGACCAGACGCGCGCACGGTCCACATGAACGTGCGCGCAGAGCAATCCGTGTACGTGTATATATATAGGTGGGGGCTGATATCACCGTTCGCAGCACGTTGGCGCATCTGTGGGCGCGGTTGAGGGCGCAACGCGCGGGAGATCTTGCGATGCAGCGAGCGGGGCCGCGACGCGCCTGCGGGGATGGACCGTCATAGTGACCACTTTGGATTTGAATGCGGTCAGTATGACACATCGTCAACGTTTGCAATTGTACGACGACTGCGGGTGCCGTGTTCAGCGCGCACGACGGTTGCAATGTCTCGCTGTCAGAGCCGCTGATCGTGCGGTCGAGCGAATGGACGTTGACCGGCGCCGCCGCATGCCGCGTACGGAACGCAAGGAATATGTCCAGTGTGGTAGTCGCGTCGAGAGGGCCGACGGACAGGATTGAGGGTAGTACTTGTTTAGACATTCAAGGTCCGCAGAGATTTGGATACACAACGGATACGGTTCAATAAGGAATCTAGTGCATGCCAAGTAGATAGCAAACATAGATCGCCAGGCAACGCAGCGAGGGGGAAGGACAGAATTGTGCTCATGGCCCTGCCAGAAGTTATGCCGAGCGCTGAAGCGCTGAAGGCCCGGTCAGCCCAGCCGGACGCTGAGGCTAGGTTTCGAACCCTCCTCGCCTTCCAGTGCCTGCTTCGCTTTCTTGAATCTCTATGCTGCCCCTTTCGCCTGCCCACAGCCGCCGCATCTGCCCTGTGTTCTCTCCGGATTATCCTGGCTATTGCGTATTGTTACCAATGATGTTTCTGAACAGTCTCTACGCCCTAGTAGCCTTCTTGTCATTCGTGAGGCCAGCCTAAAAAGTGTATAAAAATCCGGCTAGAAACCTGTTCGTACGGGAGTTCATGAGTTCTCTGCGGCTCTAAAACAATGAAATTACTCACCGTTCGGCGCAAATCCCAGGCGCTGGTTTCCAATGTCCCACACCGAGTAGTAGTGCTTCAAGACCGAGCCGCCAACGACATTCAGGCCCGGAAAGGAGTTGATGAGTGTCTGGCACGTAGACGGGTCGCTCTCGAACGGTCCGACGTTCAGCTCGGAGCTGGGGATTGTCAGGTTGAACGGAGTGCCGTCTTGCGCGGTGAACGTCATGTCGATCACCGCCGGGAGACTGTCGATCTCGTCGCAGGGAAGGCCAAACGCGCCGGGCTCGGCGGAGAAGGGCCGGATCGACGGGGAGATGAGGGCGTTCATGGCGTCAACGATATCGTCGTCGAAGACGATGTTTGACGTGCCCGAGTCGAAGATGACGGTGAGAGGCGTCTGGAGGAGGGAGGTCGTTTGGTTGTTGATAAAGATTCCGGAGGCAATCGTTTGCCAGTGGCTGGCATCCTCGACGGAAGTGAAGACGAGGTCCCCTTGGAGGCAATCGAGTCAGGATGCTGCACGAAAGGTTGGAAAGAGACTGAGGACACACCGTCGAACTGAGTATCATTGATTCCGCCGAGCAGAAGCTCTGCGTTGCCGACCGCGTTCGGGGTCAAAAACATGCTAAACAGGGCTGTATGTGCATAATTCAGTAGCTGCCCAATGCCGTAGAGCCTGAGGCACTCACATGGCAGTCCTTGCTCCTCAAGGGCAGCAAAAATGCCCTGTGCAGATGCTCCCAAGCCCTGTATTCCTAAGAAAGGGTCGATGTTGAACTTCGGGGTCTGGTCGATGATCGTAAAGAGACTCAGGTTTTCAGTGGTGATGTTACCAATCGTGACGCTGTCTGTCGCCGTCTTGACGGTGAGGACGTAGTCGTTGTTCACGACTGGATCGACGCCCACTCCAGTGGCAAAACTGAGCCTCCGGGTCGTGTTTCCAGCGACAAATGTAGAGCTCTGGGAGCGGACGAACTTGTTGGCTTGGGTACAGGACGTGCACTCGTCCGTCGCGAACTCGAGGGTGAAAGAGCCGGTGTCGAACACGACGCTGACGTCCTGCGGTGGCGTACCGACTGCCATTATATGTGAGGACATCGTATCGACACTTAGGGAGAGGGAGAGACGGACCGGAGATGTTCCCAAACCACTGTAAATCTGTGCCCAAAAAGAAGTTGTCCAGCGGGACTCCGAGTGCCGGGAGCGCACGGCGACGGAGACCAGTCGTGTGGCCTTTCGGAGTCACACGGGACTGGATGGCGATAGATTGTGGTTGGGCAGCGGCGATGCCTTCGGAAGCTGCGAGGACGAAAACACCGAGAGCAGCAGGTGACAGCATCCCGTGAGCAAGCGCAGTGGCGAGACAGTGGCGAGTGAGGGAGTTATTGAGCTCTTGAAAATGTTTCACGACATGATCCTCTTATACGGGGCAGGCTCGAGTGATTCGGAAAGCCTGGAAACAACAGTGTGAGTGGGGGAAGAGGCGATCAACACAAAAGGGAAGAGACACACAGCAACTGCGTCTACCGAGGATAAAAGAACCCGATCTTGCAGGTGGCCATGAGGTCTTCGAGGGAACTGCGTGCAAAAGAAGCGGCCTTGCCATGCGTTCACGAAGTCGACGAGGAGCTAACTTTGACTGTGTTCAGTGCGCGCGGGCGCCGCCGCCTTTGATTAGTACTCTCGAGATTACGATATAGGATTCAAAGGAGGACGAGCGAGGAGCGAGCGAAGACCGGAAGCAGATGGATGTTATGTGAGCTCTAGTATACTACGGAGACTGAGAGATAGCGACGAGGGAGTGTGCGCCCTCAGGAGTCATGACCGGTCTGACTCTCGGATCACGACCCGCTTCTTCGAGACCTGTGAGCCAACATATGCCATTGTGAACAGATACCGCACAGGGCAACGGGGTGCAGCTGGGTGCAGTGGTCCGGGAGAAAAGCTGGTTGCAGTGATCGGTCTCGGTGGAAAGGCGCGTGATGGCCACGTCTGCATATGCGACCCAGAGAGGCGCTCGCTACCCACCTCTCTCTTTCCCTCCATCATGTTCTTCAGCAGGCTCACCTTCGGTTTCCTTCTCCTCACGGTCGCCGCCTTCTTCTGCGCGCAGTCAGTCGAAGCGGCCAAGGGGCCCAAGATCACCCACAAGATCTACTTTGACATGAAGCACGGCGACAAGGACATGGGTCGGAGTGAGCATCATCTCCTCGCTTCGTTCCACTAGCACCAACTTATTGACGCTTCTCACCTGCAGTCGTGCTCGGTCTCTACGGTGGTGTACGCAGCTCTCAGGGTCTCTGACGGCCGAGCGCTCACGTTGGTCCGTTGTCCAGACCGTCCCCAAAACCGCGGAGAACTTCCGTGCGCTCTCGACCGGTGTCAAGAAGAACGGCGAGGCGCTCCCCGAGGGCTTTGGCTACAAGGGTTCTAAGTTCCACCGTGTCATTAAGAGCTTCATGATCCAGGGTGGTGACTTCAGTACGTGGCCGTCCCAATTCCCCCCGACCACGCTTGGATGTTCACGGGCGCACTCTGTTAGCCCGTGGTGACGGCACTGGCGGAAAGTCCATCTACGGCGACCGTTTCGCGGACGAGAACTTGTGAGTACTGCTTTATCTTACAAGACAGATGGATACCGACTGTCCTTTCAGCAAGCTCCGTCACACTCGCCCCGGTCTCCTCTCTATGGCTAACGCTGGCAAGGACACGAACGGTGAGCATCATTGGAGTCAGAATATAGCGTAGTTGACTGACGTATGCGCTCACAGGCTCTCAATTCGTGAGACTAATTCGTCATTGATATACGGGTTGACGTTGATTAATTTCCTTCCTTTCATAGTTCATCACCACTGTTGTTACGAGCTGGCTGGATGGCAAGCATGTAGGTGGTTTCGTTCATACCATGTGCATATAACGCTTATTCTCTGATCAGGTCGTCTTCGGCGAGGTTGTTGAGGGCATGGATATCATTACTGCCATTGGTACGTGTTGCAAAATGTGTTGGTTTGCTGTTGCTTAAATTCTGTGCAGAGAACGTTGACAAGGGCCGCAACGACCGCCCCGAGCAGGATATCATTGTCGCGGACTGTGGCGAGGTGAGTCAACTGTGAAACCTATCAATAATCCAGAATGCTGACTCCATCTATCACAGCTTCCGGTGGACACCGTGGAGACGGCTGCTGACGAAAAAGAGGTGCCTGCCCACGCTGAGCTCTAAAAAGCCCGGCTCTATTCTGATGTTAGGCAACGTACGAATGAAATCATGTTTTGGTTATTTACAGGTCGCCGGTCTGCCTAACCATACCACCACGTCCTCTGCGAAGACAGCCGCACAGACGACGACCACCCACGCTGCGGTCGCGGTCGCTGCCTCGGACGTGACTGAGAAGGCCGCTGCCGCGGCGACCACTGTCAAGCCCCTCGATGACGATCTCTCGGTGGCCACGGGCGCGGCGTCGTACGAATCTGCGCTTGAGCTCGAGGACGGCTGGGGGTCGTTCACCTCCATCCTTTTCCTCGTCATTCTCATTGGCGGTGGTATTGCGTTCTGGCGCCTCGGTGGTGTGAAGTACCTCAGGCTCTGCTGCAGCGGTAACGAGCGGGCTCGTTACCGTCGTGTCAACGCCGACGATGTCGAGAAGTAGAGGATCTCCCGGGGTTCCGTAAATTAAAGCTCCCGTACGGTCGATCCCTTGCCTACGGATCGGTTTGTACTTCCGATGTATAGGTAACAGTTACATGGGCCTGTCATTCGTTTTCTTGAATCACGTTCTTTTTGGAAAGTGCATCGACCCGCCGCAGAATTCCTGTAATAACAGGGTCTGGGGATCGGTTGGATGTTCGACCGACTTTCAAGGAATAAGTAGCACTTGGTCTCACCAACGACAGAAGGGAATGTTATTGCTACCATCTCATCTCGCCATGCTGCTCTGCAGCTGCCGCGGCCGACACGACGAACGAGGGGACTCCGTCGGAGTTCAAACGGTCTCAATCACCACACCCACACCTACATTTCTAATAAGTAGCCCTGCAACGCCCGCGCGCCTGGATCACCGGCCTCTGGTATGCATATACACTATACGGGCGGGCAAGAGCGTATCAAGAAGCAGCAATAACGCAAAATCAATAAAGATACAACATAGAGAGGACGATGATGCTACAGCCGAGAGCAAATCAATAGTCCCAATAAATCCGCGCCTGAAGTATCGTAAACCCGCGGACGCACCGCGCCCCGTCACCCGCGCAGCACGCCTATTCCTCCCGTTCTCGCTTGACCTTTGAACTTCGTACGAGGCCGAGGGCCTTCATCTGATCGCGCATGTACTTCTCCAGCCGCGTCGCGCTCTTGTGGTACACCGTGTCCTCGGGGTTGTACGCCCGGCAGTTGTCAAAGATGAGCTGGGCGTCGTCGAGGAACAGGTCCGTGTCTGTGTACTGGTTGGTGTCCAGCTTGTGCTCCATCGTGCTGAGGTCTGGAAACGGCAGAGGGCGAAGTCAGCATCTAGTCCACGCGGCACTGAGGATGTTCACAAACCCATGGGGTGGGTGATAACGTCGTAGTAGTCGAGAACTTCCTTCGCATTAACGGGCTGCAGGAATGGCCAAGCGGAAGAATGCAACTTCAAGTCGGAGAGGAGCTTCTCCATCATCGCATGCTCAGCACCGCGACCGGTCGGGCGGATTGGGCTACAAGTGACATGTCAAAATTGCAAGTAGCAGGACAGTCCATCATGCTACATACGCTGTCTGCATTGACGGTGTCCAGCCGCTTTCCCCTGCAAATGGGTTGGAAATGCAGGGTTAGAGGCATAGATAGTGATAATAGAAGTTAGCGGGCACCCACGAAGACCGGGCACCTCCTTGGGGTCGACGACCATCCCATCCCCTGCGCCGTTCTGAAACTGCGGAAGCCCATCGTAGACGATATGTGAACGGCTCTTCTCCCTGATCTTCGTCAAGACAGCTTCTCGTTGCTGTTGAGCGGTTTCCCGCCATGAAAGATAATCGACCTTCGGCAGCAGCTTGCACTCCATGATGGTACCACCCTCGTAGTCCTTAATGTAGCCTGCCCAGACGGCCCGATCCAGAGTGATTTCCTTGGAAAACCCCTGCTTTCGGAAGTACCCAACGGCGTAGTTATCGGCGTAGGTAAGGAAATAGTTCATGTCGGGATAGGTCTTCTTGATATGCGCCTTGAAGTGGTCCATGAGCATACCACCATATCCCTGACAACGAGATGGCGTTAGACGCATGCATACGAGCGATACAGAGAGCCTCCACCTTGACTTGATCTATTGAGGCTGTCGCGAAGAAGACAATCTCGGCGAAACCTCGATGTGGAAATGGACGGTAGCAGATGCCGCCTACAACCTTGTACCCTCGCTTGATGATAGCTAAGCACTTGGAGTTGTGGTCGTACACCAGACGCGCGATGTACTCTCGAGGCATCTTCGGAAGCTGCTTCTGGAAGAGGGTCTTCAGACCAGTCATGACCACCGAGGATCGCGGTTGGCGGTCGTTGTCCACCGCAATGACCCTGATGACGCTTTTTCGAAGCTCCACGTACGCAAGTTTCTCTTGTTTCGCGGAAGGCTGTGCAGGGGATGGACACATTGAGGGAGAGGGGTGCACCGAGGGTGGTTTCACGTACCGCTGCAGATGCGGGACCGGCCGCGTCCATCGTCACACCAGTCGCCAGCCTCGTGAGCTGGCCCTCATCCATCTTGTCTTCCACCTTGACCTTCGCGTCGTGGCCGTTCACAGCCTGCGCGGGGCGCATCTCTTCTCGCTCCTGGGCTGTTGGTGGTGGCATGTTCGCAGGGGCAGTATGTGCCTTCGACTTCATACTGTGCTTCTGCTTGCCGCCTCTTTGACCTGGTACTGGACGACCGTTCGCCTTGTTCTTGTTCTTGCTAGGTGGTTGTCGCGCCACCTGCGTGGCAAGCGGTCGTTCCTCTTCGTCGTCTTCATCGTCCTCAGCCTCGCTGAGCGACGAGTAATCTGGAGATAAACGCCGCTTCTTGGTAGGACGACCTACAACGTCGCTTAAGAACGAAGATGCGGGGGATAGTGGGTGCTTTTCGGGGGGCGATGAGGGGACTTGACAGGGCTGAGACCGGCGCGCATACGAGGGGTTGGTATGGAGAGTACACACCTAGTGCGCCGAGCTCATCTGACAGAGAACTCGCGGGTGAGTTGGGTTCTCCTGGCTTGCGAAAGTCGCCCATTTGTTTCCTCAAGGAGTCAATGTCCTTGTCTGAGTAATCGAAATCGCCGAGCCTTCCGGAGTCCTAGAGCCCAATGAGGCTTAGACAGGATATACTGTAGATATGCGTACCTGGATAGAAGATGAAACGCGTTCAGAGCGTCAAGACTGGGTGATAGAAACCATGCGCTCACCTCAAGTAGCTCATCTAACCGTACGGCGACGCGTCCTCTCCGCACGAATTCTGTATGTCCTATGGTGGAGATGTTCGCACCGTGGGCGGCGATGTCGTGTCCGCACCCGCAGCGGTCAATATACTGCGTGGCGGGCTCGCCGTCGTCATCCGAGTCCGATCCGTCCGACGAGTCGAGAGAGACTTTCCAGCCTGGGGGAGGACGAAGGCCGAGGCATGTTGAACAGCCGGAGCAGGGAGAGTGGCGGGCGATTTTGATGGCGATGTGGGAGTCGGGTACATTGGGTATATCGTTCGAGGCGGGGTATAGTGCCTTCATCATAAGCATGAGCTGCAAGACAGCGGGAGAGCGTAAGGCCGAGGACGGTGAGAGCGACGAGCAGAGCGAATGACAACACCGTGCGCGACGCCCGCCGGTGGCTGTGTTCCGCGGTCCGCCCCCACCTCGACCACGAACTCGGCCTCGGGGCCGTTGGGCTCGACCACACCCTCAATCTCACTCTTCATCTCCTGCCTACACATCCACATACGCCATGCTCACCAGAGCTTGCGCGCGCGCGCGCGCCGTTCCGCAGCCCCAAGTCCTGGAGAGATGATTTGATCCGCTTTTTTGGTGCCTGCCCTCCCTCGCGCCGCGCGCATTGTCTCCGAATATCCTCCTCCCTCTCTCCATGACCCTCGGCGTCCCCACGCAGCCCTCTTTTCTTCCCTAGAGTGCGCGTGTGCACGCGACGAGCCTCTCCGCGATGCCCCCGTTCTCCCTTGTCCATATACCCCAGCTCCTCGTCTGGCTTGTCGCTCTTTTGTCTCTCCCCGCCTTCGTCTCCGCCACCGAATGGATCGACTACCCCGCTGACGGCACCGCAACCCTCACTCACTACACCCTGCCCGATGGCTACATTGCATCCTGCGGCTGCACCGGCGCAAGCACCCAATACCCGACCGCCGCCATGAGCCAGTACGCGTATGGCAGCAGCACCGCGTACGGCCCAGGATGCGGTCGGTGTTTTCAAATCACCCTGCTCAACACATACACTGGCACTCCACCGTTCTTCCCGAACGTCACAAAGAGCGTGGTCATAAAGGTTACTGACCTGTGTCCTGTGGGCGGAGCAGGATGGTGTTCCGCGACGCCGGACAAGCCCAACCAGTGAGTATTTCCGTTCTACCGTGCGAGGACTTCGTACGCGGGGGCGAAGCAGTCGCTGAAACGTACGACATGAAGGAGCGGCCAGTACATCAACTTTGACCTTGCTTGGCCCTCAAAGAGTATACCGGATGACTTCTTTCCTTCCGACGAGGCATTTTACGGTGAGTGTCAGAGAAGGCTTGATTCTCCCACAAAACAACTCAACTCTTGTGTCTCACCGTAGGCTATACGGTTCGTCTATACTATCTTTTTGAGCCTCAGACACGAGACCAAGCCGTATCCAGGACTTTGGTGTATGGAATGTCAGCTACAAGTCGGTCAACTGCCTCGACAACTGGGCAGGGGCGAAGAACGCCGCCGCGCTCGGCAGTGTTGATGATGGATCCAGCGTCTGCTGTCCTGCCAACCCCACAGTGAGTTCTACGTTGTCTCCTTAAGGTTTCACGACCTTCTAAAGCGCATGTGGATAGGGAAACAGCAACGACACCTGCCCATCCTACTCAGACGACAATGGTATCCCGTAAGTTCCGCTATTTCTCAGCTGCCCGTTCTCGCGTGTTGACGTATGCACTCGGAATAGCCCAGACACCACCACGACCGGCAGCGCCCCTTCTCTGCTCCCACTGTATACGCTCTTTGTATCCTGTCTGCTCGGGCCTTGGTATCTATTCGCATGATGCTGTTGTTTTCTCCGCTCTACGACCCATTCGGACGCCCAACAAAGTTCCAGAAAGCGGCCGCACTCTCGCGACAGCAATTCGTTGAAGACGCAACTTCCCGGAGAGACGGGCGCCGTGCTTGGAGTATCCTTGAATGCCGTTCGCGGGAGCCTGACGGCAGAGACCGAAAACCTTTGCCGAGAGTTCACACTTCGTTGAATCGTCATGACTGCGACGGTAACCGAACTCAAAACCGTGTCCAGAGTATCCACACGAACGGAGCATGATTACACGAACATGTTTGCATTGCGTTGGTGGTGATATGATGGCAGACTACATCTATTCGTACAGCGTGCGACCCAATAGATATCAACTTCACACTGCCCGTGGGGGGCTCCCATTCACCGCTGGCCGTAGTTCTTGGTCTCGTACCCGGCTGCAAGGGGGAAACGCGCCGAACTGTCAGTCCGGGAACCCCACACAGGACGCGACGCAGGAACGGGGGCACTCACCCTTGCCGATGATGACGTTCGCTGGCTCCTGGGGCAGGTCCTCAAAGTAGTTCTTCAGGATGCTCTCCGTGCCCTTGGCGTAGCGCGCCTGCGCGTCGAGCGTCGTGCCCGAGTAGTGCGGCACCATGCCGTTGCCCGCCCCGAGCGGGTTCTTCATCGTCCGCCACGGGTGGTCGCGCGGCGCGGGCTGCATGTTCCAGACGTCCCCGGAGTAGCCCGAGATCTGGCCGGACTTGAGCGCGGCCGCGACCGCGTCCTTGTCGCAGATCGCGCCGCGGGCGGTGTTCACGAGCCAGGCGCCCTTCTTGAAGTGCGAGAGCAGGTCGGCGTTGACGAGCCCGATCGTGCCCTCGTGGAGCGGGCAGTTGACGGTGACGACGTCGCAGCGGGAGACGAAGTCCTTGAGGTCCTCGACGCGGATCGCGCCGACCTCCTTCTCGGCAGCGGCGGGGAGCGGGTTGTAGTCGTAGTAGAGGAGCTCCTTGCAGTTGAAGGGGAGGAGGCGCTGGAGGACGCGGAAGCCGATGCGCCCGGCGCCGATGGTGCCGACGACCTTGCCCTCGAGGTCGAAGGCGTCGCGGGCGACCTCGGAGACCATCCAGTCACCACGCTCGATCATCTGCATGGATACGCAGAGTGAGCATAGATGTATGTGTGAAAGCAACACGAATGGCTGACCTCGTGGGCGGGGATGAAGTTACGGACGAGCAGGAGGATGCTCATGACGACGTGCTCGGCGACCGAGACGACGTTGGAGCCGGTGACCTCGAGGACCTGGATGCCGCGCTCCGCCGCAGCGTTGAGGTCGACGTGGTCAGAACCGACACCAGCAGTGACGCAGAGCTTGAGGTTCTTCGCCTAGAACACAAACAGCAGTATTCTATCAGCTTTGGGATTGATGGACACGAGGTTCGAAGTGCGAACCTTGGTGATGAGGTCGCGGGTGAGGTAACCGGGGTGGAAGGGTGTGGTGATGATGACCTCGGCCTGGCTCACATGTCAGAACCCAGACAGAGATAAGACGATTCCAGGGATACACACATCGACGAGCTCCTTTTGGAAGACGGAGTCAGGGCCCTCCTTGTCGTCCGTGACCTGAGCCGCAGAAGGTGAGTGTCACAGACCTCTATGAATACAAAAGGGGGACACTTACGACGTACTCATGGCCCAGAGACTCGAGCCAGGGGCGGATGCCGAGCTGCGGTCACCGTCAGTGGCATTGTTGACATTCGAATCAACTCTGGGAAACCCACCTGGTTCTCGATCGTGCCAAGGAGACGAGCCTCCTCCTGGGCAGCCTGGCCACCACGGTAGAGAACGGCGAGGACCTGTGGCGCAACGGCGAGCGCAGGGTCATTTGCAGCAGCGTCAGTGTTGTGCTCGATCTCGAGATCCGTCTGGACGGCGCTCACCTTCATGCCTGCTGACTGTTGTTGGTTGAGAGAAGGTGCGAGACGAGACGAGCTGAGAAGGCGTGGGGACCTGGGGGAGGTGGAGAACAGGCCCCGTCTTATATAGGACGTCGCGGCGAGCATGGTCATGAGGCAACTAATGCAGATGTCTGTGAGACCGGAGGCGCAATCAACCCAGGCGGCCCATTGAGCAGGAGCGAACCCGGGGCACACACCTGGGTCTAGTGAACGAGTCGGACACGGTAGTCGTGGGAAGGTGGGGCACCGATTTCTTCCTGCTGACCGGGCGAATGCAGCTAGCCCAGGTTGTCACTGTGAGGGGGACCCTACCCATCTTGTCGCTTTTTGTACCATAGAACGCTAATGGTGGGAACCCCCCATGCGCACGCCCGGGTGCCCACGGGCTCCTCCCCACTGCGCCCGCGCACGGGCAACGGTCCGTCGCGTCAGCTGACCACGGTCCGTCCTCCCCCGCGCATCACCCACGGAGTGCGCCGGGGAGCCCCGGACTCGCGACGGCAATAGGCCACCCGGAAAGCTGATGAGAGCATTCCCAGCCGTATCGACGCGACTTCTCCCGACGCCTCCACCTCCCTCGTCTCTTTCCTCCCGACCTCCTACTCGGCGCCTTCCGTCCTATCGCGTCATGCAGGGTCAGCTGTGCGCCCGGGCTCCGAAGGGGCCAGGGCCCGCATTACACCCGTCCCATCTGACGCTGTGTGCGCACTCGGCGACAGTTCTAGCGCACCTGCTGCTATTCCTTGCCCCTGTTCGCGCGAAGCTCCGAAGCCGCGCTCGTGCTCGTGTCCATTCTCCGTCACTGTGGGTGGCTGCGGCTGGAGACCGTGTCCACATGCGCGTCCACGCGACGATTCGGCCGCCGAGAAGGCGTGCATAGGCATCCCAAGGGACAGGGCGGTTGCACGGTAGTGATTGCTACATTATGTAATGTACGAATAGAAGACCTGCACGGGAAACGGTGACGTGAGCGCAGATTCTAGATGGGAGCCGTGGCCGTGGCCGGCGACGTGCCAGGGGAAACACTCACTGGCATCTACGATAATTGTCCACGTCCCTTCCCACCCCGTATCCATCCCACAAGGCCGAGCCGGCACTTACTTAGGTCCTATCCTCTCCGAAGGCACCGCCTCGAACTCGTCCGTCTCGAAGATCGGGTCTCGGTAAGACTCCCTGCACTCCAACGCGATCGCCTCACCCTCGCTCGGATCGGCCGCAAGCCCCGCGGACCGGGGCCCGGGCGGGGGCGACCGGGTCGGGCGCGCCTCCTTGACGGTCTCCCATTCGACGCGGAGGAAGACCCACATCCAGCGGCGGACGACCTCGGCGAGCTCGATCCATAAATGATCAGGTCGCCCTCGGCGTACGAGTGCAGGTGGCTCGACAGCTTGCGGACCACGTCAACCGCAAAATGAGGTCGACGAGTATCGCGAGCGGGTAGACGGCGAGCGGGTAGAGCAGCGTCGGGCGCAGCCGTACGGATACGTCCGGCGACGCTGCTCCTGCGGGTGCCCCAGAGCTTGCGCGAGGTCCTCGGGTACCTCTTCCGGCAGTCGTCCGTGGCATCCCTCGGGCGTTTCAGGAGCGCCGAGCGGGAGTGCAGGCGTGGGAGCAGCAGGGGCGGGGAGGATTTGATGACCGGCTCTTACCGCTGCGCTTTGGAAGGAGTAAGTCCATCCCCAATCATTTGTTACGTCCCACCAGAACGAGTATAAAGAGTTGACTGCGGCTGCGAGAAGCCTGAGATAGAGGTCAGATCGATCTGGTAGGTTGCGACATCTGAGAGAACCCACCATAGACGGAAGAGATGGTGCTCCCCATGCCATGCCTCATCAGCGGCCTGCTCTCCTCTGTTCGCCATAAGTCGGAAACCACGATGCGCTGAGCGGCAGAAAGAAAGATAACGGGGAAAGAAGACGCATATTTGAGGGCATTATAGAGAGGGCGACGGCTAGTGTTGCTGGGAGAATTGTACTCCACGAGGCATTGTCGTAAGCGAATGGCGTAGGGTAGACTGGGAAGTTGAGAGTCAGCTTCATATTCATGGAGGGAGAGGCCGAGAAATGTCGCAGGTGAGACGGAATCGTCCAGGTATCCACGGAGAAACAAGAGCGAGCAGGCAGCATGCATTATCGTCAGGGCGCGGAAGTCAATGGTGAAGATCACCTTTCCGCAGACCGGTTTTCGCGGGTGGAAACGAGGCACGCCGATCATGAATAGAGCGCTGCGCACATACACCAGGAAAATCCAGAATCAAGATCGCCCGAGTGAATAAGTTCTATTCGCGCAGAAGCACAGGGTGCAAAGGAGAACAACTGGCATACGAAGCAACACGCACTTCGCGTGCATACTGGCATGCCAGTGAATGTGTCCTGCGCGCAAGTTCCGAGACCATCCCTCTCCGCAGCTACCACAGCATTTCATACGCGAATGAAGGTGCTCACCTCATGATCGTAGGCAGAACCCAGCGCGTCAGGCCGTCTTGGGCGGGCTGCGCGAGCAAGCTGCCGCCGGGAAGCAGCATATATACAGAGAGCCAAACGTCCCCGAGGACCTTGGCGAAGGAGGTCAAGATATCGGCGAACACGACGTCGGAGAAGTAGACCCCGTGTGGTGATGGGAATACGCATCGGTGTATCGCGCTGCGAGAAAAAGAGGGTCAGCATACAAGCTCAAACCAAAACCTTTCTCCCTTCCTTCGCCCTCCATCTGATCCTCCCTGTCGACAGCCTGCAACAGCAACTGACCCTCGCCACAGCCCGCCCGCCCGCCTGCCAATCCCCGCCCCCAGCTCGCACCCCAACCCGCCATACCCCGCCGCCTCCACACCTCGCCCCTCCACACCCTCACGACGAAAAAAAAAAACAAAGAGAGACGGGCACTCACGTCAAGAACTTGTCCCGCTGCGCCTTGTGCAGCACCCGCAGCGGGCACGCGAGCGCGGTGAGCGCGACGAGCGCCGCGACGCCCGGCACGAACTTGTACGCGTCCACCGCGTCCACCGCGCCCGCGCCCGTCGCGTACGCGTACAGCGCCCACGCGCCGCCCGCCCACCCCGCGAACCAGCCCGCGAGCCGGTAGACGGGGAGGTGGTGCGGCGCGCCCCCACCGGACGGAGACGAGGACGAGGACGAGGACGGGGCGGCCTTGCGGCGCTCCGCGGTGGGCAGCGGGGACGTGAGGCGGTACGCGCCGCCTGACCCGGTCTCGTACGGGCTCAGGTCGAGCACGCCGGCGGCGTCGATGCCCCAGAGGTGGAGGCCGTGGAGGTTCGCGGCCCAGCCGAGGATGCCTAGGGCGACGAGGAAGAGGACGCGGAAGGGGAGAGGAAAGGCTGCGGAGAAGGAGAGCTCATCGTCGAAGTCGCTCTTCATGGAGCTCGTGGCGTGGTTGCGGAGGCGGGAGCGGAGGAGAGAGCGGTCATGGAGAAAGAGCCGCAGCCAGCGTATACCTGGACGTCACTGCGTGGTGGCGGCTATGCATCATGCATCCAAGCGCCCATTTCCGCCCATGCGCAGCCCGCCTCATGCCGCAGAAGATACTTAGGACATGTCACACTCACGTTCGCATCGATGCAGCTGATGTCATTACTACCAGACCAAGAATACAATCCCAGTGTGCGACGCACGCAACCACCATCGGGGAACTACATGCATGGATCGCCGTACTCAACTCCCTTCGACCGTCCGACCTACTTCTTCAGCGGATGCCCTCCATCGATGCAGGCCTTGATGTCCGTGCCTGCAGGGCACCCCACCTGTCCTTCACCGAGCTGAGGTACAGACGTGCCGCCTTCTTGACCCCCGAGGCCACCGAAGGGGCCGTAGCTGATTTCAGGAGACGACTCGATTTCTCCCTCGTCTGCGAACAAGCCTGCAGTGGTACACGCCGCGTCGTTGCATTCTGGCGCGCTGGTGGAGACCGTCCGTTGGTTAGATGCTCCAAGCCTGCGGGCGGCACCAACGCCAGGGCCGCCAACGTTCCCAGAGGGTCCCGAACCAGCGAAGCCACCAAAGCCACCGAAACCGAAATCGCCGTTACGGCTTGGATCGAAGCGTTCAGTATCGAACTGGTCGACGTTCGAGCGACCAGGTTGACTAGGGCCGGGCCGGGACCTGAAGTTGCCAGAAGGTCCACTCGCGTTGTCGTCTCCAGGCCTAGAGGAACCACGGAAACTCGAAAAGCCCGAAAATCCACTGTGGAAGCCGCCCGAGCTCGGAACGTTGTTAGAGGGGGAGACCTTGCCATTGGGGGACTGCAAGACACCGGGGCTTGTTACAACGTCGTTGTTGTTGGACTTGTTGGACTTGTCTGTGGAAACGGAGGGTGCGTTGTTGCCAGAGGGGGAAGTGTTTGTGTTCACTGATCTCGGAGCACTGACAGTGGAGCTGACATCCGGGATGTACGGCGCGTCGTTGGCAGTGGTGGTGGCCTTGGATAGAGCGCGAGTAGACGATGCGACATTGGCAACATCTGTCATCCTGTAGTTGACGGTAGTAGGAGTGGTGTTCACATTGGCGGTTACTACAGTAACACCAGAATCGACAACAGGGCTGGTGGGGATGGCGATGGCGGTAGTGGAGACTGACAGAGTGCTGGTAGACGCGACGCTGGCGGTGGTGGAGGCAGCAGCGCTTGAAGGACTCGAGAAACCGGCGATCACGGGGACAGCGAGAGCAGCACTAGTGACCACGGCAGGGGAGGGAATGACAAGAGGGTTGGTAGACACGAAAGTGGTGTTGGAGAAGGTGCTCGACGATGGGAGGCTCTCCGGTAGCGGAGAGACGAAGCCTGGGAGCGGATCGTTGGTAGAGTTGTCGTTCCTGAAGTCCTGGTCGTGGAGAACTGTTTCGAAGCCGTAGTCGTTCAAAGAAGAGGGATAACCAGTCATGTCGTCCGAAGAAGAGGAGTAACTAGTCACGTCGTCCGAAGAAGAGGAGTAACTAGTCATGTCGTCCGAAGAAGAGGAGTAACCAGTCATGTCGTCCGAGTAGCCAGAGTCGGCACCGTCCACGTCGCCAGGCTTCGAGTATACAGCGGGAGAGGCGCTTGGCTCCGAGTATACAGCGGGAGAGGCGCTTGGCTTCAAGTATACAGCGGGAGAGGCACTTGGTTTCGAAGCAGAGTATGAAGTATCCCCGTAGCTGCGACGGTAAGAAGACTCCTGCTAAAGGTCAAGTCAGTCGGAGCATGAAATGACGAGACATCGTGCTCAGTTACGGATGAGTGCTCACCTCTTCGTACTCGGGCGTCTTAGACTTTGGGTAGGACGTTTCCTTGTACTGCGGCGCCGAGTACTGAGGGTCAGACGCCTTCTCGTACTGAGGCTCCGAGTACGTGGGGTAGGACTCGGCCTTCCGAGAGTCGGGTGCTGAGTACGTGTTCTGGTATTGGGGCGTTTTGTACTCCGGGTCAGACGTCTTCTCGTGGTCGTCATGGTGCTGAGGCGACGAGGTCTTCTCGTAATGCGGCGAGGTCGTCTCCTCGTACTGCGGCGCGTAGTGTTCAGGCTGAGGCGTCTTCTCGTACTGGGCCGATGAGTACGTGGTCGTCTCGTAACGAGACGCCGAGTACTGGGGGTACGAGGCCTTCTCATAGTGGGGAGCGGAGTAAGACGGGTGGACGGCCTCTTCGCGTTGCGGGGGGTGGTACTGGGGGTAGGAGGTCTTCTCGTACCGGGGCTTCTCGTACTCGGGATAGTGGGTCTTCTGGTAGTGAGGCCCCTCGTAGTGGAGGTAGGACGTCTTCTGGTAGTGTGGCCCCTCGTACTGAGGATAGGACGTCTTCTCGTACTTGGGTGCAGAGTACTGAGAGTAGTGGGTCTCGTGGTGCGGCGCCTCGTACTGACGAACATGAGAGGAGTAGCCCTGGGATTCGGCCGGGTAGTACTGAGCGGTGTCCTTCGCGTAGCCCTCGCGACCGTGGTCTTGGTAAGAAGATTCATGCGGCTCCGAAGAGTAGGCGTAGGCTCTTGGCGAAGACGAGCCCTCGCTGGAAGCGCTGGAATAGCCGCTGGTGTGGATCGAGTACCCGTCGTGCGAGGGAGAGGAGGGGCTGTACGAGTCTTGACCTCCCGGCTTCGAGCCTTTGGTAGGCGGCGTGAAAACAAAACGCGGGGGAGTGATCGTGTCGTCGGTGTCACTGTCTGACTCATCTCGAGCGTGGAGGGGACGAGGGACTGCGATCGCACCCGAGCGCGACGCCGCGATGCCGCGAGACGCAGTCCGGAGCGCAGGATCTTCGTCGCCGATGTCGATGCGACGAACGAGCGGTTGCTTGGACGCCTTCCGGGCGTTATTCTGCTGGACGGAGCAGACCTGGAGCGCCGAGGCGAGCTGGGTGTACGCGACGTCCTCTAGCCCCTGAGGAGGAGAGCCCTGTTGTAGGTCTGCCAGCGCCTGGGAAGGATCTGGGACCGGGACGCCATTGATGTTGCAGTTGACGGCTTGGGAGAGCTAAGTGAAAAGAGCGCCAAAGGGGGACTGTGGTCAGCGCGGCAGATGATGGAGACCGTACGGGAGGATACTCACGGAGACGTCGCCCTGGGGGAGGGGTGCGCTTCTGGAATGGTGGAGGACGGCAGCGAGTTGGATATAGACGAGCAGCGTGCGCATGATGAACCAAAGGAGTGTGAGAGCGTAAACGAATGTGGGTGTGGAATAGCGATGCGATGCGATGCAATGGTCGTTGGGACGAGAGAGCAGGCGGGGGTGAAGGTTGGAGCGGACGCCGCCTTAAGCCAGCGGGGGGCGGGGGCGGGCGGCCGAGCAGGCTGACTTCGAGGGTGGCCTCGCCGCCGTCAGCCAGCCGCCGCCGCCGTTCGGATAAGCCGCCTTCGAGGCTACTTGCGGAATCGACAGCCAGCACGCATCACAATGCGATGAGGAGAGACGTTGGAGGGTTGAGATGGAGAATGTGAGGGTAGCTGCGTGAGCGGATAGATGAGCGACGTGCAGCGGTCGACGTGGTTAGCGAGAGCATGCCTTGGAACTAACAAGCGAACGTCGCAACGCTGCCCCGAGACCTGAGCAACGTGTATGACCGGCTCGGCGCCCGCATATACGCGCTGTCTGCTGCTCTTCGCGCTCGACGATGGCTGCAATGCGCATGCCAGCGTCGACAGAGTGAAGAACTGTCCGAGCCGGACGGAATGGGAGCGTCATCGCTTACGAGCACCGTCAAAATCAGGAAACATGTCCGATCGGAAACGACCCCCGGCCAGAACACGCCGCGTGCCGTCGCTCGTCCATCCACCGCCGCTGTCCGTAGCAGGCGACGGCCCGCGGACTGAGACCGCCATGCAAGTTCATCTGTCTTCCTGTCGCCCATATGCCGGCCGCTCGGAGATGACGACGGACGTCTCAGCCGCCACACGTGGGAAGGAGAAGAGCCCGCTGTGCTCCACGGCCATGTGCAAGGCACGTCCACGTCCCCCACCCCCCCGATCTGCCGCGTGGGCGTGCCGAAGTGGTTTGTTGGCGGCGCGCGAGACGGGCGTACGAAGCCCCGCCGCGAACGAGGAAGCTTCGCCACGACACTGCGCATTGTTGCCGTCAATGTCTGACCACAGATGGGCGCACCTCCCCCATCCATCTCGCGACGAGTCCACCGACCCCACAATCATCACAATAGAGCTGTTTGGAAATGCACTATAGTGCACGAACCTGACGCCACTTCGGTGTCTCCACCGCTCCACGGCATGTCGGCCCGCTGGCCAAATACCCGCCAACAGTCGCATGGAGCAAGGACTCCAATGCGCCAACTCACGATTACTACGGTGCACTATCGTAACTTTCCAAACAGCTCTAATGCCAACCGTCAATTCCATGCACCGCGGCGCACCATGTTATGTCCATTTCGACTGATGGCGATGCCCTGCCCTATTAATTAGGCTGCGCACGTCCCCACGCACCTGCACATGCTGATATATGATGGTCGACCACCTATCACTTCCCACGACCGACGATCCCTGCTAGACCGAGCGCTAGGTCGTGCCCGGATGTGTGAGTGGTGGGTAGATGTCGTCGTTTGAGGGACGTCTGGGTCTGGGCGGACAAAGATGTGGAAAGATGTGGAACCGCTGCGCCCGAGCAGCCTTGGAAGACGGGCTGGGCAGCCCGTTGGGGTTCCAGAGCGTGCGATGATCGAGGCGTTCGAGGCAGCAGGAATGCATCTCCAATCTGCCATGGGGGGAACGAGGGCCGTGCATCGTGAATGCTTGAACCGGGCCGCGCTACCAGGACCTAAAGATGAACAGGATTCAGTGGAAGCTGGAAGCACTCGATCGGCCGCGGCCGCCCACAGTCGGCCACTGGAAGGTGCGGTCTCATCGCGCGTCCTTGATATTCTGAGGTCCTGATGCTCTTCGTGGTTCCCCAAATGCCGATGGAAACCCGTGGGCGAGAAGGCAGAACTTGATACATACCTCCGCCGCGTGTGCCCGCGAGTCAAACATTGACCCAATGGTGATGGAATTGAGCAGTGTTGATCGATATCACGAAGCCCGGTTGTGCCCCAGCCTCTATATGATTGCCCACACGACGTCTAGAAACGCGTTAGGGTCGGTCTCTTATTCGATCGCCTCCCGAGGCTGCCGATATCAAATTCGGTGCGCTCGGCAGAGGTCGCGTGCTTTAGCGGGACGGCTGACCGGATGCTGTGGCTTGCCGCCCCTCTGACGACATCCCGACGAGGGTCGGACCTGGGGCCTGCTGCTTGAATTCGAAGGATCTTTGTTTATTTTCAGCAAAGCGTCACGCATCCGCGAGGTGTTGAAATGGCACCCACGAGAATAGCTGGCCGTATGGCGCCGGATGCGAAAAGATCGGACGGCGTTCCCATCCACCTCCCACAGCAGCCCGGGGTCCCCAGCGAACCTTGCGTGGTCGCAATGAAACTGTGGACAGATCGTGAGCCGCGGCTGGGGCACAGGTCAGCCCGGGCGCACCTGGTGAATTCAGTTGCGGTCCAGCGCAGCTCATGCCATGCGGGGCGAAATTGCCACCAGCGATCCGCTTGACGCGCTTTGTCAGACCACGAACCACAGCCGCCCCCAGTGGAGATGCGGGTGCGGATGGTGAGAGCCAATTACACGTCGGAGGCGTGCCCGAGTTGTTCCTGCCGAGCGCCGTCGTAGAAGGACCCCTCACTGAGCATAGCGGGCCGCCGCAGCTCGTCTCCGCAGTCCTCGGTGGAGTGTCCGCGACGAGATAGCTTCCGAAGTTTGAGAGGAGAACAGCGGGCGGTGCTGGACGACGTAGAGATCAGCGCTCAGCGCTCAGCATTGCGCTGCGGCGAGCACCGAATGGAATGTGCTTACACATCGGTACGCTCGGCGTTGGTATGTGGACAGATACGTGTCTGCGGACGCAAGCCGCCTGCGGCACAGGGAACAGACATGAACTCCTGCCGCTGTTGCTGAGTGTGTGCTGCGTGCTGAGCGCCGAGGCTTGCGGCGCACGGCCAAGGCGTACGCGTCAGGTGGCGGTGTGCAGCTGGGCATGCCGCTGGGGAAGACATTGTGACTCTTGGAAGGTCTTGGTCAGTCGCTTTGAATGCGAGCGGTACGGTGGCGTCCGGAGGTAACTGGAGAAGCGCGAGCCGCGGACAGCGTCCGGTTGGTTGCGGCGGCGTGACAGCTCTCGGTCGCAAGTAGGGGGCGTGAGAACAATGCCTGATGGGGTGCGCATCCGGATCTGTGACAGTTGATTCGGGTGGAGAGACGGCCGGTGATATTCATATTCCGGGCTGACGAATCTCACTGGGTGGATCGTGAGGGTGCAGATTGAGGGAATGGTGCGGAGATCTGCGGATGCAATGGAACAACGCCGTGAGACAAGGTGGTCTACTTATCAATGATGTGGTCGCGCAAGGGAAAACCAGACCGCATACCGCTTAGCGAGTGGGCGCGAGGAACGGGTGAGGCGCTGTGGGGGCCGACGTATTAGAAAGATGGGTCAGCCAAAGAATAGGACATAAGGGGATGAAAGCGAGCGAAGATGAGCATGGGAACAAGGGGGCGCAAATCGTACTCGGGAGAAGCCGCGGGGGCAATGTAGGATTCCGGACGGGGGATGACATGTGGCAGGAAGCCCGGGGCATGAGTCAGGCTGGGAGGGTGCCAAGGAGAATTGGCAACAGAGCCGTCAAATTGAGTGGTTTCTTCAAATTACGCGAACAGCGGGCGCGAGCAGGCGCAGCACGTCGGAAGACGACAGCGAGGGCCCAGGCGGCGTGAGGCCGCAGATGAGACTCGGCGAAAACGTTCGGAGTCCGACCGGGGAACGCGTCGGAGGGAGAGAGCGAGCGAAAAGGCGCGCGCAGACAGACCAGCGCGACTCGATCGGCTTCCAATCGGGGATCGAGTGGGCAGGGTGGGCGCCTGTCCGAACGCCGCGGGCGGAAAGCCTGACACTGATCCCATCGGCCGCTTACGGCCTCTTCGCTCGGCCTCCTCCTGTGCCCGGTTCCGGTCCACGTCCGGATGTCCTCCGCGTCTCCCCGATCGGGCCAGTTCATGCGTCCTTCAATTTGACCGTCGTCAAATACTGCCAGCCGCCCTGCGACGTCCCAGCACCCGTCACCGGGGCCCGGCCATGCATCTACCCGAGATTGCGGCCTCCGGACATCGTGCACCTGGGCGCGCCGCGTGAGAGCCGCCCGGTAGATCGCGTCGTCAAATTCACCGACTGCAGATGGGGGGATAATTACGCGAGCACGGGTGGGATCAGCTGCAGGCGCGGACACAGCATCACACTCTCCTGCGGCGCCCACGGCCGACGCTGCGCTCACACTGATAGTCACGGACTCGGATCCATTTCCGCTGTTATTTCCTTTGACACCTTATAGGCGCGCCGACCACTCAAATACGCTTCCCCGCTTCTACCGCCACCCTTCAAATCCCCTCCGCTCGCCCCTCCCGCCTCGATCCCCCTTTCCCCTCCGCCACTCGCCTATCCCAACCACTCACTCCCAGCGTCTACCCCCCTCCCGCCTTCCCCCTCCAGCCATGACTCGCGGTCGCAGAAAGGACATGACCATCCCGCCCTCACGCGCCCTTCTCCAGCAGCGCGACTACCGTGCCCGCAAAGCCCAGTATCTCGCCGATCTCGAGTTCCGTGTCAAGAAGGCTGAAGAGGAGAACGTCCTCCTCCACAAAGAGGTCGATGCCCTCCATGCCAAATTGAAGTCCGCTTCGACTCAGGCCCCCTCCCCATTTGGCCCGGAAGTGGTATGTCTTGCTCCGCTTAACACGGGCGCCGGGTCCAGTGTCCAGCCCGTTACCAATACAAATTCGCTCATTATTCATCTCCCACAGGCCGCAGCGTCCTCGGATCTCATGCACCACCTCACTGTAGCTGCTGCGTCCGTCACACGCTTCCAGCAACTCGCATTCTACCCCGCAGGCGCGGGCGCGGGCGGACCTGCACCACATGTCAACCGCACGCCCATCACCCTTGCGACCCCCAACTACAACCCTTCGCCAGTCGCGCCTCCAATCACACATCCCCGCGCACAGTCGTCGTCCGTCTCGCCGCGCATCGAGCTCCCGCCGCTTTCCCTCTCGCCGCCGTCAAGCTCGGGGCGCCGCCCCTCTTCTGAGTTCGAGCTCGGTCGGCGGCCCTCGATAGTCCTCGAGCGTGACCGTGAACGCGCATACCGCGAACCCCTGCCCTCGGTGTACCCTCACCGCTCGATGCCAGCGTCGGTGATGGGCCCCGCGCCACACGTCCCCCACCGTGTCTCGCCACATGCCGCGCACTCCTCCGCCGGGTCGCCCTCCGGCTCGCGACACAGTGCGAGCCCGCTTCAGAGCGCCCGCTATCCAAACCTGGACCCGCGCGATCCGGACTGCTGCGACGGGTATGTCGACTGCCGCACGCTCACGCAAGACGAAGACGAAGAGGATGACGACGAAGATGAGCTCATGGACGAGGACGAGGCACCACCACCGTCGCGCGCGCGCTTCGCACAGCGCACGAGCGACGTCCGCTCGACAGCGTCCTCCGCGTCGGGCCCCGAAGACGGCCCATCGCCACACTCGTCGCGTTTGCGGCAGTCACCTCCACATGTACTGTCGCGCCCGCCCCCCGAGGGCCAGCGGTGAACGGATGACGCCCGGCTGCTTGTTCACGCGTTCGCGTGCGCGGGGCCCAGCGACGACATGCCTCGGCCGCAGCAAACCTCCGTACCAACGGCCACCTTCCACATCGGTCCTGCTTACTCCGTGACGGACGACACGGCTTCAAGCCGTGCCCATCCCGTCGCGCATTGCTGCGGCGCTGCGCCGACCGGACTCCCGCCTATTTCCGGGCCATAGACGTCATCGGATATGTGGCCTGCCCGTCTCGGCATGCACAGACATCCGCAACCGCATCCGCATCTGCGCCCGCTTTGTCGCTCGTCTGCTATTTAGATGACACCTGTGTGCCCATGTGACTATGGCCTCAGGTATATCCGTTCCTCGTCACGCCACCGCGGCCATGCCCTCGCACGCCGCGCGATGCCGTGTTTGATCTCTATGACCCACTGAATGATCCATGATCTATGTTTTGTCATGCTACCGCGCTTTGCCACCGCACATTACTACACCCCAGGACCCGCGGATTTGTATCCCGACCGGTAGTGGCTACATTGTATCCCTTAAATTACCTCGTTGCTGTATAACACACGTAGTTTTCGTCGAGCTCGACACTTGCTTTCCACGGCTTTCCATCCATCCCATCTATCGCCCCCAAGCGCTCGCCTCCGCGCTCTGTATGATCATATTTCCGCTGTCCTCGTCTGACATGCACGCTCGTGTTGCGTGTCGCCTGTCACGCCTCAAGATAACGTTCAGAGCTCGCACCTCGGCAGGCCGTGGTGTTCGCACTTCCGTGTATATCAAAGCACTGCGGGCCCGGGCCCTCTCCTTCCGGAACGCATCAGAACGCCGCGAGCGTCGAGCGAAGCCAAGATCGCCTCCCTGGACGTCCGATGTTTATGTGTACTTACGCAACACCTCGCCCCACGCGTCCGCGGAATTCGGATAAACGATCATACAATCCCGTCCTGAGACCTCAGGCCTGATTTTGAGGCCTGGGCGCTCGCTGGCGCTGCTGCGGGCTGCGGGACGTGTGCGTGAGTATTCTGTGTCTCGCGACGCGACGCGGTGTGGTCCCGCCCATGCGGTCGCTCTAAGTCTGATTGGCGTCGTGGCGAGCTTGGCTCGCCAGGCCCGGGACTCGGGAGAGGCCCGCGGGCTCTGACGACCGTCGTCGAATTCGCAGCGCGAAGGCGCGTCAGCCGGCCAGCCTCGACGCGCGGCCGCTCGCTCCTCGCTCACTCACGCACACAACGATGGCAGTAGTGAATTATCGAATGACACCAGCGACGTGACACGGACGCCGGAGAGCCAGCTGGGCGCCAGCTGCCGTCGGACGGGGCCCGCTCGGACGGCGGCGTGGATGTGGACGGTGTGGTTCGCAGGTCGCCCCGACGTACGTGCGATGATCAATTCGCATGCTCCCAGACGCTCCCCCGACGTGGGGTCCGCGGCGTGGGGGTTCGCAGGCCCGTCGCTATAGATGTCGGAGCCTGTACTGCAAATCGATTATGAAGCCCTCCCCGCCGACTCCCGCCGACGTGGCCCCGCGGCGAGCGCACGGCGTCCTCGGGAGTCAGGGGAGAGCGACAAACGCGCGCGCCCACAACGCGACGCTGATGAGCGCGTTCGCGGGCCCGATGGCAGCGTCCGGATCAGCCGTCGACGGTGCCATCAGCGCAGCGGCATCAAAGTCGCTGTCGTGGGCCGGGAGCAGTCAACTCAGTCAGAGTCAGTCCTGTGTCTGCGTTTTCGAATTCATGCAGGTTCGCGCGCTATGCAATGCTTCCATTCGCCCCGTCCCTGCCTGATAGCCCGCGGTATACGAGGCGCGACGTGTGGACTGCATGAGCGACCGTTTCTGATGCGGCACGCCTGCGAGTCCCACGTCCAACTCCGCGCGCTGGGAGCCAGGAACGCCGAGCGGCGACGCGGTCTCACGCGCGCGGGCCCGGGGACAGGCCCTCTTCGAAATCGGAGCGCCGTATGTCAATTTAGTGCCACGAGCGGGATGTGCTAAGTTCCCACTGAGGCGCGCGCCTGCGTTAGACTCCGAGGTGACTGACCTTCTGACACAGCGGGTCCTGTGCGCGTGGGCTTGGGTGTTGCGATCTTGAGACGTGTGGCATGCGTCAGTGCGTCGCGGTCAGCTTCGCCGCACGGCGAGGCGCGGACCAAGGAATTCGCAGACGCCTGAAGTAAGTCCTGCCGCGCGATGGATAGAAGCCCCGATCGTCAATTTCACGGTCCATCTCGGGTTCGGCGGGGGTCCGTCGTGCTATACATTCCCGTCATACTGATACAGTAGGTATTCTGGGACGTTCTTCCGGGCGCACGACGGGCTACTGCGGATCTAGGGGCTGGATGGCCTCTTCCAGGTTGCGCGCGCGCTCGACGTAGTCCCACCGGTCGAGGCCCCCAAAGTCGATCGTCATCGCGCCCATGGCGAGGTTCACCTGGAGCTCGCAGATGTGGCTGACGCGCGCCCGCCAGCTGTCTCCGCTGCGAGGGAGAGGCGTCCGATGACCGATGGCCGATGACCGAGAGGCGGACCGAGTCCCCGAGTGGATTCGAATTCAGTTGACAGGCGAGGTGAGGTGGATGGTTCGTGTGGGCGGCAGAGGGGTGGGAAGCCGAGCAGTCGTAAGGAGGTCGGAAGTAAGATCCGAGGGTGCGAAAGGGGAGGTCATCATCGAATGACGAATGCGTTCGGCACGAGGTCAGACGGCCCGCGGCGCAGGAGAAGCAGATGGAAATCCGGATGACGAGATGGATGCGGTCATGGGCGCGCGCACCAGAAGTGGAAACACGGCAGCGGATGTCGGCGGCGGCAGGAGGGTTTGACGGAGGTGCGAAGAACAAATGGGGACAACGAAGGCACAGGGATTTCAGCAGCACAGCTCGGGGTCAAAGCAAGGTCATCCACTCACGTCGCCGTGCCGTACATGGAGGTCCCTGTCTGACTGACAAGCCTCACGCACTGGTCCGTGTTCGATTGTGCGTCGTATATCCAGAGTGTCTTGCCCGCGTACGTTTCTTGCCAGCCGTCGTGGTCGACGAGACGGTTTGGGGGCTTGATGCGCTTAGTTCCTTGAGGCGGTGCGGGGGCGCGCCGGACGCCCACGTCGTTGAGAAGACGGAGCGCCTTCAAATTGGAGATACTGGCGAGGGTCGCGCGTGCCTCCGGATCCACGGGGTTAACGACATGGAATATTGGTGTAGAAGACAGGCATTCGATGCCCTCTTCGTCTTCGTCTTCATCGTCACCCTCTCTATCATCTTCCATTGCGGCACTGCTGGTGGCACTTGAAGTGGATGGACCTGAAACCTGGGCCACATCGTTGTCTTGGCCCATAGCCTCTCCTGCGGCGTCGGAAGCAAACTCGGCCTCGGCCTCTTGTAAGCGGGTGTGGAAAGCCTGCCATGCACCGTCATTGGTGAAATCGGTCCTGATGAGAACACCGAGGCCGGGGGCATCGTCCGACTCGTCGTCGAGCGGGTCGTCGTCAACTGTGAACTCAGCATCCTCAATCGCCTCAATGGATGGAAGATTTTGACTGATCTTGAGGCCGTTCATTGATCGGTGAGCGCAGGCAAGGATGAAAAGACGCACTGCTGCGAGGTACGCATTCTTTTGCTCCACTGGCAGACCCCAGAACGTCTCAGCCACCCTTAGCCTCCACCGGCGCCGGCCTTCTCCAGGATGACGCGCTTTTATGGACCGATAATGCTCCTGGCCAGATGGAAGGGAAGAGGTTGGTGTTGCTCAACGCGAGCGATCCGACGACTATGCGCACCAAAAGGAAGGGAGAAAGCAAGTTGATGGCAGCTGACAAGTCCATTGCACGGTGGACGTCGCAAAGCAAGATTCCAGATTCCAGATCCAGAAGCTGGAGCGCTGCGACCTGCAATCGCTAGCGCCGATCTCCCCGTAGCCGCCCGGGCCGGCGAAAGTGTTGATCCAGATTCCATGTGCCACGTGACGCCTACAGGCCGTTTCATCCTCGTGCCGCTCAAGGAGGAAGTACTGTGGAGGTCACGACGACGGTCATGCGTCCATCTGCGGCGCCGAACATGTGAACAGTATCGACGTTGTTCGGATTTTCCAGCTAACTCGCCCAGCCAACAGCCGGCCTCCGCGAGTCGGAGGAATGCTCCCATCACTACGCCATGCAGCCCTCTTCAAATTCCGCTGTTCTCGTCTCCCTATGCTTGCTTTCGCTGCGCACGTCCTCCATTTCTGCTATACGGTCTCGCCTAACATTTCTGGGGCTCGGCAATGCAATCATCATGATAGGCCTCGACGCCGCTTGTGCGGGGTAGCTGATTGCCCGGACCGACATCTGCAACCCATCCCCGCGTGACCACGGTCGCCCGCTCCACGCAGTCGCCAGTCTTCTATTTAACGGGGCATCTCTCACGGTGTCGACCTCAGCGCAGAGGCTGCTCTTCCCCCACTCCTCCGCGACGCGCGCCGCACGGCCGCAATGCCTCTCATGCCAGTCCGTACCACAGGCGGCGTAACAGGTGCGTGATTCGCGCGCTGTCTGCCATCTGCTTCATCTCACCCATGGTCGCATCTGCTCAGCCGCCGACTTGCCTTTCAGGCAGTGGTGCTTCGCGTTCGGCCTGGTGACTTCCTTGTTCTTCACATGGGGCTTTGCCTACGGCGTACGTCCCTTCCTATGCGCTTCTGTTCTGCATCTGACCCCAGACGTCAAGCTGCTCGATGTCCTCAACTCCCACTTCCAAACCATCTTCGGAATCAACAAGACTCAGAGCACGCTGCTCCAACTGGCGTACTTCGTGCGTGCCTGTTTGCCTCTCTCTTGACATGCACCGCTTTGCTCACGGTCGTCCCGACAGGGCGCATACCTCGTATATGCTCCCATAGCGAGTATATTCGTGAGTCACCTACGGCATGTGACCCGCGTCTCCACCTTCTGATAGCAGTTTGATAGATGGACAAGTATGGGTACAAGGTGCATCTGACCTCCCTTGCGCACGCAGCATAACGGCAGCTGACCCTCGAAACAGAAAGGAATCCACATGGGCCTGACGCTGTATTCTCTCGGTAGGTTGTTCGCTCCCACTGCGGCCACTTTGTCCGTCGATGCTCAGACCGGACCCGTGTCCGACAGGCGCTATCTTTTTCTGGCCGTCCGCCAAATTCGCCACATACGGCGGCTTCGTCGGCTGCACGTTCGTGATTGGTGAGCAGCAGGCCCACCCCCTCACCGCCGGTGGATAGAATTCTCAGTGCGGGTCGCGACGAACAGGATGCGGCTTGTCCTGCCTCGAAGTGGCGGCCAACTCGTACATCACCGTACTGGGCAGTCCCAAGTACGCGGCCGCGCGCCTCAACTTCAGTCAAGGTTTCCAGGGTGTTGCCTCCTTCGCCGGCCCGCTTATCGCGTCAAGGTGGTTCTTCACGGGGAAGAACGCGACGTCGCTCGACACCGTCCAATGGTGCGTGCCCTGAGCCCTGCGTCACCGAGCGTGAGCGCCTTACACCTGTGTCATAGGGTCTACCTCGCCGTCGCTGGCCTCGGAGTAGTCCTCAACATCCTCTTCTAGTGAGGTCGATCCCCTGGCGTGGGCGAAGTCTCGCTGACAAACTTGCGTAACACAGCTTCTGCAGCTTCCCGAAATCACGCAGGATGCACTTGCGGAAGAAATGCACTCGGCAGGCATTGATGCCGACAAGGAACCTTTCCACAAGCAGTACCACTGTATCTTCGGCTGGGTCGCGCAGACCACCTACGTTGGAGCGCAGGTCGCAGTTGCCTCGTTAGCCGTCAACTTCCTGACAGAACAAGGTATCGGCATCAGCAAGCCGTTAGCGAGTCAGCTGTTCTCCTACTGTCAGATCACGTTCACCGTCGGCCGGTTGGTGCGCTCTCCTTCCAGCGCCCGACACAAGCTAACATTTTGTGTTCGGGAACAAAAATAGCTTCGTCGGAGTCGCCCTTCTCCAGTGGGTAGACCCTGCACTCCTGCTAACTGTCTACTCGGCTGCGTGCATGGTGTTCTCCCTGGGCGTGACATTCGCTCCAGGCAAGTCCGCCGTGGGCTGCCTCTTCGCCCTCTTCTTCTTCGAGTCCATCTGCTACCCGGTCGGTACCTTCTCCGGACATGATAACATAAGATTTCGATCCTAACCGTTCGCGCGTTAGGTCATCTTCACCCTGGGGACGAAGAACTTGGGCAGACACACAAAGCGTGGCTCCGGCTTGATCGTCATGGTAAGCACCTGACCGGTTTCATCGGAGCCCGCGCGCTGCCTGCTCCTTGGGCCGACCGTGTTTCTCATACAGGGCGTCGGAGGAGGCGCCTGGTGGCCGCCAATGGCCGGTGCAGTTGCGGACCACGTATCCACCCAGCGATCATACGGAATTCCCTTCGCGGGGTACACCATCATGGCGATGTATGCTGTGTACGTGCTGTTTCGTCTGTGTTGACCTTAGACGCTAAGAGCGCCTTGTTGCTTCTCCCGACAGTGGCATGGTCGTCGACCAGACGTGCAAGGGTGGCTTCCGCTTCCGCACGATTGACGAGATCGCAGAGAACAAGGCGCATCAGCAGGGCAGGGCCTCGACTCGACCGAGAGCCCGAGCCCGGTCAAACGCGTGTCGACGGAGGGAAAAGAAGGGGAGCAGTGAATTTGTCGAGGCCGTGTGAGACCTCTGTTAGACCCGGGCGCGTTGTTGGAGCGCCATGCTTTGAGCACTCCATATTTGCTCTCTTCCTCTTCCAGAGCCGACATACGCGATGTATTACCAGATGTACTCTACTTATGAATGCCGACGACTCTCACGCCTATCTCCTGCGTCTTGGAAGCCTTGCGATGTGTCTACAGTCCTATCCGGATATATATTCTGCCGAGGGTCGCCGACCTTCATCGTCTGTTGAAATCCATCTCACCTGTCAGCCGGGCGTAAATCGCGCCAGCGCCCCGGTGGCAAGCACGCGTTGGCGTGGACTCAATCGCACTAGAACCTGGTAGACTTCCAGCTCTGTTTTACGCGTACGGTGTTATCTCCCCTGGGGCGACGTCGCCTTCCAGGGCTCGAACTCAAACCGCCACTCTGGCAGGCCGGCAGTAATAGAGCGCAGCTACGTGCCCCGCACCGGTGCTCGCGCCCGCCGCCGGGCCCATGCACCCTCCGATGTCGTCGGCGTGCGCACAGTTGGCGCATAAGCAAGCCTGAACCTGCACGCCCGCCGACCGACGGGCGGACGCACAGCGAAGGTTCGCAGCCGCGTGCAGATTTGCAGATTCTCGCGTGCGCGCAGGCTTCGACGGGCACAGCTGGCCACAGTTGTCGATCGGAGGCGTGCGCTGGTCGCACGCGGAGGTGCGACTCCGTGGATCTCGACAACATATTGCAATTGTGGGTGGGGTATAACCTGCGGTCCATCGAGCGCCGGAGCAAACCACTCCAGACGCCGCGAGGCCAGGAAAGGATACATACGCCGACGATCTCTCTTACGACCTCCAACAACACACTGCGCGCCCTGGGTGTCCATGTCAGCGCTCTCTCGACCACAGGAACGGGCTGCATGGCAGGACTAACCGGTCAGAACGCCGCCGGGAGCTCGACGCCGAACACGCGCGACAGCAGCAGCCGCACGAGCGCATCCGACCCAGGCGTCTCCGTCACACACGCGACGCCGTCCGGCGGGCCGTGCGGGCTCGCGGGCGCGGGCTTGACGACGACAGGACCCGTGCGAGCGACGGTGCTCGGGGTCGGGGCGGCAGGGTTGGCGGCGGGAGCTTGGGCCAACTCGATCTCGACCTGGGCGGGGACGGCGTTGGATTCGAGGAGCGTGCTGGTGCCGGCGCGGTGGGATGGGTCGAGCGCGGCCTGCACCTCGGCGCGGTTCGCGCCCGGGGCGTATGCGCCGGGGTCGTCGCGCCGGTCGACGACGAGCATCCCGCGGGTAAGCTCGCCGTACCTGCCGGAGTGAGGCGTGGTGGCAAGACACGGGAAGTGTGGGCCGTGGCGAAGGTGGTGGCGCGGCTCAACGAATTTGAAGAACGGTGGGAAGCGGAGGTGACCGGTAAATATTTGAATGGCGACGAGGACGGAGATTAGATGTTGACAGGGAGGATGGAATAAGGAAGTGTTGCGTATGTGCAAAGACGACGGCGTTTTGAGTCCGGAATCGCATTCGCCGAAAACACGACACCGATCAGGCATGAGAACCGCGGAAATAGGAACGAACATGAAGCAGAACAATGAGCCGCGAGTGTCAGCACAGGGCAGGAGGTGCACGCACCGCTCGACAGCGAACTTACGCCTCGTCGCCTTCCATCCTGACTGCAGTTCGCCGTGACCGTCCGGCGTCGGGACCGGGGGATTCACAAGCGCACACCACACCGCAACGATGTCGTGCAGTTCGAGCGCGTCCTTGCCGAATTCGCACATGACTTCGCGGGTGCGCTCGAGAAACGAGCTCGCGAAGTGCACAATCGGGGGCTTGTCTTCGGCGCGCGAGGGCTGGCGGTGGACTCGAACGTAGTATCAACATATCTTGCGTAAAGGGGGAACGAGAGCTCGTGTGGAGTGGTGATGTCTAGTGGGAGGAGAACGAAACGGTCGAGAGGGAACCCTGAAATCGTGCCGCCAGGGCATAAGAGCTCGTGCACGGCGTATGGGTCAGCGAAGAAGTTGACTGAAGAGGAACGTTATGAGCGCAAACCGTCTGATGGGGAAATCAAGGGCTTACATTCTGCCATAGGGGAAGTGTTTCCGGGTACGTCTAATGCCCCTCCCATGCAAACAACCCGCCCCAGCCGATCGACGGTACTCCGACGATCGAGCCTCATGAGTTTCGCGAGGTTGGTCAATGGACCGAGTGCAATGTAGGTAATACACCTCGAGGGTTCAGACTTGATCAATTCGAGCGCAACTTCAACGCCAGGTTGGCTTGTAATCTGTAGTTGTGGATGCTCCGAGGGGGAGGGACTCGAAACATCTAGGTCGGAATGTCTCTCTGTGATGCCTGCCAGGCCGTCCCTAAGACATCATGAGTAGGCAACAGCATAGATGCCACGCGCATACCTCCCGTGAAAGTACTGTGCGCTATGTATGTCGCCTGCAGAGGGTTCTTCTCCCACGCAAGAATGGTCTTCCTGCCTTGCTGGAAATTTGGGAATCTTGCCGCATCTTCAGGAAACTGTTCAAGATGTCGGGCTATTGCCTGATACATCTTGAGAATGTTGACGCTTTAGCCGTAGAAAGTCAGTCATGACGCAGGTAGACAGTTCGAGGCGTACATACTAAGACGACTGCGCATCGGTGTTTCCTGTGCACGTTTGAGAGCTTTGTCGAACACAGCTACTGCTCAGACTCACCGAAAGAAATCACTATAGCGAGAATTTCGAACTCAGGACTAGCGAGAGCGAGTAATCTGCAAGCATGCCACAGTTCAAAGCTCAAATCGAAAACCAACGACGCAGATGCCAACTTACATGGCTAACACGTCATCCACACCCGGATCAGTATCAACTGTGCTCGGATATCAATCGATGCGACTCAAACATGGCAGGCACAAGGCTCACTGATCACGGGGATTCTCGTCTTTCGGAATTAGCATCGACTGAGAGCGAGCTGGGGGGAAGAATCTAGAGCTTTACCAACTGGAGATTTATTCAAACGCACTCTTTATCTTAATGGATCGCATGCACGTGACGCACGGTGATAGCGAACGATATTGATAAATTAGGCGCAGAGCGTGTGTCTAGGCGTATCGTAACCGACGTGACAAGAGAAGATGGTGTACGGCACATAATGCTACGGCGCAGAGAAAGAACTCACCTCCTATCAGGAGGTCGATGCAAATGAATATGGATGCGATTGGCCAGGGAGTTCTGTTGCGCAGACGGTCAATGATCACATCAAGACGTGTGAACAAAGCGACAAAGGTCAGAGATCTTGGTGGAAAGTAGTCTCATTGGGAACGATGAACCCTCTGAAGTAGCAAATATAGTACGAAACATCACGCAAAGGAACGAGACACAGCTGCGACTCACAATCAAAACGTGCCTTCTAGATCTAACCTTCCCCAAGCATCAGAGGGACGTATTCGACGCGTGGTTGACGTACGGCGACTGCGAGTTGACCCAACGAGCCTCTTGGGATTTGACGTGATGGAAGTGGAAGACGCGAGCCCAACAACACACGTGGGAAGAGGTATCCAGGTGACATGAGCACTGTAGGAGAAAGTAAGGGAAAGGGAAAGAGCATGAACACGAGGCTTGGGATGACGACACGCGCTTGCGTCGCCGTGGGCGCCCTTATAGCCGGCAACTGCCGAGCTGTACAGTACCAGTCACAGTGGCTGTCACACTTTCGCGACGCGTGCCGGCAAAGGAAGGACCACCACAGCCAGACGAGCTCGACATCGACACCGCCGCCGACGCGAAAACATCCCGCCCATCATCATGGAATCCCTCCGCTACCTCGGCTCGATGGCCGGCCACAAGGGCTGGATCACCGCGATTGCCACGTCCTCAGAAAACCCCGACATGATCCTCACTGCGTCCCGCGGTACGTTGCCTCTTCATCTGGAGCATCCTTGTTTCCACTCGAACAAGCGGAGTGCTCTTCTCATCATCTTTTTTCTTCTCATGGCTCGAATATGTGCGCAGACAAGACCATTATCGTCTGGCAACTCACGCGTGAGGAGGACCAGTACGGCTATCCCAAGCGCATCCTCCATGGCCACAACCACTTCGTCTCCGATGTTGTTATCTCCTCCGACGGCCAGTTCGCGCTCTCCTCCTCGTGGGACCACACGCTGCGCCTGTGGGACCTTAACACCGGCGTCACCACCCGCCGCTTCGTCGGCCACACCTCGGACGTCCTCTCCGTCTCCTTCTCCGCCGACAACAGGCAGATTGTCTCCGGTTCGCGCGACCGCACGATCAAGCTCTGGAACACTCTTGGTGAGTGCAAGTATGACATCAAGGACGATGGCCACACCGAGTGGTGAGGTTTTTCGTGTATACAAGAAGATCCAGTGCGTAATCGAATCTCCACAGGGTATCGTGCGTGCGCTTCAGCCCAAACGTCATGAACCCCGTCATTGTCTCGTGTGGTTGGGATAAAGTGGTCAAGGTGTGTACATGTTCTTCTCGGATTCCGCGTTGCCCCCCTCTCGCGGTATGATGTTACATAAATATTTGCTACTTCAGAGGGTTTACCCCCTATGAGACCATTCAAAATCACCAAGATCTCTGACCTTCACCTGTGCTATGCTCATCAAGTTCGTGGGCTGACGCTAATGTCTTCTCAGGTCTGGGAACTCTCAAAGTTCAAGCTGAAGACCAACCACTACGGCCACACTGGCTACATTAACACCATCTCTGTATCTCCCGACGGCTCGCTCGCGGCGTCCGGCGGCAAGGACGGTATCACCATGCTTTGGGACCTGAACGAGGGCAAGCACCTCTACTCGCTAGAGGCCGGTGACGTCGTCAACGCCCTCGTCTTCTCCCCCAACCGCTACTGGCTCTGCGCCGCGACGGCGTCTTGCATCAAGATATTCGACCTTGAGAGCAAGTGTGTATCTTATCTCCCTCCTTTGAGTTACTGTGGCTGATCACATCTCAGGTCGATCGTCGACGAGCTCAAGCCCGACTTCGCTCAGTCCTCCGGCACCCGGGAGCCTGAGTGTGTATCTATCGCTTGGTCGGCGGACGGCCAGACGCTCTTTGGTGGCTTCACGGACGACCTCGTCCGGGTGTGGACCGTGGTGTCATAAGCTACCTCTCTCCCTCGCACCTCTTTTTTGCACACCCAGAAAAGTGCACGGTGCACTGCGGATTGGGGGCCGACTGCAGTTAGCGGGACGACGGTTGTATGTACGCTCTAGGGTTGTGTCTCTTTCGCGTAGCACTGCGTGTAGCCTCTCAAATCTAAGCTTTGCTTTGCACACTAGTATTATCATACTGCTTTCGAATTGATGCCCGAGCTGAGGCATGAGGAAGAGATGTTTACAACGAAATGGCTGCAAGTTGTTACATAGTCAAGAAATTACGGTTAACGGTAAGTCACTGAGATGGGCGGGTCCGTTCAATTAATATCGCTCACTGGAGTCTGGGTGAATGAGCTACAACGACTCCAGCTGATGAGCCCATATCACGTGACCGGCAAAATTATCCGATATTGACCATGAACTTCAAAATCGGCGTCTGTGGTGAGAATGGCATGCTGTCGCTTTCAAGAGCAACCTTGCTTCTTCCCCCCCCACCTCTGCACATACCCTGGAAAGCACAATAATGGAGAAGGTCGGCAAGGAGACTCTATCACGAGCAAACCACGCTCTCAGGAGAATGTGGGGAACGACCTGAGCGCGTTGCCAGTCGATCCCGTGATGCGGCGACTGCTGCCCCTTCAGGTGAGTGTTGTGACGCCATGCTCTTTCATTTACCCTCATGGTCGAAATGCATAGCATGGTGAAGAAGCTCAGTATATTGGATCGGCTTCTCACTCCTGCTATCCTCGTCTGCATGATTGTCGGCGTGCTCATCGGGAACTTTGTCCCTGGCGTTCAAGAGGCGTTCGACACAGCACGCTTCCAGTCCGTCTCCGCCCGTAGGTCCTCCCTGTCACTACAAGCCACCAACACTAACTAAACCGACCCAGCGATCGCGGCGGGGCTGCTCGTCATGATGTGGCCCATCCTCACCAAAGTGCGGTACGAGTCCCTGCCCGCGCTGCTCCCGACGCGCACGACGGCGGTGCACATCGCGCTCTCGCTCGCGCTCAACTGGCTCGTCGCGCCCTTCGTGATGCTCGCGCTCGCGTGGGCGGCGCTGCCCGACCTCCCGTCGTACCGCACGGGCGTGATCATGGTCGGCCTCGCGCGGTGCATCGCGATGGTCGTCGTGTGGAACGCGCTCGCGCGGGGCGACGGCGAGTACTGCGCGATCCTCGTCGTCGTGAACAGCGCGCTGCAGGTGGTGCTCTACGCGCCGCTCGCGCTCCTGTTCGTGAACGTGCTGGGCGGGGGCGGGGGCGTCGAGCAGACGCTGCACGTGTCCTACGGGGACGTCGCGATCTCGGTCCTCATCGTGCGTGTCTTCTCCCTCCTCGATCCGACGTTGGGTGCGGCTGACGGCGCGTGCTGCAGTATCTCGGCATCCCGCTCCTCGCAGGGATCGTGACGCGCTTCGTGGTGCTCAAGACGACGTCGCGCGCGTTCCTCGAGACGCGCTTCCTGCCGTGGTTCTCGCCGCTCGCGTTCGTCGGGCTGCTGTACACGATCGTCGTCATGTTCGCGTACCAGGGCCACCACATCGTGCACAACCTCGGGCCCGTCTTCCGTGTCTTCGTCCCCCTCGTCCTCTACTTCGCCCTCATGTGGTCCGCCGCGTTCGCGCTCGTCTGGTGGTGTGGGCGTCGTGCGCGGCGGCGGCAGGCCGGCGGGGCTGCGGGCCCGGCTGGCGCGGGTGTCGACTGGTCATACGAGATGGCGGTCGTCCAGAGCTTCACGGCCGCGAGCAACAATTTCGTGAGTGGGCTGAATCAGTCTGGGTTGGAACGAGAGGGCTCACACAGAACGCGTTGGGACGGTAGGAACTGGCCATCGCGGTAACGATGCAGTGTACGGCGTTGGCTCGGACCAAGCATTGGCCGCTACGATCGGACCGCTCGTCGAGGTGCCCGTGCTGCTCGCGCTCACGTGGGTGGCGTTGTTCTTGCGGCGGAAGCTGAAGTGGTCGGAGAAAGAGCAGGGAAGCGCTGCCTAGGGGAGGCAGCCGGTCGCGGGCGGTTGGGGTGACGAGAGGTGCGCAGTCGTACGAGAGGTAGAGGTGAAATAGGACCCGGTAGGACTGCACGTTGTAGTTGAAACGACCCAGCAAAGACGCAGATGACATTGTACCGGCAAAGCTCCCGGAGTCATGGGTGTGCAATCACCTGCTCCCGTAGTTAGCATTCCCCATGGGTGAATGAGCCACACAGGCGGAGGACTCACCTCTTGTGATCGGAGACGCAGAGGGCAGAAAATGCACTCAGGAGTTCGCCCCGCTGCACGCGTGGGCGCGCCTGTTGTGGATCAGTCGGACGAACGCATGGAATATGATCTCCAGCACCCGAAGAAAGACTCGAACAAGCTGTAAGAATGGAAGTGCGTTCGCGCTCGTGGACGCACCACCTGTACGCAGTACGCCGGGTATGAATGCTTGATTTCAACAGAGGTGTAATGGGATGATGATCGGGTGCGGTTGCGCTATTGTACGAGGCGGCACACTGCTTGCGCGATGTGCACAGCAGAAAGGTTCGACAGCCGGTCGTAGCATGTCACTTCATCCGGGGCATGCGACTCAGCTACGCGCAACAACGACGCGTTCTATGTCCCATGGATCCTTCCATACCGTGATATCGCTGAGTCGCGCGGTACGCTCAACGATGGCTGCGACGTCCACTGCCTGCCCTCTGCCGACCTCGAGGACGAGCACGCCGCCTCCACGCCGCAGAAGCCCAGCGCCCACGAGCGCAGCGATACGGTGGTAGAAGGTGAGGCCCTTGGTGCGATCGGTAGGGGAGAGGCCAAGCCTGGCGGCGTCGGGGGAGTCGCCGAGCAGTGCGCGGACGTCCTCGTAGTCTTTGACCGAAGCCGGTAGTTCCGAGTATTCGTCGTGTGGGATGTAGGGTGGGTTGGCCGTGATGACGTCATACGGAGGCTCGAGGTGTGCTTGCGCTGTGAAGTCATCACGCAGAAGGTCGGCTACCTCGGTTGAAAAGCGGTTGCGGGCAGGCTGCAGAGGGCGTGGGCGCTTGGTGTTGTCGGCGTCGACGGGAAGCTCGCCAGGCGTGGCGCGGTCAAGACGGAGGCCGGGGAGACCCCCGCTCGGTGTGCTGACCCCGTTCAATTGGGCGTTGAGTTCGGCGAGCTGTGCCGCTGCGGGGTTGATATCAATGCCGGTGGCGTTCACGGCCCCCTGCGGCCATTGGTGACAAAGGAGGAGAGGGATGCAGCCTGTGCCGGTGCAGAGGTCCAGCAGCTTCACCGGGTTTGACGCGGTCGGCGTGAGCATTTCCGATAAGCGCAAAGTCCAATCTTCCGTCTCCGGTCGTGGGATGAGGACAGGGCGGCGCACGGCAAGGTTGAGCGGCCCAAATGGTTGTGATCCTGCAAGTCACATCAGCAGTTGTCATGCACCACAGCGCAGTTCCGCGCGCGAACCATGCATCCGGAAGGAGCACGGCAGCATGCACGAATCGCGGTTCGCTGGATGCGATCGGCGTGGCCATGCAATCATACGAGCGGAAGCCAGGAGCTCACCCAGGATGTACTGTAGAGGTTCTCCACTGATCCGACGAGCCACCATCTCTTCCAAGCTTCCAGCGGTCGACGGTAAGCCAGGAGGAGGATGGCTGAGGGTTTGCCTCATCCACCGAAGCTCGGCTTGGGCAGAATCTTTCCCGAGGGCGTGTGTGAGTTGTGCCAGGAGGTTGGACGCAGAGCGCAAATTCATGGCGAGAGAAGGAAGGAGAGCCGTGCGGTACACGTGCTGGTAGCAGGTGCAGTAGGTCGAGGTTATTAGTTAACCGAAGGGCAAGGACACGGTCGTCGGTCGCGCCGCGATGTCGGCGTCCGACTCGTCGCGAAGACAGCACCGGGCCGGAGTCCCTGCCGGCGAAGCGTGACAGGCGGCATGGAGTAGACGCGTGACGTAACAGCCAATGAGCCGGGGATGCTTACGTCGACGGCGCCTGTTGCGACAGTATGCCCAAAATTAGGAGAGACGAGCGGCCGGAGAAGCGCCGGGAGGGGAGGCTCATGACGGCCACGGTCTGTCCTCTGCAATTCCGAATGCGCTTTCTCTTGGTCCTCGTCCCCCGCACCGGTCCTCGCCCCTCCCTGCTCTCCCGCACCGCGTTATAACCCCCCGCCATGCCCGCTGCCACCTCTGCGGATCGTCCGCTTGCCCCCGCCATGCACGCCCTCGCCCTCCCGCTCCCGCCGATCGCCCAACACCCCTCGCTTCCTTCCTCCTCATCAAATTCAGAGTCCTCCACCCCCGTTCCCTCCGCCTCGGCCCAAGATCCCAAGAAAAAGCCAGCCGCAAAACGCAAACGCACCGCTGGCTCGGCCGCTGACCATGGCGACGCGGGCTCCGGCCCGCGTTCGCGCGACGGTCCCAAGAAGAAAAAGGCGAACCGCGCTTGCTTTCATTGCCAGAAGGCTCATCTTACATGCGACGACAGTGAGTCCATTTTTTGCACCATCTGTACGAGCGCTCGCGTTCTACACATACTATGCGCGACTGCCTTCTTCCGCCCCCGTATAATCACCAATCATAGCCGGGCGCGTCATTGCACAATTGTGGATCGAGTTCTCGAACCACGCGCTGCTCCTCCGTCATGCGAGACGCAACTTCGGATTGCATATGCACCGCGTCTGAGCACTCCAGACTCGTCATACCACGCGTTGTCTTCCTGTCGTATGACCGCACAAACGGCGCTACCGCTCCATATCTCCTCCCCGTGATCGCGCGTATGCGGATGATCAACATCTGTTGTTGGTCGCTCTTGTGGTCCTCGGACTTTCTTACCATGCAGTGGGGTCGGCCTCTGGCACGCCTACCTTCCCACATTGCTACCGGTCTATTCACTGACATCCGGTTCTCCAGCCCGGCCATGTCAGCGCTGTGTGAAGCGCGGAATGGCGGATAACTGCACTGAAGGTCACCGGAAGAAGGCCAAGTACTTGTTGGATGAGGAGGAGATTGGTGCGTACCCACATGACCTGTTTTAGACCTGCCAATCTCATCCCGGCCTAACATCACAGAGGCATTGAAACATGCCAAGTCTGGCGAAAGTTCCTCCAAGAGTGTGGAACCCTCATCACAACGTAACCTGCCTCGCCTGTCGTCTCTTGATTCCCCTTCTCACCGCTTTTCCCTTCTAGCTCCTCCCCCTCCTCCGCTTGAACCTCCCGTGCCCCAACAGCAGCAATACGTCCACCAGAGGGCATGTATCCTGTTTACACCTCCGCCCCGCCGTACGGGGTTCCAGCGGAGGCTGCAAACCTAGAGTACTCAGTCCTCTCTGCAATTCTTGGGGCCGGCTCACCTGAATCTGGCTCCAGCGGCTCCCCTGCAGCTGGCCAAGCCCCAGCACCGGTTGCCGCACAGCCCTACGTGCCTCCCCCGGACTCTGGTCTATCGGCGGCCACTTGGCCGGCTGAAGCTCTTCAAGGTCAATATAGTTCCCCTACTACTGCCCAACCAGAGGCGGCTGCGTATCCTGGTGCACCAGGGTATGGTGAGTAGACTTCTTTCTCCGTAGGACCTTCAGATACGACCCCGGGAACAGTGCCGTCAGAATTCATCACTCCCAATGTCACGGGATATCAAGCGGCCTATCCAACGGTGGCGCTTGGACAGCCTGGGCCCTCGCAGTTCACGGAATACTCACCGGATCGGTCACAAGTGTCATCACAAGTCCAAGCTCCACATCATCGCAGGCCGTCCCAGGTCCCAGTTCGTACCGCTCTCCGACGCAGTCGTTCCTGGTCCGGCCAAGACGGACCACCATGAGTTCACCAACCGCGGCGCGTGGATGGCTCAGCCCGTCGCTGTCAACCGCCAACACACCAGATCACGCAATTCAGAGCGTGTACCGGAACGTGACGAAGGGTTACGACTACACCGAGGGCTACCACTTCCTGATGAAGCACATGAGCAGAAGGTCTGTGGCGAGTTCTCATGCGAGTAGCCTTGCGCTGATTTGTGTCTTCTGTGCCGCTTCCTCTAACCTTCGTGTCGGGTCAATCCGTGCTGTGCAACGTGTTGCTGACACGGGTTTATCCTATTCCGTGACGTCATCTCCCTTCGCCCAATTTTCATCGCCTACCTTCGACCACACCTTTGCCGTTGCCCCTGCCGTTGACGGGGAACGGAACTCAGATTTGAAAAGAACGACATCCTCCGGATTGTGCGCGCCTTGGCGATCGTTCGTCCGTCGTTCATCGCACTGCAAATGCCGATGACGGAGGAGGACGATGTGTTTGTGGAGAAGTGTTTCCAGCGCTCGCTCATCGAGCTCGACAAGCTCGTCTCCATGTCCGGTACGCCCACCGTAGCGTGGCGCCGTACCGGCGAGATCTGTCTCGTCGGCCCCGAGTTCTGCATGCTCTCGGGTTGGGACCGAGAAGAGCTTGTTGGAAAGAGAAAATACATCTACGAGGTGCGTGGTTCTCTTGAACTCGGGTATATGCGCTGCGATCGCTAACTTCACGAATACCTATGAAAGCTCTTCGAAAACCAATCCGTAGTTGAATACTGGGAAAACTTTGCCAACCATGCGTTTGAGAACACGACACAGTCTGTCTACTCACATTGCATCCTTCTCAAGCCAAGTGGTGCACCTGTGCCTGTACGTTCTGTTTCTCAATACGACGGGACATCATGGACCTCCCCAGTTTAGTCATCGGTATGTGTGCCAGTCGCGTTGTATGCTGGAGTCATTGCTAACTTTCTGCTTATCGTGTTCAGGACAATGGCTGCCTTTATTATAGCCTACCTTGCCCGTGATTCTTTGCCACCCACCTTCTCCTCACTGTACCCCGTCCTCGTACCCGTATTTCCCGGTTTCTCCCCATTATAGCCCACACTCTCACGTCAACCCTTACTCTGGGTCTTTCGTATATGTATTCGCTAGGCGCTTTCTCATCGCTATCGTCATGTCTCTCCCTTCTCCCTTATTGCTTGTTCCGCGACACCCACACCCGACACGTGCTACACCTAGGCCCTGTGCATAGTTTCCGTACCCTGTAGCCCATCTTGGCCAACCTCACGATGAATATGTTGCCTCCGTCGAACATCGCCCGCAAACGGTTCAAGCCAGAAGTGCTGATACATATGGTGCCGAGCCGAGCGTGTCGGGGCAAATAACATTAGACTGTCCGAAGGTACGCACTTGGTGCCAAGTCTAGGGAGACACAGCCCGATAGAAGAAACGATATGCAACGAGACCAGGTCCTGCTCCGTCCGAGCCCGCAACCTTCGTTTGCAACCTCCACCTGGGTGCGGACCCTGCGCCCAAACCCCTCCAATCCCCAACCCCCAAGGGTCCACCCGCCCGAGGGTTCTCCGCCGGTCTGCAGCTTCTGTGTTCGGTGTCGGAGCCTTTGCGCGGAGGCGCCTCAGACCTGGCCCTCGACCTGTGCGTACTCGCTCTCGATGCCGGGCTCGATCATGCTCGCGTGGCCGAGGATGAGGACGGAGGAGGCGCCGACGAGCCAGAAGAAGGTGCCGAAGGGGGACGCGAAGTAGATGAGGGGGATGCCGATCACGAGGAGGCCGGTGTAGAGCGTGCGCTGGGTGATCGTCTGGCCGGCAATGCTGAACTCCTCTGGGGCTGTGAGGGGGCGGGTGTGGGTGAGAGAAAGGGCATTGAGGGGGGGGAGTTCATGGAGCCGAGTTCGGGAGCCATGCGGAGTTGGAGGGGCGGAGGGTGGAATGGGGTTGTTCGGGGGGGTTGAGACGCAGAGGCATGGAGATGGACAAGAGGGACGTACCGAATCTGTTGATTGCGGTGAACCCACCGAAGACGAAGAGAGTGGCGAATACGAGTGTGAGGTTGGTGAGGCTGAGAGTGCGTGCATTCAGTAGGAAAATGAGGATTCGGGGTCAAAATGACGCACAGAGCGTATACGAATAGGATGAGAACGAGGAGTAGGTAGTTCCCTGTGTAGCTGTTTTAGATAATGCGCGCAAGATATGGAGCATAGAAGAACAAACCTGAGAAGTAGCGAGTGTTGTACGATATGCGCTGACAAAATATGTAAGCTCACAAAACGGATGGAAGGCATACAAGATGTGCACCTTTGTCGCTTGAGTGAGATCGGCCGGTCGCGAGATTCGGTTCACATCAAAGAATTCTGTCGGTGGACGGAGCCCACTGAGGCGAGTTTCCTAGTGGAGGGCACTTGTTAGCTTGTGACGAAAGCACAAAACAGGCTCGCGCAGCGAACGTACCCGGAAGGACTTCATCATCTCTGTGGCGCGCATAAGGGCTTCCATGGCGGATGGTAGATGTGTGTATGTAGTAATTGAGGGCGCGCGGTATGCCTTGAAGGCTAGCGAAGGAGAGTGCAGGTGCGCGGGCGAGAGTACGGTGGTGAGTTGAGTGGCGGCGTTGCGCGCGAAGGCTACTTTAGTTGCACGCCAGGCGCCTGCGGCGCAGCCTTTGTCCGCGTCCCTCTGCCCACAGCGCCACGGCCATTGTCCCCGCGCCGACCCCGCCCTCTCTCCTCCGCTGCCCTGCGCGCAGCCTTATCTGCCACGCACACTCCTCATTGACAGTCACTGCGGCCACGCGCTCGAGCTAGCATGATCCGCAGGCCTCCCACGACGATCCCGCTCACGGACCTGGACGTTGCCCAGGTCCGGCTCATGGTTCAACGCCAGAAGCTGGAGAAGCTCAGAGACCAGGCGATAGAGGCAGAGAAGAAAGGTCTCAAGCTCGACATAGATCAGATGGGTGATCTCATGGCGGGCCCGGCGTACCATCATCCTGACGAGTCGAGAAAGAAGCGGGAGGGCATGACGCGCGAGGAGCGGCTGGGCTTGTCGCGGATGCGATGAACGGTGAAAGGTGCGCAGTATACTGTTCTTCGTCCGTTCACGCACGTTGCTCACTATATACGTGTGCGTAGATATACACCTGTAGTCTGATAATGACGCGCGCGGTATGATACGCAATGCAGTTGCCCTTCAAGTCTTCACAATGTGTGGCACATTAAGTCACTAAGCCTATTTAGCGTGGTGTGGTCGTAGCACCGCGCCCTCGTGGAGATTGTTTCACCCTCCGTGCCATTAAACAATGGGGTTTGCACGCTTGTTTATGTCTCGAGTTCCAAAGCTCCCGACATGAAGATTTACCGTTCTCTCGTCCCGTCGGTACGCTTCTTCCTTCGCTACTCCCATCCAGCTCCTCCCAGCTGACCACCGGCCTGTTTATAGTTTGACATCATGTACATCGACCCCGTCCCGGTTATACTTCCTTGGGAACTCCACCTCACCATTCTGGATTTCGTTGAAGACGACAAGACGCTATGTGCAAGCTCTCTCGTATGCAAGTCATGGCTTTCTTGGGCACAGAAAGCTCTCTACAGCACCATTGAAGCAAACGTAACCAAGTGGCCCATATTGTGCCGATCCCTCACCTCAAATCCTACACTAGGCAAACATATCCGAGAGCTGGCACTGCAAGACCTTCCTTTGTCCAGTATCCACCCTCCACACAACCTTCACATTCAAAACGTTCGAACGTTACGTATAGTGGACATGGACACAGCAAGTCCCATCATCATGGAGATTGTCTCGCACTGTAAGCACTCGATTGAGCGACTCAGCTTGCGCGACACGTCGTCGCCAAACGAAGCTAGCTTTATGTCTCTCCTCACCACCCTCCCAATGCTCAAGCACGTCGACTTGTGTAACAACTTCTTTCGATCACCAGGGTTGCCCTCAACCGCGACCTTGGGCGGCCTCTCAATCCCTTCGAATATGCGGTCACTACGTCTCATATGCGATCCTCCTGGATTTGGGCCGACCTGCTTCGTGGCACAGGCGCTATTTCGTCATTTGCGCTTCCTCTCTCGGCTATCTATCCTCACGATCCGTGTCGTTCCAGGCGATGCACCTCTCTTCGCCCGTTTCCTGGAGGCCGTTGGGGGCAACCTACTGGAGCTCAACGTTGGTTTCACAGAATCGGTCGAAACAGAACGTGAGTAAAGCCTTCTATGATGGTCGGATGAAGGCTAACTTGTTATCTACCTTCAGTGTTCCGCGACAACACATTGTCGCTATCGGCATGTCCCAACCTCCGACTTTTCGGATTGCATCTGAAGCTTTGGCGGGCTGCTCGCGGTTTCGAACACCTTACATGGGTTCCCGCCCTCCTTTCTACCGTGCGCGCAACCCGCATGAAGCGATTCAAGCTTGCGATCCGCGCTCAGCATGCCAGACTGGCAGACCTGTCGGTGATGGGTCTTGACAAGATTGATAATGTCCTCAAGAGTGACGCTTTCGCGTCCCTACAACGTGTCCTTGTGAGGATAGTCGAGGTGAAAACACGCACAGGAGTCCAGGAGTACATTGAGGGACAGCTCAACGGACTGGTCACTCGTGGCTTGCTGTCCCTACATGTGCAGCAATCATTTAGTTCTCGCTTCTCTTAGATTTTGACATTGGTCTCAAACGTGATCACTTCGACATTTCATTCTGTACGCTGTAGACATTTAATGTGCTTCATGAGACCGAGCGAAAGCCCGAATTTCCGTGGAGAAAGAGAGAGAAATTGTCGTGCGGGCCGGCCGAATTCACGTGTGTGCCGCCGGCAGATGCTTGCAGGCGTCCATTCGGATTACGCGCGACCGGCAAGGCGGGGCAGACTCGGGTCCTCGTCCATGCCTCAACTTGTTGCTCCCACTACTGCACACCGTCTGCTCCCACTACCGTGCATTGTCGGGGTCTGCTAAACTGCTTCCACCATGTCTTTGCCCATGCTAGTGAACGGCGCCGACTGCGGCCCCTCCAATCCGCTGCAAGGCCTCTCCAAGCGTTTCGACCAGGACCGCGGCGTTCAACAAGTGCGTGCCAGGCATCGTACCCTCCCGGTATATCATGTTGAAGCTATTCGTGTGTGCAGGACCATTTTGGTGCGGGGCGTGCAGGTTCATCGAAGGAGGTGCGTCGCACATCTACACGCCACTGTATTGTCGCGTGACTGTGGTCGCAGACTTTCCGAACACAATATTCCGCCTCGCCGGGCGTAAACCAAGACGCTGCACGGTTCTTCTCGGCAGGCCCCTCTGCAGTACCCAATCTATCTGCTCCATCTCCGTTTGATCTCTCTGCTCTTCACAACAATCTCCCCGTCGCGCAAACCCATGTCTCGCCGCATGTGCAGTCCCCTATTCAGTCGCCCTCGCAGGCTGCTCCTGCCGGGTGGGCCGCAGACTTCTTGCTCCAGCAGCCTGGCGCGTCTTCATCCCCGTGGATGATGGCTCGCCAGAGTACGCCCATGTCCATGGAGCAAAGCATGTCCCCTGTCCCGCAGAACGCTCCCGCGTCATTTATGCCTGGTGAGTTTATTTTCTTCTCAACAATATCATGGGGCGTTCCTAGATTTGATGTCCTCGAATCCGCCTTTCTCGGTGCTTCGGGCATCACAGGCGTATCGCCCCGTTGAAATCGGCCATGTAAGGCTGACGTTTGCAACCACAGGCATGGCCTGGAATCGTGCCGGCGGCGCCCAATTCATCCCTATGCAGCCCGCGTTCGCTCAAGTACAGCCTCAGTTCGACGGTGTGTGCAATTCCTATTGGCGACCCGCCTCACGCGCTCAAACTCCGCTCGAATTTCATCAGCTGCAAAACTAGAGCAGGAATTTCAGTCGCGAGAACTGTCTCTGACATCTCCCGTCGGTCCTTCCGTCCTTCCTCGGACAGCTGATCTAGTCGGCGAGACTTCCTCCAGCGCGAGGTCCCACGAACCCGACGAGCTAGCGCGCACTGCTGGCCTCCTCATCGACACCGTGCAGAACGAGACAAACCCGAAGTTCAAGAATAGTGCCTTTATGGGGCTCATGCGCCAGCTGCGTGATGGAGAAGTCGTCGTTGACGGCAATGACATGGTTCAGCGAGCCGACGCGATCGGCGTCGCTAATGCACCGGTCGACGTCAAAGGCAAGGGCCGCGCGGTCGACATCCCACCTGTCACACCGATGATGCAGTTGCCCACCCTGCAGAGGCCCATCACCACTTCGACCACCGGGGCTACGTCAACGCTTCGCGAACAAACCTACGACGAGGCCGGCGCGACGCGTCAGGAAGATCCCAACGACGCGTATTTCCGGCAGGAAAACGAAGATTACATCGCGATGCAGCAGGGCTGGTCCGCCCCGAAACAGATGCCTTGGCGGCGGCCGGGCACGCAGGCGGCAGAGTGGGACACCCTCCAGCGCGACTGGGATGCGTTCGAGGCGACCACGCACGGGCTGCGGCCGATGGCAAATTACATGTTCCAGGCGAACAACCCGTATCTGAATGGGGAAGCCTCTCGCACGAGACACCATTCCTCCCATTCGGGATTACCGCAGACGCTCTACGAGGTAACGATTACCGATGCGCCTTCGTCTACTATTTCTGATTATGCGCATTGCACATCCAGAGCGTCCTCGAGATGGAGGCTGCTGTCCAGCGGGATCCGAACAACGCCGCTCTGTGGTACGACCTCGGGGTGAAGCAGCAAGAGAACGAGCGGGAGCAGAGCGCGGTGCAGGCTCTCCGCAGGGCTCTCGAGCTCGACCCGACGCTTCTATCCGCGTGGCTCGCCCTCTCTATCTCCCACACGAACGAGGGCAGCCGTGCGGCCGCATACAGCGCCATTCGGGAGTGGGTCGAGCGCAACGAACGGTACTCCGCGGACGTCGCCCGGTTCCGCTCCCTCAACCCCGAGCCGCAGGACGCGAGGCCAAGCGAACAGCTGACGCACCTCATGCAGTGCCTAATGAGCATCGTCCGTGAGAACGCGGGGGGCGACATCGACGCCGACCTGCAGATCGCGCTCGCTGTGCTGCTCAATACCAACGAGGTACGGCACCCGACCGGGTTTGCTTACGATACTTGCGCAACTGTACTGACCAACATTCGACGTTCTATTTGTAGGACTATGCCAAGGCTCGCGACTGCTTTATCACGGCACTGGCGGTGCGCCCAGAGGTGGGTATTGGCAGACTAGTTTGGGTTGTGCCATTAGAGTGGCTGATCAAATCCTCCGCGACACTAGGACTGGTTGCTTTACAACCGCGTTGGTGCGACACTCGCGAACAGCGGTCATCCCGAAGATGCTCTGCAGTACTACTACACTGCCCTTGAGCTCAACCCGGGGTACATCAGGGCAAGGTGGGTTGAAGATTTCCGATACGAAGTGTCCTTGGAGCGATGAGCTGATGCCGCATGATGCCCTGACATCTGTAGATTCAATCTCGGAATTTCATGCACGAACCTCAGGGTAAGAACAATTTTCTCGACGTCAGTGACCCCGAGGACGCTTGTTGACGCGCAAACCCCTTTTTTCCATGACTCCGCCACCTGTCGTCCTCCAGCGCTACGAGGAAGCGGCACAGCACACTCTCGATGCTCTGCTGTTGCAAGATGCAGACGGCGTGCGCGACGAAGGCACTGACGGCCGAGGCGTTACGTCCGGTACACTTTGGGACAGTCTGAAGACGTGCTGTTTACACATGCAACGGCTCGACCTGGCCACGCTCTGCGACCGCCGTGACCTCGAAGGTGCGTTCTGCATCCGCGTTTCTTCCGCGTTTCTAGTGGTTTCGACGGCTTTCTCACTGTCGTTCGATGTTCGATGGCTGATGCCCGACTGGTTTGTTATTGCAGCATTCCGGCTCAACTTCCAAATGCAGTGATTCCTGTAGCCCGGTCGCGGGAAGCCATCGATCACATCAGAGCTTTCACCATGAGCTGGAGCGTGGCGGTATTGGATATTTAGCGGTGGGGAACTCCGCTATATTTGCGCATATCGGTCGCTTTGCCATTTTTCTGTGTGGCTGACTCGCCGCTTGTGGGCAGTCTTTGAAATTCCACGTTTTCATGGCCGAGCAGCTCCGCGCACCTTGCCGCCCGGTGCCTAGGGGTTAGCAGTTTAAATTTTCAAATGCTCGGCGCCGTCCATTGTCACAATGGCGCGGCGCCTAGCGAGATCGCGGTGGTGGCGGCTTTAAATGTGGCATCGTGTCCCGACGGATGTGGCCAGCGGCACCTCTGTCTCATCAGTGCAGAATGGAGTAGCACGGGGCGCAGGCAAGCCGGTCCACCAGGATACCGCTCGGCCACTCAGCAGGGCCGAAAGAACTCGAGGCATCCACACTCAGTGCTCCCGAACTGCGACTCATGTTCGCTCTGAGGCGATTGGGCGACGTCAACGTCGGTGGATGCTTTTGGTCATGTGCATCTGAGGATGCCCCCGGGCCGGGTGGAAAGGAAAAGCCCGGTCTAGAACGCACTTTGAACATATCCCGGCGAGGAGCGGATAGCACAGGCCCTGGGCCGTCCTCGACCGCACCCGGGCGCTATCGACGGCCAGGCGCGGTACTGAGCGAGATCCGGGTCTGGGCGGCAGCTGGGGGACCTCGTAGGCTCTCCTACGCGTCGAGGTGCGGACAATCCTCGCGGGCTCTGCATCTCGTCCCCGCTGGCTCTGTCCTGTCGTCGTCTGAATCAGCATCTTGGTGTCTCACCTGCGTACCGCGTTGTTTGCTACCGATAGACGCGCCGGCTGGCCAAGACCCAGTCTCTGCTCCAGCCATCGACTCACGGACCTGCGTCCCGTTCTTCCATTTCCTCGAAGTATATATGCGCGCGTCACGGCGCTGGCGACGGGCCACACAACCAGCTAGCTCTCACATAACCATCTTACCACTACACATCTGCACAGCCCCGGCGCCTCCCAGATCTTCGCAATATGCCACAAGGCTCCACCACTCCCCTGACGACGCCGACTCTCGTCCTCGGCAACGGTGACAGGCTTCCCCAGGTGGGCATGGGCACCTGGAAGCATACCGGCGAGAAAGCTTCCGAGGCGGTCTACAACGGGCTCAAGGTCGGCTACCATCTCATCGACGGCGCATGCGGTGCGTAATTTGTCGATTTCCCGCTCCCACTCCCAAGGCTCGCGGGTCGTTGCGCGCTCGGGAGCGTCATGCGCATCCGCTCACGCGCCGGTGTGTCGCGACGCGACGCGGGAGCCCAAACGCCCTCGGCGCATGTCCGGGTGCGACGTTGGAGGTGTGTGTATCCGTCGGGCTGCGTGCGGCGTGTGCGTGCGGCGTCCGACGCTCGCGGCCCAGCGGAACGCATTCCGAGCCACACAGCGCAGCCTGCCCTGCAGTCGCCTGTCAGCGGTCTCCTCCCGCTCCGCCCCTCACCGGACAGGCCGGCCGCAGCGGTCCCGAACCTTTTGCTGACACCGGTCTCGCGCGGCGGGTGCTGACTCCCTTTTTTCCGCCCTCAATCAGACTACGGCAACGAGCGCGAGTGCGGCGAGGGTCTCCGGCGCGCGCTCGCAGACGGCGTCGTGCGGCGCGAGGACGTGTGGGTGGTCTCGAAGCTGTGGAACACGTTCCACGCGCGCGCGCACGTCCGCGAGGCCGTCGAGCGCTCCCTCAAGGACTGGGGCGTTGACTACTTTGACCTTTACTACGTCCACTTCCGTGAGTGCCCCTTCGGGCCCGGTGACCGATGGCCGATGTCTGACTTTTCCTCTCGGCGATACAGCGATATCTCTGGCGTACGTGTCCCACGAGGAGCGCTACCCCCCGGGGTGGTACATCGACGGCAAGAGCGAGGTGAAGCACGAAGCTATCCCGTTCCGCGAGACGTGGGAAGCCCTCGAGGAGCTCGTGGACGCCGGGCTCATCCGCCACCTCGGCGTGTCGAACATGTGCAGCGCGCTGCTCATGGACCTGCTCAAGTACGCCCGGATCAAGCCCTCGGTGCTCCAAATCGGTGCGTCTCGCACGCTGCCCTACGTCCGCAAACTCGGGCCCCCGCACCGCATGCTCACCGCACCCTTCTTCCTTCCTTATGTCGCTCAGAAATACACCCGTACAACGTCCAGCGCCGCGCGGTCGAGTACGCTCAGGCGCAGGGCCTCGCCGTGACCGCCTACTCCTCCTTCGGCCCCCTCGGCTTCCGCGTCTTCGGCGGCGCCAAGGCGCTCCACGCGCAGCCGCTGTTCACGCACCCCGCCGTGCGCGCGGTCGCCGCCGCGCACGCGGGGGCGAGCACGCCGCAGGTGCTCCTCCGCTGGGCGGCCCAGCGCGGGCTCGCGGTGATCCCGAAGTCGGACACGGACGCGATGCTCCGCGAGAACCTCGCGGGCGCCAGCGGCGCGGCGGGCTTCGAGCTGAGCGGCGCGGAGATGGACGCGATATCGGGCCTCGACTTGGGGCTGCGGTTCAACGACCCGGCGGATGTGAGTCTCACGCGCGCGCGCGTTTCCGGGTGGCGGCGTGCCGTGTGCTGACGGTGGACATTGCTCCCAGGACTTCGCGGGCTGCTACATCTTCTCGTGAACGTGAACGTGAACGTGAATCTGGGTCTGAGTTTGCGACCGGACCAGAAGGTCGAGGCGCTAGCAGGCGGCGCGTTATCGCCACCAAACTGTCGAAGTCTCTCCGTTGTAACACCACTGTACGGGCACTGGCTATCAGCCAGCTCTAATACGAAACGCGCTGGGCATCCGATATCTATTCCGTATACGCTTGCCTCCCGGTCCCCTCACATCACGTCACGCGATTCGCTCGCGTCAAAGCCCTGACAGAGTGTCCGAGCCAGGCGGAGGTCGGGGTGGGGCGGCCTCCAATGTCCATCCACAGGGCCTTCCTAAACGGGCGCTACACTGATTTGCGCCTGGCCCGGGTCGCCCGACGCACTCGGACAGGGACCCCGCAGCGCCCCTCTCGAACCATGTGCAGGGGGCTGTGCTATCATTTCCGGCTTTCGTCCTCGACGGTCAGACTCAGAGTCGCGGCGGTGATGACGAGGCCAAGCCGTGCGGCGCGTGCGGCGGCGGGTGAGTGCCAAAATACATCGAGACTCCGCAAGTAAGACCTTGCCACTGTGGTCGTCCGCTCGCTGATTGATCGGTGGCACACGATGCCCGCGGTCTGCCCAGAGGCCGGAACTGGACCATGCGGCGCTGATATGAGCAGTGGCAGACACTCTCGCCATTGTCGAACGTCGACGTAGGGGTGGCAGGAGGGCAGCCTTGGCGCGCACCCCGACCGGCCACAGCATGATGCACCTCGCGCTGACGCAGATGGCTGGCAGCGAACCCTCGGATGCGTGAGGTTCGAACGAGGCGCTCGTTCCTCGCGCCTCGGCCGAACGGGTGCTTTCTAGGCGTGGGTTGCCGGTGGTTGCCGGATGAGGGAGACGCGCGCTAGCGCGCTAAAGGCTATCGCCTCTCGTCTCCTCCCGCATCGCACCCACGCAGCTCAAAGCGCATATAGTCACTAGAAATACGAGAAAACGCTCAAAAATGGTCAACCAACCCAACACAAGCGGTTCTTACCACCCGCAAGGCGTGAAAAAGCCCGAAGCTCAAGCTTACGGCACCGGCAAAGCCTGGAAGGCTCCCCCTGGCGCCGGGCAATCGCTTAGCTTCTTCGGTGATCACACGCACGCATCGTCTATCACCACAGGCACGGTACCACGGGTCAGCATGGATCCCGCAACCGCGGAGGGCGAAGGTTCTGGCCGGCCGCGCGGCAGCGCAGGCGGCCCCGCACGTGGTGAGCGGATCGACGCCGAGAAAGGGGTAGACCGCGGAGATGGCGGAGCGCACATCGAGGAGATGGCCGACGAGGAGATGATCGACGAGGACGCTGGCCAAGAGGATGTCGATGACCAGGGAGACGCCGATGGTCAGACGGACATGGCAGTGGACGAGTACGGCGAGGACGAGTTGGACGATGACATGGCCGAGCCCATAGGCCCTCTCAAGGAGGGCGCGAATGAGGTGGAGGTGCAGGAGTGGAGCATCGCGCTCCTAATGGAGCAAGGCTATTCTCGGCCCCAGGCCGTGTCGATGTACATTGACCAGAAGGCCGAGGCCGAACAAGAGTACCTCGACAGGGAGCGAGCAAGGCTCATCGCAGAAAGGGAGCAGGCGGTGATGGACGAGCAAGAGCGGAAGAAGAGGAAGGCCGCGAGGGCGGAAGAGCGGGAGCGCCAGGCGCGCAAGGAGGCCGCGCACGAGGAGGCCGCACGTGAAGATGCCGCGCGCGAAGAGGCCGCGCGCGAGGCCGCACGCGAAGAGGCCGCACGCGAAGTTGCCGCGCGCGAGAGGTCCGCTCGTCAAAAGCGCGCCGGGGCGGCAAAGTCGAACACGAACAAGAAGGCCGTGGCGAAGGCTGCGGAAGTCATCCTGAAGACTTTACAGCGGCGCCTGCAGAAGGCTGCGTTGGCGAGCCCGACCAGCCCGCCCGGGGGGAGCCCCCCCCTTCAAGCAGCGGCTCGGAAGGGGGCGCCGATGCGGCTTTCGATGCCGATGAAGACGCGGAGTCCCTGGTCGGGGATGGAGACGAAGAAGACGACATCTTCTCGAAGAACCGCGCACCCGTGGACCCGCGCCTGAAGACCATGCTGCGGCACGGCTACTACATCCCGCTGTTGGCTATGACGAATGACGCGTTGCGCGGCCTGCGGACCGGAGCGTCGGCACGCAAGCTGATCAAGTCGGAAGCCCTACACGGCGAGAAGAAACACCACATCCTCGACATCTCGACCTTCCCGGACGAGCGTCTGATGCTGAGCGCCGACTGGGAGGAAGCCTGGCGCAACATGCTCGACGGCTGTATGGAGGGAGTCGTGAAGCCAGCGGTCATCGCGCGTTGGCGCGAGCACGTGGAGTACATCAAAAACGAGGCCGACTTCAAGGTCTCGTTCCCCGCGCTTCGGGCATTCGACATGGAACTGCGCTACACCTGGTTCACAGAGGCCCCCGGGAAGAAATCAGCCTTCTTCGTCGGCAGCCAGACGTACGTGAAGGCAATGATGCTCGCGCGTCACCAGTACACGAGCTTCGGCGTCGGCACACACCCAACCGGAGGACGCACAGCCCCTTCGGACTTGCGCGGACAGCGGAACGGGGGCAGGTACTCGGGCGGCGGGAGCGGCTACAATGGCGGAGGCTACCCGGGCGGCCAAGCCGGCAGCGGTTACACTGGCGGCAACTCTGGCAGCAATCAGGCTGGTGGCAGCTCCGGTGGGAACGCCAACGGGAGCGGCTCGGGGGGCGGACACCCTGGGGGCTCAGGCGGGAAGGACAAGCAGCGGCCCTTTCAGCAAGGCAGGCAGCCTTTCGGCCGCGGGATGTTCTGCCTCAACTGCAACAGGGACGGCCACCGAGCGAGCAAGTGCAACTCGCAATTCAGCGCTGCCGGCAAACCCGCCTTCATCTACGGAAAGGGCATCAAACTGTTCACACGCGACGGGAACCACGAGATCTGTTCCGCCTGGAACGTGGGCGGAATTCTCCCTTGCAAGTCGACTTGGTGCCCGAACACGCACGACTGCCACCGGTGCACCTTCTGTGGTAGTCCCGACCATCCCGCAACGCAATTCGTGTGCACCCGTGCGTGAGCGCGTCACGTCGCCCTACGATCCGGACGCTTGGGAGTCGGCGCTGGACGAGCTTGGCATCAGACACAAGCACCCTTTCTTGGCGCGCTGGATGCGCGAAGGCTTCCCTCTTGGCGACATGTCCCCCATCCTGCACACGACTGTTCATGACAACTACCCGGGGGCCGAGACACACGCAGACTTTATCGAAAATTACATCAAGGGGGAGCGCGAAATCGGGCGCATGTCCGGCCCGTACACGCGCGAGGAAGTGGAGGAGATCTTGCAGGGACCGTTCATCTCGTCCCCGCTTTCCGTGGTTCCGAAAGCCAACGGCAAGCTGCGCTTGATCCAAGACTGTTCGAAGGAGGACGAGTACGGCCTGTCGGTCAACGGGAGGATAGACTCTGACCTGTTCCCCACGGTCTGGGGCTCAGCGGTGCACCTCGCAGACTCGGTGAGCACAACTTTCCTTATGGGGCCTCCGCAGATGCGCGCCCGAGGTCATGGCGCAGTCGCGCGGGGTGGGGGCTCAGGAAGCGCAGAGAGCGCGAGCCAGGCGTGGAGAGCGCAGGTCGGGCGCGAGGAGCGCGAGTCGGGCGCGAGGAGCGCGAGTCGAGCGCGGGACGAGCGCGGGAGCGCGGGACGAGCGCGGGGAGCGCGGGGCAGGCGCGGGGAGCGCGGGGCAGGCGCGGGGAGCGCGAGGCAGGCGCGGGGAGCGCGAGGCAGACGCGAGGAGCGCGAGGCGGATGCGAGGAGCGCGAGGCGGATGCGGGGAGCGCAAGGCAGGAGCGCGAGCGCGAGAGCGAGAACCAGGCGCGAGAGCATGAGTCGGGCACGAGAGCGCAAGTCGGGCGCGGGAGCATGATTCAAACCCGAGAGCCAGAAGGCTAACCAAACGACGTGACTAGATCATCGCGGCACCGCCGGGGACTCAGGGGGCGACGATGGACATCGAGTCGGCTTTCAGAAACATACCAGTATACCCTGGCCACAAAGCGTACATCGTCATTCAAGGGCGGAAGGGCAAGTACGAGATCGACCATGGGGTCCCATTCGGTGTCTCGTCAGGCACAGGCGAGCAAGGGAAAGTGATGGACGCAGTCGTGGACGTCATCGAGGCCGTGGGGATGGGCCGGAACCACAAGTGGGTGGACGACCTCGCCAATCTGCGCTACCCACTCCAGGAGATCGCGCCAGGCGTCTACAAGTACGGGCACGACATCATGGACATCATCGAGCTTACAGCCCGGCTCGGGGTGCGGTGGAGCGCGCCGAAATGCTTCCCCCACGGCGACATAATCGACTACACGGGTTTCCGCTGGTGGATCGCGGCGAAGCGCGTCGGCCTCTCCGACGAGAAGCGGGCCAAGTACCTCGCCAAGACAGAGGCGACGAGGGCGCTCGTTTGCGAGAAGAAGGCGCGCCTCCGCTTCAAGGACGCGCAGAGTCTCCTGGGCACGCTTCAACTCATCACCTTCGTCTACGTGACGGGCCGCTCGCGTTTGCCCAGCCTACAGGCCTTTATCGCGAAGTTCGGGGCCAACCCGCGTCCGGAGGCCGAGCGCTACCCGCAGAAGTCGGTAGTCACCGACATCAAGTGGTGGACCGAGACTCTGGGACGCGAGGGCATCACGCGCCAGCTCGTTGCGCGCGGCCCGCCCGTGGACTTCGGCATCTGGGTGGACGCGTCCTCAGAGTGGGGCGTGGGACTCGTCGCGGAGGGCGCGGAGGCCGCCTGGCGGTGGAGGGTCCCCCTGGCGGAGTGGCGAACTGCGGGAAGGGACATCGGCTGGGCGGAAGCGGTGGCAATCGAGCTCGCGGTGCTATGGCTGGAGGGGAAGGACGTGAGGGACGCCAACGCGTGGATCCGGAGCGACAATCAAGGGGTCATCGGCGCCATCGAGAACGGCAAGAGCAGGAACTTTCAGGTGAATCTAGTGATCCAGAGGATCGAAGCGGTCTGCATGGCCAGGAACGTGACGCTCCGGCTGGAGTACGTGGACACGAAAATCAACCTCGCAGATCCGGTGTCTCGCGGCGCCTGGACCGGCAACCCGACCTTCAAACCGAGCTTCGCGCTCCCGCCCGAGTTGGCGCTCTTCCTCGTGCCACATGCCTAAGACGGCGCGAGTCAAAAACGCGCCCGCGCGTGCGGGCGCGCCCGGCAAGGGGAGGGACGCGGACACGCGTGGCGTCGGAACCAGCGCGCACGCCCCCTCACCGCGAGCCCAGACCGGGCGAACTCCGAGAAAACCGAGAGCCGAAAACGAACTAAGACCATCCCCCTACCGACCTTTCGTACGAGCAGATGACCGATTAGCCTTGTGGACCGCACCGAACGCGATAGCTTCGCGGCAGAACCTATTGGGGATTGTACCGCAGAAAGACATCGAAAAAGTATTCATGCTAGTGTTGAATCGACTGGAGCCCGCGACACGGAAATGCTACGGAGCCGGCCTGCTGAGGTACCATCAATACTGCGACGACCGCGAGATAGCCGAAGACGCGCGTTTCCCAGCATCAGACATCTTGATGGCCTGTTTCGTCGCGAGTCACGCGGGTCAGAAGTCCCGGTCTACCATCGACAACTGGGTTGCGGGGATCGGGTACTGGCACACCATGAACGGCGCGACCTGGAAATACACCGACATGCGGCTGTTGAAGGCAGTATGCGAGGGGGCAACAAAATGCGCGCCCCGGGGAAAGGACCCGCGGCCACCGGTTACCGTCGCGCACATGCAAGCGCTGCTCCGGCGGCTGGACCTGACTGACACGTTCGACGCCGCGGTCCTGGCAGTGGCGAGCTGCGCGTTCTGGGGGTGCAGACGGTAAGCGCAGACGACGCGCGAAGATCGCGGGCTAACACACACACACAGGCTAGGAGAGCTGACCATTCCGTCAGCGGGAGCATTCCGCGCGGACAGGCACGTCGCGCGCGGGGTGGCAGTCAAGCGAGGCACAGCCACGACAGGTGGCGCCTTCGCGTCTTTCCACATTCCGTGGACGAAGTCAACCAAGCGGCAAGGGGCGGACGTCATCCTTCGGGAGACTGATGTAGAGCCATCACCAGTGAAGGCGCTCACGCACCACCTCCACCTCAACAGCGCAGTGCCGACGGACGCCCCACTCTTCGCGTTTGAGACCCCCGGGGGGACCTGGGCACCAATGACGCGCGACTGGTTCTTAGCGAGATGCCAAGCCGCTTGGAGAGACGAGGGCCTCCCGCCTCTGACCGGGCACTGCTTCCGGATCGGCGGCACGACGGAGTGGCTCATGAGGGGGACAAATCCGGACATTGTGGCGGCGCTGGGCAGCTGGCAGTCGCGCGCTTTCCTCAAGTATTGGCGTAGTATCGACTCTCGAGTGCATTGTACCACTATTCCTGTCCCAGGCGTCGAACTCGGCGAGGGTACTAACAGCGGCAGACTCCATGAAAAAGTGGACTAAGGCCAAAAAACTGTAATTCATACTGTCACGCTCACTGTTTGGGTGAGCCGCGGCTCGGTTTCCGCGACTGTTGGTGTTCGCGTTGGGTTAGTCGCGGCATCCCTCGCGCGGGCGGGAGCGTATCCGTGGGAAGCGGATCGATTGGTTGCAATCGAGCGGGGGTGGGAAGGACCGGGAGGGATCGCGACTCACACTCGCGTTCTGCCCAGCATCGGGCCCGACCTTCCCGGACGGGCGCTCCGCTTTTCCCTCCCGCAGACCAAGACCGAACACGTGGGGCGCTACAGTGACCAGAGCGCCCCTCGGCCATCGTTTCCCCTCACTGCCGGCTTGCCACAAGGTTCCCACCACGCAACTAGGAAGCTCTCCTGGGTGTCGTTCTCTGCTCGTTTCGTCTGGGGTCTCAGACCCGGAGCGGGTGAGCAGGTCCCTCTCGCTGATGCGCCGTCGCGCCGAGCGAACGCAGACCACACATTTGATCAGCGAACCACTCGCATCCGGGACGTGTTCCCGGATCAAGCCCGACCACACGCAAGTGTACTATTTGCGATTGACTGGATTCCGAGCGGGACTGGGCGAGTCGATCTGGATCGCGCATGCTCGCCGTCCCGGGCCGGCCAAGCGCGCGATGACTTGACCGTCGTTCGAGCCAAGTTCCGCGCGCTGGCCGCGCCCACAAGCCTGAGCGAACAACTCGAACCAACCATCCCCAACCCTCCCCGTGCGCCCGGACGACCGTGCTCGCGGGAGCAGGGTCCGAACGCTGCGCTCGATCGTGCCAAGCAAGGCCAGCCAGTCGACGAGTGCCGGCGGTGGCAGCCCCGCCGCGGCCGATTGTGTGCAAGTAAGGCCACAACACCGCCCGCCGCCCGACGATGCCGCAGACCCGAGGTGGTGCAGGAACGTCCGCGGGCGGCGTGGTTTGACGGCGCGCGCGCGGCGCGGTCTACCACTGCCCGCCCATGGCACGCCTACTTACTGTTCCTGGAGCAAAACGTGCGGGCGCACGCACGACGGGGCGTCGACCGGGGGATCCGGGGGCGTCGCGCTCGCGGAGACTGCGTCCAGGATTCCTGATTCCTGATTCCGTGTTTCTGGAACGCGAGCCGCCGATCATGCACGTCCGATCGTCCGCCTCGTCGTGCGGGTATTTTCGTATGTGCGGTCGCTCGAACCGTCCTGTGGTTTCGATGGTCCGCCCGTCGCATTCCGGAGGAAGCTCCCCTGCTTCCTTCCGCCCCTCTCTTTCTGTGACCACCGCGCGCGCACGCGCGAGCCTCTTCCGTTCCACTCGCACGCGACGGCTTCGCACGGCGACCTCAGGATCCCGCCCAGGGTGGCGTTCGGCCACGCCGACCAGTGAACGCCGCTCTTAGCGACCGGCCGCGGTTTTCTGCGGTGCGCGAAGAAGAGGGTGCGCCGCGTCATATCCGCTTACGCCGCGGCCTTGGGCGTAAAAGCGATCGCACAATCTAACAGATCTCCAAGCGACAGACGAGCTGCGACACGCAGATTGCAAATCGCCGCAGACGAATCGTCCGCGTCAGCCAGCGCCCCCGCGCGAGTTCGATCGCAGATCTGAATCCTTCGCTGAACATCTAGCTAAGTGCGTGGTGAGCTGTGCTCGACACGTTCGGACGCGCCCGGCATGACGCCACGCGTTGCGCGAGCGGCGAAAATGGTAGCATACAAATGTCAAATCGGAGCCCGGACTTCCGGCGATATAATCCAATACTGGCTCCGAGAATACGCTCCTGGCAGGCACGGTGGCCGGGCGGGAGAGCGCAATGTCCAGAGTCCAGACGTCCAGGGAGGGGGGACGAGAGCTTTTCTCGAAGGGGTCGGGCGCAGCTGCCGCCGCTGTCCGGGGTCGGGCCTTCACCACGCCCCACGCTCCGCCGGACGAAATATGGCGCAGCAGCAGAGGACCCCCGACATCTCCCTCAGATGCCTGATCCCAATTTTCGAAAAAGCGCCAAAAATGTCCTTGGGGATCAGGCCTCCCGGCGACCCCGTTTTGGTCGGACGGCCGCAGGCCTCGGCCGTCCAGAGGCTGATTTAGTCGGATTTTCGGAACAGGCCTCCGGAGGGCCTCAAAATGTCCGGATTCCGCTCGAACAGGCCTCTGGAAGGCGATTTTTTTGTCCAGGAGACCTCGGGGCTTCTCAGAGCACGAGGAGAGACATTTAAGAGTTGTAGCAACTTGTGAATACAGGAGATCATTGACGAGAACATAGGGGCATAGACTCGCAGTGGCTACTGTAGCCTAAGCGCCCTCGTCCTCCCCCCACGCACTTCTCCTCTCGCCTCTTTACAGGACCTCCCATGGTTCCTCTACGTTGACCCCTCGCCCTCGCCCTCGCCCTCGCCCTCGCCCTCGCCGACGCTCGCCCTCGCCGCGCTCATGACCGCGCTTCATGCACACCTGCACACGCCGATCGCCGCGGACGACTACAACGCCTCCGCGCGGGTGTGTGTCGCGAGCGCGTGCGGCGTGCGCGGCGGCGAGTGATGATGCAGATGGCGCGCGTGCCCAGGACCCGGAGGGCGTGCTCGACATCTGTCGGACCGACGACCTGACGGACCGCAGGATGCTGTGGGGGCTGTGGAAGGTCTCGAGCGGGGAGGGCGAGGAGGCAGGTGAGGGCGTTGGGGGGACGCGGGTTCTGGGAGGTCTTCGTTGATGGCCCTTAGGGCGCGCACGTCATCACATTGAATGCACAGGTCTTGACGGTTAGGTTACTCGATAGTCCAGCATGCGGGTGAGAGGGTTGGGAGAGCATGGCCCATGGCACCTGTACGCATCGAGAGACCCTTGCCCGCCGACCTGCCCGGGTCACCTGCGCCCGTGGCGATCCCTAATCGTCCTCTCGATCTACCCGCGCTTTCTGGGTCCTCGGCCAACTTTCGAGCCGTCGTCCGTGCCCTCGCGTTCTCGTTCTCGCCCCGGATCTGAGCCAGGGTGGACCAAACGAAATCTGTGGCATCTGCACCTGGCGCGCGGTCAAACGGACGGCCCGTCGATTCCCGGAAGCACACTGTGGGGAGATTAAACTGTATTAGGTCTTGAAGAAGTATGCTGCCTCTGGCGGAGTCTGAGTTCAGCTCGCTTTCTGTATTTACTTGCGGGCAGTAGAATATCATTATAAACAGTTCAGTCGATGCAGCGTTCTTACGCGCGCACCGGCGACTCACATAAGGTGGCTGCCATTGGTCGCGCAGTCAGTCGCCCACTCCAACTGCCCTCCGGGGACCGCCCAAAGCCGCCCGACCGTCCGTTGAGGATCAGGCATTTGAGGAGCCCCCGCCCTAATGGTCGGATGATGGCTCAGGCATCGGCCGGTCGATACCCTGGAAAATGTCCGACAAGGCCTAAGCGCCTACAGGCATCGAGCCCGCGAAATCGCCATCAATGTCCGGATTCGGCTCAGGCATTTAGGTGAGATGTCGGGGGTCCTAGCAGCAGCGATCGAGAGCGAGGGATCCCCACCCGCTGCCTGCGCGCGAGAACGCACTGCCGCGGGAAAAGCGTGCTGGCGCCGCGCTAGGCCGTCCGCACACCACCCTGCCCACCGCGTCACGTCTGGGAGACTGCGGCGCCGTCGACCAGCGCGTCCGGCGCCGCTGGAAGCCAGCGACTCCGGGCCCGCTGGGCGCTGCTGGGCGCCGGTGCATGGAAACACGCAGGGACGAGAGGCGACGGCGAGAGTTCGATCTGCCGTGCGAGAGTCGTGTGCTGCGGCCCAGATGCACGGCGACGGTGTGCGCGTCCTGCGCCAGGGAACCGGGACGTCGAAGCCCGGCGTTCCCAAGAGAGGCCGTCGAGAGACCGGGCGCGACGACTTCGCGGAGTGTGTGCTACCCGACGCTGCCCGTACGCTCGGTGGGCCAGCGTCGATGCTGTCAGGGACGCGAGCGACTCGCGCACTCCGTCGACGGAGCCACGGCGACGTTCGTGTCGGGCCGTCATGATGCATGATCAGCAGGTCACGATATCTTCAGCTGCGTTCAGCTACGACCGTCATCCATCCGTCGACTGCACCCCAAAACCCGGACTCAGCGGTCATCGATGTCATCAGCCTTCGCGCTCGCTCCGACCGTGGGCTCGCAGCAGCGTCCGCGCGCGGCATCGCACGGACTCGCGGTGCGCCGGGACACCCCCCGAGATGCGTGCACCCCACCCCCCAGGCGCGACGCCCGCTCCCGAACGTCCCCCGCAGAACGCCCAGAGGAAGGGCGACGACGTGCGACGCCCGCGCACTACCGTTCTTCCTGTACGTCCGTCCGCCCACCCCCGCCGGTCTGTCCACCCCCCTCCGCGGATCCACACTTCGCTGCGCGCGCCTGTCGCGTCGACGAAGCCGCGCCCGCGGGGGATGCCCGTCCGAAGCCGAGGCCGCGGTCAGACCCTAAGGTTCTGCGTCCACCCGCCCACACGCGCGCACGTCGAGAGCGCGCGACGCCTGTCGCCGCCGCGCCCGAGAGAGGGCACAGCGTGTCGGAGGAAGGGGAGGACGAAGTTGGCGCGCCCGAGGGCAGTACTAGCGCCGGGCAGTCGAAATCGGGCGGGGCCAAATTGAAGTTCGCCGCGCGGCCATCGCCGTCCGATGTGTGGGCGTTCGAGGTGGGCCCGGGCGCAGTGGGCTGCGCGCCGTGGCGGTGGAAACGCGGGGTCGGGGCTCGGGGCTCGTGGCTCGTGGCTCGGGGGGCTCGGCGCGGCAGACAAGCATCTGCGATTGCGTGGGCGTGGACCGTCTGCACGAGAGACGAGCCTCGGACGGAAGGAGGGGGGGACCGAGCGTGGCACCGTCTCGAGCGTCCGACGCACTCACGCCCCCGCTTCCACCGCAAGCGGCGTGCGGGCGTGTCGTGCGGGGGCTCGTGGGTGCGGCAGTGGGCGGGCGCATCGGCGGCATGTTATCGGGGGCGCTCGAGCCCGCACACCGCTTCGAGCTCGCGTTCACAGAGTGTGTAGGCGTCGTGGCGTCGCGCTGGGAACGGCCGCGCCCGCAGGTGGTGGCGAGCGGGTGGGCACCGAGGGCGTCGTTGCTGGCGGCCAGGTGGCCGCCCAGCGTGGCAGGGTGGGCCTTGTTCCGGGAGGAGGACGCCTGGCGACAAGCTCGAAGTTTGAGGCGTGAAAGGAACGGAGGCAGGGCGGCGTGTCCGCGGCAGGTTTGGAAGGACGGCCTTCTGAGCGAGCGTGGCACTGAGTGTCTGAGAAAGAGAGAAATGGATTCCCGACCGACCGGGGTTTCCTGGGTCCCCGAACCGTCCGCCGCCGCACCGTGCTGGGCCCGTTCGAGGACGCGTGCAGCGTGCCGCCGTGCCGATGCACGCAGTGGCGTGCCAGACTCCGAGCCCGCCTTCCTCCACCCCGTGCTCGTCCACACTGCGTGTCGAGCATGGGGCAAAAAACTGGCATCCGACCGTCGAAGCGCAGCCGGGCGTACGTGGCTTGGCTGCCTGCGAGCCTCTCCGTACGAAACCATGACCGCTGCATGCGCGCGGACGCAGATTGGAAGCCTGCTCGGCCAGCGGCGGCCGCAGCGACGTGTGTGTCCTTGTTGCCACTGACCCGCCGCCGCCGCCGCCATGTCTTGCACGTGGTGGACTCGCCGAGTGCGTCGGGTGCGAGGGCTTTGAAGACTTCAGAGCCGCTGGGATTTCAGACTAGTCGTCCGCGTCCCTCGCTTGAGCCTGTGGCGGTTCCGGTGTCTTTTTGCGACCCCGCACGGAGGGCAATGCGTGGTGTCTCTGACGCCCATCGAGGTAAGTAAGGAAAGGCTAAATCGACGAGCTGTGCTGGCACGCACCCCGCACCATCCCGTCGTCGATGCTTAATAACCGACGTCGCCGCCGTCGTGTCGCAGGTGCGAGAGGGACTTCTAACCAACGCGGTTGACGATCGTTGGTTTGATGCGGCTCGAAGTTGGTGTCCACTTCATATGGACGGATGCTGTCGGGGACGGCCCACCGGGTCGCCGCCGCGTGGGGCGGCAACGAGGAAACGACCGGGGGCTCGGACGCCGGATTGAGGAGCGGGGAGGAAGGATGGAAAGCTGACCCTGCAGGAGCGCCCGCGCCCGGCCTTCGATCTCGTCATCTCGGGCTCGATTGTGGAGCCCGAGCCGTGCCTGCCCGTGGACGGGCGCTGTCCACGCGGGACGTCGAGCGGCGAGTGGAGCGGCAGACCGACGCGCGGCGCCCGACCGCTGGCGGTGGCGGCAGCAGCCAGCTGAGCAGCCCAGGCCCCGCACGCGTCATGCGACCCACTGCACGCAGCACAGCTCCGCCCGGCCCACGCGCAGCGCCCGGCGCCCCGCACGCGCGACACCGCCATCCGACGAGTGCTGTGCTCCGACGAGCACGATCTACTGGCCTGCGTTTGCTGTACAAGTGCGACTCGCCCCGGCTCGAACCACGCACACGCTGCTGGCACCCCGCGCGCGCGTGTGTCCCCACCTGCCAGACAGACTCCGGTGCGCTCGTTCGCTCGCCCGACGCGGCGGCCTTGGCCCGCCCCGCGCGGCGACAGACCGGCGCGCGCGGGCGTTCGCCGCCAGCAGGAACACCCAGGATGAAATTTCCGAAATGTCGAACGCGGATTGGCGTCCCGGGCGCGGGCGGCGGTCGGCGTGTGGCCGACGTCGGCGGGCGACGCCCGCCGAAACGCAGATCCTCGGCCTGCCATCCGTGCTCACCGACTCGCGAGACACGTCCCATACGCGGGCCCGACGCGCCGCCGCGGGCTGTTGGGTGCTGCAGTGGCCAAAACGTCGGGCGACCGGGGTTCTATCCACGGAACCACCGCCGCGTATTATACATATCCCCGGCCGCGCGCGCGCTCCATCGCGCGTACGCGGGAAGCGAGGAGGAGCGCACTAGGAACCGGTTACCGAGCCACACGCACGCCCCGCGCACGGCGTGCGTACTTGGCTCCGAGTCACGCCGCGCGCGCGGACGTCTCCAACCCCATCCGGGTCCAGATCCGAGTGCGAATCGGAATCCCAGCAGCTATAGCAGCCAGGTGCGTCGTCCCCCGCGGCCTGCGCACGCTGATGAGCTCGCACGCGGCCCCGCCCCCGCCCCGCCCCCAACCGCCGTCAAAGCCCGCTCTCGTCAGCTCCGGGCCCACTCTGAGCTCGCGCACGAGAACGCGAGCTCGGGATGCGACGCCGAGAGTACTTGCGGACGCGCGCGCCCCGGCCGGTCGGCACAGCCGCCGCGCACCCAGGGCCTGGGCGAGAGAAGCCGTTGCGCACTATCGTCCTTCGCTCCCCCACGAACCGTAACGCGACAGAACGAATCCCAGGGGCCAAGTCCATCGCGGTGCGCAGCTTCGGACGCGGGCTTCTGGCGAGGGAAGCCGCCCGCGCGCGCACCAAAGAGTACATCCGGAAGGCACGCGCGGTGGCAGTCCGGGCGAACGACGGACGTCGGGTGCTCGATCGCGGGGGTGCGACGGGCGGACGCCACGGGTGGAAAGCGACGAGGAGCATTAGACTATTAATTTAGGTACGGATGCGTGCTGCGGCGGTACATGTACATGATGGGTGGACGACGGACGGAGCTGGTTGCGATCAGGCGAGCGAGAGCAGAGCAGACCCGGGCGGCCGGGTATCAGACAGGACATGCTGCGGACGGGACGGTGGACGGACTGGGGCACGGGTGCGCGGCGGGGGCGAGAGAGGAGAGAAGGAGGAGAGGGACAGACGGCACAAGATAACATGGAAGACAGCGCGCGCGCCATCGCACGACAGATCCCCCCCGAACCGAGACCGCACCGAGAGTGAGACCCGCGCCTGGCCGCCACATCTCCACCCGCCGTCACCCCTTGTCGTCGTCTAGTCTGTGGCCATCCCCCTTTTCCGACAGAGGGGCACGGCGGCGGGGCGCGGGGTCTTTGTGCGGCGGGAGCACGCCATCGAGCAGTGGCAGACGCGGGCGGCCGGTGTCGAGGCGGAATGGCAGGGAAGCATCACCTCGTCGAGGTGCGCGTCGGCGACCGGCGCGAGGGCCGGTCCGTCGAGCGTTCGGTCGAATTGCTCCCATTCTCCCACTCCTCCTCTTGCGGGCTCATCCGGTTCGCGATGTTCGCCGCCTCCGTCGCGTGGCGGCACTCGGCCCCTCCGTCGGAGCGCACTGCGAGCAGTCGAGTCAGCGGAAATCCATCGAGACAAAGCCCGATCGGGGGTGCGAACGTACGGTGACGCTGTGGGAAGGGGGCGCGACTGGGATCAGCGGGCGAGCGACTGGGCGGATCGAGGTAGACTCACGTTCAGGGCGTCCAGCCGGCTGAACGTCTTCCCACATCCCTGGCAGACGTTCGACTGCGACCTGGACGTGTGCAGCGCTTGGTGGCGCCTGGCGTTTATCCACAGGCGCGCGTGCGGAGAGGAAGCGGAGGGGGAGCGATCAGCGATGAGAGCGGTGCTCTTTTTCCCCAGTGGCGCGGCACTCACTTGCAGTCGTGTTGGCGCGCGAAGCCCTTGTTGCACCCCGGCCACTCGCACAGGAACGGCCGTTCCGCGGTATGCGAACGGAGGTGGCCTGCGTGACCGGAGACGAAGAGCGCGGGCGCGGAGATGGCGACGCGGAGCAGAAGCAGGCCAGGAATGAGCCAAAGAACGCCTGCCCGCGCCCGCCGAGGCGCGAATGCGGCAAAACGGACGCACCTCTCAGGTTGAACCGTCTCGTGAAAGTGCTGCCGCAGCCGGGAACGGGGCACACAAAGTTCGCCTCGTTGCGCCGCCGGCTCGCGCTCGCCGCCTGCGTCGCGCTCGTCGTCACCTGCTGCTTCTCCACCTGCATGATCGGGGGCAGGCGGGGCACCGAGCCTCCGCCCGCGAACGCCGAGCTCGCGATCAGCGAGGATGACCGCCCGCGAGTGGCGGGCGCGGTCGCGGGCGTGATCGAGGGCAGTTGCTGCGCCTGGGCGTAGAGCAAGGCCGCCTGCGGCGCGCGCTGCGAGTCGTCTCCGGGGCGCCGGGCAGACGAAGGCGGAGAGGGGGAGAACTGGGCGTGCTGCATCGACGAACCGACGAGTGAGGATGGAGGCGGGAGGCCACCCGGGGGCACGCCCCAGTTGACGGCGTGTGTGCGGAACTGGGGACTGGGCGGGTTGTGGTAGCCCGAGCGGCTTGTAGAAGGCTGGCCGGATGTCGGGGGCTGGTTGGAGTAGTAGCTGCCGTGCGGAGAGCGATCGTGAGGGTCGGCGGCTTGATCGGGGTGGGGATGGGAGTGGTGAGGCGCGTTTGGGGGGTGGTCGGGGGAGGGCATGAGGGGGTTGTATTCCGCGGGGGCATACTGATAAGGATGGAGGGCGCGGAAGGGGGCGTGGAGGATGGCATGGGGGGCAGACGGTAGGAGGCGTCTACTTGCATGACCTTATAATCGGGGGGCTGATGGCGGGCAGGAGAGCAGGGGAGATTGAGATGGGCGTGGGACGGATGCGGACTGGGCGGCTGACCTGATGGGGAGGACGGGGCGGGGAGGGGGCGGAGGAGGCGGAGGACGTCGGGGACGCAGACGCGAGGGCGGGCAAGCAGGGAAAAGGGAAAAAATGGGAGCCTTTATAGAAACATAACCCGACAGGAGACACTTGCCCAAGCGCAGATGTGTCATGGCCCGATCTCGATCCCACCTTGATCTCACCGTACCGCCACGACAGACTCTGTTTCGCGTCATTTGGCCCCCCTCGCACTCCCCGGGGTCCCCCCTGCGCGCCTCCCCGACTCCCGCTCCCCCCCTTGCCGCCTGCCCACGAGCCTCTCCCGTGAGACCGCGCCCGGCTCGATTTCACTCTCTGCCTCCGCGCCTCCACAGATACCCTCCGCAAGCACCCCGGCGTCGCGCTTGATCGTCGCCCGGTTTTTTCACGATGTGCCACACCTGGCTCCCCCGAGGGCGCGCGCAGATCCACACGATCGGGTGTCCTTGTGCCCTTGGCTGCTTCCCGAGTAGACTACCGCACCGCTCTGCTCGCGCGCTACCCACAAAGCAGCACAGCTTTCTTGCACGGCAGTCGCCCAAGCAGATTGCAGCTGCCGTGTTCCCGTCTGCCCCGTCTCCCCTTGACGACTCTCGTGAACCCTCGTCCCTTCAAAGCTTCATCAGCGAGTCGTAAGTGCACACATCCACGGGGCCCGGCTCCCCGAACCGGTTCCTATTTCGGGCACGGCATCGCGCTAGCTGCACTCACTAATCCGCGTCTCTGGATCGGTCGAAGCGCGTCCCCCTCTGCCAGCCCCCAACCCCGCACGTCCTCGCTCGTTCCGCCGATTGAAGCCGACTGACCGCCGATCCAGTCGATGGCAGGAATACGTCTTCGATGCGCGTACTCTAGTCCACGTCGTCCGTGCACGCCCCGCGTCACGATCAGCGAGACGTGTCGAATGGGCAGAGCGGGCGCCACTGCACACGACCCCGGCGCCTCCCGTAGACGAACGTCGCTATGTGTCGGCGTAGACGACTCGCATGGAACATCCCAGCCCCGCCCGGCCATAGATTGCAAGTCCAACGTCCACGTCCAAGTCCAAATGTTCAACGCTGCCCACGCCGATCCCGATCGCCCCTTCGCACAGGCATGCCCAGGCTCCCCGCGGCCGGCGCACGCGTCCACCGTTGTGCAGGCGCAGCTGGGCAGGCCGCGCGCGCGCCGTATGCTGGCAGCGCACCCACGGGCGGACGGATCAGCCACAGGGCGTCCGCGTCGCTCGCGCGTCCGATCGAGTGCCCGGTGACGTCCTCTCTTTTAAATCTCTCCCTCCGTCTTCCCTCCCATTTCGGGCCACGCTCTCTCGCGCGTCACCGACCGCCAGAACTTTCAGCGCAGATCGCAGGCGGGCTGACGTGTCCGGCTCGAACCAACCTCGTCGGTCGCCGAGACGGACTCACCTCCGAAGAGTTCGGTCTCAACCCCTGTACATGCCGGTGCGCTCACACCCAACATTCCCCTTCGTCCTCCGACCGCGCGTGATTCGCGCCCACGTCCATCCTCCTCTTGCCCCTCCACCGCCCACAGCCTCCATCCCCGCCGATCTGCGCCGCACCCGCACCGGGCGCGCACACCGAGCGGATCGCGCTGTGGCTATAGATATCGTATAGATACAATACATGATCATGACTCCGCCCCGCACACACACGGTGCCCCCCTTCGAATTCGTCTGCTGGCGTGATCAACAAAACTTCCCCCGGTGCCCACGCCCATATCCAATCCTCCCTTCCGACGCCCGTCCGAGCAATACCAAATTCCAAGCCGTAAGCCGTCTCCGCCCGCTCGCGTCTCGTGCCGTGGTGCGAACGCGGCCGGGGGGAGGTGGTCGCCGTACGCGGATGTGGACTCCCGGACTCCGGGGCCACCCCATCCTTCCTCTCATGTCGGGCGCCCGACGCGCGACAGCGCGCTCGAGGGGCCTCGCGCTTCTCGGGTACGCCGGGACAGCCCCTACCTCCCCGGTGGGACGGCGGGTAAGGCCACGAGCGCGCGGCGTAGCGTTCGGCATGGGAACGCGACGCCGGGAAGGAGGACAAACGTGGATTCGGGACGCCGGGAGGGATGGATCATGGACGGATGGACGGTGACGGCAGGGGAGAGAGGAAGGAGCTGTAACTCGAGGTACCGGGCGCCAGGCCGGGGCGAGAGGACGAAGGTTGGGAACTACCTGACCGGATCCTACGAGACGAGGTGCGCGTCGAGCAGCCGGCGCCGGCGCATGAGCTCCACCTCGCTGATCGTCTGCCCGCCGCGGCCCTGGGTGCCGGGCATGCTCGTCGACCGCTTTGTGCTCAGCGCGTCGAGGAAGCCGCCCATCTGCGGCGGCTGCGGCGTGCTTGCGTCGGCGTGCGCAATCGCATGCGCCCCGCTCGCCGCGACTGCCGTCTGGGTGTGTGTCTTGGACGACTCCGACGGCCGCCGCGCGGGGTCGACAGGCAGTCGTCGTAGCGTCCCCGACGAGGAGTCTGACGCGCGCCGGTGCGCCTCGAACGAACCTGGGGGCGAGCGGCGCCTGGGCGAGAACGAGAGCACCTCGTCCGTGTCAAGCTCCGTCTCCGACGTCGCCGCCGACGTGAACCCATCCGTCGCGTCCGGGGTCGACGTCGAATGTGACGACGTCCTGGACGAGTCTCCGTTGGCGCGCGGCGGGCTCGCGCGCGTCCGCTGGACGCCGCCCGCCGCTTGTTGGGGGCTTCCCTTCCGCGCCGTCCTTGCCTCGTGCCGGATGAAGACGTCGTCCATCCAGTCTGCGAGGTTGTCGATGACGCCCTTGACCTCGGGCATGAGCGTGGGCATCTGCAGGTACCCGTGGCTCCATTCGGAGAAGAGGCACATCCGAACCCAATCTTCCTCGGTCTCGGACGCCAGCCGGTCGCGCTCGCGCCGCAGCGCGCGCAGGTCGGACCCGCCTCCGACTTCTCGGAAGCTTGAGCTCATCCGGAGCTGCTCGCCGAATTGGGAGCTCTTGCCAGCGATGATGCGCTCGAGTTCCGCGCGCCGCGCCCGCTTCGCTTCGCGCACGCGCCCGGCGAAGATGAGTGTGTCGTCTACAAACGGGTCCTTCTCGCCGCAGGACATGAGTAGAGGCGGAAATTGGGCGAGGAGGTGGTCCGGTGCGAGGATGGGCGAGAGCTGATAATCAGACTGGAAATCGGGATTGCGGTGCGGGCCGATGTATAGAATGGCCATTGCGCGCATCTAGCCATGGGGTGATTAAGCATCAGCCGTTTTCGCCCTGCATCTCTTCGGTGGGGAGGCAGTGACGCATCTGGAAGCGTTGTGTCACCCTCCCCGGAATGTCAGGGAGGTACTCACCATGCTTGGAGGGATGATGCGATCCTGGAAGTAGCCTGTCCGACTGGTCATAGTCAGCCTCGTTCCTATGGGAGCTCGGGCTTCGATTGTGGGAGAGGGGATCGCAGCGCTGTCTTGGGCGTTCATTGGCGACGGGCTTTCCGTTACAGACCGGGCGTCTACTTCAGGATTGAAGCGGATGCGCGACTTGAGAGGCTTGTCTTCGTCATCAACGTCATCACCCGGCTCATCTTCGACGTCGGCCGTCGAACCTTCGTCCTCTTTGTCGAACACCACCCTGACGTCGGTCATCGTGTGCGATGCCGCAGCGGAGGCATCGATTTCGTCGTTGGGGAAGATCCGGCCCATTGGCGGAATGTCTCGCGCAGGCTGCTCTTCCGTCGGAGCTTCCTGTCGCCAACCATGGAAAGCGGAGAGACATGGCGGAGATGGTCCTTCTGATCCGGGAGAAGGGATAAATGCCCAGAAGACTGTTCTGCCTGCAAGACGCGCAGATTCTGGGGGACATCCAAGATGTGAAGTTAAAATCCAGGGCGGCGTAGTTGACCATGAGGGCGAGGGGATGCGGCAACTTCATCTGCGTTTCAAGGATCTTGAACATGACGGTTACAGCATATGTGCGCCGCTGTACAAGTAAGTCAGTTAAGCGCTGACGGAGATGCGATCGGAACGCACGCAGAGTCGCCGGTGAGGATAACATTGAGCGCCTGTCCGGACATGCCGATGACCATCCCAGTAGTCTCAACAAGAACGCGATAAATATCGAAGCACTCGTCGATGCAGAACGGGTAAGGGTCTACATCGCTGGCGTTAGTGACGAGCGAAACGTGAAGGGAGAACCCCAACGAACATTCAGGCGCCTTCCCATACTCAACAGAAAGCACGGGCTTTCCTGTCCGGATAGCCCACATCCGGAGGCGCTCTTCATGGTGTTCCGGAGTCATGGAGACAAATCCGCCGCCAGGGAAATCCAGGATGAGGTCTGTAGCACGGCAAAGCTGCGCAGCCGGAGGGGCGAAGAACAACCATGCCGTGATTGGGCGGCGCTGGCTCGAATCCTTGGGGCGGATGAAGACCATCCGCCGACGTACGTTGACACGAGGGTGATAGGCTACCAATCGTATCTGTAAAGCGCAGAACATTTTAGTGGATGGCGCGCGAGAGATGAGTGCCAGACACCAACATAAGGGTTCGTTGTCTTCTCCCACGTCGCGCGAAGCATCTCACAGTCGGCACAGCACGGAATTTGCGAAGCTGCGGAATGATGAGTCGATAATCAGCGCAGGAGCAAGCTTGACCCTGACCTTTTCGTCCGCTTCATTAGCGTAGATTATGTAGTAGAACGAGAAGAAGATGGAGCAGATGTCCCGCAACCACCGAGGTTTGATCGGCAGAGCGGTGGCGAAGCCGACATCGAGACCTGTAGAGATCCATGTTGCGCGATAGTAAGACGGGGAGTACTAAGAATGGATTTGGTTCAGGGAATACTGCGCAACAGAAGGGAGCGTGTAAGGCACTGACTAGGTTCGCGAGTGGTTCCGGGGCTGCGTGTACGGATGATGCATTAGAAGCTATGGGGAGCGGAGGCGGTGAAAGGAATTGCTCACCTGCTAACCCAAGAACCCTGTCCATATTACGAATTGCGTAAAGACTGGTCAGCGTGCCAACAATAAGCTGCCAAGGAGTGAAGCGTTCTGCGGAGAGGGGTCGGCATGCGGTGTTGGAAGACTGCGCGCGAGGGTCGGATGGGAACGCACTGAGAAACCTATTGAACCGCCGTATCCAAAAGAGCCTGGGACCATCCTTATCCCCCTGGAGTATGCGCCAGAACCAGAAGACGACTACGAGAAGGACCTGGGGCGGGGGTGGCGCGGCAAACTGTCAGAAGGCTGCGGAGAAACGATAGATACGGGAGACGGAAGCTCACCTGAGTTCTCTTCCAGCTGATGCTCGGACGGCCTAGGATGTGGTCTATCATGAGCAGGTGGTGGGGGGAGAGAGGGAGGGAGGGAGGGCGGCGACATGTCGCAGTGGGACAGAAGAACAGGCTCCGACATGTGATTCTCCACATCAGCTGGAAAGGGCAGCTGCCCGTTTGGGGTCAGACCGAGGACTCGCGTCATCTCGGACCTTGCGCGCGCACAGGAGGCTGTCGTGTCGGGTGGCGAGTTTGAGGCTTGCGCAGAGCAGACGATGACCTCTCCGTCCACGGAGCCTCGACTGGCAGTAAGGCGGCACTGCCAGCGCGGCGATGACCGCATAGATGCGCCCCCACGCGGTTATCTCGTCCGTTATCTCTCCGATCTGGATGGAAACGATCTCGACATGGCTGCGGAATTGAGCTGGCAATGCATGCAATTGCCGTCCAAGACAACTCATCACCATCATGAGCTATTCCACCGTCCCCCTTGAAGACTTCAAGTCCGTCTTCTCGACTGCGATCGGTACGCCTGTCGTCAGCCTGATCACTCCTCCCCTGCTCATCACCCCCAATCAAGAGCTGTCCAGCGTCGCCCTTGGCGGCCGAGTCGTCGCTGTCTCAGATGACTTTTTCGCCGAGGCATTCCATCTCCTCCTTGTCGAGGTCCGTTGCCCGAGCATTTGCCGTGTTCCTGACAGCCTCGATTCCTCTACAGCCTGCGCCGAGTCTCAAGGGCCAGTTCGGCCCGAAAGGGGCGCTCTTCAGCGGCTGGGAATCCCGTAGACACAACCCTACTTATGATTGGTACGACTGTTGTCCCCCGTGTAATTCTCCTCTCACCGCGCATGCAGGTGCATCATCGAATTAGGGACGACCGGCTCAATCACCGGTTTCGATATCGACACCAGTCATTTCAACGGTGCTGGTCGCATTTGATCATCCTTTGACAGCAGACTTACTCCCCGTCGCTCAGGGAACGAAGCTCCCAGGCTTCTGTCGATATCCTCGACTCGTTTGATGGTACTGCCCCGTTGGCAGACGACCCTAGGGCACGTAACATCATTGTGACTCAGTGAACGTACTAATACATGTGCGCAGTGGGAAGAATTGCTTTCGAAGGTCAACCTGGGACCGAGTTCCAGGCATCTCTTTACCGTACCGGCGTCCAAGGGTGCGAATTATGTTAAGCTCAACATGTACCCTGATGGCGGAATTGTCAGTGTCCCGTGCATGTGCCAAACCTCGTTCTGACAGCCGGACCAGGCCCGCTTCCGCGTCTATGGCCTTGTAGCCCCGGTCTTCCCTACCGATCCTTCCGCGGTCTTTGATCTTGCCCACGTCTTCTGCGGTGGAAGGGTGGTGTTCACATCGGATCAGCATTTCGGCGAAGGCTCCAACCTCATTCTTCCAGGCAGAGGTCTGTCCAATTGTCCGTGGATGTCGCACAGCTCGTTGACAGGGCTCTAAACCATCCGTAGGCAAGGATATGGGTGACGGGTGGGAAACCAAGCGCAGCCGGGCCCCGGGTCACATGGACTGGGCGATTATCAAGCTGTGGGTCACATCCGCCTTCTTTCCACCGTGCCACCCGCGTGTAACATTGAACTCACACTTCCCTCGCCTCCCGCCCCGTTCCCTTCGCACCGCACCGCACCGATTGCCTATCGCCAGCTGCGCGCCCGGCTTCCTCGCACAGGCCGAAATAGACACCGCGCACTTCAAGGGCAACTTCCCTGAGTCGTGCGAGCTTCACGCTCTGCACAGCGACACGCTCGCTCCCACAGACGTCCCCGACGACGCCTGGACTCCAATCCTGCCTCGGACGAAGCTCGGCCCGCACCGGCAGCACTTCTTCCAGCTCGAGAACGTGAACGGGACCCCGTACACGCACGTCAAGCTCACCATCTACCCAGACGGCGGCGTGAAGCGCGTCCGTCTTCGCGGCATGCGTGCCGACGCAGGCGCAGCTGTGGGTGCGGTGTCCCCGACAGCAGACGTGGCCGCACCAGATGCGCCTCCCTCGGTCGCGCCCCCGCCCGCCCTGGTCCCATCAGCGACGCACCCGGCCCCGCGCTCTCCGCGCTGCCGCTCACACCGGAGGCGTTCGCGCCGTTCGGCCACGTCGTGCAGGCGTACGCGGACGTGCACGCCGTGCCGAGCCCGCGCACCGTGCGCGTCACCGGCGCGAACCAGGGCACGGCGACCAAGTTCCACAAGCTCGCGCCCGTCGAGGCGAGCTACCCCGCGGACGCCGGGGCGGGGGCCGCGCTTTCCATCTATCGGTGCAAGCCGATCGACGTGGCGCCCGGGGGCGAGTGGCCCGTGAAGCTGCTCGAGCGGCACCCGTGCACGAACCAGGCGTTCGTGCCCATGGGCGGCGCGGGCGGCGGGCCGGGGACGCGCTGACGGACCCGGGGCGCGAGTACCTGGTCATCGTCGCGAAGAACGGGGCGGACGACAAGCCGGACCTCGGAAGCATGCGCGCGTTCATCGCGTCCGCGGGGCAGGGGATCGTCTACAGCACTGGCATCTGGCGTGAGTGACCCGTCTGACACCCGACATCCGCCAAGAGCACATGCTCACTGACCGCTCGGTGATTTCCACCGCACCTACTCGTCGCACATGTCCGGTTCATCGGGGATTGCACCCTGCCTACACGGATGCACTGTCGCCTGCGCACGGCGCTGGATGCAGACCATCCTATGGCTGCACTGTACAAGGTAAGCGGTGGTCTCGCGTGATGTGCGCAGCGACCGCGGGGTGCTGACCGGGAGTTTTCCTAGACGATGGATTTCACCTGCGTGGAGACGCAGATTGGGAACGGCGACCCGCTCGACTGCGAAATCGTGGACCTCGACGGTTCGACCGGCTACTATCGGGTGCAGTTGCCCGTACAGATATGAGTAGTATTCAAACGTGGTCTAGCGGGACTGGTGCTTGTATTTGATTTGTCACGACATACAGCTTCCGAACTATAGACGTCGGGGCATGCACAAGCGCTGGCCCACTACTACTTCCTTCCGCAGATGCGATTTCCGGTCTGACTGAATTCGCCAAGAAGTCTGCGCTCTGCACAGCGTAAGCTAAAAACCTGGCTTGATTCTGGCTGAGAAAGCTCCTGATTGACCGCGATCATATAAAACATCGGCAATATCTACGGCGTTTATGCTGCTAACGCATCTCACACTAATGCTGCGAATCGAAACAGCCGTCGGCGGCGTCTCTGTATCTTTTTGACAGTGCGCATCAGCAATCACAAAGCACGGACATAAATCGGGCAACCAGAATGTTTGATAACTTGTTTTGTGCCGTTCCGCCAGCCCTTGTCCTCGTCAGCCCCAATCCGGGACAATCGGACACCTCGGGCCTTGCGTACGATGCTTCCCGGCGACCGTGAACGCAAATCGCGATTTGCGCAAGCGGGTCGGGCACTGCATACCCCACGGTCCCCTTCACGCGGGAGCGACGACGACGGCGGTGGCGACGGCAGTGACAGTGGTGTGCGCGTTGTGCAGTACCGGAATGTCGCCGCCCGGCCCTTCCTCGCCCTTCTATACTTTCACGCGCGAGTTCGACGCTGCTTCGGGGGGTTCTTTCCCCACTATGCGCCGCGCGGCGGCCTACGCGAGCTTCCCGTGTGCTCCGCGTCCGCCTGATATGGCACCCACGCTGTCCGCCAAGTCTAGAAAGCAAAGGGCGAGCGCCAAGGGGGTGGGGTCCTCGGGGTCCCGCTCGGCGCCCCGAAATGCATCGTTTGCGCAGAGCAGCTCGCGATCTCAGCCAAGGAACACGCTTATCGGGGCGGCTGTCGCCCCCTCGTGTGCGTATGGGATGAGCTGTGCCATGAGGCGGACAGCAGGACGTGCGGCGACCCGCGAGCCAGCGAGCGTGAGCGACCAGGAGCAATCCGGACGGCGGGGGCGCAAGGGGCAGAACGAGGGGCACAGCTCTTGCTGATTGCGGTGCGGCGATCGACGGTCGCCCCGCCCGGTGCTGGCTGCCCGATCTCGGCCCCTCTCCTCAGGCCTCAGCGGCCAGCCCCGCCGTGCCCCGTCCTTGGCTCGAAAATCTCATGTGCAGCAGTTCCGTCTCATGTGCCTCCGCCAGTGCTCGTCGAAGGGTTACGGGCGTTCGAAGGGAATGGTTGCGCGGTGCAGAGCGGCGCCGTCGCTGGGGGCTGCGGCGTGTCGCCGCGGCAGCCGCAGAAATGCTCGGTCAGATGTGTTTTGCTCGGGTGACAACTGGCGGCGGTGGCTTCCGACGCCTTGGGCCGCTGCAGCCTGCGGCTCAACTGACGGGAGACTGGAGAGCATGAATGATTGCCCAGCGACCGGGGACACGTTGTCCGTCGGCGGTGCTCAACGGCGATAAATAGCCACAACGGGCGTGATGTCGAGTCACCGTGCCAGGTGCCATGGACCAGGACCATGCTCTGAGACTGAGACCAAGTGCCGTGTCTGGTTATGTGGCCTGAGACTTGTCTACCCGGCAGCTAAGGTGGTATCGCGGAAGGATGTGCCTGTACAGATCAGATCAGTGCATAATATCCCGCAACGGTGGGCTTGGAAGTGGAGTGACGGTGATCGGAATCCCTACAGAGGGATGGGGACGAGTTTCTTAGCAAGCGCGGTCCCGCACCCTCAGTGGTTTTCTCGGGATATTCTACCAACGGTGATGGGCAGGAGCCCAACGACTACGTGATTGTCCCCATCCCATCCAGTCATGTGTTGGAAGATTTTGACGATCACAACACTCCGGAGAACCAGGTGTTGGAGGAGCCGAGACATCGACGCCACGGCTCTTCAAGCAGGTTTTGATTGGACGGTAGGAGCGAGGTTCTTGACATCTAGCCACGCCGAGATAGCGCGAAGTGCACATATTTGGTGACTATCTGTCAGGCGGTTAATGCATCCATGCCGAGAGCGATGGCGGACGGATTGAGGCTTTTAGTGGCCTCCCATCACCCCGTGAGAAGCTCAATTTCACTCTCTGCCCCCGCCCCCCACCTCAGCATCGTGCTTGATCGTCGCCCAACCCAATGCCCAGTCTTTTGACGATTTATTGCGTGCCCCCGGCTCTCCCGAGGGCGCGTGCAGATCCACGTGTCCTTGTGCCCTTGCCTGCTTCCTTTCCACACTGGTCATCTACGGAGCAGCACAGCTTTCACGAACGGGAGTGTTACGCGGTACCCTGGCTAAGCACTCACCCGAGGAGACTGTATCTGCCGTGCTTGCGTCTGCCTGGTCTCCCCATGACGACTGTCGTGAACCGACTTCTATGTCATCGCGCCAGCGCTTGCTGATCTGCGTCTCTCGGTGGTCGGAATGGTAATGAATATCGAGGTATGTTCCCGTCTTGCCCCCAGCCCGAGTCGAGCGCTCATTCAGTCAATCACTTTTTGAAGTTTGTGTGTTGCCGGCGGGAGAGCGGACCGGTACCCGGGCCGGGGTTCTTGTGGCGCCGGAACAGGCTGCCGATTTCGCGATGAGTGGAGAAAATGTCGCTGTGCGCACCTCGGCCTATCGCTGCACCGATTTAATGCCAGGTCCGCCGCAGCTGCTCTTAACTCTCGCGAGGTCTGCTCTCCGTCCCCCCTCTCACTGTACGTGCGGCGCGCTGCCATGACCTCCATCCGCTCACCCGTTCTCTACTTCCCCATGATTCTGCGATGCATCCAGAACGTACCTCGCTCCGTCTGCCCTGCTGAGCCCCCCCTCTCGCGATGGCCCCTCTCACATCCATTCGCACAAATGAAGGGAAGCTAGAGATCGTCAACCAACTGCTTTTGCCTCACACCACCGAGTTTCTTGAAATCAAAACCATCGATGACGCCTTCGACGCGATCAAGTCCATGAAGGTGCGCCTCCCTCACCTGCCGCCGCAACTCGGGCTCAAGCTTCCCCTCGTCGCATCCGCTGCAGATCCGCGGCGCGCCCGCCATCGCGTCGCTCGCCGCCCTTGCGGTCGCGGACCACCTCACCAAGGCCCTCGCCAGCGACCCCGCGCCAGAATGGCTCGCCTCGGCGGACGCGCTCACGCAGCACATGAACGCCGCGCTCGCGCGCCTGTACACCGCGCGCCTGACCGCGGTCAACCTCGGCGTCGCGACGCGCAGGCTCACCGCTGTGCTCACGACATCCGCCGCCGCCGCGAGCGGGGACCCCCGCGCGCTTGCCGCGGCGCTCGTCGAGGAGGCGAAAGCTGTCGACGCGGAGGACGTGGGCCGGAACAAGGCGATGAGCAAGTGGGGCGGGGAGTGGCTGGTTGAGCAGGTTCGCGCGAAGGGAGGGAGCGGGGACGCGCTCAACGTGATGACCGTGTGCAACACCGGGTCGCTCGCCACTTCGGTGAGTTACCATGAGGTCTTGAGGCTTGAGGTGCGGGAGGAGACTGACGGCGCGTTCTAGGGCTATGGAACCGCGTTAGGGTTAATCACATACTTGCACGAGACGGGCAAGCTGCAGCGGGCATTCTACACGCAGTCGACGCCGTACCACCAGGGCTCGCGGTGCGTCGGCGTGTGTCCGGTCTGGGCGATGATGTCACTCATTGGGGTGATCTGGCCACAGGCTGACCGCGTTTGAGCTCCTGTCTCTGAACATTCCGGCGACGATGCTGTGCGACAGCATGGTGGGCTCGTTGTTTCAGCACCACGATATCCATGGAATCGGTAAGGATGAGGAGGGTGGCGCCTCGTCCAGCATTTGGTTGCGAACATGCTCTCTAACAATGCCATCTGACTCCAGCTGTCGGTGCGGACCGTGTGGCGCGAAACGGTGATACGGCGAACAAGGTTGGTGCATGTGCGATCTGTGCGCCTCTCACCTGCTGACGGGTCCCCGCGGCAGGTCGGGACGTACAACGCTGCAGTGCTGGCAGCGCGTCATGGGATCCCGTTCATCGTCGTTGCGCCCGTGAGCACGATCGATTTGGAGGTGGCGGATGGCAACGGGTGAGTGGCTGGGCTGCCCCACGCCGAGCAGGTTCGTTGATCTGACAGCTGACGGATCATCTCTGCCGCGTCCGCAGGATACCCATTGAGCAGCGCCCTGCGCTCGAGGCGTGTCTCGTCCGGGGCGCGCTCTACCCCCCGCCGAGCACGCAAGGCACGAAGATGCAGGCGACGGTCATGGTCACACCCGAGGGCTTGGACGGGGTGTACAACCCCGCGTTCGACGTCACGCCCGCCAGCCTGATCACGGCAATAGTGACAGAAAAAGGCGTGGCGACTCGTGACGAGTCCGGCAGGTTTGATCTCTCGCAGGTGGTATGAATATTTGAATGTCGGTGGGGTCGGGTGAACTGGGTCGGACTCGGATAGTGTGAGCTGCAGCCGCTTACGATGTATGATTTTTTGCAGAGGCTCCACGCGAGATAGAAGTCGGGCTTCAAATTGGTACTGGATGTGCCCGGCCCATTCAGTGATCTTGGCGCCACGGCCCACGAGAGCGAAGCGGTGATTTGAGCCCGTCACTTGTAATCGGGCGCCTGTTTTCGCCCGCCACGCCCGCCACGCCGACACGCATGCCGGCCGCAGACCGATGCGCGAGGCAGCGTGTGAGCTCGCGGTGGATGTAGGTGGGCGCAGTGACTCGCGAGGGTCGGCAGGAAAGGCGTGCAGCCTGGGGACGGGGCCAAGCGACCGTGGTGAGTGCCGCACGCAATCAAAGAGCGGCCGGGACGAGCGGGTGGCGGTCCCGATCATGCGAGAACGGGCGGCAAGGCGGCCGATTGGCTGGGGCGCGCGTGTCTCGCGCGTAGGCTGCCACTGATCTCATCGCACTTGGCTTTCGGTTCAAGACGCTAGCCGTCGCCTGCCTTCTTGTTTTCTTCCCTCCATCTCCCTCCCTCTCTCTCTCGCCCCCCCGTCCCAGACCTCACGTCCCACTACGAGCTCAGTACAATGAAGCTGTCCACTCCTTTCTTTCTCGTTCTCGCCGCCGTCTCCTACGTCGAGGCCACCGGCCATGACGGTCTCTCGCGCATGACCCGCAACCACCACGACGTCGCCCGCCGCAACCCTGTCCAGCGCCGCGCGGCCTCCAACGTCTGCAAGGCCCGCTCCACCACCTCTTCCTCTTCCGCCACGGTGAGCGTCTTCTGTCACTCGTCGCGCGAGCTTCGATTTCGGATGTCGCGCTGGTGGGATGCCGTTACTAACGATGACGCAGCCCACATCCACCAAGGCGTCCTCGACGCACAAATCGAGCTCCACCAAGAAGGCGCAGCCGACCACTGCGACGAAGAACAACGACTCGAACAATGACGATAACTCCGTCGGATTCTCCGACGGCCTCATCCGTCTCACTACCAACACCTGCGGTGGCACTGGCGCCCAAAGTGCGTTCCTTCCATCAGCGCGTGCGCACCGAGGCTGACTTCCTCCATAGAGAAGATCACGGGCACCAAGGGTCCGAACGGAGACATCGAATTCTTCAACTGCGGCGTCAACGACGGCGGCTGGAAGCCGCCCATGATTACCGTGGACCAGATCGTCACCGTCGAGCTCTCGGACGCGCTCAAGGACAACAACTCGCCCTTCAAGGCGTGCAGCAAGTACATCGACACCTTCTACAAATACGCGTCGCAGCACGGTCGTAAGTTCCGCGTCTGCTCAGGGTGCGGTGAATTTGATGCCAACGAAACCTTTCCAGTGCCTGCGATCCTCATCGCCTCGATTGCGATGCAGGAGAGCTCGTGCAACCCGGGCACCGTGGGCGGCGGTGGAGAGCAAGGTCTCATGCAGATCACGCAGGAGAAGTGCGTCGGTGCACCCGGTGGTAACTGCCAGGATGTCGTACGTCTCACTCTCTTGGAACGGGTCTCTGGGGTGATCGCTCACATTCTTACAGGATTTCAACATCCGCACGGGCACCAAGTTCTTCGCGGACACGCTCAACGGGAACGGCGGCTCGCTCCTCAAGACCTTCGGTAACTACAACGGTTGGTTCGAGGGCATGACCTACTCCGATGCGACCAAGGCCCAGTGGTCGTCTTGCTGTCGCTGCCAGAACAACCTGGACTAGTACGTGGCCCGTGCTCAAGTTATAAGCGACGCTCTGAACTGACGCCCTCCGCAGCCTCCAGCAGGTTCTCAACGGCTGGCTCCAGAACGTCGACCCGTACACCGCGCACATGGGCAAGTACTTCAACCTCGACGTCTGCCATTAGTCGGTTGCGCTATTGGGCCGATCCCCCTTCCACCTGTGCTACGGCGGGGCGATTTTCTCTTGGGGATTTTTGTGTATCTGCGTCTTGGATGCCTCCAATATACCCCCCTTCCACAAGGGATGCAGCTGCCTGTGGAATGGCGGCGAAGTTATTTATTTTATCATTAGTAGTAACCCGTAACACGAGCCCCAGTTAGTCGCGCGTTTGTAGTTACTCCTCGGGTCCTCCCTCACCGAATTTATCCCCCGCGCGGCGTGTGGTTCATTGACATCTACAAAACGGATCCCTTTTCTGAAACGCAAGATGTTGTGCCGACTAAGCTCAGTAGTTTGCTGCTTTCGTTCTCGCGTCTCAAGAGTTGTGTCGGGTGTCCCACGATCCGCCATTCTACATTCTGGACCCACGAAATTCAGCGTCGGCTCAGGGAACGTGTCCGCACAGATTATATATAGCAGGCGTCAAGATCAAGTATCTAATCTCTCCACTCCTTACCTCTGCTACATCTACCCTCTCCCTCCCACACGACCAACGACAGCACACAGACCAGCCTAGACCAAACCCCCAAAACAAAACCAGACGATGTCGACCTCGAGCGACGCGTCCTCCCCTCCGTCGACGCCCGCGACGTCGCAGCCGGCGTCCCCGACGCCCGCGCTCGCGAAGCTGAGCCTGCAGGACATCTCGGACGCGGACAAGGCCGCCGCCGTGGAGCTCAAGACCCAGGCGAACAAGGCCTTCACCTGTGCGTGATTCGTCCCCCCTCCTCACCCCGTCCTCCCGCATCGTCTGATCTTCTTTCTCGCCGTCCCCAACCGCCCCCCGCGTGTGTCGTGCATGCACCGATGCCGATCATTGACTGCACCCGCCCACCCCCTCGCCCCTTCGCCCCGCGCGCCATGCGGCCGTCGAGCAGCGCACGAGTTCAACCGCGCGGCGGATCTGTACACGGAGGCCATCGGGAAGAACCCGGCGGACGCGACGCTGTGGTGCAACCGCGCGTACACGCGCATCAAGCTCGAGGAGCACGGGTACGGGCTGAGCGATGCGAGTACGTCTTTCCGTGCCCTTGATTGTTGCGTGCGGCGGGCGGGGGAAGGGGAGGGGAAGGTGGAGGAGGCTCACGGTGGTGAAACGACACAGGTACGGCCATCGAGCTCGACCCGAAGTATGCGAAGGCGTACTACAGGTGAGTCGTCCTTCTCTCCTGTCTGCTCGATCCCGTCTCAAGCCCCCGCCCCATCCGCACAGGCGAGCGACATGCTACCTGCAAACGTTGAGGTACAAGCAGGCGATCGCCGACTTCAAGAAGCTGCTCGCGCTCGAGCCGCAGAACCAGCTCGTGCGAATGCAGATGGACAGCACGCAGAAGATCCTGCGCAAGGTCGAGTTCGAGAAGGTGTGTGCGGTCTCCACATCGCTCCCTGCACTAGTGACGCAATGTCCATCCGGCGCAGGCGATCGAGATGGAGGAGGAGAAGAGCGCCGTCCTTCGCTGTCTCGAGATCATCGACGAAGGCGGGTGCGGCATGGACAAGGACTACGCCGGACCGCTCCTCCCGCAGGGCGACGACGGGAAGTACAGGGTGGACATCGACTTCGTGCGGAAGATGCTCGCCTGGTTCAAGGACGGCAAGGCGATCCCGCGGCGGTACGTGTGGGAGATCGTGCTGGGCGCGCACGCGCACTTTGAGCGGGAGGAGAGCCTCGTCACTGTCGAGATTCCAGATGGGCAGACGATAGACGTCATCGGCGACGTTCACGGTAAGTCGTTGATCCCCCTTCTGTGGGGCACCGCGGAATGTTGACCGCGTCGCTCCCGCATTGACAGGCCAACTCTACGACTATCTACACCTGCTGTCACTTACCGGAGAGCCGAGCGAAACACATTCGCTCCTTATGAATGGTGATTTGGTGGACCGCGGATCGTGGTCCGTGGAGATCATTCTAATCGCCCTGGCGTTCAAGTGTAAGCATGCGGAGCTAACGTCAGACCGTTCCAAAACCTCGGAGCTGAGTCCCGTTTGTGTCCCACAGGGCTTTACCCTAAGACGATGTACATCAACCGTGGTAACCATGAAGCGAAAGAGATGAACCGTACGTATGGGTTCGAAGGCGAGGCAAAACACAAGTACGGCGAGCAGACCTACAAGGCGAGCAGCTTCCCTCGGACTGGCAAACTAGTACTGACAGGCCATACAGCTGTTCGCGCACCTATTCACCGCCAGTAAGTTGATGCTGCGCTTTTTGGATGAGAGATCACTCACGGCGAGCTTCTAGTGCCTCTGGCGACACTGATCTGCGCGACAAAACCTCCGCCAAGCTCCGCAGCCAAAGCTATCTTGTCTCCCGAAGGTCGAAAACGCCACTTTGTTGTGCACGGCGGTCTCTTCAGCAAAGATGGCGTGACCTTGGATGATATCCGCAAGATCCAGCGCGTGGGACGCCAACCGGGACAAGAAGGCCTGATGTGTGAGTTCGTCCCCCGTACTCTTGAAACGCGCTCGTCATTAACGCGGACGCCGAAACGGGTGTAGGCGAGGTACGCATGTCCCCGTCGACTAAGGGACACCCATAGTTGATTATCTGGATATAGCTGCTGTGGACAGACCCCCAGGAACTCCCGGGACGAGGGCCGAGCAAGCGGGTGAGCGACTATTTGATGAGAGGCCAAGTACTGGCGGGCGAACTCTGACCACACACCTTCTATCTTCAGGGCGTAGGCATTGCGTTTGGCCCGGATATCACGAGGCGCTGGTGCGAAAGCAACGGCGTCACGGGTGTAATTCGCAGCCACGAAGTCCGCCAAGGTCGGTCCCGCAGCGCTTCCCACTGCTGATGGAATGGGCTGCGCTGACCTCCTCGCGATCAGATGGATATTCAGTCGAGCATGACGGGCTCTGTACAACGGTGCGCAATCCATCCGCCGCGACCAGCCGCGACCTATCCCCGCATCGGTCGCTGACCACCCCACGCGCCGCGCGCCCACTGTCGCGCACGCTATACAGGTCTTCTCCGCTCCGAATTACGTCGACCAAACGGGAAACAAGGGCGCGTTCGTGAGTCACTCGGGTCCCCTCTGTACCCCTCTGGCCCCACGCAATCCAAATTGGTTCCCGGAGGACCCTGTGTCTGTGTCCACACGAGCGCTGACACTGCCGCGCGCAGATCCGCATCGACGCCGCCGGCACGGAGAAATACACCCAGTTCGAGGCCCAACCGCACCCGCCGATGAAGCCCATGGCGTACGCGTCGTCGGGGCTCGCCAGCCTACTGATGTGAACTCACAGCGGGCGCTGGCGCTGCCCTGCGGTCCGCTCGCCGTCGGTCAGGAAGAGATCATGCGCGGTGCTGCGCCGATAGCGAAGCGCGCTCTCTGCCGCGGCTGGAAGAGGGCGCTTGGGTTCACCAACACGTCCAGTCAAGACGGACGGCTGACGTATTTTCAGGCGTGGGAGGACGGATGTTGTACGCTTCGTGGGTTGTCGCGGAAGATGGTATGTAGTCGTTGCTGCCGCTGTTGTATATCTTCGTATCTGCTCTGCTGTTGCCGCACATATCTGACTTGCTGTCGCCTCACGTCAATGTGCGGTGCTGTGCGGCTGTGCGTTCAATTCTGCACACCACTGCTCCCGGACCGCGATAGCGTTCGCGGACACGCAAGCTGTGCCCTCAGCTCCCTCGCGCCAGGCTCTCGGCGTCCGATCTCCGCACACTCCGAGCCCAGCTCGAGGTCGGGTTGGCAATGAGATGCAGCAGTAAAACCCACCTTGGCAGCGAAGATTGACGAGACTCTGCGGCGCAGAGATGGACGTTACTGCAGGGTCGATACCAACTGGGGTCAGTTCAGCCTGGGATATGTATAGCGGCTGGGCTTTAGAACGAACCCATATCACACCCAGTCATGTCAAGCAGCATGCGGTCCATTGTGGTCGACGTGGTCTCCGTTACCTGGTCCGTTTGTTCCATCCGTGGATTCCGTAAATATGTACCGCCGCTGACCGAAGCTGAATCTTAACATCGGATGGACCAGTGGCGGCGCCCCACCTTATTCCTCGGTCCAGGTCTCAGTGTATTTGGCACCACCCCAGTACACTAGTGACTCTTGCTGCTGCGGATGTGGTCTCAGAGCTGCGATCTTGGCAGTCCCCGTGCCACCAGCCTATACCCCATCATCGTCCTTCATGTATGTGACTGCGAGGGACGGCTTCCCTGAAGACAGCCGCGCCTGGGGGTAAGTCTCTGGTTTGGTGGGAATTCGATGCCCACGCGCCCGGCCACTGATAAGTAGGGCCAGGTGCTCCGGTGCACGCAACAGGTACCACCGGATTTTCGCTTTCGTGTCGGATGCAATAAAGTCTCGAGTTTGCGACTCATGTCTGAGACTAGGACGCTCTGAGCGTACTGGGGTCATGTAGCAATGCTCACCTGTGATGAAATTGTGTGTGGTGCCACCAAGTGTGCCTCAACGTAGGGCAAGAACTCTAGTCAGTGGACGTTTGAACCGCGACGAGTCAGGACGAGTCCCGGGGTCCGAGTCCCGACTTAGGACTTGGCGAATCGCGGTGCTGCAGCAGAGCCACCTGGCGCCAATCGGGATTCACAGGTTGTGCATTTCTTCTCTCGGCTACCCCCCAACCAGGGCTCACGATAAGCGAGGCACGTGCAGTGAGCAGCTCCCTGTGTTAGTGTCTCACCTCACCGCGATTTCGTCCTATGTTTCAGACGGCCTGCTCTGCAAGCTCCGACCTGGGGAACGCAGCGAAGTGGCACGATGTACTTGCTCCTATGGCTGCCCGGGGACTGTCCGTGAATCAGCCGAGACATCACGTCCTGACCGCAGAAGCGCCTCCGGCACCCCTCGTTTACAGTCACGAAAACTTCTCATCGTCTCATGACACAAACGACAAAATGGAACAGAAGTGGCGCTTATGTAATACCATATTCGTACTGTCTAGTGAAGTGAGGTGGACCCCTCGGTCATCGACAGTAATTAATGAGCCTTGCGATCACCGCAGACCCCAACTGACCATAGGCGGCTTTAATTCCACAGAGGTGTTCTGGGTCTTCGAAATTCTACATGCTGACGGTTATCTGCCGCGTGGTGAGCAAAGTCCGGATGTAGCGCAATGCGGGCGTTCCACGATCGTAGAGAAGGCAAACATATTCTCCGTCGGTGCCAGTAGATCTCCGCAATTTTCGCACCTGAGGGGTCGGCTCAGTCGTAGCAATCCGCGCTGACCAGGGTCACTACTACTCAGTACTCAGGCTGGTTCACGCAGGCGGCGTAAGTATCACGAAAGGCAGGGGAAAAAGCGGCCACGCATGACGTGATAATTGTCAGCACCCGCGCCCCAATATCATCGACCCGACACTGAGCAGTGGCAGCTGAGGCTGAGCCTCGAGACACCTGTTCGGCAGGCTCCCTCGGTTGAAAACGCGCGTCAAAAGCTCCAGACAGCGGGAATGTAAGGCCGGATGAACGGGGATACGCGGTCAGCATGTCGATGCAATGTCTGGACCCTAGTGGCGACGGGTGAATATGAAACTTGATGGATATTTGCGGTCGATCTAGCATTTGTGAAGTCGAACCTCTGTACGGGCTTAAGTGCCCATTGTGAGCTGCGAAAGTGATCATCAAAGCACGACGGGTCAGCGAAGACCGAGCAACACTGCACCCCGCCAATAAATGTCGGTACGTACCATATAAAGCGCGTCCATTCCGTGCCGAGCCGTGCCTGCCGAGCTGTGAAATACTTTCTTTTGGGTGCGAGGCTGCATTTGCCATTCGCATTCACTGCGTTCCGGGGGTTCCTGGCCACCGTTAGAGCGGAGACGGACTGCATGGAACTCAGATGCTGGTCGGAATGCGAACCGGGCGCCTGCCCAAACGGGTATTTGGTCCGAACAACATGGTTCTGGTGAGATAGTACATATGGAAGCAGTTAAGCTGTTCAAATTGCGGTACTTGTATGAGTAGCTACATAAATCACACCGACTCCAATGGTACCCGCCAGGATGGTCGAGCCTAGCCTATCATCGCACCGAGAAGCAGTTCACCTCTGCTCGCTTCGGGTACGGACCGGCACGGTCGAGCTGCCCGCGCGCGGTCCCAGGCGCGCGGCCAGTGAGCCGTCTTGTCGCCCGCTTGTCTGCTGCACGACTCCTTCTGTCCTCACTGCAGGCAAAAAAAACCATGGGACTGCCGTCTGAAAATCCTTTTATGCAAAGCTTGGCTAAAGTGTTGTTATCAATGAGCGAGAGCCACTGGGTGGCGCCAGAATACCCTGCCACTGGTGTTCATATCAATGACAACATACACCGCTACTGGCGTTCGGATAAGCTCATATGAGTGGGCGCTCTATACCTGCTACTACCGTCTATATGTACCACATAGCCACACATATGAGTGCCCTCACACCCTGCCACCTATACATATTATAAAAGTGGCTGCTTATATGAGTGCATTAGTGTCTTTCCCTCATATGAACTTTGTAGCGCCTTGCCACTCATATGAGCTCGTCCCCTCATATGAGCGCGTCCCCTCATATGAGCGCGTCCCCTCATATGAGCTCGCCCCCCTCATATGAGCTCGCCCCCCTCATATGAGCTCATCGGCGTCTCACCCCTCATATGAGCTTATTAATATCCCACCCTTAATATGAATGCACCAGCATTCCACAGCTCCCATTAGCACATCTGGGAACTTGCATACTCTATTGCATGCATGTGTGTATAGGTGCACCCATGCCGGAGCAATTCTTCAGCTTATCATATCACTGAGACACAGGAACTGCACTCCGAAAGGACAGGAAACTGCACCAGCTGTGCAACCGAAACAGACAGAATGGGTGCCCATTAGTTCCATTTTTATTCACACAATGCGCAAAGAGAGAGCAAGAAACCCATGATAGAAAGTGCAAGGCTCAAGCCGATCTCCGCAATCGGCAATTGACTCCCCCCGGGGGTCACCTCTGGGCCGGTAATTGACTCCCCCCGGGGGTTGATCTCCGAGTTTTTGATCACCTGTGTATCTCCGAGTTTTTGACCACCTGTGTATCTCCAACTTTTTGATTGCCTGTGTATATTGTCAGCCTTCATTACCAGACTGCCTGTATCTATTACCGACTTTTTGGACATCTGTGTGTATTACTGCTTTCATTGCCGAGTTTTTGATTGCTGGTGCCTGTTACCGGTCCTCATTACCAACTTTTTGACTGCCTCAATCCATCACTGATTCTTTGTTCGCCTCCAGCCTTTGATACCGATTTTTTTATCACTGATATTGGTAATATTAGATGGGTTAGTCTGCCTGTACTAAACACCCTCTCCCTAGGAAGTCACCCTTCACAGCTGCATGTGTTGATGGAAATTGACCAAGCTGTTTTCTGGATCAGGTAGTAGCATGCAAGAGCTGTGGGTGTGCAAATCTGGAGGGCAGTAGCTGCAAAAGTGAGGGAGTAATGGGGTATGATATTCTAAAATGACATACCAAACACAGACCTGGGATGAGAGTGAATCACATCCCAGACACCTAGATATATTCACAGAGGATGTTTTAAATGCAATGCAGAAGAGAGCGCACAGAAATCAGGATTTCCGATGAAGATACAAGATATGTGTGGAAAGTGGAAGTTCTGAGAAAACACAACATGCATAAGTTCATGTGCAGACATTATATCAACAGGCTATTTGCTGCATCACAATTGGGTACTATTGGGGTGCTCAGATCGGAATTTGCAAGCTTATCGGTGATGAGATGCATATGGGGCACCATATGTCATTATTTCATGACATACAGTATCCTGACACAGCATATGCTCCGATTAGAATGCTAAAACATGGAATAGAACGGGGTGGAACATAGCTATCCAACGCAGAAAAGACCTTGAAAAACGGTTGAGAATCAGTGGAGATGTGCAAGGTGAGCCAGAAGTGTGGTTGCAGTGAAAAGCGAGGTCAGAGTACATTCAGCATAAACCACACTTCTGGCTCACCTTGCACATCTCCACTGATTCTCAACCGTTTTTCAAGGTCTTTTCTGCGTTGGATAGCTATGTTCCACCCCGTTCTATTCCATGTTTTAGCATTCTAATCGGAGCATATGCTGTGTCAGGATACTGTATGTCATGAAATAATGACATATGGTGCCCCATATGCATCTCATCACCGATAAGCTTGCAAATTCCGATCTGAGCACCCCAATAGTACCCAATTGTGATGCAGCAAATAGCCTGTTGATATAATGTCTGCACATGAACTTATGCATGTTGTGTTTTCTCAGAACTTCCACTTTCCACACATATCTTGTATCTTCATCGGAAATCCTGATTTCTGTGCGCTCTCTTCTGCATTGCATTTAAAACATCCTCTGTGAATATATCTAGGTGTCTGGGATGTGATTCACTCTCATCCCAGGTCTGTGTTTGGTATGTCATTTTAGAATATCATACCCCATTACTCCCTCACTTTTGCAGCTACTGCCCTCCAGATTTGCACACCCACAGCTCTTGCATGCTACTACCTGATCCAGAAAACAGCTTGGTCAATTTCCATCAACACATGCAGCTGTGAAGGGTGACTTCCTAGGGAGAGGGTGTTTAGTACAGGCAGACTAACCCATCTAATATTACCAATATCAGTGATAAAAAAATCGGTATCAAAGGCTGGAGGCGAACAAAGAATCAGTGATGGATTGAGGCAGTCAAAAAGTTGGTAATGAGGACCGGTAACAGGCACCAGCAATCAAAAACTCGGCAATGAAAGCAGTAATACACACAGATGTCCAAAAAGTCGGTAATAGATACAGGCAGTCTGGTAATGAAGGCTGACAATATACACAGGCAATCAAAAAGTTGGAGATACACAGGTGGTCAAAAACTCGGAGATACACAGGTGATCAAAAACTCGGAGATCAACCCCCGGGGGGAGTCAATTACCGGCCCAGAGGTGACCCCCGGGGGGAGTCAATTGCCGATTGCGGAGATCGGCTTGAGCCTTGCACTTTCTATCATGGGTTTCTTGCTCTCTCTTTGCGCATTGTGTGAATAAAAATGGAACTAATGGGCACCCATTCTGTCTGTTTCGGTTGCACAGCTGGTGCAGTTTCCTGTCCTTTCGGAGTGCAGTTCCTGTGTCTCAGTGATATGATAAGCTGAAGAATTGCTCCGGCATGGGTGCACCTATACACACATGCATGCAATAGAGTATGCAAGTTCCCAGATGTGCTAATGGGAGCTGTGGAATGCTGGTGCATTCATATTAAGGGTGGGATATTAATAAGCTCATATGAGGGGTGAGACGCCGATGAGCTCATATGAGGGGGGCGAGCTCATATGAGGGGGGCGAGCTCATATGAGGGGACGCGCTCATATGAGGGGACGCGCTCATATGAGGGGACGAGCTCATATGAGTGGCAAGGCGCTACAAAGTTCATATGAGGGAAAGACACTAATGCACTCATATAAGCAGCCACTTTTATAATATGTATAGGTGGCAGGGTGTGAGGGCACTCATATGTGTGGCTATGTGGTACATATAGACGGTAGTAGCAGGTATAGAGCGCCCACTCATATGAGCTTATCCGAACGCCAGTAGCGGTGTATGTTGTCATTGATATGAACACCAGTGGCAGGGTATTCTGTCGGCATGCGCTGCGAGAGCGACCGCAGCAATCTATTTGCAAGTATAGGCGCTCTACCAGTCTCCGCGCAGCAGCAGACGACACAGAAAAATCCGAGCCCGCAGTACACATGATACCGCGGGATTGATATGGCTAGAGATTCGGAATAAGGAGATTGAGGTAGAGGCGAGGAGCATCCAGCTCCATAGCAGCTCGACACAGTAGTCAATGGGGAAAAAAAGCCGGCGGAGCTAAGACAGCCACACCATGGCATGGGGATGCTCGAGAATTTGAATTCGCGCTCTACTAGGGCTCGGTGAACTGCTGAGACGGTACGCAGTGGATCTTGGAGGGACTTCAAAAATGGAAATCGGTGAGATAGTACAGTGTGGAGTAGCTGTGAACAACGGGGCGGGCCGTAGCAGCTCCCACTTGGGAGTTCTCTAGCTGGTCAAATGTGCAGTCGTTGTGGCAATCTAATCTAATCTCATCGGGTCGAACCGAGAGCGGCAGAGCTGGTCACAACCTGCGACCAGCCTGGACCTGTAACGACCCGCCGATCTATTCCGAGTCGCTCCAGCTTCGACCAATAACCTCCGGAACGCAGTGATTATTGGTGACATCCAATAAAGCGAGGAGTGGTCGGGAAGCGCCCAGTAGCACCACGTGAGGATGAGCTGCAGCAGCCCGCCACCGCGCCACCACCTGGTGCTCGGCGCTGTCCACGGTCTTGCCGGCCCTCCATCTTACGTCCACTCCTCTCTCAGCACCTCCGTCGCAAGATGGACAAAACAAAGTCAAGGCTTGCGGCCTTTTTTGACAACGACGACGAAGAGTCTTCGTTCCCAGTGCGACGGACCCGAACTTCTCTCTAACGCGCCGTCCCGCTCACCTCCCCTTCGTTCTCCCTCTGTGAATAGCAAAAGGAGGTAGACGACCACAAGAAGTCGGTATACACCCAAGGCACCGTCCGGAAGTCCAAACGCGAGAAAGAGAAGGAGGCCGCCGAGGCGAAGCGCAAGGAGGAAGAGGAGCACGCCGCGAAAGCGTACGCGGAGTTCCTCGACGCGTTCCAAGGAGAGGGCACGGACAGGAAGAAGGGCGCTTCGACGTTCGTACGTGCGGGCCAGGATGCGGGGGGCTCTGCGTATGTGCCGTCTGTCAAGCCCAAGGCGGACATGTCGCGCGCATTCGAGGATACGTCCATGGTCAGTCTTCGTGACATGCAGCGTGTTTCTCTCTTGTGACGTGCGCGTGGTACTACAGAGAGCTCCGTCTCCTCCACCAGCCGCGCCGAAGCCCAAAGGAAAGCGTGCCATGGACTCGTTCCTCGAGGAGATCAAGAGGTACGTCTATCCCCTTTGCGCCGATGCTTCCGTGCCAACCGCGGTTGCTAGAGAGCAAGCAGACCGTGAAGCAAGACTATCACGTCATGGTACGTGTTTTGCTATTACTACTCAATGAAGCGAATTTCTGAAGCGTTAATATCCCAGCTACACATGGAAGATCCGTTACTTCCATTGCAGGTACGGACATAGCGCACTGTGGTAGGTCGGAGCGCTGAATGAAGTATCGTATACAGCATATGAAGGTCAAAGTGGCAGCAAGGACAGGGGAGATCCAGAGGTGCGTTCCTGGCTCATACAATCGCAACAGGCCGTTCATTTCTCGCTACAGACCTCCAACCTTTTTGTTGCCAACCTCCCGCAGCATATAAACGAGCAGGCAATGGGAAATTTCTTCGCTCGCGCTGGCCCTGTTGGTTCAGTACGTTGTCAGATCTCTTTCATCTTTAGATATATACTGAAAGCTGATCTTTGCTAGATTAAAATCATGTGGCCGCGCAGTGACGCCACGCAAGGCCCTGGCTCGGACATGACCGCCACCAGAAGGAACAAGAACACAGGCCTCAGCGGCTTCGTGTCCTTCATGAAACGTCGAGACGCAGAAACGGCACTACGAGAGTTCGATGGGTACGATTGGGGTGGATCAGTCCTCCGAGTGGGATGGAGCAAAGCAGTCCCGGTCGCCGCGAGGCCGATGTATGGTGCGTTTATGCTCACCTTCGCGGTGTAATGCATCGTCCTCAAAGTCTATGCAGTCTCCAAGAAGACAATTTCTAGGTCACCTTCCAGGTCGCGGTCCCCTGCTCGCAGGGACCGCGAACACGACCGACATCGGTCATACTCTCGATCAAGATCCCCTCATCGCGACCGAGACGACCGTCGCTCTCGTGATCAACAGCCATCTCGTCGTTCTCGGAGCCGTTCGTACAGCCCAAGTCGATCACGCTCACGCTCTCGCCACCACCGTTCATACCGGCATAGCAAAAGCCGAAGTCGGTCACCCCGACGACGAAAGTCGAGCCCAGCTGCCCAGGTTTTGGAGGACGACGAAGTCACGGATGCGTTCATCAGGACCGTCGCCTCCGAAATGAGAGGTCACGACAAAGAGTACGAAGAGACGTTGCGGGAGCGAGAGAAAGCCAACTCCAAGTATGCATTCCTCAACAAAGAGGTAAAAAAAACTGCCTAAAGCACTGAAGGACATCAATGTTGACCTTGTTGACTCCAGCATCGGCGTTACCGCTACTACCGCTCGCTTCTGGACCGCAAGGACGCGCCGGATCCCGAGTTTAACGACGAGGTAGGATTGCCTCCCGGTTTCTGTTCTATTGGTACTAACATTGGTCCACAGGGCTACAACTCCGTGTACTCTACAGACTCGGCCGAGGAGTCGGAACGAGAACGCGGTCGAAAGCACGTCTTGGGGAAGCTCGCCCGCAAACGGTTCGAGGCAATGCTCCGTGCCCTATCAGGCCGTCGCGGAGAAATGGCGCGCTGCATGGCGTTCAGCCTCGAGCATGCCGAAGCCTCAGCAGAGGTTCGTCTTTCCCCCTTTCTACCTCACTCACTGCATAAACTGACCCGTCTCCTTCCCTCTTCAGGTCGCAGACATCATCATCGCCTCGCTCGTCGTCGACGGCACCCCGGTCCCGCGCAAAGTCGCCCGCCTGCACCTCATCTGCGACATCCTCCACAACTCCGCCGCGCCGCTCCCGATGGCCTGGCGGTTCCGGCAGGAGTTCCAGGCGCGGCTTGGGCTCGTCTTTGACCACCTCTCGACCATCTACCACTCCTTCCCCGGGCGCATCACCGCCGAGACGTTCAAGAAGCAGATCACCGCCGTCGTCGACATCTGGGAGGACTGGATCGTCTTCCCGCCCGAGTACACCGCGCAGCTCCGTGCCCGTCTCGAGGGCGCGGCCACGAGTCCCGACGACGACGAGGATGCGGGCCCTCTCGAGGAGGTGCGGGAGCGCGAGGCGGAGGCGGCCCCTGCGTTTGCAAATCGGTTCAAGTCGAGCGCGTTCAAGCCTGCATCGTCGGCGATGGAACCCGTGCCGACGGAGGAGGAGGACGACGACGACGACGGGGAGCCGATGGACGAAGACAGCGACGTGGATGGCAAGCCTGTGGATGACGACGTGGACGGGGAGCCTGTCGGAGACGATGTGGATGGAGAGCCGGTTGGGGACGACGTTGATGGGGCTCATATGGACCTGGACGGGGCTCCAATGGAGGACGTGGATGGGGCGCCGATGGAGGATGTCGATGGAGAACCCTTTGGCGACGTGGACGGCGACGCCATCGACGTGGATGGAGAGCCTGTGGCTGATGTCGATGGGGAGCCAGTCCGTGCGTAACTTGTCACCATAGCCACATTCGCGACTTCGTTCACACTCGTAACACCTGCGTGCACGACCAAGCCAGCACACTTTCAAACAGAAGACGAGAAACCCGGTATGCATTATGCCCCAAAGCCCGTTTCCATGCGATTCCTGTATATGCTATGTTAGATGTCGTGGCTATCATACCCTAGCTAACGGCCCTTGGGTGCATTACGCCTCCCGTCGTTCACGGCGCGGAGGACGGGGGCTGTTGGTGTTGGTCGTCATCTTGAGGATTGCGTCCTTCGCAGCGATAATCGCGGTCTCCGAGCCTGTCACAAACAGAAGCACGTCAGCATCGACGCCCCCACCCAGGTGGAAAGCAAAGCAAACACCCACCAACGATGACGATCGTGCTGTCCTCGTGGCTTACAGTGATGTCCGCACCGCTCTCGTTGCGGAGGCGGGCGACGTTCGAGCCCTTGGAGCCGACAATCCGCGGGAACATCGAACGGTCGGGCAGGGTGAGGAAGCCGACGTGGGTCATCTTCTCCGCGTGCGCGAGCCCCTCCGCGATGAGCTTGAGTGCGCGGTCGAGCCCGGCCTGTTCGCGCGCCTTGAGCGTCCAGACGGAATCGCCCTCCTCCGCGTCCTGGTAGTTGGACACGACCTGCCACTGCGCCTGAGCCGCCGCGCCAGCGTCCACATCAGCGTCGTCGATGCGCGCCGTCGCGGCGCCCGCGGGTGCCGTGGGCTGCGGGGGCACGGCGGGCTTGGTCGGCGATGCAGACTGCTCGACGTGCACGCCAGAGGAGCGGAGCTGGCGGAAGAGGTTGCCCTGCTGCGAGACGGCGTAGTGGTACTTGAGCGGGACAGTGACCGTTCCAGTGACAGCCTCCGGAGCAGGGGGCTTGACAGAAGACTAAACAGAGACGTCGTCAGCTGACTGTCCTACAACATTGAAGGTCGGACGATTACCTTAAGCTCCTGAATGGCCTTCTCGCAAGCAGCGCGAGGACCAGATACCTTGACCAGGTTGGTGGGATCGACACCCGCCAGGTCGTCGGTGTTTTCGGGCTCGCCGACCTGGTTGTACGAGCGCGAGCCAGGGAACTGAATCTGGGCCTTTGTGCGCTCTTGCAGGTCGTTGAGGTGCTGACCGCCGCGGCCGATGAGAGCGCGGTGCTGGGACTCGGGGATGTCGACTCCGAGCACGACGCGGTCCTTCAGCTCGGCGACCTTCTTTTCCAGTTCCGCTTTGAGCTTCGCCACGAGCTTGGGCTCACCACGCAGGCGAACCTCGTCGGAGGGCTCGCCCTGACGCGGGCTGTGTAGGGAAAGGTCAGCTTCACCATTCAACTGACAACAAAGAGTAGGTAGTACTAACAAGCGAATCAAGCCCGCCTGAGCCTTGGAGTCAGAGGGGCCGCCGCAACGAGAGATGAGATCCTTAAGGCCTTGTCCGCCGGCACCAATGATCGTGCGGTGGAACTTGCTAGGGACATCGAAGGTCGCCGTAGTCTCCTCCGACACTTGCTCAGAAATAGCGAGGATGGCCACTTTTGCCTCGTTGATGGCCTTTTTGGGGCCGCGGACGGTAATCGTAGCGTTGTCCTTGTCATCGGCCAGCTTGTCGACATCGATCTGGACACCGGACGTGTCCTTGATCTCGTTGATGGTGGCACCAGCCCTGCCGAGAATACGAGCGACGGAGCGAGCGGGGACAGTGAACTTGACTACATTGTTCGTTTCCCTCTCGAATTCCACAGCCTGAAACAGGTAGTTCACTTGACATGGGTAAGAGACACGAAGCACATCCACTTACATCCATGAGTTCCTGCTTGGCAGCGGCCACGCCCTTCCTGCCACCCTTGACGAGGACCTCGTCCGCCTTGAGAGGCTCGCGCGTCCTACTGTCGCCCTCCGCAGACTCACGCGGGAACGTGATCTTGACGCTGTACTTGTCCTCGAGTCGGATGACGTACTTCCCGCTCTGGCCGATGAGCGACGAATGGTACTGGTGCGGAATCTTGAGGGTCTCGGACGTCTCGTCCGCGAGGCGGTCCGCCTGTGCTTGGATGCGGTGCTTCGCCTCCTCGACGTTCTCCTTGCGGCCAATGATCTTGACCTTAGACTTCTGGTGCGAGCCCACAACGCCCTTCTTCCGCTTCCCGCTCTCCTTGAACTCCTTGTCCTCGCCCTCGTCCGAGAAGTCGATCTTGACACCGAGCTGGTCGCGGAGCTTGTTCACCCCAGCACCGCCGGCACCGACGATCCGGCCGACATACTCACGCTCGATTTCGAACTCGATCGAGTGTGAGCTCGCGATCTCGTCGTTCTTCGCGTCCTCGACGATCTTCTTGATGTGCTTGACGGCAAGGTCCACGTCCGCGCTGATGCCACGGACGAGGATGAAGCTATCGGTGGCTTGGCCGGCGGCGGACCCGTACTTGACAGAGAGCGTGTTGTCCTCGCCCATGAGTGCGTTGAGGTCCCGGCCGACGGCGTCGTGCCACTTCTTCTCGACCTCGACGATTTCACTCTTGACGTCAGCAGCATCGCGCGCCATCTTGAGCAACTCCTTCTCGACGTCCTCTACACTCTTCAATTTTTCAATCGGAGAAGGGGAGGCATTGGGGGAGGTGGGATCGTAAACCAGGAGGACCGTGGATTGTTCGGCAGACTCGGGAGGGAAGAAGACCAAGACGTTGTAGACATCATGGAAGCCCTTGATCCTGCAAGAGTGTGAGTTCTAGAGAGATATCTGAAGTGGTATAGAGTCACGTACTTTTTCGCGTTCTTGTGTGAGTTGATGATTTCGTGATGGAGCCAGTCGATCTGAACGTCCTTGGTCGCGCCGTATAGTTTGCCAATAAGAGCCGAGGTTTCGCTAACTGCCGCGTCCACACTGGGCTTGTCACCAACGATCTCAACGTTGATCGTTGTCGCGCGGTCCAGGATGGAGAGAGGAGGGGTGAACACCTGAACGCCAGGGTGCTTCTCGGCGAGTGTCTGGGCGTAATCCACGCGCACCATGTACGTCAAAAGCTGCTTGGAGGTCGCAAGGGGCCGGGGAGCGGGAACTCGTGAATGTACGCAGAGTTAGCCTTCTCCATCACGGCACCCACACCGTTGCCGACGTCGGCGGCCTTGGCCCAGAGAATGATCTCCTCGCTCGAGTCCTCGGGCGAAGGCAGGACGACAGCGCACCGAGACGTGGCCATGATGTCCTCGATGTTCTTCGGGGTGAGCAGACGGTGTTGGCGCTTGGGAAGCGACAGCTTGAGCGAGATCGTCTCGGCCGTGAAGTAGTCGACAGCAGACTTGATCGCCTCAATGGCGCGTCCAACAGCCCCGCGTTCACCGGAGACAGTAATCTCGCGCACGGCAACGTTGAGCTGGAGAGTGACGTCGCCGTTGGCCGCGGCCTCGATGGTCGCGCGGCGCGGAAGGAGGAACGGTAGGACGTGCTCGGGGATTTCACGCACACGCTTGACCGAGTGCCTGGAGCCAATGATCCCGTTGAGCATGTCCCTTGCTTCATACGCAAAGGGCTGCGGGCCGGTGATGGTGACTGGGATCGTGGGCTCCTCCTCTTCATCCCCTAAGGACGGGGTGCCGGGAAGGGGAGTTGCTGTGCGAGACGGGTCGTGCGAGGTGCCGTTTGTGCCGTTGGTCGGAGCGAGTGTATCACGGCGGGGAATATCGATCTTGACATTGGTCTGGTCGCGAACCTGCTTGAGAGTGACACCCTTGGGACCGATGATCATAGGGATGGTGGCCGCCGGTGCGTCCAAGACCAAGGTGACCTGCACAGACACCAAAGTCAGTCCATGGCGCGGGAGAGAGGATTCAATCGGCCTGGGGTCTAGCCAGAGGCTTCTTGCAGCGCGCGTGATGATGGGATTACCACGACGTGGCATACTCGCACTACACGTTGCGCTGCACGAGCCTCGACGCGTGACATAAATGAACCCCACTCTGAACACACAAAAGTGTGGGGTAGTGGTCCGGGAGTGCGGAGAGACGTACAATGGGGCTGAGGTGCGCGAGGAGGCTGCGCTTCGCCTTGTCCAGCTCTTTCTTGCTCTCGGCCTTGAGGTAGAACGTAGTCTGGCGCGACTTGGCGTTCGTGGAGGAGTCGAGCTTGACCTTGTACTGCGCCATGACCTGCTTCGCGATTTCACCGAGCGAGGTCGGCTTGCCATCCCTGCCGGCGGTGGAGAGGTCGATGGACGAAATCACCAACGAGTCCGAGAAGACGGGCAGCTTCGAGGCCGCAGGCTTGATGCGCGGGCCGGCGTTCGCGCCCCAGGCGGCAGAGACAGGCTTCGCCACCTGTGTGACGGGGGCGAGCGAAGGAAAAGCCTCTTGGGAGCTGGTGTCGACGCGACCGTTGGACGGGGCGACACGGGGCCGGGTGGGGATGTCGTCTGCCAGGCTGGGGAAGGGGTCCGGGGCACCTTCGAGTTCGTGCCTCCTCTACGGAGACGGATGAGAAGGGTGGGCGAAACGGACGGGCGCCTGCGAGAGTGGAAGGGGGAGAGACATACCTGGAGGTCAGCAGCGGAGAGAGCCATGGTTGGGGGAGTGAACGGGTGTCCGGAAAGCGCGAGGCCTAAGACGGGGGGACCAAGCGACGTCCGTGGGGAGCCGCAGATTAGAGATGAGATGAGAGGAGAATCCAAGTGTGCTCCTTCACCGACCGACGTGGGCCGTCCCCAGCCACGCCCGTAGGCGTCTAAATTCCCCGTGCGACTCCCCTGCCCCTTCCGGCCGTCATACTCACCATCTGCTCTAAAGCTCTAATGCTTATTTCGCAGCGCACGCAGCATCAGCGGACGTCCATGCCGAGTCCATGCCGGTCCATTATAGCTACGTAGTAGAAATAAATAATCCCTCTAGTCGCCATGCGGCTCAGAGATCGCTCCTCCCAGGGCCCTGGTCCTTCCCGGAAAGCCTGAAGACGCTCGTCACCGCTTCAACTACGCCAGAGAGCACATCCAACACGCCCTGGACACACTCGATTGTGCCATCTCGACAAGCGCGCACCCAGAAGGCAAGCTTCTCGAGCACGTCCGAGAACATGTCTTGCGGTGCGCCGGCTTGACCAGCGGGTGGTGGGTGGGTCGCCTGCGACTGTACGTCAGTGCTGGACCAGAAGCGTCCGTGAGAAAGATCGACGCTCACCTTTGGCACCTTGTTGATTGCGGATCGCGCAACTTCGAGGAGGCGCGCCTCTTCGTCTGCATTGGCCTCAGACCACATCCTGCGGAAGTTCTGGACCACGTGCAGAGACTCGACCAGACGATGGAGCGTGTTCATCAGAGCGACAAGCTCAGAACGCTGCAACAGGTTGACGTTCGCTTTAGGGCTAGAAGCCATGTCAGCATCACAGCAGCGTCGGACGCGTTCCGGACCACTCACTCTAATGCTTTCTCGTCGAGTTCGAAAAGGACCTTCAGAGCGGTCGCAATGCCGGTCGTCTGCACCTTACCCCACAGGCGGCACTTGTCGCAACCGACACAGTCCATTATGCGCGTCACGTTGCGGAAGTGCTCTTTAAACTCCTGCTTCAGCACGTTCGCGTTCTCGCCCCGGAATAGCACAGACTCGTCGAACCGGCCCACTGCGCGTGCGATGTCGATGACCTTCGTCAGGCGCTCGATCGTCTCAGTGTCGTCTTCGTGAGCGCCAGTGCCGCAGTAATCGTACGCCGAGAGGTACGGCCCGAGGCGTGCAACGGCACGCAGGAGGAGGATGGCGTCGAAGTACATGTACTCCATCCGCTCCGGATGCGCCGCGACGCGTGAGATGAAGCACTCGAGGTTCGGGCCCTAAGTGACAAGTCAGCCGCGCATCTTAACAAGAAAAGTCCAAGTAACAACTCACCCATTCACCAGTTGTCTGGTTCATGTCTTCATGGCATATATGCGTCGAGATACTAGCATGGAGCCCGGAGACGACCTTGTAGTACACTCTGCGCTCAAGGCACTGTTCTACCTTCTGGCTCCCTGTGTCTTCCCCCCTGAGCGCCTCGGTCATATCATCTGGCAGGCTAACGGGAGCGGGGTTGGGTGCCTTCATCAGACCGAGTTCCGACATGCCGAAGCAGTTCTCCTCGTAGATGGCTGTCCAGACGCGGTGCGCGGAGGGACCGGTATAGCCAGTGAAACGTTCGGGGTTCAGCGTGAGGTCGATGTAGTCGCCCTCCGTCTCGTCATCCAAAAAGCAGAAATCCGAGTCGCGGTAGTAGCAGCCGGGTAGTTGTGTCCTCTGCACAGTGCACCTCTTGAGCGGATGTGTCGCGTGCACGAAGTGACTGACATACCTGGTCCCCACGCTGGACTTTACTCAGCGCAGCGGCTCGCCAATTCTCGGGAATCTCGCTCTGCAAGGAGTAGCGTAAATAATACGGCTGGCTAACAAGAAACCAGCAGGACTCACCTCGTCCACAGTTGTGATACCACACTCCCGGTTCATGCAGAGGCCATTTTCCTGCCAGTACGGACAGTCGCGATACAAATCCGCGCGGAAGTACTTGAAAAATGGTGTCTCGACAAGGGCGTGCACTTCTTCATAGAGTGTGTCCGCGACGCTCTCCATCGTCTCGAAGTCGCATTGGGTCATCTCGATCGGTCCCGTTGGCTATTTCGTGCAAGCGAACGCGAATCCCTTCAGCACTCGTGTTCGACACCCAGAAGACGGGGGAAGGCGTAGAGAGGGGCATTAGGGCGCAAAGAACATGGTACTCACGAACTGTTTGCATGATGGGTCCGAGGCGGGCTCATGCTCGAGCACGGACTTCACTTGCGGACTCCGCCCTGCGCCTTCGCCGAGGAACGTCTCCTGGGACCCCGACGCATCCGCGCTTGCGACAAGCGGATCAAGAAGGGAGGCAAAGAGGAGAGCGTACACCGAACGCGAGAGCATTTGGCCGAATACAAGTTATTGCGCTGCCGGCTCGCGTGAGGTCGAGTGGGCGAGTGGAGTTCGTTTGTGTGCGCGCAGAAGAGTTGTGAAGGGCGCGGGAGGGTGAACTTATAGTGTTGATGGAGATGGAAGGGTAAGCAAAGGAGCGGCTAGGGACGCTGCGATGTGTCAGACACGTCGGGCAGGGGACGGGGGAATCCAAGGATATGTACATTCGTCGGGCCACGTTGGCGCGAGAAAGCAACGCGCTCTGATCTCCCCGCGCCGACCGCCCGCCCAAGCCTCCGCCGCCTCGTCCCACGCTCTGGGAGGTTCCAGCCACTTCCGCTCGCACTCGACGCCTCTCGGCCGCCAGCCTACACCTCGCTCATCTCCGCTCTCCTCACCCGTCTCGGTCGAGACGTTCAGGACGCCATCCAGTGCATAGCCTCGCGCGGGCGGTGTGCGATGTCATACCGCTCCGTGCGAGTAACGACGACTTGAATGGGGTCTCAAGCGCTCAAGAGCATGTACTCCGGTTCAACCCCAAGGTGGTGCGTTTGACACTGGTCTAACAACAACCAAGTCTTTCTGGTAAGTTGCAATATTTTTTCGTGCCATGTTCAGAACTAAATCATTGCAAGGCATGCTATAGATCTCTCTCTCTTCAAGTACTCAGATCGTTACCAAACAGTCACCATCGGCACAGGTATCGTCATCAGTCTTGTCTGCTGGTTCTGAAGTCTTTGCGCCTGAATACTTCACCGTCGCGAACAGTGTTATGTAAACCTCGTACAGCAGCTCTGAGGCATACGTTTTGTTGCTGAGTTTTGAACTTCTCCCAGGTCAGCTTCTCTGCACCACGTTCTCCCTATTCCCTGTGATCATCCGTGGCCACAATGTCCACCAGCGTACATCTCATCCCTAACGAGCTTCTGTTTCTTTTCGCGACCGAGGATCGGCTTCAGGACGGCCGGACGATGACTCTCCCTTCAGATACTTCAGAAAGCCGCCTCTAAACTGCTCACCCTCACGCACGTTAGTGGAGGGTGGAGCGCAAGACGGATCGCTTTTGGAAGGCCTATTCGCGACACGGGCGCATTCCATCTCTCTTGTTTTACATGAACAGGCTTCAGGATCACTAGCGAGGGAGATTATGGCTCGACTGGAGCTGACGCTCCTCGGTAGCCGACCTCACGCGGTTTCCCGGATCTCGAGGTTTTCAATGTCAAACTCCAGCACGGTGTAGATCGTCATGCATCATGTTCAACAGACCTGTGTCACCTCTCCCCGAGCGCTTATAATCGGAGGACCCCGTCGGCGGTGTCCGTTCCTAACCTCATCCACCTGCACCAGTCGTTCTGGTGCTCGGTACGGACACCGGGGGAAAATATCCTTGCTGTTCTCGCACGCACTCCGTCGCTCCAACACCTCTAGCTCGACGACGTTGAGAAACCACTAGTCGACAACGCCGTCACCGTCGACGTCGTCCCATTTCCGTTGGATCACACCAACTGCGTGGAAGACGCTCTGCTGCTTCTCATCCTCCTCGAGTATCCGCTTTTCGATTTGGTCTGGCACCACGGCAACTACGTCTTCGACGATCTCAAGACCCCCCTGTGATCCTCTTCGAGCACGTCTCCTTCCTTCCCAAGGATGCGTCATCCCAACTCCAAGCGTTCGCCCCGCGGGTTACATTCAGGAACATCTACCCTCTTCTTCGATCTTCGGAGCCATCTGTGGTTGAATTCGACTCGGATCAAACCCCCACTTCACCGGACTCACAACCCTCTTCCGGCTGGAAGGCGACGAAGGTCACAACACGACCTGCTACTCCTGTGTCTTACGCGGCCTGCCTCTCTCGAACCCTGTCCAACACGCCGTGTCCTCCCGCTCGACATGTTCTGCCACTACTTCCCGTACCTTCCTGCGCGGGCCCTTCCCCCCTCTCGAGAATGGTGACCCACAAGGATTTCGGATTCTCCGCATGAGCCACCGAACCAGTTCGAGTGGTGCACGCTCACCGCTCCTCGTAGCTCCGCATCTTCTCATCGTACGTGGCGTTCAATCGATTCTCCTTTTGGTTAACCTTCTCTTGAATGAGGTCATCCATCTGTACCACGCCATTAAATACGCTTCAACAATCACCAACAAGCACACCTTCTGTTCAAGTTGCTTCATACGTGAATCGGTTCGCGTTCTCGAGAGATGTATTTTCATTCAAGCGTTTCCGCAGCTCGGCGTTCTCTTCCCGGGCGCGCTGCAACTCAGCTTCAAGTTCACGGGCCTCTGCCACCTTGACAGTTTGGTCCTAACGCAGAAAGGTTGTAGACGCAGCTGGGCACTAGATCCATAGTATGACGTACTACAGCAGCCTCAAGGAGAGGGTAAGGGTCCGGAGCTTCGGCGAGAACCTTGTACACATTCAAGAAGGCATTCTCCGCAGTCTTTAACCGTTTTGTGAGACTGTCTATCTCGGTCTGGTATGCTGCAGTAAAAAATTAAACGCAAACATGCGACAGATGTCCAAGAGACGTACCTTTCAACAAACCCTTGAAGGCTGTGAGCTTCTCTCCATCCGATATCTTCTTGAACTCTTTGAGGCACCCTATAAGGCAATGCCATAACATGAACAACGCCCTACTCGCCCATGATCCGATCTGCAAGGGCTTTACGCCCTACTGCGCTCTCCTTCTAGTTCTCGACAAGTTCTATGCCTTGGGCATTGAGTGTCTTTTGCAGCTCAGAGAGATTAATATCTGCTGTTCATGAGAACCACTACAATACATGTAGCAGAGTGTAACGAACCCTTCAGGTTGCCAATGCTCTAGAGAAGTTCTGTTCCGGGGCCGCCATGACGGGCAAGTGGTACGAGATCCGTGATATTCCAAAGGCGCCAAGAAGTTACAACGTGTTTTAGCAGAGAGAAGAGACTGGCTCCGATAGGATGGTAGGGACTCCAGAGTTGCTCCAGAGGGAGAGTTACACATCGAGGACGGTGGCGATGACCCTCGCAGTAGGGGCTCGAACGCGGTAGGTCCTTCCCAGCCACGAAGACGTCGCGGGCGCTCGGACGTGCCTGCTCATCGTATCCGACAGCGAGCTCTGCCTGGCACGCGGACTCGGACGTCGCGGAGCCTGTTTCTCTCCTCCCCTCTTCCTCGCTCTTTCTGTTTATTCGCCATGTTTCCCATTCGCGGGCCGTGCGCTCCACGTGCGGTGCGCGCACCTACGCGTCGATGCCAGCTACATCCTCAGTCCCGCACGCGGTCCGCGCCCGCGGCGGACCCCGCGCTAGTCACCGGCCAGCTTCAACCTCGCGCCCACCCGCCGGTTCGCGGAGTGGCGCATTGTCATGGCCCTCCGAGGGCCGCGGACCGTTTTTCGTGCCCGTCCCCTGGATCGGAGCAGCGCGCACGGGGAGGACGGCACCGGGTGCGGGCGGCGTTCCAGCGGGGAAGGGAGGCTGTTCGCGCGGGAGGAGACCGGGGCGGGGCTCGTTCCGTCGACAAGGCGGGGAAGGACGGGAACGTCACCAGATCACCGAGGCGCGCGGGATGGGTACCTGCTTTCGACGAGGCGCAGGAGTTCGTGCCGTAGTCCCAACTTTAGGACTCGTGTTATATCGGTGTGAGGTTCTGTGTTCAAGCCGAATGTAGATCATCCTCCCACCGGTATACATAGAACATGTGCCGCGCGACGCACGAGCGACGGCAGCGGCTAGGGATACAGCTCAAGGTCAACAGGCAGGCGAACGGACTCGCATGCTGAACTCGGCATACGCTGACACTCCTCTCTTCCCACTCTCTAGTCACCTCATCTCCAGGTTTTGAAGTCGGTACAGACGGCACGCAACACTGGAGCGAAGCTATTCACGGAACGCCTACTATTCATACAACGGCTCGGGGGAATTACGGGGGGCGTTCGGGGCCCGTCACAGAAGGAGCGCTAAGGAAGTATACAGGTATGTATTGCAAGGGAGTGTGTGGGGGTACGTATGTGCGATGCAAGGATGCTAGATGTCAGAGCAGAGCAGAAGAAAGAGTCGGGTCACGATAACCGTCGATGAAGTAAGAGGTGGATATAGCAAAGAACGCCCCTGTGGCAATAAGGTAGGGAGGAAGTTGTGGCGGGTGGTCCACGAGAGACAAGCATGTCCTAGAGTACAGTACGCTACGCAAGATGGCGAGAAACCTCATAGCAAGCCGTGTGTGCGATTGCGTGACGCGGAGAAAACGGACGTAGTCAAAGCGGCGGGGAGCGTGGGGGTGTAATGTCGGGTATGTCTGAACAGTAAGCGAAACCCAAGATACAGGCGAAAAACTACGGTGGAGGAGGAGCTGGGCGCCACTTAGTGATGACACAACCTCGATGTGGCTCATGTTGTCCGCCTTCGGTCCGAAAGGATTTGGTAATGGTCGTGGAGGAACGCCAACCCAGCCGCGAATTTGCGAGCTCGAAATGAGGTCATATTCAAGGCATCGGCCGGATGCGTTCGTAGAGGTTGCCGTGACTGCTGCAGTCGTGGAGGTGGATTGGACGTAATTCGGCAGAAACATGCGGACCTTCCCTTTCTTGATCACTGTGTTGATAAGGTCAAGATTGGCTGACTCGGGAGGTGGGGGTGGAGGCGGAGGCAAATTCCGTCGTCGAGTGTTCCCCGAGGTTGACGAGTTGGTACTGGAATAATTGTCGTCGTCCGAATCCGAGGCATCGCCATGTGGGTCATCGTAGTGAGCGTCGAAGTCCGAGCCATCCCAGGTCAGCACGTCTGCTTGCGCAAACATGGTGTTAACGTCGAAAGTGCCTGAGTAGAGGGGGTCGACAGTGAAACGAGTATTGCCGAGATTGTTTGACGCGCGCATCTGCAAGTTCACGGGATACGTTGACGGGTCGTGAGTGATAGAAACATCCAACGGAGCGTTGAACGTCTCCACGCTGGCGATGAAATGCGGTCCATGCGCGGGAATCATGCCATCTTGTTCATCATCGCTGTCACTGTTGTGGCCATCATCTGATGGAGGGGCGACATAGAGGGTGACGTTCGCATTGAGGATGCTGCACAGTCAAGAAGTTAGGGATAGAAAGCGCCAGAAACGCTAACTGCGCACTTATTTCCAGTGGTGAGCCGCATGTACGTTGGTGTACGGGGGGTGTTGTTGTTCATGAGATGGATATCAGCATGTATTGGACTGAAGGGACGTCAGCCAGGATCGCAGCGGTGATAGCAGAAAACGACTTACGCAGAAACCGTTTCCAGCGAGAGCATGGAGTCCACTTTGAAGGAGCCACGAATTTCCGCAGTGGAGGCTTTGATTGTGACGGAAGAGGCCCGTATTGACTGCGGAGACGTCAGGACCAGCGGATATGGATTGTGAGAAGAATGCGTGCCTGAACAAATACGCCTGCCATAGCTCCACCAAACACAACGGTATCGAAAGCAACAGCGGGGTCGAGTTGTCCATAGGTATGTTGGAAGTGAGGGAGGTGACATAGGAGTTGGGGCACGTAGGAAGGGGATGGGTTGCCTTGTGGGAGCAGGAGGGTGATGTTGAAAGAAAGGGCGTCCGACTGATTCAACAACTGAGGGGTCTGCGGGGCGCAGTGAGATGAGCGATATTTTCGGAGCAAAAAAGAACATACGAAGATGTAGAGTCCACCCCCTTGACCCGTCAGCATCTGACAGACGTTCGTCTCTTTCGAAAGCCGGGGACTCGTTGAATACATCGACACGTAAATGATACCTTCGTCAACAGACGGGTCATCGTTTACATCGACTAGCAACGAGCCGGAGAAATGGTTGAGATAGGCCGCGTTGGAAGTGTAGGAAATGTTGGTATTGAGAAAGACGGAGCGATTTGTAGGGATGGAGTAGTTCAGTCTGTCGCGGCGCAGCGAGGTGAATGAGCACCTGTGGGCAACGTAATGACGGAAGTACTCACTGGGACAGGAACAAGTTGCCAGCCGGTCTATCCTTGACGTGCCAAGCATTGCATGATCTTGCTGCAGATAGCCTCAACGGCGCGTCACCAAGGGTAATGGAGTTTGTGACGGTAGGAGAGGATTGGTCCCATGGTGGATAGGGATTGCCCTTAATGGCCGTCTTCTTCTTCATTTTCTGAAGGCGCGACGGCCCGGGTTGGAAGGCGAACGGGTAGTAAAGGAAAAGACTCACAACAACAATGATTGGGATGCCGATGACGACGGTAAGGAGAAAGTAAATGGTAAGGGCAAACACTCCGTATTTCCTGCATCTCCGCCTGCGGGTCCGCTTCTCTTTAATTTCGGGTAAGAAAGGGTCGTAGGTCTAAGCTGGGCTTGGGAGGCTTCATAGTCGGGGAGAGAAGGGGTGGGGGTGTGAGGACGGACTACCGAGACGGAGGTGGAGGCCTCAGCCACGAGCTTGTGAGCCTGGCGGTCGTCGGGCTTGTCGTCGATCCCATCAAGGAGAATCATGACCAGGAATCGAGCGAGCTGATGGCATGGGGAGCTCAGAGGGCGGGATGGAGGGACGGGAAGGAAGCTCGGAGGAAGGAGAGGGCGTGAGCACTTTGCATGTCGCCACGGCCGCATCCGTTGCCGGCGCCTGGCCAATCCCAGTGATCTCATCCTCCCCACATCCTCCTTCTGCCGGACTGGCTCCTTCCGCGCCTGGTTCTCTCCTCTCCGTCTGTGTTGCCGTCTACTGCCCCCGCGCCCGCTGCCTCCCCCCGTCCGACGAACTTTCACTTTCCTCGTGTTCTCGCCTCCCCCAGACTGGCGCTCGCCGACAGTCGCCTTCCCCGCTCGGAACTCATCTCGTCCGCGCCGCCTGCAGTCCTCCCGTGATGTTTTCCACCTCTGCGTGCAGGAGTCTCGGCCCAGGAGAGCTGTGTCTCGTGGTATTAGCTGGTCATAACGACTCTCAGTGTGGACGGGATTCCCCGGGAATTCTGTTATCCGCCCCGTCGAGGACCGTCCGGCTGAATGCAATTCCGCACGCAATCATTCAATGCGTCGCACGGTCCTCGTACCTTTCGAGAACGCGCTAGTCACCCCTACTTACAGCCATTACGACACCTAAAGCCTCGGACGTAGTGGCCTTCAAGGAACAAGCCTGTGAGTGCGAACGTCGCGCGCAAGTACTTCTCGAATATGCGGTTAGGATGCTCATCGCAGGCTGCGCGGATGCTTCGACGACGATTTCCTTCCGTCTACGTAATGCCATTACAGCTGGTGTACGGTGGTGTGATGCATGGTCTTCATAGGAAAGATCATGTCTAACTATAGGGTCGCGCAGTCCCGTCTTACACGCCTCAGGCTTCGCCACCCATACCATACTCGATTGACTGTGCATCTTGCATGTTCCCACTTGGAAGTCGATCGTTGCACCGACGACTGCGCCCAAGGCCATGTGACGGTAGACGGTACCGGGTGCGGGACATCGCGCCCGTGGGTACGTTGGGGCCTTGAGGATGCCGTGACGCCGGAGTAGTTCAGCCGGCAAACCGATGAAGAGAAAGATCGGAGAACACCGCCGTTTCTACCAAGCCAAGTGTGGAGGTTTGAGTCCTGGAGACGGACACCAAACCCACAATGGCGCTCAAGTGCTGGCAGAACGTTTACATGTACTTAGCAACTGCCTCGCTGCGTGATTGTTTTGAACACGCCAAGCCAAGACGGGCGTGAATGAGATGGACTGTGTCTGCAGACCACTGGGGGCGAAGGGAATGCATCGGGGGCGGACAGGTGAGAAGAGTGAGCACATGCTGGCGCAGATGGAGTGGCTTCTGCGATATGCAGCGTGGATGAACGCGTAGATAGGAATGCACGCGGCGCGCGGGGAGGAGACGAGAGGGCGCGCGGCTTTATAGCTGCGCACACGGGCGCTGCAGACAGGCTGACAGGTCCGACAGATCGACGGAGGGGCGGTGAGCGAAACTTGGCAAAAGGCGAGATGAACAAGCGTGGCAGCAGCCAAAAAGAGGGGGCCCAATCGCAACGGCGGCAAAACGGGGCGGGGGAAGCGGAGGCCCATCTCAGCGTGGCCGTGTTGTCAGAGCGTGCCGAATTCCAGATTCCTGCACATGTTGCTCCAGATCTGTGCACACAGACAGCCGCAATTCCAGATTCCGCCTCCGACCGTGATCAGGCGCGGGGCCGCGGCCCAATCGAGAGCACAACATACGTCTGATAGGGCAGTGTCCCCGCGCGCCTTTGTATCCCGCCCCCTGCGATTGGCCTCTCCTCAGGCTCCTTCCCCCCATGCCCTGCCTCTCATGTCCCCGGCGACAGTCCCTGCGGACATGCATCAGCGACGCCCGACTCTGAGCGAGCAAACGGCGGACGCTTAGGCAGAGTCCGACCGAGCAAGTCAGACGGCCCCGATTGCGTGATTGCCCCCTCACTCTTCCTCATCTATAAAACCTACCCCCGCCCCCCGATCGTCCTCACCACCACCGCCCTCCCTCTCCTCGTCCTCGACGCACCTCCCCTCTAGACGTCTGCATCTCCCTTCATACTCTTCATCCTCTCTTACATAAAATGGCCAACCCTCCCCACGGCGGTATCCTCAAGGTACGCATCCGCTTCTTCCTCCCCCGGCTGCGCACTCATCTTCCGCTTGTTACAGGACCTCGTTGCCCGCGACGAGCCCCTCCGCGAGACTCTCAAGGCCGAGGCGCACACTCTTCCCGATGTTGTCCTCACCGACGTATGTTTTCGTCCCCCTGCGCATTCCCCGAAGCATGCTGACAATGATGTCATCTTCAGCGCCAACTGTGCGATCTCGAGTTGGTCATGAACGGCGGCTTCTCTCCCCTCGAGGGCTTCATGAACGAGGCGGACTACAACGGGTACGTTTCATCCTCTCTGCTACGGAAATGCATGGAGATTGATCAACGGGTGTAGTGTCGTTGACAACCTCCGCCTCGCCGACGGCGCTCTCTTCCCCATGCCCATCACCCTCGATCTCTCGCGCGAGACCATCGACCGTCTCTCCATTGCCGCCGGTTCCCGCGTTGTCCTCCGTGACCCTCGCGATGACCAGGCCCTCGCGATCATCACCGTCGACGACATTTACCGCCCCGACATGGTTAAGGAGGCCATTCAGGTCTTCGGCGCCGACGACCCTGCCCACCCCGCTGTCGCCTACCTTCGCAACAAGGTCAACGAGTTCTACGTTGGTGGCAAAGTCCAGGCGATCCAGCCCCCCACCCACTTTGACTACGTCGCTCTCCGCTGTACGTGCCTGACATCGTTGTCATCGAGATCTGGAAACTTATCAAATTTCCCCAGACACCCCCGCTGAGCTTCGCGCTCACTTCAAGAAGCTCGCATGGCGCAAGGTCGTCGCCTTCCAGACGCGCAACCCCATGCACCGTGCTCACCGTGAGCTCACTGTCCGGGCTGCGCGCCAGCGCCAGGCGAACGTCCTCGTCCACCCCGTCGTTGGTCTCACCAAGCCCGGCGATGTCGACCACTACACCCGTGTCCGTGTCTACGAGGCCATCATGGCCAAGTACCCCAACGGCATGGGTCAGCTCGCCCTCCTCCCTCTCGCGATGCGCATGGCGGGTCCCCGTGAGGCGGTCTGGCACGCGATCATCCGCAAGAACTTCGGTACGACCCACTTCATCGTCGGTCGCGACCACGCCGGCCCCGGCAAGAACTCGCAGGGCAAGGACTTCTACGGCCCTACGACGCTCAGGACCTCGTCATGAAGTACCACGACGAGCTCCACATCGAGATGGTCCCTTCCAGCAGATGACCTACCTCCCCTCGACCGACGAGTACCAGCCGGTCGACGAGGTCCCCAAGGGCGTCCAGACGCTCGACATCTCCGGCACTGAGCTCCGCCGCCGCCTCAAGACCGGCGCGCCCATCCCCGACTGGTTCTCGTACGACGCCGTCGTCAAGACTCTCCGCGAGTCCTACCCCCCGCGCGCGAAGCAGGGTTCGTCATCTTCCTCACCGGCCTCCACGGCTCCGGCAAGGAGACGATCGCGAAGGCGCTCCAGGTCACCCTCAACCAGCAGGGCGGCCGCTCCGTCTCCCTCCTCCTCGGCGACACCGTCCGGCCCGAGCTCGACACCCCCTTCTCCGCCACGGCTGAGGAGCGCGCGAAGAACCTGCAGCGGCTCACCTTCGTCGCCGCCGAGCTCGCGCGCGCCGGCGCCGCCGTCGTCCTCGCGCCCACCGTGGCGTCCCAGGCCGCGCGCGACGCGGTCAAGGCGACCGTGCTCTCCCAGGCGGGTGCGGGTGGCAACTTCTTCGCGATCGACGTCGCGACGCCGATTGAGCACTGCGAGGCTGAGGACCGCAAGGGTGTCTACAAGCGGGCCCGCGCCGGGGAGTTCCACGGCTTCGCGGGCGTCGACGAGACCTTCGAGCCGATCGAGCGCCCCCAGCTCGTGGTCGACATCACGAAGCAGAACGTGCCCGAGATCGTGCACTCGGTGGTGCTCCTGCTCGAGACGGAGTCGCTGCTCTGAAGCTGTGGGATGGCGATCGTTGGGACGGTAGTCCCTTCTGTGCTATCTGGTGTGTTTATTAGACTATGACCATTGCTTTGGGAATTCTGCATATGTATCCACTATAGAGCATGTACATTCAATAGGGTGCGCAATAATTTATGCCACATCCATGCGTTCACGACATCTTTGGTGTGCTTCGAATATTGAGTACCATTCACATTATAGAGCACACTCGATCTTCCAAAGTGTTCAGAGGTCATTCATGGTTCAGGCGATAGTCTGCCTAGTGCGATAACGGTGGGAAGAGTGCAACGCCATTACACGAAAACTGATACACCGCCGCGCACGACTATCTAACGAACAAGATGTGAAAATTCGGCGCATGTTGGTTTCCCGGCCGGCGAGCGTCCAGGACGCCCACCGACGGTACTTATCCCGAGGACCACGAAAAGGTCTGCGCCAGGACGGGCCGCCGCAGCTGCGCCCGCCCTCCCTCGGGACCTACCTTGCCAGCAGCCCTAGACGGCGTCAGCTCCCAACCGCGAAAAACGGAAACCGAACCGCCGCCCATGCGCTTGAGGATCCTCGCCCGGTTGGGGCCTTACTCTTCGGCGTCGCCCTGCATAAACAACCCGAAACCCACGACCCGGGGCCAAAAAACCTACCTTCCGGACCCACCTGCCCGTACATCTTCAACGCCGCCTTCTGGGGTCAGACTTACACTGCACCGGGTACTGAGCCCCAAGCTTGCGCTCGTCGTCCCGGCTCGGCACTGAAGCAAAGGGCCTTTTATAGGCGGAGGACGCGGCGGCGGACTGTAGTGGCTTGTTTGTTCTGGCGGTCAGCCTCTTCACCAGTCCGCTCTTTGGCGGGCGTACGAACCCAGGGTTGCGAACCATCCCAGCCCGGTTACTTATCGGAAGTGTCAAGTGGCCGTGCCAAAAAGGGAGCCAGCTGTCATCGGATGTCGAGTACCGGCTGCCCAGTATGGAGAGAGCGTGAGCTGGTATATCTTGCGGGAGAAGTTCCTTCAAGCAGCAGACATACTAGGAGCGTGAAGCGGCGAGTGAGTCGATGACAAGGGAGGGCGCAGTACACAGATGATGGGCGGAGGTCAGTATTGTCTTTTTGTCCCTTCACCAGCTCACTTTTCGGCGAGTGGCGCAGCTGCGTGTGTGAAACGTCCCAGCCCTGTTGCTTATCGGAAGTGTCAAACGAACTTGCCTGAAAGAGAAGATGGCATTGCGGGCGTCCACGACTTGTTGTGGGCAGGCGAGAGTCCTCCAACAGGAGCACAAGTAGCAGCCCAAGTAGACTGTCGATAAATAGGCATGGTATGAGCACCAGCCGTGGAGAACAGAGGAGAGGAGTTCGGGTGAGGCAGTAATTTGCTTCCAGAGTTCGTGAGCTAGGACGACCCGACTAGAACTTCCTGGCAAATCCGAACGGAGACGAGTATTTCCAGACACGAAGAAGCAGTTGATTCCGAGGTGTTGAGCGGGGCAAGCAAAGGCATAGCGAGCACTAGCACCACCAGAGAGACATGTAGAGGCTGCGCGCGTCAGTCAAGTCTTCGAACAACCTGAATAAAACAACTCACCGAGCAAATTTGGAGTGGTGTGAGGGTCGCAGCACAGTAGAGGAAGAGGGCAAGTCTAATAACGCGAGATACCCGTTGGTCTCTCTTATATGGCCTCCGATCCTAGGCGGAGCCACTCGGACAAACAAGAGTCGCTTTGGTTTCCACACACCCAAAGCGAGCCAAAAGGGCAACTCGCTTTGGCCACTGCAACGAGGAGCCACGGCGGCCCTATACCCGGTGTGGCACCGCCCACTACCAGACCACACAAACAACCTTCATTCGAAAAGCCGGTGTGATCCAGGCGATATGTATGCGCCGGAGTCCTCGGTATGAATCGCCACGAGTCACCAGTGGGCAGAGCGCCCTTGCCTCGAGGACCTTCCGTAGTACGATGGTTGCGGACTCTCACCAACAGGTGTTTACTCGGCGCGGCACTTTCGTTACGAAGCGATACAGGCAACCACTTTGATCTGCGGCATTAGCAGCATGTACTATCCCTTTGAGAGCTTAGAAACCACTCACCCCGACGAACCAAGGACGGCGAGCCGTCGTAAACACGATACCATATTGTTTCGGGCTTGGCCGAGTTGAGGGTGGGGAATCGCATGGCACACCTGATGGTTGGCTCCACCTCAAAGCATACATAACACACAAACAAAGGACAGCAGAAACAAGTAAGATACCTGGAGCCTATGTCCGAGTCCCAACCAGCTTCTCCAGATCGTACCCGCCCGCCAACTGGAACTCGTCCGTCCCGGAGGCAACAATCTTGCCGCCCTTCTTCGTGAGCCGGCCCTGCGCGCGCACGACCTTCTCCATACGCTTCTCGGCGTCCGCGACGTCGTCCTCGTCCTCGCTGGCGTCTCCGTTCCGACCATTCCGTTTTTTGCCCCGGTGGGGCGATCGGCAGCCGCCTTCGCTGCCGGGTGCGCCTTGACGAATCTGGTGTTTGGTTTTGACTTCCCTTTCGCGCCCTTCCCTGCGGCAACGGTCGGGGCCTCGCGCAGCGCGAACGCCTTGGCAAGATGGCCGAGTGGAGGTGGCGGATGTGGAACATGTGCTTCTCGTCGGACGGGTGCGTCGCATACGCACGCATGTGCGACCGGAACGCGTTCCGCGCGGCCTCGGCGTTCTGTCGCACCGCGGGGAGTGAGCGCGTGTCGAGAGCGAGAGGGGGGGGGGACGCGCGGACGCTAAGGAAGTTACGCACCATCTTGTCCCGGAGGACCCACCGCTCGAACGACAGCTGCACCTCCGTCGCACGCTCCTCGTACTCGCCGCTGCCCTTTCCGCCGAAACCCCGCCGCAAGACGCTCTCCATCGAGACGCCGTCGAGGGTAACGCCCCCCTCCCGCCCATCGCCCTGCATCTTGCCTTGCACCCACTTAACCCACTCCGTCTCGCTCGGCGAGACGAAGCTCCACGCCTCGCCCCCTTTGCCCGCACGCGCCGTTCGGCCGACGCGGTGCACGTACTCCGTCGCGCCAGACTCCGTGGGAAGGTCGTACTGCACGACCGCGCGGACGAGCGGGAGGTCGAGCCCGCGCGACGCCACGGACGTGCAGAAGAGGATCGACGACGCCGGGGCGCCCGCGGTCTTCGCGGAGGGCGCGGCGGAGAAGCCCTTCAGGGATGCGAGACGTGTCTGCAGTGGGAGGGAGCCGTGGAGGCGGTAGAGCGCGGCGTCGGGGAGGAGGGCCGAGCGGAGCTCGACGCGTTCCCCATTCGGCGCCTTCTTCCGCCGTGTCGAAGGCTTCGGGCCTGGGGCGTCCGAGCCGCCTCGCCCGCGGCGTCCGGTCGTCGTCTGCGTGATCCTCGGAGTCGGACGAGGAGTCAGCACCGCCGTCGTCGCCCATGGCAGCGCCGCCGAGGAGATTCCAGTGGAAGTCGACGGAGTCCGTGCAGCTCAGGAACACGATGATCTTGGTGCCCTTCTTCGCCTGCGATTGCGCGAGGAGGGAGCGGAGGAGGGCCACGAGGGTGACGAGGCGCAACTTGAGCGGAACGACTACGTGCTTCTGCGACAGCTGCGATGGGGGCGTGAACTTCTGCGAGGGAAGAGGGGCGTTCGGGTCTGTTTGTGCTCCGATTGTCCAGGGACGTCGGCCTCGACGGCTTTGATCATCAAGGGGTTGGTGAGAGTCTGTCCGGCAAGTTCTGGACGTCTTCACGGATGGTCGCCGAACAGAGGATCGTCCTTCGCCGCCCGTTCCAGTCCCAGCACCGACTTCCATACTTTTGCCTTCGTCCACTGCCTGCACGGCGAGCTTTCTTCGGCCATCCAACCCCTTTAGAATCCCCTGGATGGTCTCCTCGAAGCCAAGTTCCATAAGCCTGTCCGCCTCGTCGAGCACGAGCCAGCGGCACTTGCCGATATTAAAGGAAGAGGTATTCTGCAAGTGATCGAGAAGGCGTCCGGGGGTAGAAACGAGGATGGGCACGCCTTTGCGAAGTCGCGCCTTCTCATGCGTTCTGTTCTCGCCTCCAGTCAGGAGACCAGACACGAGCCATCGCGTCAAGCGAGGTGCTGAGGAGTCCTCGGCGGACTCTTCTTGTGCACGGAGACGGAGCTTGAGGAGACCTTCCAAGACATCGGATATCTGTTTGGCAAGCTCGCGAGTAGGGGCGATGATAACAGCTAGTGTCCCGATGGAACGGTCGATGTAGGACTGGGAGCTGAGGGGAAGGAGATCTTGGAGGATGGGGAGTAGGAATGAGAGCGTTTTGCCTGAGCCCGTCTGGGACTGAATGAAGATGTCGCGCGCTGCGGGATCCTGAAGTGTATGCAACACTGTTGATAGTACCATGCGCTGGATGGACGTCGGTCGCGAGATGTTCATCTTGCCGGACAAGTGTGAGACGATGAGGGGATCGAGTCCGAGTCCGGTGAATGTAGAGGAGTCGAGGGGGGCATTGCTGGGCTTCGCGTTGGAGAGAGGATAAGCGCGAGCATTCGGTTGCTCGATTTTTGGATTGGAGGTGAAGAGGGAGGAGATGACTTGGCCAAGAAGTCGGGGGGCGGTGGCGGGGGCAGCGAGTCGTTCTTGGTCGTGCTCTTCGTGCGCACGAGGGTCCTTTCTGGGTCGTTTTGCGGGTCGGACGTCGACGGCATTGACAGTGGGATCCACCCTGCTGGGCACGGCGGGCTCTGGGCGGGACTTGCGCTTCGCTACCCGTTTGGCCTTTAGCCTAGAGGCGATGAGGTCATGTTCCGCAGAGACGCAGTGAAGGCGCACCTGTCCGTCCAGCGTCCGCCCTTCTTCCCCTGCGCGACCTTATGCGTCTCCGCATCTCCGACGTCAAAGTTGAGCACGATACCGTCGTCTTCCATGTCGCGAGGAGGGAGCCAGTGCGAAGAGAGGAGTGCAGATCATCCAAGCAGCACGCGAGAGATTTGCTCTCAGGGCGCCTGCATATGCGCGCCTAATAGCAAGGCGCCTAGGAAACGGGCGATATTCGCTGACGTAATCAGCAAGGAGGGAGAGAAAGGAGGAGGAGCTGGGGGCGGCCGCTGCTCCCGCTGCTTTTGTCTTTCTGCCCAACCCACCTGCGATGGCGCCACACACTCCGAAGGAAGATGGGCCTCAACCACCACCACCGATTACACCGGGAGGAACGTACGCCATTCAAGTGAGTAGCGGAGGGCGACCGATGTTTAGCGCCGGCCAGCGCATGGCTGACCACGCTTGAGCAGACCGTCTCAGTCGGCTGCAAGCTCTACATCCGCCGTCCTGGCCCCGATGGCCACGACGAGGAGCGCCTCGCCGAGATCCTCTCCATCCGCGACAAGCCCACGAACCCGTACGGCACCCGCGTCAAGCGCGAGGACGACGCCACTCGCCCCGAGGACCGCCTCGAGTTCTTCGTCCACTGGGACCAGTTCAACAAGCGCCTGGACGACTGGGTCCCCGGCTCCCGCCTCGTCCTCTCCCGCGACCTCGAGTGGCCCCGGCCCAAGGCCACCCCCACCCCTAAGAAGGCCGCCAGCAAGAAGACCCCCGCGAAGAAACAGCAGTCCCTCCTCAAGCGCGCCGCCACCGCACATGCACTCACCGCCAAAGGCGACTGGGGCTCTCCTGCCCCGGGTACTCCAGGCTCCCAACCGGCGTCTACTCGGGCAAGCCCTTCTCCCGGTCCTTCCATCCTCGGCCAGAAGCGCAAGACGCTCCATGACGAGGAGGAAGAGGAAGAGGAGGACCTCGATGCCGACGCCGAGGGTGAGATGGACGTCGACGCCGAAGGCGACGTCCTTGACCTCGACTCGACCGAACCCCCACCGCCCCCACCAACCGTCTCGTTCTTCAGCAAGGAACAAGAGATCGAGAAGCTTCGCACGTCCGGTTCCATGACACAGTCAATATCCGAAATAGCTCGTGTCAAGAACCTGAACCGACTACAGATCGGCCGCCACGAAGTCGACGCGTGGTACTTCAGCCCGTACCCACAAGAATTCGCGCACCTACCTATACTCTACATCTGCGAATTCTGTCTGTGCTACTTCGGGTCCGAGTTCATGCTCTCACGCCATCGCAAACGTTGTAACCTCTTCCATCCCCCGGGCAATGAAATCTACCGTCATGAGGAAATCTCCTTCTTCGAACTCGATGGCAAGCGTCAGTTGGCGTGGTGCCGCAACCTAAGTCTGCTATCAAAATGCTTTTTGGATCAGTACGTCATCGCACTCGCTGTCTGGTCTCGGAAGCTCGTTCTGACAAACACTGCTCCCACAGCAAGACCTTGTATTATGATGTAACACCATTCTTGTACTATGTTATGGTGGGTCATTCCCGTAGCCGCCTTGTCCTTCACAGCGAGCTAATGTCAGCGATGGGCAGTGCAAACGCGACGAATACGGCTGCCACATGGTCGGCTACTTCTCCAAGGAGAAGGAGTCCGCCGACAGCTACAACGTCGCCTGTATTCTCACCCTCCCCCAACACCAACGGCACGGCTACGGCAAGCTCCTCATCGAGTTCTCCTACGAGCTCAGCAAGCGCGAGGGCAAGCTCGGCAGCCCCGAGAAGCCGCTCTCCGACCTCGGCCTCCTGGGCTACCGCGCCTACTGGGCGGAGACGATCATCGACCTCCTCATGAACGCCACCGAGGACGTCTCCATCGACGACATCGCGCAGAAGACGTCCATCACCCACGCGGACGTGATGAACACGTACGTCCGTCCTCCCGTCCCCGTCCCCATCCCGGTCCCCCCCTCTTTCTCGCTTCTCCCGTCTCTTGCGCCACCTCCCCTCACCTCCCTGCTGCGGATTGCTAACAAGGCGCTGACGCGGCCGCCGCAGATGCACGACCCTCCAGCTCTTCAAGCACTACAAGGGGCAGCACGTCATCAGCATTCCAGAAGCCGTGCAGGACAAGTACCGCAAGGCGAAGGAGAAGCGCAAGCGCCGGATCCACCCCCAGAACCTGCTCTGGAAGCCCCCCGTGTTCTCGCGAGATCAGCTCAGATTCGGCTGGTGAGCGGTGCGGGCCCTGGCCCTCGGACCCTCGCGTACGGCACCCGTTCGCAGGTTCGAACACTCGCCCTCGGGATGGGGCGCGTGCGCGCAGCCCATCGCGAGGCGTGGGCGCGGGTACGACGGACACATATGGGGCCAGGGCGCACCTAGAGGCACGCGTGCCCGGCGGTGGGTGGGGAGGCGAGGGACGATCTCGTATGCTGCTACACAGGACTGCGTGTATTCTGCGCGCCGTGGGTGCGCAAGCCACACTCTTGGCGCGATAACAATACAGGACACTTCGACTCGCACCTACTGTACACGCCCCCGAGAACGCGCTGCCGCATCGAGCCACCGTCGCGTGTCGCATGACGACAGCCCGCCCCGGGCTCCCGCCTCGCGCGGCGCGCTACAGATCGCGCGAGCGACGTCGCAAGAACGACCGACAGACCGACATACCGCCCGACCGACGTGCCCGCTCCAGTTGTCCCCCGCTGGTACCCTCCGTCCTTGCAAGATCTTCGACTCTGCCCCTTCCCGCCTAGACTCCAAGCGAGAGCTACGCGGCGCCGTCGCCGCTGTCGCCACCGGTTCCCGTCTGCCATGCCCGCCTGCGGAGCATCACCCCGTCCTCCGCGCCGTCGTCCCCGTCCACGATCGTGAACGACGACTCCCCGCTGCTCGACGCCTCCTCGCTCGCCTCCTGCCGCCGCCCGCCCTCGCCCGCGGCCGGGGGCGTCTTGATGCGCGTGAGCCCGAGCCCGAGCCCGAGCCCCAGCGCGTGCCCGTGAGCAGACCCGGGGGAGCCCACGCCGTCGCGCTCACGGTCCCCGACAAACTCGCGCCGCGACAGCACGGGCGAGGCGGGGAGCGACGGCGCGGGCGAGAAGGTGTCGACGCCGGCGAGGCGGAGGTTGCCCCCGAGCAGGTCCTCGTCGTCGCTCACGGGCGGGAGGGGCGTCGCCGCCGCGCGCGTCGTCTCCTCCGCCGGGGGCGGCGTGACGATCGCGGGGGCGGTGGCGGGCACGGCGAGGTGGTCGCCGCCGGTGGACGCCTTCGTCTGGTCGATGACCCCGAGCGTGCGCGCGATCACGTACGACGCGACGTCCTGCGGCCGGGAGGCACGGGGCGCCAGGGGCAGATCCGGAGACGGAGACGGAGACGGAGACGGGGTGTGGGGTGCGGGGTTCAGGGAGCGTGCAGTCAAGGTTGAGAACGAGGGGCGGGCAGCCACAAGGCAATCGATGCAATCGGGGGCGGCCGTTTGCGTTTGCGGTCGCATTTCCGGGACCCGGGTTCGATGGAGATTGCAGTTTTCGCGTTCGATGCGCAGGTCGAAGGACGGCGGTCAGGGGGCAAGAAGAACGCAAAAGGGGGCCCCGCGTGGGCGGCGTGGGGGTGACGGGGTGCGGTTCGCATGGGCGGGAGGCGTGGGCGTGCGAGAAGGGCAGGGCGCATGGGAAGAGGCGAGGTAGATGGACGTGGGTGGGTGCGGGATGAACGTTGAACGGCGGGAAGAGCGCAGGGAGGACGTACCAGCATCATGAGGAGCGCAAACGGCAGGATGAGCATGACCGCGAGTATACGGCATGTCGAGGCAATCGAGGAGACCCAGGAGCCTTTCTCATAACGGACAAGGTTGTCCACGTAGAGGTGCCAGAGATTGAGCGGGAGGGAGGTCATCGTCGCAGACAAGCTGCACGCTCTGCCTGGCACACGCCGGCGTATGACGCTCTTGGCGCCTAAAAGTTCGTCGGCTGACCGGTCCGGCGACTGAGAATGGGGACCACATACGTTGGGTTCATTGCATCTGGCCTGCTGTTGACCATTCTGGTGCAGAACATTAGAGTCAGTACCAAGCGCAAACGAGGATTGTTTTTCCTACAGTAAATTTCCGCCCATGCACGAAGCATCGCCAGTAAAGCGTATGTATGCGTCGTGGCATTGCCAGCCGTCTTCAGACCTTCCTCGTAACATGCACAGCTAGAGAGTAAAGCACTCGTACAAGTTCTCATTCAGCTCTGGGGAATATCATCCCGCGCCGCATCATGGGAACTAGTTCACTTAAGTAATAGGCAAGCATCTGCGACAGCACTCTACGGCGGGCTTTTAAGTTTCACGAAAGCGGAGAAGGCACATCACTTAGCCTCGTCGCTAGCTCGTCCGGGAGCATAACCTACACGGACGTTCTTCTCCGAGGGTGGAGCTTGCGGATCCCACTCCATGGCCGGGGAACGCACGCGCGGGCGCAGCGAAAACGCCACATGAGGACTCAGGAGGGTATCGATATCACGAGAGGTGCGATGTATATGATACATTCGCGGGGTTTGGGTTAGTGTACAAGTACAAATACCATACTAGCTAGATAGGGCGGCCTGGACGGGATCCTAAGTAGATGACACACATAGATAATATGCGAGCGTAGATTCTAATGCGACGGGACGAGCAGAGCGGATAAGCAACAGCGACGCGCGACGGGGCAGATGCAAACAGTGCGAGCGAGGGGGAACCGAGAGGGGAGGGAGGAGGGAGCGGGGGGCAACCGGGGACAGCAGTAGAGTGGAGGGGATCTCGGAGTAACCAGGGGAATTGGAGAGCATATGTCAGACACCAGAAACGCACCCGGTGTACAGCAACACGACGAAGACGGCGCTCCTGCCGAGCCCACCGCGCGCCAACCAGGCTACGGTCATGGGTAGAACGTCGTCGAGGGGTACACGACGCCATCCGGACGGACGAGGATTATCGGCCGCCGCTTCGTGTTGCCCGACTCCGGAGGGAGACAGCCGAGGGCCTCGGTGCAGCGCACTTCGACGTACGGCGACGGCTCTGACCCGAAGAAGACCGTGAGCGGATCGCCCTTGGAGAAGTTCTCGCCATAGAGCGTGAGCATCTTGGACGCGTGCGGGTTCGGCTTGTGCAGCACAGCACGCGACGTCGCGCACCCGCCCTTCGGCGCCTCTGACGCACGGTCGGGCGGAAGGTACTTGACGACGGCCGGGAAGGGGGTAATCGGCTTCGAGGGCACGGGGAACGAGCCGTTGGAGGCACTTTGGTTGTCATAGAGCACGGGCGGGACGTAGAAGTTGTACCGAACTTGGTCTGCGCAAAGAACCGCGGTCAGCATTCGCGTCGTCAAGGCGGTGGCAATAACGGTGCACAATGACTTACCGGTCCCGACGATCGTCCACACACTCGTCTCGCCGATGTCGACCTGCCAGAGCGCACCCGACGACGCGCCTGACTCGCCGCCCGAGCTACGCCTGCTGCCCGAGCCCGCGGAGCTCGCAGAGGTCGGGCGCCTGCGGCCCTTCTGCGACACTGGCTTCGAGAGGCTGCCCTGGCTCGAAGACCCCGATCCGCGCTTGCCCTTCTTGACGCGGCCGCCGTCGTTGGACGGGAAGTCAGAAGGGTCCGGGGACGTCGGTGCGCTGCTGCCGTTCGTGCCCGAGCCGAAGTAGTCGGTCGTCCCAGTGCTCGAGGTCGGGGTCGTCGCTGTCGGGGACGCCGGCGCCGCGTCCGGAGAGTCGGACTCGCGCGACGGCGGCGGGTTGCGCCACTGCCGGCCCTCGAGAGGACGGAAGGTGTTGACCTTCTCGCCCTGGCACGAGAGGAAGGCGCCGCTGACGCCGGTGCTGCCAGGCTCCGGTGCGGTCTTTGCGGGGTCGTAGACCTCGAACGCGATCTTGTGCAGCTGCGAGACAGGGTCTCCGCAGACCTCGCCTGGGGTGCAGTAGTGGTCGGCGATGCCCTTGGCGCCCTCTTGGAGGCCGCCGCCGACCACGGTCGTCTGGTGGTCCACCTTGCGGATGATGAGGACCGGGCTGACGACGCCGGAGGTCAAGCACTGCAACACCACGGTCTGGTTGTAGTAGACCGGGATCTGAGATCCGTTGTTCGTGAACGGAATTGCATTTGGTGGCGGCGAGGGATACTCGGGCTGCGGTGGGGGCGGTGGTGGAGAGTCGACGCCGCCCGCGGGCTTGTTGACATCCACAATGTACATGATGAACGGGTCTGCGCGCTTTACGTCAGCTTGAAACAAATGACCGTAGCAAACGGTGCAACACACCCCAACTCGCGGTGCGGGCGATGAAGGACGGCGTTTGTGACCTCGAGCGCTGGTCGAGGCCCATTAGCGGAGCACCGTCTGAGCCCTTGAAGGAGGAGCCTGAGCCGGAGACGCAGAGGTATTTGGTAGACACCGTTTGTGACCGCAGCCGGTGGAAGAGGGAGATAGTAGAACCGTGATTGATGCACACTACGAACAATAGAAGCAGCGGTCAGCTATGCGGGCTTCCGTACACGGCGCGCCGCGCGGCTGCCCCAACAGGGCCGCAGCGCGCGCGCGGGGGAAGTGGAGACGGCGGGGATTGAACTTACATTCAAGGTTCTTCGCGCTCTGCCTCTTCTTGCTGGGCTTGGAGATGACCTTGATGGGGCGGGAGGGGAAGGTGCCCACGATGCGCTCGGGCTCGTCGTCCGATGTAGGCGCCATGATCTTGACGAGCGCCTCGACCTTCTTCTTCTTCTCGTCAACGTCGGAGATGTAGAGCTGCTTACCGACGCAGCGACCAATGAAGGTCGTCCCCGTCGGTGGGTCGGAGACGTCGAACGCCTTGCCCGTCGCGGTCGTCCACTCAATCGAACCTTCTTGCGGCGCAGGCTCGCCCGAGATGGAAACCACGACGCGTGGTGGGCAGAGCTTGGGCTCGTCCCCGCGACGCGTGACGTCCGACCACCACGAGTTCCCAATCATGATCGCGGTCGGCGGCGGGCAGAGGAAGCTGAAACCGGATGGGTATGTCAGAGCGTCCGGCGGCGGCGGGGGGCGCAAGGGCCGGGAAAGAGCGCGACGCACCGCTTTTCTGTCCCGTAGGACTTTTGGGCGACTTTGCTCGACATGACGATCACCGTGCGCTCGCCGAACGCGAGTCGGTTCGAGGTGCGCACGTATTGGTCCAGATACGGGCTACAGGCATGGGCGCGATCCGCCGATTGAGCGCGCGTTTGGTAAGCCGAGAGCGGGCGAAACATACCGGATGAAGGTCTGGAGGTCAGATGCACCACTCGCGCCCATCCGCACGTCCATGCCCATCCGCATCGGGAACTCGGGCGCGCCCCCCATGAACGACGGCAGGCTGCGGTCGAAATGGTGCATGGCCTGGGGGCTCACGCCCTGCATCAGGTGGTCCGAATTTTGCATGAGCGGAGGGATCACAGAGGACGAGTATCTTTCGTTCTGCTGCATCTCGCGCTGGAAGGGGGGGAGGGTGGACGAGCCGGAGAAGCCGAGGCCAATACCTGGGTTTACAGATATCCCGTTGTAGTCGTTCGGCTCGTTGTAGTCGGGCGAGTAGTTGGTGGAGAGCCCGGCCATGCGACGATCGAGGACATCAGTCGGGAACGAGTTGCCTGACGGGAAGTCCTTGAGTTGCCCGTTGCCAAAGGTGAAGGCAGAGGAGTGGTGGAGAGGGCCGACGGAGTCGTTGGGGCTGAGCGGGGAGGGCTTACCGCTGCTGTTGTAGAGGCCGTACGGGTCGGGGCTGGGGTTGTGGAACTGAGGAAGCGGGTCGGAGAAGGGACTGTGGTTGGAATACATGGAGTCCATGCCGAAGGGCGGGAGGGCTGAGGACGAGGCGGAAGAGGCGCGATAGCGTCCATTGTTCTGGGCGGAGCCGGAGAAGATATCGTAGGAGCTGTGGTCCGAGACGTCCATGGAGTCGGGGCGGTCGAGGACGTGACCGTTCATGGGGAGGTGGGAAGGATGCTGGTGGGAGGACGAGGCGAGGTCGCCATTGGGGAGGGACGAGAAGGGGTGGTCGAGATCCTGCTGGGGGTAGAGGTGCTGGGACGGGGGTGGGGGGAAGTCGAGGGACATGCTCCGGTCGCGTGATCGGTGGATGCTGGCGGACTTGAGGATGTCTGGGTGCGCGGGGTGGGCGTGCGCGGGTGAGCGAGCAGCGACGGGGAGGAGAAGGAGAGAGCGGCGCGATCAGGCATTACATACCAAATTCTGATCGGCGTTCGGTGCTTGCCGACAACGGCAGCCAGGCAGCTTGGGCCATGTCGAGCGGTGTAGCCGAGTTTAATCCTGCGCGTCCCCCTCTCAGCGACCGTCGCGAGCGTGGACCGGGCACACTCACTGGCGTGGGGCGGGCGGGGGCGGGCGCTGCTCGGCGCGTGCGCACTGCTCGTGAGGGCTGGGCGGGGGTGGGCGCGTTCGTTGGACGCCGGGCACGGACGCAGACGGACAGACGAGCAGCTTCGCGCGCGGTGAGTCTTATACGAGACGCATCGCAGACATGGCCGCTTACCCGATCGCGCAAGCAGACCGTCGCGAGGCGCGTTCGGTGCCCGGGCGAGGCTGAATCTTCACGGCCGACGCCGGTTCAGTGTCCGACATATTCCTCCACGCCCCGCGCCGGCGAAGCATCAATCATCACTGTCAGCCTCCGTCGATTCCATCTCTCACCCCTCCTCTGCGCCCGCTCCCACCGCTCGCCTCCAGCCAGATCTCGGAGCGTGGGTGGCGATGTGCCCGAAACATCCTCCTCCTCGTCCCCGATTCCATACCGTGGCACCCACCCCCCGCCCGCCCCGCTCCCCGCTTTCTCTCGACCCTCCGCCCCGACTCTGGCACCGAACGTCCCGATTGGCCGCCCACGCCCGCCCCCGTCCAACCCATGTCGCTCGCCGCCCGCCCGCGAGGTCGCCCGGGACATTGACGTGATCGTGTCGGCGGACATGGCGCGCGCCCCTACTTTCCGCCCCCATCGAGATCGCAACAAAGCTTCGCCATCCCACCCTCGAGACGAGGACGACGTGCCAACCCTGCCCCGGGCTCCATTCGACGCACGGTATCGACTCGCCCCGACCCGGCAACCTTTCCGCCTCCTCAGCCACCCGCGCCGACCGCGCACCAAATATTGTCGAGACGCGTGCTGGAGCGGGCGTGGCTCGCGCGCGCGACCCTGCAGGAGCACGCCCCGCCACTCGCCCACAGCTCGGTCTCAACCTTGCTTCCCGGTTTCGAAGGCGGTCTGCCTGCCCAAGATGGGCCATACAGCCACCGCTGCCAGCTCCAGATCCAGGCCGCCCATTGCATCTGCACTGCGTCCGAGGCCAGTCGGCCGGCAGAAGCGCAGTCGTCTAAACCGCTCGGCCAGCACCGGGCGGATTTGGGAGGGGAGGGCCGGGGTGCGCCCCTACGGTGGCTCTATACGTTTGCATGATCGACGACTCCCACTTTCCTCGCTATCGCCCACCCGCCGCCCCGGTCCTTCCCACCACATGCGCCCGTAAACAAGCCTGCGCCCCTTCGAGTTCCGCCCAAGTCTCCTGATGCTCCCCTCAGAAGCTGTCCGACGTAGTGGGCCCCGCCAGAGCGGGACGCGGAATGTCGGTATCTGTCGCCCACATGGTCCGTTCTGCTTCGGGCGTCCGGCTTCTATGGCACCCGCCCTCGTCCAGCCTCTGCCCTGCTGCGGAGATGAGTAACGGGCAGAAGGACTTTGGCCAGCAGCGTCGGGCGTCCGAGCACGCTCGGTGGCGCACTCGACCACACTCGCCGCATCGAAGCGACGGTCCGTCGAGAGGTTACATCCTGCTTGATTCTCCACCTCGACACAGCCGCACGAGACACATCCTCAGTGGACGCCCGGGGGCGCACAGGCGGTGGGGGCTCGCTTGTCGCCGCAGGCTGCAAGGTGCTGGGGAAAGAGGGTTATTGGCACAGGCCCGTTGACGCGAGCTCGATCGCGCACTGACGAGCCTGCATCCGGATGCGCCATGCAGACCACTCTTCCCGTGTACAGACGGCGGGCGAGGGACAGGCGCCGCATTCAGTCCCAGGCGGCCGCGACGACCTGCCCGGCGCGCTCCAGCCAATGCGCACCCGCCCAGCGCAGGCGTGACCCGGGCCCGAGCGCGATCGACGCCCCGAACGAATCCGCCCCCCTCTCGCAAGCCCGCATCCAATCCGCGCGCCGGCCCCGTCGATTGGCCCTTCGACGTCCCGCCCGCTGGCCAATCCGCGCCGCATTCGCACCCGCACCCCTCCACGGTCGACGGTCGACGGTCGTCCGCGACTTCCACTGGCTGCCGCCCCGCCGCGCGCCCGATAGGGTATGCTGGCTATCCCCGTTCCCGACGTGTGCGGCCCGGGCTGCGATACGGGTACGAGGGCGCCGTCGTGCGCGCAGACGCGACTCGGTGGCGCGATTGCGGCCCCAGGTACAGACAGAGTTCGTAGGTGCGCGCTGGCCGGATCGCGAAAGCACCAAAGGACGACTCGGTACGCCATCGCGCGCAGCCTACCGGCGACAAGATGAAGACCGACGCTAGGGCTCGGACGATCGGGCGCAGAATGCAGAGGACCAAGGGCGCGCGCGAGGAGCCTTTCTCGATCGCGTCGCGTCGCGCGCTGAGCCCGACGCGCAGTCGCATTTGCTTCCGCGACCCTTTGACGGCAGGCGCGCGTGCAGGGGCCGCGGAAGAATCTGTCGAACGCATTCCGGATCTGGTACCCGGTCGATGAATCAGCCGTGCCTCTCGGGATCCGGCGGGCCGGTCCTGCGATCGCGGGCCCCGCCGCGCTGCAGACCTCGGCGCGCGGACCCGCCCCAACGTCCAACGTCCACCGTCTCTCGTCCGCGGCCGGGGGTGGGGCACGGACCGCGCGGCGGGGCAGGCAGGGCCCGTCCCGCCGCGCTGTGCAGCTCGCGAGCAGACAGGGCGACGGCGGCCTGCAGGCTTCCGCGCCCCGGGCGATGGGCCGCGATTAGCCTGCTTCCCGCCTTCCCCGGGCCTCTCAGTGTCTCCCAACTTCAGATTCTTGCGCAGACGTGGGGGGATGACGACGTCCCCGTCAGGCTCGCGGAGGCCCGTGCGGCGTGAAAGCGCACGGTCCCCTGCGCTCACGTGCCCTCAGCCTCAGTGCCTGCCCCCCGAAGCAAACCATACACGCCTCCAGTTGCCCCGCTCGCGCCTCCCGACCCGGAGCGTGCGCCGCCGCCGTGCTCCTCCCGGCGCATGTCGTCGTCTCCATACCCTCTGTCCGTCCACCTGCATGTGTGCTATCTCCTCGGGCTCCGCCCGCCCGGAGCAACGTCGACATCCCCCCAACGCACTGGCAGAATGCGCGCCCGCAGCAGATGGCCCCTGCTCCCGTCTGGCAGGCCGTTACGGCACCCTCGTCCTTCTGCCGCGCTCGGCACGCGCTGCGCCAAGCCGCGGCCGTAAATGAACGCGGGGCGTGCACAGCTGCAGTGGCAGGCCGCCCTGGGCGACGTCAGGCGGCTTCGAAACCTCTCGCGGCGGCCGTCTGTCCGAGGCGCCTGCGAGACGTCGTGCACTTGCGCGATCGCGCCTGAAGGCCTGAGGGCGAGCGGAGTGTATGGACGGGCGAGCGGGCGCGGGCGAAGGTGGATAGGCTACTGCACCCCGTCCCCGTCCCCGTCGTGTGCCCAGGCACGGCACGCCCACGGTCCTCGATACCAGCGCAATCCCGATCCCGCAGACGCGAGTGCTCAGACCTCGTCTGCGCGCGCCCTGACGTCGGTCGGTCGACGTCGGGCTCGGGCTCGAAGCTCGGGGCTCGGGGCTCGGGGCTCGGGGTGGGCGAGACAGCCGGAGTGCCGCCGTCCGCTCGCGCGTGCGTGCGACTGCAGCGCGCAGGGATCCGCTAGAAGTCGAGCAGGGGCCCAAGGGGCTTCCGTCGCGGGGCTGACAAACCTGCCATTCCACGTCGTTCTCGTTCTCAACCTTCGAACGCTCGGACGCGCGGGCGGTGCAGCTGGCTGCCCGCACGGCGGCGTCGAGGTGCGCTCCGCCCGCACCACCGATCCAGGGCCCGCAATCGGTCGTTACGACCCGCCTCCTCCTCCGCCTCGTCTGCGATGGGCAAAGCGGAGACCCAAGTAGACAAATTCGGACTGCGTGCGCCGGCCACACAGGCTCAGCGGCGGCGAAGGCGCGGGCTACGTAACGCAGACGCGCCCACGTCTCGCGGGCTGGCGTGCGGTCGTGATGGAGATGATGGTTTGCAGGTACGTAACGCACGAAGAGGCTGCATCGCGGCAAGACCCTTGCTCTTCTCGAGCTCGCGCCCGCTGCGACAACAGCCCAGAGCCCGCGGAGCCCCTGCTAGCGCACCCGCACATCAGCCCGTGTCATGTCGTCAGTGCAATGATACAGTAACATGGCTGCTCACAGCTTGCGCGTCGCGGGTATGTAGCCGGCAGCGGCGAGTCAATGATTATCGATTACAATTTACAGTGTGGCGTGCAACACCGTGAGTCCGTGCGCGTCGGCACCGTTCTGCGACTCGCTCGGACCACGCCCACGGCCCGCTCAACCGCCGTGACCCTTGGACGCATCGCTCTTGCCGAGTCTAGAGCAAAGCTCGAAACGCCGCCGCGACCTGCATACTGTAAGTAACTCAGCCGTCTCGCCCCCTCCCCCCCGGGCATTTGCGCCGTCGATGCTCTCCCCCACGTTCCGTGGTCTCATTGTCTCGTAGAGTTATCACATGTACTATACGCCTACCACAAGGCTCCGCCCTCGAGGGCGTTAAACGAGGACGACAAAAATAAAATAAAAACTTAGCCGTGCCGGCGAAGGCCACCGCGCGGGCCATGGACCAAGCCAGCGTCGCCCGTACGTATGAACTGTACACAGCCCCAGGATGGACGACCACGGCTGACCGAGTCATGGCCTGCAGGTCCGCTCGGGCGACCTCCGTACGTACGTATGTGGTCTTCTCACCGTCCTCCACCTCCCCCTCCGCCTCGCGCGCTTCAGTGCACGATCGGGATTCGGCTTCGAGCGCAGCCCCGCGAAGTCTGCATTGAGCATTACTTATGCATAAATGGCCCAGACGGCGCGCGCGCGGCCGCAGCCGTCCCGTTCGAACAGAACAGAACAGAACCTGCGTGCTTCATAGCCCCACCCTACCCTACGTACGTTTGCCTTGACAGGCACCCGCGCTCGGGCAGCCCGGCGCGCGGGACGCGGTGATCCAAACCCTAAAAACCGACCCGGTTCTGTACAATCCATCACCGGCCACCCCTCGCGCTGCTGGAAACGGACCGCCGAACGAGCGTACGTACTCACGGCCCCCCGCCGCTCTCCGAGGTGGGTTAGCGTCCCACTGCGCGAGGGCCGCCTGGCGTCGTCACACTCCGAGAGCGAGTGCTGCCGCGACGCGACGCGCAGCGCGATGGCGGCCGAGTCGGAGAGGCATCCTGCAGGCTGACGGCGATGCGCGCGTCGCGTCGCGTCAGCGGCGGCCCGCAGAGTCAGACGAATGATGCATGCTTACTTATGCTTTGCTCACCCCGCCGCTCGAGGGCGGCGCGCGCGCTCCGTTCTCGTCGCCGACGCGTCGCGTCCGCACACGCCCACCGCGGACGCGTGCGCGCACCGAGCCGAAGAAGCCCGTCCGTCCAGCGCGGTGGGTGTGCGTGGGCGACGTGCATCACGGACCGCAGGCAGCGCTCCTTTGCAGTGGACAGAATGGACAGGGCAGAGCTTGGACAGGCGGTCGGCCCGACGCACGCTCGGATCGGCCCGACGGGGCGCCCGTCGACCGTTCAAACGTTCACCTCGATCGTCGCTTGCCGCCCGGGGCGCAGTATGGAATTAATGCGTGGCGCGCACATAATTGCCGGTCAGGTTGCCATGCGTCGCGCCTCGGTGGTCTCCGGCTCGCCCGACGGCGGTGAACGGCGAAGCGGGCGGCAATGAATGAGGCGCGGTGGCTGAAATGAAGAGGAGCTGCGGTCGTAGAGAGACATCGTCGCGGGCTGATGTTCGATGCGTCTTGGCTCCGCGGCTCAGCCGCCCCGAGCGGCGGAGAAAGGAGCGCTGAAGTGGCAGGCGAATTGAATGGCTTCGGCGGGGCCGGGACAGGTGGACCGGCCGGCGGTTCCGGGGTGGGGGACAGGAGGAAGGAAGGTGGTTGACCTTGGTCGTCGCGCGTTAGCGGGTCATTGGTGATGCGAAGGTCGGAGGAGGCCTGTGGACGCAGGACGGACAAGTATGCACAGGCACAGATGGACGGTGGACGCCGGCAGAAAGCATGACCGGACGCCCGTGGAGGGCGTAAATCGCGTTAGCTTTGCGAATGCGGTTGTCGCGGGGCATGGACGGGGCAGGTGTCGTGGCCGGTGTCAATCTACATGCCCCCGCTGTGGTCGCCAGGTGGAACGGCGTGGTCGGTGAGAAGTGGCGAGTTTAGACTCACAGACTTCTGGGGGGTCGGAAAGTGGCCGCAGGCGGACAAGATTAATTGGCCGGACGCGCGGGCGAAGAGAGCGGCCTGGCCTTGGACGGCCGTGCTAAACGTTCCGCGGCTTCGCACCCATTGATTTTCCTCCGCAGTCCGAACTGGGGTTCAGATGAGCTAACCGCGAGGAGACGATCGAGTCCAGGGCAGTCGGAGAGGCGACAATGGACCGACTTCCGTAGGGCTCAAGCCGGGTTTGATGTGCTCGGGTCTGCTCGGGTAGCTCGGCACACAAGCAAATTCAAACCCAGCTTCTTGTGCGGGCGCGCCCACCTGAGACATCGCACAAGTTGTGAGCCGACCAGAGCCGACGCGAGCCGACGCGTAGAGACGAGCCGTCAGGGCAAGCGTTGGACCCTGTCGGAGCGCCCGTCGCACCCGCGCCGTGCAGCTCGCTCGTCATCGCGCATGCCCGCACGACGCGACGAGCACGCGCTCGTCCATGCCGACTACGTCGCGCGCGGTGCTGCCAGAATGTTTGCTCCACTGGAGGAGGACAAGGGACGTGGCCGCCTGCTACGACGCCAGTCGCGCCGACAGGCACGTCGACAGTGTGGACGCGCTCGACCGCCCAGTGCCAGCTCGGGCGCATGGGCTCAGTTTTAGACTTCGCGATCGAGTCCGCTCGGGCTCGCAATCGGGGCGCGTTGTCTCCAAGAAACTTGAAGCGCGCGGTGGTGGGGCGGACGAGCACGGCCGCCGGCGAAGTGCAGCGCGAAGCGTAACGCCATTTTGAGGACGACGACGAGCGGCGCCGTGTCTTGAATCCGCACAGGGCTGAAGCCCGGGGAAGACGCTGCGAACACGAGATCGCATCCGACATGCTCTTGTCGACGACGAGCTCAACGTTGTCCATCGCCCCCGCGAGCATCTCCGATGGCCGCGGCAGCGCACGCAGCGCGGCCTCATCCATGAGCTCCTGCGCCCACCCCTGCTGCGTCGCAGAGGCCCATTCCACCGCCCAGTCCCACCAGTCGTAGACGTGCGTGTCCGCGAGGAGCCGCGTCTGGCCTGCGCCGCGGTCCAGATGCACGGGAGCACCGCGCGCGCGCGACGTCGAGCCCGTGCACCATGTGGATGCTGCCCTGCGCGCCGAAAGAAAAGAGGACTCAGGTCAGCGAGCGTGAACTTGAATGAAGTCTTGTCTTCCCATATCGGGGCGCGCGCTGCGTGGTTGGGCTCCGTGCTCCCCCGTCGAGAGCGCGAACGTACGGACGTTGACGGGTTCCCTGTGTCATCAAGCTCCAGCGCGTATGTATGCCCAACGCACTGCATACCGCTCGTAAGTTCTTTGGCGCTTCAGTGCGCGACGAAGCGGGCGCCGCAGTCGGCGTGGATGAGCGCGTGCTCATCGCAGTGCGCGCGCGAGGACGGTGGTGCGCGAGTGGACGACGCGTCGTGCGGGCACGCGCGATGCCAGCTGCAGGTCGCGCAGGGGTCGCGCGCGACGGGCGCGATGGGCGCTCCGACAGCCATCAACGCGTGCCCTGACGGCTCGTCTCTACGCGTCGGCTCGCGTCGGCTCTGGTCGGCTCACAACTTGTGCGATGTCTCAGGTGGGCGCGCCCGCACAAGAAGCTGGGTTTGAATTTGCTTGTGTGCCGAGCTACCCGAGCAGACCCGAGCACATCAAACCCGGCTTGAGCCCTACGGAAGTCGGTCCAATGAAGAGCAGCAACGGAGAAGATGTGGGACGCCGGGCACTAGGGAGGGTGGTTGCCGGATAGGGGATGGTTGTAGTCTTGTAGATTGATCATCGGCCCGCAGGAGATTGGGCACGATGGGCTCGGCCGTCCCTGACGTCCAGATACGATTACGTCACGGGAGAAAGACGCCGGGGCCGTTACGGAACGGCGGCCCCTCGTGGCTAGCCAACTCAACTCCTCCTTGCCGGCAGAAGGCACGCACGGGCATCCAGAAGCGGCGCCTTTGTCGCGAGGCCGTCCTTTTTACCCTTGTGACCGTTCTGGCGCGATGCGCAACATTCAGGCCTGGGCTTCGCCGCATGTCGAATCGGCGGCGGTAGTATCCCTTCTCATCTCCTGCTGCACTTGACGCCGGTTTGCACGTACGCAGGGATGTACCGCCCCGATCAACGGCGCGAAGACAGACCCTTGTTCAGGGCACCATACTTACCCGCTTGCATCGCCCAAGAGTCCTGTGAAAGGTGATATGATGAACGTCAGTGGGGCCGATACTGTCACTTCAATGACATAGCGACAGACCTGTGAGAAAACGGATGAAGGTCTGTCCGCTCGAGTCATCGCTCAGGTGCTTCTTACGCCACCTGACACAATCCCGCTGCTATCGAGAGTAAGAAAGTTGCGAGGGGCCGCGTACACGGTGGGTGCGTCGTGGAAAGCGTAAGCTTCGGAGAGCATATGGATGAGTCGCTGAAGTCGGACCGCCGTTCCTGTCGATTGCTGGAACCTCGACTGCGTGGGTCATCCACTGACGGCGCGGGAAATATTCTACGGTCCAAAACGTACCCGGAGTGGTGCATAAGCCACGGAATGTCAGGAGGAGGAGCTTACTTGGCAACCAACGCTGCTTCACCGTCTCAGGTGCGTGCCGATAGGGGCCATCACTGCGCAGTGCGCTCAACTCTGCTGTGCATTAGATTGCCCAGAGGCATTGCCCGGAAGATTCGCAGCAACCGCAGAGCCAAAATCGAGATCTTGAAGTACCGATCCCGCAAAGTTGGCTGATGGCATGGGCGGCATGAGGTTGCCCGGAGGTCACCCTCAATGAGATGGTATGGTTGTGAGCCTTGAGGCTTTAGTTTCCTGATATGCGGAGACGCTCAAGTAAGTGTTGTGAAACCTCTGAGATTGAACAGGGCAGATGACATACCGGCATGTACGGCACGATTGGCGTCTCAGCCAGTTCATCATGCCCACAGCTGCGCAAACCATGGCCGCAGTGTCCTACTAGTACGTACTAGTCCTCAGATTCGTGATGCCACCGGATAGTGAGCGCCTCGCCTTTTACGGCTCGTGTATGCGCATCTGAGGAGTGCTGGGGCGACAGAGACGGATGCTGGAGGCTCAACAAGGGGATGATTGCCGTCGCAGAGCAAGCAAGGCAGGACGCGTGCCAGGCAGATCAGCCTTGTAGCGGAGGCGCGCGTCGTGGTGGGCCACGTGGGAAGCGCGCTCCGGCTGGGCGTGGGTCGACGCGATGGCCGCGTTGAGGGCACGGCGACGAGGGTGGTCGTCTGGCTGTGTCTCCTCCTTCTGTCAGCAGCGAGGACGCACGCATAGGCGTCGTCCTCTATCCACTCTTCTTGCCCAGCCCGCTCTTGCTGCTTCCCGTTCTCAGCCAGGATCTACCCACCATCTCTCCTTATCTCCTCCACACTAACTTCGCCACGGTTGCTACTGCAAGACCTCCCCATCAGCCAACCAGGACACAACGACTCGTTCACCCGAGGCATTCCTTTGTATACCATGTCTGAGCCCTCGTATAGGCTTGAGACTACGCGACCGCGCCCTCCGCCGCTACCTTTGCGTTCGAACAATTTGCCAATCAGAAATTCACGGGTTCTAGGGCAGAAAGACACTTCGGAGTCACTCCTTTATGATCTCCCGCCCAATACCCCCTCCTCTCCTCGCCGCGTCACGTCCCCCACGTCCCCCACCTCCCCGTACGGTCCTCGCCGCAATAGCAGGATGATGTCTCCACCCCCATCAGGCAAGCGCTCAGTTACTCCGTCTCTGCCCACCCGCAGTGACCTGGAGGAATTTTCGGAGCGGTGTAAGGCCTGGTACGTCCCTTTTCTATCGCCAGTATGCCGTTCAGGGTCTGAGAAAAACTAGGTATTATCAGCAGGATGAGGAGGCTGGCCGGCTTATGACCCAGACCCTAGCCACACTGCCTCCCTCCCAGCGAGCACCCTACGCCCGTCTACAGGCTTCTATTCGTTCTGGCTACCATGCAAGCGTCAGCGCCCGGAGAGATGCCGAGTTCAAAGCACACCTCAATGCCACCAAGCCCGGCGGGTCACTCATGCCCCACTCGCGCGCAGACCCCGAAGGACCTCTTGCCAGGAAGGAACGTTACGAGCGTCTCGGTAACTTCATCCGGACGTGGTGTTCAATGGGTTCGCCAGGGACAAAGCCATTCTTTCAGGGTCTCTGGGGGGTAATGCGCCTGCAAACAATCCCTTCGGAACTTGGAGGGGCTGGTCCGTTCCGGATACAGTGGGAAATAGACGACGCTGTGTTCAAAGAGTCAGGGTATGTGTGCCTCGTTTCATCCCTGCGGGTGCAATCCATTCATTCCTTCGGTACTTTCTTTGTGACAGCGGCAAAGAGTTCATGCTCGAGGCGATAGACGTTTTGAAGGGTGTGAGTAATCAAGAGGCAGAGTCACAATTGATGTCATTGACGATCCAATCTAGGTCCTCGCCTTCGAAGAGACCCTATCACTTTCCCGAACGACATCAAGCACAAGCACCGCGACTTACCCCGCATACGCGCCTTTATCTCCCATACACTCTCGGTCACAATCCCAGCCCATGCCTTCAGACCGCACACCGACCTCCCGGTCTCAGAAGCCTCCACCAATTGCCTCCACAACCCAGACCAAGCGGCGGCGGGCGCCCAGCGATCCATTCTTGGACACCTCGACACTCTCGACCTCCTACTCCTCAGCGCAGACGGGCACGAGTCACCTCTCCACGTCCGGTTCGTCCGCCGCAGACGAACCCGTGACGCCCATTACACCCCCAACGGACATCGACGATCTGTTTGCGCAGGTGCGCCCGCCTGATGCAGACTTTTGCGCCAACGAATGCTACATGCGGACATGGACGGCACCGGACGTCTCCAATCCTGAGCTCCTCAGCCTGCTCTCGCTTTTCCCAGCATTCATTGTTCAAAGCGCCCTCCCACGCTTCCCCGTAACGGCTGCCACCCAGCGCCCACCCGACGTCGAACAAGCCCTCGGCGCGGATGAGCGCAAAGAGATCAAAATGGGCACCGGAACTATGTGGCTCGGGGCGCAGCGTCGCAGCGATGGTTGGCAGGGTGGCTGGTGGACGCGGTTCAAACTCTGGTTGGCGCGGATGTTCGGTTGAACGCCGCGGGACTCTCGGTGTGCGAGGGCCACTGGCCCGCGCAGGCCACCCATCGCCTGGACGATAGTCGTACGGAGCACGTCCGTTTGGATCTCCGCTTCGCACTGTACAGTGTAGGACGATCGCGGCATGGGACTGCTGAACGGCTGCTACCTACCCTATGCAGTCGGACATCTCGCGTTGCACACGCCTTCCACAAGTCTCGTCGTCTGGGGCGGCGTGCGGCGCCGTCGGGTACATACCCTGTACAATCACCGTGTCGATGCTATTTACTGTGGTAACGTCTTCGACTTACCAGTGTATACATTCATTCTCAGCACATCCAACCCCCGGTGCACCTGCGCTTCGCTCGGTAGCCTCGCCGTCACGCGGCCGCAGGGAATAGGGTGGCGGACCGACTACGGAGCCAATGGCGGCGCGAGGGGGCAAACAGGGTCGGCGATCGCACCGGGCGAGGAGCGCGCCAGAAGAGGCAGTCGTAGTGTTCAGCACGCGCGGCTGGCGACGCTCACGCCGTCGGCTGCCGCGCGCGTGCGCCCGGGGTCGATGCCCATGTCGAGGCCAACGCTACCCACCGGTGAGAACCCGCGAGGCGTTCCCCAGGCCGATCGCCCTCAGAAGTCGGAGGGTGCGTGCCGCCGTGTTTACTGTCCCCGAGCTCAATCGCCCCGCGCCCGATCTCGCGCTATCTCGCGCCCTCCCTACCCTCGCACTGACCCCCTCCAGGAAGCAGGCGCCGCGCCGCCGGCAGGCCAGTATACGCGTGGCGCGGCGGGCCTTTGCTCTCCTCCCCGTCCCACGCGGCCCGTCGGCCGTTTCCCTTCCCACCTGCCCGCCCCGCCCTCGGGAGCCAGCGGACCACTCCCCGCGCGCCGGCAACGACCGTTAGCCTCTGCACAGGCGCGGCGTAGAGTTGCCGGTTCGAGCCATGCGCGGCCTTTACCTCGACCGACGGCCTTCCATAGCCCTCCCAACGCCTGTGCCCCGCCCGCCTGACCCGCCCCTGCGGCGGGCGCAACAGCCCCCGGCGCAGGAAGGGCTGTCAGGCAGGCGGGGCGTGCCCGCACTCGGTGAAGCCCTCCCGGCGACCCTGGCTAGACGCAGACCGTGGCGGGCTGCAGCTGCGTGCGTTCGCAGGGCTGCCGTCGGGCGACGTGCGTCCCCCTCCCCTTGGAAACGCGTCCCCAGGCTGCCCCGAACGCCGCTGCTGGGGCCGATGACGTCCTCACACCTACGTTGGAGGTGCGTGCTACGCCGTCCTGGGCCTCTGCTATCACCCGTATCGTACTGACACCCACCGCCACATGCTCTGCCCTTGCAGATCCCATGGCGCGCGCGTGCGCGTTGCTGCGGCTTCCTGGCCAGGGCGTTCTCCTGCATCCCGCACACGCCCTTGATAGACCCTTCGGCGGTCCCGGGTTCGCCGAGCCCCACCGTTCAGCTGGAGAACGCCGGCCAGGGCAGGCTGCAGGGGTCGTCGCGCCATCTTGCCGTCCCCAACGACTTTTACTGCACCCGACGTCGAAAGACGTGCCCGGGAGGATACGGAAAGTGGAAGCCCGTACGACTGCCGTAAGCGCGAAGGCCTGCTTGGATCGATTAAATGGGCGTGTGCGCGGTGGGCAGGCTTCGCGCGTCTGATTCGAACATCAGCCTCGGAGAAGCCTGCCTGCCTGCCTGCTTTCGGGCCCGCGCTGCCCGCCAGCGTTGTGTCGACGAGAGAACACGGGCCTCGAAGGGAAAGCGCGGCGGTGTCGCCATTGTGCGCTGTCGATCGTGGAGCACTGGCCTCGGGCTCTCGGTGGACCTTTGTGCAACACATGGCGTCCCTCGGCGGTGAGAACGTGCGGTCGTCAGAACTTGCCCGGGCGATGCCTCGTTTTGATAGTGAGTGGGATTTCCCTCGGTGATAGACGTTTTGCTGACAGTTCGAAGGGACAGAGGACACCCCGCGTGCTCACATTGCAGAGCTGCCAGGCGCCGCGGAGGCACGTTTGTCGTCCGAACGGATCACGTCCTTGTCAGCCTGTGAAGCTGGGTCCTACAAAAACTCGCGCTAAATGGGCACAGATGATGAATGCTGTCAACGTCTACGCGGTGGCATGGACAATATTCAGCAGACAGCTCTTCTCGAGCTCCATGGGCCCAAATCCATATTGCTGCCGTTGCACCCTCTTCGTGTGCATCTCGCTCACAACTGTGCACGCCCACCAGGTGTCTCCCCATGACAGCCGACCGTCCGCTATTCTGTCTCGCCCGTCGCATGACGCACGTCGCCTGCCGGGGTCTGAAAGGCGTGGGCGACCATCCCCGCCCGTTCCCAGGCCGCGCGAAATTCACATTGCCCACAACCCCAGGCGCCTCCCAACCGCCCAAACCACGCACTGCGAGCGGGAAGAAGCCGTCCTCGACCGGAACGTGACCCGCCGCCGGCCGCACCTTGAGAGCGCACGGTGCGTCTCCCATTCTTTTCCTCTTCTTCCTTCTTCCGCGCGCCCGCGCGCCCCCCGACCGACCGCCCTCCCATACATGACTTCAGCTTCTCGCAGCTTCGGGCGGGGTCCGCACCATCCAACGATGGCCTATGGCGGCCGGGAACGATCGCAGAGGCCCGGCGCTGTGGGCGGCGGCAAGCGAGACAAGCGTCGCAGGCTCGCCGAGTCGCAGCTGATGGTGGCATAGCCCCCGTGACTGCCCCCGCGCCGGCTCGCGCGAAGCGTCCCGCCTCCCCCACCCGGTTCGGCGCGACCCTGCAGGAGGTGCGCGCACAGGAATGCGGGGCCCACCGCGAGGGCACCCCGCTGCAGTCCTTGTTTCGCGGGGCCTGTTGCGGGTGGCGGGTGGGGTGCGCGACGGGCTGCGGGGGGCCGCGCGGAGCACGCGCGTGTCGTAAGTTGCGATTGCGCGTCGAGACGGTGATGGGCGTCGGACACTTGGAGTTTGGACACTGCACGGCCCCTCGCCGAGGCGCTGCGTGCGCGGCGCACCGAGTGCAGAGCGGGTTAGGTCCGGCAGACGTTGCGCGGGTGCGTCGGTAGCTGGAGTAGGGCAGGGCTAAGGTGGTGAAGGTGCGCGTGCCGAGGGTCGGCCCGCGTCGGCGGAGTGGCGGCAAGCTTTGTGGTTTCATGAAGGCAGAACGTTTCGTCAGTGTTGTGTTATTTTCGAACATGCTTTACTGGGCGAGAGGACACATTTTGGGAGTGGGGCTCCTATGTATCGAGGTGCATTGCAACCATAAATGATAGATCGGAGCTCCCAGTCACTCGATTCGTTGTCGCTTTGTTGACATGATGAGGCTCATGCTATTCGAATGCTGCTCAAGAGACTGAATATGCCGTTGTAAAGCTCTGCCAGGGGGTTAGCGGTTGCAAGGTTGCTTGACTAAGTGCTCCAAAGAAAATGGTGGACTTGCTTGTTACCGGATAACCGATGTCCGACGTTCAGCCTCGCCTCGGTGGCCGTTACGTTCCTGAAACGGTACACAGATAACCGCACCGTATTGCCGCCGCCGGCACAAAACACAACGCAAACCAACGCTCACGGTCCGGCACAAAGTTTTCGACGAGTCTCTGGCAGATGATCCTAGTCGACGTATGGAGCATGTAGAGACCGAATCCGATTTGACATAGCATCCACAACCCCCATGGAACTCCAGTTGAGACCAACATACAATACAGGCCGCCGAGGCGAGATTTACTACAAGCGAGGGCACAAGAATAGGAGCAAGAGTGAGTGGCTCAGGTACACCGCTGGCGTCAGGCGCACACGCGGCGCCCGGGGGAGGTCCTGGTCCATGGCGCTGGTCCCCACTGCCACTGTTATTACCCCGCATTCCCGAAGGTGAGGAAACTGTGAAAAGGCAAAGGGCGCGACTATCCGACCGTTAATTTAGACCGTGGGTCAAGACGAGCGTGTTTAGGATTCCTGCCGCGTAATCGGTGAGACACGAGGTAATCCCGGAGCCAAATAAAAAAACCAGGCAGACGGCGCGAAAGGTCCACGTGAGATGTGGACAGCTCCAGACACGTCCTGCCGCATGCGAAGCTCATCGCGTCGAGAAAGCAGGGAAGCACCGAAGGTGGCGCGTGGGCGAGGGCAAGTCATTTCTGGCGGGCCTGCAACTGCGCGACGGTGGCCTCTAATGTACGGATATGGTTGTCTCGCCTTCACGACATGACAGTCAGCAAAGAGGGAACTCCACTCGACGCATGCTACAGATACGCACAAGTGCACCTCTTCCTCCAGCTGGCCAATCTTCTGCGTCTTGTTTTTCAGGCTCCTTTGCGCCGCACGGTCCCTTCGTTCGAGCTTGCGGATATAGTCAGGAAGACCGCTCAGAGCGGCCAGCTGCGCAGCGACAGAGTCGGCTGAGCATTCCCCAGCTTGTGGGTCGGCAAAATTCTCTTGGTTTGTTGAGGCAGTGAGGGCCGAGGTGCTTGCCCTGAGGTCTGCGACTCGCTGATGGAATGGGTTCTCCTGCATGACCAGACGCGGACAGCACCACGCGGACAGGTTCATGATCGCCCACGAAGCAACAAAGAAACCAGGAGCTTAAAATCAGAATAAGCCGCGTATAATTGACAACTGGACGCGCACCGAATCATTCTGTATCATCTGCCATTGAGATACGCCCGGGCCCGGAATGGAGTGGGCGAATCCTTGTCCCCTAGCTTTCCGTGGGGAAGGCGAAGGGGGCGAGTCCGGTCCTTCTTCTGATGGGGGCAGAGGTGCTCGAGCACGTTGGGCTAAAGATCCAGCGGCCGTATGGGAGCTCCTGGGAGGGGTGAGGAGGGTGCTGGCGCCGTTATTTCCCATGTTCCCACCGGGCGACCATGCGTGCGTAGAACTCCGGCCGGGGGTAAATGAGGAGTAGTCCGGTGTGAAGCGATTGCGAGC